GGACTCGTCCATCTCCAAGAGATTGCCTTGAGGCCCCACGTAACACTCCAGAGACATGACGATTGCTTCCCGAATCGGGTCAATCGGGGGATTGGTCACCTGGGCGAAGAGTTGTCTGAAGTACTCATACAAGAGTCGAGGTTGCTGTGCAAGGCATGCGAGGGGGGCATCATTTCCCATTGAGCCGAGGGCTTCCTTGGAATCAGCGGCCATAGGTCCAAGCAGCAAACTGACCTGCTCGAACGAATAGCCAAAGGCCCGAAGTCTTGGATCCTCTTGAATGGTCGACTCTGTTAGCTTGTAACTCAAGTCGAGCTCCTTTGCCAGCGCCTCGTAAACCTGGGGCATCTTCATCAAGTTCTTGTTAAGCCATTCCTGGAAGGGCTGTCTATTTGCAACGGTCGCTTTAAGTTCAGCATCGTCAATGATCCGGCCAGCCTGAGTATCGACCAACAGCATCTTTCCTGGCTGCAGGCGGCCCTTGATGATCACACGTTCTGGCTCGATGGCAATCGTGCCAACTTCCGAAGCACAGATAATCCTATCGTCGTCCGTCACGTAGTAGCGGCAAGGTCTGAGGCCATTTCGATCCAAGTTGGCACCACAGTATCTACCATCCGAAAATGTAAATAGAGCGGGCCCGTCCCACGGTTCCATCAAGCAAGCAGCGTATTCGTAGAATGCCGCTTTGGCGGGATCGATAGCTGGGTTACCCTGCCATGCTTCGGGAACCATCATCATGACAGCTTCGGGCAGAGACAGAACTCTGTTCATGACCAAAAGCTCCAAGACGTTGTCAAAGGCGGCGGAATCAGAACCTCCATCTTCGACGATGGGGAAGAGCTTTTCTAGGTCCTCGCCGAATAAATCAGAGTTCAAGACGCCCTCGCGCGCTCTCATCCAGTTCTTGTTACCTCTGAGCGTGTTGATCTCGCCATTGTGAGCCAACCATCGGAGCGGCTGTGACCGATCCCAAGATGGAAACGTGTTGGTGGAGAAACGAGAGTGCACCAGAGCAAAGTGGCCTTCGTAGTCCACCGAAACAAGGTCGTGGAAGTACTGGTATACCTGGACCGGAGCCAACTGTCCCTTGTAGACAATGTTTCTGTTGCTCAGGGAGCAGACATAGAACCATGGCTTCCACCGCGGATCGTGCGAGACAGTCTTTCTAAGGATGTACAGTCTCCGCTCGAACTCGACGTCGTCAAACTGCTCGGGGTCGGTGACTTCAGGCTTATTGCCAGTGCCATACGCGGACGCCAGGACGACGAACGGTTGCAGAATGATGGGCTCCCGCGACAGGGCCGCGGGTCCGAGCAGAGTCGAGTCTCGAGGGACTTCTCGCCAGCCCAGAGTGCGCAAACCAAGTGACTGTGCGACCTCTTCGAAGCTGAGGGTGGCATGTTTCAGCATCTCAGTGTCGGGTTTGAAGAAGAGGTTTCCAGCTGCATATTGGCCGAGAGGCGGTAGCTCGACTCCGACCTCGCGGGCAAAGTTCTTGATGAAGAATTTGTGGGGAATGGAGGTCATGACACCGGCACCGTCGCCATCTCGTGCATCTGAGCCCACGGCACCCCGATGGGTCATGTTGCACAGAAGGTTCCGCGCTGGCAGATGTCAGTCATAAGGCTCATTGACAGCCTTGGACTTGAACTTACCATCGCTAATGATCTTGTGGCTCGCCTTGCCCTTGATATTGCTAGAATGTTTGTCAGCAACCCAGGTCTTCCGAACAGCAAATCCTCTTTGCGGGCAGATCTTACGCAGCAAAGCCTACACCGCAGGCATCTTTCTCAAGGCCAGGGTCGTACAGGCCTTGCTTCTCGGGCAAAGCCTCACCCCAGCCATAGCCCTTGTCGGGCTGGTATGGAGTGTACTCCTCCTGGACCTCTGATGTATCGATCTCTTGCTTTCTTCGTTCCTCGGCTACTGAGCCCATCCTATGGTCGACGAGCGACGGTGGGCTTTGAAGGAAAGTCTGAGAGGAGGATCGGGCAATAAGTGCTGTCAGGTCGACGATTGAGTTTGGTGTGTGCTGATGAAGGGGAAACGCAGCACCAGGGCTGGCTGTTGGATGGTCTGTTGTCTGGCAGCAAGGAGGCTGTCTCTCTGTATGGTGAGCTCCAGCACCTGCAAGATGTGCGGAAGAGAGCTGTCAGGTCAAGGCAGTGTCGAGCTGGAAGCAGAGTAGACAGGAAGACAAAATGAGTCGAGGGTGGACGAGAGGAAGAAAAGAAGAATTTTGGGTCAGGCAATGCCGTCCAGCAAGCAAAGGTGTGGGGTTGATTTTCGAAGGTGCAGAACTTTCTGCTCTCGTCACTTAGCGTAAGTCTGCGAGGGTGAATTAGCCACTGCAATATTGGATGACCGGGAAGGGTGACCGTGGAAGGGTGATCCAGCATGTGGTGATGCCGGCAATGGGAAGGCCACCTGCACTCCGATGGGATTAGAGTCGAGGATCTGGTTGACAAAGCCGGTGATTGTTCTGGCAGAAAAAAAACTTCACCTCAAAGCAAAGGCCGATTCTACAGCAACAATGTGCAGCAAACAGCGCCAGAATAAGCTGGCAGCACCATTCAAGGTGGGGAGAAGCCCCAAGATTGTTAGTGGGGGGGAAGGACGCTCGGAAGGCAGCTGCAGTTGTGCATCATGGGCAGCTTGTTCTGGGGCATCCGATAGGTGCCATGGCGTTATCCAGCCAACCTCTCCATCATGATGCATGTGCTGATAAGAACCGCGCCACCCAATCACCAGCTTTGCTTTTCCACCACATTACATCTTTGAATCTCAAGCTGTCGAAAAATTTTTGGCCGCAACCGGCGCCCTCCTCCTCCGCCCATCTCCAGTGCACTGACTGGTGCCACTGGGGCCACTGTTTCTCATACCTAGGTAAGCTTGACCTCCCAGTTCCTGTGTGTCATAGCCCTAGTTGCAACTCCACCTGCAACGAGTCTAGACGCATCAGATTTCCCCCATATGCTCCTGCTCCTCGCTTACATGCCAGGCCAACTAGCGGCGACAGGCGTGAAGTGCGCTGCTTTCCCTCAACGGCCTTTGCCGCGAATCTCTCAGACGACCCCCGGAGCGCCTTGTACCACAAACACCGGCACACCTGACAGTGAAAATTCCTCTTCCGGCATTGCCCGGTTCATGACCACAAGGAAAAAGAAAATTCTCCCGCCCTGGCTTCCTGCCAGGAGAGAAGATCCTACTGGAATAGTCACGGGCTTCTGCCAATGTACAAGATGTTTGTCGGGAAGGGATTTGTTTGCCGTAAAAAGTGCACACGCCCTGTTGCCATTAGCAATGCGAAATTCGCGAGCGTTGTCACGAGCTTCTCTCCAAGAGCTTTCAGGGATGGAACGGGGTTGTTATCCCTCCTCCCTGCTGTAACTATCCATGACCTCCTGCTGCTAGGAAAATGCACCCCACGCTGGGGGGCCGTCGCCAGCTGGTGACATGCACAAGGAGATGGCTGATCAGGTTGCATCAGAAACTCTCCAGCCGAAGCGACCCAGTGCCATGTGTGAATTTTCCTGGCGAACTGGGTATATTTTTGCTCTGGTACCATGGCACCATGGTCAGCAGCAAGGTCGCAGCGGAACCACCAGTCAGATCTCGGATGATTTGGTTTACTCACCCCACCATCGACAAAGCAGTCGACTCTCAATAGCCTAGCAACCAATCAACATAGCCGAACCAAGCGTGGAGATATCCATGCTGATTTGGCCGCCCAAGTGTCTCTTGCCCGGCAGCACTAAAGTCGCCCATCCGAAATCGGACTCGGTGCTGGCCCTTCTCCCCTGTTCCTGGGCAGACCCTGCATGCAGAATGAACACATCCCAACCCCTCCAAAGCTCGAGCCGCATTGGAATTCCGCCTTGTTCATTGGTAGATCTGAAGACCATTGGTGGGCCCCTGACAGCTTTGCCTTTTCTTTGTGGAGCTTCCAATGGTTGTGGTTGTCCTTTGCTGTCACCGTCTGAATGTGGAAATGTTAATATTATGGGCTTAAATACAGGTTGGAAAATCTTCGGTCAAATTTCCTAGCCTTCATGTTGGTACTTAAAGAGCTTGGTTGTCCGGCGGGTTGCCTTGGGTGGATTCTGCTTGCCGTTTCACCACAGCCCTTGCACTCGAATGAATTGCGCCCAATGTGGCTCGATTCGGGTATGGCGGGTTGGCTGGCAATTTGATGTGTCCACGAAATCAGATTCCATCACTCGGTGTGCCTGAAGTCCCCTTTGTGGTCGGGGACATTCGGCCTCAGGGATTCCGGCCCCTAGAACTTCGCAAAGATCGCCCATTCCCGCTCGAGGAGGCCAGGATGGCCGTGCTTGCTATGGTAATGATTTCCAGCGGAGTGTTTGCACTGGGCCAATCTTGCTCCATGGTAAAGAGGGAGAATCATCGATTAGTACCCGATTGTTGCGACGGCCATATCCCCTGCGATGGATGCAGCCTTCATCTCGGACTGCTCTCGAGTCACTACATCAGGCGCATACGGTCGCACATGAAGCGGTCGGGTTGGATACACGAGTGGCTGGCTTGCTGCAGGAGGAGGCCGGAACAGAGAGCTATGTTTACAAACATCAGGTTGTGGCCTCATGGGATGTGGTTACTAAGAAGGGAACCAAAGCTCAAGGATTATGCGTCTTATGAGATGATGAGATGATGCGGTATTTTATGGGGATAGACTCTAGACGTATACCGGTATACTATAGGCGCTTTGCCAGGTCATGTTGGCATCTTTCTCGCTAATCGCAGTCGAATATTGTTCGCCAAGCCCTTCGCATTGTGGGCGCAAGGAGAAATGTTTCTCCGCATTGATTTTTCGCGTCTGCATGTTTGGCGCGTCAGCAACCACCTTCCCCAGATCAAACAACTGCATGCATCCAGAACTGAGTACCGAGTAGGCCTCGAAGCACAGTTTACCTCCTCTATGATCGCGCAAACATCTGCTGAAGTCCTCCCCGAACACCAATATCTCAGCCTTCGCAATGAGTTTGTTCGGATCCTCCACTGCTAATCAGGCGCAGCCCGCACAACCTTTCACTTTCAACCTGAGCAATCCGTCCTCAAGCCAGCCGGCCGCTTCAACGTCCACATTTGGCCAACCACAGACGCAACAACAACAACAGAGCAGTCTACCAAGTTTCAACTTCGGCAGTCAAAAATCGCAGCCTCAGCAAACAGGTGGCCTGTTCGGCAGCTCTACACAGACTCAGCAGGGTGGCGGTTTATTTGGAGCCAGTACGCAACCTCAGCAGCAGGGTGGAGGGCTGTTTGGAGCCAGTACGCAGCCTCAACAACAGTCTGGGGGCCTCTTTGGCACATCACAATCTCAGCAACAACCGGGCGGGCTATTTGGCGCTCCAACCCAACCCCAACAACAGAGCGCATTCGGGCTTGGTCTGTCACAGCAGCAGCAGCCGCAGCGACCTCTCGACCAGACGCTGAGATTCGGTCAATCACAACAGGGGCAGCAACCAGGGGCGCAGTCACTATGGGAGGAAGGACGCGGCTTGAATGTCTTCAGATCAATACCTGTACAGATGAACATTGTCAAGAACAAATGGGATCCAACCAGTCTGTCTTCCCCGCTGCGGACATACCTGTACCAGCATGTGGAGAGTGAGACAGACGCACTGAAATACCGCCCGGGGCCAGGAGAAGATGAAGACAAGTGGGAAGAAGCAGTTTCCAAAAGACCGGGACCTGACTGGGTACCTCTTCTAGTCCAAGGATTCTTTCAATTGGGGCGGAAGGCTCAAATACAAATGGAGGCCGTTCAGAGATGCAACATGATGCTGCAAGAAATAAACACCTCACTCGACGTCCAATTGGACAAACACCGCCAAAACGTGGCTACACGACTTGAAGAATGCAAGAGAAGACAGGCAGCTGCAGCTCAGCGGACACTGGCACTGGCGGTTAAAGTGCAAATCCTGCGCAATCGAGGCTATGTGATGGACAATGCCGAAGAGGAATTAAAAGCGAAACTGGAGAAGCTGCAACGCGAAGTCTTTGACCCCTCTCTGAATGCCCGAGAGCAGGAGGTCTGGGCGAGGATGTTGGGGATTCGAGAACGCGCAAAGAGACTAAAGTCTGAGATGGAAAAGCTTGCACCAGCGGCTTCTGCTAGTGGGGAAGACACAACATTGGATGAGGAGACGATCAAAGCCGCCAGAAAGGTAAGTACCTCTGACCGTGACGCAGCCAACCCGCTGAATGAGTCTGATCAATGACGAACGAATTCGCTAATTCTCATGGACTTTGCAGACACTAGAAGCCTACGATATCCAACTACGACATCTGCAGAAAGAACTGGAGCTTGTGCAGCAAGAGTTTGACGAGTGGGAAAAGATTTCCAGAGATAGAGACAATGATGTCCCTCGGCGGAGGTGATCGAAAGAGAAGGGGTTCGAACAGATTGGGAGCAAAATGTGTGTTACAGAAAACCCGCCCACAGAGGTTGAGGCTTTCAGAGGCGTTGCAGGGTTTGTACGGGAGAGCCAGGGCGAGGCAAAGCAACAACATCTTGAATAGTAATTGTTGACTGTCATTTGGAATCCATGGATTGAGAAGATGTTGTCTGTATTAACGCAGATGCTCGTGCGAACGAGAAGTTCGACAGTCCCAGCTGTTCTTTTGCTGGGAATCGATAGTGTACAAGCTAATGTACAGAGAAGTATCCCTCCTATCTCAACATCACCTCGACATACGGCGACGTTGCCTCTGCGTCGAGCTTGCTCATTGAGCCTCCTTATGCCTACCACAACTGCAAAAATATAACTCGTGTTGGCTCGGCGGTTGCTCGTGCTTGCAGGGCATCGAGACGAGAAATTGGTCCGGCCATCTTAGAATAGTTTGCTCGCCCATTCGACAACGTGGGGGGCTAGTTGCGGGAGAGGTCATTGTCAGCCAGGCCTGGTTCACGAAAATTTGGTGTTTGTATGCTTTCAACAAAATTTAAATTTCTTGTTCGGGACTTCTCTTTTTCTTTTTCACTCCTGCGCTGATCCCCACATCCGGACGATCTACCAGAGTATGTCTGGCAAGAGGGGCCCTCGAGAGGAGAAGGTAAACAGAAAATAGGTGTCACGTACAGAACCAGAGGGCAACGCAGGCGACAGTGAAGAACTGCACCTGCGCGGTGGCTTGGGCCTCGCCTTCGCGAATATCTTTCTCGGAGAGCTGGTCGTGGGCTAAGTCAGGTTGCAGATCGTTAGCGATGAGAAGAACTTATGAAGAACTTATGAAGCGAGGGCCACATTGTGTTTATTCAAGCAGACACTTACGTCCGGCGAACATCGTGGGAGAAGAGGCAGGGTCTGTCTTGAGATGAGGGCTTTGCGTGCGAGTTGGTTGCTAAGCAAGGTCTGGGACTGTGGAGTATGCTGGTGGGAAGATCTTGATCTCTTGTAAAAACAAGGAGAATGCGCAAGCTGGACAATGTGTAGACTCGGTTCCAAGTACGGAATCCTCTTGTCTGATGTCGATGAGTCGTTTGACTTTCCGCATTGGAGGATGTGGAATTTCTCCGCAGCGGACCACGCCAGTTCGATAGCTTACATCTCTTGCTGCTCTAGAGAAATGCTTTCAACGACTGACACCCAACTACTTCAGCTCTTGCTCCGTCTTCAGAGTGTCCCTTGTATGGAAGCCCACCGTGGGCTATTCCTCTGACTCTTTGAGTGGGTGATTTTCACTCTTAGCCTAACTCTTTGGAGCGGACGACATCAGCCTCAAGAGAAGCCTAACCATCAAAGCCATCGGTGGGCACAACCATCAGACTGGGTTTAAGTCATGGTTGGAGACGCCTCAGAGTACATTGCGGGAGATTCTCTGTTCCAGTCACGAGCGCTGTTGTGAATTGGGCATGCGTTTATCGACTAACCTCGCCCCTTGTGATTTTTGAAATCAAGAAGATTTTTATTGTGGATGTCCGTCAGTTTTGACACCAGACCACCAGATATGTGAGAACTGCATGAACTAAGGTCAGTTCCGCATTCACCATATCACAATTGCGGTCGCCATTAGTCAAAAAGTGAGGGGTGTCTGGTGCCAGTCCGGAAGATTATGAGAAGCTGACAGCCCAGGCCCGACTTTGACTGAGCTGACTCGGCGAGCTCGTCCGCGACTATGAACAACGTGGCACACAGGCTGTTTGCGCGCTCCTATGTCTTCGGAGAACGATCAGCGCTCGCACTGAACGACACTGGTAACCACACGCACTAAGTTTTGACTATCTTCTTCTTCTAAGCCTTGATGATTGTATAGTGGCGTTTTGCCCTGATTTCAAAGACTCGCAACCAAATGGATCAGGCAGATCCGAATCATATGAAAACGAACAACAGATAGAGTAGGGAGTAGGAGATACACCTCACAAGATGAAAGCGGCGAGTTGATCACCTTTTCTGGCTCCCTTCCAACATTCCTCACCTCCACCCACCTAGTCAACGACGCAAGAACCCTGTATTGGATGGCTGTTTGGGTTCAAATGGATAATCCTAACCTCAAACTCCTCGCCCACTACTAATATGATACATCACCAGCATGTCTGCACTCTATGATGATACCTCCCTTTGGGGAAAACCATCATCCTCGCCCATTACCACAATGTATGGGGGCCAACAAATCTGAGTTCGGGTCGCTTCGGTTTATCACCTTCTAGCTTGCATTGGGACCAGTGGAAAGCAACAATAGGCACGCGTCCGAGAGGGCTGTACAACTCTGTCCATCGTCCATCTCCCACATCTTCTGAGACTTCCAGCCTTTTGTTGGGCCATCTCGATGGCGTGATCAATGCTGAACATTCTGGCACACATTATGAGCACAGAGATGGAGCATGTGGGCAAATCTGGATAGATCATCAGAATGGCAAGCTTTGCTCGACGTTCTTCTCTGCTCAGATCAACGTTGGCATGGTCCATCGCCAACCCTCGGCCATCCAAGAGATGCGACAAATTTACTCGCCATCCCCAGTAGGCGCTCGGGACGGACACTGAAGTCGCCGCTAGGCAGTCAAGCTTGAACCCACCAGATTGATATGCATGAAGCGGATGCCGTCAGCTCTTGGTTGGGACTTACTTGCTGTAGTTCCACGCACCCTCTGGCCGGATTGAGGGAATTCATGATGACAGCCAGAGGCCTTGAGCATTAGAGGCTTGACATTGTCTCTTGCCACAAATACCACGGCTTCGTCAAAGGGGTATTCTCTCGCCCTCTCGCCCCCCCGTTTTGTCGTGACGTCCATACCTTCAAAATGGCCTCCAACACTGTCGTCCCTTTCGCGGAGCTCTTCCGATACCTCTCTCGCAAGGGCATGAGGTTCCAAAGTGTCTCCCCCAAGAAGGGCATCTCTCCGGAGAGTCTTACTGTAGCTCTCCACGACCATGGAAGGGCCAGCGAGGCTATCCGAAGGCAGCTTCAAGACACAAACGGGGAGGAGATTCTATCCATCGCGAAGAGGATCAAAAGACTCCTCGACATTTGCCTCGTGTCTATGGCCTGGATTATGTTTGCTCTCAACTCTTTTGACCGGGTATGTGGCCTTGATGGCGCGTGGGTCGTGAAGCACCGAAAGCTAATGTCGTATGCTTACAGAGCAGTCTTGGGAATGCGCGGGTCATGGGCTTGCAGGAGGATTTAAACATGAATTCAAATCAGTATGGCCTTGCCATGATGTTATTTTTCATTGCATATGTTATGGCTCAGGTGCCCTCAAACTACTACCTGGCCAGAGGACGACCTTCAATTTATCTCCCTGGTATGATGGTTCTATGGGGATGTGTGTGCACGGCCACCGCTTTTGTGAAGACTCCATCGCAGCTATACGCCGCGCGATTCTTTTTAGGTCTCCTAGAGGCACCGTTCTGCGCCGGTTGCCTCTTCCTCATCTCGTCCTGGTACACAAGGACTGAGCTTGGAGTGCGGAGCGCGATCATCTTGACCGCGCCAATGACAGCGAACGCCTTCTCGGGCCTCATCGCCTTTGGCATATACGACACGATCGACGGAGCAAGAGGCCTCGAAGGTTGGCGCTGGCTGTTCATCGTCGGTGGCGTCAGCACGGTATTCATCGCCTGCGTCGCTTTCTACGTCCTTCCGGATTTCCCGTCCAACACGCACTACCTCTCCGAGAAAGAGACCGCCGTTGCTCAGCTGCGGCTGATCGCCGAGGGTGTCCATGTCAATGAAAGTGCCAGTGGTCGCTCGCGTGGCCTTGTGATGGCTGTCAGCAGTTGGCAGGTCTGGGTTTTTGCAGGAATGTTCTTGCTTTTGTCGATTGGGGCATCGGTACACAACTTCTTCCCCTCGGTCGTCAACACGCTTGGATTTTCCCGCAATACGACCTTGTGGATGACAGTACCACCGTATCTCGTCGCGGTTGTCGTCACCATCGCCAACAGTCTCTTCGCTGACCGGCATCAGAACGCTTCTTTCCACGTTATCGGACCGGCGGCACTGGCAACGCTCGGTTTCTTGCTGTTCTTGCTCGACCCACCGTCCACACGACGTGGCGTGTGGATTCGCTATGCCGCAGCCTTCCTCATGATTGTGGGCGGCCATTCAGGCTATCCGGTTGTTCTCTCTTGGGCACAAAAGACAGTACGCCGTCCTAGAGAGATGCGAGCTTGTGCCATCGCCGTCATCAATGCCTCTGGAAGCATATCACAGGTGAGTCGAATTGAATCCGCCAGCACTTAGTTGGGCCAAGAAGGAGAAACCAGGCGCCCGACTATGGAGCCGTGCGTCCCCATTTTGACCCCTCGACCTACCCTGTGTACGGGCTTCAGTCTTCGATACTCGTCCGTCGATAGTTCGTGATGCTGATTCACGTTTGCAGATCATCACTTCCGAACTGTATCCAAACCGATGGGCGCCGAGGTATGTCCAGTCGATGTCTTTAAATACCTCGTGCGCTCTAGGAGCGATTTTCCTTGCGATCTTTATGCGCACGGCGCTGCGTCGCCAGAACAAGAGAATGGAGCGAGAAGAAGCGGCCTTTAACGCTGCAGCGAGGGAACTGTCGGGTATAGACGTATCACGGCAGGCGACAGGGCCTTCGTGGAGGTACATCACTTGACATTACGCCTTCTCAACCCCGCTAGGAATCGCCCGATGTTACGAGTCAGAGGTCGAGGAGGACCTAACAGCAGGCGCAGAATCTACCAAATATACAGGAACGTAGAATCTGTTCACCTGATCCAATCAGAGACCATCTCTGCAAGCCCTGCTTTTAGGACAATATCTAAAGCAATTCGACTTCGAGAACCCGATACACACGATGCCTGGCTACTCGTAGAGGTTGCAGGGCAATGAGCCACCGCAAGTTTATTGGATGGCGCACAAGGGAGCCGTGTCGTCACCCCTGATTGGCAGACAGCAGGCGTTAGAGCCGCACTTGAGTCTGGACCTTTTGATCCATCTAGATGAGGATGGCTTGGAATATTGGCCTCGTTGGGCGCCCCATGAAGTTCATCCACCACAATTCGCCATCCATGACAATTTCCCTGCTGAAAAGACGCAATCTTTAGGCAGGGGGCAAGTCCGGCGTTATGCGACGAAAGCCAAAATCGCCCAAGCCGCTTTGAACGACTCCGTTCCATCGCCTTTACTATACAAGGTACTTTGTACGAGATGCCTAACGATCTACCCCAGGGGGTGCTAAAACGAGCCAAGTTGGTCGGGATCCAGCCAGTCCGCGCGCCCTAGACTGCCCTTGGGGCCGATTCTTTTGGCGGCCCCCAATTTCGGATATCAGAGCGGCCCGTTTCATCTCTCAACGTACCTATCGCATTCATTTTCGAAGATCGTGGCTCAGCCACGGGTGAAAGCACTGGTGGCCTTATACCCCAACTCTTGCATTGTTTGGCGGATTTCGATATATCACGATATGGAGCACCCCACTGTTCGAGACGAAGGTGTGATGCCCTGCAAAGTGGAAATAATGGAACGGTAAGTGCAAGAGCCCTGTCACCCATGGCGAAAGCTAGCGTACCAGCCTCGCAACTAGCAAAAGAAGGCCCTGTCTCTTCTTCCCCTGTCGACGTTGTTCTTCAATGCTCATGCGGCCAAGGCGAAACTTGCGCCCACTGTCCTCCCTCGAGGCTCAAGAGACAGTCCCAGCCTTTATTCCTCGAACGCACACAACATATGACAAAGACCTATAACGGGTTCAGCCGTGCTACTACTCGCAAATGTCGAACCGAAATGTGACGGCAGTTGTCTCTCCTTCGGATCCAGCACGCTATTCCACGACAACCTCGAGTGCATCTAAAGAAAAGTATCCAGCAGACACTTCCACCTACCAACAGTTTCCTGAAGTAGTGCCCCAGCCTCAACCCCAAACTCACCTGCAACCAGATCCTGTCTTTCAACAGCAATACCATTACACAAACGGCTACGCACCGGAAGCTGGCCAGCCAGTGTCGCATCCTCTCAGACCCAATCCCTGGGACCTGTCGCCGCTCGCGTTCGGATTGTTGGTGGCAGCAATTACAGCCGTTGTGGTGGGCGGTGCAGTGGGTGGTGGTGTTGGGGGAGCGCTGTCGGGAAAAAAATCAGGCTCATCAAGGTAAGAAGCATCTCTCTGTCCATGCATACAACGAGCTAAACGCAGGCAAGTCCACAAGATTCAACAGTGACCGTCACTGCGAGTGCCACAACAACACCGATGCAGTCCTCATCCTCAACACTAACCTCCTCCGGCCTGCCCTCCCCCTCATCGCTCGAAAATTTTGTCGCACCTGAACCCTACTACGTGGATACGCTGCAAGATCCTGGCTGTGCGGACAGCAATTCCCTTATTGAAGTTCAATACAACACCTCTTTCGATATCCTATGTGGTGTTGACATGTTGAATCACGTTGCCGACGAGAACAACCCAGATTTACAAGTCGCTGATGTTGTGGGGTTGTTCGCTTATAGCCTGACCGATTGTCTGTATGCTTGCTCGAACATGATTCATTTCACTCAGCTGTATGGTCAGGATTATGCAGGCGGAAACATGCAAACGTGTGTCAGCGTCACCTGGGACTACCAGATGGCACTGAGCAACGACAGTTGGAGCGCCAATTGTTGGTTGAAGAACGGCAGCTCTAGTGGTACTCAATGCAATACGTGCATTAGTGGCAAGCTGGTAACTTGAACTGATAAAAAAGGGCATTGTATGGGCATCTCTGGTGATCGCGATAGGGGTAAATACCGGGGCGGGCGTTTTCTGTACCTCATTCTGGATTTGGCGAATGAGACGTTTGTTGCTCGCCAACTAGCCAGACGTAGAGTCTTGGACGCCTTTACTCGTATTTCAAGTCTACCATGGCTGCAAACGTTGCGCCGTGCTTCAAAACTTGAACAATGCCATCTCATTTCGAGACCTTACTCCCAGGAAGGCATCTGTCTCGTCTCCATGGGCCAATAGGAAAGCGGGACCTTGAGCATACTGATTCAGTCTATATCACGTGATTTTCAAACATGACTCAGCCCGACTTGGCATTCCGACTTCATCACTCAGATATGTTGTCGCTTGTTCATGTCGCTATTTCTTTGTATTCTGAATCCCGCAAATTCCAAGGAGCTTGATCCTCTAAACTTCGCTTGCCTCCAGTGCAGCCAGTCGTTATCTCGTCGTGATCTCGACAACCTTACCAAACGCATTCTCAGTCTGAGGCGCTGTTACAATCATGAGTGACTACGGAGAGGAAGCACCACCCCCCGATGCAGAGGGCCTCGACCGACCGGACGAACACGAAGACCAACTTGACGACCTGCATGACGAATTTGAAGATCCCCAACCCGAGCATGATGCTGATACACGCCCCAATGCAGTCGACGACTCCGACGATGAGTCGCTTCTCTCCGAAGTCGATGAAGCGCAATTTGCGGATTTCGACCCCAGAGCCGTCGAAGTTGCCCCTGATTTTGACACGCTGAATAAGTCGATCAAAGTGAAGAAGAGGAAGAGGGCCGAGGGCGAGGAACCTGCGCCGAAAAAGAAGAAAGAGCGGAGAAGAGAGAAGAAGTCACGCCGAGCAGAGAGTGAGGCTTTGTCGGGTGGCGACGAAGTCGAGGGCAAGAGATCGCGCAAATCGAAAGCGGCCAGTGGAGGAACCCAGCCACGCGAGCGAGTGGAAATCAATGAAGAGGACCTGACACCCGAGGAACGCAGAAGACGGGCTTTGGACAGGGCCATGGACGCAGCGGTCAAGAGATCATCAGGCAAGAGAATAAGAAAGGGCGAGATCGTAAGTCCTCCAGAACAAAGATATGACCATTCGGTGCTAATGAAATCCAGGACCTCGAGCAAGCCGCAGACGCAGAGATCGAGGACCTGCGGAACCGTATGATCGCCGCGGCTGAAGCTGATGGAGAATTGGTGCGACAGGGCGAACCTGCCTCCCAGAAACTCAAAATGCTGCCCGAAGTAGTGAGCCTGCTCAACCGAAACACATACGTCCAGTCCATCCTCGACCCCGAGATGAATCTATTGGAGGCAGTACGGTTTTTCCTAGAGCCTCTGACCGACGGCAGTTTACCGGCGTACAACATTCAACGCGAGTTGTTCGCTGCTCTGTCCAAGCTGCCTATGAACAAGGAGACTCTGATTTCATCCGGCATCGGTAAGGTCATCCTGTTCTATCGCAAATCCAAGAAGGCGGAGCCCGCAATTAAGCGACAGGCCACCAAGCTCATGGAGGACTGGTCGAGACCCATATTGGGTCGAAGCGACGACCACATGAAGAAGGTCTGGGCCACGGCGACTTATGATCCAACCCGGAGACGAGAAGCAGCTCCTGTCGCCATTCCAAAGGCAAAATCCACCATTGCGCCGGGCGAGAGAGTGAGCAATAGGGCCAAGGTTCAGACGACCCCCTTGAACTACCACATCGTACCCCAGCTCTCATCTACCGTTCCACATCGCTAGAGACGGGCGCGGGAGGACTGGCAGTTTCAGGTTTGGCTCCAGCCTCTGTATGGCTTGGGTCACGTCACATGGAATCCAACATGTATTCAAACTTATACGTCTCGGCCTTGCAAGCAATGGCGTTTCAACAAAACGTCGTTCACACCATCCGCTTCAGCGTAGTGGTTCGTACTGCTAACGATAAATCCAACGATATTTGGAAAGTAATCGGAAAGTAATCCTTGTGCTTTACTTCTATGTACACATGATCATCTCCTCGAGTTGCTCTCCTTTTCCTTCTTTTCGTTGTCAGTTCGACATTAAGGGTCCTTTGCTTCAGACTGGTTAAAGGTGCCTAATGCATTCTTTCCATTGCACGTACCTTGTCCAGCAACGATGTTGATGCTTGCTGCCGGCCAAGCTACCGACGTGGCCATTCGAGAGCCTTGTGATTCGTGGGTGCAAATCCGCCGACTTCTGTTGCTTTTACCAGCACGAGCATCTCGGGCGTATGCAGAAAAATACCGGGACCTATTGGAGGCACACCTGTTCCAGACAATTCTCCGTTGCCATGATCGCCGAGAACTCACTCAAAGTCTCCTGATGTCGGATGCCCCAGATATAATACTTTTACCACAGGGGACGTCGAAAATCCGCCACGACGTCTGGAAGACTGGAAGACTGGGGCTAGTCGCCGAGAATATCAAACCTGCCCTTTCTGGAGGGCTCAAGGGCGGCGAGTCGGCATATGTCACGCCATTGTTGCTGGAAAGTGAGGTCAAGGGGGGGCCTGGGCGTGCCTGAAGGGGACCGACTGCTTTAAGTGTGCCCCGAGTGTATCCCGGCTCCTCCGTGGAGATGCTAAAACAGCGCATTTTCTCAATGACCATGCCCCTTGCCTGGCAAAACGTTGGTCTAAGCTCCCTGTCAATCTTCGTAGGGAAGGTCTCTGCGGCTTTGCGTGGTTGTTGTGGGCGGGTGGTTCCGGGGCGAGCTTAGCCATCGGGGTTCGTTTCAGACGACCCAGAAGAGGGATGTGGCGTGTGATTATTCAGGCGGAAAGAGAAGCGAGACCAATGGCTGGTGACGGGACTATGTATGTCCATCAGCTTGATTGGCAGCGAGGGAAGCCCGGGTGCACAGTGTGGGAATCACCGGCATCTCCAGGCCGTTGCCCTGATGTCATCGGAGCTCCAGAAGGCAGCAAGCGAGAAAGAGGAGAACGATGCCCGTTTCGTCCATTTTGCTACTCTGGGCATCTCGCTCCGACTGCTTCATTTTCAGTAATTCTGCTGCAATTGGCGCAGTTGAGCTCATTTTCCTTTGCCTGCATTTGCATCCGTTACGTCTTCTGTGGCAGATTGAGAAACATACGATATTCGGTGCACACTCACCATCACAGCTTGTTGCTGGGTTAGGACGAGTTTCCAGAAGAAATTGGCTCAACGCACGCTGACAGATCCCGCACCGGCACCAAGCACGTAGCTTATTCATTTACCAGAACTGTTCCATCATAGGTGCGACGAATCACATACACACCGGTAGCTCACTCCCGGCGCTCTTCGTGCCCTGTGGGGGGGTTTTTTTTGACTAGCTCTACTAATTCGCATTGTACAGACGACCAGTATATATCATTGACCGGTCCATCGCCATCAGCTACACCTGTCTTCTCTTCTTCCACCAGTCCAAGCATACAACATAGCAAAGACCACAACGACTTCAAGTCGCCCCTCACCCAAACACACGCGCACACACCCCATACCCACCTCACCACCTGACATCATCACACCACAACCATGAAGCTCCTCACCAAGGAACAGGAAGCAGAGCACTACCGCCAAACCGTCGTCGGCGGCACCATTGGCGGTCTTGCGGGTCTCGCCGTCGGTTTCGCCGGTGTTGCCTTCGCCCATCGTCGCTACCATTTCTTCCGCAACCTCACTCTTCCCCTCAAAGCATTCCTCGTCACGTCCTCCGGCACATTTACCGGTATCATCAGTGCAGACCACTATTCCCGTGCCTACGAGGCATCGCAGAACCCCAAAGAAGTCGAGTTCCGCCAGCGTCAATCCGAGCAGGCGAGCTTGGAGAGGGCAAACAAAACATGGACTGAACGGGCCATGGATTTTGGCCGCAAGGAACGGTACAAGATTGTTTTCGGCTCGTGGGTCGGCTCCATGTTCGCAGCGTTCGCCCTGGTCAACCGGAACAAATATCTCACCGGCCAGCAAAAGATTGTGCAGGCAAGAGTTTACGCCCAATTCCTGACTGTCGGTGTCTTGATCGCGACTGCGGCATTCGAAATCGCCGACCAGAGAAGCGGGCAGGGCAGATGGGAGACTGTCAGATACATCGACCCCACTGACCCCGAACACAAGCGCATGCTGGAGAAACAGGTCGAGAGAGACACCACCAGCCAAGGGACCGGCAGCGGAAACGACGACCTGTGGAAGGAGATGGTTGAACAGGAGGAACAGAGACTGAAGGCTCGGGAAGAATACGAGAAAGAGCACCACAAGCGACACAAGAATGGCAACGGAAAGAAGAAGCACGAGCAAGAAAGCAAGGAATAAGCGACCTAGCTTTCAACGACCTCAAAGAGAAGGTGACTTTCTACGGGAGCATCCTCTCTGAAACCATTGGTCTTCCGAAAAGAGACCACTACACCAGCCACGATCTTCGACATTTGACGACTGGTACGTTTTGTGTACATTACTACTACCACTACTACAACAGACCCTGCCGACATCCAACCATCCCGACGCCACGAACTCTCAGACTGTTTGTTTGGCCATTCGAGCCTTAATCAATCGTGACTGTTCTCCACAATACGCATCTTCCATCATTTGACGCAAGAAAAAAGTTACATTTGACGGAGTAAAACGGATGAGGAGTAATAAAGCGTGTGCGGCGTGACTTACAGCAAGCTGAAGCCCCGGCGTTATTTGATGAGATGGAGCACGGAATTTGAATCTGGATTACATATATTCATATATATCAGCAGCAGCAGCACCGGCTCGGATGGATGGTGTGCTTGAAATCCTTTGTTTTGCTCTACTAGTCTTCAACATAAATTGAACTGGTACATATCTGACGAGAGAGTGAGAGCACAAAAAAAAGAGAAAAATTGCAAGCTTCCGTTTATGCATCCACTGGCGAATTTCCTCACTGCTCTACTGCAGAAACGAAAATAAATAACTAGTTATACACAAACATAAATTCAACAGAACACCCAAATACATGTCTACAAGTATTGTAGGATCCAGCAGTGAATGAATGATACAACGTACTCATATCATATGTCCGTGTCTAACATCTACCAGTTCATGAAAAGAGCCATCGTTTGCTCGACTGCGAGCTGTATGCCTGTATGAATGCTTGCTTGCTTGCTTGCCCTACCCTAACAAATGCCCGACGAGCACCGCGCCATCATTTCTATTACATTAATACAGTATTATCATCAATATGGGGGATGGGTCCAGAAGAGCTCCCGATCAACCGTCCGAGCACGGACCTGGACGCAGCCTCAATCCTCAAAGTTGGGTCAGGGAGTTAGTTAGTTAGTTGGCGAGCCCAGTCGAATCTGACCCAGGAATTCGGGAATACCCACGAACTACGAACCCGCGATCTGCACGAAAACCTGGGGAAAACGTGTACCTGTACCATCTTCATTCGCTGCCCCGTCTCAAAGCGTCGCCCGCCCAACCGAGGAAGGTGAACCTGCCGGGCTCCAGGGAATGCTAGCCCCTGACGAACTCGTGCATCAGCTCCTTGTCCAGCGCCAGCCAGTTCTGCGCGACTTGCAGTCCGCGGATGCGCTCCATCTCGATCCGGTGCCAGTCCCACTCGCCGCCGACTGCTTTGTCGCTAGCCCCCGTGAGCGGCGCGAGATCCGGTGCTGTTGATGACGACGAGACGGTCGCACCGGTCTTTTCCGCTACAGTCTCCAGCTTGTCGACGATGGTGTCGGTGCTGCGCAGCGTGGCGGGTTCCGGGATTGGGGCCGCCAGAGGGCCTTCTTGAGGCGTTGGGATCAGCGACGGTTCGGAGGAGGGTTTGGCGGAGGTGGAGACGGAGGCGCTTTGCTTCTCGGTGTCGGTGGTGGTGATGAGAGGAGCGTCCTGAAGCGGCGAAGTTGTAGGCTCTGACCCTTCTGATGACGACGACCACGCAGATATCTCTCTTGTCTTCTCGGAGCCGGTACTGCAGTTCTCGGGTTTGCGCGGCAACCATCCGGCCGTGGCGAAGCATCGCTCGGGAGACACAGTAAATCTGCCCTTCTTCACCACATACTTGCTCAGCGCCGACGCGAGGAGGACTTCCTGTTTCCCCTTCCGCGACGACGCCGGGCGGATGAACCAGCTGCCCACCACGATCCATTTGTTGTCCCACGCCAGGATCCTTGAACGCACCTCGTAGCGCTCGTACGGTTTGATCTCCCTGTGGAATGACGTGTGCACGCTGCCCAGGATCACGCTCAGGCGTCCCTTGTGGCCTTCACGCTCGAGGTCTTTATCCCCTTGTTTCAAGCCCGGCACCAAGAGCTTCGTCATGAGCACCGTGCGGCTCTCGTCCAGGTCGACGAAGTAGGTGCTGTTCGACTTGTGCAGGTTGTAGTCCGTCTCGAGGAGCGGGGAGCGCGAGAAGATGGACACGGGCTCGAACAGGGGGTGCACCGAGTCTGACACCTCCGACTGCGATTTGATGCTGCGCCGCACCCGCGCTTCCGTGTACCAGTTCGTGAACATGCGGTAGAAGAGGCGCACGTGCCAGGCCAGTGGCAGGGATTTGAGGTTGATCAAGGTGAAGAGGATCGCGAGCGTGCGCCATGACAGGAGAGACGACAGAGGAGGCATGGCCATTGAGATCGGCATGAACGACCTCCAGGGAAAAAGTTTTGGGTATGAGAACGAAGAAAGAAAAGACTGTGCCCTGCTTGTACTGTACGTTTATAGCCCTATATCGACATTACGGACCAAGGAAGGTCTTGCGCAAAACGTCTAAAAGAAAAAGAAGAGAAGCACCGCAGTGTCTATTGTGTATTTGTCTATGGTTGTCAGCGAGTCAGGTAGAAGGGGTAGATGGTAAGATACATGTAGACAGGGTCGTCGAGGGTCGGGTCCGGAAGTGCGGAAAAACCATATCCCGTGGTTCTCCGCTGGGTCTTCTATATGTACTCGGTACGAGGTACTTGAATTGATACGCGGAGAACGAGCATGTAGTGGTGGATAAAATAATTCTTTGGCAATAACCCTTTCGATAGAGCCAAGCTCACTGAGGTGGCCTGTGAGCATTACTGGACGCTGAATGTAAATCAACTCGAATCTTGACTGAATGACTTTACAACTTTCAACAAGCTGCCACCCTCTACCTCCCGACATTGTCTTCCAAGGCGCTTGAAAAGGAGTGATAACCTTGCAACCAGCTGGGCCGAGTGGCGAAGACCCGTACGGGTCGCTGTCAAGGGTGCCATGAGTCTTTGCCTCCCGCTAAGCTTGCTTGAATGTAGAGACGCCATCTTTGACAACCTGAAGTGGATTCCCAAGGCTGACATGACAGGATGGAGATTCATAGGAACATGAGTCACTGCACAGACCACAAGTGGCGGAACATACCTCATACCGAATACTCATCCCCCGTGGCTGGCCAGATCCCTTGATCTGGCCACGCCCAAGACAATCAACATTCCGTTCACGACGTCTCATCCACGCGAAACATTTTAAGTAGGCAAGGCTTCAATCTCGGAGACCACGCCTGAGACCCTTTGTGGCGATGTCAGATGGTACAGTATGTACCGAGCCCTCCATCCAAGCAACAGGTGATCGGACATGCCCTCTGCGGCAACTGCGCCTCCCAACCCGGGTCAAGCCCTTCCAGCCACCCAGCCTTTCTACCCGTGGTAAGTCCCGCAACATTCCGCAATTATGCTGCAAAGGCCAGAACTCAACCACCTCTTTTGCTTGGGCCGAGAATGGAGCTGGCGCTGGGTAAGCTGGTGGTTGCTAGCAGAGGTCGAGCAGGGATGGAACATAGGTGGGTGTTTCAAGCTGGTCGACATGGAGAACCCCCGAGCCAATCAACGCGATGGAGTCTCGGATCTATGCAGCCGAGTCTAACTGTTTGTGGAATAGGGGCTTGGTGTCACGCGGCTAACCATTGGCTGCAGTCGACCGCATATTTCCCCCCTGATCATCCGGCACAGCTCTTCTTTTCTCTTCATTCCTGTCCTTTGTTCTCCCTGTCACCTCCCCACAGCCGCCGCGATGGACTGCTTCAGCCTCCTCCGACCATCTCAGGAGACCCGTCCAAAATGGACTGGTTTGATATTCTCCTGCGTCATTCCGAGCAACTTACGATCAAGCCTTGTTCCCATCTCCTATAGACCGTAGCCGATCGATGGGGTACCTTCGGGCCAATCTCCTATTCTGCATGCTTGTGCTCCCATCGAGGTCCACAAGTCTTCACTCAAGCTCTCTGTCTTGCGGCGAATTAGACATGCACATTACAGTTCTCTTTGAGAGAGCTGCTCTCCCTTCCCAAAGATCTCAGTCTTTTGGGGGTGCTTGGTCTCAGCTCTGACAGGAGTCTGTGCTTTTCTACGGCTTGCAGTCCAGAATAGTCAGCTTGGCCGTCAGTTTGCCACGCGCGAAGGATAGAGTTCCTATGTACCAATAGAATGCGATGTTTCAAATACCCCTTGCCCACCGCTAACACGACCAGCATGACCGCCACTGACCGGGGTAGAGCCTTGACATCCAGGGGTGTTTGCCGACCTCCATGGATCAGAAAAAAAACCTATATAGAAGCCTGCCAAGTCACTTCATCCCATCTTGCCTTTCTGCAGAGCTTCTTCTCAACTCATTCATTCACATTTTGTCACAGGCTAGTCCTACATTCCTTTGTTGACCTTCCTCTCTTTATCCTGCCTGGCGCAGACCACACGTTCTTTCAGACAGCAGTTGACCAACAAGTCAACGACCGTTCCTTTGTCAGTGACAAACAGGTATTCACAATCCCATTCACCCCTGTTGCTCCCCAACTTCCCTGTCCTGAGCCTGCCCTTGTCATGTGGGGGCAGTCGCCGACACGCATTGTCAACCACCATGAGGCTGCTGCAGGCTTTTGTCGATACTCTTCGCTTTGTCCCAAACTGCCTATTGTTTTTTCTAGCCTGGCTTCCCTTTTATTAATATCTTCAAGCATTGTATCCTTCTTGCAAGCTCACCATCACACCAAAACACCCGACTCACAAGCTTATTAGTGCGATCTGGCTATTGCTCTGCTCAACACACATTCACTCTCATTACCAAACTCACCTGAAAACTTTCATCACAACATCGAAAATGGTGGTCTTTCCGAAATCTACGGCTCTTGCTGCTGTCGCCTTCTTGGCTGCAGCGGCAGATGCTCACATGATCATGAACACACCTGTCCCATACGGCAAATCAACTCTCAACAACTCACCACTTGTCGCAGACGGGTCTGACTTCCCTTGCAAGCAACGTCCTGGCGTCTACGATGCCGAGGGTGCCAGCAACACTGCGGCCATCGGTGATCCCCAGACTCTGAGCTTCATCGGCAGTGCCACTCACGGCGGTGGTTCATGCCAAGTCAGTCTCACTACCGATCTCCAGCCCACGAAGAACTCCAAATGGATGGTCATCAAGTCTATCGAGGGTGGCTGTCCTGCCTCCGCTCCCGGCAATATTGGCGATGATCCCAACGGCACGGGTGCCTCGACCTTCCAGTTCACCATTCCCGAAGGCATTGCTCCGGGCGACTACACCTTGGCGTGGTCGTGGCTCAACAAGATCGGCAATCGGGAGTATTATATGAACTGCGCCCCGCTCACTGTGACGGCTTCGAAGAAGAAGAGATACGCACCAGCTCCGAAGGTGAAGAGACAGACAAGTTTCCCGGATTTGTTCGTGGCCAATCTAGCGAGCATCAACACCTGTGCAACCGTGGAGGGCTTCGATTATGTCTACCCGAATCCCGGCGCTGATGTTCAGTCCGCTGGTACCGGACCATACACCACCTTGGCTTGTGGCTCTGGTAACGACAACAGCGCTCCACAACAACCCACTGGCTCTCTCCCCCCTGCCGCTGCATCTGCCTCTGCGTCTCCATCTTCTCCTCCCGCATTTGCCAGTGGAATTTCTGGGCAATATACGCCAGGCACTGATGCTGGGCAGTCCACCGCTGGCCCTTCACCCAGCGTGGCTCCTGGAAATTTTGCAACGGGTGCATCTTCGGTGATTACCTCTTCTGTTACTGCGTCCACTACCAGCGCTAACGGCCTTCAGGTTATTCCTGTCACAACTCAAGCTATCGCCCCTGCAGCGACTCCCACAGGTGGCTCCTCTGCGGCTTCCAATGGTACCGCTGCAGGTGCATTAACGGGCCCTTGCTCCAACGAAGGCTACTGGAACTGCATCGACGGAAGCAGCTTCCAGAGATGCGCCTCGGGGAGCTGGAGCGCGGTCATCCCCATGAACGGCATGCAATGCTCTCCCGGAGTCTCCTCTGATTTCACCATGACTGCAGCCAACGCAAAACGCTGGGAAGCCTAAATCCACTATTCTTTCACGTGTCAACTGACTGTGGCTTCGATCAGCACTGTCAGACACTGTACAACAACACGATCGACGAATGTGGTCGATGACAATATGTCGAGAAAACCGGCATATGTGGGGAGGATTGTCGGAGTGGAAGACTATTGAGAGGATACCCAACTTGTCCCTGTCCACCACTCCATTTGCATGATTTTATGACATTGTGAGCATCTATTTTTCACTTCTTGTACGACACGAATGCACGGCTCTATGCGAATCTCACACGGCAAATCTTCACCTCAGCGAAAGGGCGTCTTCACTCGGCTGTCTCACATTTTCAAGGGGTTATCAGATCGGGAAAAAAGTATCCTAGAAACTATCTAGGTTTTGGGAGGCGTATTGCGATATTACAGCACTGGAAATTCTGGGGGATTGAGGAATGAATATGGGAGACTGACCCGCAAAACCCGGGCAGCCTACCCAGAACGCCCTCGTTCCCAGGTAGACATGAATGACAAGAGGTTGCAAAACCAAATTTCTAGTTCCGGATTCCCTTTTCCGTTTGTGATTTTGATACTTCTGCAGCACTAACAAGCTTCGCCGACAGGAAAGCCTGATGTCAGATTTTGATGGATTTTGTGCACAAAGCTTTCAATTTCAGTAGCGGTCTCAAGACTAGACTTGGGCTCATCTCGATCCAGTTTCTTACCGGAACCATGCGTTGACCGTCGTTGTTTGCCTCTCCGGTCCTGGGTAGCGAGGCTGGGCGCCTCAGGGGTGTGGCGCATGGGGCTGACTCTGAGTACATACTGTATGAAGTCATCATTCATCTCAGATTTCAAACTGAGGAATGTTCGTATCAAAATGCTCCCCCCCTCTCTCCTCCTGCTGTGCGTTTGTCCCGCCCCAACACATGATCCCCAGGTTTCTACCCTCCAGCGGACGTTCATCTCCGCCCGATATTGATCAAAAGTGAAAAGACAGACAGCACGTGGGGCCCACCAGCACGCTTATTGCCGTGAAGAAGAAGCTCCAGATCCCAGCTCTCCATATCGGCACCAGTTCCGGACACAAATGCGCTGGAGCACGTTCTGCCAACGTCCTCACTTTCCTTATGCCACATTGGTGGGGACCTTCTTCTCTGCTCCATCTGAAGCTTTGCGCCAGCCGAATTTTTTTCCCACCAGGAGCTGGCGTCCTCCAGCAGTTTGCGGACCAATGATGTTTTCCTCGATTCTCACGTGTATACGCTCTGTACCCTCAAACTGGTGTAGAGGGAAGAGCCGTCGACAAGCTTGATCGAAGCTCTTGCGAAGCTTTCTAGCTATGCAAGCCGAAGGAGGAACGCTTCCAACGTGGCTTTTGCTTCCATAACGATGGATTCTCGTGCTCTGTCTCTATATATCACAGCCCTTTCCTCGAGCACGGAGGTGGGTTGTGCAGCTATCTCCTTGTTTTTTGTGCCACGGAACGATGGGTGTGCTCAGGATCGTCCTCGCCACGCTCGTTGGCGCGTCGGGCGTCCTCGCCGCTGTACGGCCCTACTCGTCTGCCTACCTTGAGAAACAGTTTCCTCAAACCTTCACCGACTCGTACAACATCCTCAAGTATGTGGGTGGCATCGGCCCGTACTCAGACCGCGTGGGTTATGGGATCGACCCGAACCCTCCGCAAGGCTGTGCGGTTGACCAGGTCATCATGCTGATGCGTCACGGGGAGCGCTATCCCGACACCACGACGTACGGGAAGATTGAAGCCGTGCTCAACAAGCTGTATGCGGCGGGAATTTCTCAGTGGTCCGGTGACCTCGCCTTCCTGAACGACTGGACGTTCTACATCGACGACCCAGGCTACCTTGAGCAGGAGACGTTCTCGGGCCCGTATTCGGGGCTCCTCCATGCCCTGAAACAAGGCACCGAGTATCGCGCCCGCTACGGCCATCTGTGGGATGGCGACGCCGTGGTGCCCATCTTCGCCAGCGACTACGAGCGCGTCATCGAGACGGCCAGGTACTTCGGCATGGGCTTCTTCGGGTACAACTACTCCACCAACGCCGCGATCAACGTGATTTCCGAGAATGCCACCCGCGGAGCAGACAGCCTGACGCCCAGCTGCCCGGCCGACACGGGGTTGTTGGCGTGCTTCTACGCCTCGAGGACTTTACCCCAGTTCAGCGTGGCCGCAGCGAGGTTGAATGCGCAGAATCCAGGCCTCAATTTGAATTCGTCGGACATCACGACGCTGATGGGTAAGGTCTTCGTCCCGTCTCTGCCCTTGCAGGCTATGTATGGCCAAACGCAGAAATCACTGACTCGGTATTATCTGCCCTATAGGCGTTGCTCCCTACGAGCTCCAAGCCCGTTCATATTCCCCGTGGGTGGACGCATTCACGCTCGACGAGTGGGTGGCATTCGGGTACATCCAAGATCTAAGCTACTACTATTGCTCAGGGTACGGCGTCTCTATCCAAGCCTGTGCTTGCTTGCCCTGCTAACGTTCCAACCCTCTCCTTCTCTTTAGCCCTGGAGATCCTTACGAAGTTGCTGTCGGCCAAGTGTTCGCGAACGCGTCCCTCGCACTCCTCGAAGCCGGCCCAAGCCACGGCACGATGTGGTGGAACTTGTGAGTACAACCCCCAATCCTCGCACCTGTGCAGAAATGAATCTGACCATCTATTCCTCCGCCTTGCCAGCGCCCACGACGCCAACATCACCCCCGTCGTGGCGGCGCTGGGGCTGGACGTGCCCTCGGCGCCGCTTCCCAACGACACGATCCCGTTCCCGAATCCGTACCGGTCGACCGACATCGTCCCCATGGGCGGGCACCTCGTACTGGAGCGGCTCTCGTGCAACGCGACCGCGGCCCCGACGCCCGCGGGGGTCTACATCCGCGCCCTCATCAACGAGGCCGTCGTGCCCTGGCCGACGTGCCAGTCCGGGCCGGGCTACTCGTGTCCGCTGGCCAACTACAGCGCCATGATCGCCCGCGGGCCCGACTTCGTGAGCATGTGCGATATCTCGGCGCATGGGTATCCCGAGTATCTCGACTTCTGGTGGGATTTTAACACCACCACCGTGCTGAATTTCCAGAACGGGAGCATTCCCTGGCAGCAGACTTATACCCACGTGAATGGATGAGAAGGAAGGGGAGTGCAGACTGCTCGCTGGGTCCTAGTGAGGGCATCTATCTCCCAACAAAGAGATATTGTACATAGATCGATGAGTAAATTAGAGCCAATTTATCAGAGAAAAAAAGTGTAACGCCGACGTGGCAGATTCAATGCCCGGTACATAGAATCTGTATTGTCAAGCCCAGACTACCTATCCTATCCTATCCATGAAACAGGGGCCTGCCTGGTTAATCCTAGAGGGTGAGCGAAGGCAGCTTTGACCTGAGCTTTAACTGAGCCTTTGACTGAGCATCACCGATTGCTCCTTGGGAAAACACACCGCGGCCTAATATAGCCGCTCGCGATCGGCTATAGACGATTCTGATCCTGGGTTGACTTGCTCAACCAGACTTCTTGCCCCGTCCTTGGAAACCTTCCCGCCGGCGTTCGCCAACCCCCGTTCCATGGCCGACTCCTGAGCCACCTTCTCACGTCTGAAAACTTCGTCGACATACGATTTGAATCGACCGTGTGAATGATTTTGTTGCTCTGTGACCCGTTTCTTGTCTTCCGGTGTGGAACTGTTGCTGTTTCTTTCGCCGCTGTTCTCGATGTTGCCCTTGTTGTTGCTGTTGTTGCTACCTTCACCTCGACTCCACCTCTCGAAGTAATCTAGGACTGTATTGATCTTAAAGGCCACGATAATCAACGGAACAGCGAGAGCAGCGCTCGTTCCAACTGTTCGAAGGGTCAAAATTGCGAAATACCACAACTTTCAGACATCGAGGAGAAAAGACGTACATATCCTCGAAAATATCCATTCGGATGGATAACTAACGTTGTCACTTTGGTCGTGCGGGAATGATTGGATATTCAATGCGTATAGAGACGCCAAAAATGACATGGGAAGCTGAACACAGAACTGGATCAGAATGTAGTCAGAGAGCGGTTGCGGCGGATAACGCTCACGAATACAATTGTGACGATGGTGAAAACCATAATTGTTCTACCCTGTTGCGTCGTCGCGGCTGCCTGCTTGCGTGCTTCCGCGGCTTCGAGGATGTTTGCATCCTTCTGCTTGAGATCCAGTAGATGATTCATCTGCTTGTATCAGTGGCTATCCATCGCAATCGATGAGCAGAAATTGCCTCACCGCGTCATATGCCGTTCCGATATCTCGTTGCATCTTGTTGATCCGCGCAATTCGCGTGTCGATGTTGCTCCGCTGCCGGTAATAGTTGAGTATGCGATCATTTGTGTCATCTCGCTTTCCTTCAGAATCATGCACAGTGGCTAGTTGAAAGAGCTTTTTCAGCACATCATCTTGATCAGCACAAATGCTCCGAAGAATGTTAAGCTCATCACGTATATCTTTGATCTCTTCGAGAAGCTCAATTTCGTTGTCCAGCCGAAGCTCCAGATTTGAAGAATGACTGTCGCGGTTTGTTTGCGTATTGTTGTGCCGAGCGGCAATGTCTAGCCTGAAATCCTCAAAGAATTGAACCTCTTTGTCCATCTGAAGAAAAATTAGCATACCTTGGGAGACATTAATCTCAGTGGGGAAACTCACCACGACACCAATAGAGTTTGCAAATACATGGAGGAAGGATTCAAGGGTGCTCGATCCCCGTCGTCCATCGGGCTTGACCTTGCATTGGTCTACAAAATCCGTACAAAACGACGTTATTAAAGCTGCCATGTGATATACGTTTCGAATTGGCGGTTTGTGGTCTTCGCTGACGTGCTTGCTTATTCTGCGAACCAAGCGGTCCTCACCATTTCCTGTCTCAGTTTCTGCCCTTGCCCCTTTCTTTGGATTTTGGCCCCATCGGTCAGGAAAGCAAGTAATGATGGTTTCTGGAGGGGAGAATCAAATACTGCATCACACACATGTCATAGACAATACGCACCGTCGTCAATGATCCAAAGCCATAATTGGTCTACCATGCACATTCGAAAATCTTGACTGTCGACATCTGGGGTGCGTTTTTCAGGAGACGAGGCGGAATCCGAACCAGTATTTTTCCCACCGGAGCCTGAAGATTTAGACCGTAGCAAGTCAAGAATGCGTCGGAAAAGAGAGACATTCTGGTTGTCAGGCTGGCTCTGCTTGTCAGGTTGGTTCTCATCGCCTCGCAGCCGACTCCATTTGTCCTTCTGATAGCGCCGCACCACTTGATCCACGTCGCGTCGTCTTGTGTCTGGCAAGGAAGAGTAGTAATATTGATCCAGGGTGCGAGGCACGTGGAGATGATGAGTTTTGACATCGTCCTCATCCGACAAACCCAAATAACATTGTAGCAGTTTCGTCTCCTTGACCGTCTCGAGGTTTCCAGAATAGATTTCCACAGCCTCTTGTAGACTTTCGAGACAGCTGAAGACTGACAGAGAAAGATATTCCTTAAAACCATTCTTCAGCTGGTTGATGGCTTTGTCAAGGCATTCCTGTTTATTGTCGAGTTTGGCCTTTTCAGGACCCCCTGATGGGCTCATTGGATCAGAAATCAGCTGTTTGGGGGCTGGGGCGGCTTTATCATGGATGTTGTTTATAGCATCTTCAACTTCTGATAGCGCCCTCACGCAAGCGCTGTTAAAGGGAGAGGTAACTCCCCTGGGGCGATTTTTCTCCTTGCTGAGCTGTATCCTGGCTTCGCTGATGCTTAAACTCAATATAGCTTTTTTGAGTTCCGAATAGTCAGGGTTATGTGGGTCTGGACGTCGTTGCGCCTCCTTAACCATTCTAATAGCATTTCGCCATTGCTTTTGGCCCTGGACACTCTCCGACGTCACGAAGGGTAGCTTTGAGTAGTTAGCAAATCGCAGCAAAAATCCGACATTACTGTGTATTCAATTTACCCAAATTGCCATTTTGCATCCCTTCAGGCCAGTCATTCCTCCGGTGTCGTACACTCTATCTTTCTCCCTTTTCTTGGTCGTCTCGGTACTTTGCCCTGCTTTCGTGGACGGGGTGGGCTTCTTCTGCTCAGCCCCTTGAGCTAGCTCGCCTCTGACTTGGGTTTTCGCTGCGCCAGGGACTTCTTCATTACCCGTTCCATCTGTCCTGACCCTTGCTTGGGCCGGGCCAGAACCGGCTGCGTTGGCACGAGACATCTGTGACTCGGAGTTTTTGACGTAGTCATTGACGGAGCTTTCGAGGGTGGCATTTTTCTTTTCTGAAAATTTCGGGGAGAGTCCCTCCTGACGTTCTGGCGCCTGAAGACTTGGTTTTCTCCGTTTTTCTGGCTCCTCCTGATTAGGGAGTTCCGGCCCCTTCGATTGTGCATCTGTCTTTGACACCGTCTGTTGTCTCCAATTCGCGTAGATGTAGCTTGCCTCTTCACTGGAGGTAAAGTCCATCTGATCAAACTGAAACATAGTCAATGATTTGGCCAGGCGGAAAAAAGGTATGGTAAAGTATCTCACTCGCAGGCCGGCGTTCATGAACCGGCAGTGTGGATCACCCAGATGTTCCCCGTCGCGACGGTTTTCTGCTATAAAGTTCTGTACTCGAGAATACTCCTTATCTGTTTTTTTCTTGACTTTATAGATCTTTTGCACAAGGTCCTGGCAAAATATCAGGGGACAAGCTCGACAAGTTAGTAGGACCGTTTTTACCTTAAGCCAATGCCACTGCCCAGCAACAGTCAGAACAGACATTAGTCGAGGATAGCACCAAAACTCACATTATTTGCCGGAAGATGGATCCACCTGAATCGGAGTTGAACCTGCTTCATGCCCCATACCCGCAGATGGTCAGACATTATCTTCTCTGGTCCCCTTCCATATACGATGTCGTAGACGCTTTTCTGTTGTTCAGAGGTGGTGTCTATTCCCTCAGAGAGATAAAAATCGACGATATTCGCTGTGAAGGCTTCGCAGACATCAAGTTCTGGCCCTTGCTCTGGTGTGTCTGGAAAACTTAGAGGAGCGACCTTTCGAGGGGCCCGTAAAGGACTATCAAAAAGCCGCTCGATCAGTTCCTTGTGCATTTTACGAGCCAGCTCAAGAGCCGATGTCCCGTTGTCGATTTTCTCCTCGGGGTTGGCGCCATTGAGCAGCATCTCCTTAACGACATCTGTGTTGTCATAGTGTACTGCCCAGTGAAGTGGAGTCCATTTGTTCGTCTCCACATCTGGATCTGGCGGATCTGACATCCTCTGCAGTAGATCCTGAGCGATTGTGTTGTATCCCCTCCTCGCAGCAGTTGTGAGTGCTTTTAGTCCATCTTCCTTTGAGAGCATATTTCCTTTATCACCCACCAGCCTCTCCGCCAGCATTTTCACAAGCTCTTCTTGCTTTCCAAATACAGCCCAGTACAATGGCGTCGTGTCCTGCGGGCTACGTTTCTTCAAAAGAGTGGAATCAACATCTAGGATCTTGTTCAATAGATCCTGATTCCCATTTCGAGCTGCCCATTGCATCGTGCATTGTGCTGAACGCGTCGAACTCTTCCAGCAACTGCTGTTCATCAACAGCATTTCTCCAATCAACTCGATCCGCTCCTCTGGCATGACGACTTGGCTCCTTTCTTCCCCAGGTCCAGGAGCAGATGTCAAATCTGCCTCCCGGTCTACTAGAAGTTGCACCACGTCTTTTGCACAGCTACTTCCGGCTGCAGCAAGCGCGCAGTCCTTGTCGTCGTCCTGAGCAGCGATCGAATCTTGATCCATTTTATCCAAGAGTAGTTTTACCACCTCAAAACAACCGCCCGCACAAGCATGGTGTAGGGACGTCTTTCCTTTCTTATCCTCGGCAGTAATCATCTCTGCGCTTGTTTTCTTTAATAACGATTCCATTGCATCTTTTCTTCCTTTAGCGGCAGCCCAGTGTAAGACAGTCCAATCGTCGTCGTCCCTGGCATTGCTGTCAACCTTGTGTTTCAGCAGTTGTGCAATGGCGTCCGTCCGATTATTAAAAGCAGCAAGGTGCAATGGCGTTCCCCCATCTCGTTGTCTTGCCTCATGGTCTGCACCCTTTTGAATAAGAATACCGATCAATTCTGCATGACCTTCAATGCTGGCCCAGTGCAAAGGCGTGCATTTATCATCATCCTTTGAATCGAAATTCGCGCCTTCATTCAAGAGGTGCTGAACGACATCTTTTTTTCCCATCCTCGCCGCCCAATGTAATGCCGTTAGTCCATCCTCTGATCTCGACTCAATGGCGACATGCTTCGTCTTCAACAGCAGCTCGACAACCTTTGTAGAGCCTTCTTTGGCAGCCCAGTGAAACGGTGTCATGCGTGTTGCGTCTTCCGCATTGATATCGGCACCATGATCGAGAAGAAGTCGTGTAACCTCTTCTTTCCCAGCTTTAGAGGCGAAATGTAGAGGCGTCAAACGTCCATGTTCCTTGGAGACATCAAAGCCCCTCTCATTTATTAAAAACTCTGCAACCTTCCGCTGTCCTCCGGCTGCTGCCCAGTGCAAGAGAATCATGTCCTTAGAATCTTCAGGAACAAGTTTGTTTATCAACTCCTGTACTAGCGACAATTCACCGCTATAGGTTGCATACGCTAGACCTATCCTTGCGGCTGTATTTGGGGATTTGAGCGAGTCGTCCTGGTGAGGTAAGTGTCTGACAACGTCGATCTCTTCGCATTCGAAAGCCTGGTATAATGCTGTTTTTTGTTCCTTGTTCAAGGCGCTCACATCGACTCCGCACTCGAGTAAAAGCTTGACGATGTCTCCCTTGCCACTTTGAGCGGCTACATGTAGAGCCGTCTCACCCTTACCATTTCTTTCATTCACACGCCGAGCCGTCTCTTCCCGAGTGATTCTGATTGTCGTACTCTCGCCCTTACCAAGTAGAAGTTTGACAATTTGTAAGTGGTTTTCTGACACTGCTCGATGGAGAGCTGTGTCTCCCTCCGTGGTTTGGATTCCGACATCTGCACCCGCCTTCAGCAGCAACTCTGTGATCTTTTCCTTTCCACTTGCAGCAGCTTGGTATAGGGCCGTCTCCCCATCGTCGTCTTGCGCATGGATATTTAGATTGTGCCGGGCGAGCAGAATGCGTGTAACTTCTTCACTCCCGCACAGTGCGGCTATGTGGAGAGCAGTGCAACCAAACGCGTTCTTCGTCCCGATGTCTGCCTCCTTTTTAAGACAGCGAACTAATCCCACAACGTCACCGTCTTTTGCAGCTTCCAACAGCTTCGCGTCAACATCTTCCTTATCTCCTTCGATATCAGGTCCACCGTCTTGCTGAGGCTCCGAAGGGGCAGTAGAATCTGCCATGATGACCGATGCCTGATGCGTAAGGCTGAGGCTTGAGCGCGGGATGTCAATAAGTGCCAGAGTGTGATTGAAGAACCGTAGACCGGCTGACAATTTTGCGCAATTCGACGAATGCAATTCTGATGTCTTGTTGCACAGCGAGAATGGCAACACAGAGAATATTCATTCCAAAGACAATCTCGGAAGAAGGACAGCGGCTGCAATTCCAAGCTTGCGCACATCGCTCACCTGTCCAGAGCGCCATGGGAGAAGGACATCACATCCACATGCGGCTGCAGCTTTGAATCTCCAATCGCAGGGTAATGAGCACCATCTTGCTGCACCCATCCTTGAGAGAGATGCCCAGGTCCAGTTTCGAAGGCGTCGTTGATTGGCTAGGATACGGCTCCTTACTGAGCAGTGCTGCAAGCTCTAGCATTTCTGTCTCCTTGCAGCGTTTGGTGCGATTTTGGGGAGGGATCTGGACTGGGGGACAACCTATCGGAGTTTGGGGGTTGCGCCTCTATTGAAACCACGGGGTTGCACCGCCTTATCGAATCCAACCACGTCGTAGTGGCTTCAAGCACCCAATGTACATTTGTGGCGACTTCATCAGCACCAGCATGGTGACCAAAGGACAAACCTCTTGGTTGGCCATTTGCCTCAGCTTAGCCTAAAATCTGCTAGTGCCTACTTAAGCCGCTTTTCTGAGGGTTGTGTACATGGCCGGGTTCGTACTCGACTCGTACTCCCAGATGTCAAGCGCTGGGATCAGGTTCAGAGACGAAAGGATCGAAAGTTACCAGGCAATAGACGGGCAATAACTGTAGTCGAGGCTAGTGAGGCCTAAAGAGGACCCTTGAGCACGAGCTGGTTTCTGCAAATGGACATTAGGAAGCTCTGCTAGTGGTTTCGTTTGCCGAACAAAAATTCCAATGGACGGAGCAATGTTCGGGCATATATATATGTACCTAATATATATCTAGTTATCCACCGGGAGTCCTTGTGCAATACATACGTCCAGTAATTACAATATCCCACAACAACCCACCACTCTCGACTTACCCACTTACCGACCTGCCTCGCTACCTATCTAGTGACTGGCCGAGGGAATAAAACAGACCTGTGGTATGGTATGTTATCTCTTGGTGCCCGGGCTCTACATAGCTTGTCAGAAGAACGTTGGGAGATGGAACGCAAATCCATCAACCTGGAGCACCACACCACTTCTTTCGGGGCTATCACTTCAGTGAACCGAAAAGCGTAGCTCGTAGAATAAGGAGACTGACTGACTGACTGACTGGCTGGCTGGTTGATGGAAAGTGAAGGAAGAAAAGGCAGGTTGTGTGTGTTGGTCCAATATCGATGGAGAGTATAAGACAAATGTCGTGTCATGGCATGCCATGGTTCCCTTCTTGTCTCCCAGACTGTCGTTGGGGGACAACGATATGCACGTTCCACATTCTTTCCATGAGGTATGTATATATGTTCTCAATACCCCCCTGCTGAGTCTATGCACGACTGGTAGATTGTGAAACCCCATCCATTCTCCTCAACGCCCAGCTTCTTCCTCAACATTGCGACTGACTCTTGATTGGCAGCCGTAGCAAAAAAATCAGATCATGGCCTATCCATTGCACTCCTCCACGCCCTTTCGAACGTGCCTCTTAATTTGCCCGCCTCGTTGGAACTCCCTATCCGCTGCTCCAGAAACTTTTGCAAATCATCCCAAAACTCCTGTGACTCCAGGACACTCGACGTTGCCGACTGTACACCTTCCATAGGCGTCCCCTCTGCACCACCTGTTTTCTTGCTCTCGGTCGGCTTACCGCCCGTCCCCGCTACCGTCGTCGTCAAGGTTGCATTCGACGTGGTCGTCTCGTTGTTCAGAGACACTGTGATGTGCGTCTGGGGCGGGTCGGGAGCGCCGCCCATGACCATGACCCCGAACTCCACGTCCGATCCTGTCCCCAACCCGGCCAGGGCCTCGGCCACGGTCCGTTTGCTGGGCGGTATGGGCTTCTTGTTCAACAGCAATTTGATCTTGTCGAGATGGACCACGCCCGGCCCGCCCAGGGACGTCTGGATTTGCTCTTTAAGATCTTGAATCGTCGCCGTCGCGGGCGGTACGGAGTGGATCACCAGAGTCACGTTGGGGTTGCGTGGCGATTTCAATGTCAGGGTGAGGGTCGGCGTGGAGGGCTGCGAGCCTGGCGCCGCGGCGGTGACAGGGACTGACTTGGGCGGCGGTGGGTGCGGTGGTGTCGAGAGCTTCGGCAATGTATACTACTCACCACGAACGAAGCCTCGTCAGTAGATGCAGAGAACCATTGGGCACCCCGTAGGCGATTCGGGTCTTCTGCAGAGAGTTGGTGCAAGACTTACCGGCAACCGCATCTGAAACGTTTGTGGATCAAAGACATGGTCGGGCTGGTACTTGTTGGGTTTGTTGTCCAAGGACGTGAGAAACTGCTTCGCGAACTGGAGGTCGCTCATGTTGCCTGCGCGGGCCTGTCGCTCTTCCTCCAGACGGCGAAGGGCGTGTTGGAGGGCGAATGCGGCCAGGTTCGGGTTGTCGTCCGATCGGGAGCGAGGATAGGTTCAGCCCTCGGGTGAGAAGAAGTTGAGGAGCGAGTTGAGTTGTCGACAGAGATGGTGGTGGTGGTGGTGGTGGTGGTCGTCGTCGTCAATAATACAAGACGAGTTGGAGAAAGAAAGAGTTGGACTGACATCACCCCGCGATATGTAGTAAGAGCATCCACGTGCATAAAATGATCCCCTTCCAGCGCCATTCATTCGTACCAACGTGTCAGAGGATTGAATAATACTGAATTAATTTCTATACGGGAGAACACTTCAAGTACTAGCTAGCTCAAATGGTATCATCGGTAGAAATCATAAATCCCTTCATGTCATGAATACAAGATTACCCAACCCGGTCTCCAGACTCCCAAACTCTAGAAGACAGGAACAATGTTTTCATTATTACCGTCCGTTCCTTCCACGTACCAAGCATGGTGCACCGTCTTCAAGCTGCCGAGCCTTTTTAAGCTGGTCGACCGGCTGACACTACCCATTCTCTGGACGCCCTGTCTCAAGCTCTTGAATCGTGTGATTGGCGGTTTGTTGTCTGTACCATTCACCGACAAGTGCTGGTTCCTCTCGACCTCCGCCGACTTGGACCGCGGGACGACATCGATGTGGTCGGGGACGCCGGTCTGAAACTCGCTGTCCGAAGGCGTCACGCTGATTTGAGGCTTGACCACTTCTTTCATACTGTCCTGGCTGGAGATCGACGCCCGATCACGCAGGTCCACCATTTCGAAGGCGTCTTGCTCGTCTTTGCCGCCTACGAACGAGAATGGGGTTTGGGGACGATCGGTCGGGTCGCTACCTGCCGACAGTTTGGTGTAGTGGGCATCTCGCTCGTTGCCAGGTCCTTGCATGGCGGTGCTGATCATGTTAATCAGAGTTCCAGCACTTTGCTCGCCACTCTGGCGTGCGAGTTGCTGGCTGGGAAGAGGCGCGGCTGCCGATGCGACCGTCTTGTCCTTTTTGCTGAGGCGGCGCGAGAGGGAGCGAGCGAGCGAGGAGTTGCGGAACAATCTGAACTCTTGCTTGTTGGCTTTGCCCACGAGGGGCGAGTCGTCCCCGTAGGTCGTGAACGGGGAGTTGACCGCTCGGTATGTTGAGGCCGACGGAGGGATCACGTCAATCTTGGGATAGGCCGGGTTGTTTCCAGGCATATTGGGCTGGATTGAGAGACCGGGTCTCATGGCGGGGTGGTTCGCCATCGGCACTGGAGCGGTCACAGGACCCGATCCATTGGGACGAAGCTGGTCGAATGGATTGGGCACCGGGGTCGGCCGTTTGTACCTCCCGCATTTCGTGCAGCACCGTGTCCCAGTGGACGACGCCGGCGAACTGGAAGGCCCTGCAGTGCTCTCCGACAGTCTGGACGAAACGCGAGACGCCTGCCCGTCGGACGTGGTCCGAGCATGCGCAGCCGCGGGGGGCATGGGCACAGCAATAGCAGCGGTAGCGGTCGATTCTGCCGTGTTGGACTTGCGTTTTCCGCATTGGGTGCAACCATGCCCGTGGCCGTCGTTTTGACCATGTTTCTTGCCGCATTTGCCACACTTGTGCACGTTAGACAAGGCGTCTGTTACCTCCGGAGGAGTGATGGGATCGGACGCTTGACGCCTGTACACCGGCGGAAGCGCGCCATCGTGCATGTCCTTCGCGACCTTGACAACCTTGGGCTTCTCCTTCTCGGGAGCAGCATTGGATGCGGGGTATGGCTTGCCGTCGAGGCGTCGCAGGTCGACGGACTTGCGTTGATCGCCATTGGGTCTCTGTGGCATGGGCGCTTGCAGAGGTGCTTGCGAGGAGCGCTCGATGGGACTGGATTCTTCAGCGATCGGCGAAACTGGAGAGAAAGGCGCCGTGGGCGGCGTGGTGGGTGAGGCCGGCCCAGGTCTGAAGTTGGGGGAGAAAGGGTTCGTGTCGGGCAGAGGCTCGTGGTAGGAGCTGGGTAACACGGCTGTGGTAATGGGCACGGGCGCCTGCGTGCCTTGTGGCAGACTTTCGTAGGGCACCGCAGTCTGAAGAGAGCCTTGGGGAATCACTTTGCCTGGGTAGGCGGGTGGAGGTGACTTTGTCAGTTTAGTCATGGTGGTGTATGGCGTTTACAGTGTCACCTAGACGACACAGAAAATATAGCGATCGGAGGTGTAGAATTTGGGTCCCAAGTCAACGACAAAGAGAGAGAGAGTGGGAGAGGAACGAGAGAGTGTCGGTGTGTGTGAGTGACGTTGAGAAACAGGTTACGAGCGAACGCACTGGAGAAGATCGACAACGTCAATACTCCCCAAAAAGGGACAGTCAAGAAAGAACGGAAATGCAGATGCAGAGGCAGGGCTGCTGCAGAGCGAGGGTGAAAAAGCAAGAGTGAAAGTCTGTGAACGAGAATGGAGATGAAGCCGGATAAAGAGTGGACGACGGGCAGATATGAGAGCTAGATGGAGGGAGACGGTCACAAGAATGGACACCGACGGCTGATGGTTGGCTGCAGCCCGGTGCCTTGGTATTGCCTTTGTTTGCGAGCCGAGCTACACTGCGAAAGAACTAAATCACCCCTCCAGGCTATGCGGGAGCAAGGTTTTTGGGCGAGAATCAAGATAGTGGACGGTAGCAGTCCGGCACTGGCTACCAGGCACAGCTTTTGAGCTAAAAAAGAAAGTCCGGCAGGAGCCAGTACGCCCAAGGGCATCTGGAAGGCTTCTAACACACCTAACGCACCTAAGGCCATCATGGCTTTCAGGCTGCTGGGGTGCTAAAACCGGCCCAATTGTGGCGGAAGTGCACGAAAGCCCCCCGTTTCCCCCCATCCCCCCCATGAGCCAACGATTCGACCACGCCAATGAATTCTCCATCGAAGCAAACGTTTCGAACTTTTGATCCAACCTGAGGCAACGGGTAGCAGGGGGAGGGGATGGAAAGGTTGAATTTAGTTGATGACACTGTTAGAGCTGAACAAGAATCGGATGTTCATCTTGTGTACCTCGTACTGTGTGTTGTGTGACGTGAAGGTGAAGCTGCAACTACCTCGATTTAGCGTGTCGTCCACACCAATTCTCAGGTACCCTGGCTCTCAGATCCAAGTTTCCTCTCGTATCCAAGTTGGAAAAGGGAACGGGAATAAGCCACCTGGGGCCAGCCCTGGTCGGTGCCTGGGGCCCAGGGAACGGTGCTGTCCAGTACCCAGAGGCTGCGCCACCCATGCCCACCCCAAAAAAGGGGGAAGAGCTCGTCTGGAAACCTCCATGCAGTCTAGCGCCGCGGTGTGGCTTGTCCGTTGCTATCTTAGGCACCGTCCACACAAATCAAGTCTTGGTGAGAGGCGAACAGGGATAGGTTTTCAAGGCTTGTCTAGTTGTCCGCCACGAGATTGGAGTGACACTCGGTCGACATGCCACCAGTACCGAGTACTGTAGCTTTGTTGGTTCTCATGAATCAACAGCACCCACGTGCGCAGTGTTGTTGCCATACCTCGTAGACTTGATGAGCCGATCGACATGGGACGAGCGGACGGAGACGATAGCCACCTTGAGTTTGACTTGACAGAGGAGAGGGACCCTGTCGCTACTAGGGGGCCCTATGCTTTGATAGGCTGTAAGTGAACCCTGTTTAAATCTCAGCAGTGCGAAATATCAGCACTGTAGCGGGAAGGAAGGACACAAGAAGATCCGCTCCGCTCCCACGCTCATTCGCTCGACCACGACGTCGCTCCCGGATCGACGGGGCCGTATGGCGAGATCAGTGGCACAAAGCCGCAGAAAACAGGATTTGGTCAAAGTACTGCCTCTCACAACTACGAAGGATGGACAGGCCGCAATCCTCTACTCCCCTCCCGTCAGCTTGGTTGCAAGATAGGTGTCGGTCGGAGAATATAAAAATAACAACACCATGGCGACGTCGTCCCATTTGCCCGTCGGTACCATCACGATTATTTGGGGTTTGACAGGCAGACTGAACGTAGGAACGCTCCTGTGACCCAGAGGCATAGCTCAGGTCCCAGCCTGTACAACATTCCCGCAGTGCTGGATCTTTCGTTTTAGGTGTCCGAGAGGTTTGCCACCTGGAGCACAGGATACAACGATACAGAAACCGGCTTTCAAGGTCGTATCGATCAAGTCGTACCTGCGCAGAAGGTCCAACGGGAAGGTCGCGGGGGTGTAACCTCTGGGTGCTCGTGTGCTTCGACCTCGCCACTGAGCCTGTCCGTCCCGCTTACCTGTGAAATTTACCGATGCCTCGGATATGAGAGCCATGACCTGCAGAGGGCCTATCATGGGATCTTCCGCCAGACTGGTGCATGCAAGGACCCGAGACCACTGGTGGCTGACCTGTTGGGATATGCGTCACGACTCAGACTGGAGGTCAAATGACAAGCCTATGTGTGGGAGTGCCCTGTCGGATCAACGTTTGAAAACGACCGTCAAGAAGGTCGTGGAATCATGGCTATACGAACGGCATATCCACCCCAGATCAAGGCTCGTCTCATGCAGGCACTGACCAGATGGACTCACAGAACTCGTACCACTCTCCGAGTCACCGTTGCTCCAGGGAGGACTCTTGCACACTCGTGCAGGTAGAGCGATCAACCCATTGTTGGTCTACCCTAGACGAGGAATCCACCCACGTAGGATGAGAGCAGCCAGGCCGGTGGAAGCATCCAGCCCCGCGCGGGCGGACGTGCTTTGTATAGCAACGGAATGTGAGATCATTCGCAGATTGTTGTTCCCAGACATTGTCGGCCGTCAAGGCAGGCAGGCAGGGCAGCAATTTTCGAGATCCGCACGCGGATCACAGGAGAGTAAATATGCCCTCACGGCATGCTGTGCTGACAGGCGGGGACAGGGGAGCCGGTTTTCCCTGCCTGTACAACACCTGTCACTGTCTATTGTCGGCCTGGAATGAACCCTTTGTTAAGCAGCATCGCTTCTTGGATCCGGGACTTTGATGAACGTACGTGGTTCAGCCGGCGCCAGGCATGGGCGAAGATTGGATCGCACAATGCACCCCCTCGAGGTTTTGAGGGATTAATGCATTGCTCTGGGATTCTCTCCAGCAGTTCGTCGGGTGAATCCCTGATAATCCTATGTGCTGGTAAAAGTTGCTTCCCAAAATAGAAAGAATGACGCTGGAATGGTTCTCTTGCAGCATCAAAGGCCTGCATGATCGGACTTGGATGTCCAAGTCAGAACCAGTCAAGCACGCGAGCAGAGGCGTCGTCAACCTGCAGCAAAGTGAATCATCAAACGCCTCGCACAAATGGCGGGGTGGCGGGCGTTACCAGTATCCCCGATGGAGAGGGAGGTCCGTTAGCGGGCCACCACAACGATGGACGGTTTTATATGGATAAGCACGCTATGGGAAGGCTGGCCCAGAGAAGACCACGCTTGCGTCAATCATCGCGCCTCCTCTGGAACCGAACTCGACATTCTTACGCGGGCTCCCTGGCGTTATCTATTGTTTGCAAAATCAGGAGAATAATAATCGATAAAGTAAAAAGGGGGAGTGCCACCAAAGCGTAGTGCATTGTTGAAAGCTCCATCCGACCGATTAGAAACAGGATAGTGTGATATCCCCCCTTTCGCTATTGTCGGATAAGGCGCTGGACGGCTCGGAAAGTTGGCGAGACTCGTGGGTGAACGAGCCCACCGCCCACAGGGCTCTCTGGTCACCTCGCTTCAAGGCTGAAGAAAGAACGGAAACATAGCGTGGTGACTGATTGTGTGAAGTCGTGGATCCCCATATAATTAGACAAGATCTCCACGCCAAACCCGGTGTGTACAGTCTCCTGAGGCCCATCGACGCCTATCGTAGCGGTATCGCCACTAGCTTCTGTTTCCGGCAACGGCATGCCGAAAGAGCGGGCAATTCGATCCTCCCTGAATTGGGCGTGGCATGAAGAATAGGAGAAAGAAGGGGCTTGACCCACCCTCAAAGTTCGGTTGGAGGCACAAAGAGATTGTTGCTGCCACAGAGTACGCATTATTATGCAGGGCACATGTGATTTTCTCTCGCATCGTGTATAGTAATACAAATACAAGTACCGGATACCATCGATCTATTACGACGTGGATCAGCCCCTATCTTAAACATGGTTATCTCTGTACGTACGAGTCTGCATACATACGCGGGAGTACTTTGCACTTGCAGATCCGATTCCCCAACGCCACATGCGTGTTTTCCGACGATTTTTGGTTGTGGTGGTCGATTGAACCAGGGAATGAAATCCATCCGCGTTGATAATCCACCCCATGGCACGATGAGCCGTGGGTTGTCGTTGACAGCCGGATGGAAGCCGAGATAGAAATTCTGTGGCCAGACAGTTGGTGTCACTTTGTTGCGGGACGAGGGGAACAGTGGAGAAGGGATCCTGATGCCAAGGCTCCACCAAGATCCACAAGGCTTGGGAGCAGAAGCTTGGCGTCAGAAAAGGGATAGCGTCAGGGCCTGACGCCAAATATAGAGTCGGCGCACAATGCTCGCTAGACCATGCAAGGTGTGGCGTCACGCCAAACGGAAGTTAGCTGGCACAAACCTGAAGCATGTTTGATACGTCCTCGCCCATCCCCTGTCCCTCAGCACCCCCTCAGCACCCATGGCCGGGATCCCCTTCCCCTATCATCCCCATCCGAGCAAACATCATCCACCGCTCATTTGTCCCAAACTCCGCCATCCACAGCCCATGGCGCCGGTAAAATTGCCTGGGACACTCTGTGTGTGAGTTGGGGGGATCCGCATCGCTTCAGACACAAATCATTATTGCCGCCGCGGGAACGCCGCAGGACAACAACAGGTTTGTCAGCCTTTTAGGCCCCAGGGCCAAAGTACGATACAATGAATGGACGGGACACAGGCTGTTTTGCTGGTGGACGACGCACTGACTCGCTCGTGGTAGGATGCGGGTTTTGCGCGCGGATGTCCTGTTGTCATGCCACTTTCGACTGTGCCTTGGAATCTCCGAGCACAGCGACGAGCGACAGAGTCCACCGCAGTTCTTACGAGGACTTGCCAGTACCAAAGTTCATTGTTTGAAGAATGTCAATGAGATAACCAAAGCGGGCTCTGAACGTCATGCAGTCATCATTTGGGAACAGGCAGCGGATCCCAGCTCTGGAGGTAATTGTTGCCCTCCAATCTCTCTGCCGCCACTGGTAACTCTGTTCAGCCTCAGCCCGTTGGACAGGGGGAGCCGCGATACGAGCACCAACGAGCACCAAGAAACACCAAGAACGAAACAACAGTGTCTTTACATCTCGTATAGGGCCGTTGAAAGGGCCAGCCATTAATACGGCCAAGTCCACTAGTGGCAGCCCTTCCCCCTTGCCACGGACGATGTGGTTGTGATACCTCGATACACCCGTTGATTCTCGACCCGACCAGCACAACGTCACAGTAACGTTCACAGGACCCAAGGTGTGCTTCCTACGAAGGACAGCATCGTCTCTGCGGTGCTGCTGGACTCGTTGCCCAGGGCAAGGGCTCGAGATTGATAGGTTTCGCCGAGCCTAGCAGTCCGAGAAAGCAGCACGACGACGGTAGGGCGAGCCAATGCGACCTCGAGATATTTTAGAGGGGAGGTCCGAATAGGGCTAGCGTCCGTGCTTCATTGCCCGTAGTCAAGGACCGGAACAGCGGTTTGGGCCAATCACACAGCTGTATTTGGAACCAAGCCAAATCCTCCGTAAAATGTAATGGCATGAAAATCTTGGTCCCCAGCCCCCCTTTTGCCCAATGCAGCCGTCCAACAACAACACTGATCAGCCCCTAAGTTGTCGAGCAAATTATTACTTTTTCCCACTAGGTAAAGCTCTAGCAGACCGTACAACTGTGCGGCTGAGCATTGGCGAAAGGATGTCGGGATGCACAAGTGATGACTGCGTTGGTCAGGCCGCTCTTCCTGGGCATCCCGAGGTATACCAATGGTTGCTAGTAGGAGGCCTTGGGGGGACGGCGTCAAAGGAGAGATGGTATCAGGGTGAAAGATTACAGCCCCCCCGGTTCAGCCCAGGACATGTCTCATCTGGGTCCAGGCCGTGTTGATTGCCATATTCGGGCGCCGAAGAAAAAAACAAGCACAATTTGACTAGTAGACGTACACTAGAGTCTAGCAGGGCCGTCAATACAGCAGTGGAGCCCGCCCGTGCCAATTCCGAATCGCCAATACATGACCGCAACGACTCGAACAGAACAGCCTCTCCAGATTTGGATTGCCTCGCCATGCTCGTGAATTTCCTGCGCGCAGATCGCGCTGCATGCTTTGGCTCCCCTAGTATGACCCTCACTCGACCCACCAGGGGGGCGCTGTTGTCAAATTCACTTTCACCACTCCCTTACTCATGCCTCGCATTGGCCGTTCGGTCTATTTTCACTCGCTCCCCAACTCCTTTATATGATAGCTGATCCTCCCCCATCTTTCCCAGTTACTCTACCTCTAAGCAACGCTCGTTGAAGCTCGTCGACATCCTTTACACGCCCACCATGGAGGAGGTCTACGTCTTCGGCGACCAAACAGCCGACTGCCGGGCGTTCTTCACCAAGGTCTTCTCCCGGAAAGACGATGTGATCCTACAGAGCTTTCTGGAGAGGGCCGGTGAAGCCGTTCGAGTAGAGAACCGAGCCCGATCCCATCCTTCAAAAGCAGTTCCTAATTTCTCTACCGTTCAAGAATTAGTCGATCGTTACTACAGAGGCGAGGCTAAGGACGCCGCCATTGAGAGCGCCCTCGTGTGTATTTCACAGTTCACTCATTTCTTCGGGTAAGGACCCCTGACACCGTGCTCGTGGACGCTAAGACCAGGCTAACCGCGAGACTCACAACAGTGCTTTCGAGGAGAGAACACCTTCATATATCCCTCATAATGTCGACGCGCGGTTGGTCGGTCTATGCACCGGCTTAATTGCTGCTGCCGCGGTCGCCTCTTCCGATTCTCTCACGGCTCTCCTTCCCCTCGCAGTTGAAGCTGTGCGCATTGCATTCCGAGCTGGTGCTCAGGTGGGCAAGGTGGCAGACCAGATTGAATGTGATTCCAAGCCCCAGTCGTGGTCGACCATTGTGGCTGCGGATGAGAAGTCAGCACAAGCTGCTCTGGACGCGTTTCACAAAGAGAAGGGCACATCCCCGACAAACAAGCTCTGGATCAGTGCCTCATCCGCAACCTCAGTCACGATCAGCGGCCCACCGTCAACAAAGGCCTCGTTGTTTGAAGACTCGGAATTCTTCCGTACCCATAAAAACGCGCCTGTGTCCATTTACGCCCCATACCACGCGTCTCACCTGCACTCACAAGCCGACATCGAGAAGATTCTGCGGCCACAGACTAAGACCATCTTCAGCAACGCGGCGGTCCGATATCCTGTGTGCTCCAGTGTCACTGGCAAGCCCATTCCCGCACAAAACGGCTACGAGCTCCTCCAGGGTGCCCTGAAGGAAATCGTTATTGACCCGCTCAGATGGGACAAAGTCTTGAAATACTGTGCCTCTGGCAAGGCCGAAGAAGCCAAGGTCTTCGCCGTTGGTCCTACCAACCTTGCCAGCAGTGTTGTTTCCGCGCTCAAGGCGAATACGCCAAAAGTTACGCTCGAAGATCAGTCACACTGGTCCACAGTAGCCCCAGCTGGAACGAAGCACTCAAAGAAGGAGGCCGACATTGCCATTGTCGGATATGCTGGACGATTCCCTGATGCAGCTGATGCGGAGCTCTTCTGGCAACTTCTTGAGAAGGGTCTCGATGTGCACAGACCAGTTCCTCCTGACAGGTTCCCTGTTGACTCTCACACGGACCCTACCTCCAAGAAGAAGAATACTTCCCACACGCCGTTCGGAAACTTCATCGAGAAGCCCGGTCTATTTGATGCCAGATTTTTCAACATGTCACCCCGAGAAGCCGCTCAAACTGATCCTATGCAGAGGTTGATGCTGGCAACCGGTTACGAGGCTATGGAAATGGCTGGTATTGTCCCTGGACGCACTCCGTCAACCAAGCACGACAGAATTGGTACTTTCTACGGCCAGACCTCCGACGACTGGCGTGAGGTCAACGCCGCTCAGGACATTGACACGTACTTCATCTCCGGTGGTGTGCGTGCTTTCGGTCCTGGCCGTATCAACTATTTCTTCAAATTCTCCGGACCCAGTTTTTCCGTCGATACGGCCTGCTCTTCCAGCTTCGCTGCGATGAACGTCGCCATCACCTCGCTGCGGGCGAATGAGTGCGACACCGCGTTCACTGGCGGAGCCAACGTGCTTACCAACTCCGACATTTTCTCTGGTCTCAGCAGAGGCCACTTCTTGTCGCGGACCGGATCATGCAAGACATGGGATAACGACGCTGATGGCTACTGCCGAGGTGACGGTGTGTGCACAGTCATCTTGAAGAGAATGGAGGACGCGGTCGCTGATCGCGACCCTATTCTGGGCGTCATCCGGGGAATCGGCACCAACCACTCTGCCGAGGCCGTCTCAATCACCCATCCTTGCGCAGAGAACCAGGCCTTCCTGTTCGACAAGGTGCTCAAGGAGTGCAATGTGCCTTGCAACGATGTCAACTATGTCGAAATGCACGGTACAGGCACCCAAGCAGGTGACGGTATTGAAATGGAGTCTGTATCCTCCGTCTTCGCACCCAGGCAGAACCGTAGGAGACCGGATCAGCCTCTCTACGTTGGTGCGGTGAAATCCAACATCGGTCACGGTGAAGCTGTCTCCGGCGTGTCTGCCCTCATCAAGGTCATCTTGATGCTGCAGAAGAGCAAGATTCCTCCTCATACCGGTATCAAGAAGCAAATGAACAAGAACTTTGCACCGGACTTGAAGGAGCGCAATGTCAACATTGCTTTCCAGACGACTCCTTTCAATCGCCCCGCTGGAGGAAAGCGAACCGTGTTCATCAACAACTTTAGTGCAGCTGGTGGTAACACGGCGATGCTGCTTCAGGACGGTCCTGAGGTTCCTGCTGAGCCAACAGCGGATCCTCGTTCGACTCAGGTGGTAACAGTTTCGGCCAAGTCGCTGGCTGCGTTCAAGAAGACTGTCGCCAAATACGAGGAGTATCTGGCCAAGAACCCCAACGTTGGCCTTACCGATCTCGCCTACACCGTCACGGCGCGTCGCGCTCACTACAACTACCGTGCGGCTTTCCCTGTCCAGTCCATCGCCCAGCTGCAGGCGGCACTGAAAGCTACCCAAGATCAAACCCACAACCCCATTCCTCTTGCTGCACCTCAGATCGCCATGGCCTTCACTGGTCAAGGTTCCCAGTACACCGGCATGGGCCAGAAGTTGTTTGAGACCTCTAAGCAATTCCGTGGAGACATCGAAGAGTTCAACCAGATTGCTCTCCGCCAAGGTCTGCCATCCATCATGCCTCTCATTGACGGATCGACTGAGGTTCAGCATCTCCCACCCACCGTGGTTCAGCTCGGAATGTGCTGCATCCAAATGGCCCTGACTCGTCTCTGGGCGACCTGGGGCGTCACTCCTAGCGTTGTGATCGGTCACTCCTTGGGCGAATACGCCGCTCTCCAAGCCGCTGGCGTTCTCTCCGTCGCTGACACCATCTATTTGGTCGGAAAGCGAGCTCAACTCTTGGAGCAGAAATGTACCGCCGGCACCCACGCCATGTTGGCTGTCCGGTCCCCAGTCGGAGGTCTGCAGGATGTCGTCGCCAACAGCCAAGGCAAGATTGAGATTGCTTGCATTAACGGTGTCTCCGATACTGTGCTGTCTGGCACCATGGGCGACATTGATGCTGTTGCGCAAAAATTGGCGGATGCGGGCCAGAAATGCACCAAGCTTAAGTTGCCATTTGCATTCCACTCGTCTCAAGTCGACCCCATTCTAGCGGATTTTGAGAAGCTGGCATCGTCGGTCAAATACCATGCTCCCCGCGTGCCTGTCATCTCCCCTCTTCTCAGCGACATCGTCAACGTTGGCGGTGTCTTCGATGCCTTCTACCTCAGCAGACACTGCCGCAAGACTGTGGACTTTGTGGGTGGTCTGTCTGCCGGCATGTCGACGGCCACGATCAGCGACACTTCCCTCTGGCTCGAGGTCGGTGGTCACCCTCTGTGTGCCAGCATGATAAAATCCTGTTTGTCCGCACCGACTTTGCCTACCATGCGCCGTGACGAGGATCCCTGGAAGATCATCTCCACGTCCATGGCCGGCCTATACACGGCTGGAAAGGCTCTCAACTGGGATGCCTTCCACAAGGAGAACGAATCTCTCCGCGTCCTGAACGACATGCCATCCTACGGGTTTGACGAAAAGAATTATTGGCTCCAGTACACTGGGGATTGGCTGTTGTACAAGGGAGATTACCCCAAGAGCATTGCTCCTGCTGTTGCGGCTCCTGTGGCCGCGGGACCTGCGAAGGCCAGGAAGTATCTCTCCACCGCCGTGCAGGGGATCGTCTCCGAGGAAGTCAAGGGCAAGGTAGCCACCATTATTGCCGAGTCCGACTTCTCGCACCCCAAGTTGTTCCCCGTCGTGGCGGGCCATTTGGTTAATGGCAGTGGCCTTTGCCCTTCCACACTGTATGCCGATATGGCTTACACTTTGTGCAACTACGGTGTCAACCTGATCAAACCGGGCGAGAAGGTCGACATCAACATTGGTACCATGGACAACCCCGCTCCATTGCTGCTCAAGAATATCAACGAACCCGAGAGTCAGATCGTCCGCATGAGCATGAAGATTGATCTTGATGCCCGCAAGGCTGACTTCACTGTCACCACCAACAACGGCAAGAAGGACGTTGTTCACGCCAAGTGTGTCCTCCGCTTCGAGGACTCTGCCGTCTGGAAGGATGAGTGGAACAAGGTGTCGTACCTGGTCCAGTCCAGAATCGACATGCTCAAGCACAAGATGGAGAATGGTGAGGCCGACAAGGTCAGCCGTTCCATGGCCTACAAACTCTTCGGTGCCTTGGTCGATTACTCGGATGTGTTCCAGGGAATGCAGAGCGTCATCTTCGACGGTCCCGAGTTCGAGGCGACCAGCAACATCAAATTCCGTGCGGGCCCCAATGATGGCGACTTCTACTTCAGCCCATACTTCATCGACAGCGCATGCCATCTGTCTGGCTTCACTGTCAATGCCACCGTCAACCGCATGGAAGAGTGCTACATTTCCCACGGATGGGGTAGTCTACGCTTCCTCGCACCTCTGGAACACGACAAGCAGTACTTCGCCTATGTCAAGATGCAACCTGTCGCCGGTAGCAAGATGAGGGCTGGTGATGTCTACGTCTTCAACTCTAGCAAAGAAATCGTGGGTGTGGCTGGAGCTGTCCGTTTCCAGTGCATCCCTCGCAAGTTGATGGATGTCATGATGCCCAAGCCCAAGGCTGGTGCTAAGACTGCTGCCCCAGCCGCTACGTCGGCCAAGGAGACTCGTGCTGTCAAGGCTCCCACACCTGTCGAGTCCGTAGCTCCATCTCACATCGAGTTGCCAGCTCCCAAAGTCAAGGCCAAGAAGCCCGCGAAAACGCCCAAGGTAAAGGCCCCTGCTCCCAAGTCTGCGCCTTCCTCTGGCAGCCTCGTCGCTCGTGCTTTCGACATCATCGCCAAGGAGATTGATGTTGATCAGTCTGAACTGAACGACGACATCCAATGGGCCGATATGGGTGTTGACAGTCTGATGTCCTTGACCATCTCTGGCAAATTCCGTGAAGATCTCGACCTGGAGGTGGACAACACCCTCTTCACTGATCATGCCTCGGTTGGTGCTCTTCGCAAGCACCTGAGCGGTATGTCGGTCCCCGATGCCGCCACTGGCGGTGACGCCAGCTCTGTTGAATCGACCGATTCTGGTTCAGAAAGCGACGACGAGACTGTCGAGTCTGGCATCACTACCCCTGACACGGAGGACTTCCCAACCAAAACTCCAGGTGAGGCCAAGTCCGCGGCCGTGGAGGCTGTGGCCCAGCCACCCTCTGCCGGAGGTAGCGATATGATCGAGACCATCAGGCAGGTGATTGCCCAGGAGATGGAGATGGACCTGGCTGAGATTACCGAAACTACCGATCTCAGCAACTTGGGCATGGACTCTCTGATGGCTCTCACTGTTCTCGGCAAGCTTCGAGAGGATCACGACATTGATCTCGACCCCACGATTCTGGCCGACAACCCGTCGCTCGGCCATTTACGCAAGGCTCTCGGTCTCGAGAAGCCCAAGGTCGCTCCACCGACAGCCCAGAAGCATGAGGTTAGAACCAACGTTGTCGTTGCCCCCGCCGCTCCTCCTGTCGAGGTCGTCGTCCAAATGCCCCCTGCCACATCGGTGTTGCTCCAGGGTAACCCCAAGACGGCCACCAAGAACCTCTTCTTGTTCCCCGATGGATCGGGCTCGGCCACTTCCTACGTGTCGATCCCTGCCATCGACAGCAAGAACTTGGCCGTCTATGGTCTCAACTGCCCGTTCATGAAAGACCCTACCAGCTACACTTGCGGCATCGAAGGTGTTTCCAAACTCTACCTTGAGGAGGTGATGCGCCGACAGCCCATGGGTCCCTACATCCTCGGTGGTTGGTCCGCTGGTGGTGTTGTCGCCTACGAAGTCACCAGACAGCTCAGTGATCTGCAGAAGATGCATCCTGACCGCAACTACACGGTCGAGAAGCTGATCCTGATCGATTCGCCTTGCCCCATCAGACTAGAGCCCCTTCCCGCTCGTCTGCACCATTTCTTCGATGAGATCGGGCTTCTGGGCACCGGTACTGGCAAGACGCCCAACTGGTTGCTGCCTCATTTCGAATACAGCATCAAGGCTTTGACTGCCTACCGCCCGGAATTGAAGTCGACTCACGATTTCAGGGCACCGCCTACATTGCTCATCTGGGCGACTGACGGTGTCTGTGGCAAGCCTGGTGACCCGCGACCTCCGCCACAGGCCGACGACCCAAAGAGCATGAAATGGCTCTTGGAGAACCGCACCGACTTTGGTCCCAACGGCTGGGACAAACTCTTGGGACTTGATGTCTGCAAGATGGTGACGGTGGTCGGCAACCACTTTACGATGATGAAGCCTCCAGTGGTAAGTGAACTACTTCTCTGCGATTAATTGATGTTACAGAGTGCTAACTACTTTTTACAGGCCAAGGGCGTTGGTCAATTCATCCGCGAGGCTCTTCTATCCTAGGGGGGACCTTGGGCATGTTCACCTGTCACGACATGACTAGAAATTCTCTTTTCAACAGCTTCACGCAAGACAGATACCTGATAGACAGTTGGGGGGTGGGACTTAATTGCTGGATAGACTTTGCTTTGTTTTCACACGTGGGCTTTCATGCACCCTTGTTTCAAAATGCGTACATATTCGGGGAGAAGGGGCCTTGACAACATTACAGCGCTGACAACGTTGGTTTTGCTGAGCATTTTCAGATGCGTTCGGGGGAGTCAAATCACGGACCTGCTCGTGGGGACTGTTCACTCTATGCAGATTGCGCTTGGACTTTGTCACCGGGGGGGCGTTTGATGCTGGGAATTATGGACCTGGGGGTGATGGCAATTGCGATGGGCTGATTTGCGAAGCGGTTTTTCCTAACTTTTCCTATAGTCGAGCTCACGGGCTATTGTTACACCCGTGTCCCAATGTCATTCATAGTATTTTTCTCACAATAATCAGCATGAATTTTTGAAACAATCGTCTGAGATAAATCCGGGAGCTGGTCTACGTCTGTCTTCCACAGTCTTTGCCTCCCACACCCACGCATTGTGACATCTGATATCCGAACCTCAGATCGGCTATCGACGCCGTTAGACATGCAGCCGGCACCCAGGTTCGTCCCTTTGTTCGTCGCTTTCCTTTGTCCCACGGGATGAATGAATGAAATATGTGGAGACGAACGAGGATGTTTGTGTGTTTACGTGGCATATCAATGAAGTGCTTACTTGTTATGAAATGGGTGGGGGACGGGTGCAGTGTTTGTTCGTCTCAGAGTCGATGACGTGCACCAGTCTATCTCCCTCCCTCCGTCCTAGAGCTCGTCTGCCACGGGCTGCTTGCCTGCCTGACCGCCTGGGAGCACACGGGATGGGTGGATATTCTGGCCCAACGGCCCACGACCCACCCGGATCGCGAGGTTATCCTGGGGTGGAAATTGGGATCGGATCGCATCAATGCATGGATGCATGGTCAGTACGGATGGGAGGGGATGGATGGTTGGTTTCTACGAAACATGCACCGAATGTGGTATGTATGTGTGTGAAAAACTAAAAATAGGACCCGGTATTCTGTATTATGTACAGAGAACAGGGAGCAGGGAACCTAGGTAGGCCGCTGTAGCCAGCTAGCCATCTCCCTCTTTCCCTGGAGATCCATACCATTCCCGCTCCATTGCATCATCCATCGCCGCTGGATATATGGGTGGGTATGTATGTATGTGATACGAACGCACGCACGATTGATTCCGACAGGGTGTTCGCACAAATCTGAGACATGCATTGACTATTCCATCGCTAGTTGGGATTAGGTTTTGTAGACACACCATCCGATCGAGGACGTCATGTGTGCCCTTTTTCTCCTCGTATCTTTGGCCGAAAATGTACCTGTACCTAGGTAGTGTAGGTAGATAGGTATGTTTCAGATATCCGAGTTCTATTCGTCCTTGCGCCGCCGCGCCTCTCTTGGGACTGACGGACTAAGTAACTACATAAGTCTGTGTGTGTCAAGCAGTCAGTTAATTGGTTGGTTGGTCTACCTGCGCTTCTCGCAAGCTCCTGCTCGTGTGTTCGCCAATGATGTATCCATGTATGTGTACCTATCTATACCTGTACCTTGTGTATTCGATATGTAATGATGGCTGTCAGACGTACGGGGTCGCGAAATCCTGAAATTAACTGATTGATGATTCCCATTCCCTCCTCCCTTGATCCCCACAGAAAGAAAATGTCTCCATGTCCAATACGCCCCTGTCTACGTACCTCCCACCTATCAGCCAAGGCACACAGATGGCTCTCGGGCTCGCAACGGACACGGCACACGAGGTCGCAGATTACCAGATCAGGGCACCCCCCATTGACGTGGTGCTTTTGATTGCGGTGCGCCCTCCCCCTCTTCCCGAAGGACACGCCCCATGTCCGCAATGTCCACCAATGTCCGTCAGCAGCCAGCAGCCAGCACCCACGCACTCATCCAGCCCATCATCCAATATTTAGTATCCACACACGTACGCCCCCGCCCCGTTGATTGCGTCCGTTAGATCAAGATCGCCATGTGGAACCGAGCGAGCGGAATGGTGTGTGGAGAGCGACCACGGAGTATCAGCACGGGGAGATATCCCTTGCCCCCCTGTCTGTCTATATTTTACTTGGACGCGCACGCACAACCCGTACGAGGTACAAGTAGGTTGTCCCGGGACGTTGGACGTGGCGTAACTTATTTCCTGTGTAATAAGCCCAAAGAGGCGGTAGGAGGGGCACATTTCCATCACTAGGCTCATGTCCATGAATGGCCCTTCTGTATCAGCTATGTACCAAACCTTGCCAACATCCTGGCTCATCCATCTACGGTACGGACCCGTGATCTGGTAAGCGCACACACCGTCTCAGCCCCCTCTCTGTCCCGAACCTGAACTCCCGCTCGGCAACGCCACTTTCCGGCGGCCAATGAAATTGATAAATGAACCAAATACGCTGAAGGAACGTAGGGAGCCTAACAACGACCGATATAGCAATCCCTAGTCTGGATCGTTCCTGGTTGGCACGTGTTGTGCCTGGGTTTGTAGACTCTGGTCATTTGGAATACAGCCCGTCCTTTGGATGACCATTCCGGAGAAGGACTCTCCAGCCGGACAAAGCCGTCGGAAGGACGTGCCCAGATATATCTTGCCGGGCACAGTGCGATCATGATTGTTATGCGGACGCTGTACCAGACGTCCGGCTCTTTTTGAGTAGGCAGCCCATCCCGCACGTGTCCCTGCATTTTCTGCACTTCTTCAGCAGTAGTCTTCGTGATCTCGATGCCGTGCGGCCTTTGCCCTTTCGCAAGCGGGACATGTTGGATCGCTCCTTCTATCTGCATCGTGTTGAGGAAGGTCGATAAGAATGTCGACGCGTGGTCGATAGCATCACAGCTCAAACCCTCGTAGACAAGGGGTTCATGCACCGGAAGAGGTCTGTATCAACCATTTTATCAAGAAACTCTGCGCATGTTGTGACAGCGAATGCTTGTGTGTGTTTCTGAACTCGCAAACTCCATTCCTTTCACCCAAACAGAAAGCCATATTCGGTACTTGGCGGGTATATCTCAGTCCAAGGCACCCATGGCTTGTCAACTCCATCCTCCGTGTCGGCGAGCATGGCCATATCATTCTTAGCCCAAACGCCCCTCATAAATTCCAGTCCCGAATCGAAAATCCAAATGCCGGTCTTCTGTTTCCATCGCTCAGAGTACTCGGTGGCGATTTTTCTGAAAGCCCACTCCGCGCTGGACATTTCGCACCCGGCCAGCACAATGGGCATCAGGCACTGCTTCTGAAAGCTACTGTGTGACGGAATGTTGGCAACCATGGTGAGAATCTGAATAGCCACAGAACGCGGTTCAAAGTCCCACTCGGCGGTCCCTTCGTGGCTCGTGAACGTGTCCAAGTCGGCCTGGTAATCTATTGCCGTCAGATCGTAGACCCGGAACGGCCAGAACACTCGAGTAAAGTACAACAAGATGCCCATCCTCCATATTTCCGACATCAGAGCCTGATATTTGCCCTGTTCCATGTTGATCACTGTACCAAGAATATTCTGGCGGATCTCTTCGAGCGCTTCTGGGTCTGCAGAATCAATGTCGGCAGCGGCAACAGCAAGTCTGTGCATGTCAAGAAACATGCCGTCCGGGAGACCATTGAGACCCAGCATGCTCCATTCGTCATCGTCCTGCCACGCCATGAGCGCTTCAATGTAGGTCCTTGGAAAGGTCGGACCGCGTCGCGAGATCAATGCGGCATTGACATCGTACCAGATCAACATGGCAATCTGACTTCGAAGGTTCGGTCGTGATTCCGCCAGTCGAATGCCGCCGTGGGACTCGAGAATGCGGTAGGCCCCCCGCAAGTGGATGTTCCAGTTGGCCACCCCCGTTTCGGCGTAATCGAGCCCGATGAGGAGAAGCACCGTACTGAGGCCGCACTCGAACGACAGATCGTTGAGGTGCGACGCAAAGACCGACAAGGCTTGAGACTTGAGGCGCAAGATCAAGGCACTCTCTGGCTTCCCGTCGAAGTGGGCTTGCTGACGCTTTGCCAGCGCCGCCGCGGCATAACGTACGGAAGGGAAATCGTCGTGAATGGATGGCAGGCAGGCTCGCCACGGATTGATTTTCACGGGGAAGGTGAGCGTGGTGTTGGCGAAGCAGGAATGGAAGAATGATAACGCATACTCGATTTCTCCCGGGTGACGGCTCACTTGGGGGCAGAGGACAAGGTCAAGCTGATGGCCGGTGTCGACCAGTGGGGGCGTACTCGCGCTCAGAGCCGACCATGTCGAGGATGGAGATGCAGAGGCAACTGACTCTGAGCCGCTGGAGAGTGTCACGTTGACCAAGGCGTCTGCCGCATTGGAGGTTGGGATACTTAGTTCGCTTGATCTCGAGTTGTTCCTCGATCTCCGCCTGTACCGTGTCTGTGAGACGGTTTGATCGACGAAAGTGTAAGAGGATGGCCGCGGTAGAGGCGCCGGCGGCTTCTCAGGTTTGACTTCTCGGACGACCTCGGCCTGTTCCTTGGGCCTCCGTTTCCCAACCTTCAAAGCGCCTCTCTCCCAGTTGAGTTGCTGCACATAGCCCGCGCATATCACCCCGTCAGCAAGACAGGCACTGCAGCGAGGCCGCCGCCGGTCACACGAACGGCCGAGCGAGGAGCACGTGTGGCAATCTGACTTTGCCCATCCCAACGAGTTGGTCCTCTTCCCGGTTAAGTGGTTGAGGCGTGTCGCCGTAGTCGAGCAGGTAGTGACTGACATGATATGGTCGATGTATACAAGCAAGGAGTTCGAGGCTGGGGGGGGAAGAGGATAAGAAGGTATGGAGTCGTGGGTGGTTAGTACGGAGCAGTACGGAGTGAGTGGTTGATGGTTTATGGTTGATACGAAGCCGAGAGTTGATAAGGGAAGCCCCGCATGCAGAGATTGGCCAGATTCCAGGCCCTATCAGGCCGGCCAATCAAATGGCGGCCGAGATATCGAATCATGAGCAAAGTCATGTGACTGATATATGACTCGGTAGCTCAATTCCCACCCCTCTCCTCCTCCTTCTGAGCTACTCTGGCGATTCTTAATCTTTCCCCCTTAAAATGGTACAGCTCAATACCTTCTCTTGCTCACGCCTTACGTGCACTCTATCACCTCTTTTCTCTCCTGAGCGTTCATCTGTTCCACGACGTACACATCTTTCTTAGGCATATTACGCTGTGTAATCATTTTGCCGTTTTCGGAATGGTCGTCATCACCCACCAGACCTCAGCCTCTATGCTGGATCAATGAAGATGGGCTTACATTGCCTATTCAGGCATTCCGTGTGAGTTGGACCCTTCATGAGAGAGGTAGGTGTAGGGAGGCGTCCCGTTCAGCGAGCCATCTCCTGTTTAAAAGGACGTCTGGTTTCCACCATCCTGTGATTTAGACAGAGATCTACATTGATTCGAAGGATCCTCATTGCCACTGAATTCTTCACTCCCGAAGATGGCTTCTTCTCATACTTGGATCTCCGAGCTCCAGGCACTCGTTGAGCATGACGAGCTGGCATTGCCTGGCTCTCAACTGTATATTGATGAGTCCAAAACATGGGCAGCTCAAAGAAATTTGCACCCAAAAGTCCTCATTCGACCTAGGTCTGTGGAGCGGCTGTCACAGGTCCTGGCGTATTTGAACAACTCTGAGCGGGACTTTGCAGTTCGGTCTGGGGGTGTTGGCTCAAGCTCGACGAAGGACGTTCTGATCAGTCTTGCTACGTTTGACGGGTTCCAATTTGATCCCAGTACGGAGACCATCACCATCGGTGCCGGCCAGACATGGGGCGAAGTGGATCAGAAGCTGGAGAAAGAGGGCGGAGGTTACGCCGGTGAGGAAACCCTGTTAGTCCTGGAAGAACCTATTTCTCACGTACCCCAGCTTTGAGCGCGCGGTGCACTTTTGTCGGGGTCGGAGGCAGCCTTATAACAGGCGGCATCTCTTGGGCATCTTCGGAATTCGGGCTTGCTTCTGATCCGCAGAATCTGCTGGACGCAGAAGTTGTCACTGCCGACGGGCGGGTTTTCTGGGCTTCCACCGAGCCGAAGCTGTTGTGGGCTCTACGTGGCGGAGGAGGTGGCTTTGCCGGTAGGTGCCCCAATATTTCGTCTCTCAGCCCACGATTTCTCATAGCCCTGAGCAGTCGTTGTTACCATGAAGTTGCGAGTGCACAAATACAGCAATTCAATCTACACAGGAAATATTCTCTTTCCGAACGACTCGCTCGGGGAACTCGCCAAGGCGGTGTCAAATTTCACGCATCGGACGCAGGATCCAAAGACGGCCATGCATCTCTATTGCCTCGACCTGGCCCACGCAGCTCTGACCGGACAGAATCCTGCGCCAGGCATCATGATTGTCGTCTACGACGCCAACGGAGAAGCGCACGGCCGCAGCGACGAAGGCTTCGGCTGGGCGCTGAAGATCAAAGGTGCAATCGACAACACTAAGTCCATGACTTTCGCCGAGGCAAATCAGCAGCAGGGTGAGTTCTTTAGGCACGAGGCTCTGTTCCCGGACACTGATTCCTCTCCACCCAGACAATCTTAAAGTGGCCATGGGCATGACGAACAGCTGGATGTCTGGCGCCACGATTCCGCACCTGGACGAGGAGATCGTCCTCCGCTCCTGGAAATGGTTTAACGAGCTGCTCGCCAAAGACCCCCGACAGAGTGCAGGTGCTTTTGCATTGATCGAGGTCATGCAGCCTGTATGTAGATTTCCCAACTTCTCCATCTCTCTTCCTTCTCCTGGGCAGCTTTGTTTCTGACATACAGACCCCAAGCCTGCATTCTCCTCCATCTCCTCTCGCACAGATACAGCCTGGCCGCACACGAACAACAGACACATCTTGCAGCTCGGAACGGGTTCATTTCCAGGCTCTCCCGAGTCGGACGCTGTCTCGCTCAAGGTCCTCGCGGACGCGGCCTTCGAGATCAGCCTCACGCACACCAAGGCGGACTATATCCCTAACTTCATCAACTCTTTCAACGACGTGGAAGCGGTATGCTTGATTCCCCCTCCCTGTTTTGATGCTCTACAATCCGCTGCATGTAGGAAGGCCATTGATTTGACTGAATACTTCGTGCTGGGTAGATTTTCGGCGAGAATTATCCTCGATTGAAGGAGATCAAGAAGATATATGATCCAAAAGGGAAGCTTGGAGGTCACTTTGTTTGAAACTGGGCACGGCAGACAGTTGCTTGGAATGAAGGTCACGGAGCATGCGGACTTGATGGTTCTTCTTTATTCCACAGGCACTCTATCTGCAGTCTGTGCGTCCTGGGTAGTCGGTTACATTTCTATATCATCCGTCTGTTTGCTCCCAGTCCCCATTCATTCCAGACCAGTCTAGCCCTGCTAGCAGCCGCTGTAGCCTGTCCACAAGCGACTGAAACGACCGGGTGATTCGTCGGACCAATTCACGGCATGATGCCCTTCTCGATGACCTCGCCGACGGTCTTGGAATCGACGGCGATGCCGCGCTGGGCGAGCATCTCCTTCTGGTGTTCGCGCTCAATCTGGTCGTCGGCGACGAGGCCCTCGATGCGGGCGCGCTCCTCCCAGCGGTGCGGCACAATAACGTTGTCCTCGAGGAAGTAGTTGGTGTCTTTGACGCAGAACCAGATGATGCCCAGCAGGAACACCAGCCCCACGCCGTACAGCGTGAACTGCACGATCAGCTGGTCGATGTACGCCACGTTCTTGGAGTCCAGCACGAACGAGATGCACATTCCCAGCGACGTCGTGCCCTTAAACAGCCCCGCCAGCCGCGAGCACTGCACCGGGTCGTTGGTCAGCGCCCCCAGCGTCCACTGCACCACGATTTGGTACGTCGCGTAGACGATTCCTATATGTTGTGTGATCAGCATCGAGGTAGTGGGATGTGGGAAGTTTTGATTGTGAGGACAGAAGGAGAGAATGAGGAATATACAATTGGGAGCTTCGGGAGAGAGCTTACCAGATAGCAAATACAGCACAAACCCTGCGCCAAACCCACTGTCGGACCAGTCGACCCCCGGCGGCGTGTGAGTCTGGCGATTGACGTCGTTGTGCGTGATCCACGCCGCCAATCCGGCATTGGTGGCCAGGCAAATCGTGCCGACGATGATGGCGCCGATCATGCCTCGCGTCCGGCGTGACTTGATATAGTTTGTGTCCATGATGTACGCCAGCATAAGCGGGCACGGCATCATGATGAACTGGAACATGACGTTGTTGAGCGACCGCGTCCGCAAATTGAAGTAGTATCCGTTGATGCTGGAAAGGAGGGCCTGTTTTGATTCTCGTGTATCAGCCAAAAAGAGCCTCGCCGCCTTGTATTCTACAAACCAAACAAGGAGGGGAGGAAAGGAGAGGAAAGGAGAGGAGAGAGGAGAAAACTCACGAGATTCATCTCGGCGACGAAGATGCCTGGAATCAGGGCGAGGATTTTGAAGTCGGTGAACCACAGGATGAGACCTTTTACTTCATCCATGACACGTGGCTGCGTGAAAATGGCAATGTGCGTGCCGTCGTCGCGGACGACCTTTCTGGGCGAGATGATGAAGACCAGTGCGATCACGATGGCCATGCACATGATGACGATGCTGCAGCATGAACCCGGTCAGGACGAAACACTTTGCAACAGAATGACCAATGCGAACTCACAAGACGGTATAAACAGCGTTCGAGACACCCGTGGACTCGGTCTGGTGGAAGTTGACCCCAAAGGCGATCAGGCTCCCGATGGTGCCACCAAAGGAGGTAAAGACCCATTGCCACGTTATAAACTGAAAGGCAGTCAGACTTGAGATAAACACAGTCATTGTCGGCATGGAACAACTTACCAGAGCCTTCTGATCTTCTTCGGCGTAGGCAAACTGCACAAACCCGGCTGCCGTCCAGAGACAGCCTGCGGTCACACCGAGGGATGCGCCAGCAAAGTATGGGAACCACGAGTGGCCTTGTCGGTCAAAGTACCATAGGCCACCGACGTAAAGAGGATAGCCAAGGGCTCCGAAGGCCATGGTGAACTTGGGCCCGACCAAGTTGAGGATGGCGCCTCCGATCCAGCCGAAGAGGCAGAAGAGGCCATATAGCACCGCATTGGTTGTAGAGGCCACCGTCTGAGACGACGGACGTCCACCACCAGCACCCAGACCGGTCAGTGCTAGGTAGATACCCGGGAGGCAGAAGAGGATGGCGCCGACTACGAAGTTTTGGTTGATCGGTCGGTTCAGTCGAAACTTGCCCTTCCCCAAGGAAGGCTCTATGAACTTCATGGCGGGCGGGCGTTCGTAATGAGGCCCAGGCACAACTTGATGCCTTTCTTTCTGGCGGAGAAGAAGACCAGACTGCTTGGTCGGTATGGTGTATTGCGTTAGGAGCTTGCGCAAACGATATTCAGGCACCACCGCCGCCTGAAAAGAGCAGCATTCACGGCCTTATATTTCTCTCGCCCTCGTCCAGAGGTACCAGATGTACCTCAGCCATCCTTCGGGGTCAGACGTAGCCGGAAAGGCTATGAAAGCAGGGATATCAAATGTTCATTATCTCGAGTGCGGCCAATGGTGATAGGGAAAGTCTGGGTACATATCCTTATCGGCTTCATTCGTACGTCGACTGCGCTCTAGTCCCCTTGGTCATGCCGCTGATGTGCGTCTCAGAATCTATCATCCGGCCTCATCGTGCAGACCAGCACGAGTTGATAAAGGTGGTAGGTCGGGAGATCGACGTCGTAAGACGCCGCCACACAGTAGTGGTGTCACTGATAGCCCAATGGCGGCACACGGCGCCAGGGGTTTGGAGGTTGTATACGATAAAGATGTGCCAACGGCGCCAGGACTGGATCCACTCCAGGGGTGACGGGGTCTTTGGAGGATCAGCGTTCATCTCTCTTGCCTAACCTGGCACCCTCCCATGAGGCAGTCCTCTGATCGACATTCGGGGAACAATAGACAAGTTGCTGCCTCTGAAGATTGCGGATTGCCTTTGATCTCCATCTCGGAGATGCCGTTGCTGATGGCAGGGCAAGAGTCCGGGTATCAAGACGGATTTTTCCCGGTCGCGATACTCCGCTGCTTGTCTATCTAGGTCTCAATGCGAACTGAGGAGATGTTATCTCAGCATTGCGCGTTGCACGATGGAGGGGTCAGGTCCAGATGCAAGGGGGTTCCGTCGACTGGAAATAAGGCCCATATCCAGACATGGAATTTGGAACTCTTCCTTGATTGCTAAAAAGAGAGGACCTGATCCAGTCAGCTACATCTCGAAACCTCAAAGGTAGTACAAATCATCTTTTCAATTGGGCTTTCTGATCGCGATGATTTCAAAACCGTGGGTTGAGAAAGCGAAAAGCGCTCGTGACTATCGAGACGAGACTCTAAGCAAAGTTGATCCTCCGCTTGAGCCTCTCCCAGATCCCCTCCCGCTTTCTTCTCAAGAACTTCCAAAGAAGTATTTGACGGCGCGAGAGTATGAACTTACTGAGAACTATGACGCCATTGAACTCCTCGAGATGCTGCGCAGCAGGAAGCTCACATCGGAGGAACTCACCCGGGCATTCTTGAGGAGAGCTGCCCTGGCTCAGTACGCGGTATGCAATGCTCTCTTGTGCTGAAGCCAGCTGACCCATCGATACTGAATGACGATGCCTGTTGCAGGTAAATTGTGTGACTGAGTTGATGTGGGACGAGGCAATCGAGAGGGCCAAATATCTCGACTCTCTCCCCGAGCCCGTCGGGCCCCTTCATGGACTCCCCATCTCAGTAAGTAGAAAACTCAGGATTGTACCAACTCAGGCGATCTGATCTCCGCCTATAGGTTAAAGAACATCATGGGATGAATGGCAAAACCAACCACGCATCCTACGTGGCGTGGATTGGCCTGCCTTGCGATCAAAACCCACTGAACGATTACCTGTACAATGCCGGTTGCGTCTTTTACGTCCGTACCACTGGGCCTCAGACATTGATGGCTCTTGAATGCGACAACAACATCTATGGAAGAACCGTCAATCCGTGGAATCGAAATTTGACGCCAGGCGGCAGTAGCGGCGGAGAAGGTGCCCTCGTAGGATTTCGAGGCAGCGTTTGGGTACGTTGGATTCTCTGCGTGACGAGGATCTCTTTCGCGTGTATTGACCTGTCTTACATGGGCACCTCTGCAGCTTATTCCAAGTTTTGATCGGCGGGGTATTTTGCTAACAGTTTCCAGGGACTAGGTGGTGATATTGGCGGCAGCGTAAGGGCTCCAGCAAGCAATTGCGGCGTCTATGGTTTCAAGCCCACTTCGAAACGCATCCCCTTGAAAGGTATGAAGCACACAATGGACGGGAAAGACTCCATCCTCGCAACTTTTGGTCCACTTACCCAGAGCCGGGAGACTATCAATTTGTTCATGAAAGTCATCTTGGACAACGAGCCGTGGCGATATGATCCCTCTCTCACGGTAAAGAAATGGACCCCTGAACAACTCACTCAACCTCTCAAGGTCGCGATTGAATGGTCAGACGGGGTAGTCAAGCCTCATCCTCCCATGACCCGGGCCTTGAAGATGGTTGCCGATGCATGTAAAGCTGCAGGGATGGAAGTTGTCGACTGGGAGCCATACAAACACGACAAGGCCTGGGATATCGTGTCGGGGCTGTATTTCCCAGACGGCGGCGAAATGATTCTGGCGCCGCTGAAAGAGATTGACGAGCCCATTCTCCCCCTGACCAAGTTCATCACTGAAGAGCAGCCCAATGTTAAGAATCGCACAATGCACGAATACTGGGAGTTGTGCATGGAAAGAGACAAATACCGCGAGGAATATGCCGCTCACTGGAGCAAAACTGCCGACTCGGGTAAGGAAGTCGACGTTATCATCTGTCCTGCAGCGCCTGGCGCAGCGCCCTTACATGAAACGGCGAGATATTGGCCGTACACCAGTCAGTGGAATCTGCTGGACTACCCGGCGGCTGTGTTTCCTGTGACGTTTGTGGACGTTGAGAAGGATAAGAAGGAGGAAGGATATGTCCCGATGAACGAGCAAGACAAGTATAACTACGACTTGTATGAGCCGGAGAAGTGGGTTGGTGCACCCGTAAGTTGTTGCATTGTCGGGAGAAGGAATATGGACGAGAAGGTCATGGCAGCGCTTGAGGCGGTAGAGAAGGCCATGGGAAGGAAATAGATTCTTTAGGCGCTTGCCGTTCAAACCTGTTCCACTGGAAGTCAGCAATTCCTTCTTCTCAGAGAGGCCATGTAATTGTCGTGTCTCAACCATACATCTTCCATTCCTTGATAACCATACAACATGCGTTCCTGGCCGTCGTATTGCGACTAGGTTAAAACCAGAGCCCAGCCACGTGTGCTTAGAGCCGAGGAAAGAGTACTGACTCTCTTTCCTCTTTGAGCCCAATGGCGAGAATCGCGAGACATGGTTCTCCAAACGTCTTGTTTGACAGCACCCCACATCGTATCTTGAACACTGATAAGAACTCTCTTTCCCAAATAGGCTTCAGCGACGACAGCCCTTCAGTTACCTGACAACAGGCACCGTAATGCAAGGCGAATGTGTTAAGCCGGGCAACGTTCGAGACCTTGTCTGTGCGGAATTGGTAGGTAAGATTTGAATTCGTTGCGGGGTTGAGCGAACAACTGCTGCCCATATTTGCTCGTTGCGCAGACGCAGGTTTCCTTTGTTGCCAGCGCTCTTTCATCGATGTTAGATGTAGACTTCTCATTTATTCGCACGTACTTGAGCGGTTAAGAGTATTGTGCGATCCAACGGCTTACCCTCACAATGGCACCCTCTGCTGTCGAAGTTCCGCTTCCTATTCCAAAGGCCTTCTCAACTCCGACAAGCACACCCCAGGCCACCCAGAACGGAGAACCGAAATCTCCCTCTTCACCACTTCCAGAAGTCAAGTCTTTCAATGCATCAACCTGTACGGTGGAAGAACTGGTGTCTGCACTTCGAGTGGCTGGTGGCCTCGTCATTCGTGGTCTGTTGAATGAGCAGGAATTGGCGAGTCTTGAGAAGGACACCCGTCCTTGGTTGGATAAAGATACCGCATGGGAGGATGGTGAGTCCTCTCGCTCTCCTTCCGGTCCTCTGGTCTGGACAGCTGCCCTGGAACAGCCTTGAATCAGGAAGGATATTTGCGAGACCCTGGTCACTGCTGGTCTGGACAATACCGATGCTGAACGTTAAACTTCTCACAGGAGATTTCTTCCCCAAAGAAACCCGCCGGGCTTTTGGGATGGTAAGCAAATCAAGAACCTTCGCCGAGCGCATCGTCGCCCATCCGCTCTGGCTTGGTGTGACGGATGCGTTATTGACCAGCACATTGAAATGGAACTGGGTGAGCTCGATTGGTTTTCGTCTCCAAATTGGTGGACACTGACACCAAAGCAGATTGGCGACAAAAATGAGGCCTCTGTGTCTCGTCCTCAGTTGAACAATACCATCGTCTTTAGCATTGGCCCTGGAGCTCGTGACCAAGCACTGTACGTTCATTCTTGTTTCTACTGTTGTCTCAAGCCTTCCGAGCCACGTATATCCGTCCTGTTATAAGTTTGCTGATGAGAAACGCGAGGATTTCCAGGCACCGTGACGATGCAAGTAAGATCCCCTGTGTCCCCAAACCAGGCATGACATCTCCCAAAGTCATGTCACAGGAACTTGTCAGCGTCAGCGTCAGCTAACTATTTTCTTCGCGTCGATAGTCCACCATGTCTACCATCCGGCAGCAGCAACGCACGAGATAGGTCGGGATGCAGGCATTGGTTTCTTCGTTGCAGGAAAAAAGACTACCAAGCGCAACGGGGCCACACGCTTCATACCAGGCTCTCACCTCTGGGACTATGCTGCCGGGCCACCAAGCGAGTCACAAACATTTTATGCAGAGCTTGAGCCGGGCGATGGTTTCATGGTATTGAGTGGATGTTTCCACGGTGGCAGCGCGAACAAGACGGACCAACCCAATGAAAACGGCGAGGTGGTGCCTGAAGAACGCCTCGTGTACAGCACGTTCATGACAAGGGGATATTTGAGGCAAGAAGAGAACCAATACCTCGTCAATCCTGTAGAGAAGGTTCGTGAACTGCCGGAACCTCTCCAGGAGCTCGTTGGATATGGTCTTTCCAAGCCGTTCTTGGGTTGGGTGGATCTAAAGGACCCGATGTTGTGGTTGCATCCAGAAAGGCCAAAGAAGTCAGGGGATCTGTTTTGAAGTCTCTCTGTCTGATCGCTAGTGAAAGAGAATGCGAAGGACGATGCAAACACGCGGTCGAGGGCGTGCAGGCTCGGCAGAACAGGGTGTTGAAAGCCACCGCCTATCAAGCTTGTGGTTGCCTCCAGCTGGTTTTGTCAAGGAGGAGCTGTGTACTAGAGCCATATTTGACGTAGAGGAACATGAGTAGAGACGTTTCCGACCAGCTCGCACCGCGAGAATGCAAAATGCCAATGGAGTCCCAAACGAAGGAGTGAGGATAAAGTGAAGTGGTCAGGTGGCTAGATTCAATGTAACGAGTCAGATGTGACTCACGTGCACCGATATATGACTCGCTGCGACGCGACTTTTCTGAGCCTTGGACCAACACTTCTTTATGGCCCTCAAATTCTTTGTAAGATTTACCATTCTGTGTGTAGGAACCGGTGTTAGGAATTATCGGCGTGGACGGTTTCTTTGACGCAAATCCCCCACTTTCTGTGCGGCATATCTGCAATATGTGGTGAATATCCTTATGTTCCCCTCCCACAAACCGTGGTTAACTGACGGCCATCGAAAGTAAACATGTCTTGAACGCCCAAGTATCCATACGCTCGCCTTGCTGTATGCATGCCTCACTGTATCGGGCTATTCTATCCACTGACCTGTAAATCTCAGGCCGGAAATGGTTCGATTGTGCAGAATGCCATGCTGAGCGAGAAGACCATCCTCTATTACAGAGCTTTGACATGGTATTTCATCAATCTGACCTATATAATATTCTATTGCGCGTTATTGGACATATCCTGACACATTGGTCCAAAACAGACATTTATATGCAAGAAATGCAAGAAGGCCTTCCGGAAAAACACGAAGGAGTGGGAGGAGAGGTGGGTCGAAATGGACTTGGATCACCAACGAGATGGTGTGCGACAGCGCTAATGGTTCTAGTGATGAGTACTGTCCAAACTGTGACAACCACTTTGTCATTGATGCGCTCACCCCGAAGGCGGCCTTGAAGGTCGAGAGCGAAGATACAAGAGTAGATGCGAGGTAAGTCGCCACAATCTACACATTCCGAAAGAATGAAGTTGACTATGGCAATAGAATGATCAAGGACGAGAGGGTGAGAGAGTCAAACCAGCAGTCGATATTTGACCTCAAAGGAGGAACGGAGCGGTTGGGTTGACATCCAACAATGAGCGAGAGCAGTTGAGCGACTACCTGCTTCAGAGGAGCTGGGCTGGAGGCAGGAAGAGCAGTAATGCGTCAGAATAGCCCTATGAGTGGGAGACGCCTCGCAGCGGCCCACAGGCATGAAATCCCCGGCCAAAACAACCTGCATTTCAACAAGCTACTAGTTGGCCATATTCACTGATTTGATCCATTTCCACAACGCCAGTCGCTCATGCAAAGGACGAGTGAAGGCCAATGCCCCGTCTCTTTATTCGTCTGCTCCACCCTCACCCTCAGCCAGCGGCCGAGTCGGAAGAGATGAGGTCGCTGAGGAGGACCCTCTCGCCCCGGGCTTCTTCTTCGCCTGCTCTTCTTGCTTCTCTGCCTCAATAGTCTTGACATATTGTTCAATCTGTTCAGAGGGGAGCATCTCGATTGTCTTTCCTGGAGCCATGATGGCGATTTCAATGTTCTTGGCTCCTGTTTGAACAACTTCAAGGAGGGATTTGACGGTCAATGAAATGGTCGCCTCTCGGTCCATGTCATCTTTGTGGTTCCGCTCGAGGAATTCCCGTACGGTTTTGCTGGATCGGCCAATCGCGTTCGCTTTCCTGCTCACCGTCAGATGGCCCCGTCTTTGAGTCTGCGAGGCCGACTTACCAAGCAGAGTAGATGCCCGAGGGCTCTGTTTGGTACAATTTCGGTTCCTTGTCACCCTTGTCGAAGCCGATGATCAGTGTACTGATGCCAAACGGTCTGACGCCACCACTCTGGGTAAATCTTTGCTGCACGCCAGCCACGTATTTTGTGATGTATTCAATAGTAACGGGGTCCTCCACTGTGAGCCTGTGAGACTGCGCCTCGACTCTGGCTTTGTCGATTAATATCCGGGCGTCGGCATTAAGCCCGGCAAAAGCGAGGCAGACGTGGGTGTCGATAAGACCAATCTTGGAGGGGGTAATCCGTGTGTCTTGTAGCTTCATGGCCGATCTCTTTTCGCAGCCTAGGACGACAATGTCTTTGCCTTTGACTCCAACTGCGCAGGTTCCTCGCTTGACTGCTTCTAGGGCGTATTCGACTTGAAATACATGGCCGTCAGGGCTATATGTGTTAGCAATATCCGTGGACAGAAAGAGCTGTGGTACCTGAAAACTGCGATTTGTTAGCACCAGCATTCAATGCCTCAGGACGCACTTACCAGAAAGAGCACGATCGTAGCCAGAAGCCATGTTGTCTGGACGTAAGGTTTACCGTTGGCGCAAAGTCTCTGTGGACTTTTCCTGTATTTGTTTCTATGTCGAGATGGTTTATTCACAACGTATTGCAAACAGAGGTTAGAAGTGAGTGCTTGCTAAGTTCACAGACCGTACGCGGCGCGACCGTTGCCTTGAAAGCGAAGAGCATCGGTGCTCCACCCTATTTCTACGGCGAAGTTTCTGCGGTTGCTACAGCGGAGCACAAAGCTCTCCGATTGGTCGACGATCGAGCTTCAATCACCTCCGGTTCGACGTCTGTCAACTCTTCAACTGCGCAGCAGTGCTCAACTCCTCTCTATCTCTGTCACCATGGCTTCCATCGTGCCGGTCATGAAGCGGCAACTCTATCGGACTGTGGCTCAGACGGCCCGGGTGTCTTCGAGACAGTTGGCAACCACCACACGACTGCTACGACAAGGTCCTGGAACCGGCGAGAACTTCGAACAAGCCAATGACCCTTCTGGCCGGAAACTGACTCCCAACGTGTCCAAGACAAATGAGATACCGGTTGATGCGAGGGGTAATCGAGATGCACCTCTTCAAGAGATGGCGTCAGAGGGAGAGAAAGCCAGGATTATGCAGGCACCTAACAGGGAAAAGCCGTGGTCTAGGAGTCAGATGCCCAGAGAGCTGGCAATGACAGGTCCACGATTTGAACAGACGATCATGGAAGCTCAGGTAATTGGATTTACATACATCTTGGGCGTCAGCGCATACTGAGATCTGTCTCTAGCCCCGGCCCTACGCTGCGATCGAGCTCATTCATAAACAACCCGTCCGTTGGGTCAAGGATAAGAGCGTGGCCTGTGACGGTGGCGGCGGTCCCTTGGGGCACCCGCGGATCTTTATCAATGTGGACAAACCCCAGGTCTGCTGGTGCACGTACTGTGGGCTCCCATATGTAAGACTGCCAGCATGAGAATCTGCGAGGGCTACGCGGAAGCTGACGTTTCTGGTGGACAGGCTAAGGAAGAACACAAGAAGTATCTCGAATCGTTACCATCGACGCCGTATCCTCTTGCACCCACGGGCGATCCAGCACAAGTCCAAATGCCAGCAACACCCAGTCAAAAAGGCGAGATTCAGGGTCATTATCCCTTGTTGAAGGGCGAGCATCAGGCAGAGAGTGTAGGTACTGAGTCATTTGAGCAGAGATGATCGCTGGAGCAATACAACTGCGAGGTGACCGACCATGATTGTACATATCGTTGGCTTGGGGGAAGCGGAACGTGCGTGGACTTCTCCACGAGAGCTTGTTTGCACTTGAGTCAATTTGCAGCGTGTAAACATTACGCAGGGCAGGGATTGAGATCCAAAATGACCACCGTGCAGCCTGAATTCGTTTCCCGAATTTGCATTCCATTTGTCCTCCATTCCGCTTGATATTGCCGGGCTCCTCAGTCGCAGAGACAACCTCCGAGCATTGAACATGCTTGGGTCATTGGTGTTGCGGACATGAGGCCTTATCCACCCGAAGAAGCGTGTCGCTTTGTTTGTTGGTCTCGCCCATGTCTAATATGTGGTATTGATGGCGCGAATGGCGTCACGTGACAACAACCGGCGCAATGATGCGCCGCCTCGGTATCATAAAGTTCCAGATCCGAGTCCCCAGCAATGACCCCTTGACTCCTGAAATTCGTCCGGACACGGAAGACGTCCTTGCAGCCTGTCATCTAGCTCTTTTTCCTTCCGATTCATCTAGGGGTGACGCTCTTGGAACCTTGATCGAGCCGCATTTGTCAATGACACTCGGCTCGTTATGCCCGACCCAGTCCCAGACGCTAAAATGCTGCCTGGGCTAGTCCCCGCTTCGTATCAGAGTCTGGAGTGAAATACGCAACTAAGTTTTCTCATGGCGACAAAGTTATATACGCAGGGCGTCTCTGGGGAATATGTGCTTCCCTTTGATCTTCTGTCGCCTCAAACTTTAGAGTGATACCTTTCGGTCCCTTGTAGGAGACGCAATGGGGGTTCCAGACGATCAACAGGCTCCAACGAAGACTATGCCGGAAGACCCCTCGGGTCAAGGGGAAACTTCCCCCAGGAACACGAGGGATTCCGTATCAAGTTCATCCGCGCCATCTGTCGATTTGGCTGAAAAACCGCCTGTCGAACAAGAAACAAATTTCACCACCACGGACACCTCGGTAAAGGAGACGGGGAAGGAGGAACAGATCGAAGTTGAAGACGAGACCGAGGACAGGAGCAACTATCCCCACGGGCTGAAGCTGGTGACCCTGATTGTCGCCCTTTGCCTCGCCGTCTTCCTCGTCGCGCTCGATCAGACCATCATTGCCACAGCGATTCCTAAGATCACCGACCGTTTCAACAGCGTCAACGACATCGGGTGGTATGGCAGCGCCTACTTCCTGACGAGCACCTCCCTCCAGCCCAGCTTCGGCCGCATCTACAAGGTCTTCCAGATCAAATGGGTCTTTCTCGGCGCTATCAGCGTCTTCGAGCTAGGTTCCTTGATCTGTGCTGTCGCCCCATCCAGTACTGCCCTCATTGTTGGGAGGGCTATTGCAGGCATCGGCGTAGGCGGAATCTTCTCGGGATCCTTGGTGATTATTGCTCATTCTCGTGAGTCAAACACAGCCTCTGATGTTGAATCCAAGCGCTGACGACGGTGAAATAGTCCCATTGATCCGCCGACCCCTGGTTTTTGGACTGTTTGGTGCCATGTGGGGATTGGCCAGTGTTGCTGGGCCTTTGCTCGGAGGCGTCTTCACAGACAAGGTCTCCTGGAGATGGTGCTTCTACATCAAGTGAGCGAAGTTCCCTTGGACCCATGTCATCTTTTATGTGTGCTGATGACCTTATTCAGCCTCCCGATCGGTGGCGTCTCCATCCTCGTCGTCCTGCTGGTGCTCCATATCCCTCAAGACCCTAAACTCTCCGAGAAGCCGATCCTCAAGCGCATTCTCGAGCTCGACCTCATAGGAGCGGGAATCCTCATTCCAGGCATCATCTGTCTGTTGCTGGCAGTCCAGTGGGGAGGTTCCACTTACGCATGGAACAGTTCTCGGATCATTGGACTTTTTGTCGGTGCAGGCTTGCTTCTGATCCTGTTTGGCATCTCCCAGTGGTGGCTCGGAGAAGCAGCTACTATACCGCCACGACTCTTAACCCAGCGAACCCTGATTGCTTCCTGCGGCTACGTGTTTAGTTTCGGTGGAGCCGTGTTTCTCCTTATATACTACCTGCCCTTGTACTTACAAAGTGTCAAGGGATCCTCGCCCACCCGCTCCGGTATCCAGATCCTACCATTGATGCTCTCCACCGTTCTCACCTCGATCCTCGGCGGCATCCTCGTCACCATCATTGGCTATTACACGCCGCTGCTCATCGGGGCGAGTGCGCTCATGACAATCGGATATGGCCTGATCAGCACCTGGACCATCGACTCGCCGTTCCGCGAATGGTTCGGCTACCAGATCTGCGCGGGTCTTGGAGCAGGCTTTGGATTCAATCTCCCCCTTGTGGCGGTGCAGACTGCCCTACCCATGAAGGATATTCCCCAAGGAACTGTGCTGCTTATGTTTTGCCAGTCGCTCGGCGGCGCACTCTTCATCGCTGTTGGGCAGTCTGTGTTCTCGAACGGTCTGGTCAGCGGCACTGCCAAGTACGCACCAGATATCGATCCACAGTTCCTCATCAACACGGGTGCGACTGCGATTCGCAGCCAACTGGCAAAGATTGGGAAAGAAGACGAACTGCGCCAAGTGATTGAAGCCTACGTATACGCCTTGAAGGACTGCTACCGGGTCGCCATCGCCATGGGTGGCATGGCGTTCATCGCGGCATGCTTTCTCGAGTGGAAGAACGTGAAGAAAGCGAAACAGCCCGGCACGGAGGCCATACCGGCTATGGGATAGATGTTTAGAAGAAGAAATGGTTGGGTGTCTGGGGCTGAATCTCAACTCTTGTCATCGGGCGTGGACTTGGCCAGGCTGTAGATGAATGTCACTTTGCTAGCATTTCAACGGCTCAAAAGCGTGGTGTTGGTTCGGGCGCCGCCCTTTCATGAAGCATATGCAGCTCAAGAGACTTGCTAGGCGTACCTAAAATCTGAGAGCCTCGAATGGGTGGGTTGCCTCAGTGCGAAAAAAAAAACACCTCAATGTCCAAATCAAGCTCGTGATACAGTATATGGCTGTCGACATAACCGTAAGCCTTCCCTTCAGCTTGAGCACCAGCATTCAAAATCACTCTTCAAACGACCCCCCAAGGTCCCCCGTTTCGTTGAGCATGTAATAATAGCTTCGGAACCAACGGCAACGTGGCCCGGCCCCCGGGCAAGCGAAATGTAACGCTCCTCGTCCTTCTGAGACTTGTGGCGCCGCCTCGCGCGCCTCGCTTGGGACTCAATTCTTCAACCCCGGTCACAACAAACTGCCCCTGGATCAGGAGGGAGAAAGAAGGGTACTCCGTATCTATCACCATACCGTGTCAGGAATGAGAGGCTCACACCCATCTCTTCTTGAACCGAGTCTCAAGTAGCGGCTGCCGTTGACGGTTCGTCTCCTTGAGTCTCGTTCCTTTCAAGGTGATATCTATACAAAGATCGTGGATAAGCAATTTGAAATCGTTCATATGTTAATTATGTATCTGCTCGAAGGATATGTTTACCACTATTAGCAGCCAACCTCCACATATAGAGGGGCTCAGGAAGAAAAAAGGACGAAAAGGTAGGTAAATGTCGCAAAACGTTCCGAGACGTCGTAGTATAATTATATGTTGCTGCTTGCCGGAACCACATCAGAAAGAGCAGACAGAAGCTGGTGCGTCCCTCCCTCTCCCGCTCTCTCCCTCGCTCAGTCAAATAAACAACCTGCTGTAGGAGAACAACACACCCACACTCCTATTCCTTTGGTAACGGCATGACATTATCGCAGGAGTTCGGCCACTTGCAGTTTTGCCTTTGCCAACGTCAAAAATAAGGTACCGGTCGATGTTGATGATGGTTGTGGGCGGGAGGGCCCTATATGCATGAATGGATAGACAGGCACACATTGCGGCGACTTGCCGGCTTCTGTGACTATAGTGGTATGTAGCTTGATTGATTGGATTTGTATTGCGCACAAGTTAGGTTGTGAAAAAAATAGTAGTAAAAATGTCTCTTTTTACATGGGACCCATACGTTAAAAATATATTTCCTCCTCTTGTGCTCCTGCAATATTTCAATATTTCACATAGCATCTCCTCTCTTCGGTGCCGCTAACCTCTCTCTCTCCCATCCGTATCGTTCACATTCAGTGGTGCTTGTTCTTGAGGGCGTGTCGGTGCCGTTGGAGATCACGCTTGATGCCGGCCTCGTAGCTAAGCTTGCCCTCGACGTTGCCGGTCTGGTAGTTCGAGTAGGAGCTGCACTCATCCTGGAAGCCCTGGCTGGACCAGTAGGATTCGGCGTCAATGGCGTCAGGCTGCTCGATGTACTGCAGACCCATACCGCCGTCGGCGTGCCAGATGATATGACAATGCATGATCCAGGCGCCTGGGTTGTCGGTCTGGAAGCCGATGACAGTCCAGCCGCTCTGGGCCACACCACCGGGGCCGGCGAAGCCATAGAGCAGCGCCGTGTCACGACGGCACGGGTTAGCGAAGTTGAGTGACGACACCTGGTCGGCCGAGAAGACACCCTTGCCCTGGCCAAGCACCGAGAAGTCGTGGCCGTGCAAGTGGATCGGGTGCGACGTCTGGAAGTTGTTCTGGATCACAAAGTATACCCAGTCGCCTGCCGGGCCGTCCAGTACCACCGCGTTCGAGTACTTGGAGCTGTTGAAGCCGAGGGTCGGGAGCTCCGCCATGGTCTTGAGCGTCGGGTTCTCAAAGTCCACGCCGATGGTCTGGTTGCCCAGAACGGAAGCCGAGTTGCCGTTAAGGTCGAGGAGACCACCGAAGTACCATCTGATGATCGGGCCGTAACCGTCGAAAACTTGAGAGCCACCGTTGCCACCAGGCAGAAGCTTGGCAGTGTCGGTGAAGTCGTCAACGCTGCCACCATCCTTGCTGACGAAGGGAACAAGGCTGGCCAAAGGCTCGTCGCGGCAGTCAGAGGCCGGGGCGATGGTGAGAGTCTCGGACGTCGGGGTGCCGCATGATCCGCGGTACGTGAAGACAGGGTTGGCAATGCCGAGACCAGTGTTGACGTTCTGTTCACCGCAGCCAGTTTGAGTGATGGCGCGCATGAAGTATGCGCCAGGGGTCTGACCGTGTGTTAGATAAGAAATCAACTGTGTCACCAAAGTGTGCTACTTACCTGGTTCATCTCGACGATGACGTTGTACCGTTGACCGGGGTTGACGTACAGGCTGGTGGTTGTGTATGGCACGATCGGGGTGTAGTCGGAGCTGATGACCGTCATCGTGTGGTAGTCGAAGTGCACGATATAGGAAGATTGAGCAGAGCTGGATTGTCAAAGAGTTAGCCACACGTTGGGCTCAATACACCAAGAAAGCTGGAGTAACACGTACCTGTTGATGATGCGGAACAGATGCTTCTTGCCCGGCTCGACTGTCCACTGGGTTGCCTTTCCAGAGCTTCCATCTGGAGACAAGTTCTTTCCGTTGACCATGTAGTTGACGGCAGCAGGAAGCGGGCCTCGAAGACGGGCAATGTTCCAGGCCATCTGGAAGATGGTTTGGCTGAAGACCTCGTCAATCATGACATGGCCCATGTCGTAGTCATACTCAGCCGTCGCAGGTCCGTGAATGATGACAGGTCCTCGGATACCACCGCCATATTGCGACAGGGCGTGCGAGTGGTACCAGCCGGTTCCGTAGGTCGAAGCGATCCAGGTGTAGGTACGTGAGCCACCGTTAGGTGGGATAGCGCACTCCGTAACACCGGGAACACCATCTTGGTCATTGGTGCCGAACTGGCGGATGCCGTGCCAATGGATCGTGGTGGCGTTGTCAACCAGGTTATTGATGACAGTAACCTCGACAGTGTCACCCCAGTTGACCTCGATGGCGGGACCAGGAGTTCCACCGTTGATTGCAAAAGCCGGTCGAACAGTGCCGTCGAAATCGATGTCGGCGTCCGTGATCGTGAGGGTGAACTGCTTGACTTGGTTGGTAGTGTACGGTACCAAAGTGTCGTCACCAACAGATTTGCCGCACCATTGGCTACGGTCCGAAGCGGTGTTGTCCGGGCAGGCGGTTTGCTCAGGCAGAGCAGACAACGTCTGAGACGGTGCGCAGGTAGAAGACGAGGTGGTAGTGGCGCTGCGACTGCTGGTACTGGTGAGGCTTGAAGTCGTGACTGGATCAACTGAGCTCGTGGTGGGGAAGAATGATCTGCTGAAAGTTGAAGTGGTGGTTGGAGGATCCACGCTGCTGGTAGAGGAGGATGTACTCGCCGGAGGATCACTGCTTGAGGAGCTGGTGGTACCGGGCGCGCTGGATGAGGTGGTTGAGGAACCGGCAGGCGAGACAGTGCTGCTTGTTGGGTCAGACGACGTTGTGCCCGAAGTTGTGCTCGATGTTCCTGCTGGAGGGTCTGCGGCAGAGGTGGTGGTGCTAGACGACGTTGCGGCTGGATCGCTAGAGGTCGGGGTTACAGAGCTGGTAGACGACGTTGCGGCTGGATCGCTAGAGGTTGAGGTCGAGGTCACAGAGCTGCTGGACGACGGGGGGTCGGCCGGAGAATCGCTCGAAGTCGAACTAGCGGAGCTGGACGTCGATGTAGCATCAACTGGGAGACCGCTCGTGCTTGAGGTCGTAGAGCTGCTCGACGAAGGGTCAGCTGGAGGATCGGCCGAGCTCGTTGGGCCTCCGTAGGTGCTCGTCGATGTCGGGCTACCGGCAGGACTTGAGGAGCTAGGGCTTCCATACGGGCCAGAGGGTCCGCCGTATGAGGTCGATGAGCTAGGTCCTACGTATGGACCTGACGAAGTTGGGCTACCAGCAGGGCTAGATGAGGTTGGGCTACCAGCAGGGCTAGATGAGGTTGGGCTTCCAGCCGGGCTTGAGGAGCTTGGGGTTCCGGAAGGACCGGCGCTGGTGCTGGACGACGATGAAGAGGTCCAAGTTCCATAGCCCGACGAATGTCCACCGCCGCCATGATGGTCAGAGACGGAGGAAGACGAGCTGGGGGTTCCAGAATGATCATGTCCGCCGTGACCACCATCTCCCTTGCTTGTAGGCGAGACCACCGACCCTGTGCTGGTGACTGTGCCGGTCCAGTCCTGCCACGGCGCTGTCGGATAATCGGGCCCGCAAGTCCATGCTTCGGTAATGGGACAAACGGTGATGGTTCTCGTCGTGGTCACCACCACGATTTCGTCGATATCTGAGCCTTTGCCAAACCAGGCGAGCGTCTGCAGCGGCAAGAATGCCGCTGCGTATAGAAGCGACCGCATAACAGATCAACACGAAAAAGGAGTGACAAAATGGAAAACGAGAGGACGAAAGCAAAAGCTTTCAAAAAAAAAAAGTCACGGTTTGAACGAAAGACAAAGGTTTGAAGCAGAAAAGATCAAGGCCAGGAGAAAACGGAAGCCTCTTCAACTTGTAGCAGAATATGCCGGGTCCAACGTCGGATCAGCCATGGCGCCGGAGTCTCGCTTGTGGGCAAAGCCACCGAATGACCTATCTTACCACTTCTTGAGGGCAAGAGAAAGCAAGATCGTCTCCACCTTGGCCGAGAAGGTGCCAGGAAGCCCAGCACCACCAGGGGCGCACGAATGGTATCAGTGCAAGCCGTGGCTGACCAGCACGGTTTGACTTGTGGAGTAAAGAGTCTGGTCAACTGGGGAATCACGTAGGTGCGCCGCGGTTCGGGAGATTGGGACTGCGCAGGGAAAAGGAGAAGCCAAGGCGTCGAGATCCCACATGACGAGAGGGCGCCCACGTTCTGGTGTGGAAAGGTTGATGAGTCGCGGGAGAGGACAAGACAAACTTACCAGCAGGGAGATTTGATCTCGCAAGCCCAGAACGGCCAAGGTCATGATAGACTGAGACACATCAGGGCCGGGGCTGTTGTCGCTTACGGGACTTCGGAAACCGATAATGCCAGAACCAAACTTTTTCACTTGCCCTGAACAAGATGGCCGAGACTATACACTCATCTCCTCAATAATGGTCCAGACGTCGGACCTGTCACTCACGCAGTATATACACATTCTGTTGTGGCACAGAAGAATAATAAGAAGGAGATACTCTGTGCCTTCGATACGCCCGTCCAGCCGGTCTTCGTACCACTACGCCTGCCCCAGTCATGGTGTCAATCTCAGGGTGACCAGTGGCTTTTGGTGGCGGACACCCCATGAAGCCATGAAGTCTTTCACGTCTCGCAAGTCTCTGAGCAAACAAAAAGAGAGAGGCTAGTACGGGCGCGAACCTCTGTCCACACCTTCTCCCCCCCTGAATCGATATTGCCTATCGCGTCGCATAGTGTTTGCGCTAACCCAGGTTAGGTTAAACATTAGGCCCTTTATGGACACACTAAGGGGCTAGTGGGTCCAAGGGGTGTTAGCCACCGAGCCACGTTTTTCTCATCCTACCACAACATCCCTGCCATATTTCAGCCTCGCAACTTCAATCTTTTTATCCGTTTAGCCAAATGTCTAATTAAAGGATACAAACTTCGTCATGTGGAAACGAGGCTCTCTCCAGCCCTCTCTTGCCGTGCTCTCCGAAGTGCCGACAGAACCGCCTCCTGCAGCAACCTCTTTGGCCATATCTTGCAGAGGGCGAGACGACGCAGGTCCACGGGGCGAAGTATGCAGGAGCAGAAGTACTTGATAACAGCAATAACGCCAAGATCTTGGATCTGGAGGAGAAAAGGTTCGCACGCGGACGCCTCCAGATTTGAGCCACCGAATGCAGGGAGAGCACGTTGGATCAACGTCTTGCGAGGCTTTGCGATGGAGCTTTGCCGCTGCGATCTGATGCAGCTCACTGGACCCTCGCGCGCGGATGAGACGCGTCTCTGTGGAACAAAGCAACCGTTTGATCACCACAACACTTGAGGGTTTGCAGAGCGTGACCGATCTCTGCCCCAGGGAGAGTGGTTAAATGTAGCCCTTGAACAGTGGGCATGACGTTGAGACGGGTGTCGTGCCGTGTGACTAGCCCTTTGGACGGATACAGCAGGAGTCTGGCGACCGGTCATCCTAATAGTACCCAGTAGTGAATCCTCCCAAGCGCTGGCTGAAGTACGTCAAGCTGACAGTCTTCGAGAAAGTCTCGTCGAACAAAGGGCTCACAACTTCCATCACCAGGCAGGGGCTTTGCTGATGCGATCAGCATTCCCCGACTCTGCCCAATCTCTAGATTACACGTTACACGTCAGCGAGCAAACGTCACCGCTTGAAGATCGTCAATGGGAAGTTGCGAGTCGTCGTATTCGCTCCTCTTATACTCCGTAATTTCTGCGCATCGAAACTCTTTGATAAACAATCCAAAACACGATCAACGTGTTCCCTCCGCGAAGCCCTCGAGCTGCATCGTGTTTTGGTGAGCTCCTGGATTCGGCATGCATGTGAGAGTGTCTAACGAGAAGGGGCAGGAGCCAAATCAAAGCACTTGACCATTGATTCGACGGTGACCCTTTATCCAGAAATGGTGCTTCGCTTCCATTGACACACACACACACACACACAGTCACATCCTATCTGTCCTATTATAAGATTACTGGTGTTTGACGCGATGGTCAGCTCATCGTTCATGATTACTACTATTTGGCCACCTTGGGGACATCGCGTGCAAATCGTTGTTTGACCCGGCCCACTGATTTCTGAGGTCCCTTCTCGCCGGTTTGGGTAGGTACCAGGCCCCTCGAAGGAGCACGGAGCTCAGGGAAGCGAGTGTCCGTCTCCCGATCCCGCCTTACCGAGTCTCGATGACACCATCCCATTGAGTGGAGAACAGACCCTTTTCGGATAGGCATGTACGGCAGTGCTCGTACGCGCATATTGATTCCCAGGGCCTCCAGTACCAAGTGAGGACTGGAAATCATTTAATGAGCACGAATGCACTGGAAGAATTCAGTAGGTCTTGGAAGACGAAAAAGCAGAAGCAGAAAATATTCTGACGCGACAAGGGGAAATCATCGTGTTTGCGACCCGTGCCACACCTTCAGCTGCCCTTAACTCTATTTGTAACTTGAACGCTCGAAAGGGTCAAGGGGCCAAGTTAGATCAGCATAAGATTACGGAGTTCTCGACCTCGTTTTCCCGAAGACTTGTCCAGCGTGAAGTAAGGCCACCTGAAATTCATCAATGAAGTCCATTGATGAGACTGCGAAGACAGCCTTGAATAGTGATTTCCACGACGATACTCGGCATCTCGCGTTTTCTTTCGTTGCGAAAAGGCTCCAGCGTGATTATCTGAGCCGGGAGCTCTGTGAAACCTAGTTGGAGAAGTCGAAAGCACGTGTGGAAGGTATCTGTGGCGGCCAGGGCGGCTCGAACGAGCATGAATCCTGGTAGAGGGGTTTCACCTCCATGCATGTGCTTCGTGCTCAGCATCTAAGGTGCGAGCAAGGCTGAAACCAGGCTTGAGCCGTTTTGTGGAGGCTGAAGGCCACGAGCATGAGTTGGCAGATGTACTCGACCACCCACATACTCCGTGCATGGGAATCTGGTAAGCAAGAAAGAGAGAAATGCCATGCTTTGGCTGCAGCAAGTAGCCTGGATGGGCCTGCGTCTGCACCCCGTATGAGCTACTTGACGGTGTACGTTTGGTTTCAAACTCGGGTGCGCCGGTCTCTCGGCATCACCCACCTTTTCCACCATAACGCTGATCATCCAGGAGTTCGTGCCCTCCAGGGGTAAGGGAAAGCAGTATTAAAGTAGATATCGTCACTCAAGCAGCTCTTTAATGACGACTGCTTCCATATCCCAGGGCGCCCACCAGTCGACGACTTTGACCCAAAAAGCCGACTTGACGAAGGCAAGGAAGGCTCGCTTGCACCCTTTCTCTCGTGGCATCCGACAAGCGCACTTCAACACTCAAAAACGGTGGCAAGAGAGCCATTTGGTTAGGGTCGGACCACCGCTTCATGTCTGGTGACATGCCAATCGCATACAGAAGATACGACGGTCCACTGTACAGCTCGACGTCGCACCGATCGAATTTGCGTTGCCACGCCCAGTACTGGTAGACCAGTTCTTCAGCAGAAGCGCTTTGGAGATCGCAGAGCACGATATGGAGGAGCAGGATGGGTATGATCGGACGGACAACGCTGGGCACATCTGCCGGCAGGGTTCGATAGGTCGGTGTGCCAGGAAGGAACAGGCTCACGGGATGGAGGTTACCAAGAGGGTATCGTCGTCTATAGACGGCCACGGTGTGGAAATTTCGGTAAGCGGCGATGAATTCAAGCGTGCAAAAGTGATCTCATTGAGCTTGAGTGAAGGCTGCCTCTGCCATTAGCAGTCTCTGCCGTTCCGTCTCGTCCAGCAAGTGAACCGAAAACCGAGTCCACATTGCAGAGATCTGTCCATTTGACAGCACATGTTCTCTGTGGGCAGTTATGAACGTGTTGGTGATGGGCTGTGTCTCACCGAAAGGCGGCTTGGGTCAGTGTATCGAATATTGCACTCTCTGACTCACCATGTCATTTCCACGCCAAAGCAGGTGAGTAATGCGGAACGTCCCACCCGTGTCGACGTTCCAGCGCCGCTCGCAGACCACGACAACGCAGAGAGAACGAGTTCCATGCCTGCTCTTTCGTCACCTCTGAGCTTTCCCTAATAACCGATTCTGTAGTGCAGATGCAGGCCAGGGCCTGAAGAAGCCCGTCGCTCGGATTCGCCGCTTCGGCTTCCAGCCTCGTGCGGAAGCTGTGGAAGGTTGATAGCATTTCTCAGCAAAATTTCTCTCCTCCTTTGGGGGGTCTTCAATCAGAGCGCGGCTCATTGCTGCAAAGTGGACAGCGACCGACAGCACGAGGGGATTTCCTTGCGTTACCGGCCAATGCAAATTGCGCGGCGGAAACCATGTCTTCTGATGACGTTTTCCGAGATGAGGTACGCAGTTTTCCAGGGCTGTAAATCAAGTCAGCTTTTTCCCCAAGATGGGGGCACCGGCGACCCTCATCGTACGGTGGGCAACCATGATGCCTTCGCTTGGGTTGAGGTCCGCAGCGAGTGTCTTGAAGGGGTCTAAATGGCCGTGCAAGAGATTCTGTGCATCTGCCAAGGCCAGCAGGGCCTTTTAAGGGCCAAGGATTGATTGGAGTGGAGGAGAGGAGAAGGTTTCAGACTAATCAGGGGCGATTGAAGTGGCCTGTAAATCGGTCAGTTTCGTGGAGCTTACAGAGGTTTTTTGAGAGGGCTTTTCAGAGACGAATGGATGTTACTAGACAAACAGACTAAGACCGTTTAATGAAGGTTTGATGAAGATTTGAGGGAGTTGTTGATAATTGATGGAGTTGTTGATGAAAAGCCGAGTTTAGCAGTGGCGGAGATGGCAAGGATCGATTCGGAGCGGGATAACTAAGATCCGGTCAAGTCACGTTACTAGTGTTTGCAACAGCCAATCGATAAGCTCCGATGGGAGTTGGCCAATCAGCAGCGTGGCTACTCGGTCAGCTCAGCTTCGTAGATTCAGAACTTCGTATTCGTACCAGGTTCGCAATCGTTCACTTTCCCCTAAGGATCGCTAGCGAGGGTCAAGCGCTGACGCTTCAAAACCCGACCAACCTGCTATCGAAGCTGTAACACTTAAATCGACATCTGCACACAAGGAGAAAAGTACTTGTTTCTCGCAACTCTTAACCAACGTCAACAACATCTATCCATCAGGCTATTTACTCGACGTAACCATTTTCAATCCGGATTCGTTAATCTCCATCTCATCTCCAGACCAGAAAATCCAGGCAAAATTAAACCACAGACCTGGAAATCCAAAAACCCACCAGATAGCAGACACCACCCCCATCATTCCTCACCAACCATGCCCCTCTCACAATCCCGCTACCTGCCCATCGCGATCGGCGGCTTCGGCCTGATGGCGGTCGGTCTGGGCGTCAACGCATTGTTCAATCCGCGATCGGCGCTGGCACTGTTCCAGTTCCCGCACCCGGGGGCGCGGGCCAACACGATCGAAGACACGCCCGAGGGCCACCTGGTCGAGAGCGTGATGATGCTCGAGGGCGCACGGACCATCGCACTCGGCACCGCCCTGATCTCCACCGCCTACTACGGCAGTCGCAAGGCCCTGACCGTCATGGTATGGGTTAGCACCGGCGTCGCCGTCGCCGACGGCTTCATCAGTCGCCGCCAGATCGGTGGCAACGAGTGGGCGCACTGGATGTTTGTGCCCGTGGGCGTTGTCATCGGGGGCATACTGAGCGGTTTCGCGGATTAGTTGGTCTGTCTCTCCGCCATTTGGAAGTGGGATACTCAGTTGGTTTGCCCGCTGTTGATGGAAGAATGGCTGTACATATAGTTATCGCACTTTCCTTTTGTAGGTAGTGCCCCAAACGGGAGTTCTCGGAGGGATGGTTGAATTGATTTGGATCAATCTCTACTCCGTCCAGTTACAAGATAGAGCCTTGACTTTCTCGAAGAAAAGAAAAAAAAGAATCAACTCTCCCAAAGAAAGCAAAGCCTCCCCTCTCAAACTCAGGGACGAGTCGACTTACCCACGCCAGAAGACTTTCTGGTTCTATATCCCTCTGCCTGAAGTCAAACCCATTGCTGCTGCAAGATAGACGAGGCAATGCTCCACTCCATCATTAATCTTGCAGTTCAGCTCCAGTGGCTCTTCCCCACGGGAAACCAGCCACCCACCATTGTAACACAACGAGTTAAGTTGACACTGGATGGCCCTCACGCATGCCCCTTGCCAAAGCCAACTCGTTTGCACCTCTGCAAGCTGCTAGTACGCGTAGAGATAGAGAGTCGCTGACGGATGGAAGGGCATGTTCTCGGACCCTGTTACGACTACCGAACTCTTGGTGCCCTCGGGCAGAAGAGCAGTCGAGAAGGAAAATACAACAGTCCCCAAGGTTCACTTCTTACCTACCTACCTACCTTAGCAAAGCAAACGCGGGGGCGATCGCCACTTGACGGGGTTTGGTTGGTTCATTGACTGGGGATCGGATGAAGGAAGCATAAGGACGACGACCGGAGGCTGGGAAATCCTGCTAGTGGTCCGCCCTCTGAACGATATTTTCTTGGACCTACCTACATATCTACGAGTACATAGGTGGCTGGCATTCCTAGTTGATTGCTCGGCGTGAAGCACAAGACGCCGTGCCCTGCTCCTCAAGCCCTGGGAATGCGGCTGTGAGATTGGAGCCAAAGCTTAACGCCGCTTTGAGACTCCACTTCGTGTCGGGGAGGGCGGAAATGCTGATCCTCAGAGGCGTACGAGGTACACTCGATGAGTCCAGCCAGCATAAGAAACGACCTTGGTCAAGCCACCGGAGCTGACAGAGTGGTCTCCTTCTTCCTGCCACCAAGGTTCGAGACCACACTGGTGAGTTGTTAACTGTCTGGTGGAAGAGCCTGGATGAAAGCTCGCTGACTCGTCAGAGCACATCAACCCCGAACAAGGTTTGCCCAGATTGGGTAAGTTGGCAATCTCAAATGCACTTGATATGGTCACCAAGTCAGGATGCTGGACAGCTATCTCGCTGTAGAGAGCATACTCGACTTCCCGCTGGGATCCAAGCTAGGGATTCCGAGTGGATTCAGTCCATCTCGTGCCATAAGTAGGGCCTGCGTCCCTCTCCATCCCTCTGGCAGACTCGAGCCAATTATACCAGTTCATTTCCCCTCCAAGGTCCATATTGGCATCGACGGAATCAATCTCCCAGTTCGAGAACACGTCGACTGATGGGTCCGCATCTGCCCAGAGCCAAGGGTGGAAACCCGGACCCATGGTCCGGCCGTCAACCAGGTCGCCAGGCCCCGTGCGAATGGTGTTATATGGTGGCTCAACGGGCTGTTCAGAAGCCGGCTCCCTGGGAATGTTCGTGTTCATTGACGAATGAGGGTCGTTGTTGTTGATGTTCTTCGGGATTTCGTCATTTTGCAGTCCGTTCATGCTTAAGGACGTTACTTCAGAGGGGATGTCGAACTCGGAATCCCCGGAGTTACTTGGAGGAATCAACCCGGCAAACAAAGGCTCCCTGTGGACTTCATGGACTGTAGGGTCGGCAAGTCTTGCGTTAGAGGTGCGCGGTATGTGTCGCTGGTCGAGGGGCAGCACTGGGGTGGCTACGAGCCGGCGCCATCGCTCACGGAAACTGTCCACACTGGATCTGGCTGGGAATGGAGCAGAGCTTGCAGGCACAGGAGTCTTGTAGTCTTCCATTTCCAGCAATGCAGCCGCCTGTGGATCGGCGCGGAGCCTTTGGAGCTCGGCGTCCCGATGCTTCTGGGCCTTGGTAATCAGCTTTCGTAGCGGAATCCATATGCGAAGGTTGTTGTCTGCTAGAGCCTGGGCCGGAATCAGCCATTTACTGTGGAGGACAACCCAAGCCCTCTCGACGGTAGACGACCACGGCCGTCGTGAAATCTCGATCAGGAGGAATACAATGGCATGCCAGTGGGTGTGGCTCTGATAAAGCCAGCGCCAATGCCGACATGCCTCTTCGGCGTTGAGTGCATGGTTGTATTCTGCGACCTCCATTGCCGAGACAAGCAACTTGGTTCTGATCTCGTCCGACGTGGGCTCGCTAGGGGTAGAAAAGAGAGTCGGGAGATACACGATGAGCGTCATCTTGGCCATGACCATTCGCGCGACGGTGGCGGCGACCCAGTAGGCAATGTTCCCTGATTCACTCGTGTGTTGAAGATACTCCCGTTCGAAATTCCCGTAGATTTCGTTCAAAAGACGGCTCTGGTGCTCACCGGCACTAGATATCATCATCTGCCTCATAATGTCGACGATTCCAGCGGAGATGCGTGTAAATGTCATGTCGGTGATGCCCTGCCGCTCTGTGGGAGTCTGTTTCGACTCAGGATCTATGTCTCCATCGTTGACGTTGAGTGGGATCTTTGTGTCGAAGCTGCCGTGCGCGATGCTTAGATCTGTTCCTTGGTCCTCAGATGCCCGTAAATCCAGTCGACACAGAGTCCACCAGACGCGTCGCCGCATCTCAGTCTCAAAAGGTCTTTGGTGTTTGAAATGAAGTCCATCTCGCTGCAAACCAAGGTACTGCGCCATTCTGATGACGAGCCCAGTCATCATCCACACAAACCTCGGACTGTCATGTCGTCGGGCAAGGCATAGAAAGAGGGCAAACGCCTGGACTAGTTCCAGATTGGGGAGGGTCAGGAAATCAGCCTTGGCCAGGCAATGCTCCAGCCCAAGACGATACTTGAGACTCAGTTCGGATTTGGGGGAGCCAAAGTGGTTCATTGCCTGCACAGGAAACATGGTCAACACAGCTTAATCATGTCTGGCCGACCTCTAACGTCACGGTCAAGGGAGGGCTCACATCGTCCTCCTCCATGGATGTTACAGCAGCGTAAGAGACGGAGAATATTAAGGCTTCATGAGATGGTGTGAGGTGGGCCATGCGAACACCGTCAGGACCAAAGACCATCTTCGTGAAGGTTGGGATGTGGACAATTTGCATGAACACGTTCACGTTTCTCGAAAAGCTGTCCAGAAGGATGGGCAAATGTGAGGGTAGCGGATGTAGCTCGTCGAGATTGGGAGCTGCAGGAGCTAGATTATGTCGAAACAGGAACGCATGGCGTTGCCAGGGCGTCCGCTCGGTGTCCTGGGTGGGCACTGTCTCTTCAAGAGCTGCATCATCCCATGAGCTGTCCGAATCGTCTGTTACTTGACCCCCACTATCGGCCTCTAAGCCATCGAGCTGCGCTGAAAGTCAGTGAATCTTTTCGTCGAAGATGGGGACGTAAACGCAATGGCGAGCTGACCTCTTCGTCGACCCGGGTCCAGAAGGCGCTGCTCACATAATGGCTGCGACCGGCATTTTGGAGCACCAAGCGGCCAAAGTGTTGACGAAGTTTGCTGATATCAGTCGCCGGTGACAGCGTCCTCTCGTGCTCTCTGTCCCGATTCTTGATCGAACTATCATCAGGCGAATTGACTCTAGATGAATTGCCGCCAGCCGAGCTCGTCGTCGCTGCACGAGTCTGCTCCAACTGACCGCTCAGATCCTTCACCAGGAGCTCAAGGTTGCGCAGTCTCTCCATGACCTTGTCAAGGTCCGCATTGGCGTCCAACGGTTGCGGAGCGTCTGACGCTGGAGGATTGTTGGTGAGATGATGGAGACGACGCGCCCACCTCGGCGGGCGGTCATCTGACGGAATGACACAGGCGATGTTGGCTCGGCGGCAATTGGAGCAGGGTGACTTCTTGTCACAGCGAACCTTGCGTGCGCGACATACAAGGCAACTGCGTAATTTAGATGCCGGTCGAGGCGGTGTCGGGGCATCCCTGCTGGCCGCCGCAGGAGCATTCGCAGTCTTTTCGGCGATCGACACCGAGGAAAGCGTGGGTATTGCCGCTGACGAGCTCTGCGACATGGCCTCTGTGCGAGGGGATAGGCGCTGATATATCTCTGGCTGACTGGCTGGTTACTCCGTGTCGCGACAAAGTGTGAGAGGGTCGGCCCCCAGTCACAGTTCTTCTAAAAGCCGGGCGCCTGAACTATGCCTGATACAGTTACTTGATGGGCCTCGCCGTCTATTGACGAATAGAATCCTGTCCGAAAAGTGCGCGAGAACTCACCGAGACAAGCGACGGGTGAACCAGCTCGCCGACCACTACGTCGCCGGCCGATCGGATGAGGGTTGTCCCTGTGGAAGAGCTGGTATAACAACCATGTAGTATCTCTGGAGCCTTTGCTATTGCTAAGTCGTCGACCTACACCACTGTGCGTTGAGCAGAAATTTCATCCGTGACCAAGATCACACGGCATTTCGAGCGAACAACTCGGAGAGGGCCTGTTTGTATTCGACTGGCGATATGAGCTCTTCAAGTCCACAAATAGATCCCTCGTGCGAAGAGTGCATCAAGGTAGGACACCTGGTTTCAAACTTAACCAACGCATTCCACTCACCACATTTCCCAGGGCACCATTCTCCATGGCCAGCCACAGGGCAGTGAAGAAGAGATTCACGGGCTTAATACCTACGTGGTCGGCAACCGGACCAACCCGCGGGGCATCGTTGTCGTCTATTCAGATATCTTTGGCCTGCCATTTCCCAACAACAAACTGATTGCGGACGCCTACGCCAAGAGCGGCGAATGGCTTGTGTATCTCCCAGACTTCTTCAAGGGGGATCCGGTACCGCTGAAGACTGCCGATGTTTTCCTCCCGGTCGATGCGAAAAAGCAGTCGACGTTGGCAAAGTACACTGGCATTCTTGCGAGGGCGCCGTCGTTCGTCATGTGGATGACGAGGCACAAGGAGGGGCCTACCAACCAAATCTGCATGGATTTCTTACAGGCGTTGAGGCGCTCGACTCCCCCAAGCCAGAAGATCGGAATGGTCGGATTCTGCTGGGGTGGGAAGTATGCGATTCGAGCCGGTTTGGAAAGCAACATGATTGAGGTTGATGGTAAAAAGGTGCCGCTTGTGGACGCAGTGGTGGCTTTGCATCCTAGTCATCTTGCCATTCCAGCTGATGTCGAAGCTTTGGTCGTTCCTGTCACGATCGGATGGGGGCTGGAGGATCAGGGCGTGAATATTGAGCAGAAGGGCAAGGTAGAAGAAGTCCACGCGAGAGCAAAGGCAGCAGGGAGGAAGCTGCCAGAAGTAGAGCATAAGGTTTATAAACCGGGCCGGCATGGGTTCGCTGTGAGAGGCAATCCAGACGACCCAGAGGAACGCGCATGCCTGGAGGAGTCGGAGAAGCAGGCTCTGGACTGGTTGGCGCGCTGGCTTTGAAGCATATTAGGGAACTTATCTTCAGCTGGTAGAATTATTACTGACTAGATGTCTGACCTTATCAAGTAACCTTGGACGTTGTGCTCGATCGCGCCTGTATAGCCCAATATATATCCAAGATCAAGTCTTTTCAGGAGCTAGTCCCAGAAAAAATTGCCGATTGAAAGCAAACATATCCTCAAAGGTGCAGAATTCCGGAATCCCCATTTCGAAATGAGGAGGGAGTTTGGGCCGATACTCTTCCAGAAAATCTGAAAGCTCCTGATGTTGCTGGTTTTCCAGACGGCGGAGAATGTATGCGAGACTGATGTGAAAAGAATATCTGTCGTGAGCAGGATGGTGCAGCTGCAGGACCTCAGAGAGGCGATGTCGGAGACCGCGGAGTCTGGTTTCGTCGGCGGAAGTCGCTGGAACGGCTCTCAGGGCAATGCCATCTATCAATGGATCGTAGCCAACAATAGTCATTTGAAACGGTGGCTCGCCCTCGATACCAAAGTTTTCGAGCTTCTTTTTGAAGAGATCCGTGCACCGGCTCAGAGGGGCATCGAGAGGCAAATCCGCCGGCCAGACATGGGGCTCCCGAGTCTGATCAGTAACGCCTTCAAAGACAGTCATGTGCCAGCTTTCGGGCGGTAACAAGGTGTATAGTGACGCAAGCTTGTGGTGTCCAAGTGCATCATATAGACCGAGCATTGCACGGAACAAAGCGTGATCTGGGGAGAGATGACAGATGATCGTGTTCCCGGGAAAAGGCAGTACATTCCCATCAGGATCAAACTTCCGACCGATTGAAACGGGATAGTCAGTATGTGGAGAATCTTGTCTCGGTGTAGGACCAGATGAGTTGGCCATGGCGAGCAGTGAGGCTTCCGTCGCTTCTGAGTCGAATTGGAGCTGTGTGCTACTGTGCTCGAAGAACACGGTAAAACCGGCTTCAGAAAAAAAATAGCTGTTTAAATAAGAGGGCGGCTGGCTTCTTCTGAACCCAGCAAGATGCCCTCTACTGCTACATCCACGCAGAGATGAGGGTATTCTTTGACGTCCATGATCAACTGTTGTCGGGTTCGAGTTTGGGCCCGGGTCGCATGCTGACGTGTTTGACCAATCCCGACACGCAATGTCTCGGCTCATATAAAAGATCCCAGTAACACGTGGGTTGACAAATGGTCAGGCGAAGTTCGTAAGAAAGACCGGGAGTCAACCAGTCAGACCATTTGGAAATCTGGGATCATCTCCTGCGGCAGCCTGATAGTTGGAAAACACTAAGCTAGGCTCGTTTATGCTTCGAATCAGGCAAGATGTAAACTACCAACGATTTCGCAGACAGTCCGGCATTCGACTCGGTTACCTCGTAGGCTGCTCGAAGTTATGAAAGCAACAACGCTTTAATTGCTTTGACCAAAATCGTCAGTCGATACGTGTCGTTGCAGGCATTCGACAGCTTCATTTCAAGACTTTGGCTGCAGAATCACCTTCATCTGCCTGATCTCAGCCACGTCAGCAACCTTTTGTTCCGCAACCAGGGCTGAAGAATGAAACACGAGGGCGTTTGTCCTCCTTTTCAGTTCCTCGATATTTGTTGACCGCACGCCTCCACCTGGCATGACCACAACCCGACCGCCTGCTTGCTTCACAAGCAGCGCAAGAACATCACAATTTTGAAAGGCGTTTGAAACACCACCAGAGGTCAGGATGGTACGAATCCCACAGCCAACAACATCCTCGAGAGCTCGAGGCAAATCTGTGGTTTCATCAAACGCACGATGGAACGTGCACGGCAGAGGAGCTGCCAGTTCAACTAATTCTGAGGTTCTTGCAGCATCGACCGTCCGGTCGGGCTTGAGGATGCCAAAGACAAAGCCGTCTGCAATCGCTTTGAGACCCGTTATGGTGTCTTTCATCTCCTGGAATTCGTCGGGTGAATAGACAAAATCACCGCCTCGGGGGCGGACCATGGCATGAATAGGTATCTCGATCTTCTCGCGCAGGTCGGCGATCCAACTTGAGGGCGGCGTTATTCCACCGACATCTGCACGATCACACAGCTCGACGCGATCTGCCCCAGCCTGCCCTGCGGCCAGTGCAGAGTCGACGTTGAAACAGGCGATTTCAAGGAGTGCCATGAGCAGATTGATATATTTCTTTCATAAGGTACATCAACACCGAGAGGAAAGAAATGGGGCGGGTTTGTCCAGGAAGGTTTGCCGGTGGCATATGACGTATATGCGGATAACTCGTTGATGCCGCAGTTCGACATTCTACCGTCACAATCTTTCTAAGATATGCCAACACTGGACTTTACTCAATCCAAATATTTCACATTTGTCACGGTTCTGATTTTGACCCTTGCTTTATTTCCAGGGCTTCCACAGTACATTCTCGGTCTTCCCGTTCGTCTGCTCATATCTCCATCCGAAACGACAGCCCCTCGCTCCGTTACTTTCGAGTGCCTCCCAGGCCCCAACATGTCAACAACGTGGCTTCAGAAAACCTTTACACTTCCTTCCAAGTCTCGTGGCTCCTACCTCATAACAGACCAGGTTGTGTCGGCATTGCCGGAGATCACAGAATACAAAGTTGGACTTCTGAACCTGTTTATACAACACACCTCATGCGCGCTTTCTTTGAATGAAAACTGGGACAGTGATGTAAGAGAAGATATGAGCGATGCGCTTGACCGAATTGCCCCAGAAGACAGGAAGGGCAATTTATACCGACACTCGGCGGAAGGCTTGGATGACATGCCTGTAGGTGTATATCTCTTCCTCAAAGCATATGGCGATACTCATGAGTCGATTAGGCACATATCAAGTCGGCACTTATTGGTGCAAGTGTTACGATTCCTATCACGAATGGCACTCTGAATACTGGCACGTGGCAGGGGATCTGGTATTTGGAATTTCGGGCGTCGAAGCATACGAGAAAGGTGGTAGCGACCATCCAAGGCGAGAAACGCTGAAACGGTTGGATCTCACCATAATCTCCAATTCATCGTTACTCACCGATGGAAAAGCCACCGCAGGCTATTGCGTGACGCCGTTGTTCTTTCAACAATACCACAGTGCTGATACCTCCGACACCAACGGATTTCGATGCCTCAGTGGGCAATGCGAAATGCCTATCTGGAGACTGTCCGCAGTTGATGACGGTTCCCAGTCGAGAAACCCAGCAGATTCAGATGCGAAGGGGAGAAAGATGTATTTCAGGGTCAGCAGCCTTATTGAGAGGTGCGAGAACGGGCTGTTCGCAGTATTATCGACGCCCAAGTGGAAGTGACGCCGTCCCTAAACAGATAGAGACTGTCGAATGACGGATGAGTATGAGCGATTTTGCTCAAGTTTCCCAGGTCCTTCCTGAAACGAGTTCAGGTCAGCGTCTCCAGGACGAGGGTGCCCTTTAACACTTTTGAATGAATTCTGAACAGTAAATGTATGTAGTGGCACTGACGTATCGGCGAAATATTCTCCCGGGCCGATGCATGGGCGCGGGATGCGCGTAACGTCTTTTCCGCCTTCAACTTGTTGTTTGCGATATTGAAGTCACAATCCACCTCCGCTCTGACACCACGCGATCCTCATGATTGGAAAGTAGTATCTGCGACTGAAACAGTCAACAGTGCAGCACCTGTCAGACTTACGACCGTGTCAGGTGGAGGTCACAACGTCCGCTGCATCGAATGCTAAAGCGGGCTTCTTGACCTCTATCAAGACCTGGATTCTACCTGTTTCTGCTTCGTACATGCTGGAGAATACATATTCTTTGGCACAATTCTCAACAGTAAGATGGCAGGCTTCAGTACACCCATGCAGAATGCGCGCACGCCGTCGCAGCAGCAGCCGAAGCAGATGTCTTCGCGACTGCTGAACATGAAGGTGAGTCGACTTTGGTTCGAACTCCTTGAGCCGGACATCCTCTACGTCCACAGGGTCGCCGAAGCCTACATATCCTAAGTCTGTGGTTTGGCCTGATTCCCTCTAGTTCATGCAAAGAGCTGCCGCCTCTACGCCCAACGCAACGTCCACTCCAGCTTCGTCTACAGGTCGCACGCCCGCGACCGAACCGCTTGCGAAACGTCGGAAAATTGACAGTATGACTTCCTCCCCAGTGGTGGCCTCTACTCCTGGAACACCGTCAATTGCACCGCAAGATACAAGCCTGGGCATCGCTCCGAGAGGAGGAACGAGTTCGTCCACCCGGTTCGAAGGCGCAGACACAGAGTGGGTGCTGGACCTGAAGATGAAATCTCCTGGAGACGGCGAAGTGACATCACCATCCCATAAGAACGCACATGCCAACAGGGGAGGGTCAAAATCGCGCTTTGGTCTGTTATATAATAGGCGGAGCGAAGAGGACGAAGAAGCAGAGGACGAAGAAGGAGAAGAAGAAGAGGAGGAGGAGGACATTTGGAATAACAACCGACCTAGTGGCCGACAGACCTTTGGCTCATTCGACCGCAAGAAGCGGACGCTGAGGCCTAGTACTGGGCAGCAGGACCAACCCCGGTACACTGGAGACGACCAAGATCTGAGCTCCGCCTCAGACTCGGATTCAGGCTCGGATCCAGACTCAGACTCAGAGGCAGACTTGTCCGTGCCCACTTCGTCTAACAGACCAACACCACGACGACGACAACAACAGCAACAACAAGGCAGACGCGCCAGCCCCACCAAGCCCGCCGCAGACATAGACTCGGACGAAGAAATGAACCGGGTTCGAATGGCCATCGAGCAGAAACACCGCAGTATGGCGGGCAGCGGGCATGTGACGCGGAATGTTACTATTGGTGGTGGTACTGGGAAATCCCGCTCCGTGCGCCCCGAGGCGGGCGACAAGCGGAAAAGGGCAGAACAGCAGGAGAGCCAGCACGAGGGGAACAACGACAAGAGGAAAAAGAACAAGAACAAGAACAAGAAGGCGAGAAAGACGCTGTGATTGATGATGGGGTGAATATGGGGCTTTCGTGAAGCTATGAAGCATCAAGTCTACATACAGTGTGACACCGACATCGACACCCATTATTTGTACGAAAAAGACGAACCATGGGCGGCGCCATCGGCACGACTACGACGAGTCATAAGCATTCAATAGATGTACTAGATGTACAGTACAGCATCGTCCGTGGGGTATGAAGACGAACGAGCGAGTCCGAAGCTTGGATATGAGCTGGCACTGGGCACCAGGTACCAGGTATCACCAGGCGAAGAACTCAGAAGTTGAATATTTATTTCCTCCTGGAATAAATGGATTCCATGTCTGTATCTTGTCTTGGGACTATCCACCCAGCACCAAGCACGATAGACTGAGATACAGTAGAACCACCCCTCCCTTTTTCGGTTTCAAAGACAGAAAATTAAGCATTCATGGTGCCATTAATGAGCGAGTGTCTCATGTCTCGTGTCATCGAGTCTCCCGCTCCCCTCCCCTTTCCACTCTCGCATCTTGTCTTGGGTCTTCGCTGTTTGCTCTCTGCTTCCTCCAGACCAGACCACACCAAGCCATTTCCGCTCAAGTAGGCATTCAGGCCCCGTACTCCCTCAACAACCAACGCTCAGCCTCGTCCGCCCGCCGTTCTATCCTGTCCATCTCCCGCAAGAGGTTGTCCGCTGATGCTCGATTCCGATGCCCGTGTCCGTGTCCGTGTCGGTGCCCGTTGTCTCTCCGTGTTCCCCCTCTCCTCCCGCTCCTCCTTCTCCTGCGACTCCCGTCACCGTAGTAGTCGAAGTCGTGGTCATAAAAGCCAGCGTCCAAGCCATAGTCATAGCCAAAGCCGAAGTCGTAGTAGTAGTCGGAAGCGCCAAGGCGGTCAGGGTCGAAATCAAACACCCGGCCGTAGTCGTACATCGGCTCGAGGCCGCACGCGCCGTGTCCCCAACCCCATTGGCGATCGGGTTCCCAGTCTTGCTCCGATCGTGGTCGCCGGCGTGGTGTTGGTCCTGTGTGTCCATCGACATCGCCTAGGTAGCATGCGATGACTTCATGGCCATCATGGGACCATCGGCCGCGGCGACGTCGACGGTCGCTGCTGCGATGGCATCGACGGCGGTCCGGGCCCCGGCTCCGGCTTCGACCTCCACCTCTCGAAGGGGACCGTCCTCTACCCCCTCCGACAGGTCCATAGCTCCCATTGCAGTACAGGCAAACGACTTCGATCTCGCCATGTCGACAGTAGTCCAGCCGTCTGGGATCGCCGGGCCTGCTGGTGTCGTAGTAATCCCACCGATCGTAGTCTTCGTCATAAAAGGGACCTTCGATGTTGATGCATCGGCGGCCCGAGTTGCGGTCTCGGCCTCGGCGGTCGCTGTCTCGAGGGAGCGGAACGCCGGAGAAGGCTGCTGAGAGGGCGCGGCGTTCGGGGTCTCTTCATCCATTTGCAAAGATACGTGTCAGCAAGGCAGGAAAACAGGAAGCAGTTCGTACTTCTACCACGGTGTCTCTCGCAATCGTAGGGCTTTGTGGGGGGTAGATATAGACGTTGTGTGTTGTGACTTACTCTCCTCTCCCCCGGTGCAGACTCCGACCACGATCACTGGTGCCGCTGGAACCTCCTCCTCTGGTTGAGCCTGAAAATCTTACCGAGTGTCCTTTGGAGTTTGGGGTCTTCTTGTAACTATTACCTTGATCATCATCGTGGCTCCTCCTGAAGCCGATGTCTGGATCATACCAGTGCAGGTTGCTCTCATGGTCGATCCACGGAATAGGAGACCTCCTCGGCATCTTCGAAGCCAACCGTGCCGCCTAAAAAGGTGTCGTTAAACTAGTTGATTGCTCTGAAAAGTCAAGAGGAATTTTGCGCGGTATCGAATCCGGGTCGCCAAACTTGACGGTACCCAGATCGGAGGAGTGGTTGGATTAGAGAACGAATTTTCAAAGGCGAAATACAGATCAGCTTTTCCAGGACAACAATACCAGCCTCTTCTTTTAGCATGACCACGAAATGAGAGAACCCACATGTGGTCTTCACGCTTTGCCATTGTTAGTGACATGGTCATCTTCACTGGACCACGGGAATTGCAGGGCGTGAGAAGCAACGGATATGCTGGCCCCAATCCTGCCGGTGCCTCGTGTCCTGCTTTGCCAGGGGATGACAGGCGCACCGTGGATCTGATAAGGCTGCCCGCGAAGGACGGACGTAATAAATCGACTTAATCCTAGCATGTGTCGCCTTGTGTAGCTTGCTAAGGTCCCACAAGCGCGTCGTGGCAGTAGCAGCAAGGTGGAATGATACCGTCTTGCAGACTCCCATTTCCATAACTGCGGCGAGATCCTTTAATCACAGTTATATTTCTCGACCTTCTAGAAGAGAGAGTGTGTTGGTGTCCGAGTCGCAGTTGGCAGATTGGACCTACCTAAGGTGATCCTCCACATCCAGACTTTTATGTCCAAACATCACCGGAGAAGTAGAGAGCATAGTTGTAATTGCCAGTCCATCAAAGCGGTGTTACACGATTCTGTATCCACACATCGATTTGTTGTGCGCAACAAACATATTGACATTTCCCGAAAGGCAACATTCAGGCAGCATGGCCTCCGGGCGACACTGGACCATAAGATACTTCGGACAATGATTCAAGTTGTCACTTCCGCCTCTGTTGCAGACGAGTCGGCGTTGCGGTGGTCACAGGTGCAATTGGAGATATGGTAGCCACCCGTTCTTGCTGCGCTTTCTGATGACGGATCTAGCTCTTGCTTCTCTCTCCCTCTCCTCTCCCACAAACGTCAGCGTGTCAAGGCGCTTCCAAGCCTGATCAAGGCAGTTGCGGCACTGCTTACCTGTGAAACATTATGTCGCACGACAGAGGGACGAAAACATCGACGTGGTTCAGGGCACTGGCGACGAGAGACATCGAGGCGCCCGTTTCACCATCCATTCATGAAGGAACACAGTAAATCTCCGAAGGGAGGGAGATGGATACATGCTGAAGGTCGCATACCTCAGATTGCTGATGGTTCGCCTTGAGGCGTGTCGTAGTAGAGAGACGGCCAGGCCAGTCGGATGGGACAGGATAGATAGCAAACAACGGTCGTGTCACTGGTAGTGGGCTGAGAACAATTTGCATCTAGGTTGGACAAAGTAAAGAGGAACGGAGACGTGCTGAGAACCAGCCGTGCTTCTCGTGTAAACTGCCGGAGCGAAGGCGAACAACCAAAAGCAGCAGCGAAAGTCAAAACTAGTCGCGAGATACAGTCGTCTCCATCAGGTGGCAGTTTTGAGGAAATCACAAAAGTGGTACAGTGAGTAATACGGACCTACACCCGACTCCACCAAGAGACTGACTCCCTCAGTGAGACTGGTGCACCGGAGAAAGGGTGCATCTGTCTGCGTGGAAGAGCAGACCGGTAGTGCAACAGGACAACAAGACGCCTATGATGAATCAGAAAAGTTTGACCGGTAAGCAGGGAATGGGCAGGTCAGAGCAACGAAAGGGTCTTCTCTTTTTACAGTAGTTCATCCACCTGGAAGCCAAAGCCAGAAGGCAGCTCGACATCCCCCGTGAGCCCAAGAAACCAGGATGGTAAAACAATCACGCGGAAAATGATGCAATAACAACCTCCTGTCAACCGTACTGTCCTTTGTTGTTTCTCTCGTTCACTCATTCGGATCGCCCTTTCGCATGACACCGCCACAATTCAGCCCATTACAAGATACCCATAGACGCCGGGAACAGGGTTGCCGAAAGGTGGTTCGTCTGGTATGCCCTTGGCCCAGGCCTCTATGCATCCAACTTGCTCTTCTTCTTCTGCTCCACCTTCAAGAGAAGTGCTCTGTTGATGTGAGGGAGAACGCCTCCAAACGCGATGGTCGCTCGGATCAAGGTGTCCAGCTCTTCATCACCCCGAATGGCGAGTTGCAGATGGCGGGGTGTGATGCGCTTGACTTTCAGGTCCTTAGCGGCGTTGCCTGCGAGCTCCAGGACTTCGGCAGTCAAGTACTCTAGGACGGCAGTGACGTAGACAGCAGCTGGATGGGAAGACATTAGCGTCTGCACGCAATAGCATGGCAAGAAGAGCGACGGAAAACATACCTTTGGCTCCAACTCTCATCTTGTTCTGTGTGTTGTTCTTGAGGAAACGCTTGACGCGACCACATGGGAACTGGTAAAAGACGCGTCAGTTTAGGCCTAATCAACAAAGGTGATGCGCAGCGGGAATGCGCTCAAGTCTGGCACAGAGGTAGAGGGCAACTTCCGACGACTGCCGGAGGAGATGGACAGTTTTGCATCGCGTTATCATCACAACAGTCATCGATTTCAGTCTCTCGTCGCAACGCAGTACGGTTTTGTGCCACTCCTATCTTCTGTCCAGCTTCGCGCGACAAGTGTGAGCTCACCTGAAGACCAGCCTTTGCGCTGTGAGACTTCTGAGTCTTCGTCGCCGAATCCTTCGCGCCTGTGGCCTTGCCACCAATGCTCTTGCCCTTGCCTCCTGCCATTGTAAGCGGTGGGAATGAGGATAAGTGTCAGTATGTTGAGATGATGCGACAAGTGTATCGAGGACGGCGTTCGATGGAAGTCGTCGAAGACGCGTCGGAGTGTGTTGATATCGAGGATGGGGATACGGGAGATGGTCAAGTGGTGCAAGGATAAGTGGGTGGCAGGCACAGCGAGGAAAATAGGTCGAAGATGCAAGAGGCAAAACATGATTGGCCCTAGGCCACTTTGGGTGGAGCAAGGCGGGGCTTGGCATATTTGGGCAAATCCCGCCACCTTGTGACAACACTGCACTGCGTCCAAGAAGCTGCCTGCTTCAGGACGGGTCCAGGAGGAGAGTAGTGGCCAAGTTAGTAGTCGAGAAGAATCCTGTAGGAAAAGTGCTATTAGTTTAGTTGACATACCAGAGTATCATAAATGTCGCCTTTCAGTCGAGAGGCCGAGTCTGGAAGGCCTTGCAGAGAAAGGGAGCCAAGCGGACAGCTCTTGGACCCCCCTTCTGGCTCCATGCTTCCAGGACATCCCTGGGAGACGGATGACAGCACAGAGGTCATTCTCTGTAGCCTCCAGTACCACCATCAAGCTTCTGAACGACATCTTGATAGCGGGGGATCATTGGACAAGTGGTGAGATGAGTCGAGGAGAAGAGGCTGTGAGGTGGTTGAGGGGGAGACTGGGCTTGGCGTAGCTTATATAAGCAGTCCCTGGTCTACTTTCTAATTGGATTCTCGCTGCTTGAGCGAACTAGTGACACACAACTCGGCAAGGCTGATCAAGTTCCATTCTAATCAAACAAACAATCATCTGGTATTACTGTCACCCCTTCGAGGCGGTTCGTCGGCTGATTAAAACGAGTGTATCCCATACACAAATCCATCTCCCGCACAATCAAAAACGCAAATCATGACCAGGAGACTCGCTCCGCTTCATCCCATGCCAAAACCCGACTGCACCATAAGTCGACAATCTCGGTATGAGCTCCTTGTCGAGCGCTCTGGCGCTCAACGCCCGTAATGCACAACTCTCTCGGAAATTCAAGTCAAGAAACAAAGTGTACAACCCAGAGTCAATCATTCTTTCTTGGGGACCTCGTAACAAAATGCTTTATGCCGCACCTGAGGAGTCCTGTGTCATTTCGTTACAACAATCTTTTTCTGTAGTCCAATCATGCAGTCATGTAGGCTGCCCTATGCGTCTAACTTTTTGTTGTTTCCTGATAGGAGGTGGTCATGTCGTTCGTGGATCATTGACTCGTCATTTGCTCAGCAGAGAGCGTCATCAAAGTAGGGGGGGTATATGCTAAGTCTCTTCATTCGGCAATTGCTGATGCGGCCGTACGCAATTCGTCGCTGCCACGTCCGTTCTGTCGGCGGAATCCGATGGCGCTGGTTGAACTCGGCCCTCGCGACTGACGCAGGGGGTTGTTGTTCTGAGAAGTGGTCTCCGGCCCGATGCTCACGGTTCGCTTGCTGCCAATCGGGGCAGTGGGCTGGTAGTTTTGGCCTTCGGTCCACTCGGATCCGTTCCCGAAGAAGCTGCGCTGCCGGCGAGGGCTGGTCTGGCTGCCGCTGTTGTTAGTCATGGAAAGATTCGAAAAGCTGGAGATGAGGAATGGTTCATCTCGGTTGACGCCTGCATTAGAGGCCGTCGGAGTCAATGTGGGTGTGTTAGAACCGGCTGTATCGTTCAACGCCTGCAAACGTGCTCCGTTGGTCTGTAAGGCTGCAGGGAAGCTCGCGGAAGAAGGTACCGGCGAAGGGCTCCATGATCGCAGGTCTGCAAAGGACTTGGCATTGCGCAGGTTACTATCGGCATTTCTGCCATAGGCGCTGGAGTCCATGACATCCAACAATCCAACCGAGGATTGACCGCGGAGAGTGTTGAACGCAGGACCATCGTACTGTCTGCCATCATTGAAGTCCGCTGTGGAAGACCTGGCGAGACCCTGGCGCATGCCATCATTGGACCCAAACCCGCCTGCGAGAGTCGGTGGGCTCACATTCGTGCCAGGCGCTGGTCGGTGAATATGGACTTGTCGCTGATCTCCTGTGCCACGGGATGTGTGCATCAAGCCCATGTGGTGGGCGAGGGTGTGGACAATGCGACGATGGTGAGGCTCCAGTGTTGGAGGGAATATGAGGACTTCACGAGTAGGATCTCGCCTAAATAGGGTCATCTCGGTATAGAACTCGAGAGTCTTGGGGTCATTCATGTCGACGTCTGACACCCACGTTAGCCGGTATTCAGAGGGACAGGGGGAAAGGCCACTCACCAGGCATTGTGCTGCGGTGTGACAGCGGCGATGGGGTGTTTCGCGAAATGGACGACAACGAAACTTGGTTATGAAGCTGCGACTGTGCCATGGGACGGTGTTGTTCCTCCAACTGACCACGGCGTTCGCGCTTCTCCCTTTCAATGCGCTCCCGTTCAGCGAGAGGTAGCATTTTCTTGTATTCGACTCGCAATTTACGACCGCTCAAGTCCATATGGTTCAGAGCTTGGATGACTTGTTCAGTCTCTTGGGGAGAAGTGAAGTTGGCAAAGGCCAATCCCCGGAAGACGCCATTGTCAAAATGATAGTTGAATGCATATGGCAGAGGAAGGTTCATATCGACCATCAACTGGACAAGCTGCTCTTTCTTCACTGCAAAGGGAATATTCTTGATCACAATTGCCGTGGGGATCAGTTCGTCATCGTCTTCCTGCTGGTCACTGCGACCTTGAGGACCGGGGCGGTGTCCCACGATCGCAGGGTGCTGTTGCTGTAATTGCCCTGGCTGGTCATACCAAATCTGAGTCTGGTCAGTTAGTCAAGATATGCTGTATCTTCGTTTTCAGGAGACCTACGTTGGAAATGCCCACACGACCACGGCTGGGCTTCACACTCCGCGATGGCCCATAGTTGGCATTTTGAGGGATGGTGCCCATGCCATTGCCAAAGGATTGCAAAGACGCCCCCCCCGAACTCCACGTTTGAGCAGCACTTGCATCGTAGGGAAAATTGATATTGCCGACCCCAGGATTTGGCATAGGAGCACCAAAGCTCTCTCGCATACCGTCGAAACGCATATTGGGCAGAGCGCTCTCGGTCCCAAACATGGGAGCACTCATGCTTCCATAAGGGTCAGCTCTACCGCCTTGGCGATTCAACTGCGCATTTCGATATGCCCTCGGGGAAGTCCCTGAGACGTCGTCGTAGAACGCGTCAGAGGCGTTAGAGAATGCTGCCATCTTTAAAAAAGTCTGGAGCGTTCAATAAGATCTTCTTAATGTCACAAGTTCTACTTCGAGCCTGAATCCACCTCTTTCTTTCACGTCCAACAGTATGCTCTTGAGTAATTTGCTGATCCGACACCGTCCGTAGCCAGTGACCGGCGACGATGAGATGCGCGATGGAGAAAAGGATGGGTGATTTCGAGGCTGTGGGGCGTGCAACCCGAAAACGAGTCCAGTGGCTACTGTATGGCGATTAAAGGAGAGACGAGTCGCAGAATTAGAGGTTGGGAATATCGGATGTCGTGAGAACGTTATGTGCCCAAAGGCCGAAGCAGCGCGATCTGTTGCGAGTGGGAATTGGAGGAGGTTGTAGCAAAACTCGAGCCAGGTCGGGATACGGAGTCGAGTCAAATTCCCGCAACAAGTTCGAACAGGGACAAAGACGTGGACGTGGACAGGGGCGTCTAACTCGAACGGCGAGTCATGATAGGGATGGACAAGCGTTAAACCAGCGTAGACAAGATCGCCGGAGGACAAGATGTAAGGGATCACGTAGCAAACAGCTGAATATTGCTGAGGAAAGGGAGAGTGTCAAATTAAAAAAAAAGAGACGGGGAAAGATTTTGTCCAAGATGTTGTTTTGAGACAAAGAAATTAGGAGAAGTTTTTTGGCTGCGAAGAGGCCGACTCACTAAAGTTAGAGAGTTAGCACGGAGAGCAGCAGGTGAAGGCCAGCAGTGCCCAGCGGTCAAAGGCGCGGTGGTCCCTCCCTTCCCCCCTGGGGGTGGCTGCTACCCGCAAGTGACCAACCAGATAGTTGCCCACCACTAATCCTCAGATTTCGCGGTGATTAAACTGCGTCGACAGCCCCAGAAGCCAGTTCAAGCTGGGGGGGTCGGTGGCACTTTAAGCTGCCGACTAGGCCTGATTAGCGGTGGTCCAGCCAAAAGGGTAGGCGAGCTAGTAGCAATGATGGACAGCCACGATCTCCCGGTGCACCACTGATTCCATCTTACCACAACGCCTTCCGTCCTGCAGTGTCTCTTTGGCTGTTGTCCCGTTGCTGTATTGAAGCACCCGGGTCAGGAAGATCACCATAACGGGTTGCTCATTGACCTTGGCACAAGAACGGTCGTGGGCCTATCCGGAGGCTAGGGAAAACAGTCCGGGTCATGGGAGATGGAGTGTCCGCCGACAGCAATCAAACTCCTCCACCGTCTTACCACGTCCTCCTCCAACCCCTGTTCGTCCTTATCCTGACATCTTCCCATAAATGAGTCTAGGCAGGGCCCGTTGACGCCCTCCTTTCAGAGCTGCTTCGCCACTATGAAATCTCGGTTTCATATCCCTCCATCCACTTGCCTGGTCCCGAACTCCCTAATCAGGCCGTCGGAGCCTTGCATCGAGCAGACACCCCTGAGACCCATGCCCTCATTGGCATTCGGCCGCGTACCCCTTTTACTGCTCCATCTGGCTTTGCCGTAGACCTGGATTCCATGGGGCTCCCATCCTTCTGAGCACCACTGCTAGGCAGCAAGCTTGATGCAAGCATTTCGTTGTTGCGCGACCCAGTCTTTTGCCTCACCTTGTGAGCCACCATCTCTACCAACCCGTGGGTGGAAGTCCGGGCCCGTTGTAGTCAGTAGTAGCGGATCGCTAGGCACGAACCATGATCATGTCCGTGACGGGTCGTTAGGTTTCTGGAGGAATGTACGAGTGGCGCTCAGGTGGACGTGGGCTTGCGCCAGCCAGGGGCCACAGTACGCAGTAGTTGTCCCAAATACATGGGTGAAGGCCAGGCCAAAAATATGTCTGAAGTGGTGGGAGTCGCAAGTTGCACTACGACTGACGAAAGCAAAGGCGCGTGGCTTGGTGGCTGCCACATAGGCTCAAAAGATCGAGTTCTCGAAATGACCTGGTGACCTGGAGGAGATCTGCAACAACGCTTGATAGCCTGGGTTGCTCAGCAGCTCACACAGCACTCTAGATTGTGTTACCATCCGTTCATTCAACAAGGGCACAAGGGAATACTGCGTAAAATCTCCGACGTCACTAGCCTGTCGCCCGTAGGAAGGATGCTGAATTTAGAAGTGTCGCAAACTTCCCCACGTGTGCAGTAATAAATCCTGTCTGAAGACATCAAGATCAGGGCAAGATATTTGTTACCGGGTAAGATCTCTTGCGAGTATTCGTAAGGTCGGATCCTAACCGGTCGAAGATGCAAGCAGGCATTTACACCTGCGTTCGCCGTGGTTGGCCAAAGTCTAGGGCTCCGGGGCCCAGGGGGGAAGGATCAAGTCTGCCAATGATTTGCTGCAGCGTCATGTAAACTACCTCATTCGATCAACCACAGCAAATGATTGATACTCGTCTAACGCAACCTTTGGATTCAACCGCGAATGAAGTCTGCTTATCTGACAGATTATGATGGTCCCTGGTGGTCTAGTTGACGCCTGGCGTGCATGTGACCCAGAAACATTTGACCATCTCGTCGCTTGCGGTTGATTTCCTTGCCTAGCTGAGACACCCAGTCAGACGCCAGACCAGGCAATATGACGACCTCCGCAATCTTCGAGAAGCTGGCATTGCACGCGCCACACCTGTCCGGCCGATATGTGATCCCTGCCTTGCCCGCCTTCGTATACGGGACGGCGTGGAAAAAAGAGGCTACGGCTGACCTCGTCTACCAGGCCCTCTGCAACGATTTCACGGCCATTGATACTGCCGCTCAACCCAAACACTACCGAGAAGATCTGGTCGCAGCTGGGATATCCCGGGCAATCAAGGATGGCAAGATCAAGCGATCTGAAGTATACATCCAGACCAAGTTCACCAGCGTGGGCGGTCAAGATGTAGAGAATATGCCCTACGACCCCAAGAGCCCCCTTCCAGAGCAGGTAAATGCGTCGGTCATGTCGTCCCTCAAGAACTTCAATTTCGCAGACGTGGTCCAGGGAGACGACATGGCAGAGCCCTATATTGATACGCTCGTTCTACATTCACCGATGTCGACCATCCAGGAGACCGTGGAAGTCTGGCAGACTTTGGAGCAGTATGTGCCCAACGAGATACGCAACCTGGGCATCTCCAACTGCAACCTGTTCACGTTGATGGATATCTACGAGCGCGTCCGCATCAAGCCGAGCGTGGTCCAGAACCGTTTTTACCCCAACACCAAGTTTGACATTGGAGTGCGCCAGTTCTGTCGGGAGCAGAACATCATCTATCAGAGCTTCTGGACATTGTCAGCCAATCCGAAACTCGTCTGGTCGAATGAAGCGGGTGCTTTGGCGAACCAGCTTGGCATCAGCCCCCAGTCGGCCTTGTACTGTTTGGTGCTGGGGTTGGGGAGTGTAACGGTGCTCAATGGGACCAAGAGCGCTCAGCACATGCAGGAGGATTGGAGAGCTGTGAAGGTGGTGAAGGATTATGCACAATCTCACCCTGAACAATGGGACAAGACCATGACAAGATTTCGACAATTGATCGGACAGCCGAAGCCTTGAAGGCAGGAGGATACCTGATAGAGAGGGGATCGTGATGGCCCCAAGCAGCGACAGTACTCAGCTAGGTTAGCATGGGGGAAAGGTTTTCCTGGTGATCCGCAAGGCTGGACTGAATGGACGGGAACTGGGCACCTACTGGGTAGTGGGACAGAATGAGGCCGCCGCTTGGTTGGCTGGGCCATGGTGGCCATAGCTAGCGCAACTCGCACTGTTGAGCACCCACAATATGTCATAGGCTCCCGCCCGCAGTGGCAGACAGTCACTCCCTAGGAACTCACATCCTACACTGCGGACTGAAAGAAACTCCATCAGGACCAGCAGATCCGGGACTTTCCCAATTCATGCCATTGAAAATGCTCGCGCTCAATCACACCACCTGTGCATTGTGACTGGTATAAAGATATATTGAATACGCTTGGGCAATTGATGCTGGTTTCTGCTTGTCATCCGGTCGGCTGTCCCATAACCTTCATCGCAATCTCGACCAAATATCGCAGTTCGACGCCTCAGCCCGCCTGCCCTCTGGACTTTGTGCCTGCACGCACCCGACGATATACACAAACCTTCACGATCTGAGGCACGTCGACTTCGCTCTGATACTTTGCTCCTCACGGTTTTCTCTTGGCCGATTTGTCGCCGGTATCGAGTCTCACCCACGTTGACAATTTCACCACTCGCAAACTTCGGCTCCTCCCACCTCCCACCCGTGTGAATTCTTCCTCCTTCGACTTCCATTGCGCCTGTCCGCTCCTCTTTTCCCCGCGACGATGGCCTCGCAGGGCTTCTCTCGAAAACGTCCTGCGCCAGGCGCCGATCCGGTCTCTTACCCGGTTCAGATGCAGAATCCCGCGCCCGCACTCAACGACGGCCTCGGGCCGCAACTCTCCAATGACCAGTTTCTGCAGTGGGGTCAGACCGGTCAGCCTGCTGCTGTTCCCTCATACAACGACGCCAGCTTCGCCATGAACGCAAGTGCCTATCCTGCGAGCAATCCTCAACCTGTCCCTCAGCCCTCGAATCAACTGACACGCCGACATGTCGCTCAACTTGCCGCGCGACCCCCTCGACCGAACGAAGACGGGAATAGCTGGATGGAGCACCCTAATGGAGGTGTGCAACCCCCAAATCCGGAGTGGGAAGACGATATATCAGTATTGGAGGCAAGAGCACAAGTCGCAAAGAGAGAGGCTCAATTGAGGAGAAAACAGATACCTCCTTTTGTTCAGAAGCTGAACAGGTAAAAGAAATCGAATCTCGAGGGACGGTGAAGAAGTCGCGCTAACGGGTATATAGCTTCCTGGAGGATGGCAGAAACACTGACCTCATCCGCTGGTCAGACGACGGCAACTCATTCATTGTCTTGGATGAGGATGAGTTTGCAAAGACACTGATCCCGGAACTGTTCAAACACAACAACTACGCCTCCTTCGTGCGTCAACTCAACATGTACGGCTTTCACAAGAAAGTCGGCCTTTCGGACAATTCCATGAGAGCCAGCGAACGGAAAAACAAGAGTCCAAGTGAATACTCGAACCCCTACTTCCGCCGGGGTCACCCGGATTTGCTTTGGTTGATACAGAAACCCAAGAACGTCGGCGGACCTGCCTCGAAACGCAAAGGAAAAACTGACAACGACCAGAACGAGGAAGAGGTGGATGAATACGTCGATGACTCGATCCCGGCCGACACCCGAGTACGTGCCCGACCTGGGCAGATCACGCTGGGAAACAATGACATGGCTCTCACGCAAGATCAATTTAAGAGTGTGCAGCGTGAATTAGCAGCCATCCGACACCAGCAAACGCAAATCTCTCGCATGATGCAGCAACTCAAGCGTGAGCATGAACAGCTATACGGGCAAGCGGCCACCTTCCAAGACCAGCACAATCGACACGAGAACTCGATCAATGCCATCCTCACCTTCCTCGCCACGGTCTATAACCGCAGCCTTCAGAGCCACGAAAGTGTACAAGGCATTGCAAACCTGTTTCAGAATGCGATACCTGTCGACACATCGACTCAGGGCAATGTCGTTGATGTCGAGGACTACAACTTCAAAGATATCAACCTCGACGGCAGTCCTGCGAAGCCGTTTAAGAAACAGCCTTTGCTACTGACCAATGGAGGCGGGCAACAACCGCCGGGTCGGGCGAGCACCTTGTCCCCTCGCTCCGGCAACAGTCCCTATCCTACTCCCAAGCCAACATCCCACCGCAACGGCCAAGCCCAATCTGTGCTCTCGCCAAAACTCGAAGAGGTCTTCGACGTCGGGGTTCATAGCCCCAACAGCACCACTGTCAACCAAGCCCGAACCGATCTGCCTTCCCGGGACATGATGACCGTGATTCAAAACGCCAATGCGAGAAACAACCACGCCGCAGCCTCCCCGACGACCCCCGCCCAAGACTTCTCGCATGTCCTCAGCAACCTCGAAGCAGCCTCCGGCACGGGGCCACTGTCCACAGCTCAGCGCGCCGATGTCCTCCGCATGATCAACAATTCCGCAAACCAACCCGCCGGTAACGACAATGCGCTGATCAATGCCACCCCCCCGCCCGGGCCGCCGAACTTCCATCGCCGCCTCGCCAGCACCCAAGCGGACCTGGAACACCTTGCCAAGCTGCAAGCGGAACAAGATAAATCTGTTCAAAATCTTACAAACTTACTGCAACCACTTTCGCCCACAGGCTCGATCCCCGGGATCGGTGACGGCCAAAACTTTCCACCTCCGCCGTTGGATATTGACGATTTTCTGAACCAAAACGAGTACTTTGGCGATTTCCCCAGTGACGGCAATGGAAACTACGATTTTGGCAGCACTGGGTTGGGTGGGGATCAACTCGGGACGGCTGATAATATGAATTTCGGTTACAAGGATGACGACGAGCTGTTTGGAAATCTGAGCAACGATGGTGCTGCTGGGTTCGGGGGCTTTGATGGCACGAGCGCTGGCATGGGTGCAGGTGGTGGGGTGGTGCCCGATCAATACGGCGGCAATTCGGGAAATGTCAAGTACGACCATGCGACCCAGTATACCGAGCCAGATGGTGGTGGGCGGATCGAGAGCGTGCCGAGTAGCGAAGTGACTACTCCAAAATCAGACAAGTCTGCTACCAGCCGGACAGCGGCCAAGGGGAGGAGAAAATTGAGCGAGGTCGAGGAGGACGTTGCCGGGAGGAAGAGATTTAAGGCCTGAGCGCGTTTCGCGGTCAAACATACCAGCAATGGTGCATGTCCGATGGCGGTAGTGGTGGTGCGATAGGGCGCCAAAACCATCTCACAAACTTGGCACCGAGGGCAGAAAGAACGGAAAGAGAAGGAAGGAATCAAAGAGGCAACCAAAACAGATCAGACCTACCCCAGCGTTCGATTGACGAATTGATTATGAAGGGAGCAGCCTCCGCCTCCGCTCCTGACCGAGGACTTGGATTTGTACAAATTCATGAGGCATCAGGATATCCAAGGATACAAAAGAAAAAAATTTTCCTCCAAAAAAAGGCTATCGCACATCATGACACAACGGGAACAACTAGGGCGGCAGTGGCGGCAGGACTAGTGAACGGCCTCTGCGTGACGAGCTCGATGAACGGAACAGCACCCACCAGGTAGGGGGCTCACTGTAGCTTTTTTGTGTGTTTTTTAAGAGAATTGAAAACGAAAACATAATGGATATGAGACAACATGGCACGAGATACCCAAGATACCCCCCAGGCCTCCATACCACTGACTATTGGAGCCATGTTCCCACTCAACCATCCAACCCGGCATAGGAAATGGTCTTGTTTGCGGGAAAAGGGGCAAGGAAGAGAGAGACGGACGCGGACACAGAGGCAGGTTATGTGTGCGGAGTATATATTTCCGGGTTATGTGTTGTATGATGTGTGTGTGTGTGTGTGTGTGTGTGTGTGTGTGTCGTATGTACTGGCGACCAGTTTATCTCAATTGTCGAGCACAGTGTCCAAAGGTGGTTTTCCCTACCACCACCACAAGAACGAATTGATTCAAGGATGATCAAGGTTCTGCAGGCCTGGATAGTGTGTGCACAAGTGAATCAGGTCAGTCAGTCAATCAGGGTAGTAAGTAAGGAAGGTGATCCAATTCCCTGGTCGGATAACTGTGGCTCTCTTCGGGGCGTATACAGAGTTATCTCATAAGTTTCCTTCCCGGTATTTTGTCTTGTCGCAACCCACTCATACCACAGGGCTTTCTCTCCCTCTCTCTTGTCCAGGGGCCAAAATGTCACCGTTCCGTACCGGAGGAGGAGACGGGCTCTCCCCAATAGCTCCGTCACCGCTGCCGTAATGAATTGTCGTCGAGATTCATGGCGTTCGACGAAGCGAGGCGAGGAGCAAGTCTTCATTTGAGGCTGAGACGTCGTCGTTGGGCGGTGCATGTGGCACCAGAGGATACGGAGATAGAGAAGGTGATCCTCATTAGTAAAAGAAACCTCCCCGATGGCGATCTGATCATCCCGGCGCCGTCTCGACGGCTCTGTTCGACGACTCGAGGAGTCGGAAACCTAAACGAGCCATTCTTCGTGGAGCTTGTCATCCTTTTCTTGGCTCCCCGTAGGTAGGTATGACATATTTCCCAAATGGAAACAAAACCCTGCCTCTCCATTGAGTTGCCGAAGCCTTGGTGCCTTGCTTGTCCGTGCCCAACTATTCCCTCTTCTTCACCCGTGGAAAGCTCAACCACAGACCCAACAGCACGACGATCAGCGCGAGGATGATGGGCTGGAGGACCTTGACGCCCTTAGTGGCAGCGATGGCGCCGATGGCAAAGGGAAAGACGGTGCCGCCGGTGCCGCCCAGGGCCATGGCGAAGCCGATGCTGCTGACGTGGATGTGCTTGGGCAGCAACTTGGCCGCCATCATCACGCAGCCGGGGAACATGGGGCCCAGGAAGAAGCCCAGAAACGCCACGGCCACGGCCGACACGATGAACTTGGGCACCAGCCAGAAGACCAGCTGCAGCGCGAGGCACAGCGCCAGGTACACGGTGATGCAGACCCGTTCGCCGAACCGCTCCGTCACGAAGCCCAGCGACGCCCGGCCCAGCGCCATGCCCGCCCAGAATCCCGTGCCCGAGTATCCCGACGCCGAGGGCGAGGCGGAGCGCACGCGCAGCATGAACGTCACGATCCAGCCGCCCAGACCGACTTTTTTATGTCGGAAGATGGATGTCAGTAAGTCGACTCTTTCCTTGACAGCGTGTACTTATACACCTAGGCACCGAAGGAGGAAAATAACAATATGGTTTGGAATGGCAGAGACAGGGGCTGAAATAAATCGGACGTTACCTTCGATGCCCATGTACGTGAAGAAGAATGCCGAGCAGATCCAGGTGATTTTGGACTTGAGCGCCTCTTTCGTGCGGCCGCCCGTGGCCTCGGTGTCTCGTGGGTGCTCGATCCGGTACACTTCACCGGTCTTGCGCCAGAACATCATACTGAGGCCGATGAGTTCCAGGGCTGAAGCGCCGGTCTGCCGACGGAATACCAGAGCGTTAGCAATTAGAACTCACTCCCAGCATCTTTGCTCGGAGGAGGAGGAGGAGGAGGAGGAATGTCCCGCCCACATCCCCTTTGGCTCGGAGTGTCACCGTCGCACTCACCATGAAGTAGTAGAACGTGTACCAGGGCAGCTTCGCATGGACGACCATGGACGTGGCGATCAGCGGGGCGAACAAGGCTCCGAGGCTGTAGCAGCTATGAAGCATGCCCTGCACGGCGTTGGCCTTGTCCATGGCACCGATCCAGGCGCAGAAGCACGCATCGGTGAGGCCGTTGCCGAAGCCGGACACGGTGTTGATGACGACCAGGACCGGGAACGGCGGGTGCGCGGACAGCACGGCGTAGGTGACGATATGGCACAGGGGCGCCAGGACCGCGATCCCCCGCTGGCCGAGCTTCGTGTGGATCGTGGCGTTGGTGAAGGCGGCGAGCGAATAGCCTGCGAACGGGGTGAGGAAGACCAACGAGACGGTCGTGTAGTTCAGGTGGTAGTATTTCTCGAGCTGCATGTACATGGATGTGTGAGATCCTTTTTTTCTCAAGAAGAGGAAAAGGGATACAAGACGGGACGAGACGGGACTTACGTATGGAATGAGTGCCTAGCGAGCAAGAGTCCGTCCGTCCACATCAGCATGTACATCTCAATCAAGTTCAACAAAGGGAGGTCAAATAGACGGAGAACTTCGTACTCCCACAGCCCCATCATTGAGCCCCGTGACGATGAACGAGAAGAAGGCAAATCCCAGACGCCCAATGTTTCCCCGGGGCAGATTCCAGCGCTGCACGACAGGCTGGGCCGTCACGGGCGGAGGGACCTCGCCGTGCACACCGTCATCTTGTTCATCGTCTGATGAAGAAGACTGCCCGCTCACGGTGGGGAAGGAGGCTTTGCCGCCCTGCACGACGTGGCGGGTGAGTTCGCGCAGAGACTTGGTCGGCGTCTTCAGGCTCAGTTCGAACGTCTCTGTGGCCGGTGCTGAAGGCAATATTGTCATTGTCTGTGTTGTTGACATTGTTGTGGCGGTGGGAGACGGGCCAGTCTCCAGTGGTCCACAAGGAGAAGTCGACGATGGAGGAATATGTATTATATATCAAATATCAAAGATCAAATATCAAAAGTCCTGTCTGAGATCCACAAGGAACGTGGTCACATCCATGTCCAGCTGCTCATTGGGCTCTTTGAGAAGGTAAATCAAGCCACGGGTTGGATCCAGTAGCCACAAAATTGCGTTGGATAGATGAAGGGTGGAAACATATATGTACTTTGTAGGTGCCAGCATGTAAATAATACATGTATATTTCGAGAAATGGCGGAGGCTCGCCGAAGTCCGAATTTCATCATCGCCATTAACTGATGATGATAATCATAGTGTGCGGGATATCGCGGCCAAGATGCCGCACAGATGCTGTTGTATTTAGCCTGTTCGGATATAATATCTGTTATTATTGTCGGTTGTGCTTCTCGAAGGCCGTATGCATGCGCATTGAATCAATCTCTTTCGACGACAATGGCAGACTTTCAGTCAGTCTTGATACATTCACTCGTCACTCGGCACATCAGCTGTTTTTAATCTTTTCGTCGCAGAGATGATGGCGGTATAGCCACGAGGCCGCACTTTTCCTGAAGACGGCCACCCAGGTACGTTGTCCAGATCTTCGCCATTGTACCTGGTATACATGCACAAACAGACCGTGTTTATGTGTATACCGACTCTGGGGGCGGGATGCGACACTGTGTCCCCCTACCAACGCCATGGTTGATTCAGCCCCCATAAACCCTGTGCCTCGGGACGCCTTACACAGTATCATTCCTACATGGGTATGTGTACCAATCATGGACAGCGTTCCTTGAAACCTCAAACGCCAGATTGAGGCGCAGTTCCAGGCTGGCAATAAACGACCCTTTTATTGCCGGTCGACAATGTTTATCTCTGTTGCCTTGCCCAACCAAGTCTTTCATTTCCATCTCTTCCCTCAGTGAATTCGCATATTGCAGAGATGTCTACCATGCACGCCTTTTTAGCAAACTTCAATTCCGGCCCGGGTCTGGGCGGCTTGATCCAATATGCCTGCATCGGCGTCAATATCATGTTCCTGTGCAGCGCCATCATCACGTCCTTCGCGTCGGCGCTGGCAGACCCGTTTAGCCACTTCAATTCGCGGCCATACTGGATGTTCACGACCTTTCTCTCCTTTGCAGCAGTGAGTGGCTTGACTCCTGCTCTGGCCTGGCCCGAGCTGATCAAGGCGGTTTACCCATTCATTCAATATCTGGGGAAGGTATTTCGGAATTCTGACTCGGATGATGAACACCAGGCTAGCTCCAACATCACCATCACCGGCGCCGTCTCGTCGCGCTTTCGCAACATCGCCGACAGCGTGCCTGAGCCTGGCTTCGAGGACAAGCGCATGCTGAACCTGAAGACCACATTCTACCTGAGCGTAACCCTCGGCGGAGTCTTTGCCGTGGCGACAGCCATCCTGGCCCTGGTATGGGGCCGAGCAGCCGCTGAGAGCATTGCCTTTGTGGTGCCCTGTGCCTTTGGTGTCCTTGCCGTGTCCGTGTTGCCCTCCATCGCCTGCAATGCTCTACTGCAAATGAACTGACGCAATTGATTTCTGTAGAGCTCTGGACGTGGCCGCGATTGTGGACAACTTCAAGCGATTCAAGGGGGAAACTGGGGCAGTGGAGTTGGAATGATCCATAGGGGATAGAGGTAGGCTTGGAATGAAAGGGTCTTGATGGAGTATGGGTATGGCAGATCTATATCATACGGAGTACGTATTTTTTGGTCTGAATTAGAGCAATCGTTCATTTTACCTGTGCCATATCCTGCCGTGATGTTTCCTGTAAGCCTGTAAGCCTTGGAGCCAAAGAATACGCCTAGATGGGGTGTATATGGGACTCGGTACTATTATTCGAGCACCACGAACATCGCCTTGGGGCCATCAGCCACACCTTTGGCTTGCGGCTAGTTAACCGCCCTCACCACGTCATCTGAAACCACCAGCCCTTACACCCCAAGGAGAGAAAATTGTCTGAGTTGGGCGTTAATATCCTTACGGAATCATAACCACCTACTTTGGGTTACAATGGCCGACCGTCCTACAGCCGAGGAGCCGGATCGACGACCGCCGCTGCCCACGAAGTTGCGCTGAAAGCCATATTTGATGTCCAGTGCCCCTTCGGGCCCCAGTGCATCACAGAGATGATGAGCTGGTGGTGGAATAGACCCCAACGACTGCAGCCCAACAGCCAGAGCCAACTGCGATGTCCCAACTTCATCGAAATCGAGCGCGCAGTACGCCGAGCACGGAGCAGAGGCGAGCGGGAGACCGATTTCATCAAACTGCATGCCAGCTATGGGGACCTCGATCAATGCGCACGCGACAAGTGCCGGGGCTGTAGAGTCGTTCGGCAGGCTCTCCTGCTGTCCTGGATCACGGGTGAGGAGGTCCGGACGATGGAGGGGAGTGATGCACCGGTGTATGTCCGATTGTCAGGAGGAGGAGGAGGAGGAGGAGGAGGAGGAGGAGGACGAGGCGATCCCTTAAGTGAACCCAGGCCTCGTGGTCCGTCTCCGTCGACGCTACAAATCCGTCTAGGGTCGTCGTCATCAGACAGCAGCAGGGGCACGTTGGTAAACATCGCTCTGACCACCAATATCCACCGTCCTTCGCTCCGAGAGGACCCCTTCGTCTCGGCTGTCCCCCAGATCGAGTCGTGGCTGCGAGACTGTCGCCAACATCACGATTGCGCCAGCCTGACCCAGTCCGGCGAGCACCCCCGGCGACTGATTAAGATCGTGTCGGAGACGATCTTGAGGCTGGTCGACACCTCGGAGTTGCCCAAGAACGCGATACTCGAGTACGTCGCACTGAGCTACTGCTGGGGCCAGGGACGTGCCAAGGGCAGAACTACGCCGTGCAATCGGGACAAGCGGATGGTGTTTTTTCACGTGGCGGCGCTGCCCAAAACGATACGAGACGCGGTGAGCGTGGTTCGTCGACTGGGACTCAAATACTTGTGGGTTGATCAAATCTGCATTGCTCAGAAAATTCAATGGGATCAGGACACTATCCCTCAAGAGCATGATGATGATGATGATGATCAAGACGGCAGAGGGGATAGCTACGATGGCTGTGACGGCGACCGTTGTAAAGCTTGCAACGACGATGCCGGGGAGGATTGGAATGCAGAGGCCTCGAGGATGCATGTTATTTACGGGAACGCCATCTTGACGCTCTGCGCCTGTTCAAGCACCAGTTCGAGAGACGGGCTCGTGTGGCCGCGGAAGGCGTGGACTTACACCGTCGTCCCGTTCTACTTTGAAGGTCAGTGGCTCGTGAACTACGACATGAGTCTCAACGAAGTCAGGGCCACCGCACCACTGTCCAAACGCGCGTGGACGCTTCAAGAGGAACGACTGTCTCCGAGACTGCTGTACTACTGCGGCCAGAGAGTCTACTGGTCTTGCGGGGAGAAGCAGGACACAGAAGTCGTCACTCGTAGCGCAGCAGGGAAACCCGGCGACAGCGGCAGTGGCAGTGGCAGTGCCACCACGTCCTTTGAACGCCAGGATGGATTCCAGCAGATGAGCGTGGCTCAGGTCTTCATCAAGTTTCGCTTCACCGGAGAACGTGCTCGACTGCACCATGAATGGAACGATCTCGTGGAGGCTTACTGTCCACGGGAAATCACCGAGCCGACGGACAGATTCCCCGCGATCTCTGGCCTGGCCGCACAGTATCTTTCGACCTATGTCTCCCCCGACCACAAAATCGGCCAGGAATATCTCGCGGGGCTGTGGCGCGACACTTTCCCGGCGGACCTGGCGTGGTCGGTCAAGACGGCGGCAGATCCGCGAAAAGCCCTGGTTGACATCGCCCCGAGCTGGTCCTGGGCGTCTCTTCCTGTCGGGACCGGCGTGAGCACAAAGCAGAGCTTCAAGCGGTGCGTCAACTTTGAGTTACTTGAAGAAGGCTCAAGTGGGAGCGGGGATCCTGTCGGACCCAAGGAGAAGGAGCAAGACAAGGGAACCGATATCCTTCGTGCGTGCCAGGAGGGAGCGAAGAAGAGGCGTGTCTCCGTGCGAGGTCACCTGCGACAGATCATGTCCCCCGAGTCGGAAAAGATTGAGTGGTCCGAGATGACAACAGTGCGCGGTGGCCGGACCAAGTACAACCTTTCGAAGTATATTGCTCGCCACGTCCACGCACGAAACCCTGCACACGGCCAGCTGGTCATATACGAGCCGAACAGACAACCCATCGAGGGACAACTGGACTATTTTGTTCTTGCCGTGGACAACCACCCCAACAGCTGCGGCGGGGGGCGATACGTGGCAGACGGCGCGGAAAGGGACTTGTATGGCATGCAGATAGGCCAGAAGACAATGCTCCTGCTACAGCTCGAGTCCAACCCCCAGGCACTTCAGGAAAAAAGCAACAAAACAGCGCGGAATGCGGCAAATGATGCCAGAGTCAATGTCTTTCGAAGGGTCGGGATCTGTCGTGATGTGCGCGAGACCTTCTTCGAAGGAGTCGAGGTGGTACGGCTTGAGCTCGAATAGCAAACAACAGCAACGGACGGGCTAGTATCGAGACGACGGGAACAAGCCTTCCTGTTCAACAACCCAGTCTGGGAAGAAGGCGGCCAACAAGCTTTTTCGACCAGGTATACGGTTCTCGACCTCGCGGCCCGAGAAGGCTATCTCTTGAGCGTGTTGTCTCAATTATCAGTGATGCCGGGAACTCACTTGACCTGATGGGAATCTAAGAGAGAAACACATGGCCGATTGTTTGTATGTAGGGAAAGGGAAGGGAAGATCGGAAAGCTGCATGACGGTACAGAAAGACAGAATCCCAGAGAAACAGTCGGTGGATGTCTCAGACTTCCTTCTCTCCTCATTCAATTTTACCATTTTATGAGCCTCCAATACAATCAATCATATACAATGGTATATGAACGCGCCAGTGTCGCCGATGTTCAAATGTGAGTCCCTCTCTAAAACTGATGTTGCCGCGCTCAATCATTTTGTCCTATTCCATGCTAAAACCATCAATGCATCCGGACCAGACAGGAGATCAGACCGCGCTCGAGTCCTTCCCAACTGACCGCTGAAATCAAAAAAAATTAGATAGTGCATATCTCGCATGTAGTTGTTGTCGTTATATTTCTTCGCAGATCGTCAAAGGTCATAGTTCGTTGCGCTCAGTAAATTGCTCGTCGACGAATATCGCCAGTCGACAGCCTCAGGGTCATGAAAAGTGTAAACAAGCCGGCTTGTGAGCGATAGTTGGATGCTCCTTCAAGTCTCCATGTGATGAATTCCAGCTGCCTGGCCTTCGTTGTCGCGGGACCTGGATCGCTGCCCTCTCGTCCGTCGCATGCGTTTACGCCGACATAATCTCAATTCATCGTGCTCCTCCCACGCCGTGCGCTCGGTGAAGCTGATTCCACAGTGTTCACAGTCCCATATTTTCGCTTCGCCCGGCTGCTCCCTGCGATGCTGTTGGAGACTGGCAATAGTCGCGAATTTCCGGCCGTGGCAGCAGCGCTCCCAGCACACCAGGTGATTGTCGCTCTCTCCTCCTCCGTCATCGTCATCAGCGTCAAAATAACCGTCATCCTCTTCCGTGTCTCGTTCTCTTCGCCGCTTCAGCGGCAGGACTTCTGGTGCAGGTGTCTGCGTCAGTACAGAATTCGATCGCGAATCCAAGGACAGCGTGGCGGGTTCACGAGGACCAGTACTACCGAGATCCACGGATTCCTCTCGTTCGCTCGAATCCCAGTTCAGGGGATCGACAAGTCTGAAAGCGTGGACCAGTTAAAAATTATTCTCGGGAGGATCACCAAAAGTCAACTTACACCAGGTTTCGGAGGTTGATCGCATGTGAATAAGCAAATGAAGGCAAGGACTCTGGTGGGAGTCTTTCGAAACTCTGCGCCGGGAGGTGGTATTGTTCATCTCCAATGGCACAGATCCGAGAGTATTGCCGTGCAATCCATTCTGCCTGCCCGGCAGGAAGATCCTTCACCAACAGGAGCCTCGAAAGCGGGAGCAGCAGCAGATACCAACCGCAAGAATACGCATTTTGTCGATGGATCAGGTCGGCGTCATGGTTTCCAATTGAGGGATACTGGATCTCGCTGGCGGGTATCGAGGCTTCCCACGTACCGACATGAAAGGGGACTGAGGCGCAGATATCAATCGCCAATTCTCGCATCGCTTTTATTGCTCTGGCTTTGATTCTCTGGCAATCTGCGCCTCCGAGCTCCGTGGTTGAGGATGCGAGGTTCATGATGGCGTCGAGCAGCACAATGTGAATGCGTCGGTAGCAGTTCCACACTGATGCCACTTGGATGTCGTAGTAGGTGTGTGCCTTGCCGCCATAGACAAAGTCTTCGGACCAGATTGAATTCTCCAGGAGATTAGGTTTCCAGGAAGACGGAACAATGTGAGGCCAGTGACTCAAGCTGCCCTCTATGGCAAGGCCTCTCTGCAGAGTAGCCCACCATGGTCCCTTTTCACCGAGAGTCTGATCACCTTTTAGCGCGGCGAGGAAGTCCGAAACGCGAATGGCTTCTCGAGTCAAGATGGATCCAGCATCATTTTCGGTGATCAAAACGTGTGCCCCCAAGATTCTGGATGCGGATTGCGCATTTTCGACGCAAGTACAGGCCTGGCGTAGGAACGTTAGTCATAGGGAGTAAGACTTATACAGCTGCGGCATACATACGATTTGATGTCTTGTTGCAGAGAGAATGCGACTGGATATGACATCCAGGAAAGATCCTCTGCCTCGCGATTTGAGGAAGCCTTGTAAGTCTCTCATTAGAGTGGTACTGAAAAGACGTCGTTCATGGAGACAGATGGAAAACTGTAATATCATGAAAATTCATCAGCCAAATGACCAAATGCGAGAACACGGGTGTAACTGATTGCTTGGATCGGACTCTGTAGAGCATCTGTATTCCCACCAAGGTCGTGAAGTCGGAAAGACGCTTGCAACTTACCTCGCAGAATTCAGACAGCAAGAGCGAGACAATCAGCTCGTCACTCGATACCTTGTCGTCTTTTGCATCTGAGATGAGCTGCGATAGCATGTTGCGTGATGACTCGTAGATCGACTTTCCGCGACTAACGGCGGACTGAGATTGGCGGAAAATACCATAGAGTGTCATCGACAGAGCACGAACGATAGAGTCAAGAACAGGAGGGTTCCTAGACGCATTGAAGAGAAGAGAAGGGAGTTCTTCGAGGTAACTCGTCACGGTCTCCGGCCGACGCGAACAGGTGACAAACCAAGCGAAGAAGGCGCGGAGAGCTATGCCTTCATTGGGCACCTGCGAGTCCGACCGTCGCAGTGTACCTCCGCTGGATCTGAAGGTTGAGGTTGTTAGATTCGATCCTTGGGAGGCAATCTTTAAAGAAATGGGCGACGGCGATGGGGCAACGGTTGGGGATGTCTCGTAAGCGACTTTGATGCTTTGAGTAAATGGCTGAGTCGAGATATCATCTGGCCGAGTCTCCGCGTCTAGCACTCTAAATGTAGGACCCTGTTCGACAGAGACACTTTCACTTGAACTAGATGGCTGATGCGAGGCAATCTCTGTGGGCGCCTCTGCTTCTGGCTGCCTAGCTGGAGGTATCTGGGTACCTAGCTCTCTGGTATCCTGTTCGAATGGGTCCTTTTCGCCCCTCCTGGATGGCCTAGGCGAGGCAATGTCTGGGGAGTTCTCCGTATCTCGCTCTCTAGCTGTGAACATAGGATCCGGCTTGCTCAGGGCGCTCCTGCTTGGACTAAACTCCAGAGTCTCGGAAATCTCTGGTGGCGTCTTTGCATCTATCTCTATGGTCCAGGCTACGGTAGCCTGCTCAGCAGGTTGGACTGTGGGATTCTGCTCGACAGGGGCTTCCCCGCTTGGACCAAACATCGCAGACGAGAGGATCTTTGGGGAGATTGCTGCATCTAGCTCAGGGGGTTGGCCTTGAGTATTCTGTCTGGGCGGGGGTTCTTTACTGGGACTTGGTGTCGTGAGATCAATAATCTCTCCTGATGGGATTCCGACTCTAATATTCTGTCTGACGAGGGCTCTCTTACTCGGCCCAGATGTCCTATTTGGTGGAAGTGAGCTGGAGATTGATCTGATGACCGGATCTGCGGGATATCGTGATGGCGGGACTGTTGGAGCTGTTTGGTGCGGTGTCGGGTCTCGCGCCTTCCCGTTTTGTGGCGGTGAAACTGTTCGAGCTTCTTGATATGGTATTGAGGCTTCCACTGTGCCATTTTGTGGTGGTGGAACTGCGCGGGCTTCTTGCTTAAGTGGACGGATTTGTGCCCAGTTGTTTTGCAGTGGCGGGACCGTTCGTGCTTCCTCATTCAATATGGTTGTCTGTGCGCTGATATGCTGCTGATTGAGAGCATCCCGAGCCGCACTATTGGGGAGAGTGGCTCCTGCTGTGCTATCATTTCGTAAGGACACTCCGCGAGCTTCTCCGATCGACTCAGGGACTTGATCTGTGTTAGTCTGTTGGGCTAGGATCCCTCCGCCCGACCCAGAAGGTTGCGTCCCGCTGCTTCGCCTTGGTGGTGGCTGTTCGAGCGGCGTAGGGGGTTGAGCTGTGCTGTCATGTGGCGGAGCTCTTTTTGAAGTTCTTGGAGCTCTCCTCTTCTTTGCTAGTAGCTTCTTGTGTTGCTGCAATAGCAGTTTCGAGCCAGGTTTAGGGGGTGGAGCTTTGCAGATTCGTGACCCTGGATCTCCTTTGGCTAGTAAATCGAAGCCCTTCATAAGAGTTTGGAACATTGACAGAGACGTGTCGTCTGGTGGGGGCAGTTGAATTGCCATGTTCTGCTGTTCTGGAACCTCCTCAGTTGAGCCGGAGAGCTGAGCTTTGTTACTTTGTTGAATTGCCGCATTTTCCTGTTCTGGAACCTCTTCACTCGAGTCGCAGGACTGAGCTGTGGTACTTTGTTGCGCTGGGAATGATTCGGTTATCCCCAAAGACTCAGCTGGATGGGGCTGCGTAGATTCATCAATTGGGAGTGGAATTTGTGACGCGGGAGCTGAAACTGTGCTGATTTCTCGAGGTGCTGTGTCTCCTAGTTGTATGGTTTGTCGTTGTGAAAGCGCACCAACTTGAGCTGAATCGTTCTGTTCGGGAGGCGAAAACCCCCCAGAAGTGTCATTCGGTTGATGTGGTGGAACCCATTGAGCTTGACCGTCTAGTTGCGGTTGAAACCCTGGGGTTTGGTTTTTTGGCCCTTGCGTCCGAGCTTCCAGGTATAATGGATTAGGGAGTTTCAGTACAACTGGTGGAATGTTTCCCTGTACAGGTAGAACTGCCGGTATAGTCCCACGTGTTCGTCCAGAAGGCACCCATCCACGTGTGCTGTCTTGCTGTTGTGCGAAAGGTTGCAAAGGTAATCGAGAATTCTCAGCTGGGTTGCAAACCGCTGTGCGCTGCATTAACTCCAAATGCTGAGCCATGTCTCTAAAGCGCTGATCTAGCAACGCTCGATGACTGTTGTGCGACGGGAAGCCTTGGTGTGGGCAGTTGGAATTTGGTAGAGCTGTGCCGTTGCGTTGCGATAAGGGTTGTTGAAGCATTCCATAACCCTGTGGTAAAGGTCCTCCATTGATACTGGCGTGTTGCGCAGAATATCTCTGCGCGGCGCTACCGGATGGCAAGGAACACGGTACGCTTGATGGAAAGACTTGGGACGCGGTACTCTGCTGTGATGCAAGTGCTGGAAGAGGTGTACCGTGGTGTTCTGTTGCGACATGCGGGCTTAGCCTGAAGGCTTGTGTTGGGTAACCCTGTTGTCTGGTATATCCTTGATATATTGACTGGCCTTGTGCTGGAGGACTCATCATTGGTGCAAATCCTGGATCTATCCTATAGTGTTCTGTTGCCACTTGTGGGGTTAGCCTGAAGCCTTGTGTTCGGTCACCTTGTTGTCTCAGAGATCCTTGAGGTATCGCGTGGCCCTGTGTTGGGCCGCCTTGCTGTTGACCGGAGGGAGGCCAAGTGTTGAGGAAGCTTGATCCCACCACTCCTCTCGGCGCCGTGAAGGGGCGGCCGACAGCATCAAGGCCAGGTATGGGAGGTTCTCGCGACATGCTGCAGGCTGAGATCGTCCCAGGAAGAGGCCGTGTGGGTACGCGATGCGCCGAACATCCTCGTGATGGTTAGTTAGGTTCAGAATTCTCCGGGAGCCCCGGGAGTCCCAACATTGTCTAGATTCCATCGTGCGGCTAGTACGAGGTATGCTTCCCCCCTTCTCCCTTTGCCAAGCTCATCGACCCGCACTCGGTCTCCCGGGCAACCACTTGATCGTTCTCTCAATTGGCTGATTCAGACGAGAGTTTGAACGCCTATTTCATTGACATCAAGATAGCACGAAACTGACTCAAGTATGGATATAGCTTGTGTCGGTTCTTTTGGGAACCGAGAACACGCTATAAGAGCTACCCAGCCATCCTCACACCTTCAAGTGGCTTTCCTATCACGTCAGATTGGATGGAAAGTGCTACAAACCGAGACCACCAACGTGCTTGAGCGGCAGTGCCTCCGAACATCCACAATCCGGGAGCTATCTTGTGGTCAGTGTGATGTGGCGAGGACTGACTTCTTGTGAGGCCGACTTACCTGCTGGCTTCATGACGTTCCGAACTTCCCCTTCCTCATCGAGTCCCCAAAAGTCGCTCAATTTCGACGCGAAGTCCTTCCCCACAATCTCTGCGACCTGATTTCGGTAGTCGTGGTCTTGTCCTGTGGCAATCACGACCACGTCTCCATGGAGCTCGCTTCCATCTTTGAATTTCAGGCCTGTCGGAGTGAAGGTCGTGATTGGCACACCAGACTTGACCTTGATCTCTCCCCTCACGATGTGGGAAGATGCGCCAATGTCAATATAATATCCTCCGTAGCGCGACAGGATGTTGTCCATCAATGGAGTCTTCCGATCAACCTGAAATCCAGCCCGCTCCAGATCATCGAAGCGCCCTTGCTCCTGACTTGCGGCAGCCTCGTGGATGACCTTCAGAATGTCACGCAATATCTTGTTAGGGCGACAGGCGACCAAAGCATCTGCATCGGCAGTGGGGATATTGTTATTGTACAAACCTGGAGAGTTGTTAGCCGGCGGATCTGCAAGAGTTCTATCTTGTGCGCGTCGTTACCCTGCTGTCCCTTCACGATCCACTCGATTGGGTAAATGGCAGTCTTATTACGCTGGATCATGGTGACAGAACGCAGACCTGCCCGATACATGTCTTCAGCAATGTCATGCGCTGTGGTGCCAGACCCAATGACGATACCGTCCTTGGCTGCCCAGTCGCGGCTGTGCTTGTACGCTCCCGAATGCACGAGAATCCCCTGGTATTGCTCGGTTCCCGGATATTTGGGGTCGTTGTCGACGCTCACACCAGCACCAGTAGCAACAACCAGATGTCGGCAAACGAGCTTCCGCTTGTCGTCCCCATTGACGGTGACGTCTATTGTCCAAATCCGATCCTCCGGGTTCCAAGCCGCCCCGGCGGTATCCGCACTTGTCCACAGGTTGATGTTGTACTTTCTGACATAGTTCTCGAAGCCTTCTGCCACGATCTTGCCAGGGAGCAATAATGGGTCGTTGGGCTTCCATGTGCGCTCAAAGGGAAGATTGTTATACTCTCGGACGGTATGTTGCCTCACTGACTCGTACCGTTGAGTCCAGTTCTTCCCCACTGCAGGTCGCTTTTCGAGAAGCACATAGTTTAACCCAAGAGCACCCAGTCGGCCCCCGATGGCCAGTCCGCATTGGCCTGCCCCGATTACCACGACATCAAAATGATATTGGCCATCTTGCCTCTCTGCGTGGTGATCGACGTCGTTGGTGGTACCATTGGCAAGCGAGTTACTGGTCGCCCGAGGAACATCAGGGTGCCCGTGATCAGTAAAGTTTTCCAGAATCGTTACAAGCATCCAGATTTTCCAATTCCCGCCTTCGTCTGGGATCAGCGAGGCAGTGCCAGTACAGTTACCGATGAGGCCGCTCTCTGGTTTCGTACTGAAGGTGAAGGGGATATCGACCCAGGAGCTCGTTGGAACGGGTTTGGTGATACGTCCCCGCTTTGTTCTGACGTCGGTGACATTTTGAGACTTGACTTGCGTGTTCCACACCACTGAGATCTTTTCGGAACTATAGAATGTTCGAATCTGACCCGTCAGAGCGAGCCAGTCTCTCCATAGCGCCGTGCTGTGCAGGCCAGTTACATCCAGATTCTCTAAGACTTGTTGAGCCGACTGTTGGATGGAGTCTATGTCGACATGCTCCGAGACCAACTGCGAAGGCAAGGCGCCGGGGAGTTTGTCTAGGTCATAACTCGGTGCCATTGGGGCAATGAAGTGCCAGTATCAGCATGAGTCGGTTGGTTTTGTTAATTAAGGTCGCTGGACGGTACGCCTGGCCTATGTATGGTTTTTCTATTCTGACTCTGCTGAGAGACCGACTCCAAGATGCTAGCCGAGACTAACCTTTGACAACATATCAAACTTATATATCGGCACTTAAACTCGGGTGCGATTAGTCCAGTTTGAAGCGTCGATTACACGTCAGACTATATGTGGGGAAAGGCATCGCCACGAGTTACAACCGAGGCGGATCGTGGAGAATGGTGTACGAACTCCTCCCTGTGTCTGACTTATCCTGCAGCTGACGCATTGTCAGCCTTTTGCGGAGAAGGGGTTCTGCAAGGGTTCAGAGCACAACAGCCGTGCTCGTACAATTTCCACCAGCACTCTGCAGAGGGTTCTCGGAATGCATTTCAACGCCGAACCCCCGAGTTGCTGGGCCTCATCACGTTCTCCTCACATCAACCGAGAATATTCCATGGAATGGTTACTTTCCCCAGGACACGCAAACAACATATAGACTTTCCAAATTATACAAACCCTCGAAATCGACCGCGATGACATGCATGTACACTCTCCATCCGGGACCGCCAGCTGCAACACCTAAGTTTGCGGGTGTAAACAATAGCCCGTGGTGGTGGACATCCACAGCGTTTTGATGTGGCGAGAGCAAACAAACATGATGGATCCAGGAGGTATAAATACCTGTCTCTCCACGCGGAACTACTATGGAGTCCTTTCACCTTGGTCGCATCCAGAGATGTTCCCTAACCCGGTATAAAAATATCTTTCCGAGGGAGGAAAACAACATCCTTCCACAACCAAGTCGTCGCCCACATGAGAAACCACCACGCAAAATACTTCGTGAAACCCCTCTTCATTCAAATTCCGATGTTCCGTGAGGGTGAATATCATGCCGGTTCACCCTGACGACGTCGACCGGCGGAACGCCACTTTCTGGGTCTCGTACCACCGGGGCGGCCACCCTTACCGCGACCAACGCAGGTACATGTTCCAGGGCCTGCCCAACCGGAACATTTCGCGGTCCGCGGCTGCCTTCGCACGCTACGGCCGCCGGTTTCTGTATATCGCCAGGACGTTTGACGAATACTGTAGCTGGAGGGGAGATCTTCCAGGGCCCAGTGGCATGCCGAGAGGGTTTTCGACTGGCTTTCCTGAGCCGCTAGGCTCTTCGTTTCCATTTCGGGAGATGATGATGGAGTTTGTCGATGAAAAGGTCGTGTTTTGATGGCCAGGCCGGTCCTTTTGAGCTGGATGGTTACGGTGCAGATACGCATTACAACTTAACCATAATTATCATGCTCCACTGCCCTAGGACCGCCTGACAACCTTTTCAATTCATGGCGGGTCGGTTGCCTCTGCGGCTCCTTCTGAACGGTACGACCAGCTGGATGGAGGAACTTTGGCGAAATACGGGGGTACAGATCGACATAAATCTCAGCGAAAGGTGGCACAAGATGGCGAAATAAGAAGTGTTTATCATGATGTCTCGGTTTTCACGCCGTTGTCGTCTGAAGGCGTTCCTCCTACCCGTCCGCATATGTTCTTCCTCCCGCAGAGCTAGGTTGTGTAGGATATAACAGACCCTCTGAGAGCTAACGAGACCGGCAAGCTTTGTCAACGCCTGCATGGATGGGAGAAAGATACAATAGAAAAATGGGCAAAGAGGCCGGGGTTGAGGTGTAAAAACCCCTGTGCTGCTTCAGTAGTGGGAAGAACCCTCCTGCTAATTTATGGATTGTGTTGTCTGGCATCAGGGAGCAGAGTATGCAGAATGAACACAGATACACATTCTTGATACTAGAAAGGTTTTCTTCCGCGTTCCATAAAACGCAGACAGGTCCAAAGAGCCCTGGGTGAGCGCATGTAAGAACCAAGGCTACTGAATGAGCCAACATTTTGCCCCCCTTCATCGTCAAACTCGTCCCCAGAATGCACTATTATCCCCAGTGCTTGCATCGTGAAGGGGCTTTTAAAGGTATATATCTTCCCAGGGACGTAGCCAAATTCTGAGCAGCCAGCGACATTGCTTGCATCCATCCATCCCCTGCAAATTATCGCCCGACAACCAGAAACTAGTGTCCACCCGGCCCTGGCCGCTTTGTTGGTTTCGGGAGTGACGGTTTCCGGGTTGCTATTGTCGCCTTGGTCGACGGTGTTGTCTCCTGACCGGCGCTCTGTGATTGCTAGCTGGTGGTGGATGACGATGGAGCCGGTGTGGTGGGACTTGACGCGGACGTCGAACTTGTCGAGGAGCTCCCGGTCTGCTTCTCGACGGTCGCCTGGACAACTTGGCCGGCGGCGTTGAAGACAATGTCGACCAAAGCATTGAGCGGCGCATATGAATACGTCTTCTCAATCAGACCGCCAGACAGTGTCTGGCTGACGCCCGTGTCGGTCATGTTCTGCAGATAGTTGCCGACGATGGTGCTCACGCCGCCGACCTCCTGGACGATGTTTCCCAGGTTGTCGATCAGGAATGATAGGGTTGTTCCTCCCTGGGTGATAGAGCCGAGGAGCCCATCAACGGCCCCGACAATGGGTTCAAGCAACGAGGTGACGTTATTGATGGCCGAGATCAAGAGAGGGTTGAGGTCCAGTGATTCGAATACCCGGTTGACGATGTCGACGAGGTGCCCCAGACGGACAATCAGTTCCAGCTCAGCATCCACATCTGAAATGGTGAGGTTGACTTCTTGGATGGACAGCGCGACGCCAGCATTCAACGTGACTAAGTTTGCCACCTGCGCATTCAGGTTGATATCTGCCCGCAGATCGTCGACGTCGAGTTCAATGCGACCAACGGAAAGTGTCGGGACATTCAGGTAGACATCTGGAGGCGTGGAGGAAGACGAGGCTGGCGTCGGGGTCAGCGTTGCCGAATTGGACGCTGATGATGTTGAGCTGCTGCTTCCTCCAGGCGTTGACGAGGTGGACGTTTGCGCCAGAGTCTGCTGGTGCAGCAGGAAGAAGGAAAGGAACGTGAGCAGCAGCTGGGATACTATTGAGTGCGCCATCATTATGTGTTTTCACCCACGACGGTGGGAAGAGAAAGATATAGGAATCGATCGACGTCCATCCGGCACTCTATATGATGATCATCGGCCGACAAGCTCTTTTCTCCTCCCCTCCTCCTGTAGGAAAATCCCACCAGGTCAGCCATGGCCAATTTCTCGACCAGCGTCGCTAAACCGCGAGATTTCCCATGTGCAGGAAATTTATTCGCTCCCTGGTGGGAACGCCATGGTGTTTCACGCGTGTAGATGATCTGCGCCGATCCCCTGGAGATGGATCCTTCTCCAACCGGTTTTCTGCACACCTCCCCATGTTTCAACGGTCCATTGCGGTATAGGGCTGATCTGCCGAGATTGCAGGTGTGGGTACGCCCATGGTTGCCCCTGGCACGGTGCCGTGCGAAAACAGGGTTTTTCCCTTGTTGCGCGAACCGAGTCTCTTGAAATGCCAAATGAGATGTGCCGAAAGGGGCCTTTGGTTAAGGGTTCGAGACTGATGAGTCTGGAAATTGAATTTTGGTTCGAGAAGAAAAAGAAAAGGAGGCCAATTGCGGTTCTGCAGCATTGCAAAAGTACCGGGTATAGTTCTTGTAAACTGTGCCAGTCTTGAAGGAGAGAGTGTCGTGTCGTTCAACTCGACTTCTCTCAGCGTGTCTTCTTTGCTCCCCTTGATGAAGCTCCTCTCAAGACCTACATCTTTCAATCTGTCATGATCCCTATACTTTTGTGCTCGTTACTGCTGGCACTTGTTCAATTTGGTGTGTCCCAGACGGTCTCCTCCAGCGATGGCTATACCGGCTACTCGCTCAGTGTGACCGGTAACGACACTGATTCGGCGGTCTACGAGACTGAGGAAACCGATACGTCGGACGGCGCCGTGACAGACGCCAGCACGCCGCCTGACGTCTATCTCAATGCGAGCGTCTCGGTTGGCGAGATCGACATCACGGTGAAGAACCTGTCGGCGAAGATCAATATTGACGCCCAAGTGCTGTCCCTCCTTCAGTTCAACGCTGGTGTCGACCTAAGCATCAACGCTGTGGTGCTGAACATTCAGAATGTCACCGCAAAGGTCGAACTCGAGGCACGGCTGGAGAATCTGGTGCTCATGATCAACGACACGCTCAACTCAATCGACCTCAACCCAATAATCGCCACGCTGGGGTCCGACGTCGGCTCCCTGGTCGGCACTGCTCTCGGCGGCAGCAGCACGAGCAGTAGCAGCGCCTCTTCATCCACAAGCGGCCTGTCTGCACGGTCGGTGCTTCTTGACGAAGGGATCCTCTACTCGGTCAACGACTACAGTGGCAACACGCACACCAATCGCATCCTCGACCAGGCCGGAAATATTGTGGACCAGAAACTCCACAACGATGGATCCGTCTACTCGTCTCAGGTGGTCGGATCGTACTGGCACGACATGGCGTTTACCGGGCACGAGCGGGCGGTCCTCTTTAACGGCGAAAACGCGAAGGAGTTGGAATATTCGTATTCGCCGTTCAATGGCTTCAGCTCGATCGCCGCCATCTATCAGGATGCCCAAGGCAACGTTCTGGGCACGAGGGTGTTGAGTGAAATTGAGGGCGGAGGATCGAGCACGATTGCTGACGATTGAATCGGATCTATTTACACGAGAACTCCCTCCCAATTTCTGTTTGGGCATGGAATGAAACAAGCATAATGTACTCACCAAGGCCCAATTATCCTACACAACAGTGAAACAAGCTCTATTGAAGCATACCCTGTACATACATTATGGTCGTCATGATGCTGATCCTTGTTTTCTGCTTGAGCCTACTTGATCAAGATATCCATGTCCTGCTGATCAATTAAATCCACTGCACAACAATATGCTAGTAGCTCTTCGTAAATTACTTGAAGGTATATAGTTAGACGGCCCCCCAGGGTCTAGTAGAATACATCGCGTTTCTCCATTGAGCCACAATGTGTCTCGCAGCAGGAGGAACAGACAAAATCTGTCAGCACCAGATGAACAAAGAGTCGCCAACGCCAACCAACTTACTCTTTCGGGTTTCTCAGGAGCAGGGGAGGAGGCAGCGAAATGTGAACTTCTTGCGGCACTAGAATTAAGTGACTATCCAATGATGAATTGAAGTTGGAATCCGATAGAAATTATCCAGATTGAGAGGTCGTGCCCGGCTAACTGCGCGACGCCATGAAGCCTCTGTCTGTATGTGTGTACCCGACATGATATTATGGAGCATTGGAGCATTATCTCTTGTTAGCTTGACGGACGGAAAACGCCCGAGACTTACACGACTCGTTGACTCCCTTTACGCCATCCCCACAGCTCGCCTTTCTCCCCATGGCAGCCCCAAGACTTCCCAGCCTCACCAGCCGACGGCGGGGAACGCTGATAGCCGCATTGGAGGCCCGAGGCTCCGACGGAAGTCCTCGCGAGAAAAAAAAGCAAACGCATTGAGAACTCTCGAGAGTCGCTGTCGGAGTCAAAGAAAGGAGAGGAGGAAAACCCAGATCATTGTCTCCCTTGGGAGGCCTCGCTATTACTTGCATCTATTCTGCTAGCTCTGTGTGCCACGGTCGTCCTTCCCTTCGGTGCGGGGGTCACGGTAGACGACGACGACGACGGAAAAATGGCACAGACGACGAAACTCGTGTCGGTCGATCAGATTTTGGCGCACAACACGCCCGACTCCTGTTGGCTAGTAATCGAGGACCAAGTGTGGGACGTGTCCAAGTTTGCCCCCGAGCACCCAGGCGGTGCATCCTGTAGGGGTTACCCCCTTTGATTGCTGGATATTCCTCTCAGCCCGGACCAGCCACTGACGATATCTGTTCCTCACTTCCAGTAATCTACAAGTATGCCGCGAAAGACGCGACCGAGGCGTTCTCCGAAATCCACTCCCTCTCGATACTCCGCGACAGTCTCTCCCCGGATTGCTGCGTGGGAATGCTGGACCGATCCTCCATCTCGGAAAAGTGGAATCAGGCTCAAGCGCAGAGGCAAAATCAGGTCGCAAAGTCCCTGTCGACTTCTGCAAAACCGCCGTTGGACTCTATTTTGAACAGGTACCTATGCTCTCCGGACCCCCTCTTTTCTCTTTCCATCGCGCGTTCTGGGAATGTTTACAGTTGACCTCAACTTTGCCTTCTTCAGTTACGACTTTGATGCTGCCGCAGCGGCCTCAGCACCCAAGAAAGCCTACACCTTCTACTCGACCGCCGACACTGATTGTTGGACCCGAGATGCCAACGAGGCCATGCTCAAGCGTATCTGGTTCCGGCCGCGCGTCCTGAGGGATGTCGAGGTGGTCGACACTTCGGGGAGCATGCTGGGAATCCCCATGACGCTTCCGCTGTTCATCTGTCCCACGGGGCTGGCCAAATTGATCTCGCCGCACGCCGAGAAGGGACTGGCTCGGGCGGCCAAGGCGGCAGGAATCCTCGAGATTGTGAGTCTCAGCTGCGTCGAAAGGAACGGTCGATCTATTCCCAGTCCTCCTTCTTTTCCAACACATGGTTGCTTGTAGTCGCTCGTATAAAGCTGATTGGTTGTCGTAGATCTCCACCAGTGCGAGCTATCCCATCGATGAAGTTGTCGCTCAAGCGCCAGGCTATCCCTTCTTCCTGCAGCTCTACATGAACAAACAGAGACAAAAGTCGGCCGACCTGCTGTCCAAGGCCCGGTCGATGGGGTTGAAGGCCGTTTTCGTGACCGTGGACGCGGCGGGCCGGGGGAAGCGCGAGTCGGACGAGCGCCTGGTGGTCGACGATGTCATTGTCAACCCCGTCACCGGCGAGCAGGCCAAGGCGGACAAGAAGGGCGGCGGATTGACGCGCACCATGGGCAGCTATATCGACCAGAGCTTGAAGTGGGACGACATCGCCTGGATCCGGAGCAAAACCGACCTGCCCATCATCCTCAAAGGCATCGGTTGTGCCGAGGACGCAAAACGCGCCATGGCCCACCATGTTGACGGCATCCTGCTGAGCAACCACGGCGGCCGCAACCTGGACTACTCGCCGCCTTCGATCCTCTTGCTGCTGGAGATGCACCGCTGCTGCCCGGAGATTTTTGACAAGATGGAGGTCTACGTCGACGGCGGCTTCCGGAGGGGCGGCGACATCCTCAAGGCGCTCTGCTTGGGAGCAAAGGCCGTGGGCATCGGCCGAACCTTTCTCTATGCGCTGAACTATGGCACAGAAGGCGTGGCGCATCTTGTGGAGAGTACGTTGCTTCGGGATGCAGACACTACTAGCTTTTCTGCTCCCTTCCCCCAATCTTCTTTCCTTGCTAATGGCTTCGCAGTCCTCCGGAACGAGATGGAAAGTGCCATGAAGCTGATTGGAATCCAAAATCTCTCTCAAGTCCATGGAGGGCTGGTCAACACCTCAGACGTGGATCATCTGGTGCCAGACAGCGCCGACCATTCATACGTCAAGTGGCGACCGAGTGCCAAACTCTAGACTCCCGCATCAGAGTTCCAGGAGCGCGTAAGTGATTACTTGGGGCCGTGGTGTGCCTTGCCTCGCTTGCGTCACCCCAGTGAGCTGCACGGAGGAAGGGAAACACGTCGAATACATCGAATTATATACACAGCTTCGAAAAGAAACACCATGATAGATTGGCACAGAGGTTAGCTATGTGTAGAATCTAGATAGGCTAGCTTCCCTCCACAGGTCCCCCATAGAGTGCATCCCACTGACCGTGTCCACTTCTTCATCACTCCCCAAATCTTTTCCTTTGTGGAGTCTGCATGTGACTTCTTCACGGCACCTTTCTCAGCGAGTTGTTGACGACGTCGTCAATGGTGCTCGGCCGACTACTGGGCTGCTAGTCACTGAGTGCGAGGTTGCACGGCTACACTGCCACAGGGAAGACCTTCTTTTCCCCTTACTCTTTCCCTTTACTACCAGCGGGAGATGATGCGAGGCCGTCACTGACAAGTAAGAGAGGCTGGTCTGGAGGCAAATTGGTCATAGACAGTAAATTGATAAGACTCTCGGCATCCACTCCGTTACTCGGGGATGGAAGTCCCCTATCAAGGACTCCGTGCCGTAATGAGTGCCTGCACCAGCCTTTTTTCCTTATCACTTCAATTATTGTTCTACAAATGCAGTCGAGGTACAGGTCAGGTAAGATCCAGCGTTCCAATTGAATGAAACCTGCAACTCACTCATTTATAGGTGGGAGAGCGTCAGCCTGGGATTCAACGTACAGGTGTGGAGCAATATCCGGAACAGCATTTCTCCAGGCGTGGACTTGGCATCTCTTGGGCCATACTTGACCGTGTCAACCACGCTGCGTCGCTGGGAACAGAGGCATCAGGTACAGCTACAGTAATTGTCATGCATCATGATTAGCGCCCAGCTGCTCTTCTGTGTCTGGTGTGCAACTTTCCCCTCATTTGCCCAAACAGGACCCGTGCATTAGTCGGACGCAAGTTGCAGTCGAGGTCGCTCCACCTCAGCCTCATTCCCTCTCAACCACCCAAGGTATGTCCCTTCCCGCGCTTCTAGAGGTCCTTCGTTCCGACACCTGGCAGAGGACTGCTTCAGGGTGAGCACTTCGTGCATTGTGTGCTGGCACGAGGTGGTCGAACATGGTAGCAACAACGAGCTTGGTAAACAGCACCAGGTCCAGCCCTCACGACATCCCGTCCTCCTCGTTGCAGGAAGTAAGGCTGGAAAGAGCTAAGCTGCAAGTGCAGCAGGTGGCAAGAGCTTACAGTCGGAAGACAATGCCAGCGGCTACAGTTGATGGAACCGACAGGCTTCTTTCTGAAGTTCTGGGCCATTCGCTTGCTGAATAAGACAGCATGCAGAATACATTCATCACCGGGATTGGCTCGAAGCTTCCTCTCTCGTATCATTCCCCTCTTCCCAGATCGTGCTGCCTATGAGGCTGACCGGTTTAGCGAGATATCGCCTCATTCGTACTAATTGACCTCGCCTACAGGTTGACCTCAGCTCGCCGCCACAGCTTGCGCAACACACGGGCTGGATCCCTCAGACCGACAAGCCACGTATTGAGGGGTTTGGCCATGAAGCTCGAAGCTGGTCCTTATCTAGTCTCTCCCACATATTCAGTCCTCCGCAGGAACTCATCCTCCAGGATCGCGTTTGAGATCTGTGGCCTTGACGATTCTTTGGAACGTTGACCCTGTCACCTCAACATGTCCAACCCGCCTGCGAACCCCGGGTTTCAACACGTCGGGCCTCACCAGGCAGATTTCCACACTCTGGGGACGGCGGATCTCGACCACTATCAGCCTTATGCCTCGGGCCCTGGCCAGCATGCTCCCTCCGCATCACCACCACTGTCCGACACTCAACTTGCCTCAGACCGCACGTCGCCCACGCTTGGACTTCATTCCCTCAGTTCGCAATCACAATCGCCCGCCACCGCAGGTACATATTCGGAATATGTGTCTCCAGCTCCTGAGCGAGCCGATTCACCAGTCGAGAAAGAGAGATATCTTGAGCCCGTTGCATACTATCCACCCTATTCCGAGGGTCCTTCTACCATTCCGCCCACGGAGTCCAGCCTAGCCCACTCTGACCGAGCGTCCAAGGACAAGCCATTCTATAAAAGATGGTTGTGGATCATATTGGCTTTGATCCTCGTTGTTGCTATAGCAGTTGCTGTCCCTTGCGGAGTTGTATTTGGCACGAAAAAGCATCATTCAAGTCCTACACCTGCGACATCGCCCACCCCCCCTCCTCCCTCTAATCACACCTCCAGCATCGTCCCTACCACACCCGCTACTACGAGCAGTATTCCACAGCCTACTGGTAACCCGCAGTACGCCATCGGGCCTCAGTTGAGCCCACTTTATGCGTCCAAGGACGGAGCATTCAACGGCACCGGAATTGCAATCGCCGCGGCAAATCCCGGCGTGGATTCGAGTATCTTTGTGTTTTATCAAGACTTCACTGGTGCTATCCAATTCGAGAAAAGCGATCCAGCAGACGGCGAAGCCAGCTGGAACCCCCTCTATCAAGTCAATCAAGGCGCTCCCCGGGCACTAAACGCGACACCCTTGGCGACGGCGGCATACGTCAATGATACTGTTGCTACGTGGCACCTATTCTACATAGATGAGAACTACATAATGCGACAACGAATTCTAACGAATTCTTCAGGCTATGTTCCCACATGGACATCAGGGCCTCTCGATGACCTCAAACTGGAAGTCAACCACGCCGATACCATCGGGATGCAAGTGTGTTATTGGGGTAATTTTTATGGTGATGCCACTGATACTTACACGGATGGCCTGAATGGGACAGACCCTGCGGGCGCGCCACAGACAGGGATGCATTTGTAGGTGCACTGTCGTCTTTACTTCCCTATCCGGTGATTTTAACCACTTGTAGATGGTTCGCGGATACGAACTCGAGCTTCAGGCAGTTTGACTGGACCAACCGCTCTGCGCAATGGACCGAAGTTACAGATCATGCATGGGACAACCTCGACGGCCATGCTGGAGTCGGGTGTCAGACGTGGGAATCAGGGACGAGTAGGTCGACCCCTCTACCACCGTTTTTGACGTAGTACGTAAAGTCTCCTCGGGCTGATTTTGTGTCTGTGTTTCAGCTGAATATGTTTTCTTCGTTAATGAAAACCACACCATCAACATGTGGTGGAAAGACAACAACTTCAGTGCCAGTAACATACCTACACCTGAACACCCGGTCGGCAAGTGGACACTGGCGCCAGGAGTCAATATCACCGACGTTCATCCATCTTCTACTCTCAGTTATACGAATTATCTGGTATACCAAGGAGTAGATGGGACCGTGCAAGGCTCCAACATCCTTTTCGCAGGTCCCAACGGGACTGCACCAGAGGACACAATCACCAGTCCGACAGATTACTTCGTCGTCGACGACTCAGACACTCAGCAGAGCATTTCCGCGATTTCTTGCACCCATCTCTGTAACACCGCTGTCCAGACCGAGAGCAAGGGTGTTTTATTGATCGTGCTCTTCCAGGTGTTCGGTGACGACATCCAGCAGTACAACAGAGACGGTTCCGGTGGACCCTGGTACGTGGGCCCCGCGGCAGTCATCGGCAATGAAACGGCAAGCTGATATATCTTTGGTAATAATAATGATGGATGCTTGGGATGGGAAGCCGAGACATGTATGTAGGATAACAACAGAATCTGCCCGGCTCGTCCTAGGCGGTAATAGTCAGATGAATTTGCGCGTTTGGTCACGAACTTCAAACGTCTAGGCAAGCTTCGTACAGCTACAAATCAAATAATCTATTGTATGTCAAACCCCTTCCTCCTTCGACGGCCAGTCCTTCCTTCCGCTATTGTCCTGGGGATGGAAGCCGATCGATAGGACAGGTCGCGAGGCTCCTCTAAAAGCCCCTAAGGTGTCCGGCACTTTGACTCGGAGACCTGATTGGTAGGTGTCATTTAGCACAAGGCTGAGTGCTCGGGGAGAAGATTTCTTTTCTGTTTGTTTGCGAGACAGGCACTTGGACAAAGCAACAACGCGTCAACTATTCTCCTACTTCTATAATTTTCTACCGCTCTTCAGACTGAGGACTTGACCCCCGCTCGATACCATGTAACTAGGCCTCAAGTTCAATTTTGGCTCTTGACCTCCTCGACCGACATATTAGGCGCTAACCTTTTCGGCCGACCTTGAAACATCCTCTGCAAGCGCCGGCTGGTACCGGCATCGTTCAGGGACAAAATTAATCGCCAACCACAGCAGGCGAGATGCCATGTGTAACGGACGTCAAGTCCAGCGCGGCTACCCACTATCTTCGGACACTGCCATATGGAAGATCTGATTCTATTCCTGTTATAGGTTCAGGCACTCTACCATTTCTCTCAATTTGCGAAAGGCTTTATTCGCCAGCATCGTCGTCGTCCACACCAGGCTGAGTATGCGTCCGCAGATTCGACCACATGTATCTTCCATAAATGGCCCGCTCAGTCTCGGGACGGTGGAGGCCAAAACTTCCGCCTGGCATGAGGCTCTGGACGGTAAGCCTTCAATAACACCTCTGAGCATTTTCCAAGATGATCTGTCGTTCATGTTTCATTCTTTGTCCGCTGCTCTTCGAAGGCCACAGAGTACCCTTGAGAGCCTGCCTCTCCGGCTTTCTGATAGCTTTGAGTTGTCGGTCTATCCTGTGGCTGCTTGCTTTACTCTCATCTGCCAGAGCTAAATAGAGGAATTTTGCGAACACCAACCTGACCTCACCGGCCACTTGGAAATCACGAAGATCACATGGCACAGGCATGGGATCCAGCCGCTTATGTTCACGAGGGACTCTGGACGAACTTCACAAAGGGCGGCATACGAGGCCTTACGCTCACGCTCTGTCCTAAAAATGCCGCGCTGCTGACCAGCTCTCTGACATTGTTCATCACGCTGTCGGGCGGGCAGCTCTGGACCATTATACGGTTTACACTTCACCAATTACAGGCCCTCCCGAAGCCAAAAGATTCCAGAGAGCTTCATAATCAGCAACAACTCATTCTGAGAAATGCGACGACAGATCTCGCAACAATGCGGCTCCTCCTGAACCTGGTTTGGGCGTATCGATGGGGCAAAAGGAAGGGATCTTCGCGTTCTATTCAAATTGCATCACTCGCTCTCATCCACGCCATAATTTTCATGGTTGCCGGAGCTTTCTCTAGCACATTCTTGAATGCAGGTCCATCGGTGCTCTCAAGAAGCGACCGGTGTGGAGTCTGGGATGAGGCTTACTACGAGATCGCTGCAGCGCATAATGTCAATCCCACCAGCGCGGAGAATTTCAGCTTGTCAGTGCAGTATATTATAAAGCAGGAACATGATGTTCAACTCAGTCTCGAGTATGCTCAAAAATGCTACCTGACAACGCCGCCTTACTATATGGCGTCAACCTGCAACACCATTCAGAAGCCGAGCCTCGCTTTCTCGAACTACACCTCCGAGTGTCCTTTCCAGCCTCAACTGTGTCACAATAAGTCCGACTCTATTGTGTTTGACACGGGAATAATCAACTCACACGATGATCTCGGCATCAATGCTCACCCCGAAGACCGCCTGACGTATCAAAGGATCACAACTTGCGCAGTACTTAATAGCACTGGGTATATGTCAGGTTGGGATGGCTCAAATGACAGCACAGACGAGCCCGCTTACGCATATTTTGGATCTTCAGCGGAAGGGAACTATACATATTCATATTCAAATTTCGCATCGCTCTATACGGATTACACTCCAAAGGTGACGGTGGCGTATCAATTGTATGCTGCGCTGGCTTACGGCCCAGTTCCAGAGGCTCAGAGCCCTAGCCAAGGCGATTTTGAGCCGCTCCCTGAGCTCAAAAACAATTCCGCGGATGTCATCCTGTTCTTTCTGAGCTACACAGGAAGATACGTCGAAGCAATTGAGGATCCATGGTTCTTAGCAAACCGCTTACACTTGGTTGAGAGTGATTTTCCACTTGTCCGGTCGCAATACTCTCGCGACAGTCCCATCAGTACACTAGGGTGCACCGAACAGCATAAATTTTGTACCAACAGCGGGAAGTGTACGCCCTTCTTGGGATTTGATCAAGTGCAGCACGTTGATGCTTTCAACTTTGCCCTCACAGCCCACCAAAATGTCACCTTTGACCGCATGCTTCGCGCTGTCACGGCTTCGAGCTTGAGGCAGATTGTTCATTTTCTTGCTCTGACCAGCACCCCACTGTTGGCCATGAACTCAAACGGAGTTCAATCGCATACGCTGTCTTTAAAGCTGCCGAACAATCAGTGGCAACTTGAACTGAACTACTGGCACTCTATTGCGATGGCACAACTCCAACGGATAATTGTCGAATGGGGTACTGGGCAGATTGCACCAGAACCACAATTCCTCATCAGACCTCAGACAGAGCCCGACGCGTGGTTTTGCAAAAACCTGATGATTCCGTCGACCGTCTACCAGTCTTTCAGCTTACTCGCCATTATCCTGACTCTGACCCTCGGTTCACTGGTGATACTGATCAGTCTGACCATTGAGAACTGTTTGGGCTGGGCTCAGGGGCGTTTCAGCAGGGGTCTAGCCCGAAGGGAATATTGGAATCGGGACAACATGCTGAGACTCCAATCCTGGTTCAACGAGAGCCCGACAATGCCCCAACCTCCGCCGAAGGACTTTAAGCCGAATACTTGGCATCACAAGACTCCAGAGAGCCTCGAACTAGGTTCACTTCCACCGGTACGTGATCTCCATAAAGATATCAACAGCGACGCCGATAGTGGGAACGATTCGCCATATCAAGCACCTCAGCGGGACATCTGCGGCCCTCCATCCTTCAATAATCGAATCAAGTCACCGGAATCAACACCTCGAAGGAGCTCAGATATCTTTCCCAACCCGATCCGAGACTCATGGATGACAATAAGCTTGGATGGCTCCGATGCTGCAGTGCCAGAAGCACCAGTCAACGTTCTGGATAGAAATGTAAATGCAAGGACCGATTCAGAACCAATGATTGTAACAGGCTGTTCTCGCCCGGCACAGCTTGTCACTGGACACCTAGGGTATGTCGTCGCCGAAGCTCAAAGCATCTGGATTTAAACAGCGTTATGGTTGGACGTGTAGTGCGCACCGTATCCCGTTCAACAAATAGACCTCTCGATGATCACACCAACACCATCGGCATCACGCGTATTTGTCCCCGAGATTCCCCTTTGCGGAAAACAAAAGGAACGAAACCCAATCGTCAGCCATGAGCCAGCATGGTCGGTGATCCTCCGGAAACACAACCTTCAATTCCAGGTGCAGTCATATATATCATTCAATCTTCGAATCTCCACCCCTTGCTTGTAAGAGTCGGCTTATATCGACAAGCCAGAATTCCGGCATCATGTGCGACAGTCATTGCGTCTTCATCCACTCAGGTCTTGACATCATCTGGCATACTCCTCTTGAAGTCATCACCTCCCCAGCCTGCACTGCCGGCAGGGACACTTCTCTTAAAGTCATCACCTCCCCAGCCTGCACCGCCGGCAGGAACACTTCTCTTAAAGTCATCACCTCCCCAGCCTGCACCACCGGCAGGGACACTCCTGGCTACCAAACCTAGAGGCATCAACATACGAGACGGGAATGGTTCAAGACGGTATTGACAAACCATCAGTGTTTTTGAGAGGTGCAGCAATAGCTGATGCAGTGATCAAAGCGAGAACAAATATGGTGAACTGCATGGTGATGATGATAACAACGATGATCTCCAAAAGCTAGAGCAGGTTGAGGATTGGAGGAGTTATAAGTAAGTCGATCGACTGGTGGTGGTGAATCAAGCCAGGGCAGCTTCAAGCAAGGGTTTGAAAAGCTTGAGGGAGATGGTGGGAAATCCGTTGCTTCACAGGAAATAAGTTGTTGAAGTCGCCGGATCATGAAGCATTCTTATATGCGGCAACATCAAGACATCCAGCCCCCATACCAGATGGCCAAGAGATACCAACGGGAATGAGACACTCGAAGCAAAGCGCTGCGGAACAAGGCTATCACAAAGGTCGAGACGACCAATACGATTTGGAATGGCGGTTGATGTGTCTTGATGAAAAGCAAGGAGGTCGAGAACCTCAAGCCTCTGGTTTCACTGACAAAGGCTCCCGAAGGGTTGTCCAGCGCCCATTATCTGGGATTGGAAGGAATTCATGGCCGTCACGGTGGTCGATAAAGTCGTCTGGCTCGTGGGTATTCCTTCTCATCGTTTCGTGTCACACTTGACGTTAGCTTCCGGGTGGCGTATCTGTGGCCTATGTGAAGGACAACAGCATCCAGAGTATTTAATCGATATGGCAATTGAGCAGGGACGGTCAAAACACAAGGGGTGGGAGTTCGTGGCGGCAAATGAAATTGGATGAAGCAAAGTGCCGGGTGCAGGTACAGGGTTCTCGCAAAGTGTGATGAGGGCGCCTGGCCTTGCCCTTGGACTTGGTCGAAGTCAAGCGACAGGCCTCGCGTTGAGCCGGAAACGTTTGAGTTGGTGGAAAGAAGGGAGCATATTTGATTTTGATGTTTTTGTACCCACAGAACCTCATTTGGTGCAAACCACAAAGGTAGACAAAGGCAACACATAAATCGACGCACGCAGGGCAGCACAAGCATCAGGCAGGCTGGGTCTCATCGGGCACTATTGGGAGCTGCAAGAAACCCAATAAGATACGCCACTGCCTTCCTAGCATCTCCATTGGTTGGCGCCAGAGACCTACATGAAACGGCTTGTGTCGCTCTTAGGGATCCATTGCGCAGGCTCACCGGGAACATGTCAAGCCCATGTTAGAGCTCAATGTGTAGCCGGCAAGGTCCGTCAAGGGGACGATGTATGTTCTGACGGTGGGAGTGCAAAGGTGCCTTGCATGTCTCAGTATACTGAGCATCGCCCCAGCGATGCCTCAGAGCCGCTAAATGTTGTTGTTTGAAACATCAAAGTTTTTACTGAGACTTAATAGCATGTGGTTGCGGCAATCCAGCACGAGCTCGGGTGGGCCAGGGCTTGTAGCTAGTCCTGCACCGGAGAGACAGCGATCTGAGACGCCTGCGCGGTTGGGCCATGTGGGGATGGAGAGACCTCCTGAGGAAAGGAGACGAGGACAGTATCAAAGCTCACGATCACTTTCCTATCGTCCACAGACATACAATGCATCTAAGTTTGACCTGGGTGTACAGATCAATTGCGAATGTTCATTAACGCCTTGAATCTGAAAGTGTAAGGGTGAGCCTCTGCTGCCGCAACCACCACCCGCCTAGCCTGGAGTGTTTGAATGGGGGATTTCGGCTCCGAGCGGCTGCGTCAGCTGGTGCAATACTACCGTACACATGCGAAATGTTGGTGTTGCTCGACGCTTTGTTGTTTCCAGAGTCATCTCGAGCCAATGTTAGCATTGCAGGTGTGTATGTGGATTTGGATACTGTAGAGATACTTGAGCGAAGCCTGTCGCCACTGTTGCCCTGAAGTATCTCGTACCTCGTAGCCGTCATTGCAATCTCGACGCGACGAGGAAGCAGCTTGTCCGTGGCTTCAGTCGCAAAGAGGAGGTTCAGTCACACGCGAAATATTAGCACCTACCGATCAGAAAGGAACAAATACCTGTTATTATTAAAATGTTTTGCACAGGACTTCAAGGCATATACAGAGAGCTCGGCTTGTACCGCCTATGATTCGCGCCCAAGTGGACAACTCCTACTAAATGGTCAAGTCACAGCAGATGTATTTTCTACATGTACTATGAAATTTGGTCAATCTCTTCATGGATCCCTCCTGTCCCGCAACCATATTCTGATGCTGCCACTACTGTGCAACAACGCATTCGTGCATCTCACCAATATCAAGATGACACCTTGTTGAATCAATCAAGCAGAAGCTTTAGAAGTAATCTTGAAGCCGGCCTTGACCAACAAACCAGAGCTAATAGAGCCCGTAACCTGTTTGCGTCGTGTTAGCATCTTGATTGAAGCTAGAGCTAATAAAAACCACTTCGGGTGGAGAGCATGGCTTACCGTGAGAGTACGTTGGTTTTGATTGTCGTCAATGTAGTCGAACTTGTTAGTAGGGCTCAGATGTGGATTTTCGCTGGCATGCTTGAGGAGTGCCGCATTCACGGTAGTGTTGGACTTGTCATAGAATCCGGACTGAACACCGCCCCCCAAACGCATCAGTATCCTTCACCACCGGGGGAGTGTCCAGATCAGGCCATTAAGGCCTGCCTGCCTAGGACGTACCTTGGCAATATTGTTGTTCCCGTCGGGAGAGTAGACGACCAGGAAAATCAACACTTTGCTCGGATCTGGGGTTTCGTAGACCGAAATGGCCAGCAGAGGGTGACTCGGGTTGGGCTTGGTCTGGAACGCTCCGGCCTTGCCAGTTTGACTGCTTGGCGGGATGAGCTGGGGAGAAGCCAGAACAGTCGCGTCCGGCGAGACGATGGTGGACGTCTCCCCGAACGGGTTGAGGGGGAATTCGGTGTTGTTGGCCACAACGACTCGGACTGTACCGGCTCCAACCTGCTCAATATTAGCACTCGAGCAGCGACTCTGTCTCATGCAGTGTGATCACTTGCCATTTTGGATCGACTCGATTGTTTTTCGACGGTGGATATATGAGAAGGCTTGTTGTTGAAGAATTGACCGAAGAATGTATGGTAGGAAAGATTGTTGGGAGAGTATTTGTGAACACTGAGGGAATGTTCACACGTATTTATGTCTTCTGAGAGCACTTGAAGAACTGTCAGGAGCCAGGTATGTTCAGTTCCGTTATTCAGCTATATTGAGGGTTGCGTTGATTCCTGTCAAGAATTCCGGACACTGTAACAAGTGTGTTGTGTGGCGTACATACATGATGCAGACGAAAACGTCCTCTTGCAGAGGTTAAAGACCTCACGAATCATTTTCATTTATTAACCCAAGTCCGGTCCCGATCACAGTCACGACATGCATCGTTACAGCCAGCCTCGGAGACAGAAGTACTTGTCGAAGACTTCGAACACATTGTCCTTAGCCAGCCACGCAGCACATCACTGCATGGCACGTCTTCATCGAGCGTCAGTCCGAGAGTCCAGACTTGTTAGAAATGGCGACATGCACCATTGTTCAGCCCGCCACAGGATCAATCTTTTGGCGGTGTGCTCACCAAACGCCAGTCTCAGGAGTCCAGACTGTTGTAAGTCGCGAAATGCGCAACTTCTCAGCCCGCCACAAGGTCGAGATGGCGATGTGATTGTCGAGCATTAATCTCAAGGTCCCGAATTGTTTTAAGTGGCGACATTCACCGCTTTTCGGCACCCCACAGAGTCAAGTTGGCGATTTGTTCACAAGTGTCAGTCTCAGGGAGCCAGACTGTCGTAAATATCGACATTCACGACTTCTCAGGCCCCCAAAAGGTCAATATGTTGACAGCATGCTGTTAATTGCCAGTTCCAAGAGTTCAAACTTCTTCTGAAAAGTAGTGTCATCAACCTTCTCAGACAGCCATAAGCCCGTCATCGTATCTGGGTGGGACATTACATATGAGCTAATGCGGGGATAGCGATACTTGATCCACCCGGCACCACTTTTGCTCGACCATCTGACTCGGTTAGTTGACATTCTGTCAGTGCTGCTTGTATTTCGCCGAGAGCTGTCTTGACCCGTCGAGTCAGGGGATTTCCAAGGGCTTCGCCAGCGCCTCAATTGAGTCTCCTCGAAGCAATCAAGCTAAACTGTCAACTCACAGTCCCATCACAACCTTCGTAGTGATCAGTATCAGTCGGTGGGCTACTGAAAGCGTGTGCTTTCCATGTACTTTGCAAAACCCGACAAGAATCGACTGAGGAAGATGGAGCGTGACCGGAAATGCAGAGGTTGTGGATTTTAGATTTGTGGTGGGTGGGCGGGGTACCGGGCCGGGAGTAGCCGGGCACGGTAACCTCCCCGATACCCTGTGTAGCTTGAAACTCTGTTGGCATTGGTACTTTTGACATGTAGCCTTTTTGAACAACGCACCTCCAACCGTTTGCTTTTGTGTTATACGGGCAGGAACCCCTAGAAATATCTTAGCAGCTATCCACTTGTGTGAGGCGTTCAACTGATGTTTCTGACGGGCGTACCTCGTGAGGGTGTCCGAGACTGTCCCCTGGGTCCATCAAAGCTACGACGCTCTCACTTTTCAGGCATGCCCCTACTGCGCAGAAGCAGGGTCTTCATGGTACACTAGGCACAATTCACACCTAGCCCTCCACTGCTTGCCGTCTCCACATCGATATGACGGACAACGAAATCACCTTCAGCGTCTCCTTCGCACCCAAGTCATCATGCTATAACGAATTTGTGAACATGATCGTGAGGGACAGTAGATGGCCGATCAATGTGTCATTCGTGGGTGTTAACGCGGTGGTGGGCCGACTGGTGAGCAAGAATTGGGCTGAGGTTGACTTCCCGAATATGATCGAGACCATCGTCACTCATGGTTACACGGTTACCATCACGGACCCCAATACCTACACAATTACGAAGACGGTACTGGGCCCAGTGATGACCAAAAATCAGAGCGTTCCCACGGTATCGGACAAAAAGAGGAAGAAAAGGAATAAGAGGAAGGTCTGAACCTAATATAAGAAGGTCCATTCTTTGACAACAGCAGAAATAAGAGCCTGGCGGTGCTGGGGCTGCTTCGCCAAGCAGGAAGAGACCGCAGATGGCACCTCTGCAAGTCGGCGCGGCTGATCCTGCATATAATGACCAACTCCACAGCGACATCAGCTGCATATGGGCCACCAAAGAAATCAGTTGGCTGATCCGGATCGATCCTTGCTACCTTCTATACGTGACCTTCTTAGTAACCTTGGTCGATGGAACGACGAACATGGTGTCGGCGTATATTCATTTATAATGTCGGAATGCGCAGCTGGTCCGACATCCGGCATTTTCAGGGCCATGGGCCATGGCGCTCTACTCCTCCAACCGCTAGTCTAAATGCAGAGCAAAAACTCCCTGGCTGCGAGCTCCTTGGACAATTGAATCGACAAGGGAGGCAATACAAGGAGAGGAGATAAAGATGAGTTTGGTAATGATGATGAGCATGCGGAACCTGAACAATTTCCACGTGTTCGGATACCTGTCCAGATCGGCCTTGAAGGTCGATGAGACCTGGGGGCATCAGATTCGTGTTAGATTGCGGTGTTCCTCAGGGACAGCTGCGTTTATTCGAGCAACAATCAAGGCCCCATTATCCGGGGTATCGTTCCAAGTCACAACAGAAAGCGCTCTTCATTTCCATTTCCATCATCACATGCTCCAGCAGCATTCAGATTGAGACCCGTAAATTTCACTGGCGTGGCCGTCACGTTAGAGTCTTTTGAACATCCCTCCGGAAGGTGGGTGGTGTTTAGAAGCGGCGTAGGATCGGGCGAGCCTGGGGTGCCAAGCATAGGAACCCACGAGCCCACTAGCCGCAAAGCAAAACCAGCAAACACAGCAAACACAGCAAAGTGTTTGCGACGTTTACGCATTTTCGCAGACGTGTGAAATCATTTCTCGACCTCGAGGGCTGGAAAACGACTCGGGTAGCTCTTTGTCGGACAAATCTTACGTGTCGGTTACAAGATGCAACGCCCCAGATAAGCCCTTCGTCGTCTAACCAACCGCCATGTCTTCGCATTACACGACCGAACCTCCTCCGACTGCGTCAGTCCTTGTCCATACCACCGCTGGCCCCCTCACAATATCCCTGTTCGCGAGTCAAACACCTCTCACATGCAGAAACTTCCTGCAGCATGTTCTCGATGAGGACTACAACAACAACATCTTCCACCGCGTCTCCCCAGGTTTTGTTATCCAGACAGGCGATCCCAGCGGAACCGGGGAAGGAGGACAAAATATATATGAGGACCGGGAATTCGAGCGATACGACGAAGACTGGGCTCGGTTGACGGGGCGAGAAGAAGGCGAGAAGATTGTCTTCGGAGATGAAGTCCACAGCCGGCTGAGGTTCAATAGGAGAGGGTTGGTGGGTATGGCCAAAGGCACCGGCGACGGCGCGGGATATGGCAGTCAGTTCTTCATCACGCTTGGAGACTGCAGAGCTGAACTCGATGGCAAGTGTACCATGTTCGGCCGAGTGGAGGGTGATGGCATCTACAATGTGGTCAAAATCGCCGAAGGCGAGCTGTTGGAGGGAAGCGAGCGACCAATGTACCCGGACAAGATACTCCGGGTCGAAATCATCGAGATGCCTAAGGGCGACGCATGGCAGAAGATGCGGAAAAGGAACAAAATTGCGGCACGCATTGTGGAAGCCCCCCCGAAGAAAAAGGTACCCAAGAAAAAGGGCGGGAAGACCTTGTTGAGCTTTGCCGGAGATGAAGGCGAGGATGACGCTGGAGCAGTTGCGGTGCGACCAAAGAAAGCAAAATTCAATCCCACCCTAATCGAAGGTGAGGACGCCCCTGAGTCGAAGCCCAAGATAAATGGCACTGCCCCTAAACCTGCGTCGACCGCGAAGCCGCAACGACGATCCCCTTCACCCACGGTTCCGCAGAAGCGGAAGGCAAGTGTTTCAGCGTCGACCAAATCGCCATCACCGGTGCAGCGCCGGAAGCCATCGTTCCATGACCCGTTAACTCAACTCCCGCTTCGAGACCCAGAATCGCCATCTCGCTCGCCCACACCGGAAGAACAACCGTCAGCAGTCAGAACCTCTGCACTAGAAGCTGAGATCGCGGCCCTGAAAGCATCCATGCGCCGGAACGTTGACACTAATGCCAATAGCTCCACTGCTAAGAAGTCGGTGTTGGAATCTCTCATCCCGGCCACAAGCACGAGGGGTCGCAAACGGCCTCGCCCCGGCGAATCCAATGCACGAGACGAGGCCAAGGCGCTGAAAATGCTGAACGCCTTCAAAGCACGGCTGGAGTCCGCCGACGCACAACAGGGCAATAAAGCTCACTCCTCGAAGCCCGCCAACGGCCACAAAGACCACAACAACCCCTCATCCACTCCTTCAGATCTTGTCGCGGCGACCGCCTCGCCTTCCTCCAAACGAAACGAGGGCGACGGCGACGACGAAGAGGCCACTCTGTGCGACCTGCATTTCATCGCAAACTGCCAATCGTGCTCGAAGTGGGACGACCCGACCAACGCCGAGGCCGACGAGTCCGACGACGACGCGCAGTGGATGAGCCACTCGCTGTCGTTCGCCAAGGACCGGCTGGGCAAGGACCTGAATTGGAAGAGGAAGAACGAAGAGGAGTTGGTGGTCATTGATCCGCGGGAGAAGGAGAAGGAGTTGAAGCTGGGGCGGAGGCGGGAGAGAGATAAAGACAGAGACAAGGGGAAAGGCAAGGCCAAGGAGAAACCGTGGTAGTCGTATGTGTCACATATACACGAAATGACCCAAGCCTTCCGGTCCAGGTTTAAAACTTCAACGGGCTTTTATGAACTTGAACATCTCATAGGCAGGAAGGGGGAGTGAGTGAGAATGTGAGTAACGCTCTCCTCTCTTTACGTCTGGCAGGACCGTGGCTATCAAGTAAGTACATGCAGGACAACAGGTATCATGAATCACAACAAATCCGAACACAATGGCTCCTTACGACCCATATTCGACGGCCTCCTGTCCTGTCCTGTACGATGTAAATACATACATACGAAGGTAGGTACCATGCCATAGGATTACGAATTGACGTAGAAAGCCAGATCGACGACTTCGCCTTGCTGTTCCTTCTCCTCGGCCTCGATCTCCAGGCGGGTGAAGCCGTTGCCCAGGACGCCCTTCCAGCGGTTGCGCGAGCGGTAGCGTACGTCCCAGTCCTCGCCGCGGATCTCACGAAGGATGACCTCGCGGTACAGCAGGGCGCTGCCGGGCCAGGTGGCGGTGACGCGGCCGTCGACGCGGTGGTTTTTGTACCAGCTCTTGCAGGCGCCGGTCCAGGTGAGCGTGGCGTGGATCTCGTCGCCGTAGGTCACGAACTCGTCGGTCGCGTCTTGGCGCGGCGCCGCCGAGTGGATGTCCTCGCCGGCGATCTTGTGCAGCCACTTGACGATGTACTCGGCCGTCCACGTCAGGCTGGTCACCAGCGTGCCGTGCCCGACCGTCGCGTTCGGCCCCGTGAAGATGAAGTAGTTGGGAAAATCTGGGCACGCCACACTCAGGTAGCTCTCGGGCTCGTCTTTCCATTTCTCGGCCAGGGTCATGCCGTTGCGGCCCGTTACGGGGTAGTGCGGGACGTGCGAGACGTCGAAGCCCGTGGCGCACACGATCACGTCCACGTCGTAGTGAGACCCGGATTCTGTCTCGATGCCGGTCTCGGTGATGTGCGCGATAGGTGATTTCTCCAGCGACACGGTGGGCAACAGGAAGGCCTCCAGGTAGCCTTCACCGGGGGTCAGGCGTCGGCAACCCAGTGTCCAGTTCGGAATGAGCTTTTCGCAGAGCTCTGGGTCGTTGTTCAACGCGGCGCGCATCCGTTCGACGGTGACCTCGGTGGATTTGGCGTTTTGAACAGAGCCTTTGCGGAACTATACGCCATGTGGTGAGGAATCAGGAACAAAGCTTCCATTGAAATGACAGACTCAATGGGATGCACGTACCAGCCTGAAACCCTTGTTCATCCCATGCTGCAGCATCTTACGATAGGCCTTGTGTTTCTCAGGATTCCGAAACCTCTTCTTGTCGATCTTGGTGTATCGTGGGTTGAACTTGCTTCCCACCTGTTCCTCAGCCGGATCCACCTCCGTCATATCGACGCCCTCATCACCGTTGGTCATTTCCTGGTCCTCGGTCTCTTCGTCGTCGGGCTGTTTGTCACCGCCAACACCGAGGGCCTCGCCTAGACTCTGAGTGATCCAGGTGGCCCCCCTCTGAAAGCTCACCACCTGTGTACCAGGCAACTTGGCCAGTTGTGGCAAGATTTGGATGGCGGATGATCCATTGCCGATGATTCCTATTCTTTTGTTTGAGTAGTCATAGGAGTGATCCCATCCCGCCGAATGCACTTTGTGGCCCTTGAAGGTCTGCAGACCGGGTATATCTGGCCATTTCCACTGGCTATTGTGACAATATTCAGAGTTTATCAGCATCTCGATACATCCAAAAACGGACGTCTTGACATCTGGCGATGTTTGATCGAACAGATTGGACATAAAGAGGAAACTCACCTGAGAAACCCCTGAGCTGACACGAGAACATCGGCAAACTCGTCCCTCTCTTCCTGTCCATTCTTCCGGACACGGATCTTCCACTTCCCTTCCTCTTCCAGCCAATTGAGGGCAATCACTCGAGTGTTGAACTGAATGTCCCGGTTCAAGTTCCATTTGGCGACTGTCTTCTTCACGTACTCCAAGATCTCTGGGCCATCGGCATAGAACTTGGACCAGTCGGGATTCGGATCAAAAGGAAATGCCTGGATCCAACAGCTGATCAGTGCCTTGGTCACCTAAGAGACCCGGACAAGAGAGGCAGACTGACATAGATGTGGGCCGGCACGTCGCACTGGACACCCGGGTACGTATTGACTTTCCATGTTCCGCCAACGTCATCGTTGGCCTCAAAGATGACATGCTCAATGAACTCCTGCAACTCCGGTTGCTCATGCTGGATCTTGTGGGCAAATATCAAGCCTGAGAAGCCAGCACCGATGGTGGCAACGCGTAGTTTGCGCTTCTTATACGCGTAGTCGTCCGCTAAGGGGACCCATATCTCCTTGAGTCGTTCCGGGGAGACCATGTTCGTACGAGATCTTGAATACCACAAGAGAGAAGGGCGAGTCGTTTAGTAAGCTCTGACATGGAAAGAGGGCAACACAGGCTCATACAACCCACATACGCTGTGACTATTTGAACAACCCGCCGACGTTTGACTTCCGTGGCTATGTGTCTCCTCCCCTCGGACCCGTGGAATTGGAGAACTATATCTTGCCTCGGTGAAGCCACTATACTGAACGCGTCGGCGATTTCCCCGCATGGATTCCTCGATCAAGGCATTTGGCGCCGCTGACGAGCTGCCAGTACCTATTGCAGTGGTCAGACAGCATATTGATGGGTATCCAGGTGTGAAGATGGGATCAGGCTTTCTTGAAGACACATGAAGCTGGAGTGAGAAGCCCCGAAATGACGCGGCTTCTCTCTCGTCAGCCACCCCTTCCATTGTTATATATACTTGTACGGATTCATAATCCCATTGGGATCGTAGAGCTCCTTTATCTGCTTCATCAGCTTGATCATGGTCTCACTCCGACTGTATCCGATGTATTTCTTTTTCGCGATCCCGAGGCCGTGTTCCGCGCTGATACTTCCCCTTCGTTTTTGGATCCACTCATATACCCACGGTTCTATTGCTTCTTCGACTTCTTTTGTGTATTTCCGCACGGGCACGTTTAAGTGCAGGTTCGAGTCGCCCATATGTCCGTAGCCGACCACGGCAATTGCTGGGAAAGAGTCGTCGTCACCTACCAGGCCTTTCGAGTTTAGTCTATCTCTTGTATCTTCCACGAGTTGGTAGAGCTCTTGAATGGGGATCGAAAGGTCGTATTTGTATGTTCCGCCAAAGTGGCCGATCGCCTCGGTGATGCCCTCTCGCCATGCCCACAGAGATTTGACTTGAGTCTCATCTTGGGCCAGAACGCCATCCGAGACGATCTCTTCACTCATGACATATTCCAAGAACTTTTCGAGCTTCTCGCTGTCATGCTCTGTATTGGAACCACTGGTTTCAATCAAACAATAGAACGGGTGATCTCCTTCCAATGGTCTCTTATTGCCGGTAACTTGGTGCACGAAGCCCTGACTCCGTGCATCCATGAGTTCAAAGGCGGATAGGATCTCTCCGAGCTGGACTTTCGCTTCTTTGTAAGCCTTTTGCACATTCTCAAAGGAGGGAAGTCCAAAATATGCCACGTTAACTGCTTTGGACCGCTGTGGACAGACTACCGAGACGCCTGTGATGATCCCGATTGTCCCTTCTCCTCCGATGAAGAGTTGCTTCATGTCGTAGCCTGTGTTGTTTTTCCGTAACGTACCAAGATCGTCCACAATAGTGCCGTCCGGTAACACTGCTTCAAGCCCAAGGACGTTGCCGTGTAAGGAGCCGTAGCGTAGTAGCCTCAAGCCGCCAGCATTGGTTGCCACATTCCCACCTATCTGGGCTGATCCTTTGGCACCAAGGTCCAGGGGGAAGAGGTGGTTATGCTCGGCAAGGTAATTGTCGGCGACTTCCAGAATAACGCCTGCATCAACGACCAAAATGCCGCTGATGTCGTCAAAACTGCGGATGTTGTTCATCCGGGAGAGTGAGATGACAATCTCGTCAAAGACCGGCACGCTGCCTCCAACCAGACCCGAGTTTCCACCCTGCGGTACCACCGCCAACTTATTGTCATTGCAGTATTTGAGCACTTTGCTCACTTCTTCCGTGCTCTTGGGTCGCAAAACCAGCTTGGTATGCCCTCTGTACTTCCTCATCCAATCAGTGTTGAAGGCTTCAAGGTCGTCCGAAGCATCATGGGTCACTCCGTCAATGATGGCAGCGTCGTCACCCAGGGTCGATTTGAAGAACTGGATGTGCTCCGGCGTGATTTCAGAGAACCTAGAGTCTCGCTTGAGGGTCGGGTACATGTCGGTCGTGTATTTGACATTGTGGTGTGGTTCGCTGGTGTCTTCTCGTCGCCGGGTCGTTGCAGAGAAATTTCGCACAGGCACAATCAATGGCCGCAGTGGCCGGCACTGTCTGGCTTGAGACCGAGGGATCGATGGTCTTTTGGTCTGGCGCAAGACGCGCGCCAGGCCTCTTGATGCTGAGCCGGACATAATTGTCGGCTGCAGGGACGTCTATCGACAGAGAGGGGGGTCTGTAGAGGGGACGAAGGGATCGGGCTCTGCTATCAGGCTCGCAGGGAAATTCATAGATGGGGAACAATGACGAGAAACTGCATCTTGCCGTCGGAATCTCAATGCCGATCATCGGTATCTGCTTCGCCGAGTCTTTTCCATTTAGAGCAGCAACAACCATTCAACCGCCCGAGGCTTTTGCGGAGAATGTACGGAGTAACCTTTTTCCTACGAGCACCAAAGTGGCACAATTACAGACACGGGCGTCGTCGACAGCTCCAAGATCGAATGTATCAACAACACCGAAATGAGTCTAACACAAGAAAGATTTCCTTAATTATTCGTCTTCTAAAGTCGGAAATGGTTTCAAGATCCATCGTGTGTGCGCCACGTTTATGTGACACGCATTATAGCATAATGCCTCGATCCCTTACTTTCCAGCGAAATGATGGTATAACCCGCCAACGGTTGACTGATCAATAGAGACCGTCGTAGATAAGAATAGGTCTGTGAGGCAGAGGATAAATGCTGCCAGTTGTTCAATGTGACGGACTCCCGGTACAAGTTTCGTCAGCCCCCCTTCGATTCGGAGAGGAGGCAATTAAATCTTTGTGTCTGCCAGACTTGGCATCCCGTTTCTGGCTCTGAGAAGAGACTGGTGAGTGGAAGTGAAATCAGCATCTCGATCGTGTAGGCTTTGCAGAGACACCAGAAGAGTACTCGATCGGCGGTATCCATACACGCCATCTTGTGAGGAGGCTGCTAAAGGAGGAAAATGCCGTGGAGACGTGACTAAATAAAGCGGCGGCGGACACCATGCCCAATGAGGAAACGGTGTCAGCTGAGGTTCGCGGGGAAACAATCCACCTCACTACAGTAACTAACTAATGCATTCAGGGGGCATTGTGAGAATCACCTCCATCAAGCATTCCCTTCATCCACGTCAAGTCCTGCAGCTGTGATCTTCCTCAGAACATCTTCACTCTGATCTTTGTGTCGAACCGTCTAATAATCTCAAGAGTCAACTCCTGGCCAAAGGGGGAGGAGGAGGAGGCCTTAACACTGGGACCAAGGATCTGACTGTGGCATGAGACTCATACATCCATCAACATCCACAAAACTCCAGAGACAGAGCAGCACCTGAACAAACTGTTATCTCACCAACGTCTCTCCAGCTTTAGGACAAGCCATGGCTTCGATCGCCTCGACTCTGACCATCCAGTACCACAAGTTCCTCGAAACGGTCCATGCTCGGCCACGCCAGACAGCCGCGACGGCCACGGCGGTGGCGTTGACGCTGTCTCTCGCGTGGGTGCTCAACGACTTCCACGCATGGAAGTCCTTCGGCACCGGAGGCACCCCGCCGACCTGGGCCGGGTACTGGCGCATGACCAAGCTGCGGCTGAACCGCATGATGCTGTTCGGCAAGGACAATCTGGCCGACCCGTCGCCGCTCTCGTCCTCCGGGCCACGGTATCTCGACCCCGTGGCGCTGCCCGTGCGAGAGGGCACTCGTCCACCCACCATGGCACGCACGATGCCGCAGCGCCAGGTGCCGTACAAGCCAGGCACGGGCGGAGGCGGGGGTGGAGGAGCGGGTGAAGAATATGATGGCTACGTTCGCCGCCAACCACCCTTCCCTTCTCGACCTGCGCCCGAGCAAGACCGAGGGTGGGAGCACCGACGCTATCTACGCGAAGCCCACCCTCGAGACACTTAACGATAAGGCCCGCGACAACAAGATCCTCGGCACCGAGATCGCCCACGCGCACCCCTCCGACGGCAGCCTCCACGTCTGGCTGTCCGAGGCGGACGCCAGGACTGTGGTTGAGAAAGGCTGGGGTCTGAGGTTCCCGCTCACCTTTGTCGACAAGGGCTGGGCTATGGTCTATGCCCCGCGCACGATGGCCGAAGCGGACGTGGTGGAGCGTATTGTGCGTGCGGGCATCGCGTGGGTGGCTGGCGTCGAGGTTTGAAGGTGAAGGAATGATTCATGTACTTGCAGAGAGAGGTGTCTGTGCCTCTTTTCTCTCTCCGCGCCTCTCTCTGCCTCTCTTCCGGTGCCATGTGGGAAATAATCAAGGGACTTGGGATCTGTTGCTGGCCAGACAGGTTTTGTCTGGTGAAATTACGTACGTGGGAAGGGATCAATCAGGCATGCCGAATTCGCTCTCTTTCCAGTTCATTAATCATTCATTTCGCTATCGTTTGCCTCATGAGCCTCTCAACGTTTCCCTCTTGTCTCCCACGCAGCAGCAGCGACGGCGAAGATATGGCAGAAATGGACACGGAAAAGGGTTTCTTCCCATGCTGCTGGTGCTGATTTGAGTCTTGCTCGCTTCTGGGTTTGGGCTCGCCACCTTGACGCCTTGACTGACTGACTGGCTGATTGACGGTTAACTTAGTACGCTTCAGTCATTTCTTTGATGATTGCACCAGGAGGATTTTACCCAGCAAAAACCAACAATCCTTCTTCATTATTGTTGTCGTCGTCTGCATTTAATCCTTTTCTTCCATGCTAGCTTACTCGCTCACACAGGTTGTACGTATCACGGCGGTGTCGATCACTTCACTTTACTTCACCAACCGGTTCCGATACAACGGCGAGCTCTCGACCACCCGGACCCACAGCTTCCACGGCTTGTCCTGAAAGGCCTCGTTCATGGTGGCACAGCCTAGGCTCTGGTCGTCGGTGAGTGCCTGGAAGCCGACGTCGCCCGTGGCTGCGCCGTGCCCGAGCCCGAGCCCGAGCAGCCCGCCCGGGGCGTGGTTGGCGACGGCCATGGCCTTGGTCTGGGCCTCGGCGTTGATGCGGGTGTAGATGGCGCGGTAGACGGCGGTGACGAGGTCGCGCCCGACGCAGGTGAAGCCGTGGCGGCGCATCAGGACCACCGCCTCCTCGGGGCTTTGCATGTCGGGAGCGGAGACGAACTGCTCGGCCAGGGCGGCGCCGAAGCGCGCGTTGTTGACCAGCATATCGCGCTGCTCCCCGGCGTGGTACAGCGGGTCGATGTCGAACACCTTCACGCCCCGGGAGCCTAGGAACCCGGCCATGTGGTAGACGGCCTGCAGCTTGACGCCCATGCTGACGACGTAGGGCAGGACTTCTTCGGCGTGCGAGTGAATCACGCAGTGGACGCCCGGGAACCGCCTGTAGATCTCGCCGTGGATGAAGCGCTCCGAGTAGCCCTTCTTCGCGTGCTGCTCGACCGTGCTGGAGTCGGCCACGTGGTAGGAGATCAGGTCCTCCGGCGACGCCACCAGCGCGGGCGCCATATAGCCGCACATGATGTACTGCGAGGGCTCGAGCGGGTGGCGGATCGAGATGTGGCCGTAGGCGTCGACCACGCCGTAGTGGTCCAGGATGTGGTTCGCCGAGATCAAGTCGCGCAGGGCGTCGGTGAGAGGTCCGGCGGCCTCGTTATGCGAGAATTGATGTTGGGATTCCATGTTTTTTTTTTCTCTTTTTCTTTTCCTTTTCCTTTTCTTTTTCTGAGTGTCTTTGGAGTTTTGAGTGAGATACAGTAGTGGTTCGATTCGTTGCTTGGCTAAACGAGTCTTGGTTGGTTTCGGTCGTTTACTTTTTGTTTCCCTTCTTGATTATGCTAGGGGGTGGGGGAGCTAGAGGTAGCCAAACGCTAGGCCAGTCTCTCCCCGGCGCTTGGTGGTCAATTGATGGGTGGTGATGGTGGGGTAAGTTGATATCAGAGACAGGATACTCGTGGGAATCGCGTCCAAAGTTAACGAAACGGGCGGGGAAGTGGAGGGCCTTAAGTTACAAGTCGAGGAAATGCTAGGGGAGTTGACGGAGCAGAGACAGCAAACAAAGCAAACAATAATGTCATGTTCATCCAGTCGATTCTGTAGATACTGCCAGCAGCAACAAGTCAGAAGCCCCTCCCGACTCATCCTCCAGCATCCTGACACCTATACATAGCCTGTTCCGAACCTGCACCTGACCAGTTCAATCAATCCAGCTCCGTCCGCGTCGCAAAGAAGAAATTCAGGTCGGTCGGCCTGGCCCGGAACCCCTTGATGTGCTCGATCGTGTTGACAAACGCCGCCGTGCCCTCCTCGACACTCTCCCACCCAGAGAAATTGACTCGGACATCTCTCTCCTTGTTGTCCTTGTGGATGTTCCAGGCCGAGACGGCACCGTACCGTGCCCCGCCCAAACTCGAGGTCTGCGAGGCGAATTCCTGGTCGAACTGTGTGCGGATGACGCCGTGTTTGGCGAATGTTTCCCGGATGATGGCCAGCACGGGGGCGTCGAGCGGGATCCGGGACTGGTCCACGTCGATGTAGTGCATCCAGTCGATGCCCATCTGGTCCTTGATCAGGTTGAGGATCTCGGCTTGTTGGGGAGACCCGTCGAAGCCGTGTTGGTGATGGTCTTTGGTCTCCCAGGCCCCGATCACGAACAGGACCGAGGGGTCATCGATCTGCGTGTAGAATAGGGTCTGTAATTTGCTGTACTCTTCAATCACTCTTTTGACTTCCTTGAGGTTTTTCTTGAGTTGCGGGTCGGTGGCCTGGATGCCGTTTTTGAGCGTGATGTGTGCCAATTCGATTATCGCCATCTTCAAAGTCGCAGCCCAGCAGAGGAGAGGAGGAGGGAGTTCAGGATATCTGAGGACGGGTCGAGTACTCGGTAGGGCAGAGCCTATCGACGACGTCTGTGGAGATGTTAGTTTTAATGGTCAGTAACGGTTCCCACAGCAGATCCGCCTGACTGTCCCTTGTATGGGCTAGTGAGGCTAGCCACTAGCCAGCTGGTAGAGGCTGAAAGCTTGTCCTGGTGCAGTCAGTAGTTGGTGTCACAGTTTCTGCGAAAGGTTAGTTTTTGCCCAGCCGGCATCCGTCTGACATCTCACACCGAGACTTCTCTCTGCCATGAGTTTCAGAGCAGATGGTGAGGTTGTAGAGTTGAATGACATGTTAACACAATAGACGGCACCGATTTCGCCCAGGTTTTGGTTCAGCACCAACTGCGCATTGATTCCGCTCGCTGACCTCCTTTCCCCGCATACAAAGTACATATCACACTCCCATCCCTGCTACAAGCCCACGACATGAGCAAACCCCTGAGAGTCATCGTAGTTGGAGCCGGTACGTTCCACCACAATGCTCGGTTTCCCCCCATACTCGTCTTCCGCATGAATGATCCTCTGACTACACGAGAACCACAGGTCTGTCAGGTCTGGCCATTGCACAAGGCCTTGAAAAGGTACGGGAAACACATTGATCCACTGGTGTGGCATCTGCCAGGACGAGACTGAACAAGGAATCGTAGAACGGCATCGATTACGTGGTCGTCGACAAGGAAAGCGAACCTCGCGACCGCAACTGGGGCGTCACTATCGCCTGGAGCCACCCATTACTCGCACAGCTTCTCCCCGCAGAGCTCTACGATCGACTGCCAGAATGCCAGCCAGATCCCGGTTTGGACACCAAGGCTGCAGGCTTTGAGAGCGTCATCGTCCGCGATGGACAGACCGGTGCAACCATCGTGCAGCCGCCTTTTCCGGGGGTGAGGAGACTGAACATTCAGAAGACGAGGACAATTTGGTCAAAAGGGGTGAACGTCAAGGTAAAATCGAAATTCCTCGTGCCAGACTCAGCTGTGCGAAGATGCTGACCTACTGTCTCACGTAGTTCGGCAAGACACTCACGGACATTGAGCTGACCGAGGACGGCGGAGTCACGGCACACTTCCACGACGGCACCTCCGAGTCCGGCTCTGTTCTGGTCGGCTGCGATGGCGGGGGCTCATGGGTCCGGCGCTGGATGCTGGGCGATAAAGGGGCGTCGGTGGTGCTGCCGTACACGTTCCTCAACTTCCCCTTCCGCTACACGGCCGAGCGGGCCGTGCAGATGGACAAGATGATGCACCCAATCGTGGATGTCGCCGTGCACCCCAAGTCCATGTACATCGGCATCTTCCTGCTCGACAAGCCCGACCTGACCAAGCCCGAAACCTGGGTCTTCTACGTCCTGGCCACGTGGTCCAAGGATAACAAGAGCGCGCCCGACGCGTCGGCCACCGACGGGAACATGGTCGCCGAGCTCAAGGCCCGGATGGACGACTGGGCCAACCCCTTCAAGTCAGCCGTGGAGTGGATTCCCGACGATGTCCAGGCCAAGGCCGTGCCCTTGAGGATCTGGGGACCTCCGGACTCTGGATGGGATAACCGTGGCGGCAGAGTCACCCTCGCCGGCGACGCTGCTCACAGCATGACGTTTCGTAAGAGATCACACTGTTTTGCCCCGTCCTGCTCTACTCTGCTCTGCTCTTGCGTCCCCCGCTGCCCAGGTCAAATGGACTAAGAAAGGGGAAATATGCTTTACCAACTAATCATCGTTCCAGACCGCGGCCAAGGCGCCAACAACGCCATCTGCGACAGCCAAAAGTTCGTGGCCGCCATGGTCAAGGTGCAGAACGGCGGCAACACGCTCGCCGAGGCCGTGGACGAGTACGACGCCGACGTCATCGGTCGTGGGAGAACAGAGGTTGAGGTGTCGCGCGTGCAGACCGACGCGTTCCACGACCACGCCAACTTCCACAACAGTCCCATAATGAGGTTGGGGATTAAGCCACAGGCGAGGTAGTGGGGATGGATTTCGTATTGTGCGAAGCGAGCAGAAAGAGTGAGTTGTTGGGGAATTTTGGTTCGTTTATTCATTCATTCATTCACGCAAAAGCAAGCAAGCAATCAAAGCAATCAAATCACTCAATCTTGGAGCTGAAATCGCATTCCCGTGCAGGTGATGAAGCCATCACGTTCCAGATCACGGAGAGCGGTTTGACCACGGTCCGAGAGGCAGTGAGGGAGGGGATTGGACTATAGAGATGATCTGCTTCCGCACCTGACTTATCATGGTGAGCTACGAGAAGAAATTCCGGATACCACTACTTGGAGTCATTCAGCTTTTCTTCTTCTTCTTCTTCTTCTTCTTCTTCTTCTTCTTCTTCTTCTTCTTCTTCTTCCCCATCCTAGCCGCACAACTCGGCTGGGGTCGAGCACTGGTTCCCCTCCACGACATTCCCCAGCCCGGGGGTTTGCACGAAGATGTCGACGTTATTATCACGCAGGACATTTGCCGTCACCACGTTGTTGGATGAGTTGAGTCCCGTCACTGGGTCATTCAGGATTGCGATTCCGGCTGCGCTGCCATTTGTGCCGCCCGCCGTCATGCCCTCGACGAGGTTCGCCTGGACCTGGGCCCCGAAGGCCCCGAGCATGGTAATGCCGATCAAGGCGCCGCCAGGCACAGTCGCGCAGACAGGGTTGCCGTCGTGGATGTGGTTGCTGATGACCTGCGCGCCAGTGACGCCGGGGTCCACGAAGGCGCCGTAGCAGGCATTGGCCACGTCGTTGCCGTACATGTACGCGCCGTCTGTTTGAATGCAAAGTCCGACCGAGTAGCCATCGATATGGTTCTGTGCGACCTGCACGTCGGACATGTCGTCCGCGCAGATGCCGATGAAGAGCTGATTTCCCGTGGTGGAGGCGACGTTGTTGGTGTAGATGCGGCTGCTCTTCGAGCCCACGGTCAAGCAGCCGTACTGTGCGCCGTCGTAGAGCATGTTGGCTTTCACCTGGACATCTTGACCACCCACCACTGCGACGTCTAGTCCGGAGAACCCTTGCACTTCGAAACCCGTGACCAGGACGCCCTGCACGGTACGGCCCACCGAGAGGACCTTCCTGTGCTCCACCACAAAGTCGGCCAGCTCAATGTCCTGTCCTGTTACGCATATACCGGCTTCTGTGCCAGGTCCGGCCAGGCCAGAACAGGTGTTTTGTCCATAAGAACTGGGAGGCACCAGGATGGCTCCTTGGCCCACCAACTGTAGGCCATCGGTGGAGATCGTCAACTGTTCTGCGTACGTGCCCGCGCCAACCAAAATCAATTGTCCCGGATGAGCGCTGGTGATTGCATCTTGAATGGACTCCCCAGCATTGACCCGAATGGCGCCGCCATACCAGCCTCCTGCAGTCACCGAGGACGCAAACCAGGCGCACACCCAGAGAAACACGAACACAGCCATGCCACACCAACGCGAATTGAGCGCTGCCATCGCAAAGTAGTGCAGTCGAGGTCTGGGACTTGGTATTTAGAAAGTGTTTGCTGCTATCGAGACACTATGCAGACCTTTCCAGATGGCAATAAGCAACATGCAGATGCAGGTTCAACAGAAGGGAAAACACGATGTATACTTAAGACTTCCAAGAGATGGCGGTCCCCATCTCAGGTGCAGAGATCGGGAGTCATACGAGGGGGAGTTCGTAATTCACCCGTTGCCGTGTCACAAGTGAAGTTCTCTTGTTTTGCTGTAAGGAAATGCTCAAACTTAGATTCTCGTAAAGCACGGCGAGAGAAGTCGAGGCTGGTATCTGCTTGGGCACAGGCTCGTGATGCTTGGCCCCCGAACGGCCCATGGTGTTACAGCGTGTTGTTGGTGTTCGTAAGAGCTGAACAGGCTCTGGCCGACACGACCATCCTAAACCTTTTGAAGCTGCTCATGTGATTTAAGGCTCACTAGGCCTGTAGCTGCGTGGTCAAAGTCAATCAAGAGGCCACGTGTCTGACGGCTGGGCGCCAGCCTTTGTAAGGAAAGAGCAAAAGGGGTTGTCGATTGCGTGTGAAGTCAAAAGTCCCATTGCAGCACAGTTGAATGTGAGCAGTTCCTTGTAGTCTGAGAATCAAAGGCCGGGTTAGAACTCTCTCAGAGGTGCACGTGGAAGAGAACAACGTTGGCCGTTTCCTGCTTTCGGGCTCCCCTTTGCCTTTCGCACGGCCACTCTCGGAAGTGATCCAATTGTTCTGGAGATATGCCAATACCTACCTGTGAAGCCAGTGACGCACAAGTTTCTTGCGGGAGGGAGAGGGAAGAGCGTCAAGACAGAGAAGAAGAAAAGTGCGAAGCTGTTGAGATCTCAGCATTGGCATTTCCTGCTCCTTCACATCGATGCATCGACTTTGCTGTGTCGCTATCGGAGCCCGAATGGCCTGCAATATCTCCTAACGATGTCCCAAAGCCCAAATACCGGCCAGGTGTCACGAAGCCTGAATGCTCCAGGCGTTCTAGTCATTTGACATGAAACAGGGTATGTGGTAACCAACTAAAAGAGACTTCTACACCCCGACTTTTCGTCTACCCCGAGGCATTGAGGGCCCTCTATGATCTAGTCCCGCCCTGTCTATCGAAAATGGAAGAAGTATACGTACATATCGCTGTCCTGTCTGACCCACTAGCACTTCAGTGCAGCAGGAAGTTCACCAGCTAGTCACATCGGCTTCCGCCCCTTCACAAAATACCAACGTTGGTAAAGATGAAGCTTTCGGTCCATAAACTCCTCCTTTACCTCCGCCATTGCAGTCTCTGTCACCTCGTCACTATGATTCAAGATCTGCTTGTAATAGGCCAGCATGAAAGATGGGACTGACTGGACCATCTGGGTCCGATACAGTGACCCAATCTCCTTCAACTTGGGATCTTTCGCCCAGGGTCCGATGGGAACCTGTGGCAGTCAGAAGCGCACGGATGAATGGTTGTCGCTGTGCTCACCTTCTTAACGACTTCCTGCACGTCCTGGAACCCAGCTTGAACCATCCACTGTCTGTGGAGATGCGCGACATTGAGAGGTTTCCCGACCCTTTCGCTGGCCCGTTCCAGTTCCATAACGGCCGATACACATGCGGTTGCACGCTCCAACCCACCATCATCGCTGAAGAACCCTATGGAATGCTCTTGCATCTCCATCCATCCTCCCGGCTTGACACTCCTCCAAGCTTGTGCGTAGAATCTGGGCCAGTTACCAATGCCGCCGCAAAGACCTCGTCCGTGGATGAAATCAAACTTCTCGTTCTCTGCCCACGTCCAGTCGGCTTCTGCGTCGTCGACGTAGAACTGCAGGTTGGGCGGAACCCAGGGTGGCTGTATTGGACTGAGATCTGTACCGAAAACCTGGGCGCTGGGGAACTGATCGGCCATCTCAACTGCCCATATCCCCGTTCCAGTGCCGATATCTAGTATCCGGTGTGGATCTCGAGGGAGCGGTGCCGTGAACAGCTCCCCACCGAGCAGCATTTTGCATATGTGGTGTAGCAGATCTAGCCGATCTTGCTCCTCCTCGTCATTGGGGAGATGGTATGCTCCGGCGCGATACGACTGGTACGTGCGACCGTTTTCATATCGGTAGTTGAACACCGACGACCTCAAGCTCTCGCTGAATACTGATTGCTGGGACCTTCCAAGCCCGGAGTCCGTGTCAGAGTCGTCTCCCTAGCTATACCTTAGCAGATGATGCGACGCAAGCTTCCTGCTGTCCCTACCCAGTAGTCATAATCCACCAAAAGAGTACCATCTGGAGTATTCTGTTCGGCTGCCATACCGAACTGTTTTTCTATCTTTTTGGTGCAAGCTGATGGTTTGCAAGCACGTCATGGCCCTGAAGATCACGCGCCGAGTGAGGGATGGGAGAGTGGTTTGAGTCTTTACAAAGTGGCTACCTTTGACCACACGATATACTATCTATCTTGGTTGAGTTAGGGGCCGCAGCGGACGGTGCCCGGGGAAGGGACGGTTGCGCGGCACCTCTGCAGGGCTACGCATAACGGATCACCAGTATATCAATCATACCACCAACCTGCCACAAAGCACTGGCTCACACGGAGGCAGCTTATCAGGTCCATTCGGCTAAAGGTCCGTCCCTCATGCACCTCCCATGTGCCAATATTCCTTCCACCAGTCGCTAAACCCCCGATTAACGATACAACCCCGCTGAGGCCACCACGGCCACCTGCTGGAGGAAAGCATCAACAGGCTAGGGGAAAAGCCGTCGGTGGGCCGTTAAGCGATGCACGAAAGCACTCTGAGCAGCAGAGCGGGTTTCAACCCGGCAAAGGAATAAATTCTGCCTCCTGCACATCTATCCCTGTGCACAGACTTCAATTGCCTCTCACCAAAATCTTTGGCTGCACAACAACACGGGTATGGCGGTTGCTGGTGCTCTAGCCCAAACTCTGCTCGCCACTGCCGGAGTATATGCATTGTACCTTGTCGGTCTGGTAATCTATCGGTTGTACTTTCACCCACTTGCCAAATTTCCTGGCCCCAAATACGCAGCAGTCAGCCACTGGCATGAGGTCTACTACGATGTGATCCTGCAGGGACAGTTTACGTTCAAGGTACAGGAGCTGCACAAAAAATATGGTACATGGCTCTATTCATGGCTCAGTCTTCTTCCTAATCTTGGTAGGGCCGATCGTGCGAATTGTTCCCGACGAGCTCCATATTCAGGACTCGGACTTTTATGAGACTCTCTATACCAAAGCCGGCCGGGTGGACAAGTATGAGTGGATGGCCGGCCGCTTTGGGGATCACAACTCGGCTTTTGCGACAGCCTCAGACGAGCTTCATCGCGTTCGGCGAGGCGCTCTGAACCCGCTATTCTCGCGACAACGCATCGTTGATCTCCAAGATGTGATCCAGGGAAAAATCGACATCCTGGTGGACCGTGTCCGTGAGTTTCAGGCTGCGGGAAAAGTGATGCCCATCAATCGAGCGTTTTCGGCATTGACCGAGGAGGTGATCCTGGAATACTGCTTCAATCTCAGCTACGATGCTCTGCGCGAGCCGGGCTTTGAGAAATCACTACATGACCCCATCATGGCGGCCAACCAGTTCAGTAACGTGTCTCTGCAGTTCCCTTGGATCCCTGCCATACTGTTCAATCTGCCTCAATCCATCACAGTGAAGATGCAGCCGGAGTACGCCCTGTTCTTCAGGATGCAAGGTGTATGTGGAGAGGGTGCTCATCCCAGAGGGAACACGCATCGCTAATCAATGTAGGATTTTCGGAAGCAAATCGACGCGATGAAGGCTGGGAAAATGAAGGATATCCTGGAGAAATCTTCCCACCGGACCGTGTTCCAGGAGCTGATCGAAGGGAGCCTGCCGCCGTCAGAGAAGGACTCTCTGCGATTACAGGGCGAAGCTTCCGTCGTGGTCGCCGCTGGTGTTGTCACGACCGGCTGGGCACTGTCCACGGCGGCTTTTCACATCATCAACAACCCCACGGTCTTCCAGATGTTGCGGGCCGAGCTGGAGGCCGCCATTCCAGATCCCAGTGTCAAACCCGGCTGGACCGATCTCGAAAAGCTGCCGTACCTCGCAGGCTGCGTGAAAGAGGCGGTCCGCATGTCCTACGGGGTGACGGCAAGAGAGCCCCGCCTCTTATCCAAACCATTGGAGTATAAAGGCTGGATCATCCCGCCGCGGACGCCCGTGAGCATGACCAACGTCGACGTCTGCGACGACAAAACCATCTTCCCCAAGCCCCGGACGTTCCAGCCCGAGAGGTGGATCGGCAACCCCAAGGCCCCCAACGGGCAGAGCTTGGAAAGGTACTACGTCGGCTTTGGCAAGGGGACACGCAGCTGTCTGGGCATCAAGTAAGTATTTCATTACCTCTGTGTTGTGGCTGCCCGTCGATCATAAGTTAAATGAACATGTTTCCCCAGTCTTGCCCAGGCCGAACTCCACATGACCCTAGCGGCCCTCTTCCGGAACTTTGACTTTGAGCTTTACCAGACCGACATCACCGATCTCGAACTGGCCCACGACTTCTTTGCTCCGAGCCCGCGGCTCGACTCGAAGGGCGTTAGGATTAAGGTTAAGCCGGCGTAGATGGGAGAGGATCTTCCCGTGCCCACTACTGATATTCTCCACAAGCTGATACGAGCGTTGGCAGTCTACATATGGAAGACCCTTGGAGGATGCAGGAGATGAGACAGGGACAGAATGGAGACGCTCGAAGTAAGGAGACTTGTCAGTACCTGGCTCAGCCGGCGGGTTAGCTTTTGAACCATGTCTCTAAAATCGCCAGCCGGGAGTGGCTTTCTGGTATGTGATAGATTCTGGCAATTAGAGATCCGGGTCCCGATCTTCCCTTTCAAACTACATATGAAGATCTATATACACACACACTGCGGTATTGCCCGCGTGGAGAGTAAATCATCGTCCACCGCTCATTGCTCATGTCCATCTCCTTCACCAGACCAGCCAGAACGTCAATTGTCCCACCCATCCATCCACCTCGTCTTCTCATGGCGTTGTGCGAGATTTGTTTTCCTTTCAGGTCTTCCTCTCTTCTCTGTCTGGAGTGCATTTGGCAAGACGACACTCTGCATGTGACATGAATCCTTTTCTCTTTTCTTTTTCTTTCAAACGATTGGGGACTTATTTGCTCCGAAGCATGTCGCCCGTTCTCTTCAATTTACGACTGACAGAGTAATACTATGCCAAGTGAGTTAGAATCGCCGGTTGTTTCATGCACACTAAATAAAACGGAGTGGTTGATTGGAGATAACATATTACAACGAGTCCGTACGGGTCGCCGCTGACCCGCTAAGGAACATAAATCAAACGCCCTCTCCAACAAAGCTGGCATGCCCGCTCTCTCTCGCAAGCCTCAATTCTTCAAACTTTTGTCCCAGATCCAGAGATTTGAAATTAAAGCCGCTGCAGAATCGTCACCAGATCTCCCTTCACGGGAGGCCTCCACTGATTCCCAGAATGTCACGATTCGGCTGTATCTTGTGAGACAGGCACCGTGGCCGTTTTCTCTTTCAACACAAACATGCCACCATGCCACCCGTAAGCCCGTGCCAGCTTCCTGCCATGTCGGCGTGCAACTCGAAAAGGTATCTCTCCAGAGGGATGCGGCTCGTGGATTTGTATGTCCCGCTCGACATCAAGCTTCGTTGGTCGGAAATGCCACACGGAACCATAGAGTTTTTCGGCAAGGAACCCGGTCGACACCATGGCGTGTACAAAGTCGTTCCACGCCACTTCACCAGGCATGGCCTAGACGGAAGGCATAAAGAACAGAGTCCGGAAGACCTTGAGAGCGCGACGGTCGATGGCAAAGGTCGGTTGGAGATCAGCCGGGTTCGGCCCTGGCTCCGCAACAGCAGTGCTTGGTCCGGCAGTCTGGGAAACGCCCCGGGTCTTGACTTTCACTCGTGGGCCTTGCGCACCGGAAGAAGATATCGTTCGCGAGGTCCTGGATTCAAGCTCAAAGTAGAGCTCTGGCAACGGTGTGACCAAGGACTCGATGTTCTCGGTGGGTCGCTTGTTTGACTCAGACCAAGGAGGAGTCCGTTGCAAGATGCGTGGCTCTGCGAGAAGATTTCTCACTGCGACACCGGTAGGATCGCTCGCTTTTCCGCTTGTTAGTTTGTCGACCTGGACCCAAAACGCATCCAGATGAGCCTCTGATCGCCGCATGACTTCTGTATTTTCCTTTGTCCGACGTTTCGCAACCGGGTACTCAAAATTCTTTTCCGTTGGCCTGCCCAATTGTGCTGTCGCATTCCAACCCGACCCTTTCAGGGCAGCAAGCAGATTAGCCCATGGCTGAGAGGATTTGACGTATTCATTTTTGATATCCTCCTCTTTGTCAACCATGGTGTCCTCAAAGGTCAGAGCCTACGGTTGGTACGTATCTGGCTGCCGAAGGCATTCGAAGATGATGGCCAGGTCTCCAATAAGACCGCTGATGTGCTTACTGATCATTTCCTTAGCCTTTTGCTCGGTGTCAATTAGTCTTTGTAGTTCATCGACGACTAGAGGCATCCGAAGAAAGAAGAGGTCTTTATCATCCTCCCATAGAGTCCGGAGAAGCCACAACAGCTGGGCCTCGGCCTGTCCCATCTTGAGCCCCTTGGATTGAATGCTGACGAAGGGGGAGTTGGGATTATCCGGAGGAGAGCGGCTGAAGAACGCACGAAAGGGTGGTGACGCTACAACCTTTTGCTTGAGCATGTTGAGAGAGCCTTTTGCTGTTTGAGTGAGATAGAAACGGAACTTGAGCAGCGCATCAAGATAATCCACAGGGAGATCCCTGTCTGGAGATATATCGTCCTGGTACTTTGATTGAAGATCCCGCAGGCACCGGACTTGCCGCGAAGGTTCGGAGAAGATTTCGAGCCCGAGATACGCCTCCGTGACGACGTCGCTAAGAACCGTTGCCAATATACATCTTCGCGATTCGGATGGAAAGTTGGATGCTTTTTCCCGTATGTATCTATGATTAACTCCTGACGATGGTCTTGGAGCTCCAGTACCGTCTGGTGAAAATAGCCAGGGTCCTCGCGCAGAGACCACAGATGATTCTCCTTGGCGACAGTGGAGGCAGAAAGAAGCGATGATATCCTCGAGAAGTCATGGTTAGATGGAAGACGGTAGGGCGCTTCCGCTGGCATGACTGATAGTGAAGCATACCCGTTTACATCGTTCTCGGATTTTGGTGATGGCTCGGGTTGGATCGGATAAGAGTCGCTCGTCAGCAGGGTCGCGGGTATATCATGGAGGATCTGTTTGCAACACTCGACAAGGAAAGCCATTAATCGCTCCTGGGCCTCCAGAACTAGCAAGGCCACACCAGGGAGGAATTGGCGTCGGGCAGTCATCCAAGAAAAGGCACCGGGGTGTTCATCCCAATGGATCAGCCTGCCGTACTCGTGGTCCGCGTTGCGATCCGAAATTCCGTTCAGAGTGACAACATAGCAATTCGGAAAGACGGGGACAATTGCCGTGGACACACCAGCCAAGATGCATTGATTCACTGTCTGCGGCTGCAAATTGACTTGGATGATTCCTGCCTCGAGCATTCAGGAGTAACAGTAACGTTCTTGGTTTGGTTATGTCTTCCTGATTGAGGTAGGGCCACATGAATGCGTCTCTGTATCTTGTGCCGGCCTGCCGTTGTTGTGGTGTCTCCTTCCGAAATTCATCGAAGTCTGGGCGATGAGAGACGGGAAGGTTCGGCCACGCAGAAAGAACAATGTTACGTCTCTGTTGCTTGGTCTTCTTCGTTCAAGATTCTGAATCGTGGCCTCAGTCTTCTCGTTGCTTCCCGGCGTACTTCCTCAGCAGACATTCCCCTTGGGATGGGCAAGTTGGTTCCAGCCAAGGCCTTTCCGAAGCTCTCAGGGTCGTTGAAGTCGACATTTTTCATGAGATCATCAGGCAAGGAAGGAAGTCCTTCGGCCTCCGGGCTGAAGGCATTGAATCGGTGGTCTGACCGACGCTCCATATTGCGTGGAGTTCGCGGGAAGATGACTTTCAGGGGTAATGAATTATCAAACCGGGAGGGAGAGAACAAGCTAGACAGGAGTTTTTCTGATGGAATGCGCCCCGCACGAAGCAGCGGCCTCTTAGAGGCAGTGGATGTTTTGATGGGAGGACTAGAGATGAGATTCAATGAAGGACGGTGGTCCGAATATAAACACTGCCTTGTCAAGGAAGCCTTAGCGTGACTGTGTAGTAGCCACTACAGCCACATGACCTCGCGTGGTCCTTGGTACTGGCCACATTCTTATATAGCAGTCGTAGCGCTCCTGTAGCAAATAACAGGTTATCACACTCCTCTCTCCTTCACCACCTCAAGGTATCTTAGGGGTTGTCTGAGCATCCTGGTGCACGAGAAATGCAAACAAAACATTCATTCATTACCATGATTCGACACAGTTAACTGTGCGAGAGACCATGTATGCTACGAAATTACCACACTTGAAAAACTGCTGTTGACTTCGATTCTGTCCTACGAGGTCTTGATAACCCAGTAATCATACGTGCATGGTAAGTTGTTGACACTTCTCTCAAACCATTCATAGGGCATCCAGAAACGGCCCTTGAGGCTTGCGTCCGTAATATCGGCTGGCCAAGTCGACCCCCAAGAGTTCTGGACGAGGAACAGCTTCTTGGCCGAATCGAAGCCGATAGCCATCATGGCGTGGCCCCCCATGTCTTCGGATTTGTTGGTTGGTGGCTTGACCAAGACGCCACCTGGGGTGAACTTTGAGATCCGCAAATCCGCATCTTTGTAGATACGAACGCCGAATACGAACGGAAAGCCGTCCAGCAGGGTCTTCTCCAGCCAGGCAGTGGGCACGTTGTTCCAATTGTATTCCCAAGACGGTGGCGGCGACGCCGCGGCGCCACCAACGGCTCCTGCCAGTGCAGGATCGAAAATGCGATAATAACCGATCGCCCTTGGTATGATGTCCTTCTCACCGGACAGAGCCTTTGGGTCGTTGAGATGGCTGGAGCCTTTGGCTTGCCATGTGGCCTTGTTCCAGTCTTCTGGCTCGATGGGGTTGGGCTTCTTGTCCAGGTGCTCGAAGAGATGGGTTGTCTGATCCGAAGAAGGATTGCCATATGGCCAAAGGGCTTCAAGACAGACCCCTTGCATAAGAAGACTGTGGATCGCACTGCGATTGTGCGACCCGCCGTCGTGCCGTGCTTTTGTCTCAGCATTGGGATTGCCAGCTATGTTGATATTGACGGGGTCGGAATTGACACGGGCATTGTAATAGAGGAACATCCTCGATGGCTCGAAGTCCTTGTAGGCTGTGCCCGTGGATTTTTTGTGGGCATAACGGAGAGCCGAAGCCACTGCATTAGCGACACAGCTGCCGATGCCTCCCTGGTTATAGACAGGTGGGAGATCCGGAAGCACAAAGGGAGAACCTGCTCCGGGCGCCGATTCGGATGCTAGGGCGGTAAAGGCCTGGACTTCATCCGTCGTGTAGAGGGGACGATCTCTTGCGTCGAACTTGTCACGAATGTTTCCTAGCCTGAGTTCTGTTTCCATCTTTGCTGAGATACTGAGGTCAAATCAAGAATGTTCGAGCGGCGTAATTCAAGAGCTTGGAGGATTGAGTCTGGGAAATGCACAGCTGAAATTCAAGAGGTGAAGTTGACGAGCCATATTTATACAACGGAGAGGCCTTGCACCAGTCGAGACCTACAATGCCAGCACAGACGTGGCACGAGAAGGCCTACGCACGATTTGGACAACATTCAAATGCTAACCACTCAGCCAGCCATGAAACTGTGTCGGTAATGACAATCAAGATGGCTGTTGGGTTGCTTGCACAATATTGTCAGCTGGTGCGTAAATGCCATGGAGCATATAGATTTGGCTCCAATCACAACGGTGTATTCGGGCTACGCAGTTCTCATTCACCCTCATGCAGATAGTGGTGGCAGAATCGACCAGGGCCACTCTTCATATGTGGACCTCGCGAGCTGGTGTGTGCAGTCAGGCATTCATTTCAGCTCGCATTCGGCTTGATGGTGCTGGTGATTTGAGGGAGGCATGTTCTCGAGGTCTAGAATGGTGGGAAGAAGCTAAACCACTCACAAAGAGATGGTGGTCTTTGACGTACTTTGAGCCACGCCACTTCTAGAATCCTTCTCATGGACTCTGTGATCTAACGTGCTTCGTGCGGCAAGGGACACTATACGGCCAATTCAAGAACACTATTGGTTACTTCACCACCACTAGGCTTGAAATGGAATATAGTTCCAGTCCCAACGGTTCGTTGACCAGTCAGAACCATTGTGGTCAGCCAGCCTTTGGCTTCAGCTCCTGTATATTCTCCCAACGAGGAATAGGAGGTGGGAGGGGAAGCAGTATTTTCATATCCTTGAAAGCTGAACGTGCCATCACACGGGATCACAATACTGCGGGCGGCAGAAATAATGGGCTGAATATTTGTAACCCTGCGCAGCGAATGGTCTAGAACGCATGCATTATGCATCATGAACTTGTACGCGTACCTAATTTCAATGCATCTAGGCCATAAGAAGCCGGCCGACGGAGATGGCTATACATCGCAGTTAAAAGAGGGATTGTGAGAGGCGGTGTTGGTTTGCCCCAGCACAGTGCTGTTCGATGGATTTTAGAGGGGCCAGGCCATCATTTTTCAGCTCACATTCTCAATTCAACATAACATATGCGATCTTGATAGGTGGGAATCTACGAGCTTCCCAACGCCAAGTAGAGCGGTAGAAGGATAAAAATAGATGTAGGATCAGACAGTCTGGAGGTGTCTTAAAACGAAACTATCTATTGCGACCATGGCGATAGACCCCGTGGCAGAGACAGCAATATCAGACTGACTTAACATTAATATATCAAGATTATGCGCTATACTCTACCAAGAATGTCAAGACTCCGGAACTATAGACGATATTGAGTTAATTAAACATGGAGGATGTTCTTCACAAAGTTTCTTGTCTGACGTCGACATTGTGGGATACTGAGCAGGATCTACGTAACTTCAGGCTTTTTCACTTTCTATGACTATGTTACACAGCTGCGACAGGAGTAGTTCAAGGCTGAAACCTCTAGAGAAAGATTTATTTGGCAGGATAGCCGTTCTCCTTCGGTCGAGAGCAATATCGCTCAGTATCAGCTGCTCATATAGTGCCGAGTCGACACGAGCAGCCGCCAATTGTCCCTCCGAGAACTCAGACGAGAGGGTGACAAGGATCATACTGAAGCACATCTTCTAGTCTGGCCAGGAGGCTATTGAAATCCTTCCCGAGGCGGAGCCAGGTGGAAATAAATGACCATCCCTAACACGAGACTGTGGCAAGGCTACCACACTCGGCAAAAACTGGAATCCATGGGGGAGATTCTTGGAGCGATCAATCTTAACTGCATCGTTTCCCACTGTCTGCACCCACCCGCAAGACGTACACCGCTTGGAAAATGTGCACCTCCGAGGAACAACAACTCACAGACAGGATGGAGCCCACTTATCAGGCCCCCGACCTTCAGGCCCCCTCCACACAGCCCACGTTACATTCTGTTGTCTTTTTTACATATTCAGGCTGTTACCCTCTTCGTGCTGCATGGATATATTGACGGTCACAGCAGCGCAGTTTCAGGCGTATAGACGGTCTTCTCAGCAGATTCGATTTGGTTCTTACCCTCTCAACGTGCTGCAGATCCACTAAGACCAGAAAGTCCGGCTTGGACGGCGCTTGTGGATCGGCACCACCAGCAGAAGGAGAGAGTGCTCGAGGAAATCAGAGGACGCCCATTTCTGAACCCGATATCGACTTCCCACAGCAGAGAAGATATCATTACAACAACTCTCAGAAACAGTCCACAATGGCCACTCCGAAACCCACAATCATCCTGGTCCACGGTGCATGGCACTCGCCCGAGCACTTCCAGCCACTGGAGAAAGCGCTCCATTCCAACGGCTACCGGACCGTCTCGCCCTGGCTTCCGAGCATGCACTACGCGAGACTGAACGTGCCACCCGTATCAAGTATTGACGACGATGTCTCTGCGGTCCGACAGACCATTCTCTCGGAGCTCGACACCCGTCCGGACACCGACGTCGTGCTCCTCGCGCACTCATACGGGACGGCTCCCGCGGGCTCGGCGACCGAGGGCCTCGACAAATCTTCACGTACCCAGACAGGCCATCACAGCAACGGGGTCACCGCACTGCTCATCATCTCGGGCCTTCTGGCGCCGGCTGGGATCTCTCTCCTGGACTGGGGCGGCGGGCAGGTCCCACCGACGATGGTCCTATCGAGCATGCCCTCACCCGTCGACCCGACGAAGGAGATCAAACTCTGCAGTCCCGTCCCCGACCCCGGCCCCGTCGCCTTGTTTTACCATGACCTGGCCGAGCGAGATGCCCCGGCCGCCCAGCGCTACGCTTCGCTCTGCACGCCGCAGGTCTGGGTGGCCCACAGGACGCCCCTGCCGTTCACGCCGTGGACGCCGGCGGCGTGGTTGCAGTCCGGCTTGGAGGTGTTTTACCTAGTGTGTGAAGACGACAAGGCGCTTCCAGCTCCGTTCCAGAGACTCATGATTCAGGCGGTGGACAAGGAGGTAGCGGCTGCACGAGAGGATGCCGGGACGGCGGCAGGAAATGAAGCGCCGGAGAGGAAGATCCGTGTGACGAGCATCAATAGCGGGCATTGTCCATTTCTGAGCCTTGTCGAGGAAACTGTCCTGTGGGTGAGGAGGTGTTGTGGCGAGGAGGACGTCTGATGTGATTCTGGCTTGACACTACCGATGTCTCGTCATGGCGGAGCAAGGCTTCCCCCCCAAAAAGATATTCTGGGAAAGGTCTAGATTTTGCGGATTATTGTTGTCTATACAGCAATATATCCCCTTTTCATAGTCCCGGATGTAGCTGACACGACGACATCCTTTACTGTCCCCCTCTCCTCCCCAGGGTCAGGGCAGTGATAACGGCGGCACCCACACCGCTCCCATCCTCTGCGCTCGTCAACTCGATCCCTTCCAACCCTCCCTCGCCTCCGCCAGCGGCTTTGGCGCCCATCTTCATGTCGAGAATCTCTCTAACAGCGTCCTCCCACCGCTCCTTGAACCGTGGGTGCTTAATGGCCACGCTCCCGTCCGCAGCGACGTGACCTTTGCGCGTCCCGATCCTGCGACAGATGGCGGACACGCCGCACGCGCAGAGCCGGGCGCCGCGGATGGCGATGAGCTTGGCCACGGCCTGCGAGAAGAGTAGTTCTGATTGCGAAGGATGCAGGTTCGAAAGCGTGGATTCAAAAGCCCGGGCCGAGGAGGAGAGGGAAGGTGAGGAGTCGTTCTCGAGGTTAGACAGGAATTCCGTGTCGATCGCGTAGGGGGTGTTCAGTAATTCCTTCTGCTGGTCGTCAAGCTTTACGTCCTGGAATATGACTCCTCTTTGATGAAGGTCGATGAGGATCTGGCGGAAGATCTCGCCCAGGTAGAGCCCTGCCGACATCTTCTCGAACGTCTGCTCTCCGGGCCGTGGCGACTGTTCGTCGATCAATTCGTCGTACCGCGTCCGTGGCAGGATGGCGTGGGAGTTGTCAAAAGCACCGTATTCGCAGTTGATTGCCATGAACGAGTCATCTGATTCTGCGTCCTTGGTCTCTGCAGTTGCTGTGGTGCCGTTAGAGGATGGGCCATTCCTTTGCAGTTTTGGTATGTGGTATGTCCGCTCCATGTATGCCGCGTTGCAGCCCGTGCCAAAAATCGCACCGATGATTGTCTTCGGGTCGTTGTAGGCGGAGGCGATGAGCGCGCCGGTCGTGTCGTTGATAAGGGCGACGAGCTTGACGGGAAGGTCCTGCATAGGGGAACGTACCCCCATCAGTATGATGGACGCCACAAGGTCGGGAGTGGATGTTGAATATGGCAATCAAAGAACCACAAATGGATAGTGTTAACAGCATGAACATACGCGTTTCTCAATAGCCCCTCTTAACATCTCAGCAACATCATTGCCTTCCACTCCCTTGACGTCCCACCCCTTCGTCCAGGTCTGCAAGATCCCGTGATCAATTCGCTCCTGGGTAGCAGGGTAGCTGAATGTGAACCCCAGGGGTACTTTCCCATCGTCCCCGACCGTATCGTCGGCTTTGACGTGCTTTTCCACGAAATCCGCAAGGCGATCGGCAAGGTACTCGAATAGTTCATCTGCTGTTCCGGTCTTGATCTCTTTCGGTAATTGATATTTCTCCTGTGTGATGTCGGTCCCTCCTTGTCTGCCAGAGAGCGTGATCAGACATACACGGAGATTAGTTCCGCCGAGGTCGAGTGTCAGATAGGTGCCGGTTTCGTGCCCTGTTGGGAAGGACGTAACCCAGGTTATATTCATTGGCTAAAAGGTTAAGTATGCATACGAAAATTTGGAGGCACAGCATCAATGCGACAGTGTAGAGAAGACATACCACATTCGACCCGTGCTTTCGAAGTCCTGGTGAGATAGATTGTCAGAGGCAGTTGTATAAAGGCGCCCAGCTTGGAGCTCAAAAGTCCACTCAGGATAAGGGTAAAAGGGGGGAGTAGGTAGGGGTATTCTCCCGTCTATCCCAGTCCAACCATCGGATCGTGGTTCAATGGTTGACGAGATTCACTCTGAGTAACAGTGTCGTGTCCTCATCCATGGCCCTTGGTTGAACGCAAACTCACCTTCATCAAGTTCTTCACCGAACCTATCCGTGATCTTCTTCAGCACGGTTGTATCCACGGTAAACAGCTGTTCCAGTCTTCGAAGTTCTTCTCCCAGCTTCTCAGGGAGATCAGAGGGGATTTCTGCAGATGTGCCCAAGAAGTAGTGTCAGCCTGATGAGACTTCATTCGTTCGCCTAGTTTATATAAAGGCCCCTTTCAAAGCGAACCTTTGAGGAGAAACTGCCAGGTGTGCTGGGTCAGGGGGCCTCACCAAACTCGACATCTTCTCGAGAAAATTGGAGGTTCTGCGTGTGGGCAGACATGTTGTCAGCAATAGAATTTGCTGTGAAAAGGGGTCGAAGTCGAAGTAGTGACAGAGGTTTGAAGGGTTGTATATGGAGTTGGAATGCCGACCAGAATTTTATATAGGATCTGCGGATCTGGACTCCGAGACATGGACTGTCGTAAGATGGTTCTCTCAGCGAAACTCTGACCAGAAGCGTAATAAATATACAAATATTATACACGCGCGACGGGACTTTCAGACGGACACTCCCTTATGTCTAGTCTCACTCGAGATAACCCACGCCGGTTTATGTATAGAACGAGCATTTCGAATGCCTCCTCAGACCTCGGACACAAGGAGTGCGGATCCAATATTGAAAATGACGTCAGTGTTTACATCAAAAATGTTCCATATATTGCAATATGTCATACGCGAGGATGATGCTGCGAAATCGCCGGAAATACTTGACCGCGCCGATCATTGTCGCTTATGTGGAGATTCCATTAGAAGATGGATACTGCCTGACTAGGCGGGAAGAGGGAACCTCAAAGAACTCCCTTGGGCATCTCTGCCTCAACCCTTTCGGACGGATATCGCCGCCCCCTTTCACTTATCCAGCCTTGTGAAGGGCATTATGGTGTGGGCTCAAGCGTCTGCAGCAGTCTCAACTGCGTCAAATTTGTCCAAGGGGAAGACGCTAGCCTTTGCTGAATCCTGGCATTCTGTGAAAGCACCCTCTGTGCAACCGCCTAGCCGTGGTTCGAATAGATCGAGAACCGAGTCCCTGGCCGAAGTTGGCCTGGAAAGGGAAAGGACAATGAAAGCAAATTTGTCGGGATAGAAAGGTGCTGGAGGTTTATGTGCGCTCATAACCCATACCATTCTTGAGTCTGTCGGTTCCAAATCGCCTGGCCGCCTGGCTGCCTGGATACCTTTGTCTCAGCAAGCCCGGCACCTCCCTTCACGTCCAGTGCCTTTGTCTGAACGGCCAGCCCGAGATCATCTCCCGCCTCGTCCTGGTCCGCAACATGATGCTGGTGGCCATGGACATGCGTAGGTTTGTGTCAAGATTCTCGTAATGTCTGCTGCGGCTCTCTATGTTGCCGATCCTGTCAAGTCGCGGCTGACCAGGACTGAAACCCTCCTCCGTGTCTGGTGAGAAGAGGGAGACTGGACTTTCCGGACTGTGCGGGTGAATGTCCCATTGGCCATCGAAGGCGACGTCAGCAGACTTATCTCTGCCTGGTCTTGTTGTGATTTGACCGCATTAACGATGGACGTTGTGTAGACGTCAAATGCTATTGCCGGGGAAGAGAAAAGGGTAATTGGCAAACATGGCAATGTAATGTTTGTTGAACGGTCAGGTGATGACGATGGAGCTTGATCCACGTTGCATGCAAGAGTCTGAAAATTGAGCCGCTTATGGCTTCGCTAAAACGCACTATTTTGGTATTTCAGCATTCGCTTGCTTGTCGATAGCCCAAAGGCCAGAGGAATTTATTCAACCGCCAGGAGGTATCGTTTTCTTTGAGCAGCATCAAGAAAAGACAGAGATCCAAGAGCGAAGCACACATACGCTGTGGACCAGCTTGGGGTGACGGACCAATGAATGAACCATCAACTGGGCATAGCTCTCGTAGGCGGCGAAGAACACTTGTAGTACTGGTAGTTGGTTGATTGGTAAATGAGGCTGAAGCCTCATTCGTTCGTTCAGGCATCAGCTGCTCCTTCAGAACCCAGTCCAGTAGTCCCCATACGACACGTGTGCTTCAGTACTATCTCCCAATGACTCCAGTTGCCGCCCGCCAGCCTCACCTTGAGTGGACCTAACGGTGAGTCGACGCGTTGACATGGAGTGGAAAGCCCGTCGAGTCCGGGCTCAAGCTGTCTCCCTGACCAGCTTCATTGTCGCGTGCAGCTCTCAGATGGCTTCAGTGACGATTTGCGTAGCGGACAGAGATTTTCGTTGGGCGAAGCTCAGCATGGAAAGACGATAATCCCCCAGTCAGAGAATCGGGAATTGCGAATCCAGGGGCGAAAATACCGCCTCATCTCAGGAGTCGTCTACCAGAAGCACCATCACCAACTCTCCAGGCCACCGGCCCCGGCACTCCCAGGAGACCATGACTCGACCCTTCGAATCCAACACCTCCACCTTCACCATCAGCTTTGTATCTCCGCAAAGCCTCTCGAAGATGATCTGGCAAGAGCCCTCCCTTATGCGGATTTGGGATGTACTCTTTGGCTTCTCTTTTCAGGCCCTCGATCTCTCGCGCCAGTGCACGGCCCTGTTGATCGGTGTGGTTGCCTTGCTTCTGCTTCTCCTCGAGAGTCTCCAGCTCCTTCTGCCGCCGTTCTCGCTCCTCCTTTCTTGTCTCGTCGTACGCTTTGGCCCATTCGATCTGCACCTCGCGCGCTCTCTCCACGATCTCGCCCACAAACCATTTGCCGTAGATCCTTACCGCCTGCAGGGGAGCGGATGTGACTGACTGCGACACCACCGAATTGACTAGCCGCCTCACTGTTGCGACGTTGAGTGAAAGAGCACGCCATTGATTGTATCGGGCATATTGGTCCGGGTCAAGCGTATCCGCCAGTCGTTCACGGCGCTGCTCCTGCCGTGTTTCCTCTTCCTCGGCTTGCCGTCTCTCCTGCTCATCCATGGTCTCAAACATGCCGTCAATGTCACCCTCGTCATCCTCTTCCTGCTCAGCTGCGCCCGAGCGAGCGCTGACCACCGATTTTGTTCCGCGGCCGGCATTTCTTGAAGTGCTTTCAGCTTGACTGGCCGTATCTGCGGGAGGCAGACGCACAGAGCGCGTGTCTTCTTCATCGAGTTGTTGTGACTTTCGAGGCCTTCCTCTTCCGCGGCCGGGGACTTTGCCGCTCTTTGCTGACAAAAGACTGTTCGCGACACTACCGGTTTCGGAGCGCGCACTCGTGACTGCAGAGCCATATCGTCCACTCCCACCTTGAGCAGGAAACGAGGTTTGTCTGAGAGGATGTAGCTTGGGTCGCTTGGATGATCCCTGCGCCGATGCTTGTGAACTCATTGAGGTTCGCTTTTTGGGGTTCGGGAGGCTTGCGGGAAATGGGGAGGGAGGGGAGCTGGCCATAGTTGTGTGCTGTTCACCTGAGTAGGAATTATTCGATCAAGGCGGAGAATGAAGGATAGACTAAGAGAGTATTGACATTGGATATGATATGACTGAGCAACAAGGCTAGAGCGGATCAGCGGGTGAATAATAAAGCAGCCTCGCAATCAAACCAGGCCACAGGCTCGTAAGACTGGACTCTGTGGTTGATCGTGGATATATCGTGGATATACCGTGGGCGAGGATGAAGATGGAAGGCATGGGCTGCGGACAGCGGATGCGGATCGGCCAACCTTCCCGTAACGGACTCCACCATATCCTTCTCTCACATTTGTTTCTCCCATAATAACCGGTGTGTCAATCTCGACTATCACTTTGAGCTGGCACGTCGACGTCGATGTTACTGCGCAAGACTTTGGAATACCGTACTCCCAAGGATCAGGCCCTGAAAGACCAAACTCTTGGCGACCTACAGTACACGGATTTGGAAAATAGGAATAGCGACAATGACTGCTCGTAGTAGCAAACGAAAACCGGAACCACGGCTGATCACACAAGTTCCATGGAAGAGGTGCTCGCTGCTTATCAGTACAGTGCCTCGATCTTTTGTCTTTGCTAACACTGACAGCAGCTCGCTGGACGAAGTGGTAGCATGAGGCTAAATCCCTCGTTCTACCTTGGCACCCTTTCCCCAGAGAATTCCTCCACTGCTGTTCCTGCGCAAAAGCTGGAGAATCTGGGACCTTAAAACGAGCAACTGCAGGATACTGCGGGGCCCTTAAGCATTACCTCGGACACAGAAAGTCAATAGATGCAGATTGCAAGGTAAACTTTGTCTACGGTTCGGTCAAACCGGTACACGCCGGTCGACTCCGGTTCGAGCAAAGCCTTTGTGGTAGCATTCGTGACGGATGCGAGGTTGGCTATTGGGATTGTTGTTCGTGGAGCTGGCGGTCAGAACAGGAGATGTTCACCTATAAAACATGAAAAGCCGCCGAGAAGATTCCCGGGGTCATCGACGACGCGTGTTGTTTGGTTACAATGAAACCGAACATAGATCCAAGGATGTCGCGGTTCTCCACGACCTTGTCCCTCATTTTTATTCATATTATCCAACATTCTGTTGCACAGCAGCTATCTTGTTCTGACTTGGTCTTCCAAGCAGGTGACTCCTCGAGTTTGGCCGTTATCAACGCAACTCAGGTTGCACCACAGACCCTTAGCTTTCCGCTGTTCGGGCCTGCCACGAACGAGGTACCACTTTGTCGCATCCAGGGCAATGTGAGATACGGATTGAACAAGTCCGAAGGAATAGAACTTTGGTTGCCGCCTCCGTCACTGTGGAATGGCCGGTACCTAGTTGTTGGTATGGTGTCACCTCCGAAGCATAGCCTGATCTCGACAAGCTAAGAGACTAAGGGACCGGGGGTTTCGGAGGCATCATTGACTATGGCACTATGTTGCAAGAAGTCAGTGCCGGCTATGCAGTTGCTGGTGGCGACGCTGGGCATTTGTTCTCAACCAACGGCAACGGCATCAGCATGCCTGGACAGAGCATCCCGTTCTTGCAAGACCCTGACGAAACGACCGAATGGATTCACAATTCTGTTGCATCGATGACGCCGCCAACCAAGGCGCTGACAGAAATCTTTTACGGAAAGAGCCCCTCATATTCTTATTATGCAGGCTGCTCGACTGGCGGTGCACAAGGCTTCGCCCTTGCCCAGTATCATCCGGAGCTTTTTGACGGAATATTTGCTGGGTCTCCAGGCAACTGGTACAGCCACTTGATCCTCAGCTTTCTGTGGAACTATCTCCACGCGCAAAAAGCCTTTCTGGACCAGAATACTCTCAATTTCATTACAAACGCGACCTTGAAGAAATGTGATGGCCTCGATGGTCTCGTGGATGGTGTTATTGCAGATCCGCAGAACTGCCACTTCAATATCTCGGAAATCGAGTGCACAGCTGGACAGGCACGTAACAACAGTCAAGGGGTCCAGTGCGTCACGTCTGCAGAAGTGGCCACCTATCAAGCAATCAGGGCCGGCCCGAGCGAGGCTGGCACCGGCCGAAAAGTGTATCCAGGATTCGACTTCGGGTCAGAGAGCTCATGGCTCCTTCAAGAAGCGGAACTGGCTCTTAATTTCTCAGTCCCGATCCTTCAGAACTTGGTGTACAACAATCTGTCGTACGACTACATCTCGTACAGTTTCAGCTCAGCTCAGCTCAAGGCCATCGATTCCAAGGCTTCCCCTCTTATCGATTCTATCTCTCCCGACCTTCGGGCGTATAAGAACAGAGGCAAGTTGCTCGTTACTCAGGGTTGGGCGGATGCATACAATGCAGCGACATGGCCAATCCAGCATTTTGAGCAGACTAGCACATTTCTCTCGTCGAACGGTGTCGCTGCCGGGAATGCTTCAGATTTCTATCGATTGTTCATGATTCCGGGATATGGCCACTGCGGTCCAGCGGCTGCTTATCCGCAGATACCCGGCACTGTCGACACTTTGGGTACCCTGACATCCTGGGTGGAGAAAGGAACTGCGCCTGTCGAAATTCAAAGCACAGGACCTGCTGATGGAACGAATCGGACCAGGAAGCTGTGTGCTTGGCCGGCGACTGCGAAGTACGTGGGGAAGGATCCAAACAACTGGGAGTCTTTCCAGTGCGTCGAGTAAGGCGATGAAGGCTATGCTAGAATCCTGAAGATTAGTCTGTGTGACAATCAGTGACTTCTCTTACAGTAATGCATACGAATGACTTCTACCTCTGCCTCTATCCGAGCGATTGCTGTGGACTGGCAACCACTCTCATCTAAGTGTTCGGCAACCAAAAGGGCCTGTTCCCAATCACCCAGATCGAATGCAAGGCATTCACGAGGCAGAGAAGGCGCAGCCACAGGCAGCCACAGTAGCAGCAACAATGCGGCTGAGCTCGACGAGAGCAAGTTGCTGGCTTGGCAACAGAAGAGAACCTCGTGGCGGGGCGGTGCAGCAGACCTCTACCATCCACTTACTATGTCATACCACCCGCACGTCTGCTCTATTTGGCTGGATACGCAGGACACTCTCACAAAGCTTGAAGCCTTTCACTTCCCAGATTGCGTGGACAAAATGCCAGCTCCGTTCGGCTTTTCGGTTGGAGACTTTGTGACTGTGATCCGTAAGCCCTTCCCTTCACAGTTGAGACCCAGGGCCTGATTGGACTGATACTGTAAGCCCTCCAGAGCTCACAGGCAAGATAATCTCCGCACTCAAGGATGTTGGGGGCTCCTCTTCAGAGTACCAACATGCCGTGATTGTACTCGAAAGCCTCAAGCGGCTGCTCGAAAAAGTGACACAACTTATCATCACAGCAGAAAATAAAGTCCAGGTCAATGCCCTTCGTGGCCTGGCTCTGGCTTGTGAGCCTTGCCTCCAAGAATTCCACAGGAAGCTCAAGTCTTACGAGGCGTCTATTGGTCCTTTCGCCCCGAAGGGCCGCCTCAAGGGGACCTACCATAAGGTCAAATGGGCTTTTCTGGGTTCTGAAGAGTTCAGCCAGTTCCGCAAATTCATTGCTATGAAGGTGCTCTGTCTGAGCCTGCTGCTTTCCATGCACATATTGTAGGCTGTTCTTCCCCCACCATACCAACTCTCGCTCTAACTGGGATCGAAAGTGAATCTACCTCAAAGAGAGATGCAGAGGAACAAGCAGGACGCTTCAGCCTCGTCGACGAGATCACAAAAATCCGAGAAAGCATGGAAAGACTCGAGCTTAGGAATCAGCAAGGTGTCCCTAAGCTTGATTACCAGGCCAGCTTGCAGCCGATACAAGACAAGGTCGAAAATATTGCTGAGAGACTGGAGAGCAACTTGCCTCCTGTCTCGAGTGCTTTAACTTCGGTCGGGAGAGCTGATCAATAACGTTCTGGGCCAGATTATCGACTTTCTCGGCTCCTTCCAGCGAGAGACGAAGAATGCGCTTCAAAGGATCATTCAGACCAATATGCAGATATATGCTTTACTCCTAGCGAGTCTGTCTAGCCCGAGCACTGGTCCATCAATGCCCTCCGACTTCATTGTGTTTGAAGATGCTCTTGGCAGGACCATTTCGCTTCCCTATCAATGGTTCCGTCATTGGGAGGTGAGTTCCGGTATAGGCAACCACTATTATATCTCAATCACTAAGAAGGCGATAGACCTTCGAAGGCCTGCTCCGCGCCAAGTTCAAGGGCGTCCCTGGCGAGACTAAAGTATTGGAAGGACAATACCACTTGATCGAGACCAAAGGTTCTGGCGCAATCATAAGAAAAGAAGACTGGAATAGGACTGTATTTCCAGGCTCTTCGGTGACTATGTCAGTGATTATCTCCCAGATCCGCTGGCAGGTAGGGCTGTGCCCACGCCCGAGCTGCGCAGAGCCACGAATCGAATTGGAACATCCCCAAATGTTAGCAACATGGTAAGTAGCTTGCTCACCAGCCCTTGAAATAATGCTGATCCCTTGAAGTATAAACTGTGGCTTAAAGTATTATCCATCTCGGGAGAGGTTCCAAGGCCAAACGAGGCGTTTGACAGTTCTCACAGAAGACGATAAAGTGATGTGGTCACAGAGCACTGAAGACCTAGAAGTGTTCGGAGCTAGACCGTCACCCAAGGACCCTGAAGAAACGGCCGCCATTCTAGCTCTCTTGGAGCCCGCAGATACGACAACAGCCAACGATGATTTCATGACTCTAAACAGTGCCACAGAAGCGGCCCCTCGGACTGAAAAGCCTCCAACCTCGCCCAAATTGACCATCGGACCTGTTGTGCAAAAGCTTGTGGCGGAAACGATCCAGATTTCGGACGACTTACCATCGGATTTCCAAACGCCATTGGATATGTGGCTTGCGCAGACCGAGTTGGTTGGCCTCGACCCCAATGTGATAGCCGACACGCCGTTGTCTGATATGACAGGTCGCGACGAGGAAGCCTCGGAAATTGAACATTTCAAACGTGTGCATATCAAGCAATGGAACAAGAATCCGGACGGCGGCAATGACACAGGAAAGGTCGCGGTTGACCCGAAATGGTCGGCGGAAATCGACGAAGCAATCTACCACCGCAACATTTCTGACAGATTTCCCTTACTGCCGTCGTGGCTAGCTGATCGCCTGGCGAAGCTCAATGTAAAAAGGGCGAAAAGACTCCCGCGCGCCTATTACGCACAAGCCTCCTCATCGCACGACGGAGACGGCGCCGATCTCGACTATCATCTCCCTGTTGGTGATCGTCCGTGTCAACCATCTCGTCCCTCTGATGGCGAGAAAATTCCAAGTCAAAATAATCAACTTGAGGAATATGATGGCGGAATTTCCCAGTCAAATTCTCCCGATATTGAAGGAGTGCAAACTCAATCAGAGCCATCCCGTGAAGAGGTAACTAGGCGGCTGGTACTTAATTTCCCGCCTGAAAGGTCAACATCCCGTCAACTCAATGAAATACTTGAGAGCTCGCCTTGGGAGGAACTCGTGGAGCGGCGACAAGAAACGTCTTACTGGTCGGGTAAGGCCGGGCGGCAAGGTCCAGCATCTACCTTATCTCGTTCATCTCATTCAAACAACTCCCTGCAACTACCGGACGTTGTTCTACCCGAAAGAATCCATAAGAGTGCATCGGTCAAAACGTATTCTTCATGCTCGACAGTTGATTCAACACCCCGATTCGTGGTCCCCCCTCCCCCTGTCGATCTGGGAAAGGAAAACACATTTATATGCGACATCTGCAACAAACAGGTTGTTGTGCTGTGAAGGCGTGACTGGCAGTAAGTTCGGGCTTCCATGGTTGCGAAGATCATTACTGATCATATATAGAATCCACTACGTGACCTTCAGCCGTACTCTTGCATCTTGAAAAACTGCCGAACACCGTTCAAAACATATGATTCTCGAGCGGTAATGCGGTCTCATATCTTTAGAGTGCACCCAGGACTCTATTCATATCGCTGCATTCGGTGTCCTGCGACGTGGAGAATGAAGGAAAAGGAGTTAGGCAAACATATAGAGAAATGGCATCCAGACACATCAGAAGAGTGGGAGGTCGGCGGCCCAGCCGCTAATGCTCTCAAGTATTTCGCCATAGACCTCCAACACATGAACTGTTACTTTTGCGACAAAGCCCTGTCAACAACGGATGGATTCATAGCGCACGTCGGTCAACATCTGGAGCGCATCGCATTCGCAGTCCTCGCCAAACCATATCAGAAGTGGCACTTTTACGACGACTTGGCGTCTGAATGGTCGTCCGCATCTCCTGTAAAGCTGAGTCCTGAAATCGGTCGTCTCGTCAGTAACAATTCTGTCGCCACTGTGAAGCAACTGCTCAAGGATGGTATCCTCACGAAGACGCTCTGCGGAAACAGCGCCATATGGCTAGCCTCTCAGCATGGTCATGAATTGATCGTATGGCTCCTGATACAATACGGGTTCGATGTGAACGAAAGGGATCAGTTCTACGGAGGAAGGACTGCACTCCATCATGCTGCCGAAGCCGGCCACGCCCCAGTCGTCAAAATTTTGTGGGGAGCGTATCCAAAAAGAGGTTGTCTGGACGACTTGCACTCTGCCTGGATCGCCGCAGCAGAAAAAGGACATTCTGAATGTCTAAGAGTTTTGAAAGCCATTTTTGAGGAGGTTTACTCCGGAAATCGATCCACGCCTGTGTTTCATCCCTCCTATGTCGCGCAATGGGTTTGCGATGGGGTTGAGGCCGCCATTGATAAAGGTATGCAGAAGTCATTTGAAGAGGTGACCGCCTACCATTGGAGTCCTCCAACATTCACAGATGAGATACGATCCAAGGCAGCCTCAAGAACAATCTATTGGGTCTGGCTATCACTCCGAAATAGCTCTCTCAGCCACCTCATACTGTCAAGCCCCTGGCTCGAGCGAGACTGGCTTCCTACACATCTTTCCTTCCCTGACGGGCTCACTGATGAATTCGTCAAGGAGACCAGCAACCCTGTCCTTAAGATACTGAATTTATCTGCCGATAAATACCAGGGTACTAGGGATTCAACTGAATCTGATGTCGACCACTTGCAGATACTTCTAAAACAACATCCCGAGCTCATCCAGTTGATATACTTAGATCTTGCCAGACATGGACTTCGCAAAAGTCTGCTTGTGCTGCTGCAAAGGGACTTACGTCCGCATCCAAGAACCCTGTCGACCCTGGTACAACATCATTACAGTGACTCTGTGGAATATTTGCTCCAGAACTTCTTGTCACATTTTAGAGAGACTGACAGAGTCGAGGCGCTTGACTTTGCCGTCCAGCTCAACAAGCTCAGGGTTATTGAGGCACTTATCAAAGCCGGCGCTCTCCCGACTTCGCCCTCCGCCGCAGCAGACCGCCTACTATCGACGTGTATTCGGTACAAAAACGAAGTCTTGCTTGAGAAATTACTCGACCAGCCTAGCCCGCCATTTTCTGCCGTCACAATAGCTGATGCAAACCGCAGAATCAAGCTTTTCCGAGCTCTGGAAGTTATGCGCAACAGGTTGTTATCACGCATCGCGCCTACACGTGACTAACCAAGCTGGGGAAGGTCTGCCGAGGGCTACTTCTACCTCGCTATCCCACTTCTCTCTCTCTCTTGAAGACTCTATTAGAGACAGCCCACTATAGATAGCTAGATAGCTAGAGAATCGTGCTATTACAGCTATTTATCTCCACTAGTATATTGGATCCCTTTCTTCCTTTTACACCCTCCATGTGATAGTTGTCGCCGGAGCGAGAGTGGAAAGTAAACGATATTCCGCCCTGTTGGACGCCCTCGACCGGAGAAGATCCTGATGCTCACTTATGGGAGGACCAAAAAGAAACCTGCGACTCTAGGTTACTGGGTGTTGGGCTTGCTCCCCACGAAGCGACATAGAATTCCGCAGAACGACCGCAAGGTGTTCAAGCAGGGGTATCTCTACACCCTCTTTAGATGGACAAGACGCAATAGACAGCCTCTGCCCCAAAAATTGTGTCACAAATTCTCAAATACCAGTGTGTCAATAGAGAAGGGTGTTGAACTGTTTACGGATCGGATAGAAGGGTTCCCTACAGTACATTGCTACAAAATATCCATACCTACCTGCACAGCAAGATCAGGAGGCTGTGGATGTCCTTCTTTGATGGGGAGGCATCTCTTTTACCGGAGTAGACCTTTTGCTTCAGCGATTCTCCGCGGAACCAAGCAGCACAAGGGAGAGAAAGTTTTAGGGCCGGAGAAAGCACCGTATGGGTCAGAAGGGGAATCAACTACAAAGAAACGAATCGCGTACATTTCATTTCCAATTCCTTTTTCCTCATATCATAGATAATATGTCTGTCTGTCTCCCCTCGTTTGTGTGAAGACGAGGATGGATCGACACTTATCAAAAACTATCGCGTTTGCGTTTTCTTCCCGATTTACGATGGTCCTGCATCGACACCGACTTCGTCCCTACCAAGATTGGCAGGGAACGCCCCGCCATTCATCTCTTCACGACGTGGAATCCCTCAAAGTTGGGCAGCACCTTCCTGATGTCCTGGTGGTAGTTGTACATGCCGCCGGCGTAGTTGACCTGCTCGAATGCCTTGCCTGGCATGCTGCCACCCATGTACCTAGAGGAGGGGGAAGAGACAGTGTTAGGTATCGATCCATCTATCTATATTGGGAAAGGGGAAGGAGGGGGTGAACTTACGTGCTCTTGGTGGTTGGGAACAGGGACTTGTCGCTGAGTTCGTTGATCTTCTGCTTCCACTGCATGGAGGCCACGTCGGTCGGGTTGATGTACTTGATGCCCTCGCGCTCCATCTGGGTGATGGCGTCGGTGATCCAGCGGCCCTGGATCTCGACCGACGTGGGCCCGTTGGACAGGAGAGTGGGCCCGTGCGGGCCGTAGAGGTGGAACATGTTGGGGTAGCCCGGCACGGTGGTGCCCAAGTAGGTCACGGCGGCCTTCTTCCACTCCTTGTCCAGGGTCTGGCCGTTGATATTGTGCAGGCCCATGGCGGTCATGCCGCCGGTGGTGATGTCGAAGCCCGTGGCGATGCAGATGATGTCGAATTCGTGGTGCGTGCCGTCCTGGAGCACAATTCCCTTCTCGTCGAACGCGACGATCGGGTTGTTCTTGATGTTGACCACATCGACGTTGGGCCGGTTGAATTGCTCCAGGTACGAGTACTCCAGGCACGGACGCTTCACGCCCCATGGGTGGGGAGGCTCGACTGGGGTGAGGATGTCCCGTTTCTTCGCGTCGTTCAGGCGTGCGCGTTGTTTCTTGGCCCAGAAGTCGTAGACCGCGCGGTTGGCCTTGGGGTCAAAGAGGTAGTCCTTGTAGTTGCCGAGCCAGTAGCGGAAGCCTCCATCAGACCAGAGCTTCTCGAAGAACCGTTCGCGGTCTTCGGGGGTGTCTTCGAATAGTCCTTTCTCGGAGAAGTCATACAAGAAACCGCCAAAGCATCGTTCACGGAGGTCGAAGAGCTCCGGATACCACTTCTTGCCGGCCCACTGCTCTTCGGCCGTGAGGGCACGGAGGCGCATAGGCACCGTCAAGTTCGGGGTTCGTTGGAAGACCTTCAGCTCGCCTGCTTTCGGACCCCATGCTTGAGTGATCTGCACACCAGAGGCGCCAGTGCCAATGATGGCGCACTTCTTGCCCTGCACGGGGATCTCTTCATCGGGCCAGAATGATGAGTGATGGACGATGCCTTTGAACTTCTCGATGCCTGGCCAATCAGGAACATATCGCTTAGCCGCAAAGCCGGCGGCGACGACAAGGTACTTGGCCTTGGCTGTTCGGCCGTCGGCCGTCTTCACATACCAGCGGCCTTCTTCGGTATTGAACTTGGCTTCGACCACCACACTTTCGAAGGCCGTCTGGCTCTTGATATCGAGGACCTTGTCGCAGTGATCAAAATAATCACGAAGTTCTCTGTAGGTGGGATAGTTGGAGGGCCAGTTGTACCTAGAACACATTAGCTACTGACAAACAGAGACATGGGACCTTCCAACGTACGTTTTCCACGTCTCCGGGATCGATAACTGATATTCCGGCACTTCAGAGTCGACCATTGCGCCGGCTGGTCAGGAGTTAGCACAGTCAAGCGACGACAAATGACCCAATGATCTCACGGTAGCAGTTCCATCGCCAAGTGCCACCGAGGTCGGTGCCAGCCTCGTAGATAACAGTCTTCAAACCTGCCTTGCGAAGGGACCAGAAGCAGAATACTCCTCCGAAACCGCCACCGACGACGAGGGCGTCGACCTCCAGGTTGTCCGCATAGGGACCATCTGTCCTCCTGCGACGGCCGTACTCCCAGAGCTGAGTCTTCAGCTTGGGGTTGGTCATTCCCGGGTCGCCCATGGTTGTGATGATGTATATCAACTATAGTAAAATTGTTTGGACCCGGTAAGATGAGAGGGTGAAAGTTAGGAGAGATGACTTCTTGTGGTTCAGCTCTTCCTTCCCTTTGGTTCCTCTCTTTTATACAAAACATTTTCATCCTGACTGGCTGAGTATAGTGAGCAGTTGTTCTGTGATCTGTTTGGTGCCCGCATAGAGACCCCATACAGATCTGCTGTATGCCTTTGACCAGGCCCTCCGCTGCGGTTCCGCAAAAGAGGTAAGACCCCAACTCCTAGTCACTATACAGGAAATTGGCATTGCGGGGGGGTACCATACCTTCCGCAAGGATGATGTGTCCAATGAAGCGGTTATGCCTATGGTTAGTCGCGTTGATGGACACGAAACAACTACCGCTGGATGAGGGGATTGGGAAGGCCAGGAAGATCGTCCGGAGGCAGGACGAACTGCAAGAATGCGTCTCCGCACATCAGAACGGATTTTCTGAAGACGGCTTCAGGGTCAAAGGATGAGGCGCGGTGCAAGTGAATCTCGGACCCGCATCGTTGTTGCCGAAACGATGGAAAACAGCTCATCCGAGGGGAGTGTGAGAAGATGAAGCCAGAAGGAGAGGGGAAAGCACGCACAAGGACTGACTTGATATTTAGAACAAGTGCCAGGCGAATCTTGTATAGCTGCTCATAAGCCCTCCTGCTCCTGGCCGTGTCCCTTTGCAAATTGGTAAGGCTGAAGCAAACAGCATTCCGTCCTTGCTCTATATCCGTTAAAATGGGGCTTTCCACCGAGGCTGTCAACAACATAACGTCCACACTCAACGCTGCCTGCGTTGATGCGGACAAGGGGATTCCAGGGTTGGTCGGTATTGCCATTGGAAAAGATGGTAAGGAGCTCTACGCTCATGCAGCCGGCAAGAGAGGCTTTGGCTCCTCTGAACCCATGACCCTCGATACCATTTTCTGGATAGCGTCTTGCACCAAGATGATCACCGGTGTTGCGTGTATGCAGTTGGTGGAGCAAGGCAAACTGTCGCTGGACGATGCAAACCAAGTCGCCCAGTTGTGTCCCGAGATCAAGAATTTGAGCGTCTTGCAACCTGATGGCAAGCTTGTCCCAGCCAAGAGAGGAATCACTCTGCGAATGCTGTTGTCGCATACTGGTCAGATATAACTCCTTCCCAGAAAGCGTATCGAGCTAACGCAAAGCCAGCGGGTTTTGGCTATGCTTTTTTTCACGAGGGTATTCGTGATTACAGCAAACCTATTGGTTATGATGAATTCTCGGGACATATCAAAGATTTGATTCAGCCTCTGGTCCATCAGCCTGGTGAGGGTTGGCAATATGGCGTAGGTTCTGCCTCTCGGTTTCGGACGAAGTGTTTGCTGAATCTCGCATTAGGTGAACATAGATTGGGCTGGTATATGCGTCGAACGTGCCACCAACATGTCGTTGAACGATTACTTTCAACGCAACATATTCCAGCCTTTAGGCATCAAGAATATCTCCATGTTTCCCAATGCTGAGATGAAGTCAAAGCTGGCATACATGAATGCACGAACGCCAGATGGTCGGCTTCAACCACGGGATCATCTCCTTCACCGGCCACTGGTCGTGGAGAGTCAGCAAGATATCGCGACCTGCGTCAACAGTGGAGGAGCTGGCGCTTTTGCACGTCCGCGAGAGTATTGCCGTAAGCCATCTTGAGCCCAAGCTGCAGGCACTTTGAGCTGATTGGAACCACAGAAATCCTGGCCACTTTGCTGAATGACGGCACATCGCCGATCACTGGTGCACAAATTCTGAAAAAGGAGACGGTGGATTTGATGTTCCAGAACCAGATTCCCGAGTTCCCGGACTTTTCACGCCAGGGGATCCCTCCAGCCAAGCCGGACCTGACCAACGCCATACCCGACTTGTATCCAGGCAAGCAGCAGGGCTGGGGGTTGACTTTTATGCTGAGCGACGGGCCAACCGGCAGGTCGACGGGTACAGGCCATTGGGCGGGCTTGCCCAACCTCTATTGGTGGTGCGATCGAGCCAAGGGAGTGGCGGGCATGGTATGTTCACAGATCCTTCCTTTTGCAGACCCTCAAGTGCTGGGTCTCTGGGTTGCTCTGGAATCAGGAGTGTACAGTGGCCTCAGCTAGGTACTCGGAAGGGGGACGACGTGGACGTTTATGCAAATTTATTTTGCCATTTTGACCCGTGGGACTTGCGAGAGACTCCCGTAGGACGTGACCTGGTTGGTAAGCTGAGTGAAAGTAATGCAGCAAGCGCCGTGTTGGGCGTTGCTGGCGAAGGGGGAAAAGGGTGGTGGTGGATGGGCGCCTGTACGGAGTACGATGTAACCTGTGGTGCAGGTGTGCCGTGCTGCATGTACCCTAGACCGAAGCTGCGTAAGCTGGGATTAGCCGTCTTGTGGCCCCTAAGTTTAGGCGCTGTCAGGTCGGATTGGCGGTGACACAGCCTGCACTACCCGGCCGAAGCGAAGCGAAGCAATACAATAATTTACCCCGCAAAAGAGGCAGCACGCCCGTCAGACAAGGACAATCGCGGGGCTTGGATGGACACTCAGACTCCACCCTCTTTTGCGCCCACAGGCATCTCTGGAACTTCACTTCACCTTGTCGCCGACACACAGACCACATTGTCGCCTAGATCAATGCCTCCGTACCCCTGAACCCAACAGCCGACTCACACAGCACCTCCCCAGCACGCCATGGCCCAGACTGTCGCCCTCCGCCGTCGTCAGAACAAGAGTTGCGACCAGTGTCGGGCTGGCAAACGGCGATGCGATGTCGAAGTCGCTGTCCACGAAGTCCCCGCCCTCAGTGGCCTCGGTCTCCCTTCCAGTGATGAACCTGAGCCGACAAACATATTCGCCTCCTCTCCGTGCACGAATTGTAAGAAGTGGAAGAAGGCGTGTACAATTGAGTGGATCAAGTCGCATCAAAGGCGCCAGTCGACCACCACAAAACGCCGGCGAGAATCGAAGGGAATGCCACCAGAGATGGATGATAATGACACGCAGGAGGCATGGCTGGACGGCGTCTCAGGTCTTCCACAGGAGGATATCGATTCCATGCTCGGCGACTCTCTCAACCGATCAATATCCAGGGAAACGTTTCCGGATGGGTCAACGGCAGGCTTGTCGGCGAATACAAATACAATGTTCGAGAACTTCAACGGGTCACAACACGACGATAGCGCCTCTCTCATGCACTCGCAACTTAATCAGCCCTACTATAACTTCGCACCTTTCGACGGTTCCGAGCCCTATTCGAACAGCTACTACGTGGCTCAGCCCATGCTCGACCCGGATGTGGCTATTGACGGTCATTCCTCCACGAGTTACCTCTCCGACGGTTCCAGCTCTTGGGGACAGCCAATGTCGAATCCTCAGTCGGTAGTGGACAGCCAGGATCAGGACTCAACAGTGCAGGAACGTCGATTATCCCCTCCATTCTATGGAAATGGCCAGATGAACAAGACCGCGTCGCCTTTTGCCTCGAATTTTCTTGCAGAAGGTCATAGTCGGCTGTATATCAAAAAGGGCCTGCTGAAAATCTACCACGACTCCCTCGAGGGTGCTCTGAGCTGTTGGCTGATTGAGAGGAACTGCCCCTATGCGTCGAGTCCATTTGTAGACGAAAGAGATGCTTGGAGCTCTAAATGGTCTAACAGAATTGTGGCACGTGTCCGCGCATTGGACGACGCCTATTCGAGGAGTGGTCTCTTGTCTCAAAATGACCAGAAGCAGGCTTCGAACGTCCTCAGCCTTGTGGTCATGGCTTTTGCGGTGCAGTGGGCCCAATCTGCCTACGGAAAGCACGAGAACCTAAGCACGCATCTACCTGAACATGGGGTTTTTGGGCGCAATATGCAAAAGGCACTCTGGCACAAAGCCAACACGGCTCTCAGTCAGGCTGTGGGAAATCCGTCTTTCAAGGTCATATTTGCGGCGATAATATTTTCTTTGACGCAACGTCCCATGGACTCGGCGGAAGTCCTCCCCAGCCCATCTTCGCGTCGACGGACTGACCTCGCCTCGCTGCGGCAGATTCTCGATCATGACGGTGGTCCCATCTTCTTGGATGTCGCTGTCCGCAAACTGCATGATCATCAACGAAAACTCAGGGACGCTGAACGCTCTCGAGACGGTCGTCACCTGGCGTTACAAACCTCGATCAATCTGGGCGAGCAGGACAAACAGACGTTTGGGCTCATGTTCTGGCTCGCCATCATGTTTGACACCATATCCGCGGCCATGAATCGACGGACTTTCACTCTCAACGACGGCGAAACCAGTATCGTTGAAGACGTTCCGCCGCCGGCCCCAAGGCTCTCAACATCCGTCAACGGCTTTGCCTGTGATCTGGACGGTTATTCTGGCTTCTCCAACATGAACAGTTCTCAGTTAGCTCGAGAGTCACATATATGGGGTAACTATTTTCTTCGTCAGCAGTCAAGGATCGGAGACGTCCGCAAGCAAACGACACGGTGGCCATGCTCCTATGTCGACGCTGCCGCATGCCTCGCCGATGCTGCTCCCGTCAAAGTCCTCGTTTTTCGCCGAGTAGGACATCTTCAAGATCTCTACTATCAGCGAGCGCCTCCCGATGCGATCGAGAATGCCATCGCATCCACGTTGGAGGTCTACAATCACTGGAATAATACCTACGGCCGCTTCATCACCGACTGCGTGGCAAATCATGAGAACCTTCCCCTCCGCATTCAATCATGGTATATCCTCCTGGCGAGCCACTGGCACCTGGCCATCCTCATTTTGTCGGATCTGATCGAGAAGCTGGATGACTCGAACATGACCTTGCCGGCAAATCGGACCGCGAGACAGACAACGGAATTCTCTGCAGCCTTAAGGTTCCGCTCTGTGTACGCCGTGTCAGACCTCGGCCGATGTTCGCGCTTCGGCAACGACGATTTGTCCTTCGCGCGATCTCCCGACTTCCACCACGCGGTCAATAAAGCGGCATTACTAACAGAACCATGGACAGTAGTTTTAGTGCGCTCGTTCGCACACGCCGGAGAGGCTCTTGTCAAATTGATCCTGTCGAGGCGGGAGCCTGGACTTTTCATGGACACCAACCACCTCTCGGAAGCAAGGAGTCGACTGAATGATTGTATCGAGGCGTTGTGGCTGCTTGGACGCAAAAGTGACATGGCGCTAAGTGCAGCAAAAATTCTTCAAGAGGCTGTGAACCAGGGTTCGGCATAAAACTAATTACACAAAGGTAATGCAAAAAAGGGGGCAATGCTTGAACTATTTGGAGAGACGCCTGGTCTGATCCCTGGTCTCCTTACATTCTGTTCGTCGCCTGAGCTGTGGGTTCCGTCGGATAACAGTGTTCCCCGGGGCTAGCAGCTAACGAGGACCAGCGTGTAGATGGGTTTTACTGTCGCCAGAAGTTGAGCTCCCTTTCCCCCTTTGCTTTTGCCATGGTACGACTCAGCGCCTCTGGGGCAAGCCATCGGTTCGCATTGGTCAGTACATGTATCGCACAGGAGGGTGCGGCTGCGGACAGCTTTAAGGACGACCCCCATCCCCGCGCAACCTTAGCCGCACGGTGTCTGACAGACCCTATCACAGCCTGGCCAGGCCAGGACAGAATGCTTCGGCCCAATGGATACGATCGACAAACCCTGTCAAGGTCCCTGCATTAGCTATCCCTTAATTCTCCTTAGACCCAAGTCCATGAAACGAAACCTGCTCTGCGTGCGGACCGGGGGGGTGCTGAGATTATGGGACGCGTTATCCGCACATCAGCCTCGGGGATGGCATGCGGAACCGCACGTCCATGAAAGAAAGCAGATCCTGGGGACCTCTCCACGCGGGGAAAGCAGAAAGAAGATTGCTTCCTGTGCTAAATCTGGGGAAACAAACCGCTTAGAGGCGGGCTCGGCACAAGTCAAGTTCGGCGACAGGCGACAAGGGGAATAGATCACAAGGCCCGGGTCGATGAGAGACACTTCTTCCATCGATGCGACAGACCGTGCGAGCTGAGGGAGGACAATACACGGAGCTTCGGAAACATAATCGTAACAATGCGGAGATTGTTATGGTAAGACAAGATGCCGCCGCCCGAACCTGGCTCCAAAGAGCTGGCCTTGCCGTCAACCACCTACGAGTCCTATCCAATCGTTCTCGTCAATTGCAACCGAATGTGTGATTGTGGCTGTGCGCATGGAACGGTGGCACTTCTGGCAGATGTCGGCCAGCTATACGGTCGATCTATTTACACTGGTGTCGCTGTCCTCTCCCTCCATCTATTCGCCTTGATTGGTTGTTCTGCTGTTTCTCTAACGACCTTTTTCTGTGGAAGTCACGGAAGCCTAGCAAGATGTTACTCGATTCCTGGTGGTGCTCCTGGGTTTGGAATGCTGCAATCAATTGTCTTATATTGAATATATAGAGCCTCACGAATGAAGTTATGACCTCGGACGACTCGGGTTTTTCGTCTACCTGCGCTGCTCAAACGGTTCTATTGCGATAAGGGATTGGTAGGTGACCGGACGTCATCCCTCCCGAGTCTATATCAAAACTGCCACCACGAGGATGGTGACTCGCGAAAGCTGTCACAGTCTGTCTCGACAAACTTGGGGAGGTTCGGGCATGAATCCTCGAACGGCTTGTGGCGAGAGGTCTTGGATTAAGCGCCAACCCTGGCTGGGCGTGGGCTTTGCTATCAAGTCGTATTCCATGCCTCATCTTATTATCCTCCAGATATCGATGACCACGGCAGATTTCCGTGGAAGAGGCCTGCCGACTATTGTTTTTTGCTGTCAAACGGCGACCCAGATCCCGGTATATCAGCACCATACAGCCGGTTATCAGGGGAAGGAACGGCTGCGCTGTAATGATGAGAGTCTGGCACCGATCACATGGAACTCAGACGAATAGAGGTCGGCACGCCGACCAAGGTCGAGGATCCATGTTCGACACCCTCTGGGAGGGCGAACAATTCATTCTACGCCACGTCTTGCCAACACCGAGATCATTTATGATTGGTCCGATATGAGGATTCGAGGATGGCACGGCAACCAACGGCGGTGATTCTTACGCAGCCTCGCGAGGCTGAAGTGCCAACGCACCGCCGCCAACTTGGACTGACTAGAGGAGGTTCCATCCTTTTTCCTTGTGGCAGCGGTCTGTTATCTCTTCATCTAGCATCTGCCTTATTCTGTTCTGAAATAACCTTGTGATTACGGACTTTGTTTTCATCTAAAGTTGGTTCTTCGTCACTTCGTTGCTCTTTCAAACAATACCTGTCCAGGCCACAGCCCTATTCATTAGGGAATTCCCAAGAATCTTAGATACCGGATCACAGCACAGGATACGCCTTTTCGAATTTCATTCGTCGCCGTTGCCCTAGCACCTGATTTATCGGCTTTGACCTTTCTCAAGTGTATATTCTGTACAAGAGGCGGAGATGTTGCTGATCGACACGGAAACCCTGAAACTTGAATCCATTGTCTACCCTCCGGCAGGGTCCTACGCCATCCTCTCACACACTTGGGGCAAAGAAGAGATCAACTTTCATGAGTGGAAATGCATCGAGTCGGGAGGTGCCGAGGCCGACAAGCTGAAAACAAAGTCTGGTTACGCAAAGATCGAAATGACCTGCACCATGGCCAAGGCTGATGGACTGAAATACGCCTGGGTCGACACTTGTTGCATCGACAAGAGCAGCAGCGCCGAGCTGTCGGAGGCCATCAACTCCATGTTCAAGTGGTACCGAGACTCTCACATCTGCTATGCCTACCTTTCAGACCTGGAAAATGCCTCGGACCTCACACAACTCCAAGCGTGCCGCTGGTTTACGCGGGGATGGACGCTGCAGGAATTGATCGCGCCGCAAAAGGTCCGCTTCTACGACAAGTGGTGGGTCGAAGCCGGCACCAAGGCCAAATTCCAAGACCTGCTGGCCCAGATCACGCAGATCGACTCGGACGTGCTCGTCAACGGCCACAACCTCGACTTTGTCCCCGTCGGCCGGAAGATGTCGTGGGCGGCGGCCCGGGAAACGAGCCGCGTCGAAGACATTGCCTACTGCCTGCTGGGAATCTTCAACGTCAACATGCCGCTTCTATACGGGGAAGGGGACCGAGCGTTCCTCCGCCTGCAAGAAGAGATCCTCAAAGAACACAACGACCTGAGTCTGTTCGCGTGGCAAAACACCTCGGGAACGTCACTCTATCGCGGCATCTTCGCAGAATCGCCGTCAGAATTCTCAGACTGCTTCGACCTCAAGGCACCACACGAGCGGCAGAGCCTGGGAAATGAGGTCTCCGTCACCAGCAACGGGCTGCGTGCCGAAGGCATCTTCCTCCCAGGCCAAGTCGACTGCTGCATTCTGGACCTGGGATGCTGTCGCAACGGCACCCCTTCCAACCCAGAGTGGCTGTACGTGCAGCTCAAGAAGGTCGGCGAGACGTTCGTCCGAGTCCTCCCGAAGTACATCACGGCCGAGAAATCGCGGCTGCTCTGGTGGCAGGGCACCCGGCGCACTGTCCACGTCCGCAAAAGCGTGCACGGCCAACAACTGACCGAGGCCAACTACCGCATCTCGAGCGTCACGATGCAGTTTGCCGAGTCCCTCCGGCGCCACATGAGGCTCGGCGACGTCCTGCCCGTCCAGCACTGGGAAGCCGACACCACGCGGTTCTTCGGCTTCGAGTCCGCCCACTTTGTCGGCATCGTGCCCTTTACTTTCGAGACTTCTCCGTCTGCCCCGCGAGTGCGCGAGCGCCTCGTTCTCCTCTGCGGCGTGCACAAGTCCTTCATCCGGAGCTGGCGACTTGACTCGTGGGCGGCCATCTTCCACGAGTCCAGATCCGGGAGCAGTAATGCAAGAGATCACGACAACGATAACGACGACGAAAACAAAAACAACAACCTCTCCGCGGCCCTGGTGGCGCTGGCCCACGGCGACGACGCCAGCCTGCCCGCCGACCACCGCCAGAACGCCGTCCGGGACATGCTGTTCGCCCACTTCTCCGACACGTACGGGGTGCTGCGAGGCATGGACAAGTGGAACTCAGTCACCATCGAGGATCGCTCCAACAACACCACCACCGCCACCGGCACCCGCACCAAGAAAACCCGGTATGTCTTGTCCGTGGAGATGCACGATGTGCCCGTGGGCAACACCTGGCGCGCCACCACGGCAACCGTCAACTGCGAGGTGGTGCATGTGCCCGTCGTGCCCATGTCCGGAGTGGAGAAGAAGAAGAACCTGGCCGCGCCGACGCGGAGCTCGACAGCGCTGGTCGTCCAATCCGAGGTCAGAAAGGTCGTCGAGCTCGCTGCCGCACCGCCGCTGTTGGTGTCGATACGTCCTCTCAAGACGAGGGCCGCCACGGTGGGTGTGATCTAGCGAGAGACAGACGGCCTTGTCAAACGGGGATAGATACGAGAAGGTTTTTCGCAGGGTTCTTGTTTTGGTGATATACATGGAATAGGTACATAGATGGCGTTACATGTTCCACAGAAAGTCCAACAGAGATTTCTTGACTTTTTCGAACATAACGGATCCCCGACGACGACGATCCGCAGATAACGAGCAACGAGCAGACACTGCTGGGGCTCCCGCCTGGGCAATGTAGTGTTAGATAGAGGAAGGAGTATGAAACAATACAGTAATGTGCGGAGAACAACTCCCCGAGAGTCCCGTTTGTTTCCTGGGGTTTCGTTCTTACCTCTGAAGCTCCTGGCTTTCCACCCTATGACACTAACAGTGACAGTGACTTTGTAAACCCTTGACGTCGTCGCCATATACGCAGGATAAGATTGGGTGGCCAAAAAGGAAAACGAAGGGGGTGGAGGGGAGCGTTGATATACTTTCTATACGGTATTTGAAACCCGCCAAGGCGGCAGTGCCACCCTCCCTGTGAGGCTCAGCCTTGTCCCTCCTTCCTCTTATATAGCAGCCCCTTTTCGGGGTACAGTATGTATGTATGGATTCATCGTTGTCCTCGATTCGATCGAGTCGATTCTCGGTTTAAGATATGAACGGTACCAAAGGTGTTCATATCTCAGACCTGCCTGCCATGCTTGACTTGGAATCATCTCAACTCTATCTACCTGACGATCCACAGCTCGCATCGAACCGTTTTTAACGTTACGAAGCGGCGATCCCGTCGTTCTACAACACCTCTCTTCGGAATGGCTCACAGGCAGGCAGGCAATCGATGAAATACTCCTCATCCGAGAACCTTATTAGGGGCATCGGCACGATGTGGCATCGACATCTATCTATCTTGTGGACCGAAGAGCAAGAGAAAACAATTGGAGAGTATCGGGTAAAATGCCGCTATTCAACGGGCTCTATCGTCAACTATGACTGGGTTCAAAAGAGTGGAAGTAATGCAAGAAACATAAAACCATCAGAAGCCATCGGCAAGTTCTTCCTGAGAAGGCACTTTTTAGGCACACCAACCTCGCTACCCCTTGGCAGTCCCTCACGCAATTGTCACCAGCCTGTGCGCGCCTGCAGGCATGATCGCCGTGTATAATATCATCCGAGTTGCTACTCCCCAATTCGTGGAGCTCCGCCCTTCCAGTCGTTGCGCTCATAGTATCGGAAGACCAAGTCGTAGCCGTCAAGGTCGTGAACGATACGATCGACGCGACGGTACCCTTTGATGGCATCCATCTTGGTATTGCGACGAGCAGCCTGTCGCTTCAACATCCTGATTTCAGCCAGCTCATCATGGTCAGCATACGCCTTTTCCTCGTAGGTCGCCGTAGCTTCGAAAAGAGTGACGGTGAACCGGCCGGGCTTAAAGATGTCCACGACATGCTGGATGATGTCGGCCGTTTCACGACCCTTCTGGCCGCAAGGGACATTGGTCTCGAAAGATGCATAAGAGCAGATTGGTTCTGGAGTCACGTGAACAGTGAAGTAGTGAGTTCCCTTCTCCCCGTTGGGGGCTGGGATGACTCCGTTGGCCGAGAATCCGCATGGGGTAAAGAGATACGCATCGACTCGAGCATCCGGATACTTGTCTGTCGGATAGACATTGGACAGGCCGCACGACTCCGATACCACGGTGCCGAGAGCGTGCCCTTCGGTGGTGAGTTCAGAGGGAAGGGCTTCCTCCTTGAGAGAAATGTCGCTGTCGTCGGAGGATGCATTGCTGAATACATCGATGTGATCGTCTCGTCCTCCTTGAGATCCTCTCCACTGATCTTCTGCGACCGCACTCGCATGGTCGAGGTAGAATTGTCGAGCATTCTCCTCGTCCAAATCAGTCATGAGGATCTCGAGAGTTTCGTCTTCACCTTCGCACACCTTCGAACCACGATCGACCACCAGCGTCGACGGTAACTCCAGGATTTTGGTCTCCGTCCCAGGACTGCCCATGCTCTGTGGGCTTGCTGGTGGCGTCAACATGGTGTATGGTTCTGTCAAGTACAGGTACCAATGCTCGCCGTTCATCTTGCCAATCATGTACGCAGACCCCCCGACAAAGAGTTTGTCAAGGGCGTACACTTCATCACGCCAGCTGCGATGTGGGCCACGTTGGCGGTCAGGGAATAAATAGTTCTTGCGACTGTAGAAAACCCGGTATGGAGCCGCCGCGACGGCGATGGCGTTGGATGGTGGAGCTGTCGCACGTGGAAAGCCGCCAAAGAGGACCGCGATTTCGAGGATACGTGGCAGTCCACAAAGCAAGGTGGTTGTCCCGCAAGTCTTCAAGATAAGCTTGTGAGGGAAGACGAACATGCTCGACTCGGAGAGCAGGTAAGCATCAACATCTTCGGACTCAATGATGGACAAGACTTTGCAGTTGACCAGATCAAGCATCGTCTTCCAGACGTCCGCAGGGACGGCCTTGAGGCCATTGGACTCCGAACAGCCCTGGAGGGCATCAGGCGATGGACTGAACCATACTTCTAAGAGTTTCTCGGGGCCTGGAAGGATGTCAGATACAAAGCAAGACCAGCGAACACGTATTACTCACCTTCGAATGCATTGCTAGAATCAAGATCTAGCGCAACTTCACGATTGATAGTCAACGATGGAGTGTGACTAAAGCTCGATGGCGAAGTTGTATAATGCTTGGGGATCGCAATGTGTACCATATCCTTTCCAAGGCGCGGACAGAGTCCCCTTCGGTGGTTGGAAGTTTTGAATTGTTGTGGGCAAGAAGGTGAAGAAACACTGATCTGACGATTCAGTGAAGCACTATCTGCCACCCAGACGAACAATGCGGTGTCCGCCTGAGAAGAGAAGGCCCACTATGCGGTGGGAGAGTTGGAGGCTGGCTTTTGCCAGCAGCAGTGTGTGATGTGTGTTGGAATCCCTTCTGAAGGGTCGTTATGGAGGCCGGGTGGAGGAGAGGAGGAAGAAGATTTCCTGCACGAACGGAATTGTGGGCAGTGTTTGCGGACTCTTTCTGGTCAAACCTCGATAGACGTCCGAGTGATATGAGAGATGTTTCTGGTCTTTCACGAGGCTTTGTCCGATGGACACTGACTGTGAGACTTTTTCTTGGAGACCCGCAAGTAGCAGGTGTTATCTGGGCCTGCTCGACGAGTTAGTACTGGGTAGGTTAAAGCAACAGCGGGGGCGTACTTTGCAGGCTTGGATAGGAAGCGAAGCAGGTCCTTGCGGCTCATAGAGATGCTGCTGAAATTCGCGGGAGATGAAGGGTGGCTGTCACAGCCTGAGCGTCGAGTGAATCACTCAACTGGTGAAGGTCGCCAGAGCTGCGGTTGTGTGGTGAACAATTGTGGGCGGCTAGGGCAAAAAAATGCCTCAGCGAAAATTCCCTTGACCGCTCAATGGAGGGGGTGTTTGGCTGTGATAGAGAGGGCTGCTTGAAATTACACGAACCAACGAGAAGGTTGGAACCCACGATGTAGGTGTTGGCAGTTGTTCAGAAGTTTCAATGGCAGAGGATGTGGTAGAGGAATCGAAAGAGGCAAAATTGTGCTGGTGAATGTTGATGTCGCACCAGAAAAAGACGTAGCAGCTTTGTGTGAGGCGGATTGTGTTGGTGTGTGGACACGGCCAAACTGGAGATTTCAGGCGCGGAGATGCAGCCCAGTGGCCAGTGACAGGCCTGGGAACCCCGCCGGCTCGGCACCGATGACGAAAAGGGCCCCGGCGCGGTGAAAATTCTTGATTAGCGTAGGGCTAGCCGATAGGGGGAGTCGCTGAAGGGTGGCTTTGCAGCTGCACTGGGACTCCGGAACAACCGATATGAGTCTGTTCGGAGTGGCTAGAGAGTACCTAGCAGGTATTCAGAACGGCGGAACCGTCTGCTGGAACAAGGTGCATCGAGGCGGCTTGCAGGAAGGACAATATATACAAATACTTCGTCGCAGGTGCAAGCACGTGCTCTAGTGAACATCCGACTGCACATTGCCCCGGAGCACTCTGGCTGACGCTCCCGGACACTCTTCTAGCTTCCTTGGAAGGGCCAAAGAACGGTGTGCAAGTCATCAAGGGCACCGCCATCGAGATCCTCTTTCAAGTTGCTGGGATGCTTTGTCGCGCCACGGAAGAGCCACGGATAATAAAACGTCGAAACCCCTCCAATGCCCATTTTTTGGTGCCTGGACCGCTTAGCGCCACCCCCGCGAAGTTCGTGGCCTCGGGAGCTTAGGGCTTACCCAGGTAAGGTCGCTAGGCTCCAGAGCTCCTACCGGTATCGCCAGGCACGGGGATGGATCGACCACCCTATCGCTCCCACCATTATCCGGCCCAACCACGCCACCGCCCGGTGATTTCCGCACCCTGCTTAACAATCCTTTGTCGAGAGTGTGCATCCACCAACAACGTCAACGTCGATTTATTTTCAGCACTCTGTCATTCCTCCTCACCCTTTGACACAATCACATTCTTCGCAGCTAGCCATGGGTCTCGAGAACATCAAACACGTCGTGCTCATCCTTTCTGGCAAGGGAGGTGTCGGAAAATCCAGTGTCACTCTGCAGCTCGCCCTCTCCCTTACGCAGCAAGGTCACAATGTCGGAATTCTTGATATTGATCTTACCGGTCCCAGTATACCGCGGTTCCTCAACTTAGAACACAAGAAAGTGACACAGGCTCCTGGCGGCTGGCTGCCGGTCAAGGTACATGATGCAAGAGAAGCAGAAGACGAGGACAAACCGAATAGAGGCTCCCTCCACGCTTTATCCTTAGCATTCCTCCTCCCCTCTCGATCTTCGGCCGTCATCTGGCGTGGACCAAAGAAGACTGCAATGATCAGACAATTCGTTTCCGATGTTCTATGGCCGCCAAACACAGACTACCTCCTTATTGATACCCCACCCGGCACTAGTGACGAGCACATCGCGATCGTCGAGGAACTACATAAACTTGCTGCTGATGTGCAGCCTGTGACATCTTCCAACGGGAATGGCTTGGCCCTCGAGATTGACACCAGACCCAAACTTTCCGGCGCAGTGGTGGTCACCACTCCACAGGCCATTGCGACAGCTGATGTGCGCAAAGAGCTGAATTTCTGCGTCAAGACTCAGGTACCCGTGCTGGGAGTCATCGAAAATATGGCAGGCTACATGTGCCCATGCTGTGGCGAGATCAGCAACGTTTTCAGCAAGGGCGGAGGTGAGATCATGGCTCGCGAGACCAACGTCCCTTTTCTAGGATCCGTTCCCATCGATACTGGCTTTGGAGCCATGGTCGAAGGCGCGAAGGATGTGCAGAATTCTGCCAACGGCGCGTCGGCAACGAATGGTCACGATCCTGGAGAGCCTGCAGAACTGGTCGAGAGATACAGGAGATGCGGACTATATCCCATCTTTGCGGATTTTGCCACCACGATAGACCAAAAAATACAGAACTCGGCAGTTCCTTGAACAACAGCTGTTCGTTTGCTAACTACCCAGCCTCCGAACTACGTTCTTTGCTCTAACATCATTCGGGGCCCATAGCCCTAGCTCTAACATCAACGTGAACTACAAATATCCTGCAGGTGGTTACCCGGTGGCGGAGCTGAAAGTGTCCTGGCTTCTTCATAGCCGCTTTTTCGGGCCAGAAACTAAACCGGGGTCTCCCTCAGGAGTTCGAGACTTTGCGCTCTAAGCCTGGACAACGGCTACTCGTGTACTGGCCAGACTCTGCGAGGGACCAGGCGCTACAGCCGACGCTGCGGCGCAAGATTGAATTATGCACCGCGCCGTCTCCCAGGCCCACAGGGCATTCTGATCGACCCACTTGACATCCATCAAATTCAGACAAGCTGTGGCGACGGCAGACCCTCCAGCTTCTGGACCTGATGGCTTGTCCGCGATGATCGGTGGTGCATCTACTCGAGAAATCAAACTGCTCAGACGCTCCTGTGCCTGGTTCAAGGTGCCCTTGGTGACTTGATTGCCACCTGAGCTTTGTGGTTGTTCGTCTCCTGGTTTTGGGTTCGGCGCGCTCGACTGTTGCACATTGTCCGGGTCGGGAGGAAGAGAAGATGCGGTCGTCGATGTATTCGTAGGTTTGATGATTTGGTTGATAGTGCTAGGGATTGCCACGTCCGGTTTCACGATCGGATGGCTCAGCTGTTGCATTTGGGCCAGCACGGTAGTACTCAAGCGGTCCAGCCAGACTTCGCGGCGTGGAGAGTGTGGAATGATGCTGTCCATCCAATTTGCGCCCTGTTTTCGATGCACAGACTTCACGGCAGGGGAACTTGTCGAAGTCGAAACCCCGCTGATCCCGCTGGGGCCATTATTATGATGCTGTCGAGTAGCGGAAGCGGAGGATGGGGTTGAGCCTTCAGTCTGGTCCATGCTGTTTATCAGGTCGATAGCGCCAATCATCTGCATCCGACCCGTCATGCGAAACGTGTTCGTCTGGACGTCGATATTGTTCTGCCGGAGCCAAGTTGCAGCGGCTCCTCCCGATCGAGCCGCCCAGGGCGTCTTAGTGGCGGCTTCAGAGCCAACTAGACGCGAGACGACCATCAAGATGAGCAGGAACAAGCCATCCCAGCCCTTCTGGGCAGCCACGTAGGTCATGGCCAACAGCTGGAGGTAGTGCGTCAGCTGGAAGTACCAGAAAACCCATCTGCACGCTCGTGGTGTGCTGATGGCCAGCATGGGCTTGTTGAGCAGCCAGTCGATAATGGCGCGGTCGCCGCGGTAGAGGTACCATGACGACGCATTGTCGTGCGGTGCCACCAGCATGCACACGGAATTGTACGATTCGTTGTTTGCGAGGTAGCCCGGCGGTCGTTGGACGGGGAGGCGGTGGCTGACGAAGGCGTTGACACGGGACAACAGAAGCAGAGCACACGTCCCATAGGCACCGCACAGCGCCAGCGGTATCATCAGTGCTGCGATGAGGACATGACTGAATGCAGTGACTAATTGCTCCCAAACACTGGAGGTCGTGGAGCCTGTGCTGCCAGAGGATGTCTTGTTGAAGTGTAACTCGACGAGATGCAGCACCTGCGGACGGCAGAAGGCGACGTTCTTTGGGATGGGTGGTTTGGTCGCCGACTCTCCGCCGACCTTTGTCTGTGAGTGTCCCGTATTGCCGGCCGCCTCTGGCGCCGTGGTCTCGACGTCGACGATCTCAGTCTTCCCTCGGAAGGCGTACGCTGTAAGCAATTCTCTCGCCGCGCCGTTGGCACACTGAAACACGCTGCCCCAGGACACGTCCCACACGGTCATCGACCCGGCGACGCCTGCGCTGCTTGTTTGGTCGAGTACGGCGGACCCGAGCGAGAGCAGTTTCCCCACGCCCTTGAGCTGGCCGAGTTTGGGCATGAGATCCAGACGGATTTTGCCGCGCAGGCAGGCGTCGCCGATCACCTGGAACTCATCGTGTGAGCTGGCGAGGTGGACGGTCAGCGGGATCAGGGCACACCACTCGGTGATGATGTGGGGGAGGGTAGGAAGGGAAATGAAGCTGGCGTGGCTAATGGTACTCATCTTCTAGACAGGGGGCATTTGGGGTGTTGTCATCTGTCTCGTAGTCTCTCGCAAAAGGCACCCCCATATCGTTTGGAAGTACATATTGTATATGTAGAAATGGAGAGAACCAGTCACTGCTGGCGTCCATTGTTGGGGGGCTGTGCTGGGTGCATGGCTGCCTACCTTGGATCACACGAGAAAGAAGTGTGACCATTCTATTCGACCTCAGCTGCTTTCGTGCAAGGCTTGGACGGGGAGAAAGAGGCAGATACTAATACATATCGGTAGAGATGATGCCCAAGTGGCGCAGCTCACCGACCCGCAAATGGTGGGCGAGTTAATAGTGATAATGTACGAGGTACGGGGTACATAATAGTGAAGCTGCTGAGGAAGGTCAATCGAGCTTATCTCGTAGTCAGGTCCTCTAGCGCCTTGGCAATTCTGCCACTCATACGTCGACTTACCAGACACTCATTGATAGATACACAACACCCAATACCACTGTGATAGGCCATTCATGGTCTAGTGGACATGCAGAAACAAATCGTGGCCAGGACAAGTCAAGGCGATCAGGGCTTCATCAGTTCCTGACATAAGACATCTCCCTCCACGTCAACGTCTCTGTAATACTCTTGCTAGTACTAGTTACTAGCCCTCGTCCGTTATGGGGGGCCCCTTCGCCTACTACGGCACCCTGATACACTCGAGGTCTCCGGCAGAGATCCAAGTCCTCGTCGACACGCTCATCGTCGTCGACGGCCAAGGCAAGCTAAGTCACATCTACCCTCAATTCCAGCCCCGGGACGGGCAGAGTCTGGAGGACAGCATTGCTCGATTATCCACCCAACCTGACGCCGTCCACATACCGGTGGTGCGCCTGGAGACTCCTGGCCAATTCCTCGTCCCTTCCTTCATCGACACCCATGTCCACGCGCCCCAGTTCTCCATGCGCGGCCTGGGCCAGGGCCTCCATATCCTGGACTGGCTGGACCAAGTCACGTTCCCGCACGAGGCCAAATTCCGCGACACCGACTACGCTCGGCACGTCTACGCGAGATGTGTCGACATGGGCCTCCGCCAGGGCGTGACCACCGCGTGCTACTTTGGCAGTCTGCACACGCCGGCGACCAAGGTCCTCGTCGACCTGTGTCTTGAAAAGGGCCAGAGGGCGTTCGTGGGCAAGACCTGCATGGACAATCCCCAGACCAACCCGGAGTATTACAGGGAAGACACCGCGGACCTAGTGGCCGGGACGAGGGAGGTGATCCAGCATTGTCTAGCCGTGGACGAGAACGGCGACATGGTCAGGCCGATCCTGACCCCGCGGTTTGCCATCAGCTGCACGCCAAAGTCTCTCACAGAACTCGGTAAACTGGCCCATGAGCACGCCAACGTCTACGGCGAGGGACACGGCATTCCCAACCAAACCCACTTCTGCGAGGCCCAGCAAGAAATCGATGCCACACTGAGACAGTACCGGGATTTCAGCTGCGAAGCCGACCTCTACGCGCACTACGGGCTGTTCGACCGCAACTCGGTGCTGGCACACTGCACGCTCCTCAGCGAGGCAGACCAGGCCCAGATCAAGCAACGACACTGCGGGATCGCGCACTGCCCGGCGTCCAACACGACCGTGGGTGGTGGTTTCATGGCCGCCCCGATCCGCAAGCTGCTGTCCGACGGCATCACGAAGATCGGCCTGGGCACGGACTCGGGGGGTGGCTTCTCGTGCAGCATCATGGACGCTATGCGGCTTGCGCTGATCGTGGGCAATGCGCGGGAGATGCTGTCCACCGGCATAGAGGAGCGATTGACGCTGGACGAGATCTTCTACATGGCGACGCTGGGCGGGGCCACGGTCCTGCGCATGGAAGACCGCGTCGGGTCGTTCACGGTCGGGAAACAGTTCGATGCGCTGCTGGTGGACATGAGCGACCCTTCCCACCACGACGGACCTGGCCCGGTCGAAGGCATGCACACCATGCTGGACGGCGAGGGCCGCAGCGCCGAGGACATCAGGCGGGTCTGGGAGAAATGGATCATGTCGGGGGATGACAGGAATCTGAGGAGGGTATGGGTGGGCGGCAAAGTCAGGAAAGACATGTTTGGCCCGCGGTGAATGAAAGAGGAGGGAGCGATGCAGGGCTGTCGGTACAGGAGCTGTCTTGCCAGAACTCGTCGATGACTACCTCGAGGGGCTTCAAATAGAGATAGACGGAGCGTTGTCACAAACACCTACACACGAATACCGGATAGACAAACCGATTCCGGCAGGAGGATGGATGTCAGCCCTGATGATCCCTACTCTTCGTTGCTGCAGCCTTGTGTCTGTCTCTCGTCTCCCCATTTCGGAAACCTCTGGAACCCCCGCGTGGTTGTCTGTTGCAGGGGATACGGAGGCAGTAAGACGGGGGACATCTACTTGACGATTCTTCATCATCACAGAAGAGGGGGGAAGGGGGGTTCGCTGGGTGTACCATGTCGGCAGTTGACCATGGATATGGACAATAGGTACGGACGGACGGACGGAGTTGTCGCAACACGGGCCCGAAAAAACACAACAATCCCCCGAGTCAGTAAGTCTTCATGGTACCCCCGAGACAAAAGTGACAGAACAGCTCCCCCTGCTCCTTCAGCAGCGTAGGGCCTATGGTTTTTGACAATCTTCCCGAAACGCGGTGTTGCTTCGTTCTCGACCCACCCACCCACACACACACATATATACACCCTCTAGCACCGCGAGACCCCGAGGGGAAATGCGAAAATGGGGCATTCGCTCTTTTTGGAGAAGGGCCCATCTGCATGGTCCGGGGTGCGTGTTAGATGCGGAGACATACGCTCCCCTCTGTGTGTGTGCAGTTTCTCGATCCAGGCTGACGTTTTGTACAAAAGGTGAGTCGTCTTACAAAGAGGATACCCGATCAGGAATTGTGTTCGTGTTCGTGCTCGTGTGCGTGTGGTAGGTCTCGAGTTGTGAGAGGATTGCAATATTGTCTATTCTTGCGCAAATTGTATCTGCTCTCTGGGCAAACGAGGAGAACAAGGGACGAAGGAAACAAACAGAGTCTGGACAAATCATGGAAGCCGAATTCGCTGAGCTCAAGGCTGAAGTCAAGAGACTCCATGCCAAACTGCAGAAGGTCGAGGGTGAGTGACCGTGACACGGTACTTCTGGGAGACGAAGACGAAAGCACGAACTAACGCAATATCCTCCATCCTCCTCCATAGACGAGGCGGAAATTCGCAAGGTCCATTTCAAATATGGCTACTACATCGACAAGTGTCTGTACAACGAGGTCAGTTAGTCAGTCATTCAGTCAGTCAGTCAGCAGCACTCTCCTGGAGAAACGAACGACCAAAAACAATCTTGGAGTCACGAGAGAACATAATAACCCTCCTCTCGATATAGGTCGTCGACATGTTCTCCAACCACCCCGACGCATACGTCGAGTTCCTAGGGTCGCGGTACCGGCGCAAGGAAGGGATCCGCCGCCTCTACGTCGGCCGGTTCCAGACACACTTCGTCGCGGGCCGCAACGGGCCCGTGCACGGATTCCTACTGGACCACCCGATGATGCAGGACATCGTGGACGTGGACGCGTCCGGGACGCGTGCGTGGGCGCGCATCCGCGCGCTGATGTCGGCGGGGACGCACCAGTCGATCCAGGAGGAGCACCCGCGGGGCCACGCGCAGTGGTGGGAGGGCGGGCTGTACGAGAACGAGTACATCAAGGAGGACGGCGTGTGGAAGCCGTTCCGGTACCGCTACTTCCCCTTCTGGCACGCCGACTTCGAGCGCGGGTGGGCACACACCAAGAAAAACTACATCCCCTGGCCGACGAAGACGTACCCCGAAGACCCCCTCGGGCCCGACGACCTGCTCGAGCAGAAGATGCTGTGGCCCGACACCCGCGTCGTGCCGTTCCACTACCCCCACCCCGTCACGGGCGAGATGGTCAAGTCGGACGACCTGCGCGCGCCGAAATACGGCCAGGACGTCAGTACCAGCTTGCCGCCGCTGAGTATTGCCTTGCCCAAGGACCAGCTGGAGAAGGAGAAGGAGAAGGAGGGGGAGGAGGCCCAGAAGGCGGCGGCGGTGGAGAAGACGGTGGTCGAGAATGGCGAGATAGCAGACAGCACGCCTGCTTGAGTCGAGCCGAGGATGGTAGGAAGAGGACCTGAGACAGTGGCTCCGGAGGACACTATTTATTTATTGGGTTGGGGATGGGACCGACTCTAACTAGCACTCTTGGATAAAGATGTTGCTGGACATAGGAGAGCGATGCAGCAGCCGCTCCAGAACGCAGTAAAATCCAGGATCTGGCATTGTCGTGCTCTGTGTCACTCAGTCACTTAGTCACTCCGTCAATCCGTCACGGACATAAATACAATGTCAATCGACAACATATACCGACAGACATCCAAGTTATTTCGCAAGAATTAATCAATTACTAGCTAGTCAGTAAGTAACCGGCAACTTGCGAGTTTGCTGGTTGGTTGATATCCATCCCAGCCAGCCTGCGTGCCTGCCTGCCAGCCAGCCTTGTCGACAGGTACTCATGTATCCAACCAGGTCAACAATCTGCCTCTAGGTAGGTGAGATGTTGCGCCGCAAACCCCCCCCCGCTGTGTGTGTGTCTCTCTCTCCACACAGGGTATGATAACAAGCCTCTCGGCAAGATACATACATAGGTACTGTTGGTGGGTGTGGTAGGTGTATGTGGTAGGTAGGCGACCATTGGGGTTAGGGGGGGTTGCTCCTGGAAAAATACTTACCTTGCACGGGGTGGAGAATACTGTATGTACATACATGAACGTACAGTATGTAAAACCAACCCCCTCCCCTCCTCCGCAAAATCGAGCATCAAACTCCAAACTTTCCCGAATCTGATAATGCATTTTCATTCACCCATCCATCCCGTTGTCCCTCCCTCTTTTCCCTTTTTTTGATTACCCCCCTTCCTTCCTTCCTTCCTCCTCTTGGTGCTGAGATGACACGGGAGCGAGGGAGCGAGGGAGAGACATAAGTTGGGACCGGGATCCGGATGTGGTTGGGCGGACGGATGGTGCTCCAATCCGGTCTTGGTGTTGGTGTTGTCGGCAGTTGTCATTCAGAGTGCATATGCCGAATTGAGTGGGCGCGACGGGATGACTACCACGGGAAGAATGTATGTAGCTAGTCACCTCACCAACGAACGAACGCGACGGACGGGGCCCCTCCCCCCATTCTATCTAATTTCGCGGGGTGCGTGGCACAAGCAAGTCAATCAATCGGTCGGTCAGTCGAGATCCAACCGCAGAAAAAAAACCGGGGTTAGCCGAAATAGTGGTAGGAATGGTGGTGATCGTGAAAAACGTCTTGTGTAGAGATATATGTATTTAATGTCATAAATATACGCTAGGCTCGTAAGGGGGAACTGTGGTTGGTATTTTAATACATTACCCAGGCGTGTGGACAAGCGAGAAAACAAAGACGACGAAGAAGAAGTCGAAGAGCATATGTAGTGGTAAGAAGAAGAAGAAGGGGAGGAGAGAAAAGTGACAGCAACCCTCATACTCCCTTTCTAAGCCCACTGCCTCAACGCTCTCACCATCATGGCACACATCTTTGATCTCGCCCCTCAGCTGTTCGCGAGCAGCTACAAGGACGGTGTCAAAGCCACAGATCAGGTCAGATACCCGGACACAGCCGTGTTCCAGGGCTTCAACAAGCCGTCACGCCTGGAGGGGGACGTGTACGACTTGGAATTCACCGGCACCATCCCGCGCGAGATCGACGGGACCTTCTACCGCATCCAGCCCGACCACCGCTTCCCGCCCATCTTCGAGGACGACATCCACTTCAACGGCGACGGGAGCGTCACCGCGATCAGAATCCAAAACGGACACGCCGACTTCAAGCAGCGCTATGTCCACACGGACCGGTACGAAGCCGAGACGCGCGCGCGAAAGGCCCTGTTTGGAAGGTATCGGAATCCCTTTACGGACAATGAGACGGTGAAAGGCGTAGTGCGGACGGCGGCCAACACCAACATCACCTTCTGGCGAGGCGTCCTATTAGCGAGCAAGGAAGACGGCCCACCGTATATCATGGATCCCGTCACTCTCGAAACGATTGGCCGGTACGACTTCGAGGGGCAGATCCTCACACCTACCTTTACGGCCCATCCCAAGTTCGACCCGGAGACCGGAGAGATGCTGTGCTTTGCATACGAGGCTGGCGGCGACGGCCATGACGGCTCTAATGATGTTGTCGTGTGGACGATGGACAAGGACGGGAGAAAGACCGAGGAATGCTGGTACAAGGCTCCCTTTTGTGGAATGATACATGACTGCGGGATCAGTAAGAATTACATGGTGCTGCCGTTGACGCCGATCAAATGGACGGGCATGGACAGGCTGAAGCAAGGAGAAAACCATTGGGCGTGGGATCCAAACGAGGATCAGTGGTATGGTGTTGTTCCCAGACGGGGAGGGAAGCCGGAGGATATTGTTTGGTTCAGGGCTGACAATGGTGAGTGCGTGAAGAGACTTTGTCCAAGCATGCTGAGTGATGTCGTGAACAGCGTTCCACGGGCACATCGCAGGATGCCATGAGAACGAAGAAGGCAACATCGTTTTCGATCTCACAGTCGCAGACGGCAACGTGTTCTTCTTCTTCCCACCTGTCGATGAGAAGGAGGGCCCCCTCTCCAAGCGCAACCAACTGCGAAGCCCGACCACTCGATGGATCTTTGATCCTAAAGCCAAGTCAGGAACAAGAGTCGCGCCCGCCGAAACCTGGATGACGAATGGCGAATTCTCCCGGATTGACGACCGATTCGTGACCAAGAAATACAATCACTTTTGGCAAGCGAAAGTCGACCCGACAAAGCCTTACGACTTTACAAAATGCGGTCCACCGGCAGGTGGCCTGTTCAACTGCCTGGGCCATTACAGCTGGAACGACAGAACTGAGGATGTCTTCTTCGCCGGGCCGACAGCCACCTTCCAAGAACCATCGTTCATCCCCAAGGACGGGGGCACCGAGGGAGAGGGTTATCTCATTGCGTTGCTCAACCAACTCGATGTCCTCCGCAACGACATAGTTATCATGGATGCACTCAACGTGGCCAAAGGACCCCTGGCGGTGATCCATCTGCCATTCAAGCTGAAGTTGGGTTTGCATGGCAATTTCGTTGACCATAGAGACATCGAGGAGTGGCAGAAGAGAAGGTCTGAGTCGGGCGACCTTGGACCGGCTCAACCAGCGAAGGAGCCTTTACCCTGGCAGACACGCCAGAGGGAGCTTGGCCACAATGGGCATGATGGGATCAACGGTGATGGGTCCAATGGCGTAAACGGTAGCCATTGATGATCAAGGTCGAACGATCGGACGTAGACGCTTGAGTGATACCCATCGGCTGGACTCCCATCCGCTCGAAGTGGTCATGTGGCCTAACTCTCACTTCATCTTCCGGGTTGTCCACCATTGCTAAGTGTATTGGGGAGAGCGGCTCCATCTCCTTGCCCTGGTACTGCCGCCAGCCAGCGGCATGACCATTCATCCGACGTCCGTATTTTTGCGGCCGAGTAAGGCACAGGATGCTCCGAAAGGAGGAGAGGATGGCCAAGGTCGGTCCCCATGTTCTGGAAGCCTTCCCTTGTAAGTCCGGGGTGTCCCGGCCCATGTGAACCGTCTCCACGGGGTTGAGGTTCCCAGTCGACAGTTTGGAAATGAGGGCCATCAAGGACGAGCAGTGGCAGGGCTATGAGGAACTGGCAGCCCCATTCATGTCCGCGGGCCCCCATGCCCCACTCCGCAGTACGAGGTTCTCGATCCTATACCAGTATATAATTGTTGCCGGATCTCCCGCGCTGGTGCCGCGCGGATAATTCGGGTGCCACTTCCGATGGAATAAATCCCAGGCGTATCTCCGTGTCGGCAATCACAACTTTCGTACAAGGCACTCCTTCCTGGACGCTTAGAAATTGACTTGCGCGACCTCTGAGTCCTTGATTTGACGAGCATCAACTGTGTCTTTCAAAGGAGACAAAACAGGCACGTGCTGGTATTAAACGAGTCAAAATGGGCTCCACGGGCAAGATAGAGACAAGGCTGTTCATCAATGGCAAGGTATGCTCTCAAGGATGCGTCCATAATGCAAACGTCGATGTTGATGCTGGCATAGTTTGTTGAGTCTTCAGACGGGAAGACGTTCCCCATCAAGTCACCAGCCACAAGGGAGCTGGTCGCCGAAGGTACGTCACTGACGCTGATGCACCATTTGAGTGAAGATACAATGCTAACTCTGCCACCACTCAGTGTACGAAGCCAGCGAAAAGGACACCGATGCTGCGGTAGCCGCGGCCAAAGCAGCCTTTCCAGCATGGTCTGCTCTCTCCCCCGCTGACAGAGGTGTGTACTTGAAAAAGCTGGCAGCCCTGTTGGCCGAAAGTGGTGAAGAACTCGCTCGATTAGAGGCTCTTTCGATGGGTCGGCCCGTATCGAGGTATTTCGACAATCATGCCGCAGCGAACACCTTTGCGCATTACGCAGAGGCCGGATACGAGGCCCAGGGTGTCAGCAGTTTGAACACCCCGGGATTTGTGAACATGACATTCAAGCAGCCGTATGGAGTTGTCGCGGCAATCATTCCCTGGAACGTCCCGCTTGTGTTCTTTGCCAACAAGGCGGCGCCGGCACTTGCAGCGGGAAACACTGTTGTTTTGAAAAGCAGCGAGAAGGCGCCATTGACAGTATGTAAATTTAAGCCCTTGCCGCAACAAGTTTGCTGACAATTGACCTCCTTTAGTCCGCCAAAGCTGCTACTCTGATCGAGAAAGCAGGGTTTCCGCCCGGAGTCTTCAATGTCATATCCGGGCACGGGCAGACATCAGGGGCGATATTGTCGTCGCACATGGACGTCCGGGCCCTCAGTTTCACAGGGTCGTGTCGAACCGGCCGGCTCATCCAGGCGGCGGCAGCGAAGTCCAATCTCAAGCATGTTGTCCTCGAATTGGGAGGAAAGTCACCTGCCATTATTTTTGATGATTGTGACATCGCATCTGCTGTTCAGGAGACGAGAGATAGCATTCAGTACAACAGTGGGCAAGTTTGCATGGCCAACAGCAGAATTTATGTACAAGACACCATTGCCGATAAGTTCGTCCAGGCGTTCAAGGAGCAGTTTGCCAAAGTCTCACTGGGCGATCCGTTGGACGCCAATACCGACCATGGTCCACAGGCTGATTCGGCGCAACTGGACACGGTGCAAAAATATATTGCTGCCGGAAAATCGTCTGGCACGCTGGCTCTGGGAGGTACACCGGACGTGGCTGGTCTCCCAGAATCCGTTCAGCAGGGTTATTTCGTGGCACCGACTATCTTCCTACACACTCCGGAAGGGGCTGCGGTGATGAAAGAGGAGATCTTCGGGCCGGTTGTGAACATCAATACGTTCAAGACTGAGGATGAAGTGATCGCCAAAGCCAATGACAGTGAATTCGGCCTGTACGCCGCGGTATACACCAACGACATCAACCGAGCCTTGAGATTTGCGAAGGCGCTAGAAGCAGGCACAGTGGCCGTCAACTGTACCAGTCCAACGATAGCAAGGGATATGCCATTCGGAGGCTTCAAGAGCAGTGGATCGGGTCGGGAAGGCTTCGGACACAGCCTGAACAATTTCCTAGAGACCAAGACCGTGCTGATCAAGCTCAAGTGAAGCTAGTTAGCTAGACATAGACATTTCGCGAGCCACAGAGCCGGGTCTAGAACAGGCAGCGATAGATCTAGAACCTGCCTGTTGTACCATTTGACTGCCTGATGAGTCTGAAGTATCCGGCTGGATTGTTTTGGTGTCGGCAATCACAGTCATTCATCCGCCCCTGATGTTATCGCCGCCAACCTTGCACACCGCAGGCTTCCGACGTAAGAGATAAGTGCCCTGGACCGACATAGCACTGTGGCAACACTGATCTTTGAGTGGCAAGCGAATTCTGTCCTAATTACTCTCATTTAATGTTGCGACCGTTTCACCAAACCCGATACTTTCATTGGAGAGCACCTCTCCTTAAGCACCGAGCATCGGCTAGATCGACGAAAGGGCCGTGGAAAGAAGTCGCAGCGACTCGGAAAGCTCAGGAACACGCTCATTTCGGAGCCTTTGAGGTGTATCGCATCGGCAGAACGAGGATCTGACTTGCCCGAGATCTCAAGGAGAGTCGCGAGAAGGGTGGGTAGCATACAGGGTGTATGGATGCACACTTCGGCCCACCGTAGTACTTGTCTGCAGTGCTTCTATGGCGAGGCGAGCAAGACCCGAGACTAGGACACAATGCATGATAGGTTCACAAGAACTGAAGAAGCAGGGTTCAGACTCTTATTGCGGGTATCTCTTGCGCTCTTGTGCGAACAATGCTCACGTCTCCGATCACGCTGCTCTCAGTTCGAAATGAGAGCCGTGCAAAGTCATACGGGCGACAAAGGGAAGGTCAGGGAGAGGAGGTTTTTCCCCCCTTCCGTGCCTGATCGTTTCGAGGGATGTAAACACTACTCGTACATCTCCAAGCTCTCGACAACCATTGCATAGCTTCTTCCAGAGCTTAACGCGCGTTGATTCCTGTCGAGGATGTCCCGAAGCTGGGACTCTGCGCTTACCGGCCGGCTGGGTTGCCCGTGGACCCAGGGCACGAAATTGTGCAACTCCATTCGGGGAATCAGCGACTGCAATCTTTCCCGTAGGGTCGTAGGTGGAGGCGGACAAGAAGCAGCGGGCCCTTCGAAGAGCCCGCTGTCGTCAAAGCTGTACAGTGGATAATGGCGACCACCTTCCGAAACGATCGGAGGGTCGGAGATGGTCACAGCATTTGCCCCAGCCGAGAGGTATGTTTCTGATACGACGGCATTGGTTGCTCTGGACGGCGTTTCCTCTACTTCGTGCCCTGCGGCGGAGCTCTGTAGCAACCGGTGAGAAGAGCGTGACAGTCCAGACAGCGCAAGTCGATCATGATCTTCAACAATCGGTGACATATCCGACAAAACCGCTGGTGCCGAAGTATGGCGCATTGAGCCTGTCCCGGGCCGCGAGGGACCTGCCCCGGGGGTCTCGCTCCGTCTGCGCCTGGAACGCGGGACAGCTTGTAGCCTCTCAAGCAGGCCGTATGCGGCGGAGCCAGTGTGACTTCCGTCGACAAGACTAGCATCTTCTCGGAGAATGATAACATCGTCGGCGGCTCCCGCAAGGCGCTCATTGCTTGCGCTTGCCTCGGCCACGGCCTGCAAGGGACTGCCCAGGGCCCTAATCTCGCCCTGGGGAGGCAAGTGGCTCTCATGCTGGTCTGCCAGCACCAACCTGCTCCTCCCGAGTATTTCGGATATTGCATTGACGTCTTCGTCGATGTCCTCTTCAATTGCGGCCAAGATCCCTCGAAAGCTGAACTCGTGGGGAGGGGGCAATTCGTTGTTCATGATGCCCTGTTTGGACCTCGGCCGTGGAGGACGAATCTGAAGGGAGGCATCGTCGGAATGGACACGAACAAGGACGGGTTGAGAAGGGATAGTTGTAGTCGAGCTGCGACCCCCGATGGATGGGGTCTGGACATGCCTGTTTAGGCTTGAACGAGACGCATTGAGCTGGTGGAAGTGCAGGGTGTTCGGTAGAGGAGAGACATTGCTGCGGTCACTTCGCAGGTAGCTCGACGATGGCGGGAGAGACCTTGATCCATGATGTGGAGGAGTGGAAAGAAAAGCCCATTGCCCTCCAAAGCGGCCCGACGACGTGTCTGCTCGAGCATCCATGTTTTGCAAATCTCTCAGGACAAACAACGCATCATGGCAACCACCCGCGGTATGGAACCAAACCAACCTTCAGATACGTCTGCGAGGGATCGGGTTCAGGAACGAGGAGGATGGTTGCTGACGGGGGGGTCTAGCATTGAGCTTTGCAACCCAAGAGCAAGGGATCGTGGCATGCAGGATATGGACTTGAGCCACCGAGATGAGACCACAGCCCAACCAGGTGCATGGCGACGAAGTATAGAGCAAGATACATGGGAAGACAAGCAGCAAGCAGCAAGGAGTAAGGCGATGTGCAGGGCGGGAAGTCGGACGCACGGGTCTGGCGTGGCTGCGTTTCATTTGCCGGGGCCCGACAATGGGATTCCAGCAAATAATTGGAGCCACCGCAACCAAACCACGAGGAATCCTCGCCTTACTGTTATGTCCATACTTTTTCGTATTTGTTGATGTCTGCTAATGTACCCGTTCATTTCTTGTTACTCTCCAGTACCCCAATATGTCTCATACTCCCGCAGACACACGACGTGTCCTGGGGTAGTGATGGTGGTGGTGGTGGTGGCGACTGCACGCAGCTGTCAGCTCAGACTCATGTTACCACTGCCACTGTCCTACGAGAGACCCCCTTTGCGACCTTTACCGAACGAAATCACAATGACAAACAACGAGAAATAACAGGGGGAAGCAGGAAAAACAACGAACATGGGAAGGAAATTTTTTGCTGGCCCAGAGGTAGACAGACATTCATGGTCTCAAACCGACCATTTGGATCCGAATCCTCGATGGCGTGCGTTCTAGCAAGCTGCACTGGCTGGTCACATTGGTCAGAACTGACGAGGCACGATCGCGCACCCCACGCACGGAGCAGCTTGAGCCGAGGGAGGGGAGACGAGCATTCTCGCAAGACGCCCGATTGGTACCTATCTCAATGCAACCTCCCCTGGCGTTAGCAAATCCGACCAGGTGCGGACTTGTGCATTGTCCTCTTTCTTTCCCAGTCTACCTCGTTACAGAGCTGCCCTGCTATTCGGTGACGTTCGACAAGCTTCCTGCAAGGTTATCCAAGCGTCCGATAGCTTGGCTCCGTTGTCGTCACTCCAGACCAGCAGGTGCAGTGGTACAAGAGCTCTCCAAAGCTCTTCCTCCAACTTGCAATCATGTTCTCTCCTCTGTCATCTGGTCCTTTCCCTGCAGCAGTAGCCTGGATAGAGGAGAAACCACAATGCTCTTCCGTTCGGCTCTCCTGGCCTTGCTGCCGTCTCTGGCAGCCTCGTCGCCTACCCCTCGGCAACGACGACAGACCAACACAAACTCGTCGTCGGACCTCCTCACTGACATAGCCACCATCCAGCAATACTGGGGCCAATTGACCCCGTATGCCGACAACGCCGAGGACTACTTTGGAGTGAGTGATGTTGGCCTGCCTGATGGATGTCAGGTCGAGCAGGCTCATCTACTGCAACGCCACGGCTCTCGCTTTCCCGGCGGGACATTTGACGACGGGCCCAACAATGAGAACTTCGCCGGCAAGGTCATGAACTGGACTCAAACCAATTCTTCGTCCTCATTCAGTGGCCCGCTCAGCTTCTTGAATTCGTACCGCTATGACCTGACCCGAGACTACCTTACAGGTATTGGTGCCTCTGGGTCCTTCATGGCGGGTGTCACGTTCTGGAACCGATATGGCCGCACGCTTTTCAATGCAACCAAGGGCCAGACGGCGTACAACGCGAGCTACGTCAATGGTACCAGCCGACCGAAACTGACGTTAAGAACAACGAGCCAGTCCAGGATTGAGAATACACAGATCAATTGGGCTCTGGGATTCTTTGGCCCAAGTTACAATCCCACTCCAGATCTGACTTTGGCCAATGCCACCAGCGCATACAACCTCGTGGTCGTCCCGGAGGGTGGAACCGAGAACAATACCCTGGCGTCGTATGATTCATGCTTCAATGACTACGATCCAGTCACTGGGTATCTCGGAGATCTTGATTTGTTGAGCTACCTGCCTCTGTATCTGTCTGACGCCCAAAGCCGGCTATCCCAATACATTCCCAGTGGGTTTAATTTGACTATCAACGATACATATGCCATGCAGTAAGTCAAGCACCCGTTTGGTATGCAAGCCCCTTGTTCTCACCACGAACCAGGGTCATCTGTGCGTACGAGACCAACTATTTAGGCCGATCCGACTTCTGCACTCTCTTCACGGAAGACGAATGGTCCGGTTTCGAGAACACGCTGGACATGGAGTACTACTACGACTACTCGTACGGAAACCCGACGGGAAGGGCACAGGGGATCGGGTATCTGCAAGAGTTGCTGGCGCGGTTGCAGGACCAGTACATCACCGTGTCCAATTCAAGCGTGAACAGCAGCCTGACCAACAATTCGCGAACGTTTCCACTGGGCCAGAAAATATACGCCGACTTCTCACACGACGACATCATCATATCGGTGCTCACGGCGGCCTCGCTTGACTACCTGCGCGACCCGCCATCCCTGACGGAATACCCACCGGACCCGAACCGCCACTTTATCCTGTCGCACCTGACGCCCTTCTCGGCGCGACTGGTGACAGAGGTGATTGGGTGCGGATCCAGCAGCCCTACGCCCAAGAACGCATCGCAAACACAGTACTACCCGACGCAGTATGGCTACAACCCGAGCAACGCGACACACAAATTCCTGCGCATGCGGCTGAACAACGGTATCCTGCCTCTATCGACCATTCGCGGCGGCTACTGCGGCAACCGCAGCGATGGTCTGTGTCCGCTGAGCTCGTTCCTGACCAGCCAGGCGAGTGCCTACGGCGCAAGTAACTACAACTACGTCTGCTTCGCGAACTACACCATCGACTACCCCAACAACGGCACCGATTATGACGGAACTCTGTTCAGCGGGAGCGCCCGGCAGAAACGTGGGGTGGTTAGGAAGTGGTGAACATGGGCACGCCATTACAAAGGGCAGTCCTTTGTAGCGATGTTTTGATGATGAGGGAGATTCTGAGAGCGAGAGGAAAATGTACATACGCACTCACACAGCACATATGATCCGACCGCAATGATAATGAAGACGATAAAAACCATTGCCAATATCGCAGGCGACAGAAAACAAATGTATCCATTCAGGTCCCTCTTTCTATCGCTACAGCATATCCGGCGTGATGACGTTACTCTGCAGCCCATCAATCAAGACCTCGCGCATCGTCTGGGCGCTCTTGATTCGAATGTCCACGAAGCTCTGTGGGCTGTAGAAGGCCGTGTGGCAGGTCAAGGCCATCCTGCCGATCAGCCACTCTTCCTTGTCGCGGTAGGCCTTGATCAGCGGGTGGACGTTGTGCTCGGGGATGGGCTCTTCGGGGAGGACGTCGAGGCCGGCGCCGGCGAGGATCCCCTCGCGCAGAGCGCGCTCGACCGCATCGAGCTGCAGGACCTCGCCGCGGGCGGTGTTGACCAGAACGGCGCCGCGGGGGAGCAGCTTGACCAGGTCCCAGCCGATCATGCCGCGAGTCTCGCGGGTGCAGGCGCAGTGGATGCTGAGGTTGGTGCTGCGGCGGAACAGCTCGGCGATGTCCTTGGTGCGCTCGATGCACAGCGCCTTGTCGACGCCGTTGGGCAGGTACGGGTCGTAGAACAGCACGTTCCACCCGAAGGCTTTCGCGCGCAGGCAAGCCGCCGTGCCGATGCGGCCCAAGCCCAGGATCCCGAACGTCGCCTGCTGCACCCGCGACACCAGCGGCGTGTCGATGTACATCCACGGGTACACGTACGGTTGGCGCTGCCGGTCGTGGTGCAGGAGTACGCCGCGCCGCAGCGAGAGCGCCAGAGCCAGCGCGTGGTCGGCGATTTCGGCGGTGCCGTAGTCTGATCATCATGTCCGACGGTGAGTTTGCTGGATCCAAGTAGTGACGGGAGGGAAAGAGAAGGGGGAAAAGAAACAAAGGGCCCGAACCTGGCACATTGCAGACCGTCACGCCCTTCTTCGCCAACGCGTCTCGGTCCAGTCGATCATATCCAACGCCCATCCGGACTATGCTGCCAACAATCAAACCGTCCGTGTAAGCCATCCATCCGGCGAGTCAACATTTCTCCGGGTAGTTTGCAGAACTCACACTTTCAGCTTCGGGAACAACTCCACGTCCTTTGCCGTAAAGCCCATCTTCAACACCATGATCCCGTCCACTCGGTCCCTCAAGTCCTTGGGAATGGACGACCATGGCTTCGGGACAGGCGCGCCGGTCGGAAAGAGACCGGTAGAGACATACTCCAACTTATAGGGGTGGGGTGGGTTTGCCGTGAAAATTGCCTGTTCCACTGCGTCGTCCTAATGGGAAGGTATCAGTTGCACATATCGCGACAGGAGCACAGAAGGCTCTCTGGACATATACCCAACGTACAGGGTAGATGCCATCTGCCTGGATGATTGTATAGGTCGGGACCTCGGTTGTCTCCATTGGTACTTGTCCTTGGGCGTTGGCAGTGCCGTTCAGTTGAGATGAGCTCTGCGCCATTATTACTCTTTTGTGTGCTTGTTCCTGAAACGGCGTGAAAAGGTAACAACAAGAATATGAGACACGGTGGCCTACCTCGAGCTAACAGGAATACAAATCTGGCAAAATGGACATGGATATAGACGAGGGTTGGACGTCTGTGAGGGGAAACAACAACAATAGGGAGGAGTTGGACGGGCAGGAAGCCGGCACAGAGAATCCGATACCGGACAATAGCCGTGTCCATAACATACATTGCCTCGAGCATGTTTTTCCCTCGTCTCTGTTTTGTGATTGACAGAGTTTCATACTCGCCTAATACCTCGAAGAGCACAGCTGAGCACAGCATGACCCATCCATTGCTGGGCTGGCCCGAAGCAGTTGACCATTTCTTGGGGAGACAAGCTCATCAGATTACTCGCCACAGCACCGGTGAGACCGTTACTATACTATTGATAGTGTGGCGGGACCGCTTCAGCAGCTCAAGCGGCCAGTCAGCATTTTGTTCTTACAGAGCCAAAGCAATATACTGAGATATCCTGGCTCTCAAATGAAGTGAACTTCGTTGGCGGCTCAAATGGTATGAGGCTCGGCGAATCCTCTGTACGCAGTCAAAGGTCGTCCGGACTCCTTGTGTCTCGGCACGTCAAGAGTGCGTAGAATTACATAAGAGTGATCAAACACTTTTGTTGGTTACACATTATGAACAGGAGTGTCCTGTGCACATGCCGTTTAATGACGGATCGCCAGGTAATATTCTCGCACCTTCGTTCTTTTACGTGACCAACGAATCTGCTGGAGGAGCAATCAGGAGTTCTTATCACAATCAACGAACCTTAGTTCTCAATCGTCTTGAATACAAGTCCCCAGATTGATGCTGAAACCATGTCGATTAGAATTCGGGAGCGGTCGACGTCTGCCGATATGACTCTGCTTTGTATCCTCAAGCCTGGACAGGCCGCGGCATGTAGACTATTTTTGCCCCTCCCAGACTCCCGTGGTAGGGTTGAGTGGGGTTGGAGTGATGATCTGAGCTGGGGTCACGCTGAGGATTTGACCGGCTTTCAATGACCCACAAACCACTGTACCAGCGAGGCCAGGTCCTACTATTACACATTCACCAATCATCACACCCGGATAAATCACAGCTCCAGCACCGATAACCACTCCCGAGGCAATACACACATCTTTGGCGATCCAGTAGTCTTTCGTCCCTTTTCGATGAGCACGGTCTTTCGAGTAATCAGTTGTCAAGATGGTGACGCCCGGACCAATCGTTGTAGAAGATGCAATTTCGATTATGCCGGCATCGTCAAAGGTAGACCCTTTGCCCACACACACACGTGATCAAAGAGTCGAAGGTGTACCTCATATGTGCACGAAAAAGGTGACTTGATCGTAACTTCGACACCAATATAGCCCTTACCATGATGGTGTACAGGGAATTTGTGGGTCGTATCCTGGCTAGGATCAACCACCTTAACCAACAAGTTGTGCACTCCTTGCTCGGTGAGTCCACTACCCAGCTTGTAGGCTGAATTGTACCGCCCAAGAGCTGGCTCGCATAGTTAACGCTCGTGCAGGAGACTCGGATCGAAGTGGTTGTACAGTGACGATCTCAGCATTTTGGCCTTCTCCACGTCTTCTTGGCCCGGAATCATGAAACTGGTTGTATTTTGCTTGTGACTTTGCGAAGACAGGCGCATATTCTCATCAGAACCGGGACATTTTCGAAAAGGAGAGTGAGACGAAAGGGAATATGTGCGCTATTGCGGCTCTAACGACTGCACTTGCGACTGTCTTGGAGAAGCTACATAAATCTGCCTACCAGGGGCCAATGATTGAAGTGCCTCGTGCTGCGGAGAATGCTGAGCGTGGCCCTGAGTCAAGACTTCGGACGCATCTGGTAAGGTTGACCTCCAGGGCGACACTAATCCAGTGACAGTGGTATAGGGGGTGAAGACATTCTGAGACAGAGAAATTCTGGCCCTGTTGTGATGGATGGTGCTGCGGAATAGGTTGCTGGCTATATGATGCGATCCGTCACACGCTGCTGCCATCCCGTGATTGGCCATGTGCATAGTCATCAGCTGGTCCATGCCTTCCTGGACCGTCGCTTGGGTGGATAGATAAGTGAATTGGATGTACCCCTGGCTGAAGTCTTGGTCGATTTGGTTTCCAGTCACAGAACGCCGAATGCCCTTTGCACTTTAAGGCACAAACAATTTGACGATTGCGAACTTAGTTGGGTTGACCCGCCTGCTCCAACTATAGCCTTTACAATCAAGCCCTGCTTGAAGACACCTTTTACCTGCAGTAAGTAGACATTAGTGAAAGAATGTAGAGGAGATTTTCATGGCTCACAGCTATATAAACTTACAAACCGGTCGACCTTCGTCACACTTCTTCTTCTTCCGTGTACGACAGGTAACGCATCCGGTTCTCGTTCTCTTTTTGAATGTATGATTGTGCTTTGATGTAACTGTACCAGACGCTATAACTCCCGGATCGTATCGATCATGACTGACCTGCCCCATCTGCTGTAGCTTCGCCACTCCTAGGGCGAGACCGCGCATCCAACGGCGGCGAACTTGGAGCCCTTGGATGTCATTGTCCAGTTGGTGCTGTTACTGGCTCCAAGGTGCTGTGTCCTATGACAAGGGCAGAACAATCCGGTTGTGTAGGTCGCTCAGAGAGTGACTGTTGTCCATTTTGATCAATGCCATTCTGGGGTACATGGTCTCCAGAGCTGAATTGTACCCTAGTGGATGGTATCAGATGCAGAGATTCAGAAAGTCAAAGAATTTCGGATATCTGCTTGTCTGCGATGTGTTGACGATTGGGGGATTTTATACGAGGACACGTCCACATTGAGCGCGTTCCTGATGGTTACAGCCATTGTCGTTTTCAGCTTAAGCCATAAGCGCATACCTCTCGAATGTCCAGGTTAATCTCCAGGGCACCTTTGGTCTGATTCTGCGTTATATCCGCGCCGTGTTGAAACCACTCTCCTAATGCGGTATCGCCTTCGAGCCGCTCGCCTTCGGCCAATCACATCGTGCAAGGTAACCCCTTTGAGAGGACCAGATATCTGATTCATCGCTGCAGCTCATGTCAAATTGCGAAGCGAGCGGCTGAAGCCGACAATTCGGGACTCTTGTGGACCAAAGCTGGAGATCCTGTTGAGACCCTGAGCCGAGCTCGAAGGCAGTGTTGCTATCCCATGATAGCGTGGAGGAAGAAACATTTCGGCAGAGCCCGAGAAGTCACCTGCGTGGGACACCGACAGCACGCTCATTCGCAGGGTGTCTTTATGCTTAGCCGTCATCCTCACATGGGGGTCTTCACCGTCCAACATTGGGCTGTTTGAAGGAACTCTCGGTAGCACGAGTTATAAAGTCTCTTGGAACATACTCGGGCCAGCCACTTCTCAAGATCATGCACGCGAGTTGTTGTCCCATAACCCAACGACTCATTCACCTCTCGTCCGAGGCACGGCTGAACCTCAACTTGTACATGTTTCACCGCTCACATGGATATCGACAGTAATCAGTAGAGCTTCCAACCTCCTACTTGACGTCGTCTTTAGGATAACATTGTCCGACGTCCATTGCTAGCTTACACTTTGAGACCACTACCCCCTTCGCACACTTGATATCTGTGGAATGGTACTTCCCAGTGGAGTCTGGTTTAACTCTACACATATGTTCGTGCTTTTTTTCGTTTGGTATCGAACAGCTTGTGTCATCCTCACCAGGACAGTACATCCACCTCTCAGGATACCTTATGAGCTGCTGCGTCGAAAGAGATGAATCGCCGAAGTCAGCGTTCAAAAGTGGTTGGGCATCGATAGCTGCCTGGTCGTCTAGCCCAGTGTCGGTGATTTCGATGCGAATGGTTCGAGCAAGTATGGGTGCGACGACGGCCCCGGAGAGCAGTAGACAACTAAGGAATCTCTATTTCCATAGTTAGAATGTTTTCATTCAATCACAATTTACACACAGCACTAACCATTTTGACTCTTTGAGCAGGTGTCGTAGAGGTAGGTGCAGTATTAGCTGTTCGTTGAAGTCAGGATCCCAAATAGTGTTCGTCCACACCAGATTTCAAAGTTAAGGACAGCTCTTTTGGCGACTTATATAGACGGGCTGTCCAAGCTTCAGCTCCATTTCGGGAAGCCCATTGTGCAATCGTCTGTACGATATCCTAGGTCACACAACTTTGCTAAGCTTCAATTTCTTGGAGCGGGAATTCGAGCATGGAACGGCCTCTGCTTTGGCGGCCATTGTCACACGCGAAAGCGCACCGTTTTCGGTGAGGCCAGTCATTGGCAGCTATGACATCTCAAGAGAGGTGTGAAGAACCTCAGCTGAGAGGTGCCGGGTCTAAATACGTTTAGCGTTGTGATAACTGCTTTAAGGGTCTTCCAGCTGAAGACGCCACCATTGAGGCGCTCAGACTCGTACAAGAACTTTTCAAACAAGGTTTACCCATTCGGTAGAGGGTAACTCGACGTTGCCAAACACGGCATTCTCGATTCGTGTTCCCTACTGGTACCTTTTGTCCATCTTAGCTCGGTTAAGTGCAAGTTACCCATCTCCGTTGTGGCCTAAATTCGGATTCTGTATACATAACAGACAAGTGAAAGAGCACGATGAAAGAGAGGTTGAAGCGGCCCAACCGAGTTGGCAGAGAAACCATGTATCGTGCAGTTCAGCTCAGCATGCACACAACCTCAAGCGCATAGAAACTCTCCGCTCAATTTCAGCGGCATCCTCTTAAGGCTTCGCATCTGGTATAAAGCATGCTAAGCATTAGCCGAGTGAGGAGAGCTCCGATTGCTTGTTAAACACCTGAAGAAGGGCAGATTGGAGTCCAGCTCTACTGGAACCCCAGCCACGCGGGCAATACTGGCAACGAAACCGCCAACCAGCTTGCTAAGCAGGCGGTGAGCGCGACCGAAGACCATAATGTTCGCATGGCACTGTCCTCGTACCGCAAGGAGACACATCAGGTAATCGAGAGAGAATGGCGTAACGAATGGGGTCACATCAGCAAATAGGAAAACACCTGAAGAAATCGATGGTGATCTATCTAACAGGCGAGCTTTACGCCTATACTGCCGGCTCACGCGGCATGAGACGTACCTCTTCACCCAGTTACGAAGTGACCACTCTTGCTTGTTTACGTACGGGAAAACAGGCAAGTTCGTTGACCATGATAAGTGTGCAGGTGGAGTGGTAGAATCAGTGGTGCATGTACTGGTGGACTGTCCTCTCCCACGAGACCTCAGGTGGGAACTACGGCAAGAGGTAGGTGATGCATTTAGAAGCGTTGCAACTCTGCTCGGAGGACGTTGAAACGGGAAAGGTCAAGTACGCAAAGAAAGTGATGATCGGAATACTATAAAAGCGGTCGTTGAATTCGCGGATGCATCCCAACGATTCAAGTCAAGGACTCCGGCTGTTCAGTCGAGCGCACATCACAGGCCCTAACGTGGCAGAAGGATCGTGCATGTAATCAGTATCACCCTGAAAGAAGAGTAAAAGAAAGGTCAATAGTTGTAGCCGGCATATCGCCAAAAGCGAGGAGTCATGGTAAATGAAATTCATCATCATCATCATTAACTGTAGTCGTAACCTCTTCATCGCCTTTACATTTCTCTACCGTGTCTTTGCGTCAGCATATGGTCGGAAAACCTGTCGCTGGCACGCTACTTAGAGGCTCAACCAGGGGGACCGCTCAGAGTCACTACCCAAATACCAGTATTATGGTTGACTTCCTGCAGGCAGTTGCAACTATAGTTGCAATGTGGGTCAGATTGGGGGCAGCTGTCGACAGAACAGGAGGAGGAAGTGAATCCTTAGAACTAGAGCCCTGACCACAACGAATGTGCAAGTAGATGAGCCTAGGATAGACAGAGGTAGGAAGTCCCTTTACAAATCAAGTAGTCCGCGCACAGATGTGACGGAAAGTCTTTGTGTGTCCCTGAACCGTACAGTAAAAGAAGTCCTTGTGTAGGCTTACAATAGGTGTCGCTTCCTTTCCAGCTCGCTTACTAGGCTTGATCTTTCTGTGGACAAGGTACATGATCGGGGACTATAGAGCTGTAATGGCACTCTCTGCTTGCAGTGAGACTTTTTCAGCTTTGACCATTTAGGTTCCCTCATGCCCAGGCAAGGATCGAACCACCAGCCTGGCGCAACTGTGTATCCTTCCAAGTATCGGCATGCCAACTCAATCCATTCTGATTGACCTGATCCGCCCAAACCTTGATGCGTAAATCTGTGCCGCACTTGATGTCGATCATGTTGAGGAAGATGCGCACAGTAGGCGTCTTTACAAATTTACCGGCCGGAAACTTGAACCTGTCCGTCGACTTCGACACGTTTTCCTTTGTAGTAAAGGAGCCGCTGGTCGAGTTCGCCAAGTCCGCCAGATACGCAATCCAGGAAGCAGCGCCCGCGTACAGAATTGAGTCTCCCCAGGTACCGATATGACTCGTGAATCGATCTTCGTGGATATCCGTGGCGTATGCTTTCACGCGGTAATCCTTATGATTCTCGAGGTCGATAAGTTTAAGAGCCACGACGACTGCTGGAGGTGTCGTGTACGGCTCTTCGAAGTAAACGGTCTTTTCGGCTGTTTGAGAACTCGTGTCGTTCCTTTCTCGCTGTTCTTGCGTATTGAATTCGCCAAACTGCCACTGAGTATCCGTAGCCTCAGCCTCGACCCATGTTGCTGCACCTCCGTTCAATACGCTCGTGTCCCATGTGCTGACTGACACTTCCGCCGAATCTGCGGCAATGTGGTCGACGGTCGCCGCGACCGCTTTGTTTGCCTTGCAACTCATATCAATGCGTGTCAAGCCGATGGCTACCTTTGGTGGTGATTGATAGGCGGTCTCGAATGGGACTTTTACGGTGTTGAAGAGGCCGGGAGCTGGTGACGCGCCCACGTCAGCCTTGCCCGAGGAAGAAGTTTTGGACGCAAGGTCGTCCGTATCGAAAAATCCATCGGTGCGCCCCTGTGGCGGATAGAGTTTTCGAATGAAATTCTTGTCCATGGCTGACAACTGCATGTTTTCATGTGTTCCCTTACTGTCGAGTGTAAGATCTGCAGGGTAGAAGTATAGCATGATGGAGTCTGGGTCGAAAACACTGTTCATGGATGTCTATACGGGATTGAGAATGTTTCGTCGAATTTTGTCCTCATCCCATTTGTTCGGTGGGGCCTTGAAATATTGTATAACCTTTTGTACGTCCCAGTTGATTCCAAGACTAGGGTTCTGATGTTCATGGATGCAACCCAATGCATGGCCGAACTCATGAAGGACCACAGAGCGAACTGTTTCGTCGGAGGATCTATCAGTCAACCAGCCAAAATTCATAGTTGGCTTCGATCGATCCTCCTTGAAACAGTCTCTTCCGACATATGACCACGATCCTATTTTAGGCTGAAATGCCACGCGGATATCTGCATCTTTGCCGTAGTCGCCGAAGTCGAAGCTGATATTGCAGATCGCGTCCCACTGTTTGGCCGCGAGTTTCACTCTCCGTTTAAGGGCATCTGTGGCAGTCTGGCCTGGGCCATCCCACCAGGAAACTTTCAGGGTTTGTCCGACCCTCCAAAATTTGTCCTTCCCAATGGCGAGATCGAATGGTCCTGAGAAGTTATCGTGGGCAATGGCAAGGTTGCTAGCTGGGACTTCTTGGTTGGGATCGTCCTCGATGGAGGGAATTACCTGGTAGCAGAGTTTTATCTGCTCAAGCGACGATAGTGAATCTTCTTCGGCCATGATAGGTGTATGTTAGAAGCTGAAAAGAAGTAACCTTAAGCTTTCAAGTGTTCGTGAGACGTCGTACCACAAAAAAGGAACCTTGAGTTCGAAAGGGTGCGAGCAACAGCTGCTCTTATAGACATCTTGACTCAGCATAATGTTCAATTTCATTAAAGTCGTAGGTCCAGCTCTGAAACTGTCGGACTGGTGAATCCGACGAGTGGGAACGAACATATTCGCGGAGGTCTAGATGCTTTAGAAATGGCGGTGCACACATTCTTTTACGCGCTGTGGCTGAAATTTGCTGTGATCGAGCTCACAACTCTCGGAGATAACAGGGTCGTCAAATGTCGAGCGAGATGGAACTCGTCACTGGCGTACTTTGAGAGCGCTGAACAACTTCGACTGATGCATGTTGAGCTAAGGAATTCAGACTGCTGCTTACGCCACACACTCCGCTCCACCATCTCCACTTCGAGGATGGACAAGGATCGGACAGCACCGGCGGGGAACGAAGATGCTACTACCGCAGCTGTACTCCGCCAGATGCTGCAGTACCGGGGAGGTCTGTATTGTGCGTGGCTAGGCAGAATCCCTGATTTCGTTTGGTGTTGCCTCTGCACATTAGAAACTGAACCTGTTTTTTGCTCGCTACATGTAACCGAGATATCTAACTGAGAGTACCCTAGGCCCATTGAGTCGAGAACAAAGGAAGTGGATGAAGCAAGGCCGTAGAAAGTGGATTATTGGTAATTAGGTTCGAATTGTGTGATGTGACTCGTGTAAAAGTATTGCAGCTAGGCTAAAATTCGTTACCTGGTGTAAAGCATCTGGGTTCGGAATCCCGACTAACACTCTGACAAACGTCCATCATGAAATGCCGAAGTTCGTCTAGCTACCACTGACTTTCTGAATATTGGGCATATCCGAGTTGTAGTCGACATAGTGCCCGCCTTTGAGCCAAACGTTGCACTCATACCACTGATGCGTCTGGTCCTGAAATTGATAGTCGTAGGTCTGATCCGTCTCAAACCAGACTCGATAATTGAAGACCGTGCCTCCCTTTTGGATGCTCCATTTGGATATACCAGTTCGGGATTGGAAGTCAGCAGTCGTTGATCCCGACTGACCTGCTGGCCAGTTCACGTCGATGGTGAAACCAGGTCCGTGAGCTTCCATGACCCCAGGATTGTCCTTCATCGCGGCTTCAATCTCCGCTTTCGCAGCGGCAGAGCCCTTAGGGCGGCCGATTGTGAGTTTCTCGCCGGATTGAAGAGTCATTTCTTCCGTTTCCATGTCCTTCTCATTGGCGAACTGAGGCGCGTTGGATTGTTCGGAAGACGTGATGACTTGGAGGGCTTGTAGCAAGAAGAGCGTTGAGTGGAAAGCTATGGAAAGCTGTGTAGCAAAGATGTTCTTGGGGAAATGCTCTGATGAGGAGTTGCACGCAATGGAGAGATATTTCGAAGAATTGTGATCTCTATTTAAAGCTTTTGCGTTCTCAAATCCCACAAATTCTTTCACAGTAGGCCTCAATTGCAAGTCAAGTCCACGTTCACAGATCGCAAGTCTAGCCGACAGCCTTCGTTGCATTGATGAATTTCGGTCAACTTCTTCGGACTAGGACGGTTGAGAGAGCTTACGCGTCAGCCTCATTTCCATGATATAGTCCAAGTATCAGCTAGAAGGAGAATGCCACGCTGAGCTCTAGACTGTGATAGATGCGTCTCGTATCGGGAACACGGTGAGTTGCGACAGTCGCTAGGTAGCCGTAAATATCAGTGAACAAGGCTGAGCACTCCGCTCACGTGTAGACGCAGGATCTGGTTGACTTGTTCCGTTTGATGCTTGGTGGTATGCGATCCAGAAAGTGAAGTTCTGATGCGTACAGTGTATTCAGCCGAGTATTGATAGTGTGGCTTGCAGCTATGAATCACCCCCTCACACAATCATTGTTAGGTGACTCCACAACACTAGCACAGGGGGGCGGTACAGTTGTGCTGGTCGAGCTTTTTGATTGGCGGAAGATGATGAACCTGTGTTGAATGGGACGCTAAACAGATCAAACATGCGGGGACCACGGCCGAGCTTGGAAGCCAACACGGTCCCAACGTGAGCTCGACAGCTAGCCATTCTATCAATAGTGATCAAGGAGGATTGTTCACAAAAAGTTTTAGTACGCACAGGGAGCCAAGTCGAACGCTTGCTGTTCTGTACGGTAAGGTAGTCGAGTCGTGAAATTCAGTCAAGGTAGATGTGGTGGCGTGAGCCTAGACCGCATGCTGAGTATGCTCTCAGCTGAAAGAGTAATAGAACTGCACAACTATACACGTGTCACAAATAGAGTAGAAGAGTATATAACTCGCAAGGGAAAAGTATTGTAGTGGGAAGAGTCAGTCAGGTCACGTGCCTTTACATTGTACAGGGAGGCAATGGTGGCTCCTGATTGGACGGGTGAAGTGGAGAGCTTTTTCTTTTCTTTCAATAGTATTTTTACATGGACAGTGGCAGAGAGACAGACTGACAATCAAGCATTCCTATCCATCTTGTTTTGGTGGTGTTGTGGTGTGTTGTACGTGTCCCTACTGCCGCAGAGAGAGGCATCGCCTCTGGCCATGAAGCCTCGCCTCAGTTCAATGGTATTCTACCACTTCGTGGCTTGGCTGAAATGCAAACTTGGAGAGGTGGCTGCAGCAGCGCTGGCTGGCTGAACGACATGTGCAAACACTTGAATTTAGTCTGTGCACTGTTTAGGAGTTTCGGCAAATTCCTCGGATATGATGATTGTTGGTAAAATTATGGCACCTATCCTTAGTGACAATGGATACTCGGCATTGGATAAAGCCTGATACACCTTTTAATTATAATCTAGGGTTTATTGTTCAAAGAGCTTCCGCGCACCAAATGATGCTGAAGCTTGTACTATAGTAGTCTAATAGATTCTGAGCTGCCGTTCCAGCTGTCCTTAACCGAAATGGGTTGCAGTTCTACTGCAGTAGTATTATCAGCTGAACACAACTAGTCATGCTATTGCATGAAAGTGCGGCCGACGTCGAGGATACTAAATTATTTCACGGGCACCGTCAACTGGCCGCCTAATGGGCTGGACTTACGTTTGTCAAACACATTCAGTTCGGCTATAGTTTTGAAGGAACGCTGGATTTCGTCGAGTGCTTTGTTGATGAAGTCTCGCTTTGGCGGGAGTTCTAAGTATTGCCTCTGTCGGTCCAAGCCTTCCCTGCCAAATATGAATCATAGACGTCTTCGAAGGCATTCAGGCCTAACATTTATTGCCCAACTTGACTGGCTACACCATATGCTACCAAATAAAGGCTTGGCTAATATTGAATGATATTGTTGCTTGTGGTGGCATTTGGCGAGACTGCGAAAACGGTGTCATCGAGACAATGGTAGACCTCTTTCCACGGCGCTTTCCGGTGCCAAAAGTTAGCCAGCGTGATACATTTGTCGAGTCCTTCGCGGCAACCAAGCAAACCGTTCCACGAGTTGGGATTCCTCAAATCGATGTGGCTCAGGTCATCAGAGCTGTGGTCGAAATGCTTATGCTGATCTTCTACCTGACCACCATAAGAATGGAAGTTCAGTACCGCACCCCAGCGGTCCGCTTCGCCGGCTGGCGCGTTTGGGAGTTTCTCGCGTGACGTGTGACCGATTGCATACGAGTCTTGGATGACATGGAAGCAGCTGCCAAGGGCCCGATGGGGGATGAAGGCAGGGCTTGGGTGGCGGTGCGTCAACAGCTCACCTACTGTGGCGTAGTGTGCAGGATTGTCGAACCAGCGGCTCAACTCGGTGTTTACGAGCGGTGTGTCTGGACTCAGAACTCCTGTCGCGACACTGTACATGATCTCAATCCATTGCAAGATGCTGGCCTTTGTCGCCGCCGGCTGGTCCATACCCAGCGCCATGGCGTGCAGCCATTGCAGGTCTCCATAATGAGAGCGATGAATCAGTTCTGGCCTGGTGAAACCTCCAAACTTGTAACTGATTCCCCATTCTGTGCCGCTGCTGTAGTCAAGGTTGTTACTGGCATTGTCATCCTTGAAAAGCTTGCACTCCGGGTCGTCATTCCAGAACACGCCGCGAATGAAGTCGTTGATCTCAGGGTGTGCTGTTGAATTGTCCCTCAGCGAGCGCTAGGTCATTGAGGGATCGAGTTTGAAGTCAGAGTTAATGAGAGCAGCGAGAGTGAGCATCTCATGAACAGGCTGGCCAACTTTCAAAATCGTACCGGCGTGAATTGCCATTTCTGACTTTAAGACATCGAGATCGGGTTTGTCGTCAGCTGAGCTCTCGTCACCGGTAACCTTCGTCATATCGGCTGCCATGGTGGAGGTGTTTGCGAAAACTGTTATATGTCGTTTTGCTCACTGGGCAACGAACGTGTATGTAGTGGATCTTGTTGTATCGTTGTTCCTTCGAGCCTATCTTCATAGGAAGAGAAACGGTTTGACGAGTGAATCTCACTACAAATATGTCAACGCGACAAAGTCCCCATCCAATCTTTGCAAAAGTTCTACCTATGTTTCGTGAGGGGAAAGTCTACGCCAGCTGATTTTGAGTGGAATCTGTTGGGCTCAGCCAGCCCTTCAATGACCAGGATCTAGCAAAGGTGGCTAGTACCGTAACGCTTACGCTAACGCAACCCAGATGTGCACCAACAGGCACTCGTGACTACCAAAAAGGTTCTTTCAGCTCGTTTACAGACTCGTGTCCCAGAAAGGGCATGCTGGTGTACAGTATGTGCCCCAAAAGGGTTGTCGCTGGGTTTTGTTCGGAACGTGGCGTTTATCGGTCATGCAATACCACCACACTTTGAGTTTGATCTAAGCTTCGACCCTGATGCTTGTTCGCATTCACCGTGGCTCATCCGGGTCCACCACGTGGAGCAAGGTCTTGCAAAGTAGGTACTCGTTGATGATGTGTCTTGCCTGTAGAAGAGTGAGTCGAGACCTTGCTGCAGCATCTCTGGCCCCTGTAAGCCTTCCAAGGTTGTTACCCATACTTGTACACTACATTTGATCGCCATTATCTTACCACCCTCGCTTAGAGGCATCCTGGGTTGAGCTGCTGCGGTGTCACAGCTCGATATGGTTTCGATTGATCTTGCTTCTCCTCGGCACGTGAGAGAGTACGGTAGGAGCGGGCTAGAGCCGTAAGAGAGCAGAAGGGAGTGGAAGGGGAGCGCGAAAGAGAGGAAGGGAGTAGAAGAGAGCGGACGAGGGAGCGAGTCGACTAAATAGTCGTTAGCGTTACTTGTTGAATTTATGTTGTGTTCCGTCCTAGAAATATGCCAATTGTCCCGGTCTCGATGTGTCCGTTCAGCCGAGCGCGGAGGATCCTCAAGTAACAGGCTTCTTATGGCGCCAGGAGTCGAAGAGAGTGGAATTGTGGGATTTGGATCCACCACCGACCGTCATCACGTCCATTGCGTGCCTGCACCAATGGAGCCCATTTTGATTCAAGGCTAGTATAAGATTGTAGAAGAATGAGAGTCTGTATAAAATCCTCACAGCTTTATGGGAGAGGTAATGGTACCGTGGTAACTAGGTATTTTATCGAATGTAGTAATCGGGCATTTGAGTATGCCTGGATACCATACTCAGGTCGGGGCCGATCAGGCACGCAGAGTCCGTCCAGACGCTCAACCAGGCATTAGAATGCTACTTAGGTAGGGTCCATCCCCTAGTGACTGTTCGATGCTCGTCAATGTACGGAGCCACAAAGGGAGGGGGAGTCAAGTCCGAAAGTGTCACCCAAACCCAGCCTGAAGTCCATTCAAATGCTCAACGATAAAGTAATCATGCTACTCACATGGCACTCCACGGCCAGAGCAAGACTTCTCCCGATCAGAGCACACTTTTCACCGCTTGACCTTTCGCCTTCTCCAGCGTGGCTCACAACTTCTAATCCCATGTACGTGGGCAATCGAAGCATTCAGAGCGCACCATTCACGACAGAGATTCCCTGCTGCATAGCAGTCACTCCATTCTTTGACCCGTTCATGTATGTCAGCTTCTGCTCTAGGAGGAGCGAAGGCTGCTTGTTGTCTGAGAATACCTTCGCTTCGCCATGCTGAGTGGTAGGTACATGCGATGGGTTTTGCACCAGCATGAAGCCACTGAAGAAGCTGTCCATCGCAGCATAGTCGTCAAAGTCACCCACCCAGCTTACGTACTGATCTGGTCGAAGAATGACTGCGGCGCCGATGGACGGGTCGATGCCATAGTTCTTGTAGGCCTGGCCGTGTCCCTCATGGTAGCTCTGTTGGTCCAGATGTCAGTATGCAGACCCAGGTTTTGGGTGCATTGGCGGGGTGATACTCACCTCGTCGTCAACAAAGATCTTCCAGTAGTCCCAACCATCATGATCAGACCAGGGTCGGAAGGGCTCCGGGAGATCGAAGATGGTGATCTCTCTTCTTGGTGCGGAGTGCACAGCCAGGAGCTCAAACACACTGTCGTATTTTTCGTTTGCTGGCGTGTACCGATTCAAGAAAGACTCCGGCGAAGCCATCTTCCGACCAAGGACATCCAGCCTCGCTTTGTTGTCTGCGTTTCGAATATCACCAGCAAAGATAACCACGCGCCATGTACCATTGCTCTTGAGTAATTCTTGGAAGTGCCAGGGTCGAGCATCTGATTGATTCAAGACTTTGAGACTGGGCATGCGCATACCAACCTTGATGTCTTTCGCACGGTCCTGGGTGCTGAAGACACGTGTTGACGCATCGCCAATGACGTCTGTACCATCTCCCTGTTTTTCTGCGCTCCCCTCCTTCGCAACGATTAAACTTGCGCCATAGTCTACACCAATAGCAGTGGTAAACATATGGGCTTCTTCGAATGCTTTCTTGAAGACCTCCATGTTGACGCCTTCTTTGTCCATGGCGTTCTTGGCCGGACGCCCACTGAACAGGCGGCTAAAGCGGTGGTCGAAGCTGATTAGGTCCTGAGCAATGCGCCGTCGTTCAGACTGATAGGTCTTGAGCACACTGCGGTTCCAGCGCCCTTTCACACAGCCTGCTATTTTCCACCCCAGGTTGAAGGCATCCTGCATTGAGACATTCATGCCCTGCCCAGCTTTTGGAGAATGAGTGTGGACAGCATCGCCTGCGAGAAAGACTCGCTCGTTGAGAGAGAACCTATCGCCCACGCGTTGACCGATCTGATATGCTGTCCACCAATCTAGGTGCTTATATGTGATGCTGTAAGGCCGCATAATCTTCTGTGCAGACGCAATGATGGCTTCTGGCGTAAGGCTACTGCGATCAACCTTCTGGCCGCTGGCGGTGTTTGTGGTTGTGAGCTGGATGTACAAACGGACCAGTTTGTTTTCTCGCGGAATGATCATGACGCTACCGCTGCTCTCGCTGTGCACAGCACAGCGCATTCGGATATCAGGGAAATCGGTGATTGGGATGACGTCCATCACTCCCCAGATGTAGTCCGTGCTATCGCCTTCGAGTTTGAAACCTAGCTGTTGTCGCACCCAAGAGTGTGCTCCGTCTGCGCCGAGCATATACCTGGCTTTCACAATTTCTTCCCGTCCAGCTTTGGCGCCCAGCACCCCTGTTTGCCTGATGAGGTCCTCGGTGTCATCCGCTGCAAGATTGGACCGGAACAAGCCATTTTGAACGGCTTGGCCATTGTTGCTGGTTGCTTTGTGTGCCGGCGTGGACTCCTCTTCTTTCAGGTGCCGCAAACGTACTTGGATTGGGTATGCGGAATTGTCTTCGGCGAGTGATTCATCAAAGCTGAATGATATCGGTAGCACTCCGCGTTCGACTTGAATCTCGCCAGCTAAGCCGGTGCCGTTGCAGGACGTACGAATGGAATTCTCCTTGATGCTGTCAAGCAAGAAGCGCTCGATCCGCCCTTGATGCAGGACCACCTCTGTGAAGCGACTAAGGCCGGGGATTGTATCGGGAATGCGATCTGATCGAACGACTGATGGGTTTGCCGGATCCATGTCCTCTGGTGGGTTCCACAGACAGATCTCTAGCATGTGGTTTGACTCTCTCCACACTCGATGAGCAAAATCGAAGCTGTCGAATATCTCCAGGGTTCGACACCGCAACCCATCAGCTTGACCATTGTAGATTTTCGTCCCCCGTTTGTCAACGATTCGTGTGCGCACGCCCCATCGCGACATCCAGTTAGCCATCATCAGGCCTGCAGGGCCGGCGCCAACGATGAGGACATCAACTTCATCGACCTCCAGGTCTGATCGTTCCGGACTTGTCAAACTCATATTGGAACAGTCTTGACTCTTCAGATGTTGCTAATGGTGCTTCGGTGTTTCCTCCGAAAGCCTAACGATCGCAAGCCTAGCGACCCAAAGGCTTCGTTCGAGCACCAACACTTCTGGGACATCTTATAACAGCATCCCCAGCACGATTTGGCCATCTTCTTCAAAGGATGTGATGCGCTCCCGGCAGCATGCTGTCCGGATCAGGGTAGAAGTAGCTGCACCAATGTTGTGCCGCAACGCTATCCTCCCACCCGTTCATTGGTGCCTCCAGTGTGTTCGCGATTGGGCATCTGGCTGGGGGCGGGGGGACGGGGGTCAGGGAGGTATTCAGCATAAGGTTCGGACGACCCCCCACCATTGTCTGCACCGGTCCGAAGACTGCTGTGGTTGGTCGCCAGAAGAGCCTTGAGCCAATCAGCGATGGGGTGTGTGGAGGGCGAGGTCTAGACCTCGGAGGAAGACAACCGGACGCCCGTCTCGAGTGCTGCGTACCTACCTAAGCGAGCTAGGTACCTAGGTAATCAATATCCGTATCGTGTGACACTGTGACACAGACAGGATGTTTCTTGTGCGGGGCAATCAAAGATAATGGATGGTTCAAGCTCTGCCCAACCTGCAGGCAATGATAAACAATGCTTGGCAGCGAAGCGTTTGGCTTTGGGTCCCAATGCCACTTTTTTGCAAGTCTTCTTCCAATGCTGAAGTGATTCGTAATTCGTGCCCATCTCTGAAGGTTCTCAACGTGTTCAATAGTTGCCGCTACGTTGAATCCCTGCCATGTGCCGAAATATCACTGTGCTGCAAGGCTAACGGAAGACGACCGGCTGCTTAGCATGGTGGACGCTCCCTATTATCCGAAGAACAGAGCATCATGCCTGGTCAGTGGCTGCATGACTCGAACCAGAGCTTTTGCTTCGTTGAGGAAGACGACATCGATATGCTCGTAAACGATGAAGACGACATCGATGTGCTCGCAAACGATGAAGACGGTGGCTACGGAGACAACCCGCCGACATGGTTACCGACATGGATCCCAGATTTGCCTCTTCGTCCGGGCCATTCCTCATGCTTCGAAACTTCAGACGTGGATCAAATGCTAGATTCGTGGTCCCAGCACGCGCATGAGATAGTCATAACCCCGTTCCACTGTGCGCCAACACCATTATCTGAATCCAGTCACGGCACAGTGCCCTACGACGTCGACGTCAGCGCGACGGAATCAGCACGTAGGAAGCACAAACTACCCCTTCTCGCACCCAAACCAGTTCCGGCGCATGCCGTCGACCCTCGGCCAGAAGCGACGGTGTCAGGTGTGGCGGGCCTGCGTCCACTCGCTCCAAAACCGCTTCGACCTTCCAACATCCACGACTTTCCCAGCGCGATCTCGAAATCTACTTCGGGAAAGCATAGGAGACCAAGGTCTGATGCAGCCACAATTCAGCTCGTACGGGAGGAGACATGTATCTCTCGCAGTCTAGAGGCAGCGACCGTCTTTGACAGGGCAATCCTCAGCGGACTTTCCAGCATTCATCTGACCATGGGTTACAACATTGGTCAGTCGCGGTCACAAGTCGACATGTACATCACAGCGCTGCGCCAGGTGCTCAGATCGATGCGATCGCCAAGTTCGGTGAAAAACGACGGAAAACGTCGTGCCAGCGCCGAGGGTGTTCTGTGGGTGGTCAGGGAGGCTTGGCCATCCGCAGAAGGCTACTATAACATGACAGCTACGCTGCGTGGGCTGTTGGCGGTGGAAATGTGGCGCAACTTCCCGTCTGAACGGACGTACCGACAGCTGCCTCCTGAATATCGCCCGACCAGAGCGCAAATGGTTGCACCGCATCCGCCCAACATCGATTGGCTTCCGTGGCCTGATGTCCGAGATCTAGCTATTCGTTATCAGAACTCTTATGACATGGATGCGATTTTTCGAATGGCGATTCACAATGTCGTTGCTCATCGCAAACCTGGGCACATCGCTTCCTCGTTGGAGGATGCACGCTCTTCGGGAGTCGAGGATAACACCTCCTTTCGTATATGGGATCTGATCTGCTCGGAGAAGGCCAACGGCACAGAACCACTGGCAGATTCCCGTCTAGAGAGGAAGGCAATCCTTAGGTCACCGACAGTGAAAGCCGTCCTTGATGCCTACGATCTCGAATATGATCAATTCCATACTCAGAAGCTCGATGATGAATTCTTCCTGACGTTTCCATGTCTATACGCTGAATCTGCTGCATCAAGTTGGAAAGTTCGGGCCTTGGACGGCGTTCCCCTGTTTGACGTTGGCGCTCCAGTCGCTCTGTCGAGACCAGCTGTCGCAAGACTACAGGCACAGATCAACTCTATACTTTCCACTGATACTTTGGATTGAAAGTCGCATGGTTAACTTTATGTTGAATCAACAGATCAGTTTTGGATCGAGTGAACGGTCACATTTTGTTGTTCTATTTGTCCATGCGGCGGAACTGGATGGAGCACGCAAACAGGAGGTTATGATTTTAGTATCTCTCAGCGGCCATGAGAGCAGCCGAGCGCCCAAGCTCTCGGCTTTCTATAGTTGAGTCACTTTCGTTGAATAATGGCCATCGCTTCCACCTCGTACAACAGAGCAGGGGTTGCCAGCGCTGCTACACCCAAAAGAGTGGACGGTGGTCGGTGATCACCTATCTAGGGTGCCGTCAGAGCGTGTAACGCCAGGACTTGGACACTAAATAGGACAGTGTCTATTGAGACAAGTTTAACGACATTCAACTTACGAAGTTGAGCCAAGCCTCCCCCCTCGAAGTATCCTTCGGATCCAGATTGACCACGTAGTGCTGGACCTTTACAATATCCGCTGGCGTGGCACCTGCCGCAGCGAGACAAATTCCCAGATTCTGCAGAGCAACGTGGACTTGCTCAGCAAACGTTGAAGGAGCGATGTTGGTTTGAGGATCGACGCCGATCTGGCCCGCGACGGTGATCAGTGATGCGGTTGGTGAGATTGGAGTGCTCTGGACGTATGAGAAGTTGGGCTTCGGCGGCAGGTTGGGAGGATTGATCAGAGCAGAAGCCATTTTGCTATCGACGTTATGACGATCTGACTCATGAGACCAATTGCCCAGGTGAATGGAACGTATCCTACTTATATTGAGGACGTGTGCCGGACAGCTCTCGGTTGATCCAGGTTAAAGCGGAAGTAAATCCGGACATGAATGACGAACCTTGAAAACTGGTACAATAACAACGATTAACAACTGTATTTACTGCCACGACGTCAGATCAATATGCACGCAATAACAGAGTAAGATCATAGATGTTGTGCGACAGATGGTGTCAGCAAGGTCAGCTACGTGGTATATTTCTAAGCCAGGCCCGAAGCCATATCCGAGGGTGCAACCCCGAGATCGTCTGATTGGCTGAACTCTAAGACGCTGTCGACTAGGATACTGGCATACTGTGCCTCTTCGGAACGTAACCTCTCGAGGACAACGGCCAATGGTACAGGGGGTTCAAGTACTGTTCCGAGGTCGAAAATCGATGCTTGAAAAAGGTGTCGAAAAGGTGCAGCTACTAGATAGGTGACCCTTAGCTTCAGCCTTCATCGTACATTTCTGTCTTCCTAAACACTCTTTCTACGCTCTACTCATCACGAAGAGCAAACAAGAACAGTGTATACCGCGACGCCATGGGGAGCATTCGACCTGAATTCAGAGGTGTCGAAGCGTCACGCCCCAAGTGGCGGCAAGACGCGCAATGGCAGTTCACACAAACAGCAGACCCGGGCTGGAGGCCAGGAGACGGTGCTAACGACGGTGGTGCATGGAAAGATCACAAGCAAATCGACATTGCGCCGTACGAAAACGGCCGCGCAGCAACTCTGAACTACAAGCTTCTCGTCTCAACGTTCATCCCTCGTCCAATTGCCTTCGTGAGCACAAGAAGTAAGGATGGGAGCACAACAAATCTCGCTCCTTTTTCATACGCACAGATGATGACACACGATCCACCACTCTTCGTCATTGGCTTCACTGGCGGCTTTGCTACTTCTAAAGACACTCTCAAGAATCTGCTAGAGAGCCAAGAATGCACCATCAACATCGTATCAGAGCACTTTCTCGAAGCAGCCAACGCAGCAGGCACCGTCGCGCCATATGGTGTCTCGGAATGGGCTTTCACGGGTCTCACACCAGCGCCGAGCAAGGACGTCAAAGCCGAACGAGTTGCCGAGGCAATCTTCAGTATAGAGGGCAAGCTGGTGGACGCCAAAGAAGTTGATTCACGGGCCAACCCAGGGCAAAAATCTGCTTCCCTGGTCACTATTGAGGGAGTAAGATTCTGGGCTCGAGAGGATGCTATCAACGAGGATAAGAGTTTCATTGACCCCAACGTGAGTGAAGACACAGCTTCCAATAAGATCTGAATGCAATCATGCTAACGGCATCTACTTAGATTCTTAGGCCAATGGCAAGACTAGGCGGCATTACTTATGGCCGAATCTTGGAGGCCATAGAGCTTCCTCGGCCTGAATGGAAGACGTTTGAGCAGGATGTCAAGGAGGCCGGTCTGTACAAGTCGAAGTTGGACTCACAGTAGACCCCCTTCTCACATATATTCGACTCAAGGGCCGGTCATCGAGAGCTATTCTCACACATCGCAGTAGTGCTCGCTGATGTACATAAAGAATAGATACGTTTCCCTCACTGTACCTAGAGGATGTCATGATGCCCTAATAACACAATTAGGTAAAATATTGATAACACTGCTGCATAGCTAGTGACCTCCACGTACTCAATGATCGTACCCTGTCTTCTCAAACATGAGATGCATATAACTCGGGCGATATCAGTTCCGTCCTAACATTACTAAGAGCTTAACAGAGCACCGTTGTAAGGCATAGAATACGAAATATACACAAGCGCTTTAAACTAGAACTTACTTTCCTTTTCAATGTTGGATGTGTTGAATTGTCGAGCGACCATGTTGGCGGTAGTCTTGGGACAGTGGATGAACGATTTCGTAAAGCACGGAAACTGTTGCTGGCAGAGATAGGACAGATCATTATGCGCTACACAGGTGTTGTACGGTGGGCAGCGTGATTTTGATTAGGAAGAGCGCCGGCAATCCCACCTTTTGATGCTTACGAAGCTATGTTGGTCCCCTTTCCGGACGTTTCAATGATCCACTTGTGGCGGAACCGAGTTGCGATACATAATAAAAACGGAATCATTTCATACCCATCATTTTTGGTGTGCACTTCGTCGCCTCCTACATTACCTTGTTCGAAATCTCTTGCTCACAGCAATTTTCGTCCTCACAATCAGATCCAACACGTACCAAAAATGGCTACCCAACGAATGACATTCTTCAAGGTCTTTGATCCCCAGGCGCACTCTGACGACCTCATCCAGAAATACAACATCTTGCGCGAGACCAATAAAAAAGTACTTTGCAACTCTCTTCCCTTCATCACATGTTAACGTGAGGCTGATTGTCTTCTTAGGATGGTAAACCATATGTATGCCTCTTTCACCCTGTCCCAAGGATTGGAGTTGATATCTCACTAGATCCGCTCCATCATCGCGAAGCCCACAATCGCCAATCGCCTCGACAACGGTTACAACTTCGTTGCAATCACAACATTCGACTCACTTGAAGACCTTGAGTTTTACGATAAGGAATGTCCGGCGCACAAGAAGTTGAAGGAGTTTTCCAATGAGGTGACAGAACGCCCACCGCAGAGCGTTTGGATTTACTTGTGATTAGTATCATGTCTTTAATAGATGGTGCAATCTGGTGGAGTGCACTGCTTGTTGATGTCAAGTTGGAAGAGCCATTCCCAGCTATCTCTCACGTGTAGCCACGTATTACTCTGCATTCACGCTCTATATAGTTCGCACTCCCTGTGCACCTCTGGTTAGACAACTCAAGGAACTTTTCAATCACACTCTGACAGTTGAGTTCGTCGAATACGTTTCCATTGTCTCTGTTCGCTGGTCAGATTCGTGAGATTCCGCACCCCAGAACGACAAGTTACAACCGCTTTGTGTTAATCATGCCGTCCATCTCCGAGACCCTTGACGTGCCGCTCGAGCTCAGAACCCCGCCGTCACCGCTGCTCCGGCCACATAGCGTTCCGTGAAGATCCCTGGTTGACAGTCCACGGAGATGAATTTGTCAAAGCATTGCCTTCAGGCTTCACAGCTTCCAAATTAATCAGCTCCATCGGCCACCGAGCCAGTGAATAGTATAGTCAATCCGGGCCGCTTTCCCTTATCAAGTTAAGACCAAATTTAGCTTTACCTTTCTTGCTATTCAACCAATGATCGGGCCGAGTGCAGTATCCGGGGCTTGCTGATTGGCGCCCACAATTTACTACCCTACCCGTGCCCCCGGGGCCCGGACTAGGCCTGACTCCAATAGATTGAGGGTCACCGTTCCGATGATTCGTTAGCTGACGAATAGCAGATCAGTGTCAGATAAGTGTGCGGTCCAGAACACGGCTGTGGCAACGCGAGACAAATTGCTGGAGCTTGATGGACAGCCGCCGTACACCATAACAAGGTGGAGAAAAGATCCGTGACCTCAATCGGTTTTGATTCCTCCTCTCCATCTTCAATTTCCATAACTTCCCACATCTGGGATGCAGATGCAACAGTCGTCCTCGTTGACCTCCTGACAACCCTCTCCAAAATCAACCGTCACAATGCTGCGCAGCCAATCTGTCTTGGATGACAACGCCCAGTGGTAACGGAGACACGTCGAGCGAATGTTGGAACTTGGGGGCCTCGTTTCTCACGGTTAGATTTCGGAAATTCAAAAGTATTCTTGGATACATTCACGACTCCAGCCAGCGCATTGTATTGAATCCCTGGTCCGATATATACGGTGTATAGTTTTGGAGGAAGAGAAGAGTCACCGCAATGGCACTGGCTGCTCTCGCCTCCATCCTGTCCCCTGGGCCCAGTTCGGATACCCTGTGGTCTTGGACAGCACTGCCAGTCCGGCTCGTCCTCCTCTGCCTGCTGTATGAAATCGGCTGGATCATCTACTGCCGCGTCTGGCACCCCTTGGCCGACGTCCCCGGCCCATTTGCCGCGTCCTTCTCGCGTCTCTGGATCGCTGCATCGGTCGCCAACGGGCGGGCAGAGCACGTGCAACGGAGGCTTCATCAACAGTACGGCCCGCTCGTGCGCATTGCACCTGACGAGGTCTCGGTGGCGGATCCCCAGGCTATCAAGACCATCTACGGTATCAAGTCGGGCTTCACAAAGACAGACTTTTACCCGCCCTTTGCGCCTAACATTAGTCTACATGGCGACCACTTTACGCAGTTAGATGAGACGATGCACGCCGAACGCCGTAAGTACGTTAACTCGATCTATTCTATGTCGACGATTCTGGAGAGCGAGCCGTATATTGACGGCTGTATTGATGTCTTTCTGGATAAGATGGCCCAGGTTGCTCGTCAAGGGAAGGAGATTGACTTGGGAGAGTGGATTCAGTGGTTGGTCTTCCCCTATTTACCTTCTCCTTTTTCGAGACTGACCACGGACATACCAGGTATACGTTCGATGTGATTGGCGAGCTCTTCTTTGGGCATCAGTTTGGCTTTCTGCGTGATGAGCACGACTATGGCCGATACATTGAGAGTTTGGATACTCTACTGCCAGGAATCGCCCTCTCCTGTGTTCTGCCCGCGTATATACGGCCCCTTCACTCCAGTCTCGGTATGCTATTCCCAACTATTCGCAATTCCGTCAAAGGCTTTGACGAGATTCGGGCGGCCGGGAGATACTGGACGAGTGTACGGCAACAGCAAATGCAATCCGGATCCGTCGAGCGAGTCGATTTACTGGATAAGTTCTTCAAGGTTAAAGAGGATAAGGCTGGGTGGGATGTTGACGATATTCAAAACGAAGCTTGTGTTGCTATGTGAGTAGTATAGTATACTGATCCGACTTTTGGCCTAGTCGACTTTATCTCTCTGACTTGCACCGCAGTTTCGCCGGTAGTGACACCACCGCAGTCGCTATCCGTTCCATCTTGTACCACTTGATGAAGGACCGAGCGTGTATGGACAAGCTCGTCGCCGAGATAGATGACTTCGACTCTCGCGGCTTACTAGGGAAGCCACACCTCAGGTATGCCGAAGCAATCAAGATGCCATACCTAGTAGCCTGCTGTAAGGAAGGGATGCGACTTCATCCTAGCGTCGGGTTAGGCATGCCACGCCACGTGCCATCTGGCGGCGCCACGATTGCTGGTCGTTATTTCCCTGCAGGCAGTCGGGTATCGATCAATGCTGCCGTGGTTCATTACGACCAGTCGGTTTTCGGCCAAGACGCACACAGATTTAATCCAGACAGGTGGATCAACGGTAATGCAGCGGCGATGGACCGACATATGTTGCACTTTGGCGGAGGCTCGAGGACCTGTATTGGCAAGAATGTAAGTCGCAAGCCATTTCGTGGGGAATTCTTAGCTAACCTCTTGTGAGATCTCGCTGGCCGAAATGCATAAACTCATCCCGGAGTTCTTGAGGCGCTTTCACGTTGAGCTGGCCGACCCGGCAAAGGAATGGAAGACGCACAACTTTTGGTTTAACAAACAGACAGGTATTCGAGCCCGAGTGCGGGCCAGATAGCGCGGTCAGATAGCGTTGGGACTATCCGGGGGGAAACCGTCACTGTAGAGCATGAGTAGAAACAATGGCATTTAAATAAGGAGCCCCTATCGGTTGTTCGAGCAGTGGCTCCTTGATAAAGGTCTGAATCGGAAAATTGGTGACAGGATACAGTTCCTCTCGGTGACTCTCGCATAGGAGTCCTCCCCGGCCCCTCTGCTTCGAGTCTAGTATCGATCTATAGTCAAGGAATACCTAAAACCGTTGAATTGTGTCTGCTACCGCGTCCTACCTATCACCTATAGGCCCTTCCTAACACCACCCGTGTCGGCAGCTTGAGATCGAGTGCAGGTCGGACCACCACAAGAAGAGACTTGGACAGAGGGAGCAGCTAGATGGTCTGGATCATCCTAGCACTCTACCTGCCTTGACTACCACCAGCAGACATTCAACAGATTTATGGTTCTTACTTTAGAGGCCGATTAGAATAGACTCAGGATAAGAGTAATTTGTGAGGTCAAGAGACAATATAGAATTATCTTACTCCTTGAATTATATATATTTGCTGAGAAAAGCGTAGTATGAATGCATTTGAACGTCTTCGTCATAATCGAATAGGTGCTCTGTCCCCGGCAGTCTCTCATATTCATGCGTCGCTCCAATATGCTTTAGGACTCGCACCAGCTCGTCCGACTGTTCCACTCCTACAAAAGTGTCTGCTTCACCGTGCACAACGAACGTCGGAGGGAAACTGTTTCTCTGGCGGAGTTGATCGGTGATGATGTAGGTACTGTCTCCATGCTTCACACGCCAGAGTGACGCTAGATTTGCTGACTTTAGCATGTAGTCATACATGGTTTGCCTTGCTGCGGAAAGGTCGTTCTCGGATATTGGGTCGGCATCAGGGTCCAAGAAAGGCACGATTGCAGCCTCGTCCAAACGACTCCCCTTCGTAACCGGCTGGGGAGTGGTGAAGAACTCGCCCAAAGGGTCTGTGATCGGGTAGATAGGTAAGACGACTTTGGGCCTAATCTTGGAGTACAATCCTATTAGGAGCGCAAGATATCCACCGGCTGAAGATCCTGAGACAGCGATGCGAGAAGTGTCGACTGTCACTCCCGAAGCGGCGATGTGGTTAGGCAATTCGTCCACAATCCAGCTCATACAGTCGAGCGTGTCTCCAAAGATTTCCTGGACGGCCACTTGCGGCGCGAACCTATAGTCGGCAGATATAACGACGTATCCGTATTTCTGGGCGCTGGCCACCGTATGGGGAGCAATATCTATGCGGGAGCCCTGGAGAAGACCACCGCCATGGTACCAAAGCAGGACCGGCACGTTGGTCGCTGGCGTCCGAGGCAGATAGATATCCAGCTTGATGGACAGAGGTCCAACCTTTTTGAATGTAACAGTCTGAGGTACCGCCATGCTGTGATTGCAACTGGGATGGGAGCCTGGAGGTTGAAAGAGCCGAGGTTCACACGGTTTTGGCCAGACAAACGCAAAAAGCGGAAGAGAGCGACACACTTACATAGCTTTCCGACCAGCCAATCTCTTTATATCACAGCGCAAATTGGGTGCAATTCTCTATCGAACCGAGCTTGTACGCTCAATGGGTACTGCTTGTTTGCTGACTTTCCCCTGCGGGTTCGTTCTTAAGAAGTGTCAGAAAGGTGATGTTGCTTGACCTTAGGGCACACTGCCAATAGCAATTGTTTGCGATCCCTGACAATTTAGTGGAGACTTGACTTTCCTTATCAAGTGGTGGCAGATGGTACAAATGTACATACGTACAGCTATCTTACGGAGGCGTACACAAAAGTAGTTGGATTGCGCTAGTATGTATTAGAGTCAACTAGCGTAGGTTCGCTTTTAGGGTATTTTACAGTACATTGCATTTTCAGCCTTTTTTCTTTGCCAGCAATATGCCTAGTCCTTGACAGGGGCTGGGTCCCGGAAAAGCTGGCCCGCAACCCGAATGGGAGTATTAGGAGGGCTTGAAGCCCGGTCGCCCAAATTTCAATTTTCACGTGATTCAATGTTCAGTGGTATTCATGACGGTTTCGTACAATGCCCCCGAGTAATCAGCCGAAGAGCTCAAAATGGCTATTGGCGCGTCTTGACTTTCTTGGCGATGACAGGGATCTCTAAGCTTGGCTATTGGTGGCAATTGCCGAATTGGCCCTAGTAAATGGTATTGAAGGTATGTACAGTACACTGGTAAGTACCAAGGACTAAAGTGCCCGGGGCCATGAAATTCCCCTCACTGGCTCCCGTGTCAAGCTCGCTGACCATTGACCAGTGACCACTTCCGCAGCAACTTTACAAGCGTCGCAATTTACGTGAATTCCTTGCCTTAGCTCCACGAGCAGACTTATCAGTTAGTCAGACTTCAGAACTATCGATGGTGCTCTCCATGTTTCACTACACCAGATAAAGCTCAGACCCCGGCTCGCTGCCCCGGATCGCGGACAATGGACTCCCAAACCTTGTAGCTGCCCTTTATCATTGGTTCCTGGAACGCTATAGAGCCAATCATTCTTCAGAACATAGCGCTCTCGGCCGTGCGTTATCCGGCTGTGACACGACCATCAGGGGAAAATTACCTATCAAACAAAAGTTCAAGAGCCACGACTCGTCGAGATGATGAAAGGTTCTTTCCACATGGTCCGAAAGCACACGGATCCGGGATGGGGGGCTCTGCATCCGATTCGATGTTGGTCCTTCACCCTCGGATGGTGTTTCAGTAAATTCGACCTCTCACGCATGGCCCTTCTTTACTTCGAAAACGCGTCGCTGAATGCTTGTGGTCTGAATCCTTAGACCGCCCAACGACTGCTGTGATGTGTGGAGCCCCTACCGACGATATTCGAAGTACGGGTCAGGAGGTAGCGATAGCGAACTGACTCCATGTTCAAAGATATGAGATGTTCCACATCGGCAGGATATAAGAATCTCCATAAAGTCTCCGCGTCCCCGGGTTTGTCCCTTTCGCTTGTCGACTATTACTCTTCAGAATCAACCACTACCTAGTGACACCATGACTGTCACCACAGCTTTCGGGAATACCATTCCCGGTACCATTCCCGGTACCATCCACCTCGTCGACCTGGACCATACTATGCATGCTCAACATGACGGCAGTGGTGATATCGTTCTGCATCCAGCTCCGTCTAGCGACCCCGATGATCCGCTGAACTGGTCTCCTCGAAGAAAATTGCTTTCCACGATCTGTCACAGTGTGTGAGTGTTGTTTCAGACTGTTCACAATAATGTCGGCTGATTTTAAACCAAGGTACACCTGGTTTACCGGTATTGCCATATCCACTGTCTATTCTGTCCTGGTGCCAATTTCTACAAATACCGGTCTTTCGGTTTCCACTCTTATTGAGGGCACTGGGTATATGTTCTTGTTTCTCGGTACGCCATAGCCTCAAGAGCCGGTAATTTGAGATCTGATGATAGCGATATCAGGATGGGGTCTTCTTTTCTGGCAACCTTTTGCGCTGAAATATGGCAAACGCCCAACCTACCTCATATCAGTTCTGGGTGCTATAGTGAGCATTGCCCGTGCATGACTAGGTTCGAAAGCTGACCATGTCGCTAGGGTACAAGTATCTGGAGGTATGGCGTACTTGCGGGGCGATAGTATCTCCATGGCCACATCCTGACTGTCAACAGCGCCTATGTTAAGAGCAATGGAGAGTGGATCGCAAGATGCATTCTCATGGGGTTTTTCATTGCGCCAATCGAAGCACTTCCTGAAATCTCAGTCACCGATATTGTATGTGTGCGATCTCCATGGCTAATTCTCAAGGCCCCTCCGGAAAGCTGACCGCTTCTCAGTATTTCACCCATGAACGTGGTAAGTACATGGGCCTTTATGCCTTCTCACTTGGAGGCAGTAACTATTTCGCCCCGGTCATCTGCGGATTTATAGCGGAGGGCCAGGGATGGCAATGGGTCTTTTACTGGGCGGCCATCTTCCTTGCTGTGGCTTTTGTCTTCCTCTTTTTCTTTATGGAGGAGACAAACTACAACAGGGGAGCTACTGGCGTTGTACTGACACCGTCACCGCCGCCTGAAGCAGCGATTGGGAGCGAACAAGAGAATAAAGACCTTGGCAAGATTGTCCAGACAGAGAACGGCGAGAACGGCGAGATCGAAGCTGTCCCCAAGACTCGGCTTCAAAAATTGTCGCTCTGGAAACCCGATCACAGTCAAAGTATGATCCGACGCGCCATCCGGAGCCTGAGATATCTTGGCTGGCCTGTTATCTTCTATGCAGGCTTCAGCTATGGCTCCTACTTGGTCTGGTTCAACGTGCTCAATGGAACAACTTCGATCATCCTTGGAGGCTCGCCTTACAACTTTCCGCCTTCGATGGTAGGACTGAGTTATCTGGCTTGCATTATTGGTCTAGTCGGCGGTTGCGTTATCTCAGGCCCTGCAAGTGACCGGCTGACAATCAAGCTGGCTCGTCGAAACAATGGCATCATGGAAGCAGAACATCGACTGTGGCCGTTCTCAATCTGCGTCGTTGGGATCCCAGCTTCCCTAATTCTGTGGGGAGTAGGGGCCGCACATCACATTCACTGGTTCGGTCTGTTGGTGGGAATTTCCACTTTGACCTTGTGTAACACGATTGGCATCTCGCTCAGCGTCAACTACATGATCGACAGCTACCATGAAATTAGTGGTGACGCCATTGTGACTGTGATCATCGTACGCAATACCATGTCATTCGCCGTCAGCTATGGGTAAGTCATCCAGCGTTTACACTGCTCATGCTAACACCTTTCAGCATTAGCCCCTGGCTGACGAATCTCGGATACCAAAATTGCTTCATTTCCGCAGCTTTTATTGGTATGGCTGCTTCATCTGTCTTCCTCGTAATGATCCTTTTCGGCAAGAAAGCCAGAATTCGAAGCGCGGCCAGGTACTATGAGCTAGTGAATGTAAATGGAGCAGATGGTAGGGCGAATTGAGAGGATGGAAGAGAAGAAACGACAGATTCGTAGCTTTCACTACACAATCACAAGGTCACTGCACCATTCTTAGCCGAACAAGTCGAACTCGCATTGCAAAAATCTCAGAAAATGCCTTGCCGCGGCGGGCGCTACGCGAGCGGATATCGTCAAAGTCCCGCATTTCGTAGTCAATCTGAATCCGCATGATAAATCCAGGGCGGAGGCCTATATGGAATTCGTAAGTTCGGCTTTGCAAAATGGGTTTCGGGTTATCCGAGTCTTTTGTGAGGTATCGTATGTGCCTTTGCCGACATCGTTTCTCACGATCCTTTTTTAGATAGGCAATCATCAGCCACCAAGCACTCTTTTGAGAGTGGCAGCATTGGCTGATCCGAGTTTGTTGTATGAAGTTGAAGCTATGGTGATTGTACAATGGAAAACTCAAGACAAAGCAAATTAACGGCAGCATGTTCGTTTGTGAAGGTGGCCAAGCACAGGATCGTCGCCACCCTTTTTCAGTCACGAGGCAGACTTAGCACGGTCTGTCCTCACTTTTTTGGTCCATACTTACGTTCTCAATTTCATCTCTTCATTTGATGGTTCTCAGGCCTCAGCTCGATCCTGAACCTTCCACTACAGAGCTACACCTCGTTGTGAGTTAGTTAAGCCTCAAGAGTCAAAAGTGGCGAGCTGCTTAGGCCAGAAACAGAAAAAGAACTTTAGTGATGCCAGTACTGTAGTAAATGAAGCATCTGTCTAACATGGGTATAATTTATAGGCGCATGATTGTGTCAAAATAGGTTACTAGAGCTGCGAGCAGGGAAATATTTGTCAATGTCGGATATCTCATGAGTGGATTGCAATGCTTTGACCTTGGGGGAGCGACCGACGATGACGTGGATCGATTACTGTCTAGAAATGCACCTCAGATAGGATTCGACAATTCCTAGGTCTCACGGGTTGCCAGTAGCCGCCGAAGGAGGGCGGACCACGCAGCCCTCTTATAAACTCCCGACATAAAGCCATACTACATAGAATACAAGTACGTTACTCCTGCCCGCTAGCTTTCGACATCGCCATGGCTTTCACCCCCTCCCGTTCAATCTCCTTCGCCCAGGGCGGTCGTGGAATCTCTACTCCTGCGACCGTCCTCACATAACCCGTATGACCGATTCGGCCGATGGGCCGAAGCACAGCAAAATGTTGTTAAATGATGAAATGACAGCCCGCCTAATTAGGTCTAGCGGCAAGGCTGCGGGTAAAGGGGCCCTGGCAGTGTGCCACTCTGTAATTAGAACTTCACAAGCTTCATGTTACAACAAAAAATCGATCAGCCCCCCTACGTCCTCGACGGCTTCCTCACGGACCCAGAAATGCACCCCCGATAATGGCTAAGACATTAGTTTTCTTGCCTTTAGTCACCCGAAATTCGTACTCATTAGTTTCCAGTAATTTACCATCAACACTAAAGATAGCCTCTTCAACGCGAGAGGCGGAGACGCTGATATAAGTGTAGGCGTTAGGCCCGTTAGGACCCACTCGGAGATCCCGTACGGTGCAGCGGTGCTCGAGGTGTTAGCTGCCTCCACCAAGTGTTCGGAGACGACGTTAATAATACACTCGCCGGATTGGATAAGGTTGCGTAATGTATCCTTAGGGTTATCTATATCGTCCATCGTGAAAGGGACGGATCGTGATTAATGAGCTACGTATAGCTAAAAGGGCTAAGGTTCGTCGAGCTACTATCCTTCGACCTGGTGCTCAAAAAGCCTATAGGTCTTGGGACGATAGCTGATCCGAGTAGCTTATAGTTCGCTGTCGCAGGGCGACCCTCTGCATATAGATCGATTTCAAGATGCTTCTTGGTCAGCGAATCCCCGTTATCCGTCGTGCCCGAGCCCTATTCCCAGCTGGGGCGGCACGTTTGGGTAAAGCTGAAAGTCAGCTCACGGTCCCATTCCGGGACGCAGCGTCGGAATTCGCCTCCATTATAGAACCCCATTCTGGAGGACTGTCGGGAGAAAAGGCCACAACAGATGCGGGTGGTTGCTCAATTCTGCTTGTGGAAGGTCTTGAATATGGGGGCCCATGACTATACACTTTTATCTCGTTCTCCACCCGGGGTTTCTTTACTTTCACTTCGCTTTGCACTTCAAGGACATTTAGTGGTCATCGCCAGCCACTGACCTCCACCAAATTCACCCATTGACCACTCCCATCGTTTTGATCAGGTTTCGCTTCAGACCCAGATACACACGGTCATAATGGCCAGCCTGTACACTTATATTCCACATTCCCATAGTCTCAACGCCTCTCCTCGCGACTTCAAAACGTATTCCCTCCTCGAAAGTCACTGGCGATTTGTCGCCTTGGTTGACGAGCTGTATTTCGTTGTGAAGTGTGTATCGGAGCATCATTTCCATGACCAGGTCGATCGGCGCGTCGGCCTGGCAGGCTACTTAGACTTGTCGGATCGTGTCCGAGAACCGGAACGTCGGGGAAGATCCCCCGGATCGAGTAGATAACTATCAGTCTATCACCACTAGAAACCTAGACTAATCCTGCTTAGAAATGGTTCAAACCACCCCAGCCTGAGCTCAAGTACGGAGTAACTCGCTTCCACATCTTCGCTCCAACTCCACCGCTCCCTCTCTTTTGTCTCTCCATCCATGCCAAGCCAAACATTTCGGACCGGCCGAGCTGAAGTTCATTTTGCCGATCTCTTCGAACACCGAATGAGTAGAGCTGGTGGAAGCACCATGTTGAGGTCAAAGACAGGATGCATCTCATGTGGGATTCCTCTCGCCCGGCATCCCACTACCTGCAAACTAATTTCCATACCAGGTCGGGCCAGACGAAAGAAATGTGACGAGGCACGCCCGTCTTGCCGGAGTTGTACTTCATCACTCCGCCGCTGTCGGTGGCCGACCGCAGATGAACTAGCCGACAGACGTTATGGATCTCATCGAGTTCAGAAATCCGTGTCCCCTACACCCCCAAAGCGCTCATCACCAAACGGCGACGGCGACGGCCTTGCCGTGAGGGTGGAAAGTGCACCAGAGGTCTCCTCACTGGACTCAAGTCGCTGGCTGCTATCCGAATCTACTGCTCACCGAACACTCGCCCATGATCTAGAATCCGTCATTTCTCGGCATTTTGTGCAGAACTACTACCCATTTCTCATATTACCCAATTCTAATCCTGAGTTCTACTGGAGTTGGATGACTGATATAAAAAAGCTTATGGTACAGTATAAAGCCCTCCAGTACTCGCTTCTTGCGTGTAGCGCGTCCCACCTCCATTTCGTGGATGCTGCTCCGTGGATGCAGGACCTTGCATTGGTCTACTACTCAAATTCCGTCGAAGGACTTTCAGAGGCATTAAGAGAGGGGGCTCAGTTGAAGAATGATGACGCTTTCTTGACGTCAGTAATTCTACTTTACATTCATGGGGTAAGTCATGTAATCTTTATCCGAAACATTGCATCTATTGAAATAGCAATAGCTAGCGACTTACTGACTTTCCTCCACCGTGTAGTGCATGGGTCGAGGCACTTACACTGACATACCCTTACATGTCAATGCAGCCACACGCATCCTCAAACTACGTCTGCTTAGCAGTTCTGGCAACATTAGTCGCCCGTTCGATCGACTTGCCATTGAGAGCGTTTTCTATCAGACTTTCCTTGTCACCACGGGCTCCTGGTCGGATCCTCTTGAACTCGATTATCACTTCGATGCCGAATTTTGGCTACAAGCGGAACGCTTACTGGCCAAACCAAACTTGTATCTCGGCTGTTCTATCGGCTTCAACAGTCCTGTCATCGGAGTCCCAATAGCTTTGGTTAGAATCGTTCTATCTCTTAAGAAATTCTATCAGAGCCCATCGCAGCCTGATCAAGGAACCCTAGACCAAATCAGAGCTGAATTGGACGAATGGGAAAGCCTAGTGTATAGTGGCCAAGATTTGGACCATCTATCAGAAAACGAACGGCCAATTCTCAATTCACAGATGTACAGAGACGCCGGGTATCTGTACATCCTTACCTCGTCTTTGTTACTTGATCAGTTGTCTGGAGAGACGCGGACACCTGGACCGCCTCAAGCAGTACCAAGGACTTGTTGGCAGATGAAAACGATCCTCCATATTCTTCGAGGATATCGAGATAATGATGACTGGGCAAGGCTCTTACTTGGCAACTGGCCGGTCTACTCTGTCGGGTTTTTTATGAGTCATTTGGAGGATATATGGCTTATCCGAAACGATCTGCAGCGAAGATGGGACCTGGTCAAATTCTCTCAAGTTAGTCGATTCCGAACGGACTTGGAGTCTACCTGGAATCTGCGAGGATATGACATCGACACTTCCTGCTGGTTAGTTTCCTAGTCAGCAATTATGGGCATCGCTCTAATGGCTGCGGCACAACATTCAAACAACCTTACCATCTCAGCTGGAGCTCTAAGAAACGGTCTCTTTCACACGTTCAAGCACCCAGAAGCTAATACGCTCAAAACCTCGACCGTGCTGGATGCATGCCAAATTGTTGAGAAGAAACGCCAGGGGTGAAAGATCCGCAATACACACGCAGTTCTGCATTTCAAGGAGCCTCGAGCCACAAAGCTGGAAATTGATGATACTTGTTAAACTAGCAGTTCCTAAGCAAGATCACGGCGGTCTGGGGCCGTAAATGATCGTTCATATATAACTGTGTTGGAAGGGCTGGGGGGTCGGCTCCAAGAGCGTGGCTTGCCGATTCAAAGGCCTTGGTCAGTGCAGCACAGAACTCTTTGGCAATAGAGTGGCGGATGAGAACTCGTGATGCAGCTAGAACCGAGTCAATCGTCGTATTTTCCGGGCATAACAGGATATGGAGTTCAACAGCCCTGCACATATCTGCCCAGAACTGAGAAGAAAACCTTCTCCAATACTGTATCCGACCGTCAGATCAGTCAGTACGCCATGCCACACCACAGCGCAGGAGAAAATAAACGGGATAGAACGTTCTGTTCTCATTCCATCTAGACTTGCGCTTGGATAGCCTCCTCCATCGGCGCATCTGGGAACACGACCACTGGTGACTTGCCACCCAGCTCTAAAGTGACCTGCTTGAGGTTGCTTTTCGTGGCTGCTTGCAACAGAGCTCCTTGAAGGGTGGCCAGCTCCTTGAGGAACTGATACGCAGGTATCCTTTTGAAAACTGGGATTTGTCGACGACGCAAGAGAGCTGGTTTGATGGCGTAGTACGATGAGTAGGAAGCCTATGAGGTACCTGAAGCATTTCAGGACGGATATCTTGATCAAACCACTAGAGTATTAAACTGCGAATTCTGATTCCTAGGTGTGATAAGTACGAATATATCTATAACTTTGGATAGTTTTAAATCTATTCGTATATTCTAATATCTAGAGATTAGAATAATATTCTGTAAGATCGTCTCCTCTTTAAGAAAAACGCCTCTAGCTACTATAGAAATCTCCGATAATCGATGTTCTGATGCAGTAGTATGCTTTTTGGGATGGCGAGTTCGTAGTGTATTGCCCGAATCATTTTGGGATTTCGTGAATCGTGGCTGCAATAAGGTATTCTGCTGGTGAACATTCACTCGGAACTCAGCTAAACGAGGCCGTGACTGCCAAATTGCACACCTGCCGTCACCGGCTCCAGGAAGCGCCTTCATGGCCCCTGCTGTGATCTGACTGGCCTCATCCGCTGCTTGTCGGATACGGGCCGTCTGGGAGTGGCTTTCCATTGAGAGTCGAATCATGAATGCTCCAACTACCCTTCATGAGGTGAGCATAAAGATTATGCGAATCTGTGAACCAGTCTCCGGATCTGCCGTAGGCATTTGAGCTGTCGTTCAGACCCGCCCGGACTAGTTCCACATGCTAGGAGGGCAGTGAAGTTAAATACACCAATCAATTATCGTCGGATCTGTACCCTGCCCTGATCATTGGTTCCTCGGTAGAGCTAGTGAGGCTTATTTATATGCCGTATGACAACTACAACTACATGCAGCAATCATTTGCCTGAATGAGAAGCGAGAGCACATAGAGAATGGCTACGGAATCGTGCTTCTTGACATTCTCGATGCTGGAGCCTATGATAATCGACACGGAACGAGTCAGCGGGATTTACTGATCACACATTGATCAACTTGTAGTCACCACACGGTTGGTGCAGAATTAGAAGGGTGTTCGGGATTCTGGGATCAGCAGAGAGACAGGTGGAATGACCCCCAAAACTCGGATTTGATACCGGCGCTGGGGCCATCCATCAGTTCGAGCATCGGATAAGGACAGAGATTTGCTTCGTAAGTGTTGAGGATATGAGTCGCGGCGATATTCCGTAGCATATACATCATTCGTGCTCGACGGCTTTTGTCAAGGTGAATAAAGTCTATCCGATTCTCGCATCCAAAACTCAGTCTCTCTGAGATCATTCATGCATTGTCCGAGGTTGCAGCCAACATGAATACGGATTCAGTCAACACTCCTGTACTCAAGGACCTAACAGTGGAAAACATAACAGAAAATGTGAAGATAATCAATTCACAGGGCGATGATTCAAGGTTGAAATTTCTCTTCGAGAGGCTGGTTCAACACCTACACGATTATGCTAGGGAGACAAGACTCAGCACCGAGGAATGGGATGCGGCCATCCGCTTTCTCACTCAAACAGGCCAGATTTGTACCGACGTCCGGCAGGTAAGTACTTTACATAGTCGACCGTAGTTAAAAGGTTTTGATTTTGGAGCCAGGGCTAAGAAACTTAGGAATTTATCCTTCTGTCCGACGTCCTCGGCTTGTCTCTCTTAGTTGACGCCATCAACCACCCCAAGCCGCCCCATGCTACCGAGAGTACCGTGCTTGGCCCCTTCCATTCGCACGAAGCGCAGCTGAAATCGAATGGGGACACTGTGTCGCACGATCCAGAGGGTGAGCCATGTCTGGTTATCTCCACCATCAAAGATACTTCCGGACGACCACTGGAAGGAGTGAAGGTCGATGTTTGGGAAACAGACAGTAAAGGTTTCTATGATGTGCAGTACGCAGACCGCGAAGGCCCTGATCAGAGGGCCGTATTGAGGAGTGACAAGGATGGTATGGTTTGGTTCAAGGCAATCGTGCCTGTGCCCTACCCAATACCTCATGACGGACCCGTGGGAAAACTCTTACTCCGCTTGAAAAGGCACTGGTATCGACCGAGTCATATGCACTTCATGTTTGAGAAGAAGGGGTATGATCATTTGATCACGTGAGTACTATCAACAACGCACCCCCAGCACTACGACGACTAGGACTTTGTCTAATCTGCTGATAGTGCGCTGTATCTTCGTGGAGATCCATATGAGTCGTCCGATGCGGTCTTTGGCGTCAAGGAGTCGCTGGTTGTTGATCTCACGACAGTCACCCAGGAGCAGGCCGAGAAATACGCAATCAAGGAAGGTTCGAAACTGCTGGCTTATGATTTTGTACTTGTGGAAGATGATGAGATGAGGAAACTGCGGGACCAAAATGCTTTGACCGCTCTCGCCGGAACGAAACTGAAATTGTTGAATGGGTTGCCAGTTCCAGATATTGATTGATTAGTACATGTGCAACCCCTCGACAGTCAACCAAATGGTCTCTGTGGTCTCAACAAAGGCGGTATACAGCAGCAATAAAGGAATATCACAACGAAACTACAAATGTTTACTTGAGATAAGCCTGCTGACAATTGTTGTGTCTGACCCAAGCTCCAAGTCAGATCTTCCGACAGAAAGGAAGGGAAAAGTACAAACTCTCATCGCAGCGAACACGCCGGGACTCACCCTCGGCCGGGCCGCTTCTCCACTTCTCGTGACCTCCTAGCGCCTGACGAGTCGTGTAGTAGAGCCAAGCATCACGTGATATCACGTGACCTCTTGGCCCTCTTAGCGTTATTAGATAACTACACACTAACGCCTATTCTGGGTGTATTCTCTATTACAGCCTACTTACAATGCAGTGAAGCTCAAAAATGCAAAAGTCCGGGCAAGTTTGCCGAGTGCACACCACCACGTGACGGAGGAATGATGTTCACAAATGCGATAACCTGGTCCAAACTTGGTAGATATCGTGGACGGAGGTGGGTAGTCGACATTGGTAGGCTCCTTCTTCGCAACGCCCTCTCTGAAAGGTCGCGCCCTTTCGAGGATTGAAAGACGCCGTCAAGTCTTAGGCGGGACGGGATTGTAGAAGGATGATCATAATCGTCGAGCGTTGATGTAGAGATATAGACAGAGGAAAGAAGCGACAATCGGAAACCCCCTCCAAACGACGGAGGGGAGTAAAATGTGACTGCGCAATCTGCTCGAGTAATATATATATATAGGTTCCAGACGCAAGTCTGTGGGAATGCAATGGAACAGTACCTGCCGTCAGCAACTGAAAACTTTCTTTCGACTCATTCGAACAAACCAGGAGTGACAGTTCTGGTTCTCTCGACAGCGGCCATGGTTGTCGGTGTCCGACTATTCTGCGGACAAGGTTGATGTGGCGAGAGGCGCGCTCTGGAGAGGGTGTACTTATCCAGCATCATGCGTTACCCAGTGACACAGGTTGATGTGAGAGAGCTGGTCTTCGATACTCACCAGTATTATGTCCACTACACGATCAGAGGAATTGTACTCACTCCGTACAGTTGAAGATATTCAAGGTTGCAAGATTGGGTTAATGTGCTCTCCCGTAGCAAACTGCCGCTACTACTCTGTGCTCCACCGCGATCGTACCGAGGCATTTTTCTCCTTCCGCATTCAAGCATCCATCAAGATGGGGCAAATGAGTAAACAAGATCCAGGTTGCCATTGTCAGAAATTAATTCATCAGGAGAAATTGCTCAGTATTATAATAATTCCTGCAGATTCCCCCAGCCTGAACATCCTCTCTCCTATTGCCACAAAAGCTGATTTCCACCACAAGATATCCGCACAAGGCCGAGAGAAGCTCCGCTTACTCCCACACCAATCAGCCTGGCTAGTTGAAGATGGCTCCCACGTACAAGACGGTGGTTCTCGCCAAACGCCCCAAGGACGACATTGTGCCCGGGGAGACATTCAAACTCATCACCGACAACCCGACACCTTCCGCCGACGCTCTCAAGGATGGAGAGGTCCTCTTTGAGACCAACTATCTCAGTATCGATCCCGCCATGCGTGGCTGGCTGAACGACACCAGATCATATATTCCACCCGTCAAGATTGGAGAAGTTATGCGAGGCGGCTGCATTGGGACGATCAAAGCTAGCAAGAACCCTCAGTTCCCGGTAGGCAGTTTTGCCACGGCCACAGCGGGTTGGACGGAATACAAGATTTGCAAAGGGAGCGAGCTGCAGAGAGTAGTCGTCCCTAAGGGTGGGAAACTGACTGACGGGTTGAGTGTCCTGGGTATGAGACCACTCCAGGAGACTATTTTGTCTTGTCATGTCATTGCGCTAACCGCCGGGCCTTGCAGGAATGACTGGGCTGACAGCTTACTTCGGCATCATTGACGTCGGCAAAGTCAAAGCCGGAGACTTTGTGGTTGTCTCCGGAGCTGCAGGTGCAACAGGCAGCGTCGTCGGCCAAATCGCCAAACTCAAGGGTGCTACTGTCTTGGGCATTGCTGGCAGTGACGACAAGTGCCGCTGGCTGAAGGAGGAGTTGGGGTTCGATAGTGCCTTGAACTACAAAGATAAGGACTTCTTCAAGAAGTTCCGGACTGCCACCAAGGTATTTCTCCCAGATGTTCTAATGTGGTGTGAGGAGACAGCGTGGTCTGACCGAGAACAGGACTTGATTGATGTTTACTTTGATAATGGTGAGTGATCTTGTGACAGGGGGTTGGTATATGCTCACGTTGCGTTCTCAGTTGGCGGCGAGATACTCGACATGGCTCTCTCAAGAGCAAAACCGCACGCACGGTTTGTCATGTGTGGAGGTATTTGGTTCATCCATCCTGCAAAGGGGCCTGTACTGATGAATTAATCAGGTATAAGCCAGTACAACTCCTCTAAACCCCAGGGCCCAAAGGTTGGTGCTTCAAGTCGTCCAAGAGCCATGCCCAACTAACAGATGATGTTCAGAACTATCTCATGATCGTCTCGATGCGGATCCGGTAAGGCATGGCGACGGTCTAACTTGGAATTTCTGAACTAATCAATGTTGCAGCATGGAAGGATTCATCGTTTTCGACTATGCAAAGGAGTATCCCAGGGCCTTGAAAGACTTGGCCCAGTGGCTGTCAGAGGGCAAGATCAAGAGGAAGGAGACTATCGTCAAGGGCGGCTTGGATCAAGCGGAGAACGCTTTGAGGGACTTATACAAGGGGGTGAATACAGGTGAGTTCCCTCTTCGTTTGGGGTGTATAGTCTGGCTGATGTGATCCAGGCAAGCTGTTGGTCGAGGTCAAACCGGTCAATGACCAACTTCGAGCGTCTCTGTGAAGAGATCTATGTAGCCTGGCAGATGGGCGAGTGGACCGAGAGTGTCCCCGTAATGCACTAAAAGTCCTATATCTATATGCATGCCTGCACATGTCGAGGGTCTCGGCAGTATAATCGATATCCAAGCTCCCACCATATAGGCACCACTCAATATGCACAGTGAGGTCAGTTGTATGAGCAGGGTCATCACCTCCCTGCATTTTTGCAGATCATGGCCTGGTTCCATCACTTACTCCGCACTTACTCCAGCACCTTCGAAGCCAGCTAGCTGCCAGGCCAGGGAATATACTCCACCACGCGTTGTTGGATGTCACGTCAATGCGGGCACGGCCGCACCTTGTTCGAGAAAGTCGGTGATTTTTGGAATCCGTCCTCACACTCTCGTTTGTTTCTTGTACTCTCGTTTTGCTGAACCTTCCCTACGCTGCAATGGAGTTTCTATTTCTCGCCTTTGTTTGTCTATTCCCCTTCCCATTGATCAACCTGTGTCTGGGCCAAGCGACAACAACCTCGACGGCAAATGGCGCCACATACACCAACCCCATCCTCAACGCTATGGGAGCAGATCCGTGCGTGTTGAACCCGTCTCAGTGCCTCTTCGGAGGAAGAAGTGGCCGAAGTCACCGCTCATGCATGTTGATAGATGGGTCATCCGGTACGAGGACTATTACTACATGACGTACACGACCAACGACAATATCACGATTCTCCGGAGCAGCGTCCTCACGTAAGTCTAAGTACCATGATATGCTCTATCTCTCCTCCCCCAGGGGAAGAAAGATACACAGACACAAAACGACAAATTGACGGCACCACGTTTGAGGGTTCCTCGCTCCCCGCCTCAGAGCAGCCCGAGCTCACTTATTAACAGGGACTGGAACAACGCCGACGTGAAACTCGCCTTCAGCCCGCCCGCGAACACCTCGTACAGCAAGGACCTGTGGGCGCCGGAGCTACACTTCCTGGATGGGCTGTGGTACATCATCTTCACGGCGGACGTGGACGCAGACACCCCCTCCCCGGAGCAGGACATGTACTGCGACTTCAGCTGCCCGGCGGTGAACCACCGGATGTTCGTGCTAGAGTCGTCGGGCGCCGACCCGTGGGGGAGCTCATACAGTTTCAAGGCCGAGCTGGACACGTACGGCCAGTTCGCCATCGACGGGACGTACTTTGCCCACGCGTCGGGCCTGTACCACGTGTACTCGTGCTGGGAGGGCGCGTACGTGTCGTGGCCGTCGATGCTGTGTATCACGCGGCTGGCGAACCCGTGGACGGTGAGCAGCAGCAGCCCGCTGTCGGCGCGAGTGGTGATTTCCCGCCCCGACCAGCCGTGGGAGAAGACACCGTACAACCGCACCGTCAACGTCCGGCTGTCGTCCAACGAGGGGCCCGAGCAGCTCACCAACCCGGCCACGGGCCAGCAGTTCATCATCTACAGCGCCGCGCGCAGCGACAACCGCAACTACTGCCTGGGCCAGCTGGCGCTGGCGGGGGGCGACGACGCCGATCCGATGGACCCGGGCGCCTGGACGAAACGCACCGCCGGCTGCGTCTTCTACGAGAACCCCGACGAGCAGGTCTACGGCGTCGGCCACGCCAGCTTCACCACCAGCCCCGACGGCGCCGAGCACTGGATCGTCTACCACGGCATGCAGAACTACCTCGAGGGCTGGACCGCGCGCACCATCCGCGCCCAGAAGTTCACGTTCAGCCATGTCGACGGCGCCCCGGTGTTTCCCAGGCCCGGGATGGGGCCGTATGCGGTGCCAGCGGGGGCAGGGGCCGTGTGGGGGTCAGAGATCAATAATGCGACTCGCGGTAGCGGTAGCGGTAGCAGCAGCAGTGCTGGAAGTGGGATGAGCGGGACGAGTGCGAGCAGTGTCACCGCCTATCCTGCTTCTTCATCGTGGGTCTTCGCATGATGACACGGCTGGAGAAGCGCCTCGAGTCTGCCCGAATGGTCGACGACGACGACGAGTTGTCGAAGAGAAAGGGTCAAAGGAAACGGAGGGGACTTGATATATCACGGCCGAATGACGCAGGGGTAAAGGATGTGCACAATGGACATAATACTGAACCCACCTGAGCGACGGTACAGCACCTGAACGTGCCCGGCTCTAGACGAGTAAGCATACTTTAAATAATTTTCTTCGGACATACATCCATATATAATAACGAGGTTCTTTACCACAATTTCTCCACCAGCCCTCTCAGCGACTTTAAAAGTTCCTCATCCTGCGGGCTCTTCTCCTTCTGGGGCATCAGCCCGCCCGTGGCCCTCGAGCAGATAATGTCCAGCTGATCCTTGCCCACGCCCTTCTCGGTCAAGGTCGTCTTCAGGCCGAGGTCCTGCACCAGGCCCAAGATACGGTCGCCGACGCGGTCACTGTCTTGGACGTCGTCGCCCGACCGCTTTTCCCCGCCGATGTAGGGCAGGATGGCTGCGATGTTCGCCGCGTTGTCCGTGCTCTGTCGGGCCTTGAGTTTCACCACGTGGCCCAGCGTCAAGCACGACGTGATGCCGTGCGGGATCCCGTAGGGCGAGCCCAAGGCGTACCCCAAGGAATGGGAGATGCCCAGGCCACCTTTCAGATTCAGCCCCGTAAACCCCAGACTCGCGTAGGCGGCCAGGAGTAGGCCCGTGATCACGTCCTCGTCCTTGGGGTTCTCCTTGTACTTGGGCAGCAGGCGGAAGAGTTCGGTGATGGCGTTCAACGCGACCATGCGGCAGGGGACCCACGTCGTCATGGGGTGATACTGGCTCTCGACGGCGTGGTCCATGGCCCGCAGGCCCGTGGACAGGAACAGGTGCGGTGGGGTGTAGATGGCGAATTTTGGGTCATAGAAGATGTAGGCCGGGTACGTATTGGGGTGGCTGATGCCGGTCTTGGTGCCGTCTGCCTGCGTGTATCCGGCAACGGCGGTGCACTCGGCGGCGGACAAAGTGGTCGGGATGGTGATGTGCAAGAGCCACTTCTGGGACGTTTCATGCAGGCGGTACGAGATGGCTTTGGCGCTGTCGATGGGGGAGCCGCCGCCTACGGAGATGATGGTGTCGATAGTGCTGTCTTTCTTGACGATGGCGGTGGCCTCATCCAGCTGGGCCACAGGGGCATGTTGCCTGATGTTGCTGAACGTGCCCGCGTGGTGATCCTTGGTCAGGAGTTCCTCGAGCGACTTGATGAGCGGAGTCTTGTTGGCCAGAGAGTTGCCCGTGATGATGAAAGCCTTGGACGTCTGGGTGGGCAGAACCGACAGGATGTGATTCTTGACCACGTCCGGGCCATAGTAGAGCCCCTTGAGGCTGTTCGGCTTGTATAGACCCTCCAGGGGATGTAGGTGCGAGTCCATTCTAATGGTGCGGGTTGTTCTTTGAGTGTTCAGGCTGGGGATGCGGGCGGGGGAGACGTGGGCTTTTGTTTGCAGAGCACGGAGCATCAGAAGGGCCGAACGATGGGCGACTTCTCGAAAGAAACAGACGAAAGCGAACAATGTATGGAGTATCTGCTGTGGATTGTAATTGTCAGCATCGGACTGGTGGAGGGAAACAACTATTGATAACTCCGCAGTAGTTGATACAGATTTGTCGTCATGCCGACATCCCACCAATCATCGTGCGTGTTGCCCCTCACAAGGCTGAATATCAAAAGGGCCCCAAGACTTCAGCCTCGGCTATGAATATGAATATGTCTTGAACATGAATATGAACATGTACGAGCTTCACATGTCCTTTTGCTATGTATCATGGCCGGGTATGTGCTTAGACAAGCAAGCACAGTACATTGATCATGCAGTCCGCGGACGATGTGCTTCCAGGACTGGACGGCTGCCGGGGTGGAGATCCATCCAATGAGTGATTTGCTGACATCTAGGCATGTCGAAGGGAAGCGGATTGCCTGGCGGAAATAAGGTGAGTGGTAGAGGGTCAACAGCTGAATGCCTTGGATGAACGATATGACCTCGTTGACACGCGGAGTAACGGAGAAGGAGAAACAAGAGAAAGGATCAAAGTTGCCATAGCATGCAAGTGTGAGACAGAGGAGGTGCATCGACAAGATCAGTGGGAGGAGGAACACTTGAGTTTAACCACCGGCGGTGCGATCAGATCCTCAAGTAATAGAGCTGGGTTCGTTCGTGGTAAGCATCCTTTCACAGAAAACCAAATGCATTCACCAAGGGCAGCTCACGATGTAGTGGACCACTGAATGGATGCCTGCAACTGCTGGTTATCATGTTTACTCTTTCATTGGCGATAGCTTTCATTGGACGTGACCGAAGCCCCTTTCCCTGTGTGGCAACGCCTTCTTATCCTTCTGACCATGATTGATCCATAAGAAATCACCGGTGCAGGAGGGTGGTCGTTGCGTCTATGAGCTGCTCGGAACCATGTGAGATTCTTTGCAACAACAAAGGAGTGCGCAATGGCCAGGCCGGTTGAGGGCGCCCAGGCACAAACGGTCGGTCTACAATATACGATGCGTAGACTTGGCAGAGGAGAGGGCAACGGCACAGAAGCATGGAATTTCAACGTATTATTATTGGTTGGTGATACAGATGATTACCGCTTGCCCAATGCAAGCCCTGTGTGAATGCTTCCCAATGCAACGCAATGCAATGCTTGAGCAACACCAAACAACGTGTGCTCCACGCTAGCCTTCTGCCTTGTCCAGGCCAAGGAGAGGAGATGAGTTGCCCAATATCAGACTGCCACTGGCTGAAGTTCAACCTTGGAGCAGGAGTTCGGAAGAGGTCCGTAGGGGTAGCCATTGGCCTGGAAGAGTTGAGGGACACCGTGCCACCAATCGCAAGCTGCCGGGACGGTTAGTTACTGGTGATGGTGACAAGTCCAAGGGATCGGCGCAGAGGAAAGACTCACCCAACCAGCCACCGGTGCTGGCATTGAATTGGAGTCCAGATGAGTTGAAGAAGAAGCCAGCATAAAGGCTAGTGATGCCGGCGATGCTGATTCCCACCTGGTTCCATTCTGAGACCCGGCTGTTAGCAAATTGGAGAAGAGTTCCGAGACAAGGGAGCACATACGCTGATAGGGGCCATAGCCGATCGACAGGGGCCAGGGACCACCGAGATTGCCAGTGTAGGTAAAGAGTTGCTGAGACTCGTTCAGGTAGCCTTGCCATGCCCATGACTTGTTGGACGAGAGGGCGGCATCACCGAGCCCCGCACCAGTGTGGTATGAGTAGAGCCACAAGTCGGTCTTGTTGGTACCGGAGTCTTTGTGAGCACCATTGACCACCTTGGTTTGAAGGAGGTATCTGGCAGGTGGATCAATGGTCTGTCTTGCCTGGAGAGGTGATGCTGAAACCAGGCTGACGATGGAGAGGACAGCGACGGTGAGAAGGGCGGAGAACTGCATGGTGCTGGAAGGGATGGAGCTGCCGGAGTTTGGCGTGGATGGGATTACTCTGAGTAAGGGTACGGAGAAAAACGAATGCAGTGCTGGTATGAAGTGTTGCAAGGCAATGTAAAGCAATGCAACACAAATATGAGCTGAAGAGTGAATGTGGGGAGGGAGAAGAGTTTCTTTGACGGACGAGGAGGGCGAGCGAGGAATTTAAGGCGGTCGATTCCAGTGGGAGGTTCCTACCTCTCTTTCTTTGTACCTGTTTCAATGGTACCTGACTAGTTGTGAGGTAGCAGCTGGCAAAACTTTACACAGACGATCGCATGATGCGGCAGGCACCTCACCGAGGCATTTCTAAAGTGGAAGTCACGGCCACATAAAGCATGGGAAGGTGGATAGTGGTGGATAGCAAGCTGAGGGGTGGTGGCAATGGCGAGGAGGGATGATGATGATGATGATGATGCTGCCGATGAGGGTAATGGGAGGACGAAGGGACCGAAGGTTTGCATCTCGTGCCTCTTGCCGTGTCGATGGCGCGTGTTGGCTGCATGCGAGAGGGACACACAGCCACCAACCAGGCCAGCAACTGTGGATTGGATCCCGTTCCTTGCGCACCCGCATTGTTCGGATGTCGGCTTCGCAACGAGTCGGAATCTGCTACTTAAGACATGCTTAACCGCCGTTGCTGCTTAGCTGCAGCTGATGGTTCTACCGTTCTACATGTAAAAGGTCAATTTGTCACTCATCCACTGTTGGTTGACACGGAACAGCTCGTCGTATAATACGAGGTACTGTACTCGTATCACTGTCTCAAGGGAGGGAGGGTGCTTGGGGGGCACCCAGGGAAGCTCCATAGCTAGGCAGCCAAGCTACATCATGATCGACTAGACATCCACATCCCCCAGAGTGGCCATGCCGATCAAGGGGCGATGGGCTCATTTATTACCGGACTGCCGCCTCAGCCAATGCGCGACTTTTCATGACCGGTCGTTCTCGTCAAAAATGTGGCCCCAGAATCCTCTAAAATGCTTCTTGTTCCCTTCCACAGAAATGTCCTCGACCTCCTTGGGAGTCAACTTAAAGGTGAAGACTCGCAACATGTCGCTCATGCGTTGTTCCTTCGAGCTAGTGGTAATGGGCAGGACATTCTGGTCGATGCACCATCTCAACAGTATTTCACCAGGGTTAACCGCATATTTCTGAGCCAGCGAGTCCAGCAAGCCGTCAATCGGGCCCCCTTTTGCCTTGGTGACCGGTGTAAGCGGGCCATAGGCGGCAACCCGGATGTCTTTGTTCTTGTGATAAGCGAGCAGGTCTCCGTGTTGTAGGTAGGGATGGAACTCGATCTGGTTGATCGCCGGTCGGACTTTGCATGTCTGGAGAATGGCATCCAGGTGAGGCTTGAGGAAGTTGCTGACCCCAATGCTTTTGGCCTTGCCCGAGGCTGCGACCTGTTCCATGTCTGCCCACTTTTGCTGGAGCAGCTTATCGTCCCCCTTGGCGAAGAAGGGCGCATGGATGAGGTACAGGTCCACGTAATCAAGGCCCATTTTCTTCAGGCTGCGGTCAATGGCACCAGGGATGTCGTCGATGTGTGTGATGACTTTGGTGGTGATGTACAGCTGATCGCGAGGGATTTTGCTCTCCTTGATCGCCTCGCCTAGTTCCACCTCTGTGTTGTAGACTTCGGCTCCATCGATATGTCTATAGCCGACCTTGATGGCGGTTTTCGTGGCATCGATTGTGGCTTGATCCTTTGGAGCATCCGCGCTAGACTTGTACCTGCAGAACCGAGTTGTGGTCAGTCATCAGTGTGCGCGACCTGCGGTAATATGTGATTTTCCCTTCGTGGCTAACACTTGTGGGCAATGATGGTACTCGGAAACATCAACCTCGGTTCGAAAGTGGAATGAATTCAATGTCCCAGGGAAACCACAGCTGCATCGAACTCACCATGCAGTGCCCAGACCGTATCCAATCTGAACATCTCGTTGTCAGCGACACAACTCTAGACGAGCAGAGGTGATCCCAGCTTACGAATGGTATCTTGTTGCCGTCGGGCAACTCCATGTCAGGGATTTTAATGTCTAATTTAGCCATGGCGGGAGAAAAGGACGTGAATGCTCTGTGGTTCACTCGTGGAAACAGAAAAAGTGTGGTTTGATGATTGCTCAGCCGATGGAAGCGAGATATGGCAGCCCTAGGTGATGAGAAGCAGATCATATATACAAAGAAGAGATTCACTGTCGAAGGACGCTCCGATAAAGGACTCGCGTCTTCTAGGTACGAAGAAGCCGAGTGATGACTTCGACGCATCCCACCGGCTGAAAGCCCGAGCATGTCGTTGAACATTTACCGATTGCGGCCGGCGGGGTAAGCACCTCCAAAGGAGCCATCGAATGGTATGATTTGCCCATCTCAATGACGTGCCCAACGCGCTAAAATGCAATTTCCAGATGCCTCGTATTTTGTCAGCCATCGCAGCCAAAGCTGTATCTGGCCTGAACAGGAAGGTGAATTGTAAACCCCGATCGAGCAGGCCACGCACGACTTACCAAATTTCACAAGGCGTTCAGATCCAGCCAGCCAAAGGCGCCGCAGAATCTCCTTCGTCGCCGTCGAATGCGATGGGTCAATTGGGCCAATTGTTGAGCACCACCTGAGTTGCACAACTGTCACCTCTGGCGATCCCACTGGGGCCAGCCTTGTCCTTCCTGGATGTCGGACCTCCTGGACGATGGGCATGGCCCAGCGTGGGCGGCAGACAAGATAACCATTCTCCCACGAAACCTATAGGGAGCATCTGGATCGCCTCAGCAGCAACCTCTACCCTGCCCACTCTTGACGGCGTCGTTCATGGTCAGGTTGACTGTCTTGGGAGCCTTGCCTTCATCTCGACCGGTGCCAGTCCCATAGCCTTTGACTCCACTTCTTCGGTCGTTGAGGTCATATTTGCCGGCTTCGATGTTCTGGTATATTCTTTCTGCCACCTCGAGGAACGCTTTTTCAACTCCCTCCCCGCTCTTAGCGCTTGTCTCGACATATTTGACCACGTTCTCTCGCCGACACCAGTCCTCTGCCTCTTCTTGGCTCACGGCTCGCCTGGTGCCGCCCTGCGCGTCGGTGGTCTGTTCGGCGAGGTCCAGCTTGTTGCCCACCAAAATAACGACGATGCCCTCCTCAGCAATCTGACGAAGGTCGTTGAGCCACTGGGTGACCGACTCGAAGCTGCTTCTCCGCGTGATGTCGAACACTAACAAAGCCCCAGATGCGCCCCGGAAATAACTTCTTGTTATGCTTTTGTATGTTTCTTGACCAGCTGTGTCCCAGAGCGAAAGCTTCATCTTTTTCTGCTGTTGTGGGTTGGCATGACCGGCTCCTCCATTCGGAGCACCGATATCTAAGGATGCATTCGCAGGAGGTCCGACAGGGACTATTCGGCTCCCAAACTCGACGCCGATAGTGACATCATGTGAGGCGGAGAATCTCCCTTCACATAAACGGATAGTCAAGCTGGACTTGCCAGTTCCTTGTGCGCTGTTAGGGCTATTGTTTGCGAAAGACTGAAGGCTGCTCACCGGAGTCTCCTATGCAGACCAACTTTGCTATGTAATTCCACGGAAGCGCAGGGACGGGTGTTGGGCTGGGCATGGGAAAGGTTAGGCGTCGGTCTGGTAGCTGAATAGACGGGGGGCTTCAATGTGTCTCCGAACTGACAGTAAATTTGGTCAGATCTATGCCTGAGGGAAACAATGAACTCGAAAGTAATTACGTTGGTGAGTGGAATAGACAAAGTCTGGTGACAAAAGAATGGATGGTTAACAGCGAACGCCTCTGGCCCGATGACGATGAACACGCTTGCAGGAGCTTGTGAGGAGAGCGCGTGCCCCATTTGCAACGTGTACCTGAATTTCCGGGTAACCAGCTGCCTGGACACTGTGCACTTTGGTAGCTCCGCAGCCTGGAACTTGGCTGGGCCGTCCACTGAATCCAGGCTAGGCTAGGCTAGGCATGCCGGTCATGCCCTCCGCCGAGTTCTCGGCGTGCCTCTTCTTTGTTCCCCGTTTCTGACCGACTTGAAGGTTGGACTCATCATTCCTCAAACCACCAACTGACCACCACGTCTCCTTGTGCTACGGCACGTCCAACACATATCTACGACATATTCTAGCTTTCAACTCAGCTCACCTAGCCCAGATTTGTCCATTGAGAGGATCTGCTTTCGTACCATCAACTATTCGTGCTTATCAACCTCACATACTCACCGACTGATACACCGCGTTGTGACTGCCTGCGGGCAGCATGTTCTCCGAGTGTGAGCCAGAATCTCACCGGTCCCGCGCTCACCCTCAGTACTGACATGTTCCAAGACGCATCCAGGTTTCTTGCTCAGTCTCAATCCCGTCTTAGCTTTGCGCCGACGTCCGCAGACGACCGTCGGTCTGGTGAAGGTCGAGCAACAAGAAGACTAAACCAGACTTGGAGATCAACAACCACTTCCAGGACGCTGAATCCCCGCGTCCCGAACCCTTACCAGCCGACGTCGTCTCAGCTATCGGCCTTTCCGTTCGCTTCTCGCCTGAACCCGCAACAGGCACCTTTATTCTTCAGCGCTACCGACGAATTCCGAGAAGAAAATGACGAGGAGGAGCACGAACGAGAGATAGCCGATTATTATGCTCTCCAGAGATCAAGGCGGCAATTAGGGGCTAGTGACCTACATGCTTCCTCCGATGTCGATGCTGGGAGTGGCTCCAGTCTCAATGGCGCCAGTAGTCACGGAGATGATGCTCGAGATCGAGGCCTGGGGAGACCTGGAGGTATCAGGAGCTCATGGCACGGCGGCGCGCCGAACCCACGACGGAAGGGAACAAACCTGGCGGACCTCGCAGAGTCAGCAGAATCGCAGCCCGAGAGTTCTAGTCCAGTATCGGAACCGAACCCGATGGTCGACGTGGGATTAGAAGACACTTTGAGGAGCGAATATGACGATGACCCGCCAGAAGACTTGATGGAGAATCCCCCTTCAATTCAACAACTGCGCAAACAAAGGCCAAAGGCAGACGACGAGTACGACTCAGATGACTCAGACCAAGAAAACACGCAGAGACGACTGCTTGGACATTCACGGAATCCCTCTGGCGAAACTGAGTCTGTGCCAGATGGCGTCCAGACACCGCAAATCCAACAGCCGAGACATGACGCTTTCTGGGGTCAGCTTTATTGTCTTTCGGTTGCTGCCATGTGTGCAACCTGGTTCCTCGTCTTGCTTCACACAGAGTCACCCAGCACCAACCGGCCGCTCGGTGACACCGTTTACACGACTTTGCATGGATCCTTTTATCTGTTGGCGACATATACCCTTGTAGCGACTTTCATTTCCCTGTTTTGGCTTGCAGCCCTCCGATCATACGTTCGATATCTGGTGTACGGCATCCTGGTTGCAGTCCCGGTTATTCTCTACTCCTTTTCTCTCTACCCGTTTATTTCGAGTTTCCAAGGATCATGGCATGGGTCAAGCTTCCAGGATACCGTCATGAGATGGACCTCGCTCATCCCTGCTATCATGGCCACCTTGTGGGTTCTGGCGGTCTTGAGGGGGCGGTTGGTCATGCAAAAGGCGATTTCCATTCTGGAGTTCTCAACTCGAATCCTCGCCGCAAACCCGACATTAGTGTTGGTTGGTTTTGCCGTCCTGGGTTTCATCGTCAGCTTCACGTGGATTTGGTTGTCGATGTTCGCAAGAGTGTTTCTCGGAGGCCATCCGTCGACGCGGTCAACGATCAGCAAATTTGTGATTGACACGTCAACTTGGTGGCTTGGAGTGTACTTCATTCTTGTATACCTTTGGACACTCACAATTGCGTTTGGGATGCAGCGTACCATTACATCGGCCACAGTCTCGCAGTGGTATTTCCATCGATTGGCAATACCCGCTCCGACATCTCAAGCTATTGTGAAAGCCGCATTGCAACACTCGGCAACTACACTTTTTGGCACCATCGCACTATTCACTGGCTTAAGTCTTCTAGTCCGATTACCGTTGATTGTTCTGCCTCGGCGATTGACGATGCTGCTTGGAGTGGCGATGTACTCATTCATCCCTAGTCCAATCGCAGTCCTGATTAATCCGCTCACTCTTACCTACGCCGCAATCCATTCCCAGCCTCTGGCTGTGAGCGCCCGAGGACTTTCGCAGATGCATTTCCTGGCTCCTAATGACGCCACGACAGCCTTACACCCAGGTACGTTCAGTCGTCACCGGAGAAACGACGGTTGGTCTAATGACTCCGCCCCTCTTCTTCCGTATCGACTGGCCAAGCTCCTCCTCCATGCGACAAGGTTTATCATGTCTTTGGCGCTGGGCTTCGGTGGTTGGGTCACTACAGCACGGACTCTCAGGCTGGACGGGGCTGGGGTTCGCGGCAGTCTCTACGCCTACATAGTCGGGCTTGTTGCAGGAGCCATAGGATGGAGCATTCTAGGTGCAATGGAAGGAGTCCTGGCCTGCATCGTTGACGCAGTGGTGGTATGCTGGGGTAGCGAAGTGGGCAGCACCGGGACTGGAGAGGTGCGGTATTGCAGGGAGGCAGGCAACCTGTTCCGTGATGATGTGGACACTCCTGGTGGTCGCATCAATCTGGTATGAAAAAGAGGGTGCCAAATGCCATCCAATTCTGATTACAGAGACTGAGTAGACAAAATATTGAATGATACCTTTGGGAACTGAGGTGAAGCCTCAACGAAAGTATTTTTGGATCTCCTTTTCACGTGTCAACGGTGCAGGTGGAGTGCCCGATTTCCCCCCTTTTTTCCCAAGATGTGCCAAGGTGGCTCTTCGACACGTTGGCTTTGGCTGAAGTCACCTCGGGCGCATCTGGCATCTTGCAGACTTGAGGTTTCAACCCTCCTGAAGCTGAATTAATTTTCTCCTTAAGACCATCTGGTCCTAAGGTTCCTGTTTCTTCTTCTTTTACGCCTTCATCCTTCTTCCCTTGAATGGGGATTCTTTCGTTGTCTTTCTAATCATTTCCCCTACTTTGACACGCGTTTTCCAGGGCCATTTTGAAACCCGCCCGGGCTCCCACCTACTTTTCTCTAAAGTCACCGTTACACTGCTTCTGGGAACTTGAGACACCTATTCTCTCTACTGCCAGTCCTGCTCATCTTTCTTTCCTGTCCCTAGCCATCCTACAACCATGGCCACGACAAATGGTGGCCACTCGACCGGAGCAGGCAAAGACGAGGCTGAACTTCGTCGCCGAAATGTTGCCAGCTATGAAAAGGCCAATGGGCAGCACGTTTACAAGCTTGAGGCTGAAGATACAAAGAAATTGCAAAAGGTTGGCCACCGATTCGGAACATGATATAAAGAAACGAACCCTGACAATGTCTCCAGCCGAACGCGAGCTTACTGCAATTCCTTGACGAGTGGGAGTTTTTGATTGCCCCCATCATTTTTACAGCGTTTGCCTTGTTCACCAGGCTCTGGCGGATAGGTCTCTCTCCCATTGTCACCTGGGATGAGGCTCAGTAAGCAACCCCGATCTCGTGCCTGCGCCCGCTGCTAATGACTCTCAGTTTTGGCAAATTCGGTTCACACTACCTCAAGCGGGAATTCTACTTCGATGTCCACCCTCCCCTGGGAAAGATGCTGGTGGGCTTGTCCGGATACCTGGCGGGATACAATGGATCATTCGAGTTCAAGTCCGGCGAGACATACCCCGAAGAAGTGAACTATACCTTCATGCGCATTTTCAATGCCATGTTCGGCGTCGTCACTGTCCCGCTTGCATACTACACCGCACGCGAACTGAACTTCAAACGGACTGCGGTCTGGCTAGTCACTTTGATGGTACTGTGCGAGAATTCGTACGCCACCATCTCTCGGTTCATTCTCCTCGACTCGATGTTGCTCTGCTTCACCTTCACCACGGTCTTGTGCTGGGCAAGATTCCATCGACTTCAACACAAGAGTTTCTCCGTCGAATGGTTCATCTGGCTTTTCCTGACCGGCTTGAGCATCGGATGTGTCTGCAGCGTCAAATGGGTGGGACTTTTCGCTACGGCGTTGGTTGGCCTTTATACCGCCGAAGATCTCTGGAACAAGTTTGGTGACCTGAAGATGCCCAAGGTGGAACTTGCAACCCACGTGGTAGCTCGCGTTGTGGGATTGATTGTCATTCCCATCATCGTCTACATGTTCTCCTTCTGGGTTCACTTCTTGATCTTGGAGAACTCGGGACCGGGCGATGCGCAGATGTCGTCCCTCTTCCAAGCCAACCTCCGCGGCACTGAAGTTGGGAGAGATTCACCGCTTGAAATTGCGCTCGGGTCCAAGGTCACTCTAAAGAATATGGGCTACGGCGGAGGTCTACTGCATTCCCATGTTCAGACATACCCGGAAGGAAGCGGTCAGCAGCAGGTCACCTGTTACCACCACAAAGACGCCAACAACGACTGGTTTTTCTACCCCAACCGAAGCCAGCCTGACTATGATCCACAGGGACCTTTGAGCTTCATCGCCGACAAACAGGTTGTCCGCCTGATCCATGCTCAGACCGGCCGAAATCTCCATTCACATGCGGTCGCAGCCCCTATCACAAAGGCGGACTGGGAGGTCTCCTGCTACGGCAACGTTACTGTCGGCGACGAAAAAGATCATTGGCAGATCGAGGTCGTTAGCGACGCCGCCTCTTCGGATAGGTCTCGCATCCGGACTTTGACCACGGCCTTCAGGTTGAAGCATGTGGAACTCGGATGCTACCTTCGCGCTGGAACTGTCAATCTTCCTCAGTGGGGTTTTAAGCAGATCGAAACAACCTGTGCGAAGAAGCCAAGCATCCGGGACGTTTATACTCACTGGAATGTCGAATCCCACGTCAATGAAAGACGTAAGTCATCCCTCGACGTGTGTCTGTGTTTTTCTGTTTGCTAACATGGTCTAGTTCCTCCTGGGAATGCCGCAAATTACCGATCGCCATTTTTCAAGGATTTCATTCATCTCAATGTCGCCATGATGACATCGAATAATGCCCTCGTTCCTGATCCCGACAAGCAAGATGATCTCGCGTCCAAGTTCTGGCAGTGGCCCATTTTGCATGTGGGACTCCGGATGTGCTCATGGGAGGATCATATCACCAAGTACTTCTTGCTCGGCAACCCGATCGTATACTGGGGCTCGACGGCTTCATTAGGTGTGGTTGGCCTTATCGTTGCGTGGTATTTGGTTCGTTGGCAGCGTGGCTACAACGAACTGAGCCCGGCGGACATTGACCAGATCCACTACTCCGGCATCTACCCTGTGATCGGATGGTTCTTCCACTACTTTCCCTTCTTGATCATGGGCCGGGTCACCTACGTCCATCACTACTACCCGGCTCTGTACTTTGCGATCCTGGCGGCGGGATTCTCCCTTGATTGGACCACACAACGCCTCAACCCCAAGGTGCGATGGGGCGTCTACTTCATCTTGTACTCGGTGGTTATCGGATTGTTTGTTCTCTTCAGCCCGGTTGTGTTCGGCATGCAAGGAAGCAATCGACAGTATGCATACCTCAGATGGTTTGATCGATGGAGGATTTCGGACGCCAAAATGTGGGATGATGCTTGATTCATTGTTGTGGATAAAGGACAATCCTCCACGCATTCTCTTGAGAGCTATTCCAAAGACTTAATACGCCTTTTGAGACGATACATGCGGTGGTGTACAAGGACACACATGGAACGTGGGTTATGTGGATGCGGCGTCATGAATGGGCGAAAAAGAAAACAATTTAGGAACCCCCCTTTTGTAAAACCAAAATCCCAGTGCTTCATTTCTTTTGTGCCAGCAAAGGAACGGAGGAGTTTCGTGGTTCGGACCCTAGCACGCCTGGATCTTGTGTAACATGGACTTGACCATAAACGGCAAGGTGCGATGATGGTTCGGACGGGTCATGGCATGCAGAAGCTAGCGTCTTTCTACCTCGGGAAAGACTTTCGAGGGACCTTTCATGTCATCAACCATGTAAGATCACGAGCAATAACAGAAAAAAGGTCCAGTGGCGATGGTGGCAAGGCTACTGGACCTTTCGATCATGTGATTCATGTCATCGACAAGGCTGGAGCCAAGAAGCGCACGGGAGGAGGCTAGTCTCAAATAGTCGGCGTCGAAGATTTCTCTTGGCAGACCAGTGACCACTTAGCGTTCTGCGCAAACCGAAGCGACTCGGAGGGGGGGGAAGAAGTCCAGTGAATGACCCTCCCACCACTTACAGAACATACCCTTTTGCTCTTTCTTTTTCAATCACGCACCGCCTGTTGTGCTCACCGTTCCCCGTTCCTCCCAAGGAGATTCTCCAGCTCGATCCTCCCGCGAGGGGCCCATGTTCCTGTAAAGGTGGAAACCCCAGCCGCACGTCACGTCTCAGCTCAGCTCTCGCATCTTTCCCAATCTCCCGTGTCTCGCCCTCACCCACCCATCATGGACCTCCACCAACGCGCCTCCACGGTAGATACTGTCGGTGGCGACTATGCCGACGACCATATCATGGAACCTGGAGAAGACGGAAGGATTGAAATGGCTCAGGAAGAGATAGACGCAATCATCCGCAACAAGAGAAAAGTGCGGGACCCGAAGGCCTGCTATGCGTGTCATCGCCGGAAAGTCAAGTGTGATAGGAACCTGCCCTGCGACTCCTGTGTCAAGAGAGATCATCCTGAGCTATGTTCATACGAGCGGCCCACCAAGAAGCGGCGGATTGCCTTGAGTGGTGCGTTGGCCCAACACGATGGCGTTGGATCGGAAAGTCCGATTCAACAACAGACTGGTCCCAACATTACGGTGCCGCGGGAACAATGGGAGCGACTGAACAGGGAACTGCAGCAGTTGCGTGGGATGGCCAGACCAGACGAACAATTGTCTCCGGCCTTGTTGCCGACCGATTTGGACGATCCGAACGTGGCAGGCACGCATAGCCGTGGAGACGAGACGGACCGAGAAGGTATTCACGCTCCCAGCAATCAGATGGGCATGATGCATTTGGGCTCGCGATCTGTTCTAGCCTACATGATGGGACTCGGCAGGAGCAAAACGGCTCAAGACACGGCGAAATCCTTGCTGGAGGAAAACATTCTTCCAAAGTTGGGATTGGACAACGAGAGCGCCACTTATCCCTTTGTCGACTTGTGGAGTACCGATTCAAGCATGCAAGACGTGAATGGCCTGTGTAAGGCTATTCCCGACGACGAGCTGTGCAATGAGTGAGCTGCTTCCTGCCGTCGAGTCGACCGGTCACTAATCTTCTGCAGATTTTTCGTCGCCTACAGAGACATTGCCTGTACCATATACCCCGTCGTCCCCGATGCCTCCAGCTTCGAGGACACCCTGCACTTTATGCTGTCTAACCGCGCCCGTGCTTTGCGCGACAATCTCGAACTCGATCCCAACAAGCCGTATGGAGTAACCTTGCCATGGCTGTCACTGGTGTTTGCTGTTTTTGCATCCGGATCGCAGTCATCGGACCGACCAGCAAAAGAAAGGGAGCTCACATCACAAGTTTACAGTAAGGATCCATAGGAACTCAACGAAACAGAAGACACTTGGCTGACCATTGACAACAGTCTGCTGCTCCTATCAGGCACTTCGCATGTCTAACTTCTTGACACATCCTTGCCTGGAAACTATCGAAGCCTCTCTGATTATTGGAAACGTTCTGTCCTACAACATGAATCCCGGGGTGGCGTACATCTTTCTGGGCATGACCCTACGGATGGCCTTCTCGATCGGATTGCAAATCAACTCCCAACAATTCACCGATGCCGAGAAATGGACTCGTCGACGAATCTGGTGGGCACTTGCGTGGCAGGATTCCCATTTCGCGGTCAGCTACGATCGACCTACCTCGAGCGTCCTGTGTATTCCAGATATCCCTTACGGCAAGTTCAGCTCTCCAGGAGATCGGAGCTATGCGGAAAGCATGTTTGCCATCATCCGACTGACGCAGGAAATCATCCGTGAACGTCTGCTACATCCTCGATCTTACATGACCTGGGATCGAATACAAAAGTACACCGAAGAGATCACGAGCATTGTGTCCCAAGGTGCCGCCCACCTTCGCAACCGGGACCTCTGCTATCAAATGACACAACACCTTGAACGCCTCGCGCTGAAACTCCACAGCTGCTATATCACGAGTGAGCTATGCCGGCCGGCACTGAAAGCGCCACCTCCACCTTCATCTGATAACTTGACGCCTGTCCAGTCGCCTCCTGGCGGCCGACGGAGGACTTCGGGCACCACTGGTCAATCGCCAAGCTCGGCTCCTTTTGATGCGGCGGCTGTTGCTCAGTTTCGAACTCTGTGTGTGCAGAGCTTGGAGGGTACGGTCGAAGCGTACGTGGAACTGCACGGCCTGAGTAAATTTGCAGCTCGGTCATGGATCGGAATCCAACGGTCCATCTCCGCCGCATTCCTGCTGGGAACCCTCCCCGAGACCAGTCGCGACCCACGGCGGTTGTCTCTCCTGAGGGAGTTGGAGACGGTCATCTCCCAACGAACGCAGGAAGATCCAACATTCGACCTCCTTCAGGAAGCGAGTCCCGCTGCCCAGCGCCGATTCTCCCAGGACGAACAACCACCTCTTGCAGAATCTCCGCATTGGGCACGCAGCATGAGCAAATCGCTGAGCGCGTTAGGCAAATTGAACGCTGCGCTGGCCGGACCGAGATCATCAAACACAAGCAAATTCCAAGGAACGACATTTGGACAGCAGGCGTCGAATCATTTCATGGGGGCCTCATCTGGATTGGCACCCAGTTCATCACCGACAATACAGTCGCGATCGTCTCAGTATCCGCCGCTCTCGGGCATCAAGGAGGAGTTCTCACCGTCGCTGAACACTAACAACACAATTTTGGGGCTTGGAGCGTCCACAACCATGGCGAACATAACGTCATCGATGGGTCCCATCACGCCTGACAGCACAGGCAGTTCGGGAGATTGGAATTTTGGAAACATGCATGAGAGGGCAGCAGAGTATGTGCAAGCGCCGCTTTGGGGGGATGGTGGGATCGGGGGTTTCCTTGGGTAGGATCCACCGGGTTTGAGAGAGGAAAATCGAGCATCGACCCTTATAAGTAGCGAGAGTGTGGGAACTTGATGGTTGGCTGTCTTCCTCCCCGTCCAGGCCCGTTTGTGAAGATGCAATGAAACGACGACAGAGAGCAGGGGGTTGTTGGGTGAAGACATGGCTCAATGAGGTGTAAACAAGCCAGCATACCTGTTGAATATCACTTGAACGACATCCGACCCAGACGCAAATGTTTGTTCACGCATAGCCGGAGTTTTCGGAGGGTGGATGATTGTCTCCAGAAGAACAAGCTGACGATGACGATGATGATGATGGACGAGGGTGCTGTACTTCAGGACCAAACAACCAGGGAGGAGGGTCTAGGAATTTGGTTTATCATGCGTGTGTTGTGTGTGTTTGTGTGGAGCAGACAGATATCATTTGAAATATGCTATCTATCTCTCTATCTATGTCTGTTTTCTTTTGATTTCTTCACCTCTCATTCTCATTCTCATCCTTCTTTTTTTATGCATATGCTTGCAGAACACGCTCGATCCGCTCTTGCGTGATGAGGTATTCTGGCGGGACATCCACATCCACATCCACATCCCCTGCTGTCGTCTCCTTTCCCTCCTCCTCCTCCTCCTCCTCCATCATCAGCCCCTTCAGCGCCAGCGCTCTCAAGGCCCTCCGCGCCACGGCCCGCCCGCACAGCGGCGCGTTGGTCATCCCGTGGCCCGTGTAGCCGGCGCACACGAACACGCCGGCGCGGTCTGGCGCGCCGCCGACCCACGGGCGTCCGTCGGCCGAGTGCCCGATGATGCCGGTCCAGGAGGCCGCGATGGCGAGGAGGGGGGTTTGTTTTTGTGACGATGAAACGGCGGCCGCCTCGTCCTTGTCTCGCGTGTCCAGTTCCAGATTCAAATCCAGATTCAGTCGCTCCGGCAGGCTGCGCAGGTACCGCTCGACGGCCTGGTCCACGAAGTCGTCGTCCCACACGCCCTCGCCGTGGTGGAGGGCCAGGTGCCGGCCGCCGCCGAACATGAGGTGGCCGCCACCATCGTAACTACCACCAATGCCATCGGTTTTGTGCTCTCGCTCGTGCTCGTGCTCTCGGTCATCATCCTCGTCACCAAGATGGTGTTGGTGTTGGTGATGACTAATACGAGTATTATCATACGGATTCTGCACGAGGTAGTCGCTCATAACGCGGTCCATGGCCCCAACGCCCATGAAGCCGTAGCTCATCGGGATCAGTTTCCTTGCTTCTTGATTGTTGGTGTTGGTGTTGTTCATCGTGTGCCTCCCAGCCAGATCTCGTGCCGGTGCCGGTGGTGGAGGGATGAGGGCAGACATCTGCGCCTGCACGGGGCGGATCAAGGGTGCAAATTCTGGGAGAAGATGCGACGTGTAGGCGTTCGTGGCGACGATGACCGTGTGTGCGTGCACGCTGCCGCGCGGCGTGTGCAATATCCATCCATACCCGTAACCTCTGCTGCTGCTGCTGCTGTTGCTGTTGGAGTCAACTCTCTCCAGCGCCGTGACGGGTGTGTCGGTCTGCAAATTCAAGCTGTGTCTCGACAACCGTGCGCCTGAAGCTTCAGTTCCCGCTGCTGTATTCCTACCATCTCCCGCCGATTTGCCCTTCTCCTCGAACCGCTCGAGCAGACGCCGCCACACACCCACGCACAGCTTGTACGGGCTCAAACTGGCCGCGACACTCTGGACGATGGCGCCCACCGCGCCGCTCCGCACCCGCAGGCCCAGCGCCCCCAGCTCCTCGGCGTCCTCAACCACCCGGGCTAGGCCGGCGTAGTCGTCGACGGGCGTGTTCTTGTTCTTGTTCTTGTTCTTGTCTGTAGCAGTAGCAGTAGCAGTAGCTGTGGCAGCGAGATCCCGCTTCGCGTCCTGGAAATACTCCTCGTTCCAGAACCCCAGACACCCCTCGAGACGGCGGAAATCACACCAAGAGGAAGAAGAGGAAGGGGAAGATCTCGTAGACTCGTCATGGTCGCTGTTATGCCCATTTCCATTCCCATCCCCATTGCCGTGATGGCCATCTCCACCCCCTCGAAACGTAGACGCACTCAACGCCAACGCCTCGACGTGATGGAAATTCCGTAGCTCGAAATCGATAATGTGCGCGGGCGCATTGTGGATGACGGGCTGCAGATGGCCGCCGTTCCGGCCCGTGGCGGCGGAGCAGAGCGTGCGGGCGTCGAGGGCCAGGACGGTGAGGCTGGTGTCATCGTCATCGTCATCGTCGTCATGATCGAGATCTTTTACCGTTGCCGTCGCTGTTGTTCGGGCAATGTGACGCTTCTTCTTCAACAGCTCATCCACCGCAAACGTGCCGCTGATCCCCGTCCCGACGACGACCACGTCCGCGTGCGCGGGCAGCTCCGGCGTCGAACGGTGATGGGCCAGGGGGTTGGGGAAGGACGTCTGCCAGAACGACGCGGTGGGGTGGGCGCTGGGCAGGCCGGAGCGGACGGGTTGTGGATGTGCGGGTGGTGATGAAGAGGAATGAGCAGGGGGAGGAGGAGATCCGGCATCACCCATGTTCTTCGCGGAATATCACGATAGATGGCTCGAGGATATCGTGTAATATCTTCTGCTTGAAACCGTCGACAGGGAACTTCGAATGCCAACCCTCCTGGTCTGGTCTTTGCCCAACCACACGCCCGCCTAATCGCTAGCTCTTGTCTATATCGACAACAATACCCAGAGAATGTTTCCAGGTTTTTGCAATCGCCCTTGTCCCAAAGACACCCAGATCAGGTCACCTGCTCGCCTTTGGTAGAGCTTAGTATCTCCGTCGGTTTGTGTCTTTCCTGGTCGATTTCTTTTTAACTTGTCTAGACAGGGTGGGTGTGTCTCTTCCACAAGTTGAGCTTGGTTGGTATTCTTTTTTTTAAATCCTTCTACATGTAGCGGATAGAATACCCAGTGGCAGTAGAGGTGCTGGGTAGGAAATGGGAGGGACAATGCAATTGGAGATAGCCGGAACCGGAAAAGAGCAATGTCAACCACCCACAATTTGACATGCCGTCGGCGCCGATACTACATTATCAGACAGCAGGTCAAGCGTCCACTTCTCCCGGTTGACCTGAGTACAGAAGACTGCAGCTGACCAGGACATATTTTGATCAGGTAGAAGCCGAGTAAATAGCCCCTAGGCCTTTGAAACTACTCTAATGTGACTCGAGTCGTACAGGGCATGTACTGTATGTGGCCTCAGGTCCTTCTGTCCTCTCTGTATGTGCGAATGAACGCACCATCCATCCAGCCTCTTGAATGCAGTGACCAGAACGCTCACTCCATTCGTTCTCATCACAGTATTAAGTATTTCATCCCATTTCATTCCTCCCGCCAGGGTTGTTCCACGCGGTCTCAACCGATCAAAACCCATTTCTTCTCAGCCTCCTTGACGCCTCTTCTCTCCGCAATGGCCTCCAGAGTGTTTTTGATGGCGTCCTTTGAGCATTTTGGAAACTGATTCTTCAGCACCTCGATTAACCCAGTTTTTGTCAATGGGTTGCCTGACACTGCTTCTCTGAATGCCGGGAAAAACTCTGCCGAGATAGTCTTGACCGGTTTGCCCGAAGCATGGCTCGCTTTTAATTTGGACGTTTGACACGGGGTCTCTGGTTGCCGGTCGCCGGGCGCAAACTTCAGGAGGCCGGACTGAGCAAGCAAACCGCCACTGTTCGGGTCGACTGCCGCCAGTGGTAGACGAGGAGGCTGCATGGAAGGAGTCTGCGGCTTCTCCTCCCGCTTGGCAGGGCTCTTCTTCCCAACGTCTGCCCAGTGCACCGTCGAGTATGGATCAATCGGGAAGGCTGTTGAGTCGTGCAGAACGTCCATACGGTACGAGGACAAATCAAAGCCGTCTCGAGGTGGTCCGTCTTCGCCTTCCCCTTCCCAGCATAGCCCACTGCACTTGGGTTCCATATCACCAACAATCAACTGACGTTTGGCAATCTCTCCTTCGTCATCGAGAAAGTCTCCCATCTCTTCGTCCCCGTCCTCGTCTTCAGATTTCTCGTCGTCGTCTAGCACTTCCTCATCTCCTTCCTCAGGTTCTTGCCATTCCGCTTCGCTGTCATAGTCATAGTTCGTGTCCGGTAATCCCCGATAGGCAGAATTGACGGCAAGCTTTCTGGTACGTCGTGGAGACACAACTCTCGTATATGTCCCATGATAGGGAGGTCGAATGTCTTCGTGGAAAAACAAGTACTTGTAGGGAAGGTCGGCCAGAACGTTTGAAGAAGTCGGAGTACTACTCATTTCGTTCAGGATTTCTTTTACAGGTTTCACAGGTCGGACCCGACGCCGTCTATGCAGTCGACTTCCAAGTTTCTCTGGGCATATGTCTTGGTTGAAGGCTAGAGCATCATTGTCCAACACAGCTCTATTCGAGTGGAAGCGATTGAATGGTGCAACTTCCATATGTTCCTTGACAAAGAAAGGGAGAATCCATTCGTTGTACCCGGAATTCGTGGGTTTGGATGCCGGCGATTTGATCTCGACCAGGGGTGGTTCCAGGTCAATAGACGTGACCGAGCCTCTTCTAGAAGGCGTCGTACCACGGGAGACATTTCCCAGGTCACTAGCCTGAGGTGACGTGGCAACAGCTGGGCGACCAAAGAACGCACCGATTCTCATTTGTGCCTAAGAAAGAGGTCAGCATCCTAAGGCATGTCGTCGTAAGGTCTGAAACATACCCTTTCTTTCTTCATCGCCTCAGCTTCCTTGCGTTGCTTTTCGGCCTCCTTCTCCTGCTTCTCCGCGTCTTTCTGTTTCTTCTTCTCCTCTCGGACCTTTCGGGCAGCGTCTTTCTCTTCTTCCTTGCGTTTCTTCTCTTCGTCCTTCTTAGCCTTGGCCTCGGCCTTGAGTCTCTCTTTTTCTTCCTTCTCGGCCTTCTTGATGGCCTTGTCGGCCTCCTTCTCCGCAAAGGTGACCTTGCGTTTCTTCCCGTCGGCAGGAGCCATGGAGGACGGCTGTGACGGGCTCAGGACAGGAGTATCACCGAACTCGGTCAACGGAGTGCTGTGGACACCGACGTTTGGCGTTCCGCAGCGGGAGTCGTCGTCGGCGGTGAGGGGGCTACTGTGCTGGCCGTCTGGAGAAGGCACAGATCCCGGACGGTAAATGACTTCTCCTTCGTGGTTGCGTTTCTTCGAAGGAGTGAGCTGGGCAGGTGGCGGGGCGGGCGCGACAGCAGCGTCCATGATGACGGACAAGATGAGACATCAACAAAGCAGGATGGTAGGGATAGTTTTGCAAGACTTGCAGTTCACCCACTTCAGGATCGCTCCTCGTTTATTGTCAAACCAGTAGTGTAGTTGTCCGCTATCGAATCGTGAATTGAGTTGGATCGCGGCAGAAGGGAAAGAAGACGCGCGACGCGGTCGAATCAGCCCTCGCGTTTGCCAAGACAGTCACATGACCACACTGTAACTTGTGAGGGTCGACCAGCGACACAGTGATTCATTAGGGAGAGCAGCACGTTTCAGGTTTATTCTGCCTTTCTCACACATCACATTATGTTCATTATACAAAGAATATGAGATCCCGTGCTATGCATACAAAAGTCCACGTCTCGGGCTGCGCAAATACTCCGATGGCGCTACAGCCAGCGACGCCAACCGCTCGCCAGGGCGGTCGGGGATGTCGTTGACAAAGTCACTGCGAAATCCGTTGTCAGTGCGCGGGTCGACGACCTCGCCGAGTTTGACTTCAACGTCCCGCAGCATCCTCGCACGGACGATCCCATCCAGTGCACTCCCGCCTTTGGCGAAGTCAAAGTACGTCGAGTCTCTGGTCAGCGACGAGCAGAATGACAGCACATCGGGGATGGTTGTGTGGTATGCACACCAGATGGTGCAGAACGCTGCAATCTGCATCACCCCAATCGATGCGCAGTAGACGCCCAGCCACGCCCACGACACAACGTAAACATCGAATCCTTCCTGGTAAAACGCCGTGGTGGTCTTGTGATTCAGACCATACTGCATGATGTCGGCAGAGACTTGACTCGAAAGGACCCAAGTGTTGAGGAGTTGGCCGAGTCGTTGCGAAAATTGGCGGGCCGTGACCCCCGAGTAATCGGCATAGTCGCGACCGTTGCCGCTTAGAATGAAAGCCGCAGATGTGTTTTGCAGGTAGTACTCGCTCAGGGAGGAGTAGCCCGAGCTAAACAAAGGGTCGGTTGCAAGAATCCATGTCTGCGTGAGGTAGGAGAACGTGCTGGGGAAGCTGAGCGTCGTCACGGTTGACGGCGCATGCTTTTTGGGCGAATTGCGCTGGGCCGTGACAGCGCAGGCAGGGAGTTCGGAATCCGGCGCCGACTGACATGACACGTTCGACTCAATGTAAATCTGGTTGATCTGGCACTTTGCCACCCACGGGCCACGAGTCTGGAATAGGAACGTTGCCTGAGGTAAGTTGACATCCGTAAGGTTAACCAGCTCTTCCGGATATCCGTAGAAGTAATAATCGTCAGAGACAAATTGGTTCATGGCCACCTGCCAAAAGGGATATATGGCATCCTCCGAGTTGACCGTCGTGTTGGGGCCCAGGAACGTGCCATTCCCAGCCGTCACGTTGAAGTTGATATTGATCTCCTTCTGATCTTGCGGCTTGTCGCAATCGAGATTCATGTACGTCGTTTCGACGACGAAGCTCGAGTTCTGGTTCGCCAAAGACGTGATAGGCACGCCGACAAGGGCCGAGAATGAGCCTTCGGTCATGTTCGCCCGAGACAGCTTTGTCCAACCATCGGCGTCCTTCTCAAGACTATCCGGCAGCCATGGTATTCTAACATTACCCCAAAGATCCATCGTGCTGTTCTTCATGGTGGTCGGACCAAGGACCGAGCTGATGTAGCTTGGCTTGAGTGAAGTCAGTAATGAGTCGACTCCTGAAACCGAGCTGAAGACCTGATTGGTGATCGTGTCGACATAGCTGACTACTCCGGACTGTGCAGTGTAGTCCCGACCGGTACTGACCAGACGCAGGGATGCTTGAGATCCCAGAGGGGAGAAAACCCAGCTTGCCAGCAATATCAAGGCCGTGAGGTTGAATGCTGGGAAAGCCAACTGGGTCGTGACAGCTGCGAAAAACGTCCGGCTCTGCATGATCTGCTCGAGCAGACCGAGTTTGACGCCGTTCTCGAGCCGCCATGTCGCGAACCGCTTGAGTGTCGTGCCTAAGACGGCTGCGAAGAGGATAGTGAAGAGGGTCGACGCCTGTCTCGGTCAATGACTATTCCCAGCTGACTGCTTCCGTGTAATGCGAACCGTGCTTGTTGCTTGTTTGATGTAATTGGAATCTGCTTCTGTCACTCTCCGGCGATCAAAGTGTGCCATGGTGATGGCTAACCACATGAAAGGCACTGACACCAGAACCGCGAAGGTACAGACGATGATTTCGACGAGCAGGTCCGTCCCAAATTTCCCCACTCTGCTCGGAGGCAGAGACACCGTGGACGACGGCGATTTACCCACGGGCCTCGAGAAGACATCGCTGCTCTGCTCTTCCTGTGGAGTTAGGATTGGATTGTACTGGCCGGAACGCGACTTGTGATGGAGCGAACCGAGTGACCGAATCGAATGTCGGGTGTGAGGTTTATCCCCAGACCCATAGGGCTCGGAGCCATAGGGACTGGACAGCTCGATGAAGTCGGACATCTGTCGACCAGGTGAAACTCAGGGTAGCCGAGTTCTTGTAGTCATGTCCAACACGAAGCGTCCAAGTTTCGACTCGCTGTATAAAAGCTCAAGGTCTCAAGGTCATGATGCCTGCAGGATTTGCGGAAGTGAAACCGGACATGTTGTGTAACGCAGGATCACAAAAGTAATTCCAGCCCAGCCGTGTCAGAGGCCTATCATTTCCCTTAGCATTAGGGGCCGCAATGGCGTGCACAAGTCGGTATTTTTGGGTCCAACCAAAGGGGCCCACGCGAAGAGTGATGATCTGAAAATAGCCAACGGACGGGCAGTGAGGGATATGAGATATAGTATCACCAGCTCTCATTGTGTGTACCGAGTGGTCTGGATGAAAAGAATTAACGCCCAGCAAGTTGCCCATTTCTCCCCTGGCCCTGGCACTTACTCCAGCCTCTTTACAGAGGCTACTAGGCTGAGTCAACGCCGAGATAGGGGAGCGATGGAGTACCGCCACCAGGCGCACTGCTAGCTACGTGCTGCCTAGTGAGCCTGAGGTCAGCCGCCTGAATCTGTTCGTGCTGTGGATCGTAATAATATTAAATATCAACAAATATCTAGAAGCGGCAGGTTTATCAGCTCCCGAACGGTCCATTGATCCCTCGAGCTGGCCTCCACCACAACCCGATGGAACAGCAAAGCACGTCAATGCAATTGTACAAGAAAAGACTAAAGAAATCTCAGTTCATGTCTGGAATCGAATGCCATATTCCTACATGCCACGTGGAGTTAAGAAGCTGGCGCCCCGTCGTTGCGCCTTCACTTGTCATCGCCCCAGCCCTTTGCTCCAGAAGAAAAGTCAGACCCCCGCCTTATGAGGACACTGGTCGCAGGGTACGCCCTCCAGACCTAACCTGTGCCCTTACAGAATCAATCTCTTGGTCTAGTCACCTGGCTTGCCTTTCGTCGTCGTCTCATTGAGCCAGCCTGGGTCGAAGGACCAGATCCCTAGATCGTCCCGTACCCCACAGCTCCTCCAGCTTGCACTCTCTCGCTATACACTCCAGGCGCATGTTGACCGGTGAGTTGTCCATGTCGCGCTCGGTCTCTCCGGTCGAAGTAAACATATTCGACGTAGAATGCGTGGATGTGGCCGGGAATGTACCCGAGGAGCGTGAGGCAGATGTTGATGAAGAGGTCGGCGCCGCAGCCTGCGACGAGGAAAACTCCCACGGGAGGTACTATAGAGTGGGTCGTGTTAGCAGAAGAGACATGACTGCGAGCTGGTATGTAATGCCGGAAAGCAGTGGCTCAACGCGGCACGCGCGACAGGTCAATGGGAGCTTGAAGAGTACGCGTAGACTTACCGAGAATTGTGATAAGGATAACGAGAAGTGCTGGGATCGTGTCGGACATTGTAGCTGAGTGTCTGAGGTATAATTGACTTATTTCTGTTCGTGATATAAGTGTTTTGCAGCAGTGTTGAGAACAAAGAGATGGGCGTGTGCCGTTTTGAGGTTCTTATCAAGGCCGCAGGCAAAGGGCAGGATGAAACCACTTGAGCCTCAGCTCTATTAACTTCCATCGTCATCGTGCCGCTAACGCCACACCTGAGGGCACGGGTGACGTCACTGTATGTGGCGCAGGATGTGGCGGTGCTCGCATCCGTTTTCTGTCGACTTCTGCTGTATTCAAAAGAGTTCTGTTGCTACATGTACGAATTCATTCAACATTCTTCCTTCAAGGCTAGAAGATAGGGCCATCCAACAATATTTCACAAACGGCGCACGCTCACGCCACCAGCTCGCTGATACCGGCTCTGGGTACCTGTCCCAAAAGCATCAACAACTCGGCGTCATCTTCTTCCACAGCGTAGTCTCGTACCGTCTTATTTGTCCTGTGGTCCCGAAGCGTAGGGTCGGCACCTGCTCCCAGTAAGATTCGCACGGTCTGAGACCTGCCCTTGATCCGTCGTCTTTTTTCTGAGGGATCGGCAATGTCTGCCTTGACCACGGCGTGCATCAACGCCGTCTTACTGAATCGATCTCGTTCATCGATGAACGTCGTGTGTTCCAAGAGTATCTCAACTAGTACCGGGTCACACCGTCTCGCAGCGTCGTGAAGCAGTGTATTTCCGTGCCAGGTCGCTGGGAACTCGTTTGGCAGAGGAAACTCCAGCAGTTGCTTGACGATACTGTGGTGGCCCTTCCTACAAGCCACCATCAGCGGTGTGTATCCATCCGGGTCGCGAACGTCGGTCTTTATGCCGTTTATCGCAAGTAACAGACCTGTGATGGTGGAGAATCCCCTCTCAGTGGCTTGCTGCAGGGCGGTGAAAGGGTCTTTGGGGTTTGATTGGGTATAGCCGGCTTGAAAAGCGATGGCGTTGACATCCACGCCATGTTTGATTAATAGATTGACCTCCTCGGCGTGTTCCTCCTTCAGCTCACAGAAGAAGTGTAGAGGGGCGTACCCTCGCCCCGTCCTGGCGAGTCCGTGCCCGGTCCCGTTGCGGATATTGTCCTTGAGTTCCGGCTTCCGGATGACCATGTAATTGGACTGGTACGTATTCAGATACTGCATCGCCACCTTTGCCGCTTTATCAAGTCGTTTCTCATTGCAGAGGTCTGCTATGGCTTGATAAGTGGGCTCCAAAGTTTTGCTTGAGGAAGACCGTTCGAGCTGCGCACTACCCGGGGTGGTTATTGAGCTATCATCGTTGAAGGATAGAGAGCGATCGTAGGTCGACGTTTCCGAGGGCGAACTGAGACCTCGAAACCCAAATGGATTAGTCGTGTCAATATCCTGTGGATTGTTTAGCGTTGTGGACTTGGAGGTGGTCAGCTTGGGTAGTTCTGACGACGGCAGATAGTAAGCTGAATCTGATTGAGAAAGACGGCCACGGTGCAGCAACCGGTTCATGAGCTTAGGTCGATGGTTGTTCTGCACTTCTGGAGCTGGAGTTGGTTCCGGGGAAACCAGCGCCGGACTGAGCTGAAGTACTTCAACCTTGCTCAAGAGCTTCTCGGTGGAAAGCGTGGGCGTCGCCTTCTCGGGCGGTGAGAGAAACACCTCGTAACCTTCGGCTTCCTCTTCATCACCGTCGTCGCCTCGCGCCCGGTAGATATCGATAACCAACTGCACCGATTCGAGTGTCTTCTCATCTTGCGGTCCGAGTTCTGTTCGACGCTCCATGAAAGCTCGCAGCCCATGCTCTTCTGCCGCGTCGAAATCGTTCTTTAAAATGAATACGCGTCCTAGCATGTGACTGGCTGCCAGTGCTTGCAGTTTGTCGGGCATCTGACGCGGAGACACCGGCACCTCGCTCGAGCAAATCTGGTCCTTCGAGCTGCCCGGGAAGATGTCACTGCGCATGGCCGCGACCGGCTGCAGCAATTCAACTGCTTCATCCAGCTTCTCTTGCTGCCGACAGCAATCAGCTAGCATAAGAACGACCTCCGCCGGCTGGAAAGATATCCTGCCCTCGAAATCATGCCGCTCCATCAGAGCGAGAGCCTTGCGGAAATGCCGTTCTGCTTTTGCATATTCGCCTTCTTCGAAACTCTCCTGGCCCAACCTCAGGTGGTTTTGGGCGCGAAGGAACTCAACCTCGGATGCAGCTCCTGTATTTCCTCTACCAGACCTAGACGCTTGTTGAGCGAAACCACCTGTGGGCAGAGTAGAATCTGAAGGGGTTTGGATCCAGCCCTCCACGCGATCTCTGCGATCTGTCGGGAATGACACCTCATTGGCAGCGGTCTTCGGGACGTCACGCAGGGCTTCGGGTTCGATTGGTGGGGAGATGGTACTCAACGAAGATCTTGTACTGGCAGCGGCAGAAGCGGTGCTCAGAAATTGTTTGGCAAAGGCAAGATAGGTCTTCATTCCATCATCGTGGCCCGAACGCATGGTCTCTGTAGCAGCGATTGTAGAACCACCCAGTGTTTGTAGACGGGACGGGGAATTGAGACTCTGAATGAGCGCCTTCATGGTTCGTTCAAGCGTGAGGAGTTTCGCATCCAGTGATGTCTGATGCTCGATTGTTATTCCTCTCTGCTCAAGTTGGAGCATGACGCAGACCATCTGAATAGGCAGCGACAAGGCTGAGTTGAAGAACTGGATGCGCTGGCGGAGTCGAGACAGCTCGCCATTGTGGAGGCTTTCTTGTAAGTGAGCCTTCACCTTACGCGCAAATCCAGATATTTTGGCAATCTGGGTAAGGATCTCATTGACTCGCTTCATGGTATTCTTGGAATCTTCAAGCGCATCTTTGATTTGTTGCCACAAGTGAGCGCCATCATCGGTCTTATTGGCCACACGCACAGCCTCAGCCAGTGGAGGGGAAGAGAGGCTCTTCTCCAGGCCCTCGTAAGTTGCTCGCAAAGCCGCTACTTCATCGCAGAAAGACCTGATTCGATCGTCAACAGAGTTGATGCCTCCGTATATCTTGATCACGGTGCTGGTGCATGAAACACAGGCGGCAGCTATCTGAAGAGCACCCAGGGCGAGAGAGAATGGATCCATGACGGTAATTGACTTGGTAACCACCAAAGTGTTGATGTAGCGTCGACGAGCATGGAAGAGCGAGCGAAATATTTGGCTATCTTTAACAAATTCGCCTATTCCCCTATAATGCCAGAGAAGAGAAATGGGCGGGAACATGACTCTGAAAGGCACATCCAAGGAATGCGGAGGCCAGGGTCAAACCCGTTAGAGCATCTCAGCCTCCCCGCGTGCCTGTAGCCTCACTTTGGCGAGTGGCAGTGCCCGAAGAATGGGGCCGAGCACGCCTTGATTTCAGCCAACGGCATCGGGAAAGACAGGAACTGCGGCACATGGCACAGGGTTGTGCTTGGCTTGTTGACAGCTTGAGATCCACCGTTGTCTCGCTTGACTCGGCACATTGGTTCCGGTGGTTGACGCAGGGTCTTCGTCCTGCGACGTGTTCGTATTGAACCCTGGCTCGATAATGATCACAGGAACAAAGGAACAGGCTCCTCCCTGTTTGTCTTGCCGAAACCTGGCCCCCTACGGTTGATTGGAAATGGCCAGGTACCACAGGCGCTTTTGGCGACTTTCCTGGGAGCAGTGAGCAGTGGCTTCCGCCTCCTCTCATGGAATTTTCATCGAACATTCCGTAGGGCTGCAGATCGGAGAGGGGCCATGTAACCAAGAGCCTCATGACCGCGATGACCCTTCATACGATAGAAAGGCGTCCAACACACCCTGCAATAGCATTGTTGATCGATCACGAGGCCAGCATGGCATTTCGAAAACGATATCAGACGTCATATTTTTGGCGTGCTTGCTTCGCAGACTTTGATCTAGAATTTGTGCGAAGCCATGGTCGCCTGACGAATATGTCAATAGATCTCCTACAAAGTTTCCTCCCCTAGAACTGACCGATGCCTATAGATTCCAAAAGCTAAAGGAATGGTTCGTCTCCAGGATTAATTCGCATAAAGGCAGCAATATCTTGAGGTGTAAGTCCATGGGATTCCGACTGTGGTTGGGATGGATCGGTACTGTTGTGACGTCCATCCCCTGCGTGAGCTGTCATTTGAAAGGGCCATGCGAACCCGTCGGCGTAGGGCACTTCCATGTCGGAATGTGGAAGGGATTCAGAGACGTCCATGGGAGGTGGAGGGGAAGCATGACTCAAAGATGGCCTTGCAAGATAAGGACTGCTTGCCGCGGTGGGCCATCCTGCCACTTGTTCCCAAGTCGATGTTTGAGCCGGATAAGCCACTGATTCAGAAGAATAGATTTGTGTTGCGTTAAGCACGCCGTGCAACGGAGGACCTTGCAGGGTTCCGGATGAATGTTGGAACACAAACTGTTGGCTATTTGGAAGACTCGGCGGCTCTCTCATGCTGCTCCCTCGGAAACGGCCCAGCAGAGAAGAGTAAGAATCATTGGGATATACTCCTGGCTCCGGAACAGCCGTGTCCCCATTGCTATCTTGGCAGTAGATTTGAACTCCTGCGGAGATCTCGTCTATGTCTAGGTTGATAATGTGTGAGAGCCTCTTGGTAAGCACCTGCACACTATGTTAGCATGCCAGACCCTCAGCCGCGGCCGCCGAACTTACTCTCAAAACGTCCAGACATCTTCTCGAACCAATATCCTGGCAAGATGTCCTGGCGAGGATTCGGACTCCTGTTTCAGTCTCCTTCTGAATGACGGCATAGTCCTTGTTGCCGTGCTGTGTAGCAAGAAAGAAAACCAGCGTAACTAACGCTAGAAACACCGTGTATACCGATTGCCATGCAGCTGGAGCAAGGAACCCTTTTTGGAGCATCTCGTTGGACCGGGAAATGGTAAACCTAGATATCTTGACACAGCACGCAGCACATCGCAAAAGTCGTACGTCTGGAGGATTCTCACTCCTGGCCTTTGCCAGGTAATGCAAAAATGGCCGATAAAGCAGAATGTAACCGAAGTTGTGGACCATCTCCAACTCGTAAACAATGCTTTCACGAGTCAGCGCCACATGCGAAAATCAAAAGGGATTGTCGGGTGTTCTTTACCTGCTTGCGTTGTTGTCCTCGTCGTCCAGACCCAGTGAGTCAGACAACCCATCTCTCCAAGCTTTGAATTCATTCTCGATCTCGAGTATAGTGGCGTTGCTAACATAGATCTTTTTAGGCTCACCCTCGCGATGAGCCTCGGAGTCGGTCTTTGGATATAACTTCTGCACCACTTTGCTCATAATCAAAAGGACATCTAGATATTGCGCCGAGGCTGCGAACATCCGTCTGGTGCTCAGAGAGGCAAACCCACCGCTGTCCTCGTCCGCATAGTCATTAATGTGGCCACTGGGTTTCGGCTGATCCACATAGTCAAGTTTGATCATCCCTGGAAGTCCAAGGACTGTACCACTGTAGATGTCCAGTTTAACTATCGTCCAGAACGTTCTGCGTCGGATGTCTTTCTCGAGGTCAGACAGCCCTTCACAGGATGCTTGAGAGTGCAGTCCCATCCTCATGGCAGCTGCAACAGCCAGTCCGATAAAGGTGTGTGCTGTAGCTAGACGGGCAGTTGACATCAGGAAAAGGACAAAGCAGAGCAACGTCTGGAGAGTTGAAATATCGCGACAACGGTCGAGGTCGACCATTCGTCGAGCTGCAATGAAGTGTCGCATTCTAGACAGAGTCAGCATTGTGGAGGTCATCAATTGCCTTCTCCACTCACGCTTGGTTGACGGCGCCTCTGCATCCATATTTGTGGTGCACTTTCTGATGAAATAGATATCCCAGGGCAGTTACTGAGTAGAAGAGTGGTAGAAAATCGTGGTCAGAATCTTCAAAGTCCATTGGGTCAAGGTCATATATTCGGTCCGTCTGCTTCTGAAAAGTGGGTTCATGGAGAAATTGTAACAATTGATAGGTTTGTCCAAACACGGCATGCAACAACTCTGTGGCTGACTGCCTAGAGGGTAGCAACTTCGAGATGGGAATATCGGTTGCCAGTGCCTGCTTATCTGGCAGTGGCGAATCGAAAAGCCTGGACATAGCATCAAGTGAAAGGTGGCTACCGTTTCGTGGTTCAGTCGCGGGAGTGTCTTGATTAAACAGCAGCTGCGTCTGTTGAAGGAACGCAAAACCCGAACCACCCCCATAGTACTCTGTGGAGTTTTTGTTAGAGGTGAGTCGGCCTTTACCATCCAACATGTTCTCCAGGTGGTCTTCAGAGCTCGAATCCAACGAGCCAAGAGCGTCTGTGTTAGTGGGCGACCCAGGCGGAGAGTCAAAGATGCTAGTGACTTCAATATTGAGTTGAGCCGACGGGAACTGGGACTGAAGCCTGGTTATCAAGGATCTTGCTCGGCGAAGTCGATCCTCGAGGATTTTCGTTCGGGGGGCGCCGGACATACGTTGGCCCCGTGTCGATGTAAATGTACAATCTATAGGTAGTGTTAGTAGCCTAAGAGAAGGAAAGTGGGATTCCAGGGATGATACTGACAACGTTCAAAGTCTTTACATGGTTCACATGGTTGGCGTCCATTGCACCGGATTTTGCGGACGCGGCATTCATTACATGCCCTGCTCACGCGAGCATATCGTCTTTTTCTAGAATTCGAAGGAACGGGAGACCCAGTCGGACTCTCGGCCTCGTCCTGCATCTTCAAGGTTGGTCCAGACGATGGAGAACCTCAGGCTCTGCTTGAGTCGAATCGGGACTCTCAAGCGATGTGGTTGTAAAGGCGCCTGGGAAAAGAAGCATCTGGAATTTACGAAGGTTTCAGCCCATTACCCCCAGCAGCTGGCGACCGACAACACTTAGACACACTCAGGAAACCTGGAGGCAGGCTTTTGAGCCCCCAAAGCTACTGCACCCGAGGTCGGACGGAGAAAGAGCTCGTATGGTCTGCGCTCAGTGTAATGTGATCTGCAATGGCAAAGACTTATAGCGCTGTAATGTACTCTTTTCCGTGCTGGGAAGATTGGACTGAGGCCACCAGAATGATGAAGAGAAGTTTGCAGGATATCTGATAAGTTTCTGAGCGGCGACATGTATTGAGTTTACGGGAAAAGCTGAGTGCCGAGCGGAGTGAGTTTGGAGATGGGGTAGCATGATAACTTGTTGCACTAGGCACTATCTCGGACTGGTCTGAAGTTAGCTCACTCTAGAGTCCATTAGCCTGTACTAGCTTTACTTAAGGTTCACTCGCTACCTGTGGTGCTCGTGGCTAGTGGATTTTCTATGGCTTGGCACACATCATGACCTTCCTTCTTTTTCCGACTGCATGCCTCCATTGCTGTAACCCATTCCTCCGGGATTTCAACAGCTTCATCTGCCATCATCATTGGGTAGCCGTGGGTACCTAGGAAAATATGCTCTGGGTAGCGACGTCAATGCATCGACGGGGAGACATTCTTCACGATCCAAAACCCAGCGGGACGGGGTATTGGCATCTGGGTATTTGTAAGTTTCAGCAGGTTTGTTCCAGCCTCGCCTGTTCTTGGGATGGTTTTCATGGATTGGGTTAATTGGATGCTCGACGGGGATACAGGGGTGAGGAACATGGGGTTGAAATGCTTTCTCGGCAGACCTAACGGTTGGATATTATTCAGCTTTCGGTATTCTAGTCCGCCCCAATGCTAGAGTGGATGAAAACTTTCAACGCGCAATTCGTTCGCCTTTAGACACGGCGATATCCCATTTCTCATCTAGATGATCAGAAAACTATGTGATACGGCAGCCATTTAATTAGAGTTGAGCACTCCTCAGCCGGTCTATAGTATATTGGCATGTTTCCCGTGTCAGACCGTACCACAGATTTTCAAGAATCCGGCTCGCTCGCCAATCCTGCAACGCCGCCCGGATCCTGAAATTCCATCTGGTATCCGGGGCCAAACGGAGGTATGTTGACAAGTTCACAAGTTAAGGCTGAGAAGAGCTAATCGAACTGGTCGAATAGCAGGCAGGAAATCCTAATTTGTTTTTCAAAGAGTCGGTATGTTCGAGGAAATCTTGTCTTGTAACTCTTGAGGAATTGATTGTTCGGGGCATAGATCTAGTTATCACACCCGTGTCATAGCATTTGACACGTTGTCCCGTGGTCAGGGTAAATGGCCTCATCAGACGGTTAGCTTCCGCAAACAACCCAGGGTGGAACCACCTACCTTGGAAGTGCTCGACAAAATGGCGCCTGTGGAATTAGGCTCTGACGGAGTAACTACTGCTGGGTCCTCCGATTGTGTCACAGCAGACCCTTTCTCGCCAACTCGATTTTGCGCACCGTCTCGCCGACCTTGAAACCTCCTTTGCTGGCGCAGATGGCTATGCCGTCTCCGAGTTCGACTTTGTCTTCCACGTCGGGATGCGGACATGGGCAGTGGTGCGGAAAATGAACACAGGCGAGTGTATCCGGGCACAAGTAATTGTTGCAAGTTGCTAGGTGGTAAGACCAGTCAGCCGTTGCCATGTCGACAACGTGGCCCTTTCGAATTGATATTCCACACATCCTGCCAAAACCATGGAGCGAGGGAGGGTCAAACGTAATGCACAGGTGAGCTTCATGGTAGAGTCGAAAGATAACATACCTCCGTCCCAGTTCTGGCGATACCAATTGGAATCACTGGGGACATTTTGTTTCTCCTGAGGTGCTTGGTTCTGCTGGCCTCCGTGGAAGAACTGCTCGAAGAACTGAAATTGGGCGGAGGTCAGGCCTGCCAGAAAGAGTATTATGGTAACGAGTGCCTTCATGGTGTGATTTTAGAGGGCCAGAAGAGTTTGGGTAGAGATATGAGGAAAGGGAGAACGAGTGAATATGCTTGACGCGCCAGGGTGTCGACAACATGACGGAGTTCCACCAATGCCTCACCGTAGGCTTGGCGCCGCCTCCTTTCTACGGTCGAGTCTTCGCTTTTCACGTGATCTAAATTGTGCCTAATTGAGGTTGGCTTGGTTTTTCACCTTGCTGCTCAGTCTCAATGCGTCGATCTGCTCGCAGACATCTTCCTGTGTACCGAGTAGCCCTTTCAGTTGACCACCACTCCCACCATGCTCCAACCTCGAATATACAGACCTTTAGTGTCCTCCGAGGCGTCTCTAGCCGCGCTAGCTTCGTCTTTGAGTGCCCTGAGCCTGTGCTCAAAGCATGCGCACCTGAATCCGCGGACCTCAACTATCTTCGTTCGACATGCCTCCCACGCACAGCAAGGCCGCGCAAACGGTCCCTCTGACTCCGCAGGAAGACGTCTGGGAGCCAAAAAGGGATCCTCAGAATGGGTGCACCCGGGAAACATAATCTTCAAGCAGAGAGGTAAGCTCGATACTGGGGTCTGCGAAGGCACCGGCAAAATTTATTGACTCTGGCTCCGACAGGGACAAAATGGTTCCCCGGCGAGAACGTCGGCATCGGCAAAGATCACACCATCTACGCCCTTGAATACGGCTATGTCCGCTACTACCGTGACCCCCTGAAGCATCCCAAGAGGCGATACATCGGCGTGGCACTGGAGAAAGAAGGTCCGCGATCTCAACTTCCCACACCGCGCAATGCACCTTCTCGCCGACGGTTAGGGATGTACGCCGCGCCCATGAAGCCCCCCCTAGAGTCTCAGAAGTCCGTTGATGAGTCGTTCCTCGACGCCCATCTGAGCCAGAGCAGTAAGGGCCACGCTCAGGTGATATTCAAGTCCTCTGGAGGAGCTGTTACACCCACGCCGGCAGCGCCACCCCCAGCGTTCAATCGGCAAGGCACGTATCGTGAAGCAAACACATCGATCGGCTGGACGGCCGAGAGGAAGGGAGTGAAGGTGCGGGAGTACGACCGCAACGACCGCTGGCTGGCATGGAAGAAACGGGCGCTCAGAGTGAAGAGAGGGATGGAGGCCAAAGCGGCCAGGGCGATGAGGAAGACCAAGGGCAAGAAATCCAATAAAGGACAGAAGACTGCCCAGAAGAAGAAGTGATGAGAGAGAGTTCGTGTGTGGAATTGTAAGGCAATTGTACAAGTATTTGAGCAGCATCAACCAATTGACCCGTGTTGATGAGAATATATCCTCAGCTCGCAACACCAGAGGACTGTTCTGTTCTGTTGGTTGTGACAGTCAAATTTCTTTTGCATCTATCTAGGGTATTGGCTACGCATCTACAATTTTCCGTCTTGATGGTCCTGTGGTAAAACATCCCCAACGAGGGGAGCGCCAAACGCTGGGTTACAAGGTAGCCTCACAATCTCGTCTCAGGAACTATAAGCCATTCTCGGCCTTGAATTTGTCCCAGGCGTCATTCAACGCACTGAAGACAGCTCCAGCGATCATTCGCTGCTCGGTGGTGGCGTCGGTGGGAATCTAGAAAGTTTGGGATCAAGAGTCAGCGGCGATCTCTCTTCAAGTTAAACCCAAGCACTGAAGGAGCTCCGATAGCATTTGGTCCACGATGATCGAGATGAGCCATATTTTCCAAGTTGAACTCACAACACGTATACGTACCTTGTCAGGATGCACCTTACCAATCCCCTTCATATACTGCACCTTGACTTTGCCCGGGAGGACCAAGTCGGCCATGCTTATCTTCTTCCACCCGCTGCCTTCCCAGAGAACAGCGTCCAGAGAACCCAGCAAGGCACGGAGATTGTCCTGCTTGCCGGATTTCCAGGCGTTGATGCGCGCATCGACAGACTCAGAGAGACGGAATTTCTCATCGTCGAGCTTGTCTGCGGCGAGGTTCGCAGCACGAAGACGAGAAACAGCCTCCGCTGGCTTGAGGCTGGTAGACGCCGCAACGGGCGGCGCTCGGCGCAGGGTCGACGAGGGTGGTGTTGAAGCTGAACCAGAGTTCCTCGTTGCAGCAGCTGTCGAGGCAGATGCACTTTTTGGTTTCTGTGGGTTTGCTGCCTTCTCCGCCCTCATTCGACCCTGGATACTCGTCGCACCGCCGTGGCCTCCTTCCACAGCCTCCTTCCAGACGACAGCGGCGTCGGACCATTTCTCCATCTGTTCCAGTGCTTCGGCTTTGCGCATGAGTGCTTTGCCGTAGTACTCGCGCATCGGCTTATTCCCGGTGTCGGTCGAACTGGAGATCTCTATGATCTCATTCTCGCCCTTCGATGGACCTATGATCATTATGGCCTTGTCGGCATCGACAATGGCTTGTTTTGGCTCGCCTATCTTCAACGCCGTAAGAGCACGGTTTGTCAAAAGCACTATGGTAAGCGGATGAGCATCGGGCAAGTGCGACAAGGAAGTCGCGTAAGACTGGTGCGCCGAAGCATAGTCCCCACGCTTGAAGTGTTCGTTGCCCTTCTCACGGTGGGAGTGACTGGCTTGGAGTGCGATGCCTGAGATGGAGGGGATAGTACGAGCGGGAGGGGGAGGCCGGACCTGAACTGGGGGTGGGTCGATCCGCTGCTTGACTGGTTGTGAATGAGGACGAGGGACAGGTTTGCTCATTCCAGCATTGGCTGCCGCTGGACGCGGAAGGGCTGGAGAAGTGTCTTTAAACCCGCCTTCAAGCAGATTCGGTTCTGCAACAACACCTGGCGGCGCTTCTTGAACAGGTTGAGGTTGTTGTTTTCGGCGTCGAGCTGAACTGACATACGCTTGAGCAGCCTGTTCGTCGGCGGCAGCGCGGCTTAAACTGGCTCTCGAATTTGTGGCAGGGGACTGATTTTGCTGTCGTAGAAACGCCGGCTGTGTTTGAGGGAGTGATTCCCGCAATCGTGAATTTATAATCGGTGAGTGGTCGCGAGAGTTCTCGGCACTCGTGTCAAAAGGTCGAGCCGGCCTGGTCGAAGGGGAAGGTCGTGGTACAGGTGTTGGTCTGTTGGATTCCAACATCATGGCCTCATCTGTCATGTTTGCTTGGCCGCGAGCTTCTGAACTAGGTCTGCTTCTACCACGCCCTGTCTCGATTTCCGGCTGCCGTTGCGGCTGTTCTTTTCTGGTCGGTCGCTCTGCCACTTCCCGCATCCAACGGGGCTGGCCACCCGCCTCACCATCGGCATTGAATTCCTGGACAGCCTGCTGAACTCGTTTCGTACCTTGCTTCCATAGAGAGTTGGCCGTTTTCAAGAAACTACTGCCGAATTCTGTTGCAAGCTGTTCAAAATCTTTATCTCCATTGTGAGTGGAGCCTTTGGAACGATTGCGGGAGCCTTCCCCGTCTTCCCACAGCGGCCTCGTCCTTGATGTGTGCCCTTCGTTCCGGGATTTCATCCTGCCAGTCTCCGGATCGCCTCTCTGCCCGGACGCAGTTCTTGATTGAGCTTTTTTTTGCGCTTCGGCGTGAGCTTGGTTTAATAGATAGCCCACGGCGGCTTGGATATCAAGTCCCGACTCCGTAGCCTCTAGAGCAACTTTTGCCTTATCCGCTGGAAAGCCCATATCAACCAGTTCGGCAACTGCTTTATCTTGCGGATGAAGCTCCGCAGTCGACCTTTCCATTGTGAGTGGGGGAGATTTTTGCCTGGCAGCAGATGCAGGCTTTCCTAGGAGTCCAAGCACGTCGTCGTCGTCATCGGCAATGGTGCTCACAGTGGCGGCGGTATCTGCCCGTCTGGGGGGAAGTGCTGAGAGTCCGAAAGGGTCATCATTGTCATCAATATTCACAGGCCTTTTCTGTACAGATGCAGTAATAGGGCCATTCTTCGCAGCAGTTGGTTTATTAAAAGCAGCAAATAGATCGTCATCAGTGTCGTCTAACTCGTTATTCTTCTTGTTTGTGGTCTGATTCTTCGCGTTATCAATCGCCGGCGTCCCTCTTCCACTGCCTAGATTGTTCCAAAATTGATCGTCTCCGCCAGCATACTGATCTTTCAGTCTCTGAGTCTGAGATTTCTGCTGCTGTAGCTTGGCCTCCGCCTGAATCCTGTGTTGTTCCGACAATGAGAGATTCTTCTGCGGTGTAGGGCCGAAAGACACGAGGTTCGCGAAGCTGTCGTTTGCGGGGGTAGAGGGCTTGGAGGGAGGCTGGATCGAAGTGGCATTGAATGGAGAGGCTCTTCCTGAAGTCGGAGGAGTGGGTTTCAATGTGTTGAAGGCAGGGAAGTTGGATGTCGCAGGCGCTGGTTTCGAGTTCTGTCCGCTGGCCGGGGTCGAACTCCAGTTCAACCCCGCTATGTCCTCCATTGTCGCGAAGACTTGGTGTTCATGAATAAGGACTGGTCTTCTTTGAAATGGACATGGCAGATGCGATAGTGTCACCGGGTGATAGCAGCGAATGTAGGAGGGAGGAAACGCAAGCTGAGAGTGTCATACCATCTCACGGATGTTGATGCACTGTCCCAATGGGGCGGCGAGCAGCGCCACATAGAGGCGCAGCCACATCTCCTTTTGTGGGGATACCCAGTATATTAAATACCTGTTTACATGCTGGATGGGTTACTTTGTCTTCGAAAATTCAAGGCCCCTTAGGTAGACAGGGTCTGTCCAGGCTCACTGATTCTCGCCGCTGCAACTAAGCCCCCTGACATAGCTTTGGTCTTGGAAAGTCCTTCGCATGTGGCGGTTTTTGAGGCTCTCCAAGTCATCTTCACCACATAATGTCTGCGCTTTGGGAGGTTCGGTGCCAGAACGCGCTCCCTCTTGAAATGGTAATCATCCCTGAGGTCTCGCAGGCCTTCCCAAGAGGATTCCTCCAGCTGTCCCGTCCACTGGAGCACAAACTCCTCTTTCGCCAGCGGGAATATCCAATGCTTGGCTCTTTCAGCGACAACCTTCAATTGCGACTGTTTCTTCTCATCGATCTCAAATTCCATCACCAGCTTTCTCAGCCCACGAATTCTGCAGATAGCTCCTCCCCAGGTATTTTCAGTCATGCGGGCCCTGACATAACTGAGGCTGGGCTCAAGTGGCTCAGAGATCATCTCCTGATATGAGGTTCGACTGGAACGCCACGGGCAAATGCCCAGACGATTGCTGGATCCGCAGGGGGCCTCATGAGACCACCAGTCAGCATTGCGAAGGGTTAAGTGAAGGGTGGATGTTCTGAATGAGAAACTCCAGGCGTCGGTTAACACAAGGCTCTCCAAATAATACTGTTGGGCGAAGATGTGGACTGTTTGTATTGCGCTTTTCTGATCTCCTGTCAAACTGAGATACCACTTATTCCAACGGGCCGAGTTTCGGTGAATGGGGGATATGAACTTCCAAGGACCATTGAATAGCCAGAATACATGCTCGTTGAGTGAGATGGGCAAAAGCCGGGCCTCTCTATAGATCGCTCTGCAGGTGAGTAGCAGCGAATAATCGAATTTCTGATGATGAACGTAGCCCGGTCGGTAGTATTTCCGGTCGGCTCGGTACGGTTTGGTATGGTCATCGTAGGAGGTCAAAACAAGTTCGAAGATGGAGGCTCTGATTTCTGCAGGGAGGGTGAATAGGCGACTGTCCCTCTGGTCATTCTCCATACTGCCTTCGCATCGAGCCTGCACGGCATTCGTCTTAGTGGACCATGGGATAGAGCGAAATCTCGGAATCAGGGCCGAGATTTCGACGCTCGATGCGAACAGGGACTGGTTTGTTTCAGATCGAGACGGTGCGATGGGGAGCAGGACGCAAGGAATCAACGAGATGATATCAATCAGAGCTACTTCTTAGCTTCTTTGAAGGGTTGACTGTGAAATGTCGGACCAGGGCCGATCGCAGACATTCAAGTCAGAGGATATGTATGTAGGTTCCTGGTCAATTGATGAAGGCATCAGCCTTGGATTTCTTCGTACCCTGAAACGTTGTTGCCTTGCCTTCTGGGAGAGATGGGGATCAGAGGACACCCTGCGTCACTTTGGAGGTTCCACTTTGGCGGGTGCGGTGGCGGCCACGCGAACAAAGGATTCGCAGGAAGATGAGTTTGGGCTCAATAGGCACTGGCACCACTGGGGGCCGCTACTGCGTCGAGGGCGAAATAAGCGCGACTATCCCCCCGAGACACAGCACACTCACTAACGCGGGGTGTGGAAGTTCCCAAGGTGCCTGGACTTTGGATCACGGAACCTGGCCAGTGATGAAGCAAACGGCGCCGCCTGCTTAGGCTCTTTAGCGAGGCTAGTGGGCTCAAGGCCACCACCAGCGCCAACGCAGGCTACTGCTAGGCTCTCTTGGGCTCACTAGGCTTCACTTAACCATCACCAGGCACCATTCACCCCGCCAGAATCTCGGGGCGTCGGTGGTGTTGCGCCATTGCTCCCGCGTGGCCGCAGCAATTCGATCGTCGTCAACAATCCCCCTCTTGTTCTCCTGAAAGCTGCATATCCGTCTTGAGACCTCAATCTAACGCGGGTTGATATCTCAGGAAACTGGACGGAGAAAGGAATGCTTTGGGTTTGGTAGATAATATGGAGGCAGCACATGCGAGAGACAGGTCTTGTACTTTTCCCAATTTACCAATTTTTTCTCCCTCTCTTCTTCAGATTTCAAGACGTCAAAGTGAAAGTTACCTTTTCCGTTTCTTTCTGCCTCCTCACTCCCTCTTTTCCCTTCAAGTTCTCTGACGCCAATTTTGCCAATTTCATTCGTGTCCCAACTGAGCCCTTCCGCTCCATGTTCATTCGCTCGACAGTCCTCGCTTGCGCCCTGTTCTTCGATCGCTTACCGTCACAAAAGACTCGTCAAGCTCCGTTCGTTACAAGTCAGTCACGGCGTCGTTCATCCCATCAATAATTGTCAGTGAGGGAAAGAAAAATAAGCAGACCAGTCGTGCGAAGTAACTCCTCACTCAGCCCGTTTCACTGCATGGCCACTGTCTCGACCGTCCCTTGCAGCTGATTAGGCAGGGTATCCGGCTATCGGCTCTCCTGCATCTCCCCGCCTGCCGCGATAGGCCCGTCGCTACGTCGATAGGCCTTCTCCGCCATGAAGGGAATTTTCAAGAGAAAAGACTCAAAATTACCACCTGATGAATCCACACTTGACAAAGCCCTGTTGCGCCCTGCTGTGACGGTTGAACGCATCTCCAACTACTCGCACAAGTCGCCAAAGCTCGTCAGTTCGAAATCATCCTCACCGTCGCTAGGAGGCACCATGCCAGAAATCCCTATTCCAGAGCCCCCTGATCCAGTCTTGAAACCAGCAGCCTACCTTCGAAGTATCCATGCTGTTCGAGAAAGGACAAGGCTGGTTCTGGAGGAGGCCAGAGTCAATGCTCTCAACCACTTCGATGTAGACATGTCCAAGTTCAAGGACACCGCCGATTACGTGGTTGCCATTATCAAGGTAAGCTTGGGAAAATCACGTTGGCGTTAGCAAGTCGCTGATCATGTGCAGCGTGACTTCCAGGGTGATTACGCCTCTATTCCCCCTCATGGCCGCTGGCAACATTTTGAAGTCGGAGGAAGACCCCGGGTCACTCAGTTGTTGCAATCGTGGCCAACATCAATTGACAACCAGGAGAGGGCACGTCGGCTGATTGATCTGTTCCTGGTATCTGTACTTCTGGATGCTGGGGCTGGCACCAAGTGGTCCTACAAGTCCAAGGAGTCGGGCAAAGTGTACTCCAGGAGTGAGGGTCTGGCCGTGGCGAGCTTGGAAATGTTCAAAGCTGGAGCTTTCAGCAGCGATCCCAACCAACCTCATCAAGTCGACGCCGCTGGCCTGAATAAAATGAATATGGAGAGTTTGGCCAAAGGGATGCAAGTCTCGGACACCAACCCTATGTCGGGACTTAAGGGCCGGACTGGGTTGCTGATTCGACTGGCCTCTGCTTTGCAGCAGAACGCCGAGATCTTTGGTGTTGAAGGCCGCCCAGGGAACATGATCGGTGAGTCCATGCATTTGCATCTTTTTCGATTCTCTGCTGACTGTGTCCAGACTATCTTTTGTCACATCCCACCACTCAAGCCGCTTCGGTTCCTGTGATTCTTCTCCCCACTCTGTGGAGCGTTCTCATGGACGGCCTATCAAGTATTTGGCCCGCAACTCGGACTACCATCCAGGGGGTGTCTCTCGGAGATGCCTGGCCTTGCCGAGCCATGCCCAAATCTCCCCCGGCACAACCTTGGGAGACCATTGTTCCCTTCCACAAGCTTACACAGTGGCTGTGCTATTCCTTGATGGTCCCCATGACCAAGCTGCTCAATGTTCATTTCGCAGGGGCTGAATTGATGACTGGTCTTCCTGAGTACCGCAATGGTGGCTTGTTGGTAGATACAGGCTTGCTTACGCTGAAAGATGAAGACCAGCAGCGGGGATTGAAGACCTACCACGAAACTGTCGGAGATGGCAATGCAGTGGAAGTGGTGCCAACTTTCGAACCCAGCGATGATGTGATTGTGGAGTGGCGCGCCGTCACTGTTGGCTTTTTGGACGAACTCCTTGTTGCAGTCAATGCAGGCCTTGGGCTGCAAGGCGCGCAACAGTTGACTTTGGCCCAAATGCTTGAGGCAGGAACTTGGAAGGTGAGACACTCCCAAAAGACGATTTGGCACTATGCACTGACAGATTTTGACAGGGTGGGCGTGAAATCGCACAAGTGTCCCGCCCTATCACTGGAGGGCCTCCCATTGGCATCATCTCAGACGGCACTGTCTTCTGAATGATGACTACTTCTATGCTTATGCGATTATGGGTTACGCGAATTTTGAAGGTCATGAAAAGAAGGTTCAAGACTGAGAACAGAGATTACGAGACGACATTTGCGCTTGATCATGCTGCGGTATGGCTTACTTCACTGTGGCGAGTTTATTCTTTACTTCAACGCCGACCTGACCTCGGGGCTATCGTTGGGCTCCGCAAAAGCTGAGCTGATGACCTCGATATTTTGACGAGGTGCAACGGGACAGAAAGCGCGCTGATATGGAGCGTTACATTCGATTGACGATTGAGGGAGCGTTGAATACAGGTTCTCCACCCTTGACAGGGTCTTGCTTAAATTGAAGAGTATGCTCTGAGCGTCTTGGTGAATTCTATTCTTCAAATCTTGCGACTCACTGCTTAGTGACTACTTGCCCTATCAATGAGATATGCTCGGCGGCGTATGTTGCGCCAAGCCATGTTTCACTGGAGACCGATGGAGAACAAATGTGTATTCTCATTCAACGCTTTCGCCATTATGACGAGTGTGATAATAGAAGTGTTCTATGCGTTAGAACTATGCGTGTGAACGACATGTCTTACCGAGGATGAGCCGGTGAGTCTTGCTACCGCAAAGACAGCTGGTGAGGCAGGCAGCCTTGCATAAAGCGGCACAAGCCCGCTAGCCTCCGCAGCTGTCTCCGCAGCGCAGCCTCCGAATGTCTTCCACACCCCCGCCATACCCACGCTCATTGAGCGCAGACACAAGATCAGCCGCTCTCAAGTAGTGGACAGCGATATGGACACGCGGAAGCGAAAGAAGAAGGTCCTCTTGATGGGCAAGAGTGGCTCGGGGAAGTCGTCGATGCGCTCCATCATTTTCAGCAACTATGTCGCAAAGGACGTGCGCCGACTGGGAGCGACAATCGACGTGGAACACAGTCATGCAAAGTTCATGGGCAACCTGACCCTCAATCTGTGGGATTGTGGAGGGTATGTCGTACTTCATGCTTCCCTTCTCACGCGTCTTGTTCCGGTGTGACTAACGTACCCCTGCGCAGGCAAGACGCATTCATGGACTCCTACCTGAACGCCCAGCGCGAAAACGTCTTCTCCGATGCCGAAGTTCTCATTTACGTCTTTGACATCGAATCCCGAGCCGTGGATCAGGACCTCGAGACATACAGCCAGGTGATCAAAGCGTTGAAAGAATACAGTCCTAACGCCCACGTCTTCTGCTTGGTACACAAGATGGATTTGGTCCAGAGTGAACACCGAGAAAGAATCTATGAAGAAAGGTGCCGGTTGATCATTGCTCGCTCCGAGGGCCTCAGCTTGGAGACTTTCGCGAGCAGCATCTGGGATCAGACACTCTATAAGGCTTGGGCAGGCATTGTCCACAAGATGATTCCGAACCTGGTGGTGATAGAACGCTTTCTGGCAGCTTTCGCAAAACAGCTCAAAGCCGAAGAGATAGTGCTTTTCGAGAGATCTACATTTCTGACGGTGACGAACGTCGCCACACAGTATGGCGAGGACAACCCCAACATGGATCGACATGAGCGGATATCAAACATCATGAAGAGCTACAAGCATACAGCAGCACGAAACACCAGAACTACGGCGGCAAGCGCAGGGTTCTTACTGTTCAAAGTCCAGACGCCTCGTTTCAATTGCTTTCTGGCCAGGTTTACCGAGAACACGTATATATTTGTTGTCATCCCCCCTGGAGAGGCAGCATTTAACTGTGCGGTCTTGAACACGATGATGGCGAGGGACGCTTTCAGCAAGAAGACAGGGGTTGAAGGATGAGACGACAGCTATTAGAGACCTGCATAGGTCCCTGCCCTATCCACAGTCGCCCATCGAACGAAACGGGATCAGACCCAATCACCGTACTTGCCAGGCGTTGTCCGGTCCCAGCACGATTCAAGCAAGTACGAACAACACCCCACAGAGCTCGCCACGAATTTGCTTGGATAACGCCTGCGTTAATGGTTCACAACAATTTACGGAGGGTCTGTGCTGGCCGTGACAGGATCGAAGTACGCAGTGAAGCTAGCTTGGAGCTGAGTATGGGACTCTCTGTGTACGACGGTTTGGACAAGACCTCTTAGTTTTGTCCGAAGCTCCGAGGGCATGGAAAAGAGCAGGATCCTCCTCCCCTCCGGCAATTCTAGCGAGGGTGTGAATTACTTGGCTGCATGGCTTCCCAGAAGGGAAGTGTGTGTGCAATTGGACGGTTACTGTCGCCGGTAAGTGACGAGGGCGCCGCCTGAGAACGGCCCTCATTGAGGAGGAAGCGAGGAAGGCCATTTCATGGTAGCAGCAAACCGAGTCACCTTGAGCTATAGTCCTGTTGGGTGGGATGCTGTGTTGTGCGGTGGTGTTCAGTGTTCAGACGAGCAAGCTGAATATTGGCAATTCTGGGGAAGATCATGGCATGAAGCCCTTTCCTCTATCTCTGTGTCCGTACTCGGTGCTATTACTCCGTACTCCGTAGTTCGCTCTGGAAGCTGGATGTGGGGGCCGCGTGATCCAATGACGGGATGCCAAGCAATTCAACGGCCGAGTTTCCCGGCTTCCAATTTTCTTTCGACCTCATCTCACTTTTCCGCCTCCACCTTCGTACATCATCCCTCAACAACACCGTACAAACACCTCGGTCGATCGGGGTCACGATAGTAGTACGAAGACGATGTGAAACGCCATCTGGCGCCCCAACCATGCCGAAAGAACGCCAGACATGCACCGAGTGCTCGATGCGCCGGCAGAAATGTGATCGCAACCTTCCCTGTGGTCGTTGCGTCAAGAGGGGCGATGCTGCAAAATGCACACGCGAATGGCCCGAAGGCGGTTACGATCCCAAAATCCACCGGATGTATCCTCGATCATCCACGGCAGCAGATTCCAGTCCCGCAGCTACCGATACCTCTCCCCAGACTACCACTACCACCACCAACCACCTGCCAGATGCTGTTGTACACCCTTCTCTCCGAACCCCCAAATCTGTGACTTCTGGGCCTAGTCCCCGCGAACCACCCTCAGTCTATCCCAGCACCCTTGGGCCCGCGCCAACCAGTGGGCCAGTTACAGACGTCGAAAACGCCGCGTCCGTACTAGAGTTCCTCACCTGGGGCCGAAGCAAGCTATCGGACTATGATCTCAAAGCGTTGGACCTTCTCAAGGAACCTCACCAATCTGGCACTGCCGCACTTCCCAAGGACACCGGGCCAGATTGGGATGTTTCAAATGGCCTGGGTGGAACTGGCGCCGCTCAAGTTTCGTTTCTGCAACTGCTCCTACCCAGTCGCAAACAGGTATTCCAGCTGGTTGAGTACCATGTGAGTTCGATCTTGTGGTACCATGGATGCTTCCATGGTCCGACATTTTACGAAGAGCTCAAAGAGGTCTACAAAGGCCCCAGTGGACTGCAAGTCCGAAACATGGATCTCAGATGGACTGCCTTGCTCTTTGCTGTCATGGCAGCCAGTATGACTTGTGCCAATGAGCAGTTGGCCTTGAGCTGGGGCTTCAAGAGGAACGAAAGAGCGAAGCTGACGAGGCAATGGTACAAGGCTACGGTAACGTGCCTCAATCTTGCCGACTATATGTGGCGACATCACGTTTACTCGGTCGAAGCCATCACCACGCTCACCATGTCCGCTCATATCCTGGGGTTCAGCAACACTCAGAGCACCTTGCTGGGAGCTGCGGTGAAGATCGCCCAAGGTCTTGGATTGCAGCGACTGGGCCCAGAAGATGATGGGAACAATGGGGCTGGGGTTTCCATGTTATCGACCCCTGCCTTACGAGAGAAGATCATCAAACGTGAGACAGGAAGGAGACTCTGGCAACAACTGTGTATTCAAGACTGGTTTTCAATCCCTTTCTCGGAAATGTATTCGATCCAGAGGATGCATTTCTCTTCACTCAAACCTATGAACTGCGATGACACGACAATGCTACCTATCCCCGATGATGTCCCAAGTATGACAAGTTTCCCCAATTTCCTCGGGGACATCGCAAGCTTGATGCCGCAGATACATGACGCCATCATCTCTTCTAACACCTTGTACACCAAGTATGAGCAGGTTCTGGCCTACGACGCACAGATGCGGGCCCTCGCGACTGACGGACTGCCTCGCTTCTTCTCCATGAGAGAACCTCTTCAACCGGAATGGCCCGCATTTATCCCCTGGGCGCGACGAAGCTTGACCATTTGCTTTGCCCACAAGATCATCATGATCCACCGGGCGTTTCTGGGGCGGAGCTTCACAGAGCAAGCATTCGACTTTACACGTCGAACATGCATGGCAGCGGCGAAGACGATACTGAAGGAGGCACGACAAGCGTATGATGAGGAGGGCCCCATGCTCTGGATCGACCAGGCTTTCATGGTCGCCGCGGGGATAACACTCGCCCTGGACATCTTTCACCGGAGAACCAACGAACCAGAGTACGAGGAACACCGGAAATTGGTCGAGAATACCATCACGATGCTGGGTAAATTCGAAAACAGCATGATCGCGATGCGCGGCATTCGATTGCTATCATCGTTGCTTGCTGAACAGGCTCGGTTGACAGCCGACCAAACCCTAGAAAACTATCGAAAGCGCACCCATGACAGTATGAGCGGGGATCGCGGTCAACCAAAGCGCCAGAAGTTCAACGTACCTAAGTTTGTCGAGTCATTCGTAGGAAACGACTCGTTTACTCATTCCTTGAGGTCGGCAAATCGAGGTGCCGAGCCCTCGATGGACCTGTATGAACCGACGGAAACCAAAACGCCGGGGATACAGGAGCCCGTTATCACGTCCGACTTGGGGTACGAGACCTTCGAACAGCTCTTCCCGCCTCACACAGGTATCAGTAACAATTTTCTCTTTGAGGATCTCCTGAATTTCGACATCTGAATGATTTCCGCGCCTCATAAGGCTGTGCGAAGACGCACGGCAAGCCTACCAGCAACGTACGATTATCGACGCGTTATGATTGGACGATAAAAGGCGGGGGAGGTGGGACGGCCTTATCGGTTGTACATATACGAACATCGAAGGACATCGACGCTGCGATCAGACTTAATTGAGGAAGTCAATATAAAGATCATCTGAACGTCGTTCCTGGGCCTCTCTTCTCAACTTCTTCATCAGCCACGGTACTACCACTCAGCACTCTGATCCCCAGACAGATAGCCTCGAACAGATCGAGATGGGTGTCGAGAAGACTAAATACCTGGACCGACCCATTCCCACCATCTCACTGGCCAACTATGAATCACGCATCGATGAAATTACCTCTCAACTAGTTTCTGCGGCCGAGAACGTTGGGTTCTTTTCTGTCATCGACCATGGCATCACTCCTGAGGAGATCGACGAGATCTTCACCCAGTCCGCCCGTTTTTTCTCGCTTCCAGACGACACCAAGGCGAAAGTGCCATTCTCCTCGGCAAACAACGCTGGGTGGGAGAAGAATTCACAAGTTCGACCTTCCACAGGTGCTGCAGATAGAAAGGAGTCTTACCAGATGCAATTCGGCAATAATATGGAGGGCAAGTGGCTCGATGACTCCGCACTGCCGGGTTTCAAAGACTCCGCCCTAAAGTTTATGTGGAAGGCCCAGGGGGTGTCGGAGAAATTGATGACTTGTTTCGCCCGCGGGTTGGGGTTCGAAGATGACTACTTTATCAAGGCTCATGACGTGAAGAGACCCGAGAGCCAGACGGTGGCGAGACTCTTGCATTATTTTGAGACTCCCAGAGAAAACGCAACCGGAGAGATCTTTCACCGTGCAGGAGCACATACCGACTGGGATCTATTGACACTCTTGTTCCAAAAGGCGGGGCAGAGTGGCCTTGAGGTATGACTCCACAATGTCTTTTGCGGCCAATGTGGGCGAAACCTGTCTAACTTCCTGTCTGACAGATCTGCCCTGGTCGAGAAGCCTCCACATCCTTCGCCCACGGAGACACCTGGACGAAAGTGGAACCATCCCGCGATGCCATCATCTGCAACATCGGCGACCTCCTCATGTCCTGGTCCGACGACCGTTTCAAGTCGACTTTCCACCGCGTCAAGGCACCCAGCGAACTCGACGATTTCTACGGCGAACGATACAGCATTGCCTTCTTCAATCAACCGTGCAGAGACGTCATCATCCAAGGTCCGCTCAAGAAATACCCCGCGGTGACGGGAGAGGAATTCACTCGCAACGCCATGCGACGAAATTTCGAGGCGCTGGAGAAGAAGAGACTTGAAAAGGAGAAGCTGGAGGAGGCCCTAAAGCTGGTGCAGCGGGAGGGTATTAGGGGGGCGAGTGTCGAGAGTGGCGGCAAGGTCGTCGCTGAGGTCGGCGCTTAGGTCTCTGCTACTCGGCCGGCCACAGAGCATGGAACGTTCTGGGTGCGGGAGGAGAAGGGGGATGCCTACATCAGGAGGATTAAGCGGTTGGGCGGGTTGTTAGCTTGCGCCTTGCCCCCTTCTTTTCCGTCTTGCTGGCGGCGAGGAACTGGTCTGCCCTGTCGTTGGCGATAGGTCGACGCGAGAGGAGTAGATATGAGCCTCAGTACGACTCGGACAGAGAGATACAACGCACTGCAAATCACATCCAGACACACAGACGACTTTTCTGGGGCAGAGACTGTATCAGTGAGAGCTTTGTATACTGGATTGGATCCCCAATTCTTTTTCTTTTTTTCTTTTTAACGGAGCGTCAGATGAATCGTCATCTCGATAGACTAGGAGAAATCTATATCCCTCGACGTTATCATGGACCCGACTATTGGAACCCAGGCTCATTCGGTATTCAACTTGGTAGATTTCTCTCCCAAACAAACCTCTTCCATCCATCCATCCATCCATCCCCTCGTGCCTTGCTTTCTTGCTCTCGTCTCGTGGCTGCCGTGATGTATAAATTCAGTCCTTGTTCACCCAATCTCATCAGGGAGATTCGACACTTGCCTGTCTGCCTGCCTGCCTGCTTTGCTTTGCTCTGCCCCCAGACCCAGAACCAGACCCAGAACCTACTGCGTCGCCATATGCGTCTTGTCCTCGAGATGCGCCGTGTCCGTGAGCGGAAACACCTCGCCCGTGGCCTCGTTCCGGATCGGCGTCGAGGGCACCAGCACGAAGAGCATGCGGCAGGTCTCGGTGCTCACGTTCTTCCAGGCCTGTGCGGTGAGGGGGGACACAGAGGGGAATCTCGTCAATTTGTGGTGCTGCAACCATATCAAGAAGAAGAGGAAGAGAAGAAAAGACGCGCAAGTTAATGATGATGATATGACATGGTGCGGTATGATGTGACATGATATGATGTGTATGGGACTCACTCACATGATTCGTGCCGCGCTGGACACATACATCGCCTTGCTTCATCACGGTCTCGGACCCATCGTCCAGGACGAGGGTGATGGTGCCGTCGAGGACGACGCCAAAGTCGACGCTCTGGGTGCGGTGCATGATATTGACGTCGTCGGTGGCGTCCCGGGTGGTGGCCGGGAAATCCACGACGCGGCAGAACACGCCGGACGGGTCGACCAGGCCGATCTTGCGCCCGAACACGTCCGCCCACGCGCCCTGCACGTTCGTCGCCGGCACCCCCGCCGTGCGGAACAGGTTGGTGAAGCCCGGGATGATGCTGTCCGCGGGCGGCGGGGCGCCGGTCGGGTCCAGCGGGTTGGCGGGGGTCAGGGCGTCGTCGGTTTCGATGACCGATTTGCCCGTGCGGCTGTCGTGGCCTGGGGGGAATATTCAGTATTGCCTCTTGCCTCTTGTGTACGGGGGTGAGATGGATGGAAAGTTGTGGCTTCATCCGAAACGGGGAAGGACGGGGGGTGAGGAGGGAGGGAGGGAGAGGTGAGGAAGGGGCTGGCTGAGCATACCGGTGACAATTCGGCGAACGGTGGGAAAAGACATGGTCAAAGGCACGCTCTTCTGTGGCGGTTGGCGCACCGAGTCGAGTCGAGAGTCAAGGGCTGCGGTCACAAGAAAACGACCCAGCAAGGTAACGTCGTTGACCGGGGGAAGCGTTTATATATATACGAGCGGCGTAAGGGGCAAGATTCGGAAAACCGAATGCGGAAGACGGAATACCTTAGCCCGAAAAGAAGGGCTAAGAATTCTCCAGCCGTTCGCGGATTGCCCAAATCAGAAAGCGGTGTGTTCTGACTAACAACCAGGCACTTATGCAAGCCACTGTGAAGAGTGCTGGGAAATCCACCTATATCTAATAGATGATAGCGATTTATAGAAGTGGGCGCGCAGAAGGCACGCAAGTTGACTGGCCTTGAGTCATCGTCTTGTATTATTTCGTTGATAGCTGTCAATAAGTGCTCCCTGAGCCCATGATTCTACATCCCACGCAGCCTTTTCGTAGCAGAAAATCTACTCGAAACTGGATATGATGATAGCTGTGTACTGTTGTCGTTATCCCCCTGTCCTAGACCGTAATCCTGATGAAACTTTTGCATGTATCTCGTCCCATCTTTACCAAAGCCAAACACCATGATGCCGATTGAATTTCACTATGACCTCTCGTCAGTACCAGTCCCGATAGTATGCCATCCCGTGCCATCCGTGATTTCGTGTTGTTCACAGGAATGCAGCAACACCCAACAAAGCAGCCCCGACGACACCCAACCCGGTTGGCAGGACAGCGGCAGCATTGGTGGTGGAAGAGCCGGTGGCCGAAACAGAGGAAGCAGCTGAGCTAAGAGCGGAAGACGCAGCCGAAGTGACAGAGCCGGCCTGGCTCGTCACGGCACTCAAAGCACTAGCAGCGTCCGTGGTGATACTGCCCAAGATGGAGGAGGCGGCAGAAGTCAGAGACGAGAGAGTGGCGGCGGCGGCGGTGTTGCCGGAAGCAGCTTCAGAGCTCAGACTCGAAAGACTGGCCGAGAAAGCCGATTTGGCAGAGCTGAAGCTGGCAGCGATGGAATTCTCAGCATTTTCGGCGGAGTTGGAGGCTGAGGCGGCAACTGAGGCGGCAGACTTGGAGACCGAAGCGAGGGACTGGGACATTGCTGAAGACACCGACGCCAAGGAGCTAGAAGCAGCGACCACCAGGGATGAGGAGTTGGATGTGGTCGTGGCATTGGCATCACTGCTCTGGGCCCAAGCAGGTACCACGGTAACGAGGGAATAGAGAAAAAAGATGGAGAACCGCATGATGACGACGACGACGACGACGACGACGAAGGGAAAGGGCTGGCGAGAGAAGTGAAAAGAGACCAGATCAGAAGAATGGCAGTTGATGAAGAAACTTGAGAGACAAAGGAAAACTAGATAGCGAGAGTCGAAGACATAAATATCACCTGGCGGGGCTGTTTCAATTGAAGTGGCATCTGCGTCACGAAGTCGGACGGAATTTCTGTGCAGATGGTTGGCGCGGAAGGACAATGGGGATGCCGTCATCGATGCGGCCAAGAAGTGCCGAGCAGTGCCAAGCCGAGCTAGCTTGAGTCCGGAGCCGCGCCACTGACGGCATCAGCCACAGGCTCAAGCCACTCAGGTACCACGTCTAATTAAGCTTCCTTCCGCCCCGGATCGGCTGCTTCGGCTTTCTCCCCATTGGCTACTTTTCTATCCCATCACCAGCTCCATGCTCGACTTTCCAACAACATCAACTCCTGGTGCTACACAATTCTCACCGGCTGTAGCATATGAGCGACGTCATCTTTTCCCCCGCTTCGTCTGTTGTTTTCTGCCCCTGAACGTTGATTCGGTCGATTTCTTCTTCGATACGCCTCCTGTTCCCGAGTTTCCCCAGAATGGCCTCTTCACTCTTTCTACTCGCTCTTTCGTTAGGCTTGCAAGTCCATGCTGCCGCACTCCCCCATTCCGCACAGGCAACGGGCCTCGACATCAGTACCACGCTCCAAAATATTCTGGCCAACACGCAAAAGAGCGATGGCTACACATATCCAACCGATCTGACCAGAGGGATCATACCCGTGAGTCTTGCTGTGCACCCTCGACAGTTCTTACCACGTCTGCCACTCGAGAGAATGTAGCACTGCTTGCGATGTGGCATGGTGCTGAATCCCTCACGTGGCTCTCTTTTTTTGGTCTCGACTCACCACCCAATCTCGTCCTAGAAACCAATCCACTCGCACAACGACTACTGGCGCGACGTTCCTTTCTATTCGGCCCTCTCTGTGGGATGTGCCTCCGTCGAGGCTGATGTCTGGCTCTACAACGACACCCTCTATGTCGGCCATGAAGAATCTGCCTTGACGCAAGCCCGCACCCTCGACTCACTCTACATCCAGCCCATCCTGGATACCCTCCGACGCCAAAACCCGACATCTCCCTTCGTCAACTCACCCAGCAGAAACGGCGTCTTTGACACTTCTTCGGGTCAAACGCTGTTCCTGTTCATCGATGTCAAGACCGACGGCCATACCACGTGGCCCGCGGTCGTGAGCGCCCTGGAACCGCTTCGCGCCCCGGGCTACCTCACCACCTTCAACGGCACGGGCGTCACCAGCGGCCCCGTCACCGTCATTGGTACAGGCAATGCGCCGCTGGACCTGATCCAGCCCCTTCACGAACGCGACTACTTCTTTGACGCTCATCTGGACTTGCTCAACTCGACAGAATCTGACATTACGGCCGACATTTCTCCCGTGGCGTCGACAAATTTCGACGCGCAGTTCGGCCCCATCAACGGCACCACCTTCACCCCCGCCCAGATGGAGCTGCTGATCAGCCAGATCGAGGTCGCCAAGTCAAAAGGGATCCTCCCCCGGTACTGGGATACCCCGGGCTGGCCGATCAGCACGCGGAATGCGGTGTGGGCCACCTTACTCGAGCAGGGCGTCGGGTTGCTGAACGCAGACGACTTGCCCGCTGCGGCTGGGTTTGGAGCGTATTATGGCATGTGGTAAAATCTTGGGTGCGGGAGTGACGGAGCATATGGAGAAGATCTCGCCATGGTAAGGAATAACGACTCGATGAAAGATGCGAGTCTTTCTCACACAAGAGGACCCCAAAAAGATAGAATTATACAACGCCTGATAATTTTTCCTCGTATAAGGAAATGAGATCACACCCGTCACTCGTATGAGGGAGACGATCTACAGCCTACTTTTTTCTTTCTTCTCAAAGCACCCGTTGGCTGAGATCCCGTAATCCTTTCCATTGCTCCAGCCCATCCACTCTCTCAACGCCTCCTCGCCGCCCGCACCCGGCTTCAAGGCCTTGCCGTCCCACTGCATTTCGACTTTCCGGGCGGGGGACGAGGTCAGCCCCACGATGGGTCGGTGGTCGTATCCGGCCGCCTCCATCTCGGCGTGTTCGAGCACGGGCGCACAACACGCGTCGGTCCCGTCGAAGATGGCCTCCCACTCCTTGCGCGTCTTCTCCTTGAACCGCTTCGTGAACAGCTCGCGCATGTACGGCCACGCGCGCTTGTCCAGCCGATCCAGCTTACCCGGGACGACGTCTTCCTCGGTCAAATTCAGCCCCTTCAGGAGCTCTGCCCAGAACTGTGGTTCCAGCGCACCCACGGACATGTATTTCCCGGCGTCCTTGCATTCATAGCACCCATAATATGGTGCTCCGCCGTCCAGCGTGTTGGTGCCCCGCTCACCATTCCACATGGGCATCTTCGTCAACAGTCTCGGAAATGTGCCGAGATAGCTGACACCGTCGACCATGTTTGCGTTCACGACTTGCCCTTTCCCACTTGTTGCGCGGTGGATCAACGCCAGCAGCACACCAGTGAAGGCTGCATGACCCCCACCGGCAAAGTCTGCGAGGATGTTCGCGGGATGTGAAGGCGGAGAGCCCTTCGCACCCAGCATCGACAGCACACCGGACACGGCGAGATAGTTGATGTCGTGGCCCGCCATTGCCGAGTATTTCCCATCGCGCCGGAAACCGGTCAGTCTCACCACGATGAGGCGGGGGTTTTTCTTGAGCAGAACGGTTTCGGGATCCAGGCCGAGTTTCTCCAACACACCGGGCCGGAAAGGATCGATGAGGACATCGACAACTGAGACGAGGGACAGGAAGACGGCGATGGAGGAGGGGTTCTTGAGATCCAAGGCGACGGAACGTTTGTGGCTGGTCAAGAGGTCATTGCTGGAGGTTGGACCGGGACGATCGACGCGCAGGACATTGGCCCCCCAGTTTGCGAGGAGAAGACCGCAAAAGGGGCCTATATTGAACTTGTGAGCAGCCTTGCCATGGGGTCTCCCGGAGTAGAGAGCTTGCAGTACCTGGAGCCAAACCGGCGAGTTCGAGGACGCGGACGCCCGTCAGAGGTGGACTGGCCGTCATCTTTGCTTGTCGACTGACGTGGTGACAATCCTGCTCTTGAAGGCCACTCAAGCACCTGTCTTCATGGTAAGCTCCAACACATGTTGCTCCACGCTTTATCAGGTGTCTTGTTGCACCCGTGGCAGGGGCAGTGGCCGCGGCATTGGGCAATAGAGTCTTTCTCCGATACCGAAGCGACCGAGGCTCATCAGGATGGGATGTGAGGGGAATCAAACGTGGCAGGTGTGCCGAAGGTGTCTACGCCCCCTCTGGCACAGCCTCACCAGCATATGCACAGCCACTATTGCCGTGGTGTTTGTGGATCTTTGGGCTTCTGATTCGACGAGAACGAGAATGTCCAGCCTTCTCAGAACAGACTGGGTGTTTGTGTGTGGTGTTACAACAGGGTCAGGCGTGCCACACCTTTGCCTGTTACTTGAACTCACAGGGGGGCCAGGGGCAACATGAAGGGAAAAACAGGCATTGTTATTCCAATCAGATCTGCACTGAGTGGACGGCCTGAAGGATGCTCAGAGGGCCAACATTGGTTGAGTATATTGCCTGCCATCCACGCCCTGGCTCGAAGGTTTGGACCCTACCGCCTAGGTTTCTACATATACATTTGAGGGCTCTTGTTCAAGAAGATAACCCTAGGCACCCCAGCCGAAGAGTCTCAATCTTGAGAAGTGCTGCGGAACGACCATGCCACTCAAGAATGTCTTGACATCAACTTGGAGTGCCCTTCGGAAAGTGCCCCGACGCCTAGGCCATGCAGTGCGACTGGCATTGCGAAAAGCAAAACTTCAGATACTCCCTCAACTGACGAAATGGAAGGGGCACAGAGAAGAGCCAAAGGTTGTGATGTACAAGAGTCGTGGAGTTGTACTCTTACACATCCTGACTCACGCTCTGCCCCTCAGCGGTGTCTTGACGCTGCTGGTTTTGAATATCAATACCTTCTTCGTCGGGAACCTCTCCACCTCCGCAGTGACCGCCTTTCAATTTGCGGCCAAATTGCTGGAGTTGCTCATGCAGGCTTCACTGGCTGTCATTTTGCTAGATGCCATCCGTTGGCACATGGTTCGGAATGAAGACCTTCCGCTCGGCGGGCTCGTGGCTCCTTTGCGCGCCACGGACGTATCGTATCTGTGGTCTTTGGAGCTTTGGGGCTCCTTGACCTCGAAGAGCTGGCGAGGCTATCGCAAAACATATTTGGGCCTCTTGATCCTCGCCACGGTCGTCCTCGCCGCCCTGGTTGGCCCGACAGGAGCAGTCGCGATAGTTCCCCGCCAAATCACGCACTCCACTGGTAAATACCTGAACATCTTGAACCCTCTCGATGACATCTTCCCTCACACAGCCAAGTATCTGTAAGTGCCGTTATCTTCCCTACGCAGATTGTGCCGTTGATGCTGTTCGCTGTTAGAGACACTGGCACCGCCTTCGAGCAGGGCATCACACAACTTAGCCAATTCTATGGCTCTGAGCCATATCGCCTCCTTGACTCAGATGGCGTACGATTATTCGGAACACCATCTGATCTCGGTTTGCCCTGGTCTACCGCAACAATGCCTTCCCGCGACATGTCCTATGTTTTGCGCGCCCAAAGGGCGAACCTCCAAAGAGATTCAGACTCTCCCTTCAATATCTTGACAATGAAAACCTCTCAGGCTCTCGTTCAAAGTGCTTGTAACGAGAACAACCTGTACGATTATGATCATAACAGAACACACTTGTCCTTCCCGAGCTCGGAACCACAACTGGGCCAACTCGTCACGTGGGGCGAAACCCTGGGAAACGCTACGGCTGATGGCACGATTCTATTCTTCACGAATCTGCCCTCTTCTGCTACTTCACGGAGTTCAACTCTTATGGTATATGGGACGACAGACCCGGTTGACCGAAGCTACGCGGCGACGGCTTATGCTTGCATGATCGATGCGACGTGGACCAGTGTCACGCTGAATACATCTGCCGCCGACAGCAGCTATAGTCAAGTCAATTACGTTCTCGAGACTCATTATGATGGCGGCATTCCGCAGCATCTGAAAATCGACCTTCCGCCTGCTTGGACCGAACGGCTTCGATCTACCATTTTGGCCTCTCAGACCGCACTCCAGTTTTTGACCAACGATGTTTTCCCACACCAGATAGTCGCTCTAGCGCTTGCGAACGGAGATTACGACTATCTCAAGTACAACGGTCTGGCTCTTACGCAGGACGACGGTCAAGACTCTGATACACATGCTCTTTATGCATATCTGGACAAAAGTCATTCCTGGAGTCAGTACGCAGGTATCTCGATTGACATCGACCAGAATGCTGCATTGGTCAATCCCCCTTCTCTCACTTACCAAGTGGTCTCTCAGTCGCAACAAGGCTACGGGTACAATGCAGACGACATCACTGTGCAGCTGTCACTCGCAGTGCTAGGTGTGTTCTGTGTTTTCATGGTGATGCACATATTCCTCCTTCTTCTGACCGGCTACACGGGGAGCAGTTGGGATAGCGTCAGTGAGTTACTCATGCTGGGCTTGATGAGTCGGAAGCCGGAATACCTAGGGACCCATACCAGTGCGGGTCTGGAGACCCTCAACGTTTTCCGGGAACCCGTCAGTGTCAAGGTGAACAATGAGGGATACGTCGAACTGGTTTTCGACAATGACACAGGCGGCAAATTGGGGAGGGATGCCCCTGTAGTGGTCAACAAAGCATATTGATTATGAGATGCAAGGCTGGACTAGGAACAGACTCTGCGACTTTCGCTTCCGAAATCACATCCGCATGTCAAATCTATAGCTCTCCCGCTACACTATACCAGAAGTCGAGAATGGGCAGGAAGCTAGTGAGTTATTTAATGTCAGTTACGGCACAGTCCGCGGCATTACTGAAGAAGTCTATCCAATGGCCTTCCTCAGATGGTCCGCTACATTTCTAGATTGCTCTTGCGAGAAGGGGACAACTCATTGAGCTCCTTCCTGTCCATCAACCCTCGAGGCAGGCGGCGCATGCAGGCCATGTTTCCATCTCTTCGAATCTCTCTGCTTCAAACAACCATCCTTCATTCATCCTCCAATACGATTCATTATTACCCACCCATTCTTATCTGCAATGCGTGCCCCAGAGATTGCAGGATTTTACCTGGCATGGTCCGACGAATTCTACGGCCCGGCTGGCTCTCCTCCAGACTCAAATAATTGGGCTTTACAAACTCCCCCTTTCAACTGGAATAATGAGTGGCAGAAATATACGACCTCGACGGACAACGCCTGGCTCGACGGCAATGGTCAACTCTGCATTGCCCCCCAAAAGGTGGGCGGACAATGGACGTCTGCTCGTCTGCATGGCAACAAAAGTTTTGCGTGTGAGAAGAACCGCAAGATGATCTTTGCCGCCCATATCAAGATGGGCCAGAATCCGTGGTGGCAGCAGCAAGGCATTTGGCCTGCTTAGTGGGCGTTGGGCCAGTCGATGCGTCAAGGTGAATACTGGTAAGCCTCAAGATTGTCCTGTTCTGCTCGAGCAATCTCTCACACACCGAACCTCTTCAGGCCAAAATGTGGTGAATGGGATATCATGGAGCTCAGGAATGGCACCTCCACAAACCAAGGTAAGCTACCGCCCTGAGCTATGTTCTAGCAAGGTGCAGCCAGTCAACAGAAGGAAGGTCTGACAAAATGAAAACACAGGCTCGATCCACCAGGCTGATCAATGGGGAAACCACTCCCAATGTCACGGAACCATGGACTTCGATCGCAGCCAATACCACACCTTTGCTGTCCTCATTGATCTGAGCGACGACGACTATAGCAAACAATCCATCAAATTCCAGCTTGACGGCCAAACGTACTACACGGTTCAAGGGGACAATTCCAGTGGGGAGGCAAGGCAAGGTTGGGAGAGGATTGCCCACAGCGCATTCTTCCCGCTCCTGAACATCGCCGTGGGAGGTGACCACCCAGGAAACCCCAACGATCAGACGCTGCCTGGCTTGGAAAGTGGCATGACGATTCAGTGGTTGGCAGTGTACAAGTCATGGTATTGAACCGTAGTGCCTCCCCGTCTGGTCATTTCCAACCAAGTAGTTTGAAAAACAAAGCATGACCACTGGGATGAGGTGAGTTGGTCACCGTATGAGCGAGAGATTGTCCGCGTCACGAGGAACAAATTGAGGAAAGAAAGCAAAGGAAGTGAGGTCGAGGGGAGAACTCAAAGACGAGGCTGCTCTGAGTTGTATTGGTATTCCTGTGGTTAGAAATCCTGACAACTTGACACTTTGATACACCAGATTTTGACTTTTCCAAAGTTCCCACCACGCTTGGTTACGGGCACAGGATACGCGAAGGTTCTCCTCGACGATATCAGAGCTTGTTCTATTCCGTATCCAGTACGGTATGAAGGGATGTATACTTGGATCCTTACAAGAGGCAACCCCGACGTCCTCCTCGATGTGTGTGATCACGACAGCATTGCGGTCATGATTTCTCCTTGCTCAGGTACACACACTGAAACGAACTTTGGAGTCATTGAGGTCGGCTTCCCTTGGGCTCTGCAGATCATGAGATGGACATATCCGACGCACGCACTCCCTCTCATGAATGAGCAATACAAGGAACACACATTCCCGACTTTTCTCCCTTCGGGCTTTTGTACACGCACGCGCTTCCCTTCTCTCCTCACTTTACTCGTGGGTTGATATCGATATGCCAAGTAAAGATACCCAGCCCAATGCTGCCCGGTTCCCAAGAAGTATTTCCAGTAAAGAAAGGAGCGTCGATTCTTCCGGAGAGGGCACATACTATTCTATCCATCTATCTATCCCTCCCGTCACGAATATCAGGATAGCAGCGGGGTGGGTGGGTGGGTGGATCGGCCTCGATACATACAGCAGACAACATTGTCGCATCATGCATGGCCTGAACATAACATAGTAGACGACGACGTTTTGGAAACTGATTGTAGGTAAGGACTGTGTACACAAGACGTGCGGACTTCAAACACCTGCCAGCACTTGTCGTTCTAACGGCGCCGTCAAGTCAGAGAGGAAGGAGGCTCGAAACAGGAAGAGCATGCATGCTCGGTAGAGAGATAATAATATCGGAGTCGGCTCGCTGCGGCCCTCTCGATTAGGATCGGATCAATATTAGTGTGAGACAAGCGGCCGGAGAAGTGGACGAATTACGATGTGCCTCAAAACCACCTGGACAAATGAGAATGGTTTTTCTTCCGTCCCCGTCTTGCCTTTTCGTCTAATGACTTCGGCCTGGGAAAGCCGTCCAAGAATGAGACATTCCTTTGCTTGTTGCTTATTGCCTGTTCGTTCTCCCGGTTGCGGTACCCACTCCATGGCGCAAGACGGGCGCGTTGCGAGAGTGGAAGCCGTGACTGGGTGTATGTAGGCGCTGGTTTTGACCCCAGCTGGCTCAAACGCATCTTTCTGCGACAGGAATATTGAAGGGAGGTGCCACGGGGACAATGGTGAATGGAAGAGGAGCCACGCCATCATTTTCTCGGCCTGTTCACAGGCTGAGAAACTCCGGGCAAAACTAACCCGAATTGCGAGTTACAGTAGGTGCTGCGCTGTACCTCGTACTCCTCAGACAGTGTGCTCCTTGCCAGGGTCACCCTTGACGGAGCCTTCCTTTCAAAGTACAGCACTGTAACCTGCCCTATGGTGTCCTTAGCTCCGCACAGGCAGCAAAGTTCGACAGCAGAAAAGGCTAGTCATCCAGAGGAGGAGGCGGTTGAAGAAAAGAGCCCTCGCATCGCATCGCAGCGCAGCGCATCGCTGCAACTTTGCTTCCTTCTCCCTCCTCTTCAGGTTAACTCATGAATCGAGAGAAAAGGCGGTCAACGGCCCAAAGGCAAGGAAGAGGGCAGAGGTGATGGTCCTGGTCCAGGGCCAGGGCCATCTCCAGCTCCCCTCTGCTTCTCAAACCAGGGCATGCATCAGTTCGCTTGTAATCGGCTTGAGGGGGGCGGCCGGGATGCACAGGAGACGAGTCATAGGACCTGGGCCAGACGAGTTAGTCCATCGTTGGTGACGGCCAAGTTGCAGGCGTCGAGCTCTAGGAGAGATTGAACCAAGGTGCAATTGTCCCACTCCTACTGCGGCGGCTGGTCGGTGGGTGCGTATGTGTGTGTGTATCAAGCATGCATGCATGCACCCCACGTCCCACCCACGTGCGTGGGCCTTGTTTTAAGCATTGGAAATCAATCGTTTGATTGAGCTTTAGGTGAGCTTGAGCGAGTGCGCTTGAAGCTTGAAGCGTGGAGCTTGAGCCTTGTTCGACATTGTCTGCTGACCACGGAAAGTAACAAATACTGCGTGAGGAAACATACATGGAGAAAGAGGAGTCAACAACGTAATTAATTAAGAGACGGCTCGGCCAAAGATGAACTCTGATAAGAATCATGGATATTTGCCATTTGGTCATCGTTGCGCTGCTGCCCAGTTGGACGAGAGACGACGGTGCGGAGATGAGCTGCTGTCATATCCGGGCCTAGGAATCCCCCGGCACGCCATCAGCAGGAGCAGGAGCAGGAGGAGGAGGGAACCAGGACTGTGCCCTGATCTGCTCCCTGATCGACTGCCCGCTCCGGGTGCCTCGCTCCCTTTACTGGGCTAGCCCCTGCTGCCCTAGGCCTAGGTAGCCTGGGTAACTCGATGGGGATCTGGAGTGCCTAGCGGTGCCTACCTAAACTGTGCCTAATGTGAGTTAGGGGTGTCGTCATCACGCCCAGGGTTACAGGTTCGCTTATTAGTAGCGGGCACCAGCGGCATGATTTAGCACCTGCAGGAAGACCATTTCCCCCTCCTTCCAACGCATCGCAAACCTGTTCTTGCAAGCCCCGTCGAGAACGGCCATGTTAGCCCTTGCTTCGGCAAATGATAAGGAAACACAACTTCAACTGAGGACAGGGCAGAGAAGCATGATTGTTGATACAATTATCACATTCCACACGGTTGTGATTCGTCTCGTCGCAGGGGGACGTTGTTTCCCGTCCCAGCCCTCTTGGACAAAAGCAGAGCCGCCATAATCACACAGGATATCTCGTCCACCTGTCGGACTGCTGTCACCGACTCGTGACAGGCCACCAATTAGCAAGTCCAAGCTCTCATTATCGTAAGAAAATTGCCACATTGCAGTCTCACGGCCATTCCCCTCCATGTCTTCGTCGTAACTCGCATTCCTCATCATCGCCACCTCAAGTCTGGTCCTCTCCACGTATGTGCCCAAAAGTGTGTCCCAAGAAAGCCTGCCCATTCCCAAGCCAGGAAAAAGAAGAGTTAGAAAAAAGACCGGCCCCCAGTAGAAGATGCAGAACAAGCCGTCGACATGATCGAATATTAATCGTCGAGATCTGGATTCGCCACAAAAAGCCGCACCCCAGGTTGGCCCATGCTCATCGTCCGCTCATCCACGCTGCCTCTTCTTCGTAGATCCTCGTTTTTCTTCGCTTGCTCCAGCGCCCGGTGCACAGCACTGGGTGCAGAAAGCTCCCTCAACTCGCCGAATGAATCTTCACTCTCTCTGCCAGCGGGTGTAGATTTGTCGCTGTGGATGGAGTAGTCATGCTTCGGGTCCTCGGCAGTCTCCGCATCTTCCGGTATGCCTTGCCCTGGAGACCCTTCGCTGGGTGGCGTGCTCGTACTGCTAAATCGTCCTTGATCCGGACGCGGGTAGCCGCTTCGGTATTTGGCGCTATTGGTACTGCTTCTCCCGCTGCCGGTCCGAGCATGTATCATGCTATTGTCACCGGTCAAGCTCCTGGCCTCCTCCTCTTCGTCGCCTAAGGCTTCATTGGCGCTTAATCGTACGGGCACAGACGCGCCCGTCAGGTTGGCTGGAACGTAACCGGGTGCTTTTGGGACACCGCCGTGTCGGATCTTGCCAACCACCCCCCCTGAGGAGATGGTGCTTGTCCGTCCACCATGGACGACTCCTTGAACTTCTAGGGTGGCGCGGTGTTTTGCTGCTTTTTGGGCGGCGGCCAGTCTTGGGTCAATGTTTTGCGAGCGGTCACACCAGACCGTTGCCTTCTGTTTTCGCATCAGTGCCACGTAGGACGTGGGGCTGTTCGTGGCCGTCGAGCGGCCAGAGGTAGAACGGCGTGGCACGCTGGTGGACGAAGCGGTAGTGCCCTGTCTGTGCATGCTCATTGTGGTATTCGACGTAGAGGAATGGCGCGAATGAGAAGAGGAGGAGGGAATGCGAGGATGGTTCGGACCAGAGGGCGAGGAGCTGCTGGTCCTAAGAGAATTGAACGGAGGCAGGGTATTGGAAGAGACGGTCCGCGAATGTTGGTGATTGCTAATCGTTCGCGCCGGCGCTATGGGAGTGGTCGTTGTTGTAATGTAGGATTTTCGCTCTGGGCGAGTAAAGGCGCCGTCAGCCACCGAGGGCGCGGGATGAGGAGGCAAAGAGGAGATTGGGGCGGGAGAATGTGAGTAAGGGTAGGAGAGCGTGGGATCTGGGATATTTGTCCCAGCTACTGTCAAGACGCTCATCGGTTTTCCCAAAGATTGGCAAGGCTTAGAGAGCAAAGGTAGGATGGAAAAATGCTAATGGAGGTGTCCAAGGTTGTAAATCGGTTCGTTCGGTGCAGTCCAAGTGCTGGCTTGGGAGTGGAGACTTCGGTCGGCTGCAAGTTGGTTTTTGGGGGGAGGAAGGAGTTGCCTCAAGTTTGATAATTGGCCGGCACACCAGATCCGACGCAGTGAGGTAGCGATGAAGAGGCTTTGTGGCCAGCTCGACAAGCTCGGCCGCACCCAGGGAGCGGCAGTGACGGTGAAGAGTGGTTTGTGGTGAGAGGGAGAAGTGAGGTGAATGTAAACTAAGGCTCAGAGGAGTGACGAAAGACGGAAACAGGGGGGCCAGGAGGGCGGTTTGGAAATTTGAATCAAATAGTCTGAGGAGGCGATGCCGTTGTAGCACGTCGCGCACTCTGCCCTTGGGCCTCGTATCGCTAAACCCCTCAAGAGCTAGAGGCTCTCAATGCTATAATTGAGTTCTGAAGAATGTACAGTCGCACTTGCCAGCCAATGGTGCCAACTGACAGGAGACTCGGCGGAAAAGGCGTGAGAGGGCTTTGTAGAGTTTGTCTGGCAGCAAGTCCGCGCGACCCTCAATTGGATGTGAGTTGACGGAGTTTATAATGATGGAGGGCAGCAGCCTTGCAGCGAGGCTCGATTGATTCGAAGGAGTTTCTGCAGTGGTGGGTGAGGGTGTGTACAAATATGTGTAGGGGAGAGGGACTCGGACAACTTTATTTTCCCCCAGTCGAATGATGTTGACGACGACGATGATGCTTTGGGACGTGGCCAGGATTTGGATGCCCGTCACTAGCTAGGTACGAGTAGTCACAGTGCCTTGTTTGTCCCATGGCAGGGGGGCCATGGATTGCCAGGAGCCAGCGGATCATACCAAGCGAAACATCGTTTCTTCCCTCAGGTCGGCAGTCCGCTGGTCCCTTCTTCCGAGGAGAGGGGGAGGGAACGGGCGAGGGGCTCCCCTGGGAAAGAGCTGCAGGTCGTCCTTGGGAAGCTGGCTCGCTGGGAAGGGCACGGCACCCAAGCCTAGTGGCCTTAAAGAGGGCCCACGCCCCCGTCCCACGCACCATCCACGCCGTGCTCGCGGCGCCCATAAGCAGCCCAGTGCCCGGATATTATTCGCTTAAATATTACCCAGGTGGGTTGTTCATTAGGGACATGTTGGAGGTCCAGCTAGGCTCTTAGGCGCCTCGCCCATGCCTGGGAACTGTGATTTGGTGGTGTACGGCTCAGACCACCATTTGACTTCGGGCGACTCCCCCAAGGAACCAGCTGAAGAACTACTCGGTGTCACCTCGCGCGTGGAACTTGCCCAGGTGGGGGCGTCCTTTCGGCTTCCAGGTGTCAAGATCTGAGGCCCAGACGTCATTGCCTACCAGCTACTCCGCAGCCAAACTTAGGCTCGAATTGCTTGATCTGGATGGTTGGGTCATTACTATTATTCAACTCTCGAGCGCGCAGTGCCTCACTTGCAATGTCACCTTTCTTCCTCAAGTACAACCTCGTGGCGGTGCTACAGTTGTACTCCGTATATAGGTTCAGAAACATGGAAAATTTCAACCTCATCCCTCGCATGACAGCCCCCAAGCCGATCGTGGGTCCTATCTCGCTCCAGCAGAGTGAGACGGAGGGACCATGGGTGACCAGTGACCTGCAATGCAATGACAAACCCTCCGCTCCCGAGGCGTTGAGGTTCCAGATGAGTTCTCTCTCCTTGTTGGAAAGAGAGAGAGAAGAAAAAAAACAGGGTCAATTACATGTTTCTCGTTGGTGATCTACCAGCTTACGAAGGAAAGGATCGAGATCACCTTGGGGTAAGATCTGTCGTCAAGCCGTGTTGGGTGCCAGTTGAGAGTCTGTTATTGGTATCTTGGTCTTTTGTTGATTAGGCTGAAGTCTTTCCGACGTCAAGACCGTTTCAAGTACTGTTGTTACACCCAACAAGATCGCTTCCATACGCCCATTTCGGACCTCCACAACAAACCCACAACCAATTCCACTTGGACGCGACCTACTGTACGTGACCCGTGTTGCCTCGAGGGAAAAACGTCATTCCATCTGCGATGCAGAAACTTCTCGCTAGAAGCAACGCAACATTTCCCCGTGCTCTGATAAATTCTCCGCTGCCTGTCCTTGTTCCTGATCGACCAGTGGCGCCGGCTCCATGTCGTGTTGCCTCAATAACCGCCTTGGCCACAAAATCAAGGTCATCCTCACAAAGTGGATTGCATTTGTGGGTAATAATCGGCAGACGAAGAGGGCAAGTTCTCATATCATTGGCGTTCACTTGTGCCGTTCATGGTATCGTTGGGAACAGCACGTCCGGTTGTCCATTGACTCCCATCGACCCTCATTTGCAGCTTTTTGTGCAGATTCACCAGCATTAAAGCCAACCAGTTTCCGTTACCCAGCGGACTGCCATCCCTATCAGATCCGGCAAGTCCTTCAGATACCGGTCATCCAGCATTTGCACCAAAAATGGCAGTCTCGTGATACGGCAGATTGCCGGGCCCGTCCGTAAACAAATGGTACAATGATATGCAGACCGTTCTGAAGGATTGGTCGAACTTACCTTCTTGCCCGTCCTCATGGTTGTCCAGCAACAGATCAATGGCATGTCTGCCATTTTCCGCCACTGCGATACGGGAGATGTCACTGCAGCCACTTGGTTGTTACATGGCAAGAAAATGGGAACAGTGACCATATTTTCAAACCAGGTGGTACCTTACCAATTGTTATATCAATCCCATCTCACCACGGGGTGCCAACCGCGATCGTGGAAGGTTACAGCGGCTCGATCTCTCAGACATTGGGAAGGTATTTGGGCAGCACTGGCCCAAGTTGGATTGTTGCACAATCGTGCTGTCATTCCTCCTTTTCTGCTCGTGTTTACCAGGAAAGGTCGAGGCACATCAACCAGTGCTGTTTGGAGACTCTCCGAATAGATCAGTCGTTGGATGTCAAACATATGGTACTTTATTCGCGCGTCTGAGACACGGTGTCAGCAGAGTCTTATGCCATACACCCCTTCTGCTCAAGCCCACCATTCCTTCCGTCACCACAAAGTGGAGTCTAAAAATTTCGTTGCCCCAAAGAATTTTCATCGAATATACTCCTTTGACACTGTAGAAGGAACTTTCACACCGGCAAGTGGTCGGTGTCAGTCCAGCTGAGGCGTGAGCAGCACCGTATCTGAAACTGTCGGTGGGCGAGACGAGCCCAAGAAAGCCAAAGTTTGGTTCTTTCCCCCCAGCTGAACCACCAATACCATCACACAGTGGCGAGCGACTCGGTGTCGGAGATCGGTACCTGGACCAGACACACCAGTGTTTCTAAAACGAAGTTTCAAAGGTGAGTGGGTAGAACAGGACAGGAATTGAGAGGCAGTATGCAGTGCCAGCGCATCATCCGTGGTCCGTGGGGCGTTGCAGGGGGCTGCATCCAAGTGGTTCGGTCGGTGAGCCTGCAAAGAGACACATGGCGGTAGGATCTTCGGGTTCACGATCGTTTAGCACCTTAGCAGCTCGTTTGCGGTCCAGTCATCGTTCTTCCAAGGCTTGACGTGGCCAATTCTGCGAGGTCGATGGAAGGACAAACGAAAAAGGGTCATGTTCTGCAGCATGGAGGCGGCGCCACTTGGAGGGCTTCCCTCGAAAAGTACCCAGCGGGTCGTGAAGGACCGTCGGACCTTTTTTTTCTGCTGGGCAAATGAGCCGGAGTTCTATATCCCTCAAGTACATGTATCGGTGTACGACTGTCGCGTCGACCATGCGCGTCTATGAACCGGTGGCACATTGGCCGCCTTTTCAGCCACTTCATGACCTACCTTACCATACGTACGGCGCAGAGGCTGAAGTGGTATCGTGTCTGTCTCTTGTTCTCGCCACATTTTCTTGCCCACGACTGGTTGGCCTTTCGCCACAGGGTTGGGAATCCGGGGGTGAGCCGTGGCCTAGATGGTCTCTTGTTGCGAGACGTCCTCTAGTACCATCGGCCCGGAGCGCATCTTCGAGCTCTAGAAGAAGCATATTGAGGGGCAACGAGTGGCTCAAGAGGGCGCTGAGCTTATGTCAAGCAGGCTGGTTAGTCTGGGCTAATGCAGCTGGATATGCATTCGTTGGCAACGTCGTCAGGGCCTGCAAGTCATCCCTCATGTTGCAGTGTTGTGCTGTACTCTGAGAAATTGTATGCGTTGTTCCTCTGGTCCCCTCTAGTTGTAGCTGTTTGTCGCCGATCAAAAAGACCGCCAAAAGTCTTTTCCTGATCCCGATGGATTGAGGCGCCATAGTGAAAGTGTCTTGTGGCTTTTCATGGCCTTTTCGTGGATCTCTGCGTCCCGACCTTGCGTTGCAGGCGACTGAGAACTGCTGGGTATTTTCACCAGGTGCCCGTATTGGCGAGTTGGGTACTGTACGGTGCAAGCGAGCGACCGAAAACTCCCCCGCATTCTCGCCCTGCAGTGAACTGGGACCTTGGTCATTCTGCGGTACGTGTACTTACTTTGCACCCTGCATTGGCTCGTCCAAACCACGCCACGAAACAGTCACCACGAGAGAGCCGACCTTGGACGAGGTGGAGGAGGAAGAAGAAGAAGAAGAAGAAGAAGAAGAAGCAGAAGCTGAAGAGGAGGACGAATTCTCCCATAGTTCAGACAATCCTCTGTGCGGCGAAAGCCTGACCGCTGAATCAAATCACATCACACATCACACGCCTGCAATTGCGAGCCACAAGTCGATCCTCGACTCACGCCCGCCCCCCCGACCGAGGACGGAATCCCACTTGCAACTCACTCACTCACTCACTCCCACGCCTCACCTCGCCCTGCTTTGAGACGATCACTCACTTTGACCTCTACGCCGCTTTCCGCCGTCGGCCTGCGCCTTCAGCTGTAATGGAATTGGCCAGCGTATGACAGAACTACCTGGGGTCTCTGGTGTCGTGGAAGGTCAAGCCCAAGTCCAGGGTACGGGCTGGGCCCAGCACGATCAAGGTCGGTCACCATACTTGTCTCTCTAAATTCCGACCGCAATCCAACCTGCTCACCTTGTGCGGCGACAGCTGTTCCTTCTCGTTTGCCATCCCAATCGCCCGATAACAATGCTCAAGACCATGCCGAACCTATGTCTAGACCCGAACCTTCAGAACCTACCTCGACGGGTTCTCCGCTCTTCGGCCGCTCGTCCTCGCAGGGAGCTACTTCCAACCATGGCTTCCGCTCTAGGCGCCCTCAGGAGCTGGACGGTGCCACATCGATGTTGAGAGCTACTTCAAGAGACGAGAAAGATGGCGAAAGATCATCATTCGGCTCACCCAGTCGAGAGATCCCTTTCGCCCACATGCGTGTGCATTTCGAGGACTTCGCCAAACAACTTCGCCTGCATCGACACCATGAGTATCGGAAGCGGATGCTCTACCACCAACGAGACCGTCTGCGGAATGCTATCGCTCTCTCGGGTCGTTTACAGCGCGTGGGCTCCTGGGTGCATGACGGACTGGTTCAAATCTCCCAGCAGTTGGATCCAAGTGGCTTTACCAGGGTCCATCAACACATGCAAGATCTGGTCACCCTTTGTCATACTCAGTGGAGCTATGAGATCCACGCTTTTGACTCGACCTCTACCGTGACCTCCAAAACGGCAAAGAAGGATTCTTTTTTTGCGAGGTTATCACCTAACATCCAGGAAGACTGTCTCGAACTCATACAAACCTTGCGCAGCAATCCCCGTTTTCTTGTCGAGAGGCTCAAGGTAATGAGCCCTGAACAGATCAAGGGTCTCTCCACCTCACCCAAATTCAAAAAGCTCCCAGAGTCGGTTCTCGTATCACTATCGCAAAACCGCGGTCGCGAATCGCAGCGCAGGCGGCCTAGAACTAATTTCAAGGAGTTTGAGGACGATACACAGTTGATACGGAGTAAGGCCTATTCCAAGGAGCTTGAAGACTACGCATCGTCTTTTGAACGGTCGAATCCACTATCGTTTCTGGTCCACAACATTTATGGCTCTACCCAGGATATTCTCAACAACGAAAGCCAACTACGACTTTATACGTGGTCGACAATTTGCGCGAGTTTAATGCTGGAATCTGGATCGACGTACGACGCGATTATTGGCGAAGTCTTGTCCGCATTTGCACACATGTACGAATGGCAGATCAAGGACCGCCTGGAAATATTCCTGATGGGTAGTTTACAGCGAGGGGCGTTCTTATACAATTCTCTGGACAGCGCGGCTGCGGCTGCGAGGACGGATTTCGGGACCTTCGATCCATCAAACACTCCCCAAGCACAAGCTTTCTTTGATGCAGAGGTCAAAGAGCTTTTCCAGATCTTGTGTTGTGACGGAGGTATACCCACGGGCGCGCTGTGCTTGGGTCGGGCGATTATAGGGAAACTTCCCACGGTGGAGAGCCAGAGCACTTTTCGGGGTCAATTCTTTTTCAGATGGTTCTTGCAAGATTTCCTGCGCATTGCCATCTCTTTCCCAGAGGTACTGTGGTCGTGAGCCTCCTACTTTCTGAGCTAACAGCAGACCAGGATGAAAAAATGCTCCTTCAATTCCACATCAATAGCCGGGCTCGGTTGCATCTCCTGCACAAGCTGTGGGATCGCGCAGTTGCCCGTGCCTCCGAGACTTTCAGCTCAATGTAAAATTCCACGCAGGGTATCAAATGGAAAATATACTAATCTTTCCTTCAGGACCGCACAACATGTCGATCCAGATATTCAAAACTGTGTAAACGGTATTGTCAGCCGAATCTCCGCGGACACCCACTGCTCCAATCCGTATCCGGCGAAAACTCCCTCGAAAACCATTGTCGAACCCACTGGCTCATCTTACATATCAATTTGCGCTGCAGACATTGCTCACCTGCTGGAGAGACTGAGACCGCAGATCCTCCACTCCTCAAGTCCTTTCGGCCCGTTCTTGAGCTCTTCACAAACGACGTTCAATATGCAATATTCTCGGTCCAGTCCCAAATTTGAACGGCTGTGCAGACGTATCCTGGATGTCATCGAGCCTGGCCATTCGTCAAAGAACGTGCACCCGCGCTCAGAAGACTGGGCGTTGCTTTTGGTCTCGGAGACAGGGAAAATATCGACTGCACCGACCGAATTACCGATGGAGAAATCAGCCATTATAGAAGGTCTGGGTGAACTCGATGAAGCGGAAGGCGCCGCGCTTCTCCTGGCAGACCGACCGACGATCCTGCACAACCGACAGTTCGCAGATCAGATACCAGTCAAAGGAGCGAACAACCTCAGCCTGGCCCAAATGTTTGCCGCTCAAGCTAATATGTCTCACATAAAAACCGACAGCATCACCTCCATGTACTGGCACGATGCGCTCAAATGCTTGCGGACCTGTTACCCACTGACAGTCTTGACGGGCGATGATACAAAGGTGCTTGGACCATTGACGAACAAACTAATGGGATGTCGACAGGAGCTCGAAAATCAATGTCTGGAGGTGGAGCAGGAAGTGGCAGGACTCGCAGCATCCTATACTATTGCAAGAGAAGATCTAACCAAGGCGTCAGGATGGCTTGATAAACTTCGAATCAAATTGTGGTACGAGAGCAACGTGCTGACCGCAAACATCTACGACAATGCCAGGAATATCACGGTTGCGCTGAACAACATGGCCCTGCCGCCCCTACAAAGATTTGCGCTTGCTCAGGAACCAACTGTCTTATTGGAGCCAAGCCGACCGGGCACTTCTGCGACGTCGACCTCATCAATCTTTGATCGGCCAAGAATTGACACCATGACGATCCTGAAAGCGCCCGTGGAATTCGGCGGGCCCAGGAAGCTATCAGATCCACAGATTGAGAAGACCAAAAAGTGGCTTGAGCGGAATCACGTGGAAAATTTCTGTCGAGGCGAAGAGAGAATCCATCGATTCTGCATGGAGGTCAAGCTGGTCACCAGGAAATTGGTGGGAGAGACCTTGGCTGACAGTCCCGTCCTTTGGTCCAGCGAACTCTTCGCGAGGGAAAAATCTCTGTTTGACATCCACGCCGTTTATGGAGGATTTCCGAGCACCAGGCCCCCAAGTGTGATGAGTGAGCCGCTTTCATCCACTTCTTTCCCAATACGCGCAACGTTCTTGAGCTCAAGGTCATCGATCTATGGCGGTTCGAGTAGACTAGGAAAAGACGGCTTGGGTAGTGACATGGCCTCATTCATTAGCTCACCGGGACGAGCAACCACTTCCACCACTCTAGAAAGCAGCATCTGGTCACCCGCTCAATCGAACTCCAGGTCAGTCACCTCAGCTTCTGTACAGTCCAGGCCATCATCGACGTTTGAAGACGTCGCATTGAACCGACCCCTCGACCGTGGTCACGAAAAGGCCAACTTTTTGGAGAGCTTGCGACAAGACCTGACCTCGCTGTTACTCTCGGATCTTGGGTGCCCAGTGTGGAGCTGTGGAAGTGAAAGCGATACATGGATGAATGCAGCGTGGCAAACCCCGGGAATTCTCGACCGATTACAGCAGCGTACCGTTCTGGCTCAGCTGCTCCCTTCTCAGTCCAAAACTGGAGGCTCCACGAAGACCTCCCGCTCAGAAAGCACGAGGCAAAAGAAAGGGCGAAGTCAGAGCGCAGCGCCGCTGCCGCGCTTGCCGGCCAACTACCACCTAACCACTACCCCGGGATCACTGGAAAAACTACTTAGTAATGCCAATGGGGAGTCTCATACAGGGAGCTTCCCATATATGACAGCATTCGACGATGTTCTCGGTCGAGTGAGGGATCACACAGATCCCATTTTGAAACTTAAGGCTATTCGCGATTTCCGAACCTTGTCACAAGCTTTTCAACGAAGTCTCCAAGAAGCCATCCACAAGGCTGACTCTGCGGGGCAAGCCATTGATTCTCAAGATCCGGCACGAAGGCGCAGCCTTGACCCGAAGGTCCTGTCATCAAACATGAAGCGCCAACAGCGCCAGAGTCGGATTCGGACGCCCGGTGTGGCTGAGACCTCTTCTGGAGAGAACGCCACGGTCGAGTTCCTAAAAGACCTCCTCTTCGTCCTCCGGCCGAAGACGATTTTTCGGGATCTGCAGTACATTGCCGCATTCGTGTCGTCAGAGACACTGGACGATACGGAGCTGGGTCCTGCATTTCTCCACGTGGGACTGGCAGCGTTGGCATGGAAAGACGAAGTATGTCGTAGCATGGTCGACGTCGCAGATCGAATTGTTGCCAAAGACGCCATCAAAAGAAACGTATCCAGTGGCTCTCGCCGGGAGCCGTCGGTGCTCAAAGCAATGGAGTACTGGCTTATCGGCGCTCAAGAGGGCAACGCCATTGCACAACGGGAGTTGGCAAGCCTATATCTCACCCATCCAGATGTGCCTCCGATCGTTAGTCTCCCGCTCGCATTGTCGTCGGAAATTTTCAAGAGCGAAATGAGGTGGAAAGAGGAGGCGGAAGAAGAAGAAGGGTGGCGTCGCAATAGCCAGGCGCTATGCCTCGCCCTGCACTGGATGCAGGAGGCTGCCAAAAACGGAGATACCGTGGCTCAGACCAAACTGGAGGAGCGCGAGGCAGGCCGTTCAATTCGATGAGATGACACTGTTTTTATTATCACGACTTCTTTACCTAGCGGTAAGCAGAAGGCTTACCGGTTCGTCTTTGTTGGTGTGGGCGGCTTGAATGTCTTTTACTGATATGGGAATCTCTGGGAACAGGCGAATTGGGTCTCTGGGAGTTTTTTGGTCCATTTGGGCATTTCGTTCTTGCATGATCTTTTCTGTGAGTGTAGCAACTCGAGCGATACACGTGTACTTGTGCTACGGGTGGCAGATTGCTATTTGGCGAGTTAAATTCCGTGGAGGATATGGATCGGTCGAAATCAGCGTCCGGCAGGGGACCAGATCAACATTGGGGGTTTTCCAGAGAGGAGGTCTTCGAAGCTTTGCACGTCTCTGTGTTGAATGACTGGACAGATGGTGGGCAAAGTGTTTGCCATGTGTGATCTAGCTACTGGTGAAATGCACGAACAAGCTGTGCAGTTGGGTAGAAACAGTCCTTTTCTTTCCCCTGTTCTCCAACTCTCCTTTTGTCGCCGGATACAGGCATTGCAGTAGCCCGTAGTAATATTTGAATGTACCTCCGTACCGAGTGGGGAAATGATGGACTAGCAGGAGTCGACAGACCCTTGTTGCCCTGAAAGTCCATTGCACCTACTTTTTGACCTGGCCAGTAGAAGATGATGCTTGGAAGCTACAGCCAAAAAGTCAGGCGATCAGGGAGGACGCATTGTCCTCGTGGACGAATCATGAGGGCGTCAGGGGAAGCACAGAGATTGCAGCATCAGGCACCTGCATCGTGGCAGGGGTGTTGGCGGGTTGCACAGCAGCAAGGACATGCAGGACAGCTAAGCAGAGAAGAAAAGGCGACGGAGAAAAGAAGGGGTGTTCCAGGCATAGCTTTTCAGGAAACAGGGCGTCAAGTCGGTTCATCCTGTAGCAGAGTACTACCGACATACGGGATCCCAGGGCGGCCACGCAATGTCTTCCATAAAGTGAAGGGGACACGGCATAAATGAGAACGGAAAGCGACAGGAGCAGGCCCAAACACAACAGGTGAGATGCGCAGGCCTCAAGTCATGAGCACAGTAGCCGACCGTGAGTTCGTTGCTTTGACTGGAGGGGTTCATTTCGTTTCATGCGGCTAAAGCATGACCGTGACCACGACCATGACCGCGAGGGCCGGAAGCAGTAGAACACGAGATAAGCCAATGCAAGAGGCTGGCAAAACGAAAGAGCATCGGCCACCAGGGCGACAGAGTTTTCTCACTCCCTCACTCACTGTCTCTCACTCTCTCCCAGCTAGCTGCAGCTATAGGTAGGCTTCGTCGTCGGAAAATGTCTCTTGTGTGGTTCTCATTGGAATGGATCAACGGAGGATTCTTGTGATGAGCGGGGGAGCACAGGATGAACAGGTGAGGAGAAGGAACGAGAGAAAATAAGAACGAGCGAGGAATGCATGATGATTCAGTAGGTGAAATAGTGAGTAGTTAGTTTGAATGGTAGCGGGCTGCAGCGGGCACAGGGCATGGCGGGCCGCTTGCCTGTGACGTCGGGTGCCAAGAGCCCGACCATCGGACTGCCCCCGGGTTCCAGGTTGTAATGACAGTCAGCTCCCGGCCAAGATGGGGCAAATTGCACCTTGTAACCCCCACCAACGGCATCGTCATTTGATCCACTCTTAATTCTACGTAACTGCCACCACATCCCTCCACTCTGCTGCCCATCACCACCCACCATCCCCCTCCCTGCACATGCTCTCTTTCACTCAACTGACTTACACCAGACCGGCAACAACATCCAAACAATTTGTTTACCGACCAACTCGGAGGATGATGATCATCATCATCTCGTCGTCCTAAGTCACCACCCTTCCCACAGCCACCGCGTCTGATATCCGGCCGGGCTGTCGTTCTCCAACTACTTCTACCTGGCCGTATCCACTGGGCTCAATCTCCAGTCTTGCTTCTCCACTACAACCACTATCACCCATCGTCCGATCCCAGAATAACGCAACTCTGTATCTATCCTTCGGCCCATATCCTTTCTCACACGGTTGGTCACTCGCCTGACTAGAATCCGCCTTACTCCTCCGCAACATCGACTCCCGACGGTGAAACAGTCTTCTTTCCGTTCTATTCCATCCCCCTCCTCCGACTCCTGTGACAACAACCCAGTACGCGGGTCCTAACGACTACACTCCCATCTTACCGACACTGGACTCTACATAAAGCCTTCGTCACCATGCCAGTCGAAGTCCGCCATTCCCCGCCTCCCTTGCACCAGCCAGGCTCTGGTAACATCCGACCCAAAGGTGAATTTCAACGTGATTGCCCTGATGTCGAACGGCCCATCACTAATGATTGATGCAGGAATATTGAAGAATCCATCCTTTTCCTCTTCCAGCGGCCATCCAGGCTCGCCGTCCAAAGACGAGTTCCAGCTGCCACCTCACGTGCCCCTCGATCCGAAAGAAGAGAGAGAACTTGTGCTTCAAAATACCCTCCAGAATGCCGGCCACCGCCGCTCGTCTTCGGCCGCGAGGAGGGCCTCCGCGTCACGCCGTCATTCAGCTGCGTTAGCCGCAAACCACGAAGAAGACCCGGAAAAGATGCGCCTGAAGTGGGATGAAGCGAACCTCTACTTGGCCGAGCAGGAATCCGGCGGACGGATGAAAATCACCGAGCCGAAGACGCCCTACCAGTATGGAGACGCCATGATGGAAGACGATGACGAGGAAGATGTGGCTATCGACCCCCGTTTTGTCAACGTCGATGAAGTGGAGATGGCAAAAGCTCACAAGACGAACAAAAGACACCGCGAAAGCGAGATCCCCGGTCTGGAGCTCGGTGAGCCTGAAGAGGAGTTGTCTCCGGGAACTGCGGCACCACCAGAGGAAGACAGAATTGTCCGGGGCTCCAACAATCTTTCACGGGAGTCAAGTAAAGAAAAGCATGTTAGTGTCAGTGAAGGCAGCGATGCAGATGGGATTAAGGAGGAGGTCGGCATGCCCACCAGAGAGGAACAGGAAAAACACCGCCAATTCGAAGAGAGGAGGAAGAAGCATTACGAAATGAAGGACATCAAGAATCTCCTTGGGTAAGCTGTTGTCTCTTTTCTTGTGCTGGATGCGTGCCGTTATTAATGCAATGCAGACATCCGGAAGAGATGGATATGGAAGATGAAGATGATCAAGTCGTTCCGGCTGCGATGCCGAAAGATCTCCCACAGCGATCGATCAACGGTACCCGCTAGAGTGTCCTTCCGCCATGCCTGGTGCACCATTTCAAAGGCTTTTTGAAAATGGTGTCTCTGCGGTCGTTACAATGCATTCCTCCAAGCACGACGAAAACATATACTCGGGCAGATTTCATTACACCGGACCAAAGGTATAAAGACACATGGAAAGTGGCACCCAGCGCTAGTATCGACACCAGCAGACAGCATGGGAATGCCCAGGTGATTGGGTGGGTAGAGAAGAAAGGAGCCTTTTCTCATATGATCTCCACCGGGTCTCAATACTTGCCTATGTGTCGAGCACCGGATCGAGGTCTCATTTCCTTTGGTATTGCATCATTCACAAACACGCCAGCATCCGTTCTCCGACTGGACGACCATGACGACTGTCGGTCCAGAGGTTCAACAGTCGTCCGCATAGTTTCACCCACAGTTTTTCCGCGACTTCAAATGTCAGATTCTCGTTTTGATCAGCATTCATCGACGCCATGAAATGCACATTGATGCCCGGAGTTTGGCTTCCCTTCCGAAGGATCACTCAATCCTACTACCGCAGCCTCTAGCGTCCTGCTTTGCCCCTTTCTCCCCTACGAAGCCTTTCCACCTTCAATCGACCTTCGCCGGCGCTTGACGACTCCACGATTTTCCTCTTCGTTCTTCGGCCATTCGAAACTTTTCTCCTTCGCCAACCAATTTGGAAAAGGTGCGGGATACTTGAGTGCTCAAACGAAAAATTGCCATGATCAGGGAGGCACCAAAAAGGATAATGTGTCAGGGAGCTCCGATTGCAGTGAACTGTACTTGCGCCGAACTCCCCGCTCATGTTCATGTTCACGTACTATACCCGCTCAAGCGGAGAGCAAAGGAAAGAAATTGATTTGGTGGGCATCCAAAAACAATAGCAAAAAAAGGGATTCACGGCATATCGTGCTGTGTGGCTGTTGCTGCTTATCGCCTGGCTGCGTTGGATCGTAGCACACTATTACCCAGCAAATGCAATGGACATTTGTGTGACCTGTATTCTGTGTTTCTCTTTCCCCGACCTGTTTCCCCTGGGCATCTATCTCTAGGAGAAGTAGCACAGTAGTCAGAACAAACTTTGGTGGCCCCGGTGCCCGCTCGCATATCACTTAGCATGCCATTCATTCATTGCACTGCTCCGGCCAGTTCAGTCCCACCCATATCATCCCAATCCATTCCATTCAGTTTAGTTCAGTTTATGCCCATGGGCCTTCGGGGGGAGAGAGAGAGAGAGTCGATTACCGGAGCCTCCCTACCTAGTCTTCGTCCCTTCTTCCCTTCGTCTCTTCGTCCCTTTGTCGAGAGAAAGCCAGCTAGCTAACAACAGCACATGCATGCATGGGTAGAGGAGGGCCGGGAGGGAGGGAGGGTATAAGTAAGGTATATGTGAATGTAAGCAATTGACAGGGTTCGAGCATGTGCATCCGCGGTCGGGGCATCGATGGATGATGGATGGACGGACGGATGGAGCGTATGCTTTTCGTGTCATACGAATATAATATAGTACTCGATCGGTGATTAATTATTCAGGCAGGATACATACAGTACATGCTCCCCAGCAGACAAATCCCCGTGTCTTCTCTTCCCTTGTCCTGTCCTGTCCTGTCGTGTCCAAGGGATGGACGGGTCAGGCTGAAGACTACTACTACTACCTACTATTTCCTTCTTCTACTCCGTTGCTATGCATGTAATATGGACACCCTCCGAGCCCAAGAACCCGTAATACATAACAAAACCCGTCCGTCCGTCTTTTTGTATGTCCAGTATGTCCTTATAGCGCCTGTCTCGTTGCATTGCATTGCACTGCAGTGCATTACGTTAATTTACACGTGGATCGAAGTGAAGGGTGATAGATATATGGAACTGAGGAGTCTCTCATCCAATCCACAACTTGCCCAAAATTAGACTCTGCACAATATCCTCGTTGCACATCACTTTGATGGCGGTACCACCGTGGTCCGTCTCTGGATTGTCGTCTCCGTCGTCGTGCGTTCGCACGCCCTCGTGTTTTCGCTTGCCTCGCCTCCGGCCGTGCTTGGGACGGCCACCCCTTCGCTTCGATGCTGTTGGAAAGAGTGTAGCCTTCGCGGTTTCGACCTCTCGATCATCTACAAAGATGTACCTCATTGTCCCGGAGTCGTCCGAGGCAGCCTCCAGCCCTGCCTTCACAGCCACCAGGTCAGGTTCCAGCTCAACTTTGACCGGGTCCAGGGCGCGTACGAGTGAGAGATATGGTCGCCGTTTGGCCTCAGTCTTGCCTTTGCCCATCACGACGATGGCTTGGCAATCACTGAGAATCTTCGGTCTCAAGCTAACAATGTCTTGGACTCTCAAACCCTCTGCACTTGCCGAGAATGGAAGAATGCGCGACTTTGTGGCGCCCTCGAGCTCCGTGCTTTCTCCAGCCGGGAGGAGGTAATTCGTCCAATCGACAATTTTATGGGATTCGACGGAAACTTCGATCCATCTCCCGCTGATGCAAGGAAGCCCCAGCGCTAAAGCTTGAAGATATTTCTCTTTTCGGGAGTGACGGTCAGTGAGCAGTGCAGCGAACGAAAAGCCAGAGAATTCCTCTTTTAGCTGTATCGAGTCCGGCTCAAAGAGGTCGAGAAAAGACTCCTGTAGGATGATCCCACCGTGGTCCTGCACCAGGTCCACGAGATATCGCCGACGGTCGCTGTCTTCGTATGAAACTGCGAATGCCATCTTCTCAAGTAGGCCGTTTGCTAGGTCAATGTGTACAGCTGGGGGTCCTGTTGCAGCTATGCCTCGACGAGTCCGTGATGAAGGTGTGCTTGGCGTAGATGGCCGGTCCAAGGGGGTGGCGATGCCAGGAAGCACAGCGGGAATTGAAGGCGGCTTGTACTCGTATGTTCGGTCTTTCATCTGTCCCCACATTTGGCTGTCTAGATATACTGTAGAGATGGGCACCTTCTTCACGTTCTCAGCCGACGCTTCGGAAAGCAGGTCTTTTCGTTGCTTTGGAGCTACCAGAACTGTCCGGTACCCACGGATATCAGTGAGCACGGCGTGGTCAGCCAAGGCGTTCCCTTGCTCAATCTTGTCTTGGAAGCCTCGAATGACGTGAGAAACCCTGGGAAACCCTTTGATATCTACTTTAACTTGGTCCCCCACGCGCAGGTCCAAACTCCGCACACCATACTCATCGAGCTCGTCTGGGTCGAATCCTTCCCACTGGATCAGAAATCGGCCTGTATCAGATTTCGAACGTCCAAGACAAATGGCAGGGTGATAGGCACGGGTTTTTCCATTAAAGCACGCAAACACCATATTTGGCGCAATATTTGGTTCGTTGGTGCCATTTTCCGCATCGTTGTCGGATAGTGGCGTTGTGGCAGCACTGAAATCTGGAACGTCATCCAAGATGATAGGATCGGAACTGTCCTGGCCATGTTCGGTAATCTCGGGCAAAGCAGGCCGAAATACAGCGCTCTTCGCTCGTTCGGGCTTCTTGTTTAACACCCTAGGCATCCCCGTCGAAGATTCATCTCTTCTTGCCTTCCGCTTTACACTTGGCGAGGGTCTGCTCAAAGGAATGGGATTTTGTGGTGGTGAGGGCGGAAGGTCCCATTGCGATGCCCGAGCCCTCGAACTCGCGGTCTGAAGCCCCTTACTGGGAGCATTCAATGTCTTGGTAGCTGACCTCCCTTCTTCCCACGAATATGTTATAGGGGGTGGCACGCCTTGCACGGGCTCCTCCAAGATATCTGGGTTTAGCTCAAGATTTCCCAAAGCGGCCTGGTCCTTTGGCGCGCTAGAAGCTTCGTTCAATTCAGGTTCGTCGTCATTCTCTTCCCACTGTCTAATACCAGAATGACGGCTGCCAGGTAGGTCTGCGCCCTCGGATATATTTCCAGTGTTCAGCGGCGGAGAAAGACTCGAACGATTGGGATTCTGGAAGTCTGCATCCAGCTCTAGAGCTTCAGCTGCGTTGAAGCTGCCCGGTGATCCGACGGGCGATGGTTCTGCAGCGATTTCCGCCATGCGTTTCCGCCGACGCCCTGGCGGCGAAGTGACAATAGGAGGACTGCTTAATTCGATTCCGACAGGTTGTTCAAGGGTCGCTGTAGAGGCTTGATTGTGAGTCTGCGCGGTATCAAACGCGTCATGACTCTCAGCATTCCCTATCTGTGGTTTTGCGTCGGCCCCTCTTCCAGATTGAACTACTTGTCCGTTAGAACTAGTCTCAGGAATTGTGCTAGTTGGTGGTTGGCGCGTCTGGGTATTCGAGCTCAATCCAGGGAGGTCAGCTATAGTGTCTGTTGGTGGCTCACTGGCTGGGAGATGCTCATCCACTACCGCACTCAAGATGCCAACCGTTATGGCGGAGGCCGAATCCCTTTGATTTGTGGTGACTTGTTCTGCGGGTGATGATGTGGGAGATTGTGGAACAAAATCAAGCATCCCATCAGGGGTAGAAGATCTGGGAACGTGAGTGGTCGTCCGACGTCGCTTCAGGGGCCGCTCAGGCTGCGAATCGGCTACTGCAAACATCTGTGAACTGCTGAAAGCTACAGGTCGGCTGTGAGGCCCGTGGCTATGCCTGAGTAAGGGGCTTTCTACTTCATGAGTAGGTATGTCGTTCATAACCCGGTGCAGTCTCGCCGTGGTCTCAGGTATTTGGCTTGCTCGATCGGAGAAATTCTCCTTATCCTCTTCGTCGAGCAGCACTATCGGCTGACTCGAACGCGTCACGACGACGGAGGTGTTATCTTCCTGTTCCGTTTCTTCCTCGCTTTCATTGCTCGACAGGTGTCGATCACGCCTAGTTGGGCTTGAATCGGGTTGCGTTCTAGGTCGGTCCATGGGCAGAGGTCTCTCCGGAGAACTTCGAGTCAGTCCAGGAATGGGAGACGACCTGGACGCCGAAATACTTCGCGTAGATTGCTTTGATATTGACGAAAGATGCGCCTGTATCTTTCGATCGCGTTCCCGCCGTCTCCATTCTCTGTCAAGGTAACTATCCCCATCGTCGTCGAAGCTATCGTGATCAGAATCTTCATCGTGGTTGAGAATTTCCAGCTGCCTTCGCCTAGCCTGCTCTCGCAGGGCCTGGGACTGCTGCACAGAGACATATCGCGAGGCCGGTTCCGTCGAGGCTCGCTTAAAGTCGGAAATGGGCCGTAACGGTGACGAAGTGGTAGCCGTCACAGGACGGGGCTGTAGCTCGATATTCGGCGACGGACGATCGGAGTGCAGATCTCCATTGGCACCGCCGACAAAGGGCGAAGTGTTCGCCTGAGTTGCAGCAAAGGCCTGGCTGAGGCCCATGACATGAGCATGAGCATGAGCATGATCCTCGCCAGCTCGCAATAGAGGATTGCGAGGCAGCTCGGGGCTGTCAATGACATCGCCATTGTATCTTCTCTTTCTCCCAGCAGTGGCCGGTGTCTTGAATCGCTGGGATTCTGGAAATTGAGTAAAAGCGCGTGGCGACTTGGTAGGGAAGAGGTCACCCTCCACCTCTTCATCTTCTCCATCACTGGCTGGTCCCTTCTGCGAAACCAGACTCGATATCAAATCAATGTGGCCTTCATCGCCCTCATGAAATGTGACTCCAGTCTCTTCCAAAAAGTCTTGGGCGAAGTCGAAACCGTCGCCTTCGCCCTGCCGTTGTCCAGCACTCCTACTGCGGTTGAGAAGGTGCTCATAGTGCGAAGGAGATAGTTCCTGGGTCGGAGCATCGCTTCCTTGGCTGGTCATCTTCTGTGCGGTGGCAACTGCTTTGTTCGGCGCGAACGCAGGCGGGAGGAATTGGAGTTGGCTTTCGGCATCGGTGAGATTCACTTGAGATTCAGGGACGGTGCTGGGGAGTTGGGGGACGGAGACAGATCCGGTGTCAGGAAGAGGAGGGTGAAGGTCGGCTTCGTCCACGGCGGCGAGCTGGACGCTTGTGTAAAGGTCCTGTTCTGAATCTGGCTGTTCGTGGCCCGACTATTATGGCGCTATTAGCGTGCTGCGTGAAACCAGGGTCGATCAATTTCTAAATTACCTCCAACGGCGCGAGAATGTCCGCCTTGAGATTTGCAATGTCGACACTTAATAGGCTATCTGTCGCCATAGATGTGAATCAATCCATAAATCCCCACGTCTCCGAGTGCGGGCGCCGAATATGGGCAATCACATCTAGACAAAGGGATTCATGCAGGTCTGGAACCAGGCAGCACGTGTTATTGTGACGATACGCGACCATTGAATTTGCGGGGCAGAACAAGAAATCACGGAACAATGTAAATCCCGAATACGCTTAATAGCGGTTAAAATGACCGTTGGAATTGAGTCATTTGAGGTCCCTGTTTGTACTCGGTACACCTGTAAATAATATCTGTAATGTCTGTCTCCCTCCATAGTGTCATTCAGTGTGTCACACATATATATACATGGAGATGATGTGTATACACCTTCGATCAGCCACCAGTAGGTCTGCCGATGGCCTCGACCTCTGGATAATGTTCTTGAGGAAACTGTTGATTCTGCATCAGAGGCTGTCCGTACTCCTGCCTTGTGTTCAGCCTCACTGGCCCTTGCGTACGCGATCGCTTACGGAGGCAGAGAAACATGACGAGCGAAACGATGATGATGAGGCCGAATACCCCAGCGACCACAGCAGCCATAATCTCACCCACATGGTGTCCGAGCTCGTTGGAGCTTTGGGATATTCGGGGAAACGTATTGGTCATCGTGTTTACCGCTGCGAGTTCGGTTGCGGAGGACCCAGGTGACCACAATGTCGTCACCCAGTCTGGGTAGCTAGTCACCCCCGGTGTGGTAGTTCCCTCCTGAACATCCCAACTTCCAAAGTAAGTTCCGCAGCCGAAACCCTTGTAGTTGTAGGGAGCATAATTGAAGGTGTTGCAGTATGTTGCAGAGCCCTCTGTACTAGCGAATTGTCAACAGCCACAGCTTGTCGTGGGATGCCACTACTGACGTACCATTTCAGTATCATGTCATTAGACTGACAGTTTTCGTCACAGTTGCCGTCAAATTGATCTGCCTCGATACAAGCGACATTGTAATAGCACGAGTCGAGGACAACATCCGACGTCAATGTGCTTTGGTATGACGAACAGCACCCGACTGCACTAAAGACGTAGTTGGAGGCACAGTAGGCATTGTAGCAGCTGACAGGGTAGGCTAATCATGCACGGTTAGCAGTTGCTGGTCAGGTATCTTGCTCGTTGATACACTGACATGCATTTGCGTTGATGTAGCCGCACACCGAGCTGAGGCTGCTTTCAGGCACCAACTGCCTTTTATCTACCGCATATTCTCTCGACGGCGCTGCAGTCGTGGCCGGGAGAGGACTTCGCTCATGCTCATGCAGTCCATGAACAGCGGTTTGAGCGGGCAGTGAAGGTAACCAAGGCGCTGTGAGAGCCATATCTCAACAGAAAATAACTTCAGCCTCACCAGCAGATGCCAAGCAATATCAAATGCCAACACATCCCAGAGCGATCCGTTTGCTTATAAGGAAGACCGCGAAACATCCAAGGCATCCATACTTCCCGCAAAGGGCGACTAGGCTGGTCTCGATCCAGCCCGGGTCGAGACAGCCCGGTCCAGTTCTAACCGAGGCGATAGCCCGCTGTCAGCCTTGCACGCCAGTCCCAGCTGAAATAAACACAAATCCAATCGCAGTGAAGCTTTCTTCCTCTAGTGCCACGAGTGCATATCTCTCAGCCACATTGGGCAAACACTAGAACGCTGTCTGAGAAATTTTTGGCGACCAAGTGCATTGCTAACCCCAATCCAGCCTCGCTTGCCAGAGGCTTCCCCCTCCGCATTGGCACGATGGGGGCCACGGAAGCAGACCATGGCGCGAGGGACTTGGTGGTCGCAAACGGGTGAGTCTGTTAGGCAATGCCTGGAAGCCCGCGGATTTCCCACGAGCCTCAGCCCTCCCTTTGCAGATATTTCATCTTGACCTTGTGGCCAAAGTGCGGCGTGGTAAAGGCGTGCACTGCTTGTCTTCCTTCTCCAGTATTCGAAGATCAGTTACAACATGTATCGCAGAGTCCACCAGGCGCCGGCGGCTCCAAGGAAACACGCCCGGGCCAGAGACCGTGAAACCGCACCGCCGCCGACGAGCAAGTTCCAGAAGCACATGTCCGGTCGCTATGGGGACATCTGGTTGAGCTTCTCTATCGTCACTCTGCCCATGCTTGCGTTCAGTGCGTTGCTGCTTGGCCTTGTCTACCACTATCGCGTCACCCACTCTCCCGCTGCAACATCTGGTTTGCGCACAGATGATCTCACCGACGAGCCTGGAATATATTATGTAGACCTCAGTGCTACTGTGTTGATCTTCATTGCGTCCTGGTCCAGCACCTTAGGACCGCTCCTCGCGGGCTTTCTCATGGCCCTGGCATCATATCCTCTTTCGAAGAAGTACTGGAATGACGTCCTACACCAGCATCCAGACCTCCCAACGCCCTTTCAGTTCGCGCTAATACTGAAGTTTCTCACGAGTAGCGGTTGGGGATCACTGTATAGTTGGGTCAAGTACCTTGCTGGCTGGAAGAAGCAAAGACAGTGGCAGTCGAGACTGTTGACAGCAAGCGCCTCTGTCACGGTTCTTACAACATTCTTGGGGTATGCTCATAATCTCAGGATAGAAGAGGTGGCCTGCTGACAGTTGGTAGCTTTCTAGTCTTTCTTGCGGACACCTGGCTCCATATCACGACATCGACCGTGAACTTTGTCCAAGTCAGCCCAGTGACTGGCGGGACGAACTACAGCTTAACCCTGAAGCCAGCATGTCTCACGTCGAACAATTCTATGGCGGTAGCTCTTGCTACTGCCAATGGGGCGTGCAACGTGAACTCTGGGGCTACTCAAATCTTCCTCGCCGATTCTCGTCAGACTTTGCAGACACTCAACAACGTCTCCAACACCATTGCCGTCTTCAATAACGGACCTGACCCAACATACACGTATCTTGGCATCCCGCCATCTGCAGGCATTGCCGGTCGGGACTACACGGCCACGACGTTTGGCATGCGCACTCAATGCAGACCCATCTCAAACGAATGCAATCTGAATGGGCTGATCGGAGCGTCGACCCCTTTTATGTGCACTCCAGCGTTTGCGGGCGACCTTCAACAAGAATCCAATGGCTGGCTCTATACCTACTTCACCAACGACTCTATGAAGTCCAACCTGACTATCGGAGGAGTTCAGAACCCTTACTATTATGGGCTGGCAGCCTTGATCCAGAACCCCGGTCAGCCAGCTTATACTGCCAACGGCACAGACATTCCTGAGCTGGTCACACCAGTGCACGGTGGCACTGCCTTTGTGCTGCTGTGTAGCATAACACTCTACGATATTGAATACGACTCAATCAATGGAACCATCACACGTTTGGTGGCCTCCCCGAGCAACAACACCGTTGCCAATATTTGGCAAGCTCCAATGGCGAACGTCAATGTTGCACAGTCCAACCTGCAGACGGCCGCCACAATCGCCGCTTCCACCGCAAATGATGCGCAAGATCTGGCGGATCAAATAGCTCTCGCCTACAGCAAGGTGGCCTTGGGTGTCGGTGCACAATCCGTGCGTGGGGCACCAGCCCTAGCAGTTCAAGAGCGAAGTTCATTTCTCGTGACCCGACTCCCCATGGCGCCGCTTTTTGGCCTGATCGCCGCGAATCTCGCGTTCGTACTCTTGGGCTTCATCCTCACGGGCATCGCACTCGGCACCTCCGGAGGCGAAGTCCGAGAAATCCAAGCGCGGCTGAGCATTGTCGGCTTGGTCGCGGATCGTTTCGAAGGCGGCAGGGCGAAAGACGCGGCAGAGGACATGGAGGAGCTTTTTGAAGAGCATGATGGAACCACGGGTACTAGGGTAGGAATGGAGCGCACGGCGACAGGAGGATATGCCTACCGGCAGTGGTCCACGATAACTGGCTGATTGGGACGGTGCCTCTGTATACCGGTGTTTTGGCAGCGCTTGTGCAGTCTCTCGAAGTATATGTGAATAAAACCAGTGAGTGAGATGCAGTGGTGATTATCACCCGGATTCTCAGCCTCGTGCTTCCCTGCCTATTCCGGACAGCGGGTCTCGCAAGGCTCCGCATCTCTGTGGAACTCGGCTTCGGGCTCCGCGGAATCCGTTACTTTGTTCCCTCGACATGCCCTCAAGGTTCCCTTTGGAAAGCCAGATGGATCTACAGTGGCGCCTTGGTCGGTCATGTGTCCCTTTCCTTTTATAAACCTGACCGGCTGCCAAAGAATTCTTCCCGAGACCGAGATCCTGGCGACGTGCGACCACCCGCGGGTTCAAGCGCCGACCTCTCAAGATCTGAACGATACGACCACCGACATCTCCTGAGATGGCCGAGGTGGCTGAAGATGCGGACCACGCTGATGTCATTAGAAGAGCTGTATGTACTCCCACTTGGTTTCCCCCGGCCACTTTCTTCGGCATTGACTGCCATGCAAAATTCTGATTTATGGATGCTCGTCAGTATGCTAACGTGTGAACGATGTAAACTTGACAGTGTGATCAGTGCCGTGTCAGGAAGGTATCATTGTGGCATGTTCCCTCGCTTTCTCCGACTTGACACTGACCGGGTGTCTAGATACGATGCGACAAAGAAAACCCATGCTCTAACTGCAAGACGGCAAAGAGGGACTGTGTCTCCTCGGGACTTGGCCAGAAACCCAGGCAGGCCAGGCAGAGGGTGTTGATCTCGCATCAATAGTAGGGTACCTCTTTTTTCCAACTACTTGTGGGCAAATATGGACTGATAGTATCGCAGTGAGCGGAAGATTGACCAGTTCGAGTCCCGTCTGGGTGGAATCGAGCAGATGCTCCGCAGCCTCACGACATCTCTCAGTCGTGGTGACGGCTCTGCCTCGGGATACGCGAGCAGTGCCATACGAACCTATACACCTCCCAGCATCGCCGAGTCCAGCTCGACGACATACGACGAACGATCGCCCAGCGTAGACAACGACCACACCTTCGAAGGCAACTCTTCCATGACGGCGCACACAGCGTTCGCCAGCGAGTTTCTCGAAAAGGCCGTGACGAATACCCCGCTCGGCCACCAATTCAGTCCGAACATCGAGAATGCACTCGCGTCTCTACGGCAGATGGTCGAGATGCAGCAGCGCAAGGACATTTCGCAGGAAAGTGCGTTTGCTCACCAAAAGCCAGTCCCCAAGGGTGGTCTCAGTCAGCTGCCATTGCCGCCGACAGATGTTGTACTCAGGATATTGCGCGAGATGAAAGGTCAGTGGAACCATTCTATCCGCATACATACCGCCAGCATATATGTATATACGACAGACAGATCTAACCGGACACACACAGTCACACCGCCCTTGGTGTTTACCACGTGCTGTACTTTCATCACGGTCGACTCTTTTATCGAGTCCTGTCGCAAAGTGTACTTCGCCACGGAGGACTACAGCCCCGCCGTCTTCATCATCGTCAATGCCGGCCTCTACTACCTGTTTCAAGAGAAATCGTTCATGGACGAGTCCAACAGTTCAGCGTACCGTGAATACCACTACTTGTGCCGTGATAACCTGGAGACAGCCCTGGCCAATTTGCCGCTCCTCCTGCCGCGTAGCAAGGAGATCATCGAAGCCCTGCTGCTTGGTGTCAGTATCCTTTTTCCCCACTGGTCTACTTGCACGTCCCTTCTCCTATGCTGACCAACGCAAATAGGCCACCTACTCGATCGAGGTCTCAAAGTTTACAATCGGGTGGCAGCTAAACAGCGCTGCGGCAGCGGTCTGCCAGACGCTCGGCTGGCACCGTCTCCAAGCCACCGAGGGCGAGCTGGACAGCACCAAGTCGGCCATGTTCTGGTTCTGCTACATGCTGGACAAGGGCCTTTCGCTGCGCTTCGGGCGGCCCTCGGCCATGCAGGACTGGGATATCTCGACGCCGCGCCGCTTCCGCAACCCGGACATCATGGACCCGTGGACCGACGCCATCAACCTGTGGATCAAGACTGGCAGCGTGCTGGGCGATACGTACGAGCACCTGTACAGTCCGGCGGCGCTGGCGCGAGCCCCAGGCCAGCAGATCGAGACGGCGCGGCTCCTGGCGGCCAAGATGAAGCACATGTGGAACGAACTGGAGGACCTGTCGACGTCCTTGAAGCGCGGGAACGGCGCCATCGTAGACGCCTCGGACGGCGGCGTCAAGGGCAAAGAGTGGCGGTCCATGTCGCTGGACATGATCCTCAAGTCCGCCGAGGTCAAATACCTGGCTTCCCTGACCCTCGTGTACCGCGCCATCCCGAGTGCCCCTGGAGTTCCCAGCACGTTCAATGCCGAATGCATCGACGCGGCGCGAGCGGCGGTCCAGCGCCACGACGAATGCATGAAGCTAACGGCCGACAATCTCTTCGTCCAGGCCGGGTATCTGCATTGGTAAGTGTCTCCCGATCTCTGTGGTCTCTGTTTATGATCTTGGTTCTGACAACGAGTACCAACCAATCTGTTGAGCTCAACTTACGTATGGAAAATACAGGACCATCCTCTACTCCCCCTTCACCCCGTTTATCGTCCTGTTCTGCCACGTGATCGAGACCTGCAGCGTCGACGATCTTCGGCGTCTCGAGCAGTTCACCACGAGTCTGCAGCCCGCGTTGTCCATGTCGCGGGGCATCGAGAAACTGCACCGGCTCTGCAAGTTGCTCTCCCAGGTCGCCGCCCTGTACGTCGAGGCCAAGATGCAGGAGCCCGAGGATGAGGACATGACCATGGTGGGCAACGACTTTGACATGTACCTGTCCCAGCTGGGCTTTATCCCGCAGCCCCATCCCCAGCCTCAGACGCACCACCCGGACGGCGGCGAGAGTGCGCTTCACGGTGGCGAGTGTGAGCTGGAAGGAGGCGGCGGTGGGGTGGGTGGGACAGCAGTGAATCAGCAGCCAGGACTGGGCGACTGGTTCTCCGGGAATCGATACGTCATGGGCCTGATGGAGGAGGACTTGTTGGACTTTGATCCCGAGATGTGGGCGTCGACGACGACAACCGGGGCGCGGTAGGTGCTATCCCCCAGCAGATCTTTATTTCAGCGGGGGCCCGTGGGCTCTGTCTCCCCGCGATCGCTGTGTTATTGGCTTCTCTTGAGATGAGGAGCGGGGGAAAGAAAAGGACACCTGAATTCCCTGGCATACTCTAGATATAGCTGAATTGCCTGCCTGACTGCCACCTGAGGGGAGGAGGGGATGGAGCCTAGGTGGATTGATTCACGAGTGAATTGAAGCAGGCAGCTGAGAGCTCCGGGGTGGGGGGGCATCTCGAGAAGGGGACAGTGACAGTGTCCCAGGGATTCAGAACAGGTGAATCCATCACAGAGAGAGGGGGAGAGCGCTTGGATGGTACATCGATCGTCTCCACTCCAGCCAGCTCCCAGTGACCCAGGTTCCCTGCGAAGTACGAGAACACAAGTCCTTCGTCGTGTCGACGAATACAGTCAGGACACCATCCCTCGCTGGGGAGCACACTCTAGTTAGTACTCCATGGAAAGGCGACACCGTTCTCGTCCTCGTCCTCACATTCACGCTCGCACAGGTCATCGAACACTTAACACTCAATGACGGCGATCCTGACAGACTCTGTGTGCCTGACGTAGAGACTGGTGAGCCGTGGCGTTCTTCAAGGAGGTACTGTCGCCTCAGGGAGGTGTCTCTATTGTCCAACGAACTTGATAGGCCATGCAGAAGAATCATGATAAAGGAAACGTGTGTGTGTATTGTTGTTCTTTCCCTGCTGAGAACATTATAATCATTCGTGCCCGTGAAAAGAGTCTCCCTTGGGGTATCTAAGAAATCCGTATGACATATCCATTTCCCATTCCCGAGCCGCCGTCGGATCTTACTCAGAGTGCTTTTTGGGTGCCCGCCCCCGTTCATAACTCCATTAGCTTGCATTGGAACATTTCGTAGAAGGTAAAATTTTGTTTTCCCCCTCTTCCCAGTCGTTAGACAGTCCATCGGGACGCTCAATCTCGACTGCGATTTGGCGTCCACCTCCTCACATTGACATCTCGAATCTTGTATCTCGAAAACAGCCAACCGATATCCACGTCCTTGCGCTTCTCGGCGTCTTTCAGCGGCGGCGGGACGTCCACATAGCAGAGCACCAGCTGTTTATGGACCTGTGCCTGGACACGATTGATCCCGTGGAGCCACCACCAACTCTTCTTGCTTGTTCTCCGTTCGTTTGCTTTGCACGGCTCGGGTGTCGTAGACTGTGTCCAGTACGCATGGGTGTATGAGGGGATGATGACAATTGCAAATTCGGCGTGAGAGAAGGCCGGACCACGGTTGTACAAGAGATAGTCGGTGGAAAACTTGACGCCACTCCGCACAACCCAGCCCAAGGAACGATAGTGGTGGTACACGGCGTAAGAAATCATGAAAGGGTCGTCGGGTTCTGCCGGGACCGACAGCGACCGGGGAGGATGATATGAATGACGTCGGAAGAGAGAGAGAAGGGACGAGGGAGGGAGGATAGTGTTGCTGTCGTCGCAGTAGATATCGAGGACGCCCAGAGCGTATGAGAGGAAAAAAGCCTCTTCAAGTGAAAGGTTCAGGTGTTCTTGGTTTTCTTGTGGAACAGGCTTTTCGTCTCCTTCCGCTTTGGCATCCTCCAGCGGAGACGTGCCGGGGCTTTTAATGGGCGATATCACAGGAGAACTCAGGTCAAATTCGCGTGCCTCGATGGTGGGTGAGAACCGGACCGTTTTCGTTCTTTGCAGTTTTTTCACGGGGCGACCTTCAGCCTGACTAGTGTCTGAACAAGTTGAGGTTGGCGGCGGCGTCGGGATCCCATTCGCTTCGAGAGCCTTTTTCCACTCCTCAAACCCTTGTAACGAGTTGTTTTCCTTGTCTTCCTCCACATCAGGTGTCGCGCTCCAACTGGTCGATTCTAATACACTGCCAATGTCGCTGATATTCTGAGCATTGGTTTTGAGGACGTTTTCCGTCAGAACGCCGTTGATGTGGCCGTTTAGACTGCCGTTCCGAGGCAGCTGATCCAATTTCGGTCGGTCGGATGCATGAATTCCATTGACATTGACATCGCCGTGCTGGTTTGATTTTGGTGCGGAATCCTGGTCAAGGACGCCGTTCAATGGACCTGTGACGTTACCATTCTGCTGCAGCTCTTCTGATAACTTTTGGTCAATCTCTTCTTGCTCCTTCCGTGCCCGTTCTTGTTTCGCCTGTCTCCTCTGCTCCCTGCGGGAGGCCGTGTTTTCCTCTGCTGTCCGTCCTTTCTTCTGTCTATTCTCTAACCAGTTCGGCTCACTCCGGCTGAGGCTGCCTCTGCCAAAGAAACCCATTTCCCAGAGTTTGCGTATCGTCTGAGGGTCGGTGACGTGGATGGAGGATGTCGCCGAGGAGAAGTAGCCATTGTAAGTCGGACGGGTAGGCGGTGACAAAACTTGAACGAGATATGACAGGGCGATTGCAACTAAAGACAACGGGTTGTGAGGGATCAGAACCGGGAGTGGATGGACTTCGATGGGCAGAAGATGGCGATGGATCTGGTTGTAATTTGGTCTCTTGGGGCGTCTCGGAGGCTTCGAGGACGACTGCTTCGTGGATGAAGCCTCAACATTCACAGGAGGTGTGGAAGCTGAGGCCATGATGGAATTCCTTCTCCAAGGTCAGCCTCGTTGGAATTTTCACATGTCTCATAACAGCGAATTCGCAAAGCCAGCAGGCAAAAGTCGATCCCTCAGATACCGTTGTAGTCTAATACACGAAGCCCACATCGGAGAGAAGCTGAAATCAAAGTGCAACCTCCTCGGCAAGCAAGGTAGTCATCGTCGGGAAGATGGAACAATGGGCATGTGGTGTGATCCAGGGATTGGGCATACTCACTTTTCGTATCCGGTCTGCCGTGTGGTAACAACAGGGAAAATAAGGGCAGGGTTTTCCGAAGGTCAGATGAAACTGTCCATCGCAGGTTCGTCCTCGTCGATGGAGGGGGAACAGCGCTTTGCTACGGCACCAGAGGAGCGTGCAAGTCACTCAAAATGGAAGTGTTCCTGTCAAATAGTAATAGGACAGTCATCCTGGTTGGGCCTGGGAAAAAAGGCCTCACTCATCAAGCTGGGGGTGCTCAGACTTGTTGCAGTTTTCGGTGAGTTCGCGGGGAAATCTTTGGCGACGGAAATTTTTGCCCGTGAAATTTCTCCAACAAACACAAAAGAGAAAAAGCACCCAACCACGGCCCTGCAATTTTGAATCAGCCTAACGCAGACTCTTCAACTCCCGACGCAAGCAATTCCACAGACAACAGAAGATGCATCTCATGTACACCGAAGACCCAATTACGGGCAAGCGAATCTACACGTTGAAAAAGGTCCTCGACGGCACCGTCACAAAGTCCGCCCATCCTGCAAGATTTTCCCCAGACGACAAGTACTCGAGGTACCAGATGCTCTACCCCGTGATAGAAAAAGCTCTAACACGACTCCCAGACATCGAGTCACTCTGAAGAAGCGATATGGACTCCTTCTGACGCAGCAGAGTACGTTTATTGCGATGCGATCTGACCTTCGAGTGCACGACGATTGATTTGTTCACAGATAACGAAAAGAAATGATGGGAACGGTAAAAGGCGTTGTGGGAGTTCGACGGGGTTGCGCAAGAGCCAGAAAAGGAAAAGGATATCCAGACGGCATCTGGGGATAGCAAAATCATACGACGCATTCAATACACTCATGGACCTGTTCAGATCCTCTACCGCTTTCTCGAGTTAACCGTTCGACCAGCTCCTACCCTCGGCCTGCCTGTGGTGTGGCCTCTATCCCCTGATAGGATGCCTGGCAAAACATCCTCATCCATCAAATCCTTCTCTCTTCTAGTGTCCCTCTTCATCTTCGCCATGGCTCTGACGTACTCCTTCTGATCCTCTGCCAAAATCAGATCGTTCCCCCAGCCACCTTTACCGCCTCCACCGTGCTTGGGCCCTTGCCATTTCTGATTTGCGGTTCCACCCGTGGGTTTGGGGACCGAGAAGACGTTGCCTTTGTTGTTCCATTGCATATTCTTCTTCAGATGCAGTTTTACCTCTCCTTTATCATTCGTCGTACACGTTACCCTGGTGAGGGTAGGCTTCCCGCACCGCGGGCAGAACTGTTTAGACATGTCTTTGGTGGTGGAGAAGCATGCGTGGCATCGGAGGATGAATTGCTTGATCTGGGAGATCCGTTGGCAGGTCTTGGTGGAGATGAGGTTGAGGTTCATTTGGAGGAGGACGTTCTGCATAGCGAAGTCACCCGTCATGGTGGCCACCTGGAGGTGTTTGGGCGAGGATTTTGACGATCCACTGCTGGCAGATTCGTCCTGGGCTTGTCGGCGTTTGATGTTGGAAGGGGTGATCCAGCCTTCGTCTGAGTCTGAGCCTTCGGCCTCTACTGGTTGGGGGGATATTGACTCCGGTTGGTGCTCTGAAGGTTGTGTTGCTTCCCCTATGGTTTCGTCGCTAACTTCGTCGGCTTCGATTGCTTCATCGTCCCGTTGACCTCCTGTCTCTTCGAGCATTAGATTGTCCACCTTTTCCTCGATAGAATCCAGCCCCGTTTCTGCTTGACCTTGCACTCCGTCCACAACATTCTCTGTATCCGGAGTCTGATCTTGGCTGTCCTCTGCCTTGACCTCATTTTGCGCTGGCGGCGCCCCATTCAGCCTCTTCTGCCCCGGTGTCGTCCGCAGCCTCCAGTTCCCTCCATTCCTCTCACACTCGATCTCATAGGCCAATGCCAGAATCTCAAAATCGGTGTGACTGAGCACGGCTCCGTCACCCGTCTTGCGCGCGAAGTCCTTCACAATCTTCAGGCTCTCGGGATTCGGCGACCGGACAGTCAAAAATGGTTTGTACAGGGTTTCGACTCTGTTCCTTGCCTCTTCGGCTTTGATTTCGGCGAGGACGGAGTGCGTGGTCACCAGGACATGGCCGTTGGCGAGGAGTGTGGAGATCCCAGGCGTGTTGAGGAGGAGGGGCGAAGCGTCGAGGATGATAGTGTGCACGGGCTTTTTCTCAGTTTCCTGAGGAACGGGGGAAGAGTCGGTCATGCTGAAAGGGCTGGTTGAAATGGCCGTGGGTTCTTGGTGGACTCGCTCTCAGTGACTTGTAAAGCCTCGACTTGTGGGCTCGAAATTTCAAAATTCACCAACACATGCATGGACGTCATTCCAGACCTGTGCACGTGATTGGACAGCAAAAATGTGCGGGCGCCCAAGATCGATCTTCGTGCCAATGTTCTCGGTCTTCCTACTTATTTTTGCTAGTGTCTCTCGTAGCTGGTCATCGGAGTCTGCACAAGGCTGGGCTGGGACTATATTAGGTGCGAGGCCCTAATTCGACTGGAAAGATAACACAGCATAGACCATGATGGCTCAGGTACGCAATTGCGATATGATTTAGCGACTTCATACTTTTCTCCGTCTCTCGCCGTTCTTGTCATGACATAGACCATATTCAAGCGCGGCGTGGCTATCAAGCAAGAAAAAACCCTTTATAGACACCAAATCGAATGCGGTCGAAACACCCATGTTGGATACGACGATTCTGCCGTGGAAAACCCCCATATCCCTCCGCTCAAAAAAGCACGACCCTTCTCAGACCTCGAGAGATCAAACCCAAAACCAAAGAATGGGTCTGAAATGATGACTGAAGGCTTATCTATCTTATCATCCCGCTCCCCATTCTCGGCATACTCTGCCGTCGAACAAACTCGGCTTGACTTGTCCTTCTAGAATTTACTTCTCTCGACGCGCCTGTGCTCGTCCTCGACAGCCTCCTAGAGCCCGTGGTTCCAGAAGCAGAGGGCAAGTATGAGAGCCGGCGACCTTGGTTATCGGCGCGCGCGTCAGCGAGGGACTGGGCGAAGGGTGATCGCTTTCGCAGGGTAGGGCCGTAGTAGTATATGACGTAGACCGCAAGAACGAGGAGGGTGGCAATGCAGGCAAGAATGGTGCACGCATAGTTGAGATGACGGCGACCTCCAATATCTGCAAAGTTTGTCATTAGTTGCAACATTTCCACAGATGGACTTAATCAAAACTTACTTGTAAAGAATGGTGTGGCCGGAATGGTGAGGACGCCTGCAAGAAAATCTCTCGACCATCCGTTACCGCCAGTAGCAGACGCAGAGTATGGACCATAAGCGCAAATCATATAGTCGATGGTAGCCATGTAGATGGCATAATTTGCTAGACCAACAAGAGCAGCAAAGATCATAGAGCCGATCCAGTGAATTGGAGGGCCCTGAATGGTCCAGGCAAACCCGAACAGACCAATTGGAAGGCAAGGGGCAGTCCAGAGCAGCCACCAGAGTCGAGACTCGTACTGGGCTTTCTCGTTGCCGGGTTTAGACTGCCTCTCGTGGATATTGCGCTTGATGGCTGGAATGAACGAGATCCACGCAATGATGTATCCAATCCCCAGAGGCAGGAAGGCCAAGCCAACGGCAAACACTGCAAAGTTCCATTGAGCGTAAACCAGGGAGAAAGATTGAATGAACATGAAGATGAGTGCGTCGCTGAAACCGCTGAGGAGAGATAGCGTGAGCACGATGGGTTCTGTAAGGAACATCTTAAATGGCCGGATCCAGGTGATGAGGATCTCTCTGACCGAGAAGCGGTCTCTGAATGGCTCGAGTTCGTTCGGGCCCCAGATATTTTCACCGTTCACCTTGCGTCTTCTCTTTGCAATGCGATCCATAAGGATGGTCGACCGCGTTTCTGGGACCAAGAAGAAATGGCAGGCTTGGACGAAGCCTCCAAAAATGAGCTGGATCCAGATCGTCCACCTCCAGCTGCTGACGTATTGTTCAACAAACCCACCGACTATGGGTCCAAGGACGGAACCGAAGACAGAGGAGAAGACCACATAGGCGACAGCGTATTGCTGGTTGTCGGCATCCCACATGTCGGCTGGCAACGCATTAGTGAGATGAAGAAACGAGTGGGCGCGAAATACTAACCGATCATTCCCAGCGTCACTGAACCTCCAGCAGAACTGAGACCACCGAGGGCTCTTCCAACCATGATAGATGCGAAGTTAGGGGCCAAGGCGACAGGGAGTTGCCAAATATTGACCAGAGTCAACGAGAGCTGAAGAATAGGCCATCGGCCAAGCTCCTCGCTCCAGGGTGCCCACAACTCACAGCCAAAGGCGTACAGCACCAAAAAGATCATGGCACCACATCGTGCAGCTTGCTCACTGACATGAAATTCTTGCGATATACCTTTCAGGCCGTTGGAGTAGAGGCTAGTGTTGAAGTTCATGGACAGTTGAACCAGGAAAATTACGGTGAGGATTGTCCATTTCTTCCATTCGGGAAAGGAGTAACCCAGTTCGCTATAGCAGTCATCTTCGGTAATTTCGATCTTGTCAAAAGTTTGGGGTTCGGATTCGTCTTCGGTGTCCTTTTCGGCTTTCTGTTCAGGCAATGTGCTCCCGACATGCTCGGCCTGTTGCCGTGCATCATCATCTGGCTTGACGGTAGATGCTCTCTCCCACTCTCCAGTTTCCTCCTTGGCCTCTGGTGCAGTTTCGGATTCTGCAGAGGGGATATTGAATTGCGGATGGCGATCACGGGGCGCCATGTTGGGTAGTAGATACAATCAAAGACTTGTTGCCCACTCACACATCGAAAGGAAAAGGATGAATAATTTGTCGCAGATTCGCGTCAGCAGCTGTGACGGGGAAATCTGGGGGATGGAGCGGGTATATACAAATTATGTCTCATGCGATGGGGATGGGGCAATACCACCACGAGGGCCCCTCGGTCAACAAAGGGCCCTCGAGCAGCGAAAAATACAAGGGGCGATGATATCAACAGTATCCATCCGATAGCCTTGAAGTGGAGCCGGAAGATGGCGGTTCGAGTGAAAACTCAGATCTCTGCACAATGACGAAGGCATGAACATGGTCAGCTTTCTCAGAATGGTCAGGTGCGATGTGGAGGGCAGGCAGGGGCCATTGGGGGAGGCGATGTCTCTGGCCGTGCATCCCTCATCTTTGTACATTTGTGACCCTACGGCTTCTTTTCAGTTGCTGGACAGAGGCCATGTGCTAAACACGAGGTAAAAAGGGCGAAGTTAGAACAGAGATTAGGGACGAAAATCCCTTTTGCTTCTTTGTGTGCCACATGTGGGAAGGCTGAAGCAGGCTGCGTGGCTTGACGATGAGACTTTGGGTCGATCTCCCTGGCGGCTGCTCAATGTCGATGATGGTGTTGATGGGCAGTGATGGGTGTAATTGGTCGTGTTGTTGTGGCACCCGGTAGTATCAACCATGAGATGACGTCGATGGCTCCCTCTTTCAGGCACCGACTCTGCTATCAGGCCTGACGTCGCGATGAACTTAGTGCGAGGGCCGGAGTCTTGGAGGAAACAAGCAATGATCGGCTCGGAAATCGGCCATGATCTGCTTCTCGAGGTGGCTGCCAACACCTTCGCGCCGAGTGGAGGCGAAAATAATGCCGTCCCCGTTCTACACTCACCACATTGTTGCCGCTGGCCGAATTAGTAACTATTCAGATTCCCATCCTGAGTGCAACGTAATCTTACAGGCATTCCCTACACCTCTTGGCATCCTTGGCAATTTCAAGCATATACACCTCTTGGCAGCGACTATTGAATACACGTACGACTTGGCCGGATCCGCCGCGGTCAAAGTCTGATCCATACGACTACGAGGTACACATAATCCGATCAAACCCCGAACTGCGAAAATCAAGCAAGCTATCCCCTGAACACGTGGCTGAAGATTGAAGACGTCCACAGAGAACATGCATGAAAGCGAGAGGAATATACAGGGATGTTCAGAGTACGACTGTGCAGCACCAAATCCTTGCCTAAATGCCGTGGCAGAGTTATCTGTTGAGAGCGATATTAGCCTGTGCACTGATAATCAGAGGTGAGGTGGAGGCACAATTATTGTCTGGCTGTAAGTACCATAGTGCGTCACATACGCGCATGGAATTCTTGAGCTGTCGTCTACGAGCTCTTACGAGACTGCGTCGCGGCCCTCGATGAATCCACCAGCAAGGTCTGAAGCCGCATTCACAGTCTAATCCCAGTTTGCACCTTTGTGGTTCCTGTGCTGAGATTGCCCTCGTACCAGCCGGTCCCCAATTCGGTTATCTTGCCTGTGGCGGCTTTTTTGAGCACCAAGTTGTGGATGAGGTTCTCAGTGCCGATGTCGTATAGTCTGAATTCTCGACTTGATCTAGCACCCTGGGGAACGACCAGGGCCGCTATGGGTCCCGGCTGCAACTGTCCACCCGCCGTCTTTGTCTCCCACTCTACTGTTCTCAAGCGACTGACTCGGACCTTTCTATATGACTAACTCGATAAAATCGCTGTCTAGCCAATTGAGAAAGCTGTAGGTCCATGGATCGACGCGCGGTTGAATCGCAAGTGGTCCACGAGATATTGTTCTGCAGATTTGATGGGCTCAATTGCCGTTGTTCTTGATACTCGAGTCTACACTTGACGATAGACGGATGATGGATTGAGGAGAGTTGTTTGTCTTTGGAGCACCATGCCCTTGGGGTGTGGTTTGGGTTGTGATGGTTATGATAGAAGCTGGAAAAGGATGGGGACCATTCCGGACACTTATGGACCTGGAGGAGAGCACAGAACTGCGTTCAATGACACCAACCCAACCAAGCAATCACGCCTTATTTGGGAGGATGTTTCTAGCCGAGCTGAAAGAAGCCCATCTGGGCAGTTTATCATGACCTCGTGATCGTGGATTTGCCGTTCTGCTCTTGATCCGCGAGGATGTCCGGCTCAAGGTTCAGTTCCGCTACTGACTACGCATCATTCTGTCCGCATGTGTATCGGTAGCCCTCACCGTAACGAAGGGTCTGTTTCTTGCAGACATCCGGTGTATCACTGCACTCAGATGACCGTGTATCTCTCATATAGATACCTGCGCCCTGAAAAAGTGATGCCGATGTTAGACCAGGGATGCATCGGACACAGCCTGCACGTCGGTTTAAGCTTCCACGAATTAATATTCGGCCCCAAGCAACTTGTGCCCAGTGAGCCTTGCTGCTTCTTCATGCTTATATAGTCTTGGGCATGAAGGATGCCATGAAGCCATCCATTGCAGCCACAATGCTTGAACCATTTAAGGCAGGTATCGAAATGTGCCTTCGTCAGACGCCCATGACTCTGTGTTGACTTGATACTTTTTGATTGTCTTGTAAGGTATTCTAGGTCAAGTCGTTTCAACGCGACGACATTGACATTCACTCTCCAAGCCATGCAAGCTTAACCATAGCCATAACCATGCCCACGTGCTGTATTTTACAGGTTTCCAGACTTGACCCCTTTCCATTTGTGTAGTAACATTTTCGGTTATGAGTCCAGGATACCAGCCTTTATTACATAACCACCAACGCCGCTGCTGAAAGCAAAATTCAAGAGCAATTGTCTCATGAATATATCGGGAGCACTCTCTTCCCAGATTTTGATTGAAGCTTTCCATACCCCTCCCCGGCAGCTGTGCGTTTCGCCAACGCCGGATTCGCCGCCGCCGTCGCGTTGTCGTCTCCCGAACCATCATCTTGGAATACCTGCAAGGTGTTGATCGCCCAGTACGCATCGACAAAGTCTGCGGGATTATTCGCCACGTAGTCTTCGCAGGTCGGTGCCAGAGATGCGCAAGAGGATGTGTTCCAAACAGCACCAGCCCACTACATGGGAGACATTAGCACGAGTTACGTAAGGCTCAAATCAATGTGTCTTGGCTTACCTGCCCGCAGAAGGTCGTGTCGAATACGATCTGGAGATTCTTGAAATGATCGTCAAGATTGAATGATCCCTGGAACAGCGAGTTCGGGGTACCCCAGTTTTTGGACGGGTCGGGATTGCTGCTGACAATGTCGTCTGGGAAGGAGCCGCGTGGGAAAAACCATATTTTGATGAAATCAGCCGTCCATTCGGTTGCGAACACTCCTCCCCCGGCCTCGTTAAATTCGGGTCCAAATGTCAGATTGGAAATGTCGCCGATTGAACATCCAGCGTTCGTCGGCTGATTAGGGGCGTTGACGTCGCAATTCGACGTGATCAGTTCCCCCAAGAAGTCGGTGCCGTTGCTCACCACTGCGCCCTCTCCGGTATGCAAAGTCATAGAGTTCGTAGGTTGATCATTGACTCCCTCGACGACATCGATCTCTCCGTTGTTTGGCCAGTCTGCGCCGACCATCCAAAATGCGGGCCAGGTACCGCAGACGCCACCGGGCATGTGAACTATGTCGGCGATAACCAAAGCGTGTTGATAAGATTGCACCGATGAGACACGTACACTGGCCCGACCCTGCGGAGCGACATTTTCAGTGTCCACGCCCATGTAGATGGCGAAAGATGCATTTCCTCCTTCTATGAATCCCGCAATGCCTGTAGCATTTGCCTGTTCCAGTGACTGGAATTGAACGAGACCATCGGTCGGATCCGGGTCGGTGAAGAAGTCGAAGCCTTGCCAGAAGGCGTCCCCGGAGTAGTCTTGGATCAACTGGTACACAGCCAAGGTGGGCTGAGAAACGATGCTGACTAGCAGCAAGAGTAGTGATAACCGAGCCATCCTGATGGCAACGGCTTCGAACGGAAAGGATTGTGGATGCAGAAGATTTGGGTACTAGGAAGGTGCAGGACGCGAATCGATCAACGAGCGTGAGTAGGAAACTCGAGTAGGAAGGAAAGGAAGACCAGCGTCGCAAGAGAAGCAGGAGACAAGGAGAGGCTTGCAAACGGAACCTGTCAAGAAACGAAAGAGCAGTGAAGGAAGGTCGTCAATTGACACGGAGTGATATGAATAAACATTCCATTCACAGGGAAGGGGTGTAGCTGGGAAACCTCGACCATTTTTCTGCCGGTACCTCTGGCTTTGAGGGAATGCCATGCCATACTCGAGAATGTGGTCCTCCAGGAATCCAGCTTGCGGAGTCTGGAATCTGCCAACCCGGAGGTGATGAGAGGCATCTGGCCACTGGGGCACCCGTGCCCAACCTCCAGGAGAGCGCAGTCTACGGTAGGAGATTGTAGTAGATGGACAGTTTCGTAGTTCAACGGGGATCACTCATTACGCCAGTCGAGATGGAAACGAGCAGACGGCTTTGAAACGAACTGTTGGAGAGGGGTGAATGAGAGTCGAAGCCCGTGATCGGATGTCGTGAAACGCGTTTCGGCAATCTCTCTCCATCCCGCCGCATCGCGTCCGCGGCGGCAAAATCGTGTGGTCACTGTTGCTCCCCACCCACCGTCTAACTGAACACCAAACAATCCTCGACTGAAACGCCATCTCAGCTTCCAAGGTTTGTTCCTTTGTGCACCGGCTCTGTATTAGCCGTTGGGCCGGGATATGGCTGTCCTATTTCAGACCGCCCCTTGGCTGCCATCATGACCGTGGTGATACAGCCACAGCCCACTGCGCCCACAGCGACAGCCAGACTCGACACATCGTTGCAACTTCCCATTGCCGACCTTTCTCCATCGCAATCCAGTCCTGATGCCCACATTCTAGCCCAGGTCGCTCTTGTATGGCCTTATTCCAGCTCAACGGGGACAATCGCCTTGCTGTTAGCCGACCCTGACATTCGCCGGCGGAAATCCAATGGCCAGGTCAAGGCCGTGTTCCGCAATGGGTGTGCAAAGGAGGTTGCAAAGTCCAAAGTGGGTATTGGGGATACTATGAGGCTTGCATTGGTCGGCTGTGAGTGGAAAGAGACGGGGAATATGGTTTCTACACCTGGCAAGAAGATAAAATGGGATCTGGAATACAACGCCCGTGTTTTTCTGGAGATTCTTAGAGGCGAGAAAGAGACGGCTACGGTTGAATTCACGGGAAAAGAGGCCGATGCTTCAACTTCGAATGGAGACGACATCCAATCCAAGTTAGACGGCGCAATTGACAGTCGATCCAGCACGATTCCTGTCCCGTATCTGACACCCCGGAAGTCAGTTGGAAACCATCTCACCGAAACCTTTATTGATGCTGCTCTGGACTCCTTGGCAGAGGATGACGGCTATGTTCTTGGACGCGGTCGGAAGCGTACCAAATTCGCCAGAAGCAGTGGAGCATGGAGTCTCGTCGATCTGGAAGCCGAAAACCATCCAGAAGAGGTTGGGAAAGCTGATCTGGACGATGAAGATACCGTGCGGGCTCAGAGCCCTAAAGCCCAGGACGTCGATTTAGCACCTAATCCAGCTGCTTTTGACGGACGGCATCAAACAATACCTCAGACGGTCACCGAGGTCTCGAAAGAGGCTGAGCACCAATACCCCCGGGTTCAGACAGTCGAAGAAAACATAGGCGACCTCTCGGGTCCGGTTTCGCCTGCTGAACCAACACCTTCTCCTATTGTGACCGAACCACTGGTAATGGGCCCGCCCCAGACGCCGATCAGAGCTCCTGCTCTTCTGCAATCGGCGATGAATAGCATGGATGACTTTGACGCCAGTGACAGCTCAGAGGCCGCGACAACTCCTCGACTGTTGCCTATACCATCACCGAGTCTCCCTCTCGTGTCTCCTTTAGTCCATCGTTCAGGAGTTCTAATCGGATATTTTCCGCCATTAGACACAAGCATATCACAATTGGACGCGTCAAGTGAAAGGGAAACCGAGACTGCTGTCCCAGTGACAGACACCGCAGACTTGACTAATGGGCTATTACCCCATTCTCATGAGTCGCCGGTTGTTGCAGCGGATACATCACCATCCGAGAAACCAGATGAGAGCCTCGGGGCTAACCTTGACGCACATGCAGATGCTGTGCTGGCTTCTCACGAAACTCAAGTACCGTCCGAACACCCAGAAACCGGGGGGAAAACTGCCTACGAAGCGCCCCAATGGCTTTCGTCACTGGAGTCTACCATTGATCGAGAGCTTCTCCTTTCACAAGATCAGCCAGCTCCTCACAATATATCCCAGCACAATAATCGAGCCGTTGATGTCGAGGATGATGATCTGTATGGTGCTCCGGCTGATGCAGCAGATGTCGACCCTTCATTCGCGACGTCGCCTCCTGTTGGACGCCCGAGCAGTCCGCTGGATGTCCTCGAACAGTTTCAGCAAATATCTCCAACGACAGCCGCCGGCTTTTCGGTCCCTCTCAAATCGGATGATGGGCAAAATGCACCAAATACGCCGCAGCAGGATGCGTCCCAGGACATGGCCATAAAATCTCCACAGGAAGGCATTGCACCATCCACAAACTCGAACCGATCCCCTGGCAGATATCCTGAACCACAGTCGCCATTTAGACAGAACCGACAACACCAAGCGAGTCCTGTCAAATCAACTCATACTCTTTCGAGACAAGCCTCACGATCGCAATCACTCGATGGACATGTGGACAGGCAGGAGATTTTCGGGGAATACATCAACCATCTTGCTCAGCTTTCTGCCCATTCAAAGACCTCCAGGCAGCTGGTGCCCAATGCCGAGTCTTCACACGATGGCTTTCAGGGTGAAACGCAGGTAGAAACGCAGGTATTGGGGACCACCAAAGTTGATGACGATGCTCATGTCAAATCTTCCGAATATGGCTTGAAAGAGATAAGGCAGATCACATTTCAGGCGACGACGACAGACGAAGTCAATGAGGAACCCCAGCACCCTTCCGCTACATCAAACGAGTTGAAGTCTAAGTCTTCTCGAATGGAACATATCCATACGCACGAGCATTTTGCACAGTTGCCAACACCAGATCAGTCTCAGGTACAGCGTTCGTTATCTGAGCCCGAATCCCCTAAATCAGTTCGAGAGTCGGTTGAGGTTGGATTTCCATCACCGCGCTATACACAAGACGACATCGGTGGCGAATCACAACAATCTGCCCTTCCCTTGCTGCAGGAAATGACTCAAGTCGCCGATGAGGATTTAGAGGCAGTGGAGGTTGCATCGAGCGGAACAAGACCAGCTGCGCAAGCTGAAGGAGCAGATATTGGGCAAACAGGTCAGTCGCAACAGACTCAGAAGGAATCGCCCGCCGCAAAGGGACCCCCTGCGCAACCCGCCAAGGCAGGCACGAGCCCTGCAAATGCCAGGCCTACCTCTGTCTCACACTTTGATACACTCACACTCCATCAAAGCTCCCCACCATTTTCCGCCGAACAGTCTACCATGCCGGCGAATGTATCTAGTCTGCATTTCACCCCAAGCAAAGTTACCCGACAACATTCGTCATCGCCAGCTCGAAAAGAGAATGTGAATCCCGCAAGAGACGACAGTGCTTTCCTGTCGTTGCCAATGGAAAGGCAAATCGAAGCACCTCTTGCGTCGGCAGCGCGCCAAGAAGTCGAAAAAGCGTACCTCGATATCACCTCTGCTTCTCCGGACCTCACGGCGAACGGATCGGAACTCAGCAGAGGCACGGGGATTAGGACGTCTTTTTCATACCTCTTTCATTTGCGATCGTTGCATACACTGTTTGGTCAGATTTTAGATGTCATTGCTGTGTGCACAGATGCTTCGTCGGAACCAGAACAGTCGAAAACAGGGCGGAGAGATTTCCACACTGCACTAAAACTCGCGGATCCTTCGATTGTGTCTGAGACACACTCACCCATATCTGCTCAAGTATTTCGACCTGTTAGGACAGCACTCCCCATGACCCGTCGCGGCGATGTGGTCATTCTTCGCAACTTCAAGGTCCAGACCTTTAATAGACAGTTCATGCTGATGAGCACCGACACGTCTTCGTGGGCGGTGTTCAAACCCACAGGCGGCGTGACCATGTCATGGTCAGAGGTGGCTATCTCTGGCCCTCCTCTGGAGTACGGAGCCACCGAAACAACCCTCGTCAGGCTTTTATTTCGTTGGTGGAACATGAGTGGACAAAAATTGTTCGATGTTGAGCCTGCGCCACAAACTGCACCTCTGATGGTCGAAAACGGCTCTCCCAACCTTCATTACAGCTCTCCCAGATTCAAAGAGGAACCACGGCCCAGCCATCAAGCGGGTCCAAGTGACGACTTTGGCAACGAGGGCGACAGTCCCGAGACTTTGCGATCCCTCGCTGCAGAACCGGAAGCGAGCATCAACGACGAAGCTGCCAATAGCGGAGACAGACACGAGGTCACGCCGCAACTAGCTAACAAGACGGACAGCATTCCTCGTAGCGGTGAAACATCAAACGTCTACCTACGGCGATCGAGCCGTCGACAGGCCAACGAGACTGACAACTTCGGCAACGATGGAGATGGGGACGGGGTCTTGGTCGATGATGACTGGGCACAAAATATCCCTCTCTCCGACAGGTCCAACCGGCGCAGAGGGTCGACGATTTCCACAGCCCCCTCTGAACTGGGAAGATCTTTCACTCCGCGACGTAGTGCGAGACGTAGGAAGTCTCCCAGTCTCGTGCATGAGTTGCGGGACGGGACCAGATATGTGGATGTAGACCGAAGGAGGAGTGGAAGTCTTGTGCACGAGTTGAGAGACGGGGTAACCTATGTGGACGAGTAGGACAACACCTGTATGGAGGTGGTTGGCATTCTTGATGTAATATCAGTCTGACGCGGGAAGTCCTGGTGGTCTTCTGGACCAAAGCGCCGTCATACGAGACTCGGAATACAGCAGCTCTTACGGCCGTCGGGTCTTTATACCTAAGATTCTCAGTCTCATTGAGGCAAATGATACGCTATTCATGTACACCTTTCTTGTAGCCTATCTGCTTCGCGACTCGGGGCATTTCCGCAAGGGTTCATAGGAAAGTCAACCCCAAAGCAGAGACCACGCTCAGTCCCACGACTGTCCATCCCGTCCATATGACCTGCTGATTTGTGAACGCCGCACCCGTGTCCCACACCAGATGCCTAATGCCATTCAAACCGTGGAATGTAAACGGGAATGCTATCAGTGCTTTGATTCCGACCTTCAGGATCACGGGCATCGCGGCAAAACTGGCGGCCAGACTGGCGGATTCGAGATGCCAGCCGAACAGCGGGGCGACGAGGTAGGCGGCACCGAAGACGTAGATTGCTCCCGACAGAGAGGCACCCGTGATTCGGTTCAAGGCACTCAAGTACCAGGTTATCTGCGGGCGGTAGATCGCAAGGTGCGGAGAGACGGGGCGGTGCAGGCGCTGATTAGCAAGGATTTCCTGGCCGCTGGCTTGGGAGACGGATTGTGTTGTTGCTGGTCTAGCAATGAGGAAAGACAGGATGTCAGTAAGGGTATTGACTAGAGCATCGGGGCACTTCGGATACGCAGGATGGATGAACTGGCGGATGTATTCCCATCTCCTTTTCCCCAGGGATATCTCAATTCATGATGCTGCTGGTGCGAGGCACTGACCTGTACTGAACGTTCTGCAGTGTCGCAATGGCTGCCGGAGCGGATAATCTCGACAGACCAGTCGTGGTCAAGGTGGAGGGGTTCGCTGCGGCCACTGTTCAATCCGACGTCTCCTGTCAGTTCCTGTTCAACTCAAGGTACGCGAGAAAGGCTTACGTCGCCGGGAGGTCAACTGCAGTGCCCTGCGGGAGAACATGTTGGCCGACATGGCTGCTGCTGCTGCTGCTGGCTGTAGTCGGTGATGGAGCTTGGGATCTCTCGTGTCGATTGAAGCTCCAAGTTGACTGGCATGATGTCGATCCGCTTTCCGAGGCAATGGGCTTGGCACATCACGTGTTGGCGGTTGGATTATGTTTGTCGCGGCTCTGATTGGCTACGGCTGATAAGGGGGTTAGAGGCTAGCATTTGGGCTGCAACTCCTTTCCGACAGTCCGTGGCATTTGATATAATAGACATGGAATTGTCTGTGCTTAGAACGCAGATTGAGATTACCGTGGAGCATTTGCTTGGCCAAGGGATGGGAATTCTTTGGAGGCAAGTTATGGGATCGAAAAACAACAAAGGTAAACATGCTTCATCACAAAGTCAATTCGACGGCATTTCCATACAGATCAAGACGTGAGTGTCGAGGTGGCTATGGATGCAAGCCCATGAGGCACTGTTCTATGAAACACCATGACTCAAGCGCAGAAGGAATGTGACACGTCGGGTTCATCTCCTACTGGGAGCGAAGCACCAGGGTTCTGGGCAGCAGCATGAAAACCCATTTGTAGGTTTGCCATCGACCAGACCATGTCAAGAAAGAGCTCCCATTCAGATACATGAACCGGCGCCACAAGGCGTGAGTGAGATGACCATCAAGGTGGTGAAGTCGACCGACCGACAATGTCGACTGATCTAAAGGAAAGCTGCCCGACCGTCGTGGAGAGGCGATGGAACGAGCTTATCTTGTCTATACATGTGAAGAAGAATGATCAGAGTCTCAGCAGATCTATTGTCCATTATCAAGTTTGCCGATATGTGAAGTGTTCTTGGGCTTTTCACAGGGGGAGCACGCCCTGGTAGCGCGCGTTGGCGACATCGAACACACCGCTGGTCATTCATCATGTCGCACCCGCGACTCTCTCAGTCACTATCTCACTTGTCTTCTTCTTTATCTAGCACCGCGCCTGTCATCCTTGCGTGAGTATTGTCCTTGCTTATCTGCCATCACTACCCGTCATGCACCATGTCCTCGCCGACTTCCTCTCCACCGGCACCCCCGGACGATAACCACATCGTACTCTCTTCACCAGGCGCGCCTTTCATAACCCTTAAATACGCCCAAAAAGGAAGCTGCATCTGTGACAAACAGACCATGAGCCAGCTCGCTACCTCACTCTGTCCTCTGCATGGATACCACGATTCCAAAGCCAAGATTGTCAAACGGAAAAGCTCATGTGTCGCAGACGATTCTCAAGAGAAGGAAAGAGATGGAGACTACCGCGTCCGTCGTGATCGCCGTGACCGCGGGTCTCAGGGGAGAGTGAGGAGAAGGAACACAGAGCCGCAATCACAACCACGTAGGTCTTGGAATCCATACCTCCTGCGATATCCTCCTGTCACCAGCCATGCTGAGACGACCGCCGTCGGGGTCTTCGCCGCAGAACTCAACCTCTTGAATAACAATCTGCGTCGAATTTTGACCAGCCGCAGCGCCTCCGACGAGTTCATCCACTCTGTTCAGTTCTCTGAACGGCCACCTCTGACCCAGATCGACTTCCTTGACTGGCCACTCGAGGCACGAAAGATCGTTTACCGCTCCCTGCTTGTGCCAGCGACAAGAGCAGTTATCTTCCCGGGCAAAAACAGCAATGTCACGTTCCACCAATTAAACCCAGATCTCAATGCGAACATCCTCCGTACGAACAGTCAAGTGTACAGCGAAGCCAGAAATATCTTATACAGCGAGAACAACTTCACTGCCGCGGAACCTGCAGATTTCTTCTACCCCAACGGCGTCCAAGGGCTTCGAGCTAGCACAGCCAACAAAATCAAGCATATCTCGTTTTTGAGGAGAGACAGTGGCCCGAACCTGTGTGACCTCAACAGCCAGGTCCTGTCGACGGCCATCCTTTCCCTGATTAACCAGTGTCCGGCATTCCTCAACATTGCCACGCTCACTATCCGGTTTGAGGTTCTTCGCCCCGTGACCGTGAACATGCTCAATTTGCAGGTGCATTATGCACACAACGGCATCGACCACAACATCAGGTCGGCGTACAACAAAACTGACGTGGTCATTATGGCGGCGGCAACGGTGGCGTATAGGGCCTTGAAAAGAAAATCACCTTTCCAAGGCCTAAAAGAGGTTGAAGATCGCTTCGAGAGCGTCTGTGATGCCAACAAGGACCGAGTCATCAAACATGTGATTGAGATGTGTCTGTTCAGAACCAGTGAACCTGTGGAGACATACCAGAAGCATAGCCAGATGCTGCGTGAGGCGATCGTGGATATGTTGTTTGGCGAGAAGGAGAGAGAGGTGCCAGGCGCGGATGAGAAGTTCCGGGACTTTGTGAGACGTTATCTTATGTGAATCTCGTGAAACTCTTGGGGTCAGCCACTGGGAATTACAGGATCAAGATGTGCGCACACATGACTGGTTGTTGGAAAGGGTCAGGTCAATCATGTGTTCTCTAAGCATAGTGTACACAGCGTTCTGTATCTTGCTGACAGAAGCAGAGGAATGTAACAGACGACAGTGATACCCAGGGAAGAAAGCAATGCCCCTGGACGAGCTGTACTTGAGTAGATACACGAAATTGATCAAAATGCGTTGTGGTCCACCGTATCGTCCACTACGGCGACGCATTCCCCAGCCCAGAGTAATTTGTGCGATAAATTAATTTCACTTTTCGTCTCCATTTTCTCTTTCTCTCTCCTTCATGGACTTCAGCTTGGCGGCTCACATTCGCGTGGCATCACGCCCTGTTGCTCACGAAGTGGTTTTCATCAGAAAAATGAACACGGAGTCCCAGAAGGATGAGGAACGTCAATGTTTTCTCACGACCTGCCGTTAATCGCCCGGTTGTTCTTTCAATGAATCTGCTCGGGTTTCATATTCAAGGTTACATTTCTTTCCTCCTATTTCCCCATATAGGGGTGCTATCTGCTTGGGCAGCGAGCCATGTACATACATATAACAAACCTGCCTGCCTATCTCCCCAGTGTTTTGTCCATCTATCTGCCTTGCCAGCATGGTGAATTTTGGTCGATTGCTTGGACGTTTGCTCGAATTGCAGCCATCATGCATTCGCAGACATTCAGCTGTTCTTGTGTCTTGGTATCTATATATTAGTTTCTCCCTCCCCTCGTCCATGTCATAATCCACTCGCTTGCAACTGTGGTGATCTCTTCCACATCCAGCGATTGTGTGCCTCTACCTTTTGAGTTGCTCGCTCCGGTCAATCATTGCGCTTGGATATGAAATGGTCCGACCTTGTCTCGCTAACGCACATCACGGAGGGATTCTGATGCCCAGCCCCACTCTCCCGGCCGAAGCCTTTGCCGAGAAATTGTTACTGAGTGCTTGTATGAGGCTAACTGGCCAGACTCGCCGGCTCTCGACCTATCTCCCTCTCTGCAACACGAGGATGCTAAGGTGCCAAGGTCTACTACCGTGCGCCTCCAGTGTTAGTATCTGGGGGCGAGAGACGACAGTAGGTCGGAAGCGGCAGGCCACCAGACTGATACCGGATCGAGACCGTTCTTCTTCGTATTCAATAGAAAGCTTATTGGCACAACGACGGACAAACTTGCGAGCGCACCACGTGAAGCTTTTTGGTCTTGCCGTGTTTCAGCTGGGACCAGCAGATGGTGCAAGATTCGGACAGAATTGCCCATGGATACAGGGACTATCCCACATTGAACTCTAACGATGTCGGCAACCGGACAGTCTACTCGCCCTCTGTCCAAAGACTCGGCCGCAATTTGGCAATATATCAACTGCGCCGCCTCTCCTCATCATGCACTTTATCTTCCCTGAAATTTGGTAGCACTTTGTTGACAAGTTCGAAGTTCGCGTCGCTTAGCCCCAACCAGTCAATATCAACATCATGGCGGACCAAATCGTGGACGCGGTCGAGTCGTACGATCCATCTGTAACGTCCATCCTGAACAAACTCCCTGGCAAACGCATCGACGCCTACATACGCAAAGTGTCCAGTCGAGGCATCCCCCAGCAAGGCGAGACGACAGGGGGTTACACGGAGGGGTACGCACACCTGTCCCACATCCCGCTCTTCTCGCTCTACTCAGAAGAGCAACACAAGATCCTGGCCAAGAAATGGGGCGAGACGAGCAAGTGGCAGGACTGGGGCAACAAGGACCTCGACCTGCAGACCAAGGCCACCATCAAGGGCATGGAGATCATGGGCGGCGGGCACGGCACCATCACCACGGTGAAATGGATGACAAGGACCATCGGTGGTCTGGAGACCATGGCTGCCGGTATGGCAATGGAGCAAAATCAGCTCGTGGTCATCACGAGATGGATTGTTCCCGCCCGGCCAGGCACGCTGGCTTGGTTGGTTGATGTATTCGAGCACCGATGGCTGGATCCGAACAGGTATGTTGTGTTTGACCCGGTTTCTTGAATTTCTCGGCACGCCCCCACCCAGCAGCGTCGCGTTACTAAGGTCGGAGTGCAGTACGCGGGGCAAGATGTCCAAGATATCTGGCAACGCCATTCTCCTCAAACCCGGCCTCCCGACTGACGGCAAGGTAACGTTTAAAGTCTTTGACACGCAGGCGAAGGGGATGAAGAGCCAGAAGACGTGGTCCAAAAAGCGCGGAATAGAGGCTTCGTGCGATGCCGTCGTGCTGGTGGTCGACGGAGGAGCCGCAGACGTCCCGTTGGAGATGGTTGCGCGCTTCCAGCGCGTGTGCAGTATCTGGGAAGGCCGGGAGATGCAGAAGCGGTTCGAAGATCAGTGGAAAGTTCCGATCCTGCGCTGATACACGGTGTCAACTTTTTACGGTTATTAGCATTGTATGTATATGACGAGGGGTGTGCTATCATGACTCTGGCTGATGGTTGGTTGGTTAGTTTGCGGAAACGCCGGGGCCATAGAGTCGAACCAATGTCAGACGTCTGATTTTTGTGGGAGTATTTAGCTGTGCAAGCGAGCCCTTGCATTAGAACTAGCTATGGAAGAGGAGTACATCTAGAGCTCCTATTAATTTATGTTCCTTCTATATATGGTCCCCTCATCGTCATCATCATCGTTCGCACATCTTCCCTGCGGATATATAAGAGAATTTTACGCTGCTCCCGCAGATGCTGGCAAGTTCAAGTAGTAGCTGGCATCTTGGTTGAGCAGGTAGAAGCCCTCAGGCTCCGGCTTGTTGGATCCGCCGTACCTGGTTAACGAATGTCAGTTTTAGTTCGTTACGATCATTGATCCGTACACCACGGATATACTCCAACAAAAAGAAAGGCGAACAAAAGTGGGGTTCGGTTCTATTTACGGATGGGAACGTACCAAGCAGGTTGCGGCAGACTGGGCAGGGGGTTCTCCTGCGGCGTGTCGGAGAAGATATGCTCAAAGGTCATGGCCCACTGGACGCGGTTATTGAGGCCCTCGAGATCCCACAGGTTCTGCAGGAAGTGCAGGAACGAAGTGTGGGTGTAGGCCGAGTTGTCGGCGTAGCTGGTACCCGGCCCGATGAGGGTGTTGGGCGGGATCCAGGGTGAGATGACGAAGGCGGGCACGCGGATCCCCAGGCGGGTGAAGTCGTAGCTCACATTGTGGCCGTCCGAGACGCCCGAGAAGGTGATCCCGTCCTCGGGCGCGGGGATGCCGACTGGAGGAGGGACGTGGTCGGCGAAGCCGCCGTGCTCGTCGAAGTTGATGATCACGAGGCTGTGTGTGGCCCGAAGCGGGTGGAGAGATTAGCGAGCTGCAAGTGTGGTGTGGGGGTTGAGACAGGGGGGAGGGATTCAAGATCACTGGAAAACGTACATATTGTCCCAGTATTGGGATGCCCGGATAGAATCATAGAAGTGCTTGAGCATCAGTTCACCTGCGGCCATGTTGCTGGTCGGGTGGAACGAGTCGATGGTGCAGCATTCCGGATTGTAGTAGGAGAACTGCGGCAGGGTGCCGTTGGCCAGGTCCGAATAGAACTCGCTGGAGTGGACCAGGCGATCCTTCGCGTTGTCCTGGACCCATTCGTAGAACCAGGCATCGATGATGTCCGTCTCGTAGTAGTTCTTCCACGAGATGCCCTTGTCGGTCAGCGCCTCGAAGATCGACTTGGAGCAGTTGACGCCGGTCGAGTTCAGCTGCCATCCGTAGGCCTGGACCGTGTTATCGACCAGACCACAGGTGGACCCGGAGGTCGCGAACTGCCGGTTGGGGTTGGTAGGTCCCGGGTGTTCGGCGTGGTAGCTGTCCCAGAAGCCGTAGTTCTGAGCGAGCGTGGCCAGGATGTTCGTCTTCTCCTTGTCGTACGCCTTGATGACGAACGATGCGTCGCCGGGGGTGGCATTGTACTTTTCCGATTGTCGCTCGATGAAGCCGTCCATGGTCGGCACATCACTCGCGGTCGGTTCCCACTTGCGGTAAATCTCGTAGCTGGTGCCGGCGAAGTTGTGGTCGGGATCGACCAGCGGGACCTCGTCTTCGAATGGGCCCGCGCAAATCGACAGAGGCTCATTCCAGACCGTCCAGTTGGGATTCGTGTAGTCGTTGCAATAGGTCACGTTCCGGAGGTTGTTGATGGCCGGGTTGAAATCCCAGTAACCGGCAATGTTGTCAAAAGAATGGTTCTCCAGCATGAGATACACGACATGTGTGATCTGTGGTGGGAGGCGAGGAAGCCTCGTCAGCTATTTCTCTCCGCATTGATGGGAGCACTGCTGTAACTCATACCTTATCGCTCAGAGCACCACCCGAGGAGTTCGACGACTGGCGAGATACAAGGGGAAGGGCATGTCCGAGGGTGATCAGTGCCCAGAAGGCGTTCAATCTCAGAGTGACCATCATGGCTCTTCTCTCGTCGGCTCTGGAGGATGTACCGTACTGTCTTCTGCTGTTTGCACGGTAACATGGCTGTCTCCTTATAGTGATGGCTTCCTCTCTGGGTCGGTCAACCTCCGAATGAGCGTGGCATCGAGGAGAGCCATCATTGGAGCTCGTCAAAGATTCTTTCGGTCAACAAACCGAGAAGAGAATATTATCAAGCAAAGGACGAGGGATCCGACACAGCCGTCCAAGGAATTGAGCAAAAGCGAATCGACAAGGCACGTGGAAGGAAAGATGCCATGAAAGGCAACGTTGTACGGAGAACTGAGGACTGCAACGGTCGAGATGTGAAGTCATGCTTCCAAGATGGTTACACACGAGAGAGTTCTATCCAGGACAATGATGCATAAAAGATGAGGCTGGCAGCTGGCGAGCATGCGGAGCTGCATGCTCTAGACGAAGAACTAATGCATGAATAGTTGTAGAAGAAAACCAAGAAGCTGCACGTCCGTTGCTCCACATAAGGCACTAAAGTGCTTGCCAGGTGGGGCCACAAAGCTTAGCGCAATGCTTAGCAGAAGGTTAAGCTCACTAACGTCGTCAATCCTCTTTCTGATTTGTCCCTCGCAAGCATATTCCCCCCTTGTATACATGGATCCCCACGACACTAGAGCCCATGCACGGTTCCTGGAGATCCTACAGCAATGCAAATCCCCACTGGTCGAGCTTCGGGCCACTCAGATGCCGCCGATTCCAAACCACGTTGCTTCTGTGGCCATTATGATAAGCAGTTCGATGCTTCGCCAGCAAGCTGAAAGCTTTGTAAAGCATCCTCGGCTTTCTGACCCCCTGTCAATTTTCTTCGCTCGATCCTTGTCAGTTCTGGAGATCTTCCTCTTTTGGCAGCTTGCTCACGAGCACATTCTCGAGCACGCGTGCCACGTTCCTGTGTTGATAGGCAACCACGGCTTCAACACTGCATCCCACGGCATGCTTTTGGGATTCTAGCTAAATCAAGCATGTCTTTACGGTCCGGCCGACAAATGTAACATTCAAGCTCAAGGGTTGACCGGTCGAGGGTCTGGCAATCCGCAGAATGTCCGTAGGCCGTGGGAGGACGACATGAGCAAGACCATGGGAAATACTTTCGGAAAGAAGCATGGCTGATAAACCCTCGCACCACCCTCGAGCATCCCCTCGACCAGACGAGGATCGCTCAAACCGCCCTTCCGGCTCTACCATCCCATCCGTCCCTCGTGCGGGAGCGTCAAGAGTAAGACTCTGATCAGAATCACACAAAATGCTCGTCTCAATGTTCAGGTATATCTTCTCGCGGCGTTATGTGCCTGTCCTCGACAAGCCCGCAGGCGATCTCAGCGAGAAAGAGTTCGATCTGGAGTCGACGGGCTCCGACACCTCAGAGGCAAGCACACTTACCGGGAACGAGAAACCATCCTTCAAGGCCGATTCTCGAGTCATCTCAGATGCCATCATCGGCCTCTCAGACGGCCTGACAGTGCCGTTTGCTCTCACAGCCGGACTGTCAGCACTCGGGGATACCAAGGTGGTCATCTATGGCGGGCTCGCAGAACTCATCGCGGGAGCTATCTCGATGGGCCTGGGAGGGTATTTGGGGGCTAAAAGCGAAGAGTGAGCCATATTGCTTCTGTTGCAATAGAGACAAATCTAATCATTTGAAACCAGGGAATCTTACCACGCCACGCGGAAGCAGACAAATGATCAGATCTTGAACAACCCAAACGCCCTGTCTGAGAGCATCTCGGCCATATTCGAGCCCTACAACCTTCCAGAACCTCTGACGGCCGAGCTCACGACTCACCTAGAGAAATGCGAGCCAGACCAGATGGTCAATTTCATCATGTCCTTTGAACACGCCCTGCCGGAGCCTGCTAGCTCCCGGGCTTTCACCTGCGCTCTAACAATCGCCCTCGGGTACTTTACCGGAGGCTTTGTACCACTGTTACCATATTTCTTCACCGAGAGCATCACCAAGGCTCTGATCTGGTCTATTGGGACGATGGTTCTTGCTCTGTTCTTGTTTGGATACGTCAAGACGTGCGTGAACATCGGCTGGCGAAGCGCTAGGCACATCTGGCAGGGCGTGCTTGGAGGGGGTCAAATGGTCTTTGTCGGCGGTGCAGCCGCTGGAGCGGCAATGGGCCTTGTTCGGGCCTTTGATTATCATCCTGCAAAAGCCTAACACGTTGGGTTCGAATGTCGGTGAAGGCAGCACCATCAGGCTGGCTATATGGGGAGTACAACAATCTGGAGGACCAGGAAGAATGCACACACAGGCGACACAATCAGGGTGAGTCGCGCTTCGAACTCCGTTTCATCTTGTACGGTAATGAGCAAGGAATACTTTAGTTTGTTCAACGCATTGGCTGCCTCTCTCCGATCATTATCTCCAATCTCCCGGTCTCTCCCCGCACATCTCTCCCGCGTTTCCCGTGATGTTGGTATAGAACAACACCAATTCCTCGGCAAAAGCCTAGCCTCCCAAGACAAATCGCCGCGGAGATTTTCTGAAATGGAAGTCTGTGTCTATATAAGTGGTTGCGGGCCAAATGCCCGGGCGTTCAAACTCTCCATCGCTCGCTCGTCCGCTCGCCCGCTCTCCCTCTTTCCCCGTTCATTCGTAAGGGGGCTCATGATATCGTTGCAACCATGGCCAAAGCATTCGCGGCCCACCAAGCCTCGCTCGAGAAAGAAGGCGTCTACATCGGCGGCTGGTCGTTCCGAGACGTTCTGACGCCCAGAAAGAACGATAATGGCCAGTACGACACCAGCGAGGACCGCATCCAGAACGCCACTGTCTTCACGCCGGACTGGACGGTCGACGAGGAACGGCGACTGGTGCGCAAACTCGACTTTCGCGTGCTGTTCCCGGCCTGCATCATCTACTTCCTCGCCTACATGGACCGCGCCAACTTGGGGAACGTCAAGATCCTGGGCCTGGGTACCCCGTCCTCCATCGAGGGCGCGCTGGGCATGAAGGGCGCCGACTTCAGCTGGGCCGTGTCCATCACCTACTTCGCCGTCACGGCAGGTCTGTTGCCCTCCAACATCCTCATGAAGAAGTTCTCGGCCAAGGTCTTCTTCCCCATCGTCATGGTTCTCTGGGGCACCATCGTCATGTCCATGGCCGCCTGCACCAACAAGGCGGGTCTCCTGGCGGCGCGCTTCTTCCTGGGCATCCCCGAGTCCGGCGTCGTGCCCGCGTGCGTCATGTACTTCTCCATGTGGTACAAGCCGTCCGAGAGGGCGTTCCGGATTGGTGTGTTTCACAGCGCCAACGCGCTGGCGTCCGCCGTGTCTGCCTTCATCGCCGCGGGGATCGGGCACCTGAACGGGCGTGACGGACTGGACTCGTGGCAATGGGTCTTCATCATCGAAGGAGCCCTGCCCATCGCCATGGCGCCCGTCCTGTTCCTCCTCCTGCTGACCTTCCCGGAGACGTCCACGGCCCTGTCGGAGCGAGAGCGGTACATCGCCATCAACCGGTTCGGCAGGGGTTCGGCCAGAAAGACGGACGTCAGCTGGAGCTGGGCAGCGTTCCGACGCATCTTCAAGCGTCCGTCCACGTACGTCTTCTTCATCTCTTACGTGTCGCTGTGCATGGTGGCCGTGGCGCAGGCCACGTTCCTGCCGACCATCCTCAAGGTGTTTCTGGGCTACTCCACCACCAAATCCAACCTCTACACCGCGGCCTGCAACCTGAGCATCATCCCCCTGTACTGGGTCTGGAGCACGCACTCCGACTGGACCCGCGAGCGCATGTGGCACTATTTGCTTCCGGTCGTCGCGTCCGTGCCCTGCTACGCCGTCTGGACCTATACCTCCATGCACCCGGAGGCGCGGGGGACGGTGATCGAGACGACCGCGCTGTATGGCATGGCGTACCTGGGCCAGATGGTCCTCGTCTCCCAGCCGATCGTGCTGAGTTACCGCTCGTCGACCCTCTATGGTGCGGCCGAGCAAGCTGTCGGTGTCGCTGCGGCTGTCGCTTCGTTGACAATCGCCAGCATCATCGCCCCACAGGTATATATGCTCCTCCTTATCCTTCCTTCATACACCCTCGACGCCCTGTCGAAATTTGATCATGCTGACCACCACCGACCGACAGATGTACCCCAACCAAGACGCCCCGCGCTACCTGGCCGGATTCGCCGGGACGTTGGCCCTGCTGGTCGTGTGCATCCTCTCGTACCTGACGCTGCCGCTGTGGCTGCTGCGCGAAGCCCAGATCCGCAAGAAGAAGACCGGCCACGCCATGCCACTGCAGGTACGTACCAAACATACACATGCATATCTAGTCTCTTTCCCCTTTCCCCTTTCCCCCAAGCGGGTTGGCATCGGTTGAAGACCGCGCCCGGCTTACCATGACCATAACCAATTTCTTAATGATCCTTTTGGCTAATACCTCTTCTTTCTTTTTCGTCTTCTCCAGGCCATCGAAGACGCCGAACGCAGCATGGTCACTGACGCCGCGCACGAGTTCATCCACCGCCTCAACGAGCAGGAGGAGATGGAGATGATCGCCGCCAAGGGCGTCGAGGCCGGTGCCGCGGAGGTGCAGCATGTCGAGCAGCCGAAAACCATCTAGACCTTTGCAAGAAGGACTCGTTAAGAGGGGGCATAGAGCGCCGGTATAATGAATGCTCTGCTCAGCTCAGCTCGAGTATTATAGATAGGCCCTTGGTAGGATGATGGTAGTGAATCTAGATATGATGCTAGACAGCGAGGTGCACTATAGACTTCATGACTTCAAAATAGGCCCCACCTTGGAAATTGACCCTTCTCCCACTTCCTCTCGTCATGTTGGTATGCCCGTCCGGTTCACAGGAAGCGGATCTAATCTGGTTCCTCGCGATCTCAAAGCCTCGCCATGCCCGCCGTGTTCCTCCTCTCCGGTGACGACGGCCCCGTTGCACCAGCTGCATTAGACCACACCTGCACCTCCGGAATCTGCGCATAGTTGGCCGGGAACAGCATCGGCCCGGACACTTTCTTGGCCACCTTGCCCGTCGCGTTCTTGGGCAGCTCGCCGTCGACCACGCGGAGCAACGTCGGCAGCTTGTAACGGGCCAGTTTGCCGGCGAGATCGCTGCGGAGCTGGGCTAGCGTGAGTGCTCTACTGCCACTATTACCGCCACTGCTACCGCGGTACGAATATGTACTCTGATCCTCACGCAAGGTCACCGCGGCAGCCACGCGCTGGCCCCACTCCGGGTCGTCGACGCCGACAACCATGACCTCGTTGACGTAGGGCAGACCCAGACACTCGCGCTCGACGTCCAGCGCCGAGATCTTGTAGCCGCCGCTCTTGAGGATGTCGACCGACGCGCGGCCCAGGATGAAGTAGTATTTCCCTTCGCGCCGTGCGATGTCGCCGGTCTTGTAGAACCCCTGGGCGTCGTGAGTGGCCCGCGTGGCGGCCTCGTCGGAGAGGTAGCTGTGGACGGATAGAAAGAGTGAAAGTGTTAGCGGACGGGAGGAGACGCGTCGGGGATAGGGAGAAGTGCATGGTGTGGTGTGTTCAACGAAGCAAGAAACAAACAAAGCAGCAGCTTCGAGCACAAAATAACTTGTTCATCCGTGCAACGAGGAGAAAGGGGATCCTTGATTGAGACCATGAGGAATATCAGAAGGCGTACTTACCCCATGAACATACTGGGACTCTTGATCAGGAGTTCCCCCTCGTCGCCGTCGTCTTCGAAGCGCACCTCTACGCCCGGTGAAACCACGCCCACCGAACCCGACGGAGTGTCTCCCGGTTCCAGGGCCATCTTGAACACCGCCCCGGACTCGGTGCTCCCGTAGCGCGTCAGAATGCGCTTTCCGCCCCGGAGCGTTTCCCAGAACTCCTCCACCGGCCGGGGCAGGGCGGACGTGCCGCACAGCATGCCACGGATCCGTGTCGCTGCTGCAGCTGCTGTGGTGGCATCGATGACTCCGATAGGAGAGGAGGAGTTTGAACTTGACAATCCCCCCGGGTTATGCTGCTGGAAATAACGCATCATGCGCACATACATGGTCGGCACACCCGTGAAGAACGAGATACCTCCTTTCCGCCACCGCTTCCACGTCCACTCGGCGCTGAAGGCCCCGGCGCGGAACTCGATGCAGGCGCCCTGGACCAGGAAGGGGAAGAAGGACAGGTATGCCCCCGTGGCGTGGTGGACGGGCAGCATGTGCAGAATACGGTCACTCTCAGAGACCTTGTAGTGGTCGGCGATGGAGCGGGCGACCTCGTGGATCAAGCCGCGGCGGTGGCAAGCGCCCTTAGGCGGGCCCGTCGTGCCCGACGTGAAGATGACATACCCGGCCGCGTTGTCGTCTGGGTACCGGTCCGACGAGGTGGTGATGTCGTGCGGGCGGAGGCTGTGGCTGCGGAGCGAGGGGGCGATCAGGATCCGGCGAAAAGGGAGGGATGTCCCCTGGCGCTGGCTGCGGATGGTTGCTTCCAAAGCACTCCCTTGCTGGGACAAATTCGAGGCCGTCAGGACGGCTACGCACTGTGCCTTTTCCATAAAGTAGCAAGCCTCCTTGAGAGGGGCTTGCGGGCCTGGAGTATTCAAAGAGATGGTTTTAGCTCTCTCACTTCACTTGGATCTCCAAGGACAACAAAAGAAGGCGCTGGAGGTCTTTCGATATGGCTTACTGATGGGCACCACGGCGGCTCCTCCTCCTAAGGCAAGAATTCCCAGAACTGCCACGGTGTATTCGTAGCCCCCAGCAGCCAGAACGGCGATGAAGACAGGCCCCCGGCGGGCTCCTCGTGATGCCAGGTCTGCTCTGCTCGTCTCGTCCAGGGCGTCGAGCAGGTCATTCCGCATCTCCAGGACGTCTGTCAGCAGCTGGATGCGCGACTTCTCCACGCCCAGGTTGACATCGGCAATGATGGGCCTCGAGGGCGCGTCGTGAGCCAGCCGCAGCAGTCTGTTGAAGAAAGGGCAATTAGGTAAGATGTTCCGGCCCTGGTGCGGTGGCACGAAGTCGACGCGGTCTGGGATATGCTGCAGCATTTTCGGTCGAGTTCGTTTTAGTAATGATGCTCCGATGGCTTAGATCATAAAGAGACAACACAGTATTCTTCTCGTGTCCAGTTCAGCACTTCCCACGAGCCCGAGGAAATACAGCAAAGAGCAACATAGAAATGCACCCATCAGAACTCAAGTCGCTCGTTGAAGCCAAGTAGGTATCGAGTCCGGCGTGGTCTGGGTCGACCCACATATCGCCGAGGGTGTTTGGGAGGAGGATAAATCTCCGTCGACCGGCTTAAGAATGCCGAAAAGGAGTGCTGTACCGCGCCGGGCAAACAAGGTAGTTGGAGACATTGCCGCTGACCGGCCGGCTATATGACCAGGTATGCCATGGGACTGGTTCGCCAGTGGATCAAAAGAAGACGTTATGACAAAAGAGGCTGGAAATCGCTATTGAACCAGATGTCTCGATGCTGCTACAGTCAATATTGGAACCCTAACCTGGAGACTATGAGATACGACGATCCATGCCCGTCAAAGCAATCTGTTGCTCACGGCTACTTCTCTGCCTGCATGTGCCCATTCCGTTCCTATGCCTCCTTCAATTCCGTACGGGTAAGCTCCTCCACATGATGTGGAGCCTCTTTGGCCACCGTTCCCTGGTTACTGGAATGCTCCGAGCCAAAGTCAGTGACGGTAAGCGGTCGTCTTGTCCTAGCATCTCGGGCCACCCTGACCGTGTCAAAAATGCTTTTGCTCGTCACGAAGATCTCGTCGACTTCCTCTAGAGATCGTCCGCTTGTCTCAGGGAAGAAGAAGTAGACACCTAGCACGACGTCAGTTGCGTACACTTGCAAATGCGTAATCTTCGAGAGTACGGTGGACTGCCTTACCAGGAAGGACCAAGCCGAGATTGAGCACAGCATAGATAATATAGTATCGGTTCGAGAGATTTGTCAATCCGACCGGAGTGACCAAGGCCACGACGAAGGCCCAGAGCCATGTCGAACCAGTAGAAATGGCTGTGATAGGCACCCTGTGGCTCAAGGGAGCAATCTCGGTACAGAAAAGGAATGGGAGTCCCAACCAACCAATGGCGAAAAAGAAGTTGAAAATGTAGATGAACGTGACGGCCACTATGTCGACAGCTCGGACATCCTGTCTGGAAAGAGCGCCTGCCACAACAGCCAAGCACACTCCCATTCCTGTACTGCAGATCATCATCAACCGCCGACGGCCAAGTCGATCTACCGTTGCCACGCCGATTGGAGCGCTGAAGGCGAGGACCATGAAAAAGGCGGCGCCCAGAATAGCTGGCTTCGGTGGAGCCAACTTGAGGTCTTCAGCGAAAATAGGTGAAATATAGAAGGCAATGGCATTGACGCCTCCGATCATTTGGAACATCTGGCATACAGCAGCCAAGACGGTCCGATGGAAGAGTCTTTGTCGCCCGTTTGTCAGAAGATCAGAAAACTTGGCTTGGCCAGTAATGGCGAGGGACGCCTGGATTTCCTGGACGACAAAGTCGATTTGCTCCGAGTTTGGCTCGACGTCTCTGAGAATTGAAAGGACGTGACGCGCTTCTTCCTCCTTTCCTTGCTTGAGGAGCCATCGGGGAGACTCTGGAAGAAAAGGGATGACGATGATAACAGGGAGCGCCCAGAATGCCGGCAAGGCAAGAGGGAACCGCCATCCCACGTCGCCAGCCACATGAGACACCCCGAAGTTGACCCAAGCTGCGATACTCAGACCGGTGCCAATGAATACACCTATCAGCATGACATGGGGACCGCGACGTTGTATGCCTGCACATTCACTCTGCCAATTTGGCGCTGTTGCTGTCAATGCACCAAATCCACACCCAGCCACGAGGCGTCCAACAATCAATTGGCCGAGTGAGAACGATGATGCCTGGAGAATCGCCCCGATGATAGTCACCGTGGCACCTAGGATGATTGTCCGGATTCGACCAAGATAATCACCAATGAAGACGCACGACAGGGAACCGAAGAAGCACCCCAGTGTATACAACGCAACGACAGCTCCTGTCGAGCAAGGGTCATGGTCAGATTGCTCTTGCCTATCAATCATGGTTAACGAAAAATCAGGTACAGACCTTGTAAGGTTGAGTTGTGCTCCTGCTGAACCCCTTCGGTCGTCAGAGTGTTGATCTGGGGGAAGTATTTGATCCAGGCAGGGAGGTCAAGCAGGCCACCGGCAACGGCGTTGTTGTACCCAAACAAGATATAGGCAGGACAAATGACAGCCCAGATAGAAAGTGCTTGAAGCTTCTTGCCTCGAAGCCCAAGGTACGTCTTGGTCATGTTGTCAGGTAGTTGATCACACTGTGGTAAAAGGCCCCCAGATTGTTAGCTGGATAGGAGAACAGCCGTGGGATGCAGCTCCTGGGAGAGTCTTCATTCAAATATTCCAAAATACTCGATCTCGAGCTGGCAACGACACGGCTACGATTTGCCGACCACCGTTCCCCAGATACCGAATGCTGGGGGCATGGGAACTGGGGGACAGAGGGTGGGGGAAGGCGATAACATGAGAACAAGAACCATGCTTCTTCGTTCCAATCGCTCTGTCAAGGAAGGGTATCATCTGTGTAGATCTGCGAATTGAGGTGGTCAGTAAAATACCCGTTCCCGAATGGGCGTATTGGACTTACCATACAATTACCCGCATTTGCCGTCCCGTCGGCTTGTAATCCAATATGACGATCTTGAGCTCCATCGAGAATTCTCCCTTTACCAGCGGCAGAGACGGATCTCCTTGGTGGAATAGGTCGTTTCCCCAACTTCCCCTCTCCACTGGAAGTGCTGCCTTCAAGTCGGTTCCCCTCAGCTAACTCCATGCGAGGCGAGTTAGAGTGGGGGAGCATTGTGAAGATAGTTGTGTTATTGGAGTTCCGGAGTAGATACATATTGTATATACAGGCACGAAGCTAGCAACATGAGATTCACCTCAAGTCCTGCAAAAGCCTTTCGTGAACTGACAGAAAAAAGTCGTCATCGTCAAAGTCAAGTCCTGGTCCCATTGCTTCGTCGACGCCCGTCCAGCCACCGTTGTCGCTTGTGAACCATGAGTCTGTCATTGTACATTCTTGCATCTCTCCAGATGAGGTACCTAAGGCAGCCGACAAAGACCTTGATGGGGCAGCCATTGTTGGCTCCCTCGTGGTGCTGTCGCAGATTGTGGCTGAGTCAGATCTCAGGTTCACGCCATTAGGGTTTATGAGAACAGAAGGACCCTGGAATGGGGCATTGGCTTTATCCTGCGAATTGACTCGTGCAGCTTCCACGGCGGCCTCAATGATATGCTTCTTCGGACACAACTCTGAGGGGACCATTTCAAAGAACGACAGCTGTTCGGGGGAGAGATCCAGATCCGTCAAAGGTCGATGTATTTCCTGTCCACGTTTTACAGTATTGACGAGGCTGGTCAGGATCCGCAAGGCCCGGCGTGCAGAGTGCCAGGTCTTTGCCATTTCATGTAGGGATTTTTGAATGACGGACAACTCAAGTTTGGAGATGTTCCAAAGTGAGCTGAAGTTGAAGCAACATAGCTGCGGCAAAGCGGCCACTCTGAGGTAAAATATGGTCATCGGGGCGAGACATCGAAGCTGGTCACGAGCCAAGAAATCCTCGAAGATCCGGGCAACACACGAGGAGGCGAGGATTGGGGCCACTGATGTACAATTTCCAGAGCGTCCGGGTCCGTAAAGGATGGAAACAGCGCTGAAGTAGATCAAGTATAGCTGGCGCACTTCAAAATCATAGTCAAGGGCGTTGTTGAGCTTCAAGCACTCGGGAAGTTGGGAGATCCAGCGCTGGAGACTCCGACCAACCTCTACCGGCGCCCAATGAGAATAGCCTCCACTCAAGGCTTTGCCACATTGCCCGAGGATCGAACAAATCTCGACGTATGCAATGAACAGCCGAGCATTCTTGTTGTCTTGAGGAAAGTCGGTAACGGTGGGTAGGCTAATATTGCAGTCAAACAGATTGATGGCTCGAGGACGCCCGTGAGCTATGGAGAGCAGACAATCTCGTGACTGGTCCAAATCAGTGGATGCAGGGACGAGCAGGAAGGGGCAGAGTGACTCACAAAGAGGGTCCAGAACAGTCTGCGTCGCAACTTGCACTTGGGCGATTGTGGGTCTGGTTCTCGATGCAAACCTATCTGAAAGCCCAGGCCGACGGCAGTCCTGAGCCAGAAGCCGCTGGAGTGGATGGAGACGTGCTCCGGTCCGCTTGGGTTGTACCATTGCATCAAACACAGTGCACTGATCGTGTTCAAGGGGTCTGGCTCGAAATCTGCGAAGAACAACGCCTTGGCCTTGTTGTAGAAAGTCGCACAGTCGATATTCGGCAACCGGCTTGGAGGTTGCACTCGACTACCTGCGATGAGAACAGCTTGAGTGAGGAGTAGCGACCCTCCCTGCGTCTGAGCGGGATGTCCGGTCCCGGTATTTTGGAGCTTGAGATCCTCTATCTCCACGACCGGCATCCAAGGACTGCAGACCTTGAGAAAATTGTCGATAAGGCCGTCCCGTACCGGTCTCGGGGGGAAGTCAAATGCCTTCAACGACTGTAAATACGAGATTTCGGCATCTCCTCTCGAGCTTTTGGGGGGATCGCGGTCCGATTCTCCTTCTGCAGCGAATTCTCCTGGTAGATACTCTGGTCTGCCGACGAAGGCGACACTGTCACTGACGGGCGAGCAGGAGTTGCCATACTTTGCGGTCGTTGCGGGGCTGGAAACAGCTCCGGCCTCGGGCAGTGGTGACAGGGTATGATCCTCGACTGGTTTGATGAACACCGCGTTGTTCTGCGGCTTGAGATCCCCTGGAGAAATGCGCAATTCGTGGAGCTGGATCAGGTCATGTCGCTTCCGCTTATGAGGTCTTAAGCATTCGTCATTAGCGAAAGAAGTTGAATAATAGACAGGATGCGATCTGACTCCCTCTTACGTGCATTCAGTCTTCTGGAATCGACAATTGGAACAAGGTCCTTGGCCACGGACCAAATCGCACCGAACCTACGTGGCAGCTTGTCAACGAACTTTGCCAGCAGGTATCCAGCTCAATGCCTGCGGACTCACCTTTCGTTTGTGGCACGCAATACATGCTTGTCTACTCCTTCTCCCGGATGCTACTGCTGTCCCGGTGTGGACAGGACTCAAGGACATCTCGACCCAAGTGGTAGCATTGTCGAATCTAAGCTCGGGTCATTTCCAATGCGACTAGTAGTTTCCTATACCTTGCTGGCGGTGTGAACACCTCGGTGTTACCCCGCCTTGCGGGTATGGCCCATGCGGAGCGTAAACTTGCCATCTTCTGTGATGGTGGACGAGGTTTGTCTTTACCTTTGTCTGTGTTTGATTCGGATGCATCTCGCAGTCGAGACTATCTGTGTGATGGAACAGCTGCTGCGTCTGTGACACCTGCTCTTGAACCCATCGGTGGACGTTGGCGCCATTACACCTTCGTCAGAGAGTGAAGGGAGGGAAAGGAATAAAGGGCAGCTGAAACAGTTTGGGCTGTAAAGTCATCCTTTGTAATGACAGCTAAACCTGTAATGACACCACGAGACCGCTATGTCTCGCCGATATCTATATTGTCCCACTGATTCCTCCCTCCAAGTCGCTCAAAGAAACTGCAAAAACGCCACCAAGAAACGAGTTACAGCTGCTTGAGCATGATCCAGTCCATTTGAATGCACTTACCCATTTTGAACTCATGGTCGCCGACTTTTTCAAACCCTAATCCTTCATAGACCTTCTGGGCTCGAAAATTTCCCTCCCAGACACCCAGCCACAGTGCCTTGTAACCCAGACGCCTGGCCACGTCTTCGATCTGGCTCGCCAGGAGCTTGCCGACCCCATTGCCATGGAACGTTGTCGAGACGTACAGGCGCTGCAGCTCGACAATGGACTCGACATCGGAAATGCAGGGCTCAGAGGTGCCTTCCGTTAGCTGAGTGAAGCCGACGATTTCCTGCTCGCTGTCCTCATTACCATCAATTGAGGGGGCTTTGGCACAGGCCACGAGAATATGCTTCGTCGCACACCGAATGTCCTCCTCGATAGCCTCCACACTGTACGCCTCGTCGAGGTAGGCCTTCAGATCGTTTGTAGGAATACTGAAGCCAAAGGTCGTAGCAAAGACAGTGGAGCCCAGTCGCGCAATTGCCGGTGCGTCAGCGATTACTGCTGGCCGGATAGTGACTGATGGCTTTGTTCGTGGTACCAGAGAGTCAACATCTATCGGTTTGGATCGTACTTGAACAGCTGCAGGTGAAGAGATATGTGCATTGTAGTGGTAAGCTAGATATTCTGAAGTTGTTGACGAAGCTGATGGTGGTGATGTTGGGAGAGGGACTGGGTGTTGGTGCTGCACAAGCATTTCTGTGGTTGTTCCGATAGCTCTGTATCTGCTGTATCTGCTGGAACGGCAGGTATGATGAAACCCTGGAAAATTTCGGCGAGATCAAGCGTATCTATGAACCAGCATCAATGATCCTTCAGTGCGCATGTATATATCTATCGTATAGTACTCGAGGTGCTTTTAAGGAAGGAAGCAAGATAAGGCAGTCCCCCAAGGGGCGAAAAAGAGAGCAACTCTCCCCACGCCCTACGACTGTACAGTCTCTTGACCCACTCGAGATGCCAAATCATTTCGTGAGGCCCGCTGAGTACGGAAGCGGAGGAAGAGGAAAAACCTTCTGATCCGCCCTGAGGATTTTGTCGCTGTTTCTTCTTTTCTGCACTAACTTGGTACGCCCTTTGACCAACAGTGGGAAAGCCACTTGAAATGTCGTGGCAAGGTTTGCGCCCTTGCAAGGATGATAAGAATAAATCAAATGACCGGACATTTCCGGGCTGGTCTTATTGTGAAACTGTTACCTCAAGAAAAGAACACCAATACCGAGGATATCCGACTTCAACCTGCAGTCTCTTGAAAAGGGGCAAAATTGATCCTCGTCATAAACTAAAAAAATATATATACCGGACCTTCGACCACGGACAAGCTGGGAGAGTCAATCATCCAGGTAGACATGCGACCACCTGCTCGGCTTGCACACTGACACCCTGACAATTACTTCTTCTTATTTCCCTCCTTTCCATTCTTCTCATCGGTATTGTCACCGTCCTTTGCTTTACCCTTGGCCTTGTCCTCTTCTGCTTTTTCCTCCGTCTCTTCAGACTTGTTCTCATCGCCCGTGGGTTCGCTGTGCCCGGTGGCTAGGCCTTGCCAAACGGCGTACCCGGACACCAGGCCACCAGTCACAAAGGTGATCTTGAGAAGGGTTTTCGCAGGTGCGCCGTATTTGAAGACCCAACTGGCGAGCCATCGCATGGCAGGGGTGACCAGCTGCTCTCTTTCCCTGGCCAGGTCTGGGTTCACCGTCAACAGCAAGGCCAGCAGGGCCAGCAGGATCAAAATCAATGTGATGACTGTGACGACCTGGATGATGGCCAGCAGGATGGCAATGTCTTTGGTCGTCTGAAGCACTTCGAATCCTGCTGCGACGAGCGGCGTGACTTGGTCAAAGGCCGAATGGATCTCTTTGGAGTAGGGGAGGCCCATCTTGCCAATAGCCTCGGTGGGACACGGTTGTAGAGGCACACTATATCTGTGGGGTATGGGATCGTTGGAAAGGGAATTAAATTTCCTGGGGAACTTACCAGAACGATTACTCAAGTAGATCCTATGCCACTTTTATAAAACAGGGACACCAGACACTGACTGTATGGAGGGGGCTTTTTGAGGGATGCCAGTGATGTCATAAGTCGTAACGACTGAGATGTGGCTTGGCGCGTTTCTTCCAACCGTGTTCAGATTGAATTGGCATTTTGTTGGTCAAGATCCTACCACCAATAACTCTCATTACACCCATGACTGTCTAAATCACGCGTTGGTTGCACTTTACACACCGCTCCTTCGTTGTTCGTCCACTCTCACACCTGTCTTGCTCTGATTTCTCGCGTCGTCATGCATAGTGCTCTGAATCGACTCCAGTCGACCTTCGGCTACTTCACCAGCTGCGCCTTTACCATCGCTTGCATAATCGCCGTCCTCTCCATAATACCTCTTCCTACTCCGACGGGCTCCCCAAGCGCCTCAATATCGGTCCGAAATGTCCAAGTCGTGAAAGGCCGACCACACTATTACTCCCCGAAACGCGAAGAATACGCTCAAATTAGATTCGATCTTGAGGCCGATCTATCCAGCCTGTTCACATGGAACACGAAGCAGCTGTTTGTCTATGTCACGGCAAACTACCCTGGTGGAAAGACGGGCAAGGAGGGGACGTCTGAAGCTGTTATCTGGGACACAATCATCCCTGCAACATCCACCCCGTGGTCCTGGCAGAATCTAAAGCAGACCTACTTTCCCGAGAAGAAGTCAACATCTAAGAGCAAGAAAACCTCGAACACAAAACCCAAGACCAAAGATCTTGTCAAGCCAGGTGTGATTTCTCTGAAAAACCAGAAACCAAAATACCAAATCACCGACCCCAGCGGTGTCATCAGTGAGCGGGGCAATGCGACCTTGCAAGTCAGTTGGAATGTGCAACCGTGGGTTGGCGCACTGGTCTGGGACAAAGGATATCTGGGCGACCGAATCGGAAAATGGGCTCCTGGGAACGGGGGCAAAAGTGAGGTCTTCGAATTCCCTCCTCTAAAGGGGACGAAAACAGATGTGGTCAAAGACACGGAAGGACCAAAGACTCCGAAGGCCGGTTCAGCCTCTCCAGCTGTTGAGATATAATTACAATGCGATGGTCTTTAACAGATACCCGACTTTTCTCGATTGCTCGGCAATTGGGACATCTCATCTCAAATGGGCAGTGAGGTCTGATTTTGAGGCCCGACAGAATGGAGCAGCCGGCATGACAATCCTCAGCTGTGAACCAATGGTTGAAACGCGCGAGCTTGTGCCTTTCAGTGTTCTGGCACTCTGTCGGCTCATGAAACTATTTGAGCCACTCCTCTTCCCAATCCTCAAACGTGTGTACCCTGCCTTCCGCAATGATCCAGTTTGCAAAGCAGATATTCCCCTTTACCAGATCAACTGTCCTGGATTGTCCGTGGGCAGTTTTCCGTTCCAACGAAGACAGCAATTCGGCAGGTCAATATCCGTGTTCGTCCGGCGAAGACACGTATGGGATCGCCACACACCTATATGCAAGCCCTAAGCAAATTATTTAACCTTCGTTCTGGGGCTCGAGGCACCCAGAGGCCCAATGCCAACAAACGGAATTAGGCGATACCAACATTTGTCTGAAGCTTTTCAAGGCGCGCGAGCCAATCAGATAACAGTGAGCTCTGTGCGATCCGCACCGGCATCTGGTACAGCTAGTCCGCCGTCTTCATGCGGAGCGAATCAGAACTCGAATGTGTTCCGCGGTACGTATTGCCTCCCGGGTATATAACAGAGTCCGACAGCTACCATAAGACCGTCTTCTCACAGAAGTCGCATCTGTTCAAAGTGCGATTGACGCTCGATTCGGTAGCTACGAAGTGAGCACCCCTCTCAGCCATGTCCTTGAAATACATCAACAAACTGCAAGGCAAGCGGGTGATCATTGTTGGCGGCACCAGTGGCATTGGGTTCGCCGCTGCTGAAGCAGCTGTGGAATATGGTGCAATTGTGGTGGTGGCCAGTTCCAAGCAGGACAGAGTCGATAGGGCTGTTGAGAGAATCCAGCAAGCATATCCCGGCGCAGGAGATCGCATCCGCGGTACCACTGTTGACTTGAATTCGGACGATGTGGAGGAGCAGGTCGAGGCTCTTTTCAATTTTGCAACCGACGGCGGCAAACATAAATTGCATCACGTTGCAGAGACGGCTGGCGGGACCTTTGGGATGATGCCTCTGGCCGACGTCACCCCGGCGGCCATTGCAGAAGCCCAGAAGGTCAGAATCACGGGCTGTACGATGCTTGCAAAGGTCGCTATGCGATACCTTGAAGTCAGCCGCACGTCCTCCTTCACCCTGACCAATGGTGTGAGCGATGCGAAACCCAGCCCTGGATGGACGATTATGGCACCTATTGGGGCGGCAAAGAGAGGGTTGACCCATGCTCTTGCCAACGACATGAAACCTATCCGCGTCAATTGCGTGTGTCCAGGAGCCGTCAAGACAGAACTGTTTGATAGTTTCGGGGGAGATCGACTGCAGCAGATCGTGGACTTTTACACAGCCAAAACATTGATCAACACTATTGGCACTCCCGAGGATCTGGCCGAGTGTTATATTTGTGCCATGAAGAACAACTTCATGACTGGGCAGGAGATCACGGCGGACGGCGGGTTTCTGCTGTGCTAGACACATAGCTGGTTGGAGAATTAGTTCACATCCGTTGATGCTTTGCCTGGCACATGCCGCCTTGCACAGTAGATGCATCAGCAGCTCATATCATCTCAGATTAGGGGCCGAGAGCGCATCCAATAACAATGCTGGACTGGAGGCGCGCATGACCCCGTCGATCAGGCTGCCGGCCAGACTGACCTGGATCTGGATTGATCAACACCGCCTCGACACCAAGCCACTCGCTTCTCTGGCAAATAATTAGTCGACAAGTCAACTCTTCATGATGCACAACTGGCTCTAGCATTTATACTCGACTCGCACCATGAGTAGCAACTGGTTTCATCGCATCCTCTCCGAGCCCGTCTCAGCGCCGGCCGTGCCCAACCGGCCAGATGCGTCGTCGTGGCCACCTCCCACGCCGCTGACACCGCGGTTCAGAGACCGCAATGCGCCAGACTACCGCTACCAGGTCAACCAGAAATGCATCTACGAACGGCGGCTGCCGGGTGGGTCGTACATCACGGCGCACGTCCAGCGGCTACAGTCGGGCTACTACGACAGCCCCGTGATCCACGAGGACCGCATCGACAACGTGCGCTTCGTGGCCATCAACTTCGTCTTCCACCCCAGTGCCAGCACGTTCCGCTTCAAGTCGGCCGAGATCAGCGTCGCCCTGCACCACGCGGGCCTGGACGACCGGAATCCGCTGCAGGTGGTCGCCGGGCTGGCGGCGCCTAAGACTAGTCACGACCATGGCACGCAGACTGAGACCGTGAGCAATAGCCAGGCGCTGGTGAGGAGCCGGGACTGTGTGCACTTTCCGGGGTTCAAGCCTTCGCGGCCCAAGTTCCTCCGCCACGCGCCACACCTCCTCTACGGGAGTATCTCGCCCGAGACGCTGAACTGGAACTTCAACCTTGCCGGGTCTCTCGGTGTTTCTCAAGGCCCCGCGAGCGCGACGTTCAACCCGTCGTACGGAGTCAAAAGCAGCTACAAGGTGTACGAGATGATGAAGATTCAGGGGTCTGTGCGCACCCTCCGTTCGTGGTACGGGCGTGACTACGACATCGAGGACGGCGAGCTAGTGTGGACGCTAGAAGAGAACCGGCTGCAGAAGTCCGGCCTGCCGCGCGAGTTCACCTTCGTCATGCTGCTCACCAAAGGCAGCGGCGGGTTCGAAGAGTGCGGCGACGTCGAGCTCGAGATTGACATCCGCCCCAAAGTCGCCGGCAGGCTGGGTGCGGCGTATTCGTCCCTGATCACCAATCTGCACCAGTACCAACCCTTCAAGCACGAGGTGCTGGACCTAGACAAGGAGATTGGCCAGGTGTTTGAGCCACACGTCAAGGGCCGTGGCTTCAACTTTGCCAATATCGCGACCAGTTTCGACGACTTCGTCTGGCTGCCTGGGACGGCATATTCGACTTCTGACGCCGGTGTCCCTCAGTCGCCAACCGGCGCGGCAACACAACAGCACCAGCAAGCTCCTCTACAACAGGTAGCGCTGGCCCAGCAACAACCTCAGCAAGGATCCCAATCCCAATCCCATCATCAAAAGCAGCAACACGGCCATTCAGGGAACCAGCACCAGACCCCTCCGTCGGGAGACACGACACTCAACCTACGACTGATTCTGGAACACTCACGAGAGAACGGGAGCCCCGTGCCCGTAGCAGCCGTTTCGCACCAGCTCGTCCAGCAACAGCCGCCGTACGTGATTCTCAACGCAGCCCCTCGAAACCCGTCCCGTGCACAATCACCTCTGCCTGCCGCATCCATCACGACCAGCGGCGGCTCGCAGCGCTCGACGACCCGGCGGACCGTCACGATCGGCTCGCCGTCGTCGAGGTCCGTCCGCAAACGGCGCTCCCGCACCGAGTTGTCCAGGGAGTATCATTACAATGACAAGGCCTCCCCAACCGAAGCAGAAGAACAAGAACCGCGACACTCGAGAGAACGTCAGGCCGTTCCATTGCCGGGATTCAGTGGCCAGAGAGCATCTCCGTCTCCGTCCCAGTCCCGGAATTCAGCTCCAGCAGGACGACCCTTTTCATTCCACCAAGAGGGTGGGAAGGGAGATGATGCCCTGCTCCAGGACAGCAGTGCGGCCGCCCCGACGCGGCCGGAATGGAATGATCATACCCCGCCACGGAAGAAGAACGCTTCCACATCTCCAATCCGCCCTTCCTCGAGCCCGGAATATACCACGCCGCCTGCGTATCCGCACCGCCCCCTTTGTTAGGATCTGCATCAGACGCGCAGCGTACGGGGGGTCATACAAATATATAACACGGAAATACCCGGCCAGGGGTGCATAGGTTGTTTTGTGTGTGTGTGTGTGTGTGGATATCTATCGATATATGCGTATTGGCTTTGTGTGTATGTATGTATGGTTGTAACGATAAAGGACGTCATGGCCGTGGACGGCAATAATGATAGAAGTTAATTACTGTATGTTTGTAGTACCTATGTAGGAGGTACTGTAGATACTGTAGGTAGGTCTGAGATACAGACGGCAAAATAGCGCAAAGGGCGGTGGTGTCAACAAACACATACATCACTCGCTCACTCAATGGGGCTTGCCGCGCATGTAAGTAATACTTCATTTCATGTAATTTATCGAACGTCGACCATCGAACTTCGACGTCGACTCGGCCGACCGACAGTGTCCCCTAAGGACCTCAGGAACAAAAGTGTAAATCAACATTCATTCATTCGAACCGATTCAATTCTGATGGGCACAAACAAGTCCCAAGCAAGTCATTTTAGGGCTCGTGTGCATCCAGACTAGAGCACCTTGCTCGCTCACTCACTCGAGGCTGGCAGACCCTCACAAAAAAACCCTTCCCTCACCCTAAAGTTTGTGGCCCGTCAATCGATTAAAAGGGGTATCTGACTCCAAGAATATACACATACATACATACAATCGTCACCCTTTGATCTCTCGATGTTCCTTGTGACGCCAGGGTCCCTTCTGGTGACCGACCGATCCAGAAGCAATTTCTCAGGCGGGCGACATGCTCATGGGCGCACCGTCTTCACCTTCCGAGTCCCCATCTTCGTTGTCGCGCTCCATCGTCCTCTCCGCTGGTGGATACGGCGCCCGGCCGGTGGAGTTCGTAGTCGGGTTATCGCCATTGGCCGGCGGAGGAGGAGGCATGCTTCCCTTCAAGGCTGCCTCGTCCTCCAACAACCTAGCCTTTTTATCGGCGACGGGCGTCGGATCAGGGAGACCGGCCTCCCGGGCTTTTCTCTTTTCCTTCTCTCGCGCGTATTCCTCTCTTCTCCGATCCTTCTCACGTTTGTCATTCTCCCTGCGGTGCATCTTGCTCTCAAATTCATGCCAATCGCCCTCGACGTTTGCAAGCTCCACCGGTTGTTCCGCGAGCGGCTCCTCGGACGTGAAATACTCGTGACTGAGCACTTGCTCCGCGTTGGGTCGCTTCTTCGGGTCGTATTTGAACATCTGCTGCACCAAGTCAAGAGCAGCAGGCGTGAAGACGTCTTTGAACATGGCTTCGAATATCCGCTTGCGTCGATCGGCCGGTTGCATGAGCTCGAACCAGGGGAGATCCACAATACCTCGCCAGTCTGATCGAGTCGGTGTCCCAAGGACGTTGTATACTTTGTCCAACTGGCTAAGCTCTCCACCTTCTCCAGGGAAGATCGCCTTTTTCGTGAACATTTCCACAAAAACACACGCCGCAGACCATATGTCCACCTCAGGTCCGTATTGAGTTTCGCCCAGAAGAAGCTCTGGAGGTCGATACCAAATGGTGATTACACGATTGGTGTAGTCGAGTTTGCGAGACTTGTTGTAGAACCGTGCAAGGCCAAAGTCGGCGTATTTCAGCTGGCCGGTGTTGGAGATCAAGATATTGGCAGCCTTGATGTCCCGGTGTAAGACACCGCGTCGATGAAGATAATCCAGCCCATCAAACATTTGCTTCGCCAAGTCCTTCTTGTGCGCGGGCGTCAGCTTGAAAGATGGATGGTTGATGAGTCCAGTCAGATCGTGCGAAAGATACTCAAAAACCATGAAGCATTCGTTCTTTTCGACCATAACCTCCTGTAATGCAACCACGTGCTTGTGTCGCAGATGTTGTAATAGTCTGATCTCGCGCACGGCTGTGATGGGGAACCCGTCTCGTTCACCTTCCATCCGAATCTTCTTCAGTGCAACTTTGTCCTTTGTGTAGATGTGAATGGCCTTGAATACTTTTCCATATGTGCCTGCGCCGACAACGGACTCGTTACCAGGCTTTCGGAAATATATAGACTCGGACTCTGCAAATTCGGGAGGCAGTGTGGGCCGAGACTTGATCTCTTTCTTGATCTTCTTCGAAGGGGGAGAACGTGATCGGTCTGGTCGGCGGTCTCTTGGAGCAGGTTGTTGGTGCATCTGGTGCTGTCGGTCGTTGGGGTGTCTTCGATCATGTTGGGCCATAAACTTCCGATCATGGCCCCGAAATCCATGTCTGTCGTCGCGGCGGTCGAAATATTTGTTCTTGGGACCTTGTGGTGGCGCCGGCCGATTGTCTGACGGCTGGAATGGCGCCTTTGGTGGTTTCGAAAAATCTGCAGCAGGTTTAGCTGGAGCCTGAGGAGGGGCTTTGGACTTGAAGGCGAAGCTAAATTTGGAAGCAGCCGGTCCTTGTTGGTCATTACCCTGTGTGTTCTGATCTGTGTTGTCGATCCTGCTGTTTCCTTGATCCTCCACCTGCAGTTCTTTGGATGGTCTGAAGGGATTCTCTTCTTCGCCTGAGGGGGCTTCTCGATCGTCCTGTGACGCGGTATGCGAAGGGACTGGAGATGTCTGTGATTGACTCCCGTGGCTGCCTTGAGGCTTTTGATGTTGGGCACCTTTCGGGCCCGATGCTGTCCACTGCAAGTTGTTGAAATGTCTGCCTTGACCTCGATGGCGGGGGCCGTGAAACCTCTGGTCTTGGAAGTGTCCACGAGGAGGGCCGTGTCCCCGGCCACCTCGATAGGGTTGTTGATATCCGTGTTGGTTGCCTCCATAGGATCCCTGCTGGTTTTGATAGTAAGGATTGGGATTGTTTACACCACCTGGACCGGAAAAGCTATTTTGCCGGTAAGGGGGGGAGGAATTGTGCATTTGCCTGTAAATCGTATTAGCCATGAAAATGCACCCTTCTAGGATGATGAGGACTGACCCATGATGACCTTGCCCGCCCCAGCCGCCTCGCTGATGATAATATGGAGACTGCTGCGGCGGGGAGCCGTGATAGGAGCTGTTGGAAGAATATGGCGGAGAACCCCCATATCCTTGGTGTCTGTTTTCAGTATATGGTCTTTGTTGCCCTCGATTCATCCCATAGTTACCACGTGATGGGTATTGGCCATCCATGGAGCGGTTCTCAATGTCTTCGACAACAGAAGCGGCTCGCGAGGAGGGATTGGCCTCCTTGACGGAAGGCTGGCGTGGGCCCGTGGGAGGACGTTGCGGTCGCTGAGTCGTGTTCACGGGTGACTCTCGAGTTTCGATAGATGAATGTTTCGACTCGGGCCGTCGATGCGGAGATGATCTCGCAGGAAGACGAGGTGAGATGGATCGTTGATCGCGCGTGCGGAATGATGGCGAAGACCCTCGTTGGACGGCTGTGCCGTAATTACCACGGTCCGGGAATTGAGATCTTGAGAGGGGCGAGTTGGCTCGCGATGAATATGGAGGAAAATCCTCAGGTGGAAAAGGAGACGGAGGATCTAGAAGACCCCTGTCGTCGATATCAGAAAGATCCCGGCTGCGGGCACGTCTTTGGGTTTCAAAGTCAGTTCTGTCGCCGCCGGGGGGTGATGGGCTTCGAGTACGCCTCCGTTTGGATGATGGCGTTGGGGAGAAGTCGCGTTGTCTGCCAGGTCGACCTCCAAATTGCTTGCGAGGTGGCCGACGAGAATGCTGCTTGGGTTGTGGGAAACGACGGGGAGGCGAAACAGAAGACTTTCTACCGTGCAATTTCCTGGGGTTTCCGTCTCTCGAAAATTGCCGCTGCCAACGTGGTTCACGAGGTGGGCGATCAGGACGTGGCCCTTGGTCAAAAGACGTCGATTTTTCTCCTCCTGGATGACCCGAGTGTGGTGAATGAGGTCGGCCGCCTGGTCGATTTGCGTCTCTGTCCCGCTGTCGCTGGGGTGGATGTCTCTGGCGCGGATCCTCTTCGCCTCGCCAGCGATTCTTCATCGATGGGCTCCTTCGAGACCTCGCCATGTAATGCGGAGCGGCATTTGCGAAGGTGTCGGGTGGGGAGATTCGAGGGTTTGGGGGAGAGTAATGGTCGTAGCGATGGTGGTCGTGAGACAGTGGATTTGGATGTTGGGTGAGTCCTGCGCAGTTTGGAGATTCAGCGAGCAAGCCACCAGCCAGAGGGTGGACCATCGGTTGGGTCAGCACCCAAGGACTTGGCACGTCCGCGAAAAAAGCGGCGAGCTCGTCGCCCGGAGTTCGCCCCCGTTGGGATCGAGTCGAGGTGTTGAATGCCTCCAAGCCCTGCGAGTTCCGGGGGGACCTAGGGGACACAGAGCACTCACCTGCTGCTGGCCCAGGCTGCCACTCACGCCCATCTGGGCGTCCAGTCCCCCTGTCCATCCCTTCATCGTGCTGTACCAGCTTGTCCTTCGCCTTTCTTTTACCTTTCTTTTTGCCCATCACTCTGAATGACTCCAGCAGTGACTGATGGCTGCGGTCTACCACTCAAACTACAATCGCCAGGAGGTCGTCTTTGTCGTGAGAGTTGCATCAACCATGACAATCTCAGTTGGTCGTAGCGCCGCTTGGTTGGCGGCGAATTTCAAAGGTGTGCGAGATCAAAAGATCGAGCGTCAAACTGCACTTCAGAGTGACAGTACACGACGCGACAAGTCTATCTACGTGGATTCTCGTTCTCGGCGCTTCCCTCCAAAACAAGACGCAAAATGTCAGTCATTTTCCCTGGCGCGCTTGCACTCGGGACGTTCAACTGCCTGTAGTAACAATGTTGAATGACCTTTTCCCGATTGCCATAGACACCAGCTGCCTCACCCGGCGTTTTATGCCCGTGTAAAACCAGAAACTGGCCACAAAGAGGCAGCAATACCTGCTCACAAGGCAACGACGTTGATGGACTCTATATGTCAGTTTGCTCTTTTAGGCATGGTCAGCAACCAATTAGGCGTGTCCCCCAAAGAGGCGGGATTTTTCAAGCAGCTTGTGGGGGTTGGAGAAGTAGCAGATGTGTCCTGTTAGCCAGCACATAGTTCAACAATGGTAGACTTGACCTGTGAGCTTAGACGCGTTGTTCAAGAAAATGGTTCATGATTGTTGAATAAAGGGTAATGTGAATTGACGATAAATTGGGACCGCAATCCGATAGCTGTACTTGGCTGGTGGGCTTCGGCCTCCGGGTGGTGCGGATGTCTTGCGAACAAACAGCGAGAAGCACTTAGAAGTGTCGAGATCAGAACTACATATCCGAAAACATTCTCGCCGCCGATGTTTGTGAGCAATTGAGGCTTCTGTTGTGCAAGTCCAGATGACGGGGGGACTGGGCATGTGCCGGTGGACGAGGGATGGAGGCCGCTGACCGCCTATGTTGACCTTGGGACATTTCACTCCCCTGTGATCGACCATCGTTCTTCGTTGGGTATGAATCAAAGAAGGACAAGTCGGATTCAGTCCTTAGATGGAAAGGAGGAAGAAGATGCAGCGGATTCGCACCTGATGCCTGATGCTCCCGATGGTCTACAATGTACAGGATCAACAGTCATGAAAGACGTTGAAGGTGTTGGAAAGAAACGGGTCCTGCAACTTGGTATGCCAAGACACTAGTAGAAAGTGGGATGCGGTGAAGCTGGGCATCCGGAGAAGCAAACACGCTCGAAAGCGCAATGTGATATATCCGGCGCAGTGACGCACTCTTCACATCTATCCTATCTAATCAAGCAGCAAGAACATTCCACATAAAACAAGGTCAGCACATGAAAGTAGTTCCGAAGTTGGCCATAGAGCAATACGAGGTAGTCATTGCACTAGGTTGGCCTTCCTTGTGACCCTGTGGCCTTACCACCCCTGGGACGAATTCAGCAGTACCGTGGTCTCGGAAAGGCTGTCTCTTTTTCAAGCATCATTTTGTCCCCTTCCTCTCCCGTGTCCGCCGAGAATCTCTGTGGCTCGATCGCATTGCAACGCTGTTTCACCTTGGACATTAGAACGGCTCTCCCTGGATCAGGTTTCGTAGTCCCACCTCCTACTCATGAATCAAGGTCATCATCCGTCAACACTCATCTTCTCGCCGATCCCTTTTTCTCCCATCAATTCGCATCCAGTCCTCACAACGCCAACCATGCCACCAGTCTGCACCCCCTCACTTCCGCCTCCTGCCAATCTGTATTCGATCTCTGCAAGGCCCTGCAACCACGTCACTCTGGTCGCGGCACCAACCTCGAGGTTCTGCAACTCTTCGGCCAGCGCAGTCAATATATCGGCCAGTGCCAATCCTCGGCTACTCTTCAGGGCATTGATCGTCCTTAGACACTCAGTTAGATCTGGCGTGCTCAGCATCGTCGTCATAATTAACCGGATATCCTCAGGATGTGGCGCTGCGATACAGTTGTAAATCGTGTCGTTCGTGATCAACTCGTATTTGATCTCGGACTCAGGAACCGGTGGTTGTCCTCGCATCGGGAGTGGCCGTGACCCGGCATAGCAGGCTTGAAGAACGTTCAGTGCGCGACGCATGTCGCCCTTCGACAATTTGACCAACGAATCAACTGCGTCTGGCGTGATATTGACACTTTCTTGTGAAATCACCTTGTCCACCAGCCGACGTATATCTGCTTCTTTTAACGGTGAGAACCGAAACCGGGTACATCTCGAGAGCAACGCCGGAGACAGCTTGTGTGTGTAGTTTGCAATAATGCAGAATCTTGTGTTGGCCGTGTATTTCTCCATGATCCTCCGAAGAGCCATTTGTGCTGCGGAGGTCATTGCGTCTGCTTCGTCGAGAACGATCAGCTTGAAGGCGCCCAGCCCGAGTTTAGGCCCACTCGCTGTCTGCTGCGTTGAGGTACTGAAGATCTGCTTTGTCGAGGCAAAGGTTTTGATTTGCTCGCGCACCACGTCGATGCCGCGGTCATCTGAAGCATTGAGTTCGAGGACCATCTGCCTCATGTTCTTTGGCCCATAGATCTGTCGCGCCAGCGCCAAGATGGTAGAAGTCTTTCCGGTCCCTGGGGGGCCGTAAAAGAGGAGATGTGGTAGTCGGTTGTGTTCGACAAATCTGTTGATTGTGGCGAGGATGTCTTGGTGGCCCGAAACCTCGTCGAGGGTATTAGGCCGATATTTCTCAACCCTGAGGATCTTGTGAGCGACGACACCATCCCTTCAAGTGCACAAAAGTGGTTGCATACCATGGTAAATTGTCCTCTGCTTCCACTGGCAAGTCAGCCGCTATTCGCTTCTGCTTGCCCGCAGCGTTGTCTGAGCTGAACTGAATGGACTTGTCCTTGGACGGAGGCGCGTCCAAGTCCATATCATCTTCATAGTCCGACATCGTGGGTTAACCTGTGAATTCTGCAATCGTTGAAAATGTTAATTGGAAGAACCTTGTGTCATCTCACATTGAGGTCAATAGTCCACGGCGCGCCTGCGCCAGCGTCTGCGGAGACGCGGTGGACGCGTTAATTAAAGTGCGCTTTCTCACGCAATGCGCCGCCCTATCGTTCTACATCCCCGCACAAGAATGCCAAGCCGCGATTGCGGGCGCATAACATTGAGCGGACGCAATGGTGAACCTGCACCAAGTGCGTAGGACCAAAAGCCTTCAATTTCAAGTTGACGGTGAGATGGGAAGCTAAGGCATTAGACTGCTCTCCCCGACCTCTCCCGCTTCTCAACTCCAGGCGCGCCCCTGTGAGCAGTCAAGATGCCAGTGAGTCCCCCAGCCTTCCTCTTTGCTTAAAGCCGCTGACATCCCATCAACAGGCATACCACTCGATCTTCCTGGGCGACCAGGGCGTACAACTAATAGGTATTCTACTCTGGAGCGCGAAATAGTTCACAGACCCGTCTGTACTGACATGTGTTATCGAAAGGCAACTTCCCACTCCTCCCGCTTCGCACGAAAACCCGTGGGCCAGCCTACACGCTGCCTGCTCTCCCGCCCAATGTCGACCCCCTCGACGTAGACCCAGACTCCGAGTCCTACGACTGCCTCGATGAGATCTTGAGCCTATTCCGCGCCAACACCTTCTTCCGCAACTTCGAAATCAAGGGCCCCGCCGACCGCATGCTTATCTACGGCATCCTCTTCCTGTCCGACTGTTTGACGAAAGTGAAACCCAATATGGATTCCCGTGCGGCCGAGAAAGCCCTGATAAACGGTGCACTGGAACAATTCAGCATCCCGGGGGAGCCAGGTTTCCCATTGAACCAAGCTTATGAGGCACCCAGAGACCGCACCGAGGCCGAGGCTTTGAGGAGCTATTTGAGCCAAGTGAGACAGGAACTGGCAATCCGGTTGCATGCAAGGCTTTATGCGGACGGGTCCAATGTGCCGAGTAAATGGTGGTTGAGCTTCACAAAGCGAAAGTTCATGGGCAAGAGTTTATAGACAAATATTGACGGAACAGCCAGCAGGGAGTGAGTGAGGAACTCCGTTATGGATGTACTGATGATGAGAAAAACGGTGTTGATCGATGCTTTGCCGTCGTAAATAAACTAGAAATTAGGGCTGTGAAATTCTATTCACCATCCGCAACAAGCCATGCTCACTTTCCAACTGGCTTGCCCTCTTCTGATAGCCTATTTATGCCTGGTCGATGACAGCCTGAAGCGCCTCCAGATGTTCCTCTTCTCGCGCCGCAGCCTCGACCTTTTGCTTCTTTAGAGGCGAATGTGGCGGCTCCTCCGTGTCTGCCGCTCTCTTCCCTTCTTCCAGTTCACCTTCTACTGGACTTTCGGCCGGTTTATCTTCGATCTTGGCCTTCTTCCCCCTGGACGGTCTCCCTCTCGCCTCGACCTTGCCCTCCGCCGGCACCACCCTCGTCGCGACAAAGATATAGCCCTCGGCACCACCCCGTCCGGTCATCAACGGATGCGTCCGGCCCGGCAGAACCTGCCACTTCCTCACCCGTGCGGTCTGCACCGTCGGCGCCAACAGCAGCGTCGGATCGACCGGGAAGTCCTGGGACGGGACAGTCCGCTGTTCCAGAGGCGTGTTGATGAACGCCGCCCGTCGTGCCGTCGAGTAGTAGTCAGCCAATTCGACAAGAGGTTCGACATGCGGAGAGTAGACCACCACCTGGCTCCCACCAGCCAGCAAGGGCACGAGATGGCGCAACGTCGAGGTCGGATCCGTGAAGCTCGCCACGATCAGGCCGTTGAAGCCGCCCTGCTGCGTCTCATGCACGACGTTTCTTACCCGTTCCCACCGTCGTCGTTTGCGGTAGTACGCACTCCTTCGGTTCGACTTCATCCGCGGCAGCTCTGCATCTGGGATCCTGGGAGGTTCTTGGTACGTCATGCCCGACTCCGGATCGATCAGCTGTAGCCACGACAGGGTCTTGAGATGGGTGTACAAGGGATGGGAGGACGTGGGGGCGTTGGAGTCGAAGTTGAAATAGCGGAGTAAGCCCAGGTTGGGCTGTTGATTCGCGTGCACGAGCGTGATTGTGCTGGACGCCGCGCTCATGGCCGAGCGGTGGTATCGTTCGCGACGTGAATTTCGATGATGAACATGCGTCCCGACCTCGAGGGGCCGTTCATCGTCGAGGTCGTCATCTTCCACGCTGGCATCGTGCCCGAGGTCTGACGGGTGCAGAATCCCCATCCTCTCCGCCATGGCGGCCACGAGTAGCCCGCCCGTGTCATCCACGACCAGATACCGCGAACGCGGGTCCATATCGGCGGCAGCAAGCATGGCAGGATCCTCCCCTCCCGCGTGGACATTGGCCCAGCACCCCACCAGGCCGACGGCCTCATTTCTCATCTCCATAATCTTCGTGAATTCGCGATCAGCCATGATCCAATCCACCAGCGTGGTCACGTCCAGCGGCAGCACGGTGAACTGCTTCATGTACTTCTTGTGCTTCCGGAGCGTGTACTTGGCGAGCGAAAAGGCCGTCTTCTGGTCGAGGGTGGAGTGGGACTGCATGATCTTCTCGATCAGCTCTCGCCCGCTGCCCATGGTGTTGCGTTTCAGGGCTTCGATCTCGGTCATGGTCAACTTCTGGTTCGTGGGGTCGTCGTGGGTATTGACGTTGGATTTGGGCGTCGGCTGCTGTGAGACGACCCCCGCGTCGTCCTGCAGCGACAGTTGCGGTTCGTTCACGGGCGTCGACACGTCTTCCGTCTCGGCCTGCTCGACCAGCGCCACGGCATGCAGCTCGGCGGCCTGCACGACACGGAGCTCCCGGCCGTCCTTGACTTCGGACCGGTCGAGGATCTCAAAGGTTAGGTGGTACGGACGGCCAATGATCTGGTTCGTGCGGAACGTTCCATATTTGCCCAGGTTTATCAGACTTTTTGAAGGTAGACACAGAGTCAGCGACAGCTCATCAACGGCCGTTGGCTGATATCTGTTCGTGGCCTGACAGATAGATTCTTTTCTTATCTCTTTCTTATTTCTTTCTTTTTGGTGTTGCAAAAAAAACAAAAAAAAACAAAAAAAACCTACGTGTTGGGAACCATTTGTTCAACTCTTGTCTGGTCAGAGGGTAGCCGTATGGCGACATATTGATAGGGCTTAATGACTGAAAAGTCCATTTCGCCGCTTGAACCAGCATCCGACGAGCTTGATAACGGGACTTCACCTTGGAAGTGTCATTGTCATTGTTTTAAATTTTTTAATATATAACAGTTGAGCATTTGAAAATCGAAACTCTAGAAATATTTTCATTTCATTAAAGGAATTCCATTCCGGGACAGGCCGTCTTGCCGCTCTAATATGTTTGGTGGAAGTGGGTTCGGCTTAACTTCGGCCCGGCCTTGAGTTCTAAGCAGCCCGATGATTCATTGTTCGTGCTTCTTCTCTGGGTAGAGGAGGGATCGTTTCCCGGTGTGAACATGCAGAGCTCGCACAAGCACACTGAGCACTCAGGTGGACGGGACCTCGATGCCAAACTTTGCGTACGGAAAGTTTTCCAAACTGGGCAAGTACTCAGCCCATCCGTCGTCAACCTCGCCCAGTTGCTCTTCATTGCCAACCTTGACGAGGCCGGTTCTTCCAGCAAGCACCTCTCGCTCCCTGTCTCTGAATTCAGCATATAGGCCAGGATGGGGGACCCAGACAACTCTCATCCCGGCCCTCCGTCCTGCCTCGACACCGGGCACACTGTCCTCGAACACCAAGCATTCCTCAGGTGCAATAGGAGGCGAGCCTTTCGAGAGCTTGGAGTTGAGGATCTGCAATGCGCACAAGTAGATGTCTGGTGAGGGTTTGCCTCGTCCCCTGCGCACGCGTGGATCGTCGCCCAGAACACGATGGTCGTGAGGGATTAAACCCAGGAGGGCTTTCGACTCGGATCGCACTATTTTGCGATCATAGTTGAGTTTCTCGCTGCTGCTCGCCAACGCTACCTCCACAGGTAGGCCGGCGGTCGTTCGCGCCTTGTTCAGATCTCGAAGGAGCTTTTCGGCACCAGGCAACGGTTCACAGTCAGCAAAGTGGATTTGCTGTTGCTCGCTTTGTTCGCGCGCATACTGCTGTCGGGAGATAGGCAACTGGGCCCATTGATGGAAGATATCGCCGTTAGAGCTGCCAGGAACGCCCATCAACTGCGCTTTGACGGACCACGGAAGGCGCGGTCGCCCGTGTTTGAGAAGGACATTGTCGGCGCATAACGTGTAGATATCTTCGGTATTGAGCAGGAGGCCGTCCATGTCAAAGATACAGGCGCGAACCGGTGGGAAACTATGAACAAGGTTCCATCTGATTAGCTGATGGCCATGGATGGCTGGGTTTTGGCAGATCCAATGGCAGAAGTGCGACGACTCCGTGCACATCGTTCCATGGTCCTGGACTCTTGACGGCAGCGACGAAAGTATGGAGGGAAGGATGAGATACAGGGCAACCTACTCTGTTCGGGCAGGCATTGCAAAAGCCTAAGATGAGTGCACTGCACTCAATATTCTGGGTTCTGCTGAACTTGCACAAAGATGTTGGGGGGTTGCCAATAGGTGGTTAGACTGGCACAGCCACACCTCACAATCCGGCTTAGTCCATGCCACAGTCTCACCATGGCCGCAGATCTTGGTGCCTGTGTGGCATGCGACAAGAACTATTCAGGCCCGTTGGTGGGAACCCAAATACCGAAGTAGCTCTGACGGCACCAACGGTATGCGCCACATGACCAACAACTCCCCCGTGACCTCTCTATGGTATATGGATGATGCCGCCACAAAACCAGGAACCATGCAGATCGTAACGAACAGACTGTGACGTCACAGGGCAAACAATGGCAGAGCAGCCTGAAGAACGAAGTCGCTGCGTTCGAGGGGTGTGTTACCGGCGCATTCCAAGGGACTGACAACAAGCGAGAGCGTGTGACGCACTTTGTTCCTCATGCCATTGAACTCAGATATATCAACTCTGCCTTTCCTGCTGCGTCACCCGAGCCGCATCTCACATACACCATCCACATACCAGCAATCGCACATCCACCTCGTCAAATTTGAACCTCCAACAAGCATCATCATGTCGGACATTGCAAAAGGTGTCAACCACTTGTTTGCCTCTATCTTCGAGATCGTCAAAGGCATCTTCGTCACCGTGTACAATGTCTTTGAAGGCGCACTAAGCGCCGTCATTGGTCTCCTCAAAAACACCTTCAACTTGGCTGAAGGTGTGCTTGGCTTCATCATCGGTATGTTACCCAACAACATGCACCTAACCTAGAGGAACATGGCTGACTTTAGAAAGGAAACATCTTCATTATCGGAACGCTGTGCGCGGTCTACTTCGGGTATGTCTTGTACCAACAACGTCAAGGCAACCGACCGGCTCCGATTTCGAAAGTGGCAACGGGGAAGACTCAATAAGCGCGATGGAACACCAGAGGATAGTTGAAAGCAGGTTTGGGATAAGTAATCAGGCAACGGATACGGCAATGAAACGTGTTGGAGCGCAATCAGCTGCGGTTGGGTAACATGAGAGATGTCGACGAGGCAAGGCCTGAGTGAAAGAAGCAGGGTGACGATGGAGTCCGGGCCGAGGTCGACAACGATGAATCGGCGTCACCAGCGTTTCAACTAGGACTGTCAACGGAAGGACTTGATGCTCTTTCTCTTGCTTCTTGCAGTCCGATATGTGGACAGGAAACAGGAAACGAATTTCCTTCGGGATGTGCGCATGCAAAAGGGGGACAATTGCCGAGGTTAATCGGGCGCCATTTGAGTGGCTGCCATTACATAATAATCTTTATGGCTGCATCTTCCAACTGCGCTCGCTCATTATTGTCTTCGATCGCCGAACATCCTCCCTCCCTTTAACCAGGGCCATTCCCTCCTTTCCGACTTCCTCCATTGATCTCCAATTCTCCTGCGTCAAGGCTTGTGATCTGCAAAAAGGCGGGCACCTGTTGTCTCTTCGTTCATTTCGCTACACTCCTTGTCTTCTCTTTGCATCCGATTCTGCCCCTCCTTTTCTGTCAACAACACCACCTCATCACTCGTAGTGTGTGCCAACCTACCGCCATCATGTCTCAAGTGAAGGACATTGCGCCCTCGCCTACAGAGGCCGACATCGATTCACCATCATCCCAATCCTCCAGTCCCGCGAATCCTCCCCCTGCAACTTCCGCCGCTCAACAGAGCGACAATATTGCCCATGCGTTGGCTGGTGCGGGCGGCGGCCTCCTGGCAATGACCCTTACCTACCCCCTGATCACGCTCTCGACCCGCGCACAGGTCGAGTCGAAGCGGGCGGATACCTCCACACTCGCAGCCGTGAGGCACATCATCCAGCGGGAAGGCCTGGGCGGGCTCTATGCCGGGCTCGAGAGCGCCTTGTTCGGTATTTCAGTCACCAACTTCGTCTATTACTATTGGTATGAGTGGACCCGCGCCTTCTTTGAGAAAGCGGCAGTCACGGCGGGACGGGCTAGCAAGAAGCTCACTACCGTCGAGAGCATGATCGCTGGTGCGATTGCGGGATCGGCCACTGTCCTCCTGACCAATCCGATCTGGGTCGTCAACACAAGGATGACAGCCCGGAAGAATGAATCAGGAGAGGGCGAGTTACCTGGTGGTGAAAAAAGACAGGTTAAGAAACCTAGCACCATCGGGACTTTGGTGAGCCTCCTCAAGGAGGAGGGGCCCTCGTCGCTTTTCGCCGGGGTCCTTCCCGCTTTGGTCTTGGTCATCAACCCTATCCTCCAATATACCATATATGAACAGTTGAGGAACGTTCTGGAGAAGAAGAGGAAGTTTGGCCCTCGTGATGCCTTTTATTTAGGTGCTCTTGGCAAGCTGCTAGCGACTACCATCACCTATCCTTATATTACAGTCAAAGCCAGGGCCCATGTCGCCAGGAAAGAGGACGCTCATGAGGGCATGTGGAGGAGCCTGAACAGGATTGTCAAGGAGGAAGGCTGGGGCGGATTGTACAAGGGTATGCGTGATCTCTCCTATTATCTGTATGACAACTGACGAATTTCGTCTAGGAATCGTGCCTAAAGTCAGCCAGAGTGTGTTGACTGCGGCTTTTCTCTTTGCCTTCAAGGATGTCTTGTACGAGATGACCGTGGCAGCACGCCGAAAGGCAAAGGCCATCAAAGCATAAACACAAAAATTATTCACTATCGGTATTCGGCCATGCCGGGGGCAGAACGTCTGGAATGTCTCGACAACCATGCATTAGGGCGACGAAACCGTCATTAAACTGCTGAAATGGCACTTTTTCACATAGCATATCATGCTATAGGAGTCGTGGTCTTGTAAAGACTCGTTGAATGAGTTGTAACACAATGCCATCTGCGGAGATGTGGAGGAGGAGCCCAGGAGGATTGACATCTGTGACTTTCAACAGATCCCCCTACTGAAAAAGTGTTCAGGAATAGATGGTAGATGTTCTACCTGTATATAGAATTCACCGCCAACAATTATAACATCAATTTGACCAGATTAACGCTGTCATCAATTCATGTCGTGTCTCCCCACTCATGACGCTTCACCTGAGCTTGGCTTCAGCTTCTCTCCGCCTGCCTGGATGTACACTTCATCTACATATTTATGCAGCAGTCATTGCTAAGCGCCCGAGGCGTCGAAGGGGCAATGAGCCTCATTTCCGGATTCTGGGATCAGGTCGACACTCGTGCCTCTGCGATTCCCCATCAACTTTGTCCTCCGTGTAAAACGTTCTGCTCTACTTCGACGTTACTACAAACCCTGCCCCATGACTATGCGACCTGGGAACAGGAGGGGAAAGATGGCCGACCTCTGACTCTACGACGCAAGGATCAAGAGTCATATCAAATTCACAATTACTCGGGACTCCGTCGGTGCGTCTCGGACGGCCAATGCCACCTGTGTGCCGTCATCTGGGCTGAGCTGCAGTCCGAGGCTGGATATGATCCGCTGAAGGAGCTGTGCCGTCATGAGCACAGGGGAGTGGTGTTGACTGGAGTCCTGAAGGGAGGGGGCAGACAGTTCATCAACCACCGCCTTCTGACATTCCACATTGGAGAGAAGAAGTCGAATACAGCAATGCAGCTCCTCATGTCTGCTGGTACGAGGGTCCGTTTCCTGCAAGAGAAAACGGCTGCTGATACTCTGGGGAAGAGCCACACACCGCACCCATCCGACAGCAACTCGATGCGCAGTTGGCGTTCTCTACCGATTCGGATGCCACCTTATCTCTTGCGGATAAATGGCTTCGCGATTGTATTGCGCAGGATACGGCGTGCGCGAGTGAGAGACAAAGTGCCGTATGGGATAGAACGTTGCCTGCCAGACTCATCTGCGTCGAAAGCGATGGTTCTAGCCTGCGGTCGGCTCGTGTCGTGGATACGAACCTTTTGCCTTCAGATACCCCTTACCTGACGCTCAGCCACTCGTGGGGAGATGGTAAGTTTCTGAAACTACTTTCGACGAACACGACACAGCTGTATTGTGACATTTCGGTGGACGAGTTGAGCAGGACCCACAGAGATGCTCTGTCAATTACACGCAGATTGGGGTACCGATATATCTGGATTGATTCGCTCTGCATCATTCAAGACTCCGAGGATGACTGGAGATCACAGTCAGCCCAAATGGCTTCAATTTACGGTAACTCGACATGTAATATTGCAGCAGAGAATGCTCCTGGGTCTGGTGGATGTTTTGTCCGCCGTAATCCCCTAATGCAGCGACCCTGTCAATTGACTCACAGCAACGATCTGGACCGGGGAGAAGGAGTCTACGCTCACCGCTACCACACAGCAAACTGGTCGGCATTTCCACTGTATTACTATTCTCCTTTATCCCTCCTGACTAGAGCATGGGTCCAGCAAGAACGCATCCTATCCCCTCGAGTTCTGTACTTTGGTGGTCCCGAAATCCATTGGGAGTGCTGCTCATTCCAGGCTTCCGAGGCGTGGCCGAATGGATCGCCCAACGAAGACCATGGCTTTGACGAAGTCTATCCGCTCAAAGCTGCCTTTGAATCCTACATCACCCCCTTTACGAATTGGGACCGAGACGATCATAACAGGTTCGTTTACGAGCTGTGGCACAACGGAGTGCTTCGGGAGTATACCGCGGCTGACCTGACCTTTGAGAAGGACCGACTGGTGGCCCTCGCCGGCATTGTGGGGGTCATTCAGCGGCGTACAGGCATGACTTATGTAGCCGGGCTGTGGAAGGAACTCCTTCCCATGGATCTCATGTGGCGTAAAATGGACGCCCCGATGCCGGGAGACAAACATCTCGAGCCTATACCATGGAAAGCGCCAACCTGGTCTTGGGCGTCGGTCAAGGGCCGGAAAAGGTGCGATCTCTTTGCGCTACAGAAGGCGGAGAATGACAATATACTCTATTGCTCTCGCATCCTGGAATGTGCGACAGAGACATTGGACGCGGTACAACCTATGCTGGGCGAGGTTTTTGGCGGGACCATCACCCTGACTGGCTTCCTTGCACCTCTGATCCGCCCCGATACATCAGGAACAACAGAAGCAGAGGGATCGGGACACTCCAAAAAGACCAAGGACGTCGGACTTGACATTGATGTATCGTCGTCAACGGAGCTGTTCTACTTCTGTCTCATGAAGACCCGGGACAACGAGACGACGCATACGAACAAAGGACTCGTTCTAGCGAAGGCAGAGGCAGAGAAGGACAGAGAAGCAGACAGCGCCAAGTATGCAGGCAGCTACATCCGAGTTGGCGTGTTTGTGAGCTCATACACTGTCGACGCGGGCAGCATTTTTGACGGCGTCGAGGAAGCGTCGGTCACTATATGCTGATGGATTATTTTTTGTGGCATTCTTTCATGATCACGGAGGCAATTAATTGTTCCATGGGTGGCATTCCCACACCGATGGTTCGTCATCGAACCAGGTATAAACGTTTGACAAAGGCTGTCTGTTTCGCCAGGGGGCCTAGTGCCTTTCTTTCCCGTGGTTAATGTTTCAGTTATCTACCTGCTCCCTCCCAGCACTTAAACCATATCGGGGCTTTGAAGGTACAACTATTAATTCGAAAGCAGCCACACTGTTTGAAAGACAACCGTCGATTCAACAAGTCTCGCGAAATGGTCCCAAGCACTCCAACCAGACACACACACACCAACACACACAAAGGCGGAATTTCGGGAAACGACTACATGTTCGCATCTGTAGGTCGAGATATACCTCCCCCATTCAACACTCCTCGCTCGAAACTTCTGCAGTTTGGTCGCCTCGTAGCCGCCCTTACATTCCGTCGCACCTCGACCAATTGGACGAAAATGCTTACACTACTTTACCGGTTCCAGCTTGGTAGACAGGGAAATTCGTCCGTGACGAAAGGGGCCCAGATTCGGCCGAAGCGGATTGCGATGCTTTCCTGCGCGGACTGTCTCAGAAGTGGCACTACTTATATACTATAGATCCATTTCAGATGGACAGTCTCGTCCCAGAGGTAATAGAGCTTGTTTCTACAGCCCCTGCAGCACACAGCAGTGATCATGTCCAAGCCAATCCGCGTGGGCCTCATCGGGCTCAGCTCAAACCCAAATATCCAGCTGGCTGGGGCGTGGGCCAAGAACGCCCACCTACCGTACTTGCTCAAGACTCCGGACTACACCATCACGGCTCTGTGCAATTCGTCGGTCGAATCGGCCGCGAAAGCAATTGCGCTGTACGGCCTGGATGCCAGTAAGGTCCGCGCGTACGGCGACCCGGATTCCCTCGCGCAAGACGACAACGTCGACATGGTCGTCTGCTCGGTCAACGTCGCGCAGCACTACCGCCTCGTTAAGCCGGCCTTGCTCGCTGGGAAGATGGCCTTCTGCGAGTGGCCGCTGGCCGGGACATTGGAGCAGATGGAAGAGCTGGCCGCACTGGCCGAGCAGAAGAACGTCAGGACCATCGTGGGGCTACAGGGCCGCAATGGCGTCTTCACCCACGCCATGAAGAAGTTCATTGGCAACGGGCCCAGCCAGTTGGGCGACGTTCTCAGCACGTCCATGGTGGGATACTCGTTCTTTTGGGGCATGGCGGCTCCCCAGGACGTCGCTTACCTCATAGATATCAAGAGTGGAGGGAATATGCTCACCATTAGGGCCATCCACAGTGAGTTGTCCTTTCTGGCCGTACACCGTATATATCTGTGTGCAAGAGTTCGAAAGTATCTCTCGCAGCTAATGTCTTTGCCTCCCCGATTCAGTCCTTGACACCTTGACCGCCACCTTGGGCGAGATCGAGTCGCAGCACACCCTGCTCAAGAACAAACGGCCCACGGTCGCGCTGATCGACAACACCTTCAACGTGATCGACCCGGCGTATCCGAACACGACACCGGACCACGTTTTCATCCACGGCGTGCTGGCGGGTGACATCCCGTTCGATTTCCAGGTACGCGGCGGCGTGCAGTTCAAGGACACGCCGGCGTTCGACTGGCGCATCTACTGCACGCGGGGCGAGATCCGGATGGTCGGCAACGAGATGCTCTGGACCAGCGGCGACATCACCGTGCAGGCGTACGACTTCGTGACCAAGCAGGTCGAGGATGTGGACCTGGGCCAGCTGCTGCGGTGCGAGGAGGACTTGAAGGGCGACGTCGCCCTCCAACTGGGCCTCGAGGCGCCAGCGGAAAATGTGGCCCGCCTATACGACGCATTTTCCCAGGGTCAGACGCACAAGTATCTCGACTTCAAGCAGAGTCTCAAGTGGGCGAGGCTCATTCAGGAGGCGTACACTGCCAACGGCTTCTGAAGAAGAAAATAGGACAAGGTGTGCGGTGTTTCTCTCAAATAGAAAAAGAGCTTTGCTGGGTTCAGGACATGGGGAGGGTCAGATTTTCGAGAGAAGGAAAAAGCCCATAGAGGCATCGTCGGGACTGCAAAACTAAAACCCTTGGTTCTGCTACGGCCTGGCCGAAGAAGGCCTCTCTCATATTCTCGTCCGATACGCAGCAGAAGTCGTAGAAGCGGCGCCGCGCCTGTTCGCGGATGTTGTTTCAAGGAATGAGAGGCATGGCAGGCGTAGGGAGGAGGAGGAAGCCGCATTGGCCACGTTCGAGCTTCTCTGGACAACTCCTAGATTGAAGTGGGCTTTTCTCCCCTCCTCAGCCATATCTCCCTTTCTATCCTAACTCCCCGTCAAACTCCCGATTGGCGGTAGCCTCCGAGAACCGGCTGCTCCTACACAACGGTGGGTCTTGAGCGTCTTCATATTGCTATAATCCGTACAGCAAGAACGCATCAATGAGTCCGAGGAATAAAACGGTCCAGCTGGCCAGAGAACCGCCGAGACTGCGATCGGAGCAAGAACATCAACGATACCATATTTTATCCATGTGCAGGGCTCAATGCCGCATGAACCAGTCCACGTCGGCGTCCAGCATGAACTCGCTGAGGTCGATCTCCAAGGGCTGCTCTTTCTGCCCAACCGCCGCCTGCTGCGAAGACCGCGTCGCGAACAGGTCTTGGTGATTACCGCCGCCGCCGCCGGCCCGGGCGGATGCGTCCGAATAATTCACTCCGGGGAGAATAGAATTTGGGTCGAGTTTGCCCGGTGCTGGAAGTGAGATTCATACACATTAGTATCTTTCTTCACTGTCTGGGAGGTAGGGAGGTAGGTGGCTCGTGCTTCGTGAGTAAGCGAAGAGCAGAGAAACTCACATTCGGTGATGACAGCAAAGGCCAGCTGCGACAGGTAGGCGATGATGCGCTGCACCACGCGGTTGCCGCGGTCAAGGTTCTCCAACGCTTCAATGGCCATGTTGAGGTAGATGGCCGAGCTCTCGACGAACTTCCACCGCGAGGGGACAGCGCCGCCATCACTACCACCGCCACTGCCGCCTTCAGCGCCGGCGGGTTTGGTCGGAGACACAAGCAGCGCCGCGATGATGACGAGGCTGGCGTTGAATGCTTTTTTTGGCCATGCGTGAGTCAGTCAAACAGCATCACCGATACAGACTCCTAAAGGTAAAGGGTGAACTTACTGTAAAACAAGGAATAGTTCCACGCTCCCAGAAGATCCCGGCGCCATCCGCTGGAGAGGACCACAGTGTGGACAATCGAGATGATGATCATGGCCGAGTCGAAGCAGTTTTCGACGCTGCTGATGCAGACTTGGTGCATCATGTTCGTCTCGGCATCGTTGTTGTCGTTGCGCCCCGCTCCTCCGTATGCGTCGAGGAATCTCTCCAGAATCGGACGGTGAAGCAGAATGTGCAGGTTGTGGAAGCGCAGCGAGAGCACCAGGTTGAACCGCTCTGTGATTTTGTCCTTGGCCTCCAGCTTGTCCAGGTCTTGCGCGCACAGCGGCGTGTGGCACACGCGTAGGTTCAGCGACGGGAGGATCTGGTTCTTCCACTCGTCTAGCTGGGTCTCGCCCTTGAGCGTGAGGGAGATGATCTCGGCCACGGGGAGGTATTCTTCGAGGCCGAGGTTTTGGCCATAGCAGGTGTCGATGATTTGGTACATGACGTTGTAGAGGGCTCTATGTCAAAGATACTTAATTATGCTGCTCGTCTTAGATTTTGTCTTTCGGATACTTACATTGTCGCTCGAAAGTACATGGCGTCCATCCACTGCCCCGTATCTGCGCTGGGGGTTTGGCCCAGGACTTGTATGTCGGCGGTGGGCAGTTCGAGCTTGACGTACTTTCCGGGGATCATGCAAGCTCGGCCATAGGTCATGCTCAGCGTGCTTGGACGGGCTGTTAATTTTGAAGTGGAAGTGTTCTGAGAGTCATTGGCACCACTTACCGGTCCAGGAGAACGCAGCCAAACCAGACGCGCTTTCGAATCTCGCACTCTAACGGGGGAAAGTCCCGATTTGTTCTCGGTGAATGAAGCCCTAGTTGAAATGCGGCCGTGACGGCTAACCCGTGGACGGTCCAGGCACGGACAGACTTCTGTGTCCCTTGCAGATACTGGCCCACAATGAGCAGATATTGCACTGGATAACCATGTTGTTAGTGCGCCATGTCACAACTGATAGATAGAGGGGACTGGGAGCACTGCACCGAGTTCCAGACTGATGTTCGTCCGTGATTCCCTCTCGCACAGCCCGTTCGCTCTTTGATAGTACACGTCGGACTCAGCAATCCTCTCTTCGGAGGACGTGTAGCCGTCCACGGTCAAGGTGGTGGCCATGGCGAGAATCATATTCAGCAAGCCGAGCCACGTCCGCCGCGCCATGGTGAAGTTCGTGCGCTTGAGCTGAAAGTACGTCTCGCAGAAGGACTCCTCGTGGATGAACGGCAGCAGCTGCCCGGTCTTCTGGAAGTACTCCTTGATTAGCCGCCAGGTGTGCGCGTCGGGCGGCAACGCGTAGATGTTGACGCTTCTCCGTGAGCGGTTCAGGGTGCTCTCGTTGATCTCCCCGTGCACGTAGTGCGGCCGGGTGACGCGCATCCACTCCGCCGCGGTGGTGGGAGAGTTGTTCGCCCCGGCCTCGCCCTGCCAGCTGGCCTTGGCGAGCGCCAATGAGATGTGGCGGAGAAAAGCAACATTGGACGAAGGGCCTGGAGGGGGCACGTCAGTGGACAAGCAGGACCCACACTCTCGGAGAGCGAGGTAGATCCTGGGGGTCATGCCATACCGAAGTAACCACAATCTTCTTCGTCGGTGAACTGGATGGCTCCCATGCCGTCGATGGCGTCTTCACTGGTATCAATTTCGCCCAGCTCGGCGTTGGCCGGATATTGGGTTGATGGCTCCGGAGGCACTGTCGAGTCCGGTACCAAAGAAGGGAGAGCGCCGTTGGCAAACGGAGTGTCGGTCTGGGTCGCCGACTGGTTCTGCTGCAGTGCCTTCATGGTACTTTCGATCTCTTCCAGCCTTTGTTCGAGCCGGGACAAGTAACTAGGTGGAAGAGCAACAGTCAGCGATGCGGAGCTGCTCAGGCTTTCTTCAAGCGTACCTTCTTCCCACGGTCAGGCTTGTTGTTGTCCCGGCCTGTTCGTACGAGCACTCACATCCCATCTCGCTGCAGAGGGAGCATTTTGGTCGACCACCATCACACTAGACAACATCAGCGTGTCTGTGATGTGAGACGACAGCCCACGTCGAGTGTGGCGGCTCACGCGCGACTTCCTGTGTCTGCAGTTGCTACATGCCAGTGCAATCCTGCGTCGTTTGTTCGCCCGAGTAACAGATCCCCGTGGTGGGTTACGCTGAGCAGGCGTCGACCTCTCCCCAGAAGGGGGACTCCATTCCTGTTCGGCCTCGTCTGTTTGAAATGCCATGTCACGCTTCTAGGTGGAGCGCCTTAAATTGGAGTGTACAATCGAGATTCGGTATTGACTATAATGAAGGTCGACGGGAGCTCGCTCGACGGGAAGGTCGGGGAGGAACCGGATATTTAACTTGCGGAGTTCTGTCAGGTCTGCGGAGAAAAATCGGTGCTGACTCCGGGGGGATGTGGGGATATTTTACCCGCTTATCCGTACTAGCCGTAAACGGGACTATACCCAGCCTTGTCTATTCATCCGGTCTCAAAGTCTCAACGAAATCGTACACAAGGTTGTCAGGGAGAAGTGTCATAGATTGGCTTACTTGTTAGACTCCACACCCACTGCGAATTCTAGGCTTTTACAAGGATGCTCTTGGAGCCTCACCAGCCTTGCCCCATTTACTGATAAAGCCCACCAGTTCCCGAGCGACCTCTTCCTTGTGTGTCCAGCTCAGAAAATGAACTCCTCCGGAAAACTTGACCAATCTGGCTTCTGCTGCATTGGTGAATAGCTTGATCTCTTCCTCCGCGTTCTTGATGCTGAACACCACATCCTCCGTGCCCTGCATCTGGTTAGCACAAAGCAGCTCAGGCTGGGGTACAATCACATACATGTAACCACAGGACGGGACAGCGGACATAGGGCAGCCGCTCGTGCAATCCGTCTCGGCCGGCAAGGTTAACTGCGGCCTGACAGATCCTTCTCTTGCCAGTGTCTCCGCTGTAGTTGTGCTTGATGGCCTCGGACCAAAAGTCCTTGGTCTTTTGGTCGACCGTCTTGCCGAACCCAATGTCCATCAGGAAGTCGCAATATCCGCTCCCGGGTTCGAAGTCGTGGGCGGGAGCGAGATGGCCAGCCAATGTCACAAGACCTGACGTCGCTCCGGGGCCGTCCCAGCAGCCCAGTTCACGGCTTCGGGGCGACTCAGAGTCCATGGATGATCCGATCGCGATGATGCCTTGAATCTTGACACGAGTGTCAGTCATGATAGCTTCGTGAGCCATTCAGAAGAGGTTCCATACCCTCTCTGGTGCCAGCAGTGCCATTCTTGCGGCGATCCACCCGCCCTGAGATGTCCCCGCGGCAAATACTTGCTCAACGCCGAGTTGGTCCAGGGCTTGGAGAGTTATGATGGCAGTATCCCAGTAGGTCCAGGTTTCTGCCTTCTTGGGGAAAGTGTGCCCATGCCCCAGGGGTTCGATGGCGATGAGGTTAGCTGCCTGAAGGAGAGCTTCATTCTCAAACTCAGGTAGATAATAGTCGGCAGTGACGGTGAATGGATTGAACAAGACAAGAGTAGGCTTCGAACGGTCCAAGATTTCCTGCGAAGGACGATAGCCCACCTGGACCCCGCCCAGATGGGACACGCGGAGGGTCTTCCTGGGTAGAACCATGGTTGTAAATGCTCTAGCTGTAGCAGGTGCAGATGTTTCACGACGGATGCTGCGAAGCTCGGTCTGAGGATGGATTCGTACACAATGTCCAGACAGTCGACTTCTCCACGAAGTAAGTCTCTCCATTAAGTACGTAGCATCAAATCTGGAGTGTAGAGACCCCGCGTAAGTACGGACAGTCTCCGCGGATGGATGGACAGTTATGACGAGGGAGCCGCATATCACTTTCCCTATCTCCCCGATGGCCGAACCTTGGACCGAAAAACATAAACTGGGGATGTGCACGCAGGATAGTATATTAAGGCATAACCAAGAACACTTCAGGTAACATAATACAGCGAATTGCGGTCCATCAAAGAGTTCAATCTAATCGGCACACGAAATATTCTGGCTCACTCTTCAACATTGCGTTTCCCCCTCATCATTGCAAAGCACTAAGATGGTAAGCCGCCGTTGCTCTCGCAGTCAATCAGAAGTTTTGACACGAATAGGCTCATCAAAGCAATATTCACGTCGGTATCGTGGGAGCAGGGATTGGAGGCCTGGCAGCCGCCATTGCCTTGAGACGGGCGGGAGCACAGGTGACTGTCCTTGAAGCTGCAAAGGAGCTCGGCGAGGTATAACTCCTCCCACGTTCAACCGTCTTGAAGACTCCAACTAAGCACGTTGGCTGGTAGATCGGTGCCGGTATTCAGATGACACCTAATGTGTCAGTACTCCTGCAGCGGTGGGGCGTCGACACCGTGATTGGCAAAAATCTGGTCCAGTTTGAGGAATTGAATATGCGCCGAAAGGATGGCACACTCGTTGGCCACACCAAGATTCCGACTCTCGAGCGTACCCTGGGTCGTCCATGGTGGGTTGTGCACCGTGCTCACCTCCACGATGGTCTGGCGACGATTGCCCGCAGCTTGGGAGCCGACATTGTCATTGACGCCCAAGTCACGCGCATTGACTACCAGACCTCAGACACGGTGACGGTGGAGACATACAAGCACCAGACGTACACTTTTGACCTCCTCATCGGCGCAGACGGCATCAACAGTATTACGAGAAAGACTTTGTTCCCGAATGTCCACCCGGAGCCACCGACAACGAACTGCGCGTACCGCGCCATCGTGCCCTACGACAGGATTCGACAGGACCCGATCGCCCGAGAATTGATCCAAAAGAAGACGATGGAAGTGTGGATGGCCGAGAACGCCTACATCATCACCTACCCGATCAACGACGCGAAGCTCTTCAATCTTGTCTTGTCACACCATCGGCCCGAGAAATTGCGTGCCACAGAGAACAACGTCCCGATTGAGGAACTCTGGAACGAGTACAAGGACTTCGATCCTCGTATTCGGCGCATTGTGAACATGATCGATAAGACTGTAAGACTGTATGCGAATTTATGGGATATGCTTCATTGTACTGACTGCGTCTTAGTCTCGATGGCCGCTGCTGGTAACCGGCCCCATGAACTCGTGGTCTTCTCCTCGATCCAACGTCGTGCTCATGGGCGATGCCGCTCACTCCATGGTCAACCACATGGCCCAAGGCGCTGCGACTTCAATGGAAGATGGCGCATTCTTGGCTCGATGTATCGCCAAAGTGGTCGAGGGCAAAATCCGAATAGACCAAGCTGTTCGGATCTACGAGGACGAGCGAAAGCCCAAGGCCTACATGAAGCAGCAAGTATCATTCTTGAACGGGGCCATCTGGCAATTGCCCAACGGCCCAGAGCAGCGCGCTCGAGACGCTGCCATGGCGCCGGAGCTCGAAGGCAAGTACTACGTCCGCAGCAGCAACCTCTACGGCGACCCACAAACGGTCCTCGAAGTCTACGGCTATGACGCCGAGGCTCACGCTGAAACGGCTCTGCACAAGTATCTCAATGAAGGCAGGGAGTACGCCGACCCCGAGACAGGCGTGACGGAAACGCTGCGGCGCAAGTACATGGACTGGTTTGCGGCGCGGCAAGAGTCCCCTTCGGAACAATCTCAGCTTCAGCCTAGACTATGACATTGCATGGCCGGCTCTGTTTGTCAGCGTTAGATGGTCCTTATGTATCTGCGTGGCATAGATTTGTTTGTACTTGGCTTTAGTATTGCCGTGTTATGCAATGGCCCAATTTTATTTCAAAGTTCCTTGAGTCTTCAAACCTGTTGATGGACGCTTAGGCGTCCAATAAGGAAAGACTAAGAGTCAAAACTTTACGTGGGTGTAGTTAACTCTGCTGTACAAACAGCCCTCGACTGAAAAGAGATCTTGACCCGAGAAAGAGCAAGCCACAGAAGGCAGCTAGTTGGAAACAGTCAAAGGGATGCAAGTGAGCCCACGCCGAGTGAGTGAAACACCCAGCGAAGAACTATACCTGAGTCGAGTGCTCTGAGGCCCATAGGCTGCTTTACCGCTACCCGCTGCTCATGTTTCCAGAAGACCACACACCATAATCCACTTTCAATCCCCGAACGTTTCCGTAGTGCAAGAGAACCACCCGTCCGCTCTCGGACAGGCATCGAATTCTACAAATCTAGCTTATAGGAGTGCTCTGCTAAAGAACTGGCTGGTTGGCCTGTAAGGTGGTCGAACTTCCGATCAAGTTCTTCCAAGGTTCAAACGTTCCCGTTGACCGTCGGCAGTGACTAGCATCTCCGGCATTAGCTATCTAAACTTTATCGGTCTGCGGGAAGGTGCATTTGCCAAGTACTTCTGATACGAAGTACCTTTGGAGTTCAACGCTCATTGGCGAATGCTGTGGTGGCTTCTCCCATCTAGTACTGGCGATCAGCGGGTTGAATAGGGAACATCGACTTCGAGGCCCGAAGTCCGGAGACCCCAGACTCCTCCGGTGCAGTTACATGTCTGGGAGACCATGGAGTTAGTTGACTTTGTTTGGGAGGTATTCGAGCTCTTCGGTTTCAACTATATAGCGTGCCACTATCCTCGCAACGCCCAAGGAGAGGATGTCGCTCTACCGACACAAGATATCTCGGGAGCTCATTGCTTCTATTTTCTCGAGAGACATTTTCGAAAAGCACACTGAGAATTCACATGGTGTGAGATATTACTATCATCTCAGACAATCCGCACACCGACAGATCTGGAAAAAAGGAAATGGTCGACATGGCAATTGACAAGCTACAGGCTGTCAGTATGGACTTCGTCGAATATGAATCGAAGGAGCCTCCGCCGCCTGAGGTCGACCAAGCCGCCGAGAAGAAGCTGGTCAGCAAGATCGACCGCGTCATCGTCCCACTGGTGATGGTGACTTATCTCCTGTGCTTCCTCGACCGAACCAACATCGGCAACGCACGACTTTACGGCCTCGAAAAGGATCTGCACCTCCATGGAACACAATACCAAACCGCCGTCGCCTTGCTGTTCGTCACTTACGTCCTGGTTGAGATCCCCAGCAACCTGATGCTCAAGTACTTTACCCCGTCCCGATACATCGCCGTCTTGACCATCGTCTGGGGCATCATCTCTACATTGACCGGCGTCGTGCAGAGTTTTGGTGGTCTCGTTGTCTGTCGCCTTCTCCTCGGCCTGGTCGAAGGTGGCTTGTTCCCCGGCTTGACCATCTACCTGACCATGTTCTACACCAAGACCGAGCTGGCACTACGCATTGGGTACCTGTTTGTGAGCTCTGCCATTGCCGGAGCTTGCGGGGGATTACTTGCCTATGGGATTGGCTATATGGACGGCCTCGCCGGACAATCAGGCTGGCGTTGGGTTTTCATCATCGAAGGTATTGTTTGTGCTAGAATGATTGCATATCAGAATTTTGACAGTCCATAATAGGCATCCCGACCGTACTTTTTGGATTCGCCATCTGGTTCCTCCTCCCAGATAGTCCAGACACTGCATGGTGCCTTGACGAGGGAGAACGGCAGCTCCTCATTGCCAGACTACGACGCCAACCGGGTTTCCACGAGGAGCTCGACCGAAAGGACTCTCTCCTTGCATTCAAGGACTGGAAGACATGGGGGTTTGCGGCCGGCCAGTTCGGCGTCAACGCCATGCTCTACAGCTATTCGATCTTCCTCCCAACCATTATCAAAGGTGCGTGGCTATGTAGCTTTTTGTTATCTGTTCTTCAAGTGACGAATAGAACCCTAGGTCTCGGAAAGTGGTCTCCGACACAGGCCCAAGCCTTGACTGTCCCGGTCTACGTCTGCGGTGCCATCTCCTACCTGCTCGTGGCACGCCTGTCGGACGCCCACCAACTTCGCGGCCCATACCAGATCGCAGCGGCCTCGACGAGCATCGTCGGCTACGGCTTGCTCATCGCCCGAGTCGGGCCTGCGGTCCACTACTTTGCAACCTTTGTGGTGTCCCTGGGCTTGTTCGTCGCCGTCGGCATCCCGCTGGCGTGGCTTCCTTCGAACAACCCCCGGTATGGAAAACGAACCACGGCGTCTGCGATCCAGATCTCCGTGTGCAACTGCTCTGGGATCCTAGCACCATTTGTAAGCCATTTTTTCATCGATGAAATCGGAACGGAGTATCGCTGACACGGTATCACAGCTCTATCCCGCGGAAGACGCACCGTACTACACGATGGGCTTCTCGGTCAACATCGCGTTGCTGGGTTATGGCATTCTCTTCTACGGATTCATGACACTCTACCTCAGTCGCGTCAATAAGCGACGCATGGACGGCAAGGAAGACTACAAGGTCGCGGGAATGAGCGATGCTGAAATCGAGGCGCTTGGTGATAGAAGCCCGAGGTTCATGTACACGATCTAGAGGCCAGTCCGCCTGGTGTTTGGAGTGGAGCATGCAAAGCAGGGGGCCGACGCTGAACATAGTGGTCGATAGCCCGGTGGCAACAGATTCCCAGAGTTTTTTCTCCAGAAGACGGGCTGCAAAATAGGCAGTATAGACGGCCAGATGCCTTTATTGGCAGACGCGGCGAACTTTCCACAATGGCCGATAGTCGGGATGGTATTATAGTTCTAGAATTGGATTTACCAAGGACTTCACCTAGAAGAGTGTATGGACCAGAGAGATCAGCTTTGCATCTCCAAAATCTATAAGGGACATTCAATCGCGTAGTCGCAAAGGCACTGATTATTTAGCGGCAGATTTCACTCTTCTAGAGAGCTCACTCTTCCAGGAGTAACCGACAAGACAACAGACACTCAGAATACCATCAGCAGAGCAAGAAACGAGGGACAGAATATGAAACTCTTTCCGCTTGATCTTGTCAATCAGGGCCAGATGTTTCAGATATATTACACGGGAAAGCATCAACAACGAGTGAAAAGGATTCCATTCAAGGCCATGCATGGCAGTGGACGTTCTGACAGACAGCTCCAAATATTTTCTTTTCAGGCCTGGACAATGACGCTGATATCGACATAGCGACCTGCAAAGTCTACAGTAATATCTAAGAAAAGAGCTTCTTACACCTGATATCTCACAAACGACCTTTTAAAGCGGCTCCATTGCCACCAAAGGCAATCATTTTAATGGACAAATATTCACCAATGCCATACTTACTTCCCTCGCGACCAAACCCGCTTGACTTGACGCCTCCAAAGCTTTTGGAGCAAATTAGCATAACAGACTGTACGACAAAGAGCGGATTCGCTTACGGAGCAGCCGCATCACTTATAACTCCAGTGTTGATGCCGACCATGCCGACTTCCAAAGCCTTCACCACACGCCACACACGATCGACATCCTTGCTGAAGAAATACCCTGCCAGGCCAACCTCGGTGTTATTCGACCGTTGAATGACTTCATCTTCCGTCTTAAAGCGAAAAAGCGCCGCGACCGGTCCAAACGTCTCTTCCGAAGCAAGCAACATGCCATCGTCCATATTTGACAGAACAGTTGGCGAGAAGAAGTTTGGCCCCAGTTGTGGCAGTCGCGATCCTCCAGCTAGTACTTTGGCGCCTTTGGAAAGAGCATCTTTGACGTGATTTTCGACCTTTTGCACCGCAGTCTGGTGGATCAATGGACCGTGAGTGACTCCAGAAGTAGTGAGGCTGTTGCCCACGACGAACTCGCTTCGTACCCTCGCAGCAAGCCTCGCAGCAAAGATATCGTACACAGAGTCGTGAACAAATATTCTGTTAGGGCAGACACACGTTTGGCCTGATGCACGAAACTTGCTAGCAATCGTTCCTGTGATCGCAGCATCAATGTCTGCGTCCTCAAAAACAATGAAAGGGGCATTCCCTCCCAGTTCAAGAGAAATCTTCTTGAGAGTCGTTTCCGCGCATTGTTGCATCAAAATCTTCCCGACGCGAGTGGAGCCCGTGAAAGAGATTTTGCGAATCAGAGGAGAGGATGTCAATGTGTGGCCGACTTCAATTGTATTGGAAAGCGCGGTCACGACGTTGATCAACCCAGGGGGCATGCCTGCACGGTGAGCGAGTTCTACCAAGGCGTTGATAGTCAATGGTGTTTCACCAGGCGATTTGACGACGACGGAGCAGCCAGCTGCCAGAGCTGCTCCGGCTTTTCTAGTGATCATCGCGGCAGGGAAGTTCCAACTACTTCTCGTCGGTATGTGTGAGCAGAAGATACAAGGATAAGGACTTACGGTGTGATCAGGCCGCACACTCCTAGTGGTTCTCTGATAGTAAGCACCTGATTTCCCGCAACAGTGGCTGATATGACATCTCCATAAACTCGTGGTGCCTCGTCGCTGAACCACTCCAAGAAGCTTGCGGCATACTCGACCTCAATTTTCGCGTCAGATAAGGCCTTCCCATTTTCCAGAGTGATAAGAGTAGCTAAGTCGCCTGCATTCTCCGTCATGAGATCGTACCACCTTCGAAGAAGTCGTGACTTGTACCGAGCTGAAGTATTGCGGAATATCTGGAAGGTTGTGCTCGCAGCATCAATTGCTGATTCTGTCTCATCCTTCGACATCTCAGGGCAAACTCCAAGCACCTCATCCGTGGCCGGATCTACCCGAATTGGAGTCAGTCTAGCCACCGAAGATCAACACTGGCATACTTTGTACTTGAAAAGTCCGTTCTGACACAGCCTTCACCCATTCACCATTTATATATGCATTTTCTTTGAAAAGGGAAGGATCTCTCAGCTAGGATAGCTTAGTTAGCCATCAATTCTCGACTCAACGAACCGTTTGCGTCTGACCTTGCTTCTCACAGGATGAGCCATACTGTTTTCACACTGAGGGGCATGCTCTTGGTTAACGCACTGACATAGCATTTTCGTCCAAGGCCTTGTATATAGATCAATAAGATTTATAAACAAAAGTCCGCAGGACATCAAGTTTGTACAAGTCTATACAGCCTCGGGGAGATAGGGAGCCCGGTTCGGGTCAAAGTTACCGAAGTCCGAAGCCAGGCGGCTTGTCGCAATTCTGACTGGGACAGTCGGAAGTAGGCAGCACTTCTGCATACTCATTTCTGACTCTGTCAATGGGCATATGGATCTCTGCGGGTTGTTGTCGCTGCCCCATAAAGTTCTGCAGCAAGGAATCCATATTGAGGTACAAATTTGTTATCCTGAGGAGTGCTATAAAGTGTAGCTCGGGGACGTTTTGTGTATTTGTGTAAACCTGTCATGACCTTTTGCAAGGAGAGGAGTTGATGGAGATGACGTTGAGCATATACCTGGGCAGGAAGGCGCTGGTGGCGACAACGACAGCACTTGCTCAATAGCACACAGTAGCACATGATATGGATTTACCATCAAAATGTTTTCCTCCAAACATACTTTTTCACCACGATCGTCTCCCGAACGCTATTACATAATTACCAAGATGCACGCCCTTTTACACATCAATTTTATATCCATTGTCTAGAGTTCTTCATTCTTTTGATGTTTGCGCAGAGAACAAGCTCAAAGCGCAGACAGACTTGACAACGATGCGCTCCGGTACTAGCACCTCCCAGACAGAGTTGGGAGAATATGCCGGAAGCCGACATGCCGATACAACTGAGGCGCATGAGACAACCTCTCTCCCTCCAGTCGATCGCGGACGAGCGGCATGGCTCTTCCTTTCAGGCAGCTTCTGCATTGAGATGCTTCTCTGGGGTAAATGACTGCAAGGGCTCTTCTGGCTGAGGGCCGGGTGTCTGACTCTGCTTTGACAGGCTTTCCATTCTCTTTCGGTGTGCTCCAGGATTATTATTCGACGCATCCTCCCGTATCACAGAATTCGACAGGCATTTCGGCCATTGGGACAACATGTTCAGTATGTCGTCAACTCCATCTGCTGGATAAAAACACAGTGAGCCTAACTCAAATCTTTAGGGAATCATGTACTTGGGTGCGCCAATAGTCTTCCTCGCCTTCCAAAGATGGCCGATGTTCCTGCGTCGGAGTTTGTTCATTGGTCTGCCCATTGTCGTACTGGCGGTCTTGCTCTCGAGTTTTGCTACCAAGTCATGGCACCTCATTCTTACCCAGGGAATTCTGTACGCCATTGGCGGCAATCTCGTCTATTATCCCATTTACAGTTTCATCGACGAGTGGTTCGTACGCCGCAAAGGGTTCGCCTATGGAGTCATGTGGGCTGGCTCTGGATGCGGAGGGCTGGCAGGTCCTTTAGTGCTTCAATGGGGCCTTAGCAAATACGGTGTTGAGACCTTCTTGAGGGGGTGGGCCATCGCTCTGGTACGCTTTCGATTCTTCTGGTTCTCCGCCCTTCTTCTAAGCCAGTTCGTGGTATTTCGCAGTTCATCTTGATCGCCCCGTTTCTGTTCTTTGTCAAACCTCGAATTCCCCCTTCCAGAGCTCACCGGGCGCCGGCACGAGCTATCGTTGCCGGGTTTGGATTTGTGAAGACGAGGCAATTCTGGATCATTGAGATCTGCAACATCATCCAAGGGTTGGGATATTTCGTGCCCCAGCTTTACCTTCCTAGTAAGCATTCCGCTGACAAACAAAAACATGAACTGACCAGTGGACAACAGCTTATGCACGCATCAACGGACTCCATTCGGGCTCCCTCCTCGTATCATTGCTCAACGTCGCACAAGTCCCTGGCGTCATGTGTCTCTCGACTCTATCAGACAAAGTCCCTGTATACACGGTCATCCTGATCTCCTCGCTGGGCTCCACCTTGGCCATCTTCCTCCTTTGGGGCCTTGCATCGTCCTCCACGGCCCTTTTGATTGCATTTACGTTGTGCTATGGGTTCTTTGCGGGAGGCTTCACGGCTGTCTATGCTGGCGCCGCCCAGGAGTTCCGTCGTGTCACTCCTGGCGGCGACACCGGTAGAGCGGACTTGGGGAGCATGATGGGCCTCCTCGGCGGTGGTAGAGGGATCGGGAACGTGGCGTGTGGTCCTGTCAGTGAAGCACTGTTGCATGGCAGCGTTGCGGGGTGGAAAGGTGCAGCAGGTGCCTACTCGGGCAGCTTTGGGCCTCTCATTGTCTTCGCGGGGACGACAGCAGCGTTGACCATGTCGAGTTGGCTTGCCAAGGTCTTGAAGATTGTTTAAGGACCGGTACAAGATCAGGGCTGAAGCCTGTGTTTAATATTGTTTACTCTCCACAAAACGGGACCCCTTGGGCATGGGATTTCCAAATTTGGGTAGAAGATCAGAATAGGAAACCGTTCTCAACGTTGAATGGGCAAAGGTCCATTTGTGTCGCTCTTCCGATTGGTCCGGGCCCGACGTCAATCAACTCAACCACCTCCTCATTGGCCGGGGCCCTCTTGGCACATGCCTCAGCCCCTTTCAGCTCTGCAAACTAGCTATGCTCAGCCCTAATCCTAGGCTAACGTTGCTCTCCGGCGTGTCTAAAACGCATTGGGGCGTCGGCATCAGCCTTGACGAGGCTGCCTGAGGAGAATCAAAAACTAAACAAGCGCCATGACACATTGTTATTGTTTTTGCTCCTGAGTTTCACGCAGCTGGGGGCCCGTTCCCGCATCACTCGATGTCCAATCCATCGATAATGAGGGGCGATGAAGCTGGCGGCCCGGCCGGGCTTCATCAACAGTTGCCAGATCTGTGAATCGTGACGTTCATGTGGAGTCGAGGCTGCTTGTGCAATACTTCATTAGACCCATCATTGTTGGTGAAGATTTCGAGTCAATCGAAGTTCTAGGCCAATGGGTTACGGGTGAGCGGCCTTTTATATGGCCAAAACTCCCTCGTCTCGCTGCCCAGCTGTGTTGGACAATTATCGCGGACTGTATCAGATTCAAGATGGATATTCAAAGAAGGAGCTATTGATCCTGTGATATCCTGGAGATGTCTCCCCTCCTTCCCAGACCGAGCTGCATAGTCTCCGGGAAAGCAGTGATGACCATGCTTGGTCGATGTCGGCAATCCGCGCGGACGCGATATTCCACAGCCCAAACCGATTCGAGTTGGGCTGCGTATGGGACTTTGCTTGCTGCGCTCCTCTCTGAGGGTGTACTCTTTGGTCCGTTCAATTCGGTTTACTACAACTACCACCACTGCTGCTTGGTTCAATGTACTGATGAGCAAAGGCAGGCGTCTGTCTGTCCTTCGGCGTGTTCCAGGACTACTACAGCAATCGTGCCTCCCTTCCGCACAGCGACGTCTCATCCTGGATCGGCGTCCTCGCAACAGGCATTGCCTACCTGGGCGCCCCGGCCGTCACATACTGCTGCCAAAGCTTCACCATCCCCTGCCACTACTATATCTACCCAGGATGGATGCTGTGCCTGGTGGGGCTGCTAAGCAGTGCCTTTTGCCAGGACGTCAGAATACTGATCCTCACGCAAGGACTGCTTTTCGGCGTAGGCCTGCTCGTCGTCGAAATGCCCACTCTCATCATCCTCAATACGTGGTTCGTCGAGCGACGCGGGCTTGCGTACGGCCTGCTCTACGGGTTCACCGACCTGTTCGGCGTGGCGTGGGGGTTTCTGGCCAGCTCACTCCTGAACCACCACGGCGTCAAAACAGCATTTCTCGTTTTTGCGGCAATCTGTTTGTTCATTCCTGGTGTTGGCATCTTTTTCCTTCGTGAGAGGTCTTCCTCTGCCACAGCAGTAGCAGCAGACTCATGCTCCGAGACGGCATCGGTCAAGGAGTTGACACCGACGGATATGGATCATGAGATCTCGACAGCCAACTCCCTGCCTTCAAGCCGCTACTTTCGCCATGCCAGCTTCTACGTTTTTCTGCTCTCAAACCTGTTGCAGTCATTCGCTTTCTATCTGCCCTTCATCTACCTCCCCTCTTACGCCACCGCGCTGGGGTACTCGGCATCGACGGGCGCCATCGTGCTCGCTCTCGCCAACGTCGCCCAGGTGTTTGGGGAGATCGGCTTCGGCCGGCTCTCGGACAAAGTCGATGTCCACAGCCTGGTGTTCTGCTCGGCCGCGGTGGCGTCTCTCGCGGCGTTCCTGGTCTGGGGCTTCGCCGATTCGCTGGCGTATCTGATCGCCTTCGCGCTGCTGTTTGGCGGCTCCGCGAGTGGGTTCCTCACGCTGTGGCCGCGCATGGGCACCATGTTCGCCGAGCACGACGCCAGCATGATCTACAGCTTCCTGTCGCTGGGGAGGGGTATCGGCGTCATTTGTTCGGGTCCGATCAGCTCGGCGATGCTATGGGCTCACAGGGTTGTTGGGACCCACGGCGAGGACAGGGACGGGATAAGGCATCATTATCAAGGCATCGTGCTCTTCGTGGGCTCTTGCATGGCCGCCAGTGCGGCCTTGGGCGTTGTCGGGTGGATCTCGTCGTATCTAAAAAGAAAACACGCCTCGCAGGCACTGGATGGAGCTGTATAATTAACTCAGCATGATGTAAAAACAAAAACAAACAGGACGCATTCTTGTATTGACGACCGCCGTTGGCAAGGTCTATTCTTTGGTTAACCCCACCACCCCTGTCGCTGGCTGGTGGTCTCTCACCTGATTCACGACAGTCTATACCCCAGCACCTCCGCCCTCTCGGCCTCGCTCAGCTTCTCCACCCCGAGCGGCGGCAAGATGGGTTGCGATCCCTGAACGAAGTCAAAGTGACCCAGGCGCTTGGTGAGGGCGATGTCCTCGGGCCCACGAATGGCAGCCTTGGGGTTGTTCCCGTTGATAAAGTTCATGGGAAATCCCACGTCGAAGGGGTAGGCGGACTCGATCTCGTCAATTTCGGCGGGCGTGAGGCGGATGGTCAGAGCCTCGATGTTCTGGCGCAGGTGTGACAGCTTGCGTCCGCCCACGATGGGCGTCACGTACGGTGACTTGTGCATCACGTATGCGAGCGCGATCGACGTCAGCGGCACCGCGGGTTTGCGCGCGTTGGCCACTTTCTCCAGCACGCGCGACACCTGGGCTTCTTTGCCCGTCGTGACAGCCGCCATGTTGCGACCACCACCGCCGCCTCCTTGTTGTTCCGTTGTTGGTTGCGAGGAGGAGGGTTTGAAGTAGCCACCCCCCAAGGCGCCCCAGGGCGCGAGTCCCATCCCCTCGTCCCGGCACATGGGGATGATATCCCGCTCAAAGTCTCGTTGCGCTGCGGACCATCGCCCCTGGTAGACACTGAAGGGCCGCAGGCCATGGTGTCGGGCATACGCGTTGGCTTTCGCGACGATCCACGCCGGAGTGTCGCTGATGCCCAGGTACAGCACCTTGCCACTCTGCACCAGCTGGTTCAGCGACTGCATCATCTCCTCCACGCCGGTCGTGAAGTCCCAGTAGTGGACGTACAGCAGGTCGATGTAGGTCGTGCGGAGCTTTTTGAGGGATGCTTCGACGCTCAGCACGAGCGACTTGGTGCTGTTCGCCCCGAAGTTGGACTGTTGCAGGTGAGGCTCCGAGAAGACCTTGTACGCTGATGAGTACTTGGTCGCGAGGACCATCTCGTCCCGTCGGTAGGGGCCGTGCAGGGCCAGCCACTCGCCGATCCACATCTCGGACTGTTCGGCTTGGTAGTTGTTTGCCCTGCAGAACAGCTCCGTCAGCATATTGTTGCCGGGAGGAGGGTAAAATGAGTCCGAGGCAGGTTTCACTGCAGAGTGGACAGAGAAAGGGTGCAACAGGGCAGGCGAAATGAATCTCAACCACTCTACACCTATTCATATATCGGGTGATTTTGAACGCTCGAGCAGACTCACGTGTCGATAAAATTCCCGCCCATCTCGTAGAAATAGTCCAGGATCTCAAACGCCGTTTCCTTGCTACATTCGCCCATGATGCTGGACCATGCATCCCCGAAATTCATCCCGCCCAGACACAGCGGACTCACATGGACGCCGGCGGTGGGAGCGAGGAGCCGGTGACGTCCCAGGACAGACCGGGGCAGGGGGGCGGAGGGGGTCGTCATTTTGACTTCGCCGGGGTTGAACAACTTATGGTAGTGGTAAGGGGGTGTTGGTGTCGAGTGCGTCAGGAAGGGGGAGAGACACTTGTGAATTCGTTGTTTTTGATGTGACTTTTGGCCTCAGAAGAAAATGTAGTGTAGTGGGAATATATGTGAGAAACACAAGGGGTGGATTTCTCGCCTTTATATAACCCTTGGCCTACCTGCCTTCCCACCAGAAACCCCGTTCCGTATACGCATACGCATACGCATAGACGGCGCGGAATCAAAGATCCAATAATCCCCGGGTTCACATCCTCAATTTCCATCACTAGCAACAGATAATACAGGGAGAGCCAAAGGCCCCAGCGAGGTGCCATACATTGCTGGCTGGTCGGTGATAAGTTTCCAATCACCGCAATTTCTAGATGCAGCACAAATGTCGCAGATAACTTGGCTGTGGGGGAGCGGGCCGGGGACTCCAGCCATATCTTCGCAGCACGGTAAATCCCATCTCGTACGATCCATTTGTACCCTAGCGGAATGATCCGATCAAAGGGAAGAGGCTTCAAGTTGCAGAAAACCATCTGTCAGGTAACAGAGTTAGTTCGGAGATAAGGGGTCCTCAGCCTTGTCGGTCTTGGTGAGATCGGCTTTGGAGCATAAGCTGTCACGGCAAATGAGATACAGTATTATGTGAGGTGAGAGGCGTTTGTTCGAGCAGGTCTCGGTAGTTTGTTTCACCAGTTGAATTCTTCGTTTGCCAAGTGTGTGTCCCATAGTAAGTCACAAATATCGTCGACGATATTCTCAGTGGCATGTTGAAACTCGCACTGGGCAGGCAGTAAAGCAATTCTCCCTGCAGTGTCAATGTGATTACAATGCCTCCTCTGGGAATCAATAAATGCAAGCAGATCTCCAAGATATACTCTCCCCCAGGTCAGCCTTCGTTGAGATCAAGGCGAGGACTCTGACTGCTTGATCTCGGAAAGGAACAACATTTTCCCCTCCTCCCTTCTTCCTTTACCCCATCATCACATCGTCCCCGCATTAATCGAACGACGGCTCGGCTATCCCAGACGAGTACTCAGCCGAAAGGCAATCGATAGTATAAAAAAGGGCGTGAAGAAGCATCATCACAATATTTGTCAGCGTGCGGAGGGGAGTAGGACACATTCACAGTATATAAAGATTCTTCTTCTACGAGAACGGCTTGAGATTCATCCTCAAGGAAGCTAGCTAGCTAGCTTGCTTGCTTGGTTGTCTACAGAGACTGGACTGAACAGCAAGCAAACTTCCACCACTCCACACTCCACACCATGTCTTCGGCCGTCCAGCAGGTTTTCTCATGCGGCATCTACCACGCCCTGCCCACGTTTCCCCCCGATGTCAAAGACCTCACGGCCATCGTGACCGGCGCGAACGGCATCTCGGGATACTACATGCTGCGGGTGCTCTCGCAGGCGCCCGAGCGATGGAAGCGCATCATCTGCCTGAGCCGGCGTCCACCCCTGGTCCCGGGCGGCCTGCCGAAAAACGCAGAGCACATCGCGGTGGATTTCCTGAAGAAGCCCGACGAGATCGCGGCCGTGCTCAAATCCCACCATGTCGACCGCGTGGACCACGTCTTCTTCTTCTCGTACATCCAAGTCGAGCCCAAGCCGGGCCAGGGCCTCTGGAGCGACGCTGAGGAGATGGCCCGCGTCAACACGCTGCTGCTGGAGAACTTCCTCGGTGCCCTTGTCCACGCTCAGCTCAAGCCGAAGCGCTTCATGCTCCAGACGGGCGCGAAAAATTACGGCGTCCACCTGGGCCCGACCAAGCTGCCGCAGGAAGAGTCCGACCCACGAGTCGAGCTGGAGCCCAATTTTTACTATCCCCAGGAAGATGCCCTGTTCAAGTACTGCCGCGAACAAGGAGTCGGGTGGAACATCCTGATGCCGGGACCCATTCTGGGTGCCGTCCCGGATGCGGCCATGAACGCTGCCTTCCCTCTGGCCGTCTATGCCAGCGTCTGTCGCCACATGAATGCTCCGCTGGAGTTTCCAGCGGACACGGTGTCGTGGCAGGCGTATTGCAGCATGTCGAGTTCAATGATGAATGCGTATATGGAGGAATGGGCGGTCTTGACCCCAGCGGCGGAGAACCAAAAGTTCAATGCTTGCGACAACAGTGCCTTCACGTGGGAGTCGGTCTGGCCCAGGATTGCCGGCTGGTATGGGATCAAATGGACCGGGCCCGACGAGAAGGCAGAGTACATAGCGCGGGAAACACGTTTCAACCCCCGAGGATATGGTGGGAAAGGCGTGTCCCGGCGCAGATTCACCTTTGCCGAGTGGGCAAAGAGGAAAGACGTGACACAAGCGTGGAAGGAAATTGCAGAGCAATATCAGTTGCCCCAGAAGGAACTGAAGGATGTGGATCGCGTGTTCGGCTTTCTCGACGGTACCGTCTGTCGGGCAGCGCCCCTGGTATTCTCGTAAGTGACCCCGAGTGATCTCTCAGGTGCGGGCGACATCTGGGAGGAAATAATGCCACAATGCTGACGGACATGGCAAATAGGACAGACAAAGCTCGAAAACTGGGCTGGCACGGCTTCGTCGACTCGGCAGAATCACTGTTGGAAGTATTTGAAGACCTGGCCAAATTAAAGATGATACCTCCTGTGCCCAAAGTAGAGGTCAAATTCAATTGAACATTCCAGGCTGTGATCCAAAGGTCAATGCCCCTAGCACCCATTTGTGTTATAGATCCAGATAACAATGGCTTGTGCCGGCTACGCACGACCCGAGGCCTTTTCAGCCTCCATTTTCTCCTTCTTTCTCTTCTTGGCCGCAAGTTCACGCCGTCGGGCCTCTTTCCGGAACCACTCGCTGTCGGGTTGCTGACTCTTCTTGGTTCTTCGTTCTTGGTACATTGGCGCCATCGTGCCGCCTCCGCTGACGTCCGCCAACAAGCCAGCTTGCCTACGCACCTGCAATTTGTACGCCTTGGCCTTGGCCGAGGAGCCGCCTCCACTCAGATGACTCCATATGTTGTCATCAACTTTCTCAATGTCCGCGGCCGTCTCGTTTTGAAGTAAGACCTTCGCGAGCAGCTCATTCCTCTCTTCAGGCCTGGAGTACATGAGCTTGTCCATCTGATCCATGCCGGCCAAGTGTGTGATGGTCTTGAAGGCATAACCCTGGTCGACCAGGAACGCCTGTCTCTTTGCACTGTAGGCCATTTCGGTCGTATCTTTGGACACAAGGGAATAGAAGAATGCGTTAAAACCTTCATCATTGCGACGCTTAGCCCGCAAGATACGCCCTAGCCGTTGCGCTTCCTGACGTCGGGACCCATAATGCGAAGAAATTTGAATCAGGCAAGTTGCCTCCGGCAAATCGAGAGATGTATCACCGATCTTCGACAAAAAAATGGTGCTGAACTCCGGGCGATCGTCGTGTTGAAACCGGTTCAGAATTTCGAGGCGCTCGTAGTTGCTGGTTTCACCGTAGATGTAAGCCCTCTTCATGTTCTCGGCGTAGTGCTTCAACGCAAATAAGTTGTCACTAAACACGATGATCTTGTCGCCCCGGTTCTCATGGTAGTTGATCAAATACTGGCAGACCCGGAATTTCTCCGGGTTCATGATATAGAATAAGGGCTGCTTCCGCGTGCTTGCATTCTGATATTCTTGATAAAACTCCATCGACATCGGGCACCATACTTCGGCGCATTGCACTTTCGCAATGTGTCCTTGATCAGCAAGTTCCATCCAGTTGGCTTCATACAATTTCGGTCCAATGATAAAATTGAGATCAGTGATTTTGTCGTCTTCTCGAAGGAGAGTGGCAGTAAGACCAAGTTTGCAGTGGGAGCGAATGTTTTCGCCAACCTTCCTAAACATCTTGGCGGGGACCACATGCACTTCATCCAGGAGCATCAATCCCCATTCTTTGCCGTACACCCAGTCCATCATCTGCTGGGTGTCGTGGGCTCGTTTGCCTCCTGCGGTGATCATGGAGTAGGTCGTGACCAGCACACCGGAGTCGCCGTTGAACCTCTTCTTTTCAGTGGCAGAAAATACGGCGATATCTTCTTCTCGAATATCAGACCACTTCCTGAATTCATTGGCCCATTGATAACTTGACATGGCGCTCGTGCAAAGGACGACGATGCTCTTCTTGATGTGGCAGCCTGCGGTGATGCCCACCAAAGTCTTCCCGGCACCACAAGGAAGGACAATAATGCCACTCTTGCCACGGCCGTTACCAAACATCTTGCTGAGCGCTTTTTCTTGGTACGGTCGGATCTGGGTGGAGGGTTTCAGGTCAATGGGCAGGGTCGCGTTCTCGAAATCGTTGGCGAAATCGTATTCGGAGATGGCAGGATAACCGATGTCCAAACATTGCTTTGCCACTGTGTCACGCTTGTTCGGCGCGATTTCGAAACTGGTGGCTTCCTTGTAAGTATCCTCTTCATCCTCTTCATCCCTTAGCGCGGCGATCATGGCTTCGTTCTCTTTGGCCGGGTCATCTCTGGGCATCTCCGCGTTCCCCTGACCTGCCTGTGTCATGCCTTTGGCGTTGCTGGTGCCTTGGATAACCGTCGCTTTTGTTTGAATTCTTCCTACTTGAACGTCCGTGCCCTCGGCTTTGCAGGGGCCGATAACAGGATCCTTCAGGAGCATGTCGATGATGGGGCGCTCATCGGACTCGACAAAATACTTGTTGTTCCTCAAAACAAGCCGTACTTTTCCGTACGTTTTGGTGTGGCGGTTGATAAAATCGATCACGGTCTCGGGAACGGGAGTTTTGGACAGCTTTTCTAGTGCACGTATTATATCTTCGCCGCGTAGACCTACCGAAAGGGCGGCGTAGAGACTATGTTCTGTGAATCTATACTCATGGAGATAGGACGGTCTCGACTGGGGTTCTGCGATTGTAGTAAGCAGATCGGTGGCCTGCGCAGACAACGGAGAGAAGCTCTCCAAGGTAATCTTGGGGCCCTTTCGTGATCCACTGGACACATTTGGGTCTATCCATAGCGGTCTATTCTCATGATCAGGCTTTAATGAGAGCCAGGAAAAGTCTTTCTCTCCAAAGATTGACGGCTTTTGTTTGTGCTTTGTTCCCTGGAAGGAACTAAAGTCCAGCCTTGCTCTCGCCTTTCGAATGTGCTCTTGCTCGCTATCACTGGGTTCTTGGGAGCGTGCATCGGATCCTTCGAAATATTCGTCGTCGCTATCGAGGCTTACAGGCGTCGAAGGAGCTGGCGTGGAGCGTTTCGAGGACCGACCATTTGCAGCATCCACAAGGGCCTTTCGTTTGAGCGACATGGCTTCAGACAGCAGCCGCTGTGGCGGACTGCGTCAGGAGGAGGCGTCAGTGGATAGACGGCGGGCCGCTCTCAGTCGAGATATAATACAGTCGGACACACCGTGAGCAAGAGTTGGGAGAAAGGCAAAAAATAAGAATGGAATGGGTGAACCGGGGGTGAAGTGGTGCGTTCGAGGCGAGGACTTCATGGATGGATGCCTGACTGGCGCAACGTATCAGCGTCCACCGAGCACAACGGTGGCGCACAGCAGTCACTAGCGAAAATGTACGTCACCCGAAGCGTTCGCCGCGAGTTGCGCTTTGGTCTCCGAATTTCCTCCGCCCGAGCTTTTCTACAGGCGAGCTTCCAAGAAACTCGCGTTCAACTGTCTTCCCACCTCTCAACTCCGGGCATGGAAAGGTAACTCGGGTCGAGATGAATACTGTGGGTAAATTCGCTTTGTCACTATGTCGACTCTAATAGCTGATCATGCATGCAGATAAGGTCGACTTGGTACGGTCTCCTGAGTCGTGTGCTGGAATATTTCCCTTTGACACCCTCGCGGGTCGTTGTTTTGAGCGGCGCAAAATTTACGGTATCTTGCTGACAGACCACGGCTCATAGGATCGGCTGGGGAGTGCTCTGTGTCGCTGGAGGTGGTGCCTACTACTTTGCGAAGAAATCCATCAATGCCGACCGAGCTGCCCGGTTTGAAGCAGAACAGCAGAAAAAAGCTCGCTTCCAACGTCTAGAGGATTCGCATATCGCTTTCAACAAGCAACCTCCTACTTCGAAGTTAAAGACAAAAGCAAAAGAGCAGAATGTGTCTCTAAACAATAAAGGGCTAGATCATGCAGGCAGTCCGAGCAGCGAGATCAGTGAAGATGCGGCACCCGTCGGACATGCTCCGGTTGATGGCGAACAGAGAGTACGAGAGAAGAGCAAATACGAGGCTGCGGAGCCGTATCGAAGCAAGAAAGGGGACAGATTGAGTTGAGGGAGTAGAACGGAAGCAACCACAAGTTATGTTCTCAATGCCTGATATTGTTTAAGGGCGAGGCCCGAAGTGTTGATTTGGTGTGTACATTGATGACCAGGTTCTCTCGAAATCGAAAGTCGCAGCTCAATCTTTCGTTACTCCTGTTGTTACTCCCAGCCATGACCATGAAACGGGTATTATGCTGAACGCTCTCTCAACCATTCCAACGCCTCATTGTACCCAAGTGAACATAACGCCGCATCAATGTGTGGATGACTCCCAATTTTGCCAGCAGCTGGCCGTCATGCGTGACAGCAAAGGGGTGCATAGTGCTTCCTCGAAGCATTTGGGTGTCCTGAGTCTCGTTCGCGTTTCGACTCGATTGCAGGAGGGACAAAGGGTAGAAGGACGGCGGAGGTTATTAGAGTTCCTGCGACGGCCGATTGTAATTTGGTGGCCGGTTTGGGTGCCTGTGCCGAGAAATGGCGGACCGCAGTTTGTGTGAGGGTGCTGGTAACAGTACTTGCGAGGCTCATGGCTGCAGACGTGGAGGTAGCGGCGTGTATACAGCAGAGAGGCTGGATGGCAGCTAGAATGCTCGAGAGCGAGAGCCGAAATAGAAGAGATCAACTACGGAATTTTCCGTTTCACGAATAGAGAGGTATCTGCGGTTAGGGATCTTTTGTACAATGTAGAAGAAGTTCCAGGAAATCCAAGTGAGGGGGAGTAGGAGTGTTTTAAAGGGGGGACTGCATGTGGGATCACAAGGCGTCAAGAAGTAAGGATTGTAGTAGGCAGTGACTTAGTGTGAGGACCTTGACTCACGGGCCTGCGCTGAATCGGTAGGAACAGGGCTGCAATTCACTAGTAGGAAGAAGGTTGATTGCGTGCTGAGCAATAGAAATGATGTTGGTGGATGGGGAATACTAGGGACGGAAAGCACAGCGGCTGTTGGGCATCAGCCTGGTGAGGACCGTGGTGGTGGGAGGGCAAGTGGCCTGAGAATCTTCGATTTCGAATGCTGCCAGCCAGTGGATTTGTCCATTGTTTGTAATATGGGTGCGGGCCCTCAGCTGAGCACGAGGACTTGCGGATTTCGTGGGGAGAGAATAGCCCGCGGGAGGCACCTTTCACGCCGATAAATCGGGCGCCCACCTGAAGCGGTATACCGAGAATCCGAAATACACACGGAATGCGTGCCGAGCACTAACTTGCCTGAGACAGCAGCTCGATAGCAATGGCCTATGATGTATGAGTCTTTGAAAGACACTTTATTTCATTGGACAGACGGACAAGAGGTGGCGTTAAGTGGCGTGCAAGCGGGAGACAGGCAGGGGTGGCTTCAGCCTCACCCGGAAAGAGCCTGAACAAAAGAGCCAAGTGCTGTGGCGCCAAGGCACGTGACTGTGCTTTGAATGTGGCAGATATTTCACCTGCGCAGCCCTGGCGCTCTTTAGCCCAAACAACCACCACCGCTCGGTGAACATGTCAACGCCTCGGAAACTGAAACGACAAGCCCAAAGAATCGTGACGAAATAGTCGTCTCACTCCGCGTATAACACAGATGGCTGCTCATCACATCTCTCTTGCCAAAGCCTCCTTTGGCGCCTCTCTCCTGCGGCCCGATGTAACGAAAGTGTCGCGCGATGACCTCCCCACCTTTCATAATGCCTTCGAGGCCGCCCTTGCCCGATGCTCGAATCGCAATATACAGGTCTGGACAATTCAAAGAATGGCACAAAGCACCGAAGTTTGGATTGACTGAAAAACTATAGACATGCAAGCAATGGCTGTTGGAAAATGTCGTTGTCTCGGCGGCAAGGACCAACGCTTTGGGGAAATATCTGGTCACCATCTCCCGACACCTTGCGAGCCAGGCAGATGAAGCAATCCGGGCATCTGTCCCGCGTCGGCGACTCCATATCCTCTACCTAATAAATGACCTCCTTCACCATGCCAAACATCACGACCATAATGTCGCTCTTCGTAACAACCTGGCGCAGTCTCTCCAACCATTCCTGGCTGACCTATTCCAACTCGGTGCATCGGAGGCCAAACCACGCGTGCGGAGGCGAATGTTTGATTTGATTGAACTTTGGAAAGAAGAGGAGTACTTTGGCAAATCTGTTGCCGATAAAATGCACGATGTCCTCGCGGGCGTTCCGCCCGAATCAGAACCAACCTATGAACCCGAGACCCAGCGTAAGAGTGCCGACAAGGAACTCCCATACCTCATTCCCTCGACACACGGCGACCCTTCTCTACCCTTCTACGATCTCCCAGCCGGCAATCTCATGCGCCACATTATACCAAACAGTTCGCAGCCGATTCGCCCTGACGAGGTCCGAGCACTCCAGTTCTCTGCCGGCCCTGCAGACGAGAGCTTGGTCACTGCGCTCAAAGACTTCTTGAACGACGTCAAGGGCTTTGAAACTACCCTCCCAAGGCTTGAACAATCTGGCCTGTCCCCAGAGATCGATGAACTGGGTCAGATCTCATATCATAATGAGGCGGGAGATGTGGTTGGTGACACATATTACGGATGGTCGCGGTCGTTTTGCGACAAGATGAAGAAGCGTGGCAGGAGGAGTTCGGCGGACTCCTCTCGACGTTCAAGGTCACAAAGTTCGGATCGAAGTCGCAGCGCGACACCTCAGAAGCGCAGACGTCGTAGTATTTCGACCAACGGACGGTCCAGGTCTTCACGATCGTACAGCCGCTCACCTCCCGCACGCCGGTCCGACAAACCGAGGAGACAATGGGGTCGAAGTCACAGTCGGTCACGCTCCAGAAGCCGCTCATATTCTCCTAGCAACCATCAGCCACGATATGAGCAACCTCCGAGATTCGCTCCTTCGACGGCGCACGTCAATGCAAACATCGTGCCTGTTCCTCCACCTCCACCTCAACCATCACTCGCGATGCCATTCCCACCTATGCCGCTACCTACGGGTGTTCCGGTACCTCCTCCCAGACCACCGCAATGGGTGGGCCCATGGCCTCCTCCTCCGCCTCCTCAATTCGCTCAAGGAAGCATAGGATATCACAATGCTCCCTTTTCCCCTCATCCTCCACCTCCACCAACCACCTTTGTCTCGCCTCCAAACAGCTGGGGGCAATTCCCCGGGGCGTCGTCCGGACAAAATAATCAATATGGAGACAGGCGCTGATGTGTTGTCCCCTCCTTGCTTCTGAGGCATACTCGGTGTTGTCGGAGTATTAGCCATCATTTTTCTTTCTGTACAGGCACCATGCAGATGCCTACGCCACCCAGACTGAGACCACGATGGCCCTCATCAAGAGCACCAATCAACGACGCCCACGCCGGGAAATGCTGTTCGGGGGTGGTGACCATATTGACCCCACGTTGACATGGCACCCATACTATCGATGCTCGTGACGGCGCCTAATTAGTCATTGGAGGACGTCGCAGTGGTGTATGGTCAACCCCAACGACCAATCCAGGGTCCTGCCTGTTAGCATCATTCAACCGATCCCATGGTCTCTCGCCATAGGTGATCACGACCCTTGAATGCAGGTGTTCAACATGAAACGTCAAGTTCGGAGACTCGATTGGACGGGGAGGACATATACCTTTGCGGGATGGAGCATTGGGTTCGCCGAGCAGGACAGAAATCACGCACTTAGGACAAATTTTGTGGCTGCGTAAACGGGGTCATACGAGACTACACGACAACACCAGAGTCTGGAAGCTGATTTCACGACAGAGGATTGGGGGCGCACACTTGTGAAATACTCCGTACCATTCACAGACACACAGCGGGCGGGTGATTGTCAGGGTTCGTTGCCAGAGGCTGAATTGGGAAGCAGGTGGCGGGCTTGGCAGACGCAAGGCTGGAGCTCCGTCTCAGTGTCCGCCGACGTCATCGACTCTCCCCTATTGGCTGCCACCAACAACGGGACGGCAATTATGGTGTTCGCTTCTTCCCCCATCTGCTTCCGCCCGAGTCGCCTTCCCCCATGCTACACCCCCATCACCACCACTACCAGTATCACGAACCTCTCCTGCAACCCGTTAGCGAACAATGGAAATGACCCCTTACCACTGACACCTCTGTTTTGTTCCTTCACTGATCCTCACCCCCCAGTCTGGCTTGCTCCTCTTCTTTCCTGGTCTCACCGTCGTCAGCTTGCACAAGTCTGTCAGGGTCTCAGCGCCAGACATGCCCTTCCCAACGACGATCACTCTTGAATAAAAGTCAGGCATGCTTATCTTGAATGCCTAACATGAGTGTTCCTCGGCACAAAAGCGTTGGGTCTAGAGCTCCCCTCTTGATCCATATTTTTCCGCATGTCTATCGAAATGCGAGATGTGGTCATATCGCATTGCCTCTCCCACCAGACCCTGGGCGACTCTGCTCTCAACTGATCGGCAGGGTCGTTCTCCACCCGCGAACAACGTTCTCTGTGGCTATTTGCTCGCTGCTCAGCTCTGGTCCTTGCAATCTGCATTTTCGCTGGGGATCGAAGGCCGCCTTTGCCGTTTGATCAACGTACCGTCAAATTCTAGTTCGCCAGACGGCCACTCAGCTCCGTCCAACTGACGGCAGCTTGCATGACCTCCCCCAGAGGTTTCACAGCAGCCATTGGCCATGCCATACGCCATTTCTCCGCCTCTAGACCTGGACTTCGCCCCCCATTCCGTCCGTCGCTCCTCCCTCATGCTTGCCAATAGCGGGCCAGCCTGGTGTGTTGAGTAGTTTCGATGAAATATATAACCACATTGCCTGAATTTCCCCCTTACCAAACTTCTCACGCCAGCCTCAGCAACATCTACAAGACATTTTGCGGTTCATCTCAACTCCCGCAGTCACAGGTTCATATTTGACCTTTGCGGTTTTCAAACAATCATCACCAGAAAGCCCTTTCGTGTTCCTCAACCATCACCGACCATGCCTTCCGCCGTCGAATACCTCACCAGCCCTCAACCGAATTTCAGCTACGAGTCTGACCCCATCGCGGCCATGACCTCGTATGCTCGAATGATGCATATGCACACCAAGCAGCAAATGGATGCAGCCACACGATCAGCACGACGACGAAGCCCACCCGTTGGCGTCGATGCACACGCCGACGGAGGTCTCTCAAAACAGAGCACACACAGCAGTACCTCATCACGATCTTCTTTTTGACAACCCGGCCCAGAGGTTTCCTTTACCTGAGCGTGCAAGCTGCGAAATCACATTGCCACAAAGAACTCGACGTGGTCACCCAAGTGATGGTGCCTTCGTTGAGCAGATTGCGAAAATGTCCTGGCTGACATTGTAAAAACAACCTTTCTCTCTACTACGCTGGCAGCCTCGACTCACGGGGGGGAGTTTCTTCATATTGAGGCCCTCATGATGCCAACATCTCTATCTCTCACGGCCTTTCAAACGGAGGTTTTTCATTTTGGTGCTGAGCTTGCTTCGTCTAATTTTCATGAATGACAAGTTCGGATCAGTGTTCTGCTTTTTTCTCTCGTCAAAAAGCACCAACACCAGCAGGGCATCGGGCGGCGCATTACCTTCAAGGGGATCATATATAGATGTATGCGAGTTTGAAGATGAAATGAAATGTCTTTTTCATTACCTGTACTATTTCCCTCCCGTCTGGAACGTAGAGAAAAGAGACATTTGTAAACTGCCTGATATGTGTCTCCCGTTGTTGCGTACTATCTATCCGTCTGATAAAATTACTATTATTCTACCCCCTCTTAACACAAAATCCATGCTATCACACTTACGAAGTGAGCGAATTTGGGAGTTTCTGGGGTAGAATATGAACTCTCGGAAGCAAGTTAGGCAGAAGAGTGCTGGGGGAAGGCAGCAGACAACCGCTCGGTATATGCTATGTCTGTATGTGTACCCATAGGTACTATGCCAACCACCACCGCCGCCACCACGAGACCAGTGCAGATGAGATGTGCACGGGAACAGAGGCAGGCGCAGACAGAACCTCTCCCTGCTGTTCTTCCCTGGCCGTGTAGGAAGGTAGGTAAGTGGCCATCCCTTGGCAGGACTGGGCGTCGTCCCTGCGTTGGGCAACAGCCTCGTCGATCGCTTGCATCATACTTCCCCATGCCGCCCGTTTTAGTCTCTGCTCCCACATACACTAGACACACTTACACACTCACTCGAAGCACGTCATACGAGCAGGCTGGGACTGGGACCCTCTCAGCTTGTTTTTCCAGCTTTCTTTGGGCCTGCCACTGATTCCTTGTGCTTACCTTACCTAGTATGTAGGTAGTATAATGAATGGGTGAATTCAAAACAGACGGTTAGTTGTCTCCAGAGGCTGCTTACTTACCTACCTATTTCGTTTGTTGTTTTTTGCCGTTACTACCTCTTTCCCCACAGCTTTTTCACTGCTCATTAAACCCTTGATTGTTTTTGCCTTTCCCTTTCTATCCCTTCCCTGCCATCTTCATCCTCCCGTGTGGGTTTTGGGTTTTGGGTTGATCGACATCAAAGTGGCCACACCTAATACGTCAAGCGACCCCCCCGGGCCCATTCTTCGAACTCCAACGATGTAAGAGGCGAAAAGAGGGTCTTTCTTGTCTTTCTCTCTTCGTTTGCCCATGGAAAATCATGGGAATTGTGAAAGTCAGGGATGCTGAAATGTCATTCCTCCATCGTCCTTTTCAGCTCGCTTGGCTGGCTGACTGGCTGGGGAAAATCACGTCCCTGGCCCGATATGATGTTTGCGTTTCCCACTCCCGTCCCCTCTCCTCTCCCATCGTCGATAAAACCTCGACAATCGAATCTAATAGGTAGAAGAGAACCCTGCCGTGTTCAAGGGGCCATCGTTGAGTCTTTCAATCACGTCGTAGATGTCGGGTGAGAAAGAGGCAAGACGAAGGAGGGGCCCGCGCCGAACAACAACCATACCCTGTGTGACGTTTGTAGCCCCTTGAGACGTGGCGGCGGGAAGTGGACTGCCTGTGACCAGCTGGTGGCGATGATGTCGATGGGGAGCCCACCATCCATACCTTCTGACCTACCACCTTTGCCTCCTGCCCTCGTTCAATGCTAAGGCTCCCTTTTGTTTGCTGCATGCAGAATCCTCGCGTGGTTTCGTCCCTGCCTTCCTCCTTCGTGATAGGTCAATACCGGTAACATATCTCGCTTGCATCGCTCTGCAACTGGGGTTGCTGCTCCAGTAAAGCTACTTTATCAAAAACCTCTTCTTATGGTCTCGCAGAAATACGATATCCAAGGGCTCCTTACAAAGATATTCCCCTCTCTTCAATGCTGTCGACTGCTTGTCTCATCCTGCCCTTTTCGCCTCCTAGATCGATCGAGATCGAAATCAATCATGTTTCCTTGTCGTCGTTGGACAACTAACTCGTGCTCGCTCCACAGGGAGAGAGGGGCCAGGACAATCTCATCGATGGGAGGAGGCCAGAAAGGTCTGGGCCAAGCATCGACATCATCGCCCAATGTATCTCGCTGCCGGCACGGTGCAGGAGGGGGTGAGGAAAGGGGGTGTGGGTAGCTTGCTGGGATCTCTGGGTCCCATCGATGTCATCAAGCTCTCTCCTCTTTGCAGTGCCAGTGTCATCGACCTGTGGCGATATATCCGACGATCACTCTCTGTTGATAACTAGTCGAAGGGGGGTCCTGTCTCCACGAGGCCAGAGGAGCCCATCTGCCTCCTGCAATGGTCATCATCCCCCATTTGAGCCAACGTTTGGGGCAACCTCCTGCGTGACTGCTTCCGACCTCATCGCCCCCCTCTCTCCATGTTCAAGGGTCACCCAAGTCGCACCTAAGTTTGTACCCAGGAGGTACTCTTCTGACCACTTAGGCAGCCAACGTGCCGTCTAACTTCAGCGACCGCACCCCTTGGAGAAGGAATTGGCCTCTTGTGCCCTCCTAAATCGTCCTTCGCTGAAGCTGGACAGATAGATACTTGAGGGCTGGGACCAATCTGCTCCGCTCTTCTAAGTTGCAGTAACTGGGTATTGTTGTTATCTTTTGGTAGTGAGGATCCGTTCTCGACAATGTCCTGTCTCATATCTCGTCGGTCCGTGGATCCACCGCGTTTAATGAGCAGAGCTGATGAGTATTCAAATTCCTCACAGGTAAGTAAGAAAGCGAAGTAAACCGCTGTGTGTGAATGCCTTTGTGCAGCAGGCCCCTGGATGCCCCCAGTTCAACACCTGCCTGGTATCCTCATAGGCTATCATTCCTCGGAAGACTTGAATTGAAGTGCCCTGCCGGGCACTTGCAGATACAGAGGCACGGGAGGCTCTGGCACACCGGTCATCAACCGGCCTGGTTAGCTCAGGCTACCAGGCATCGCCGTCGCGCCCGCCCTTTGCCGATGGGCATCACTAGCCCAATGACTGTTTGGATCGGCGGTTCTCTTCGGGGCTCCTAGTCGATCTTCACAACGCCACGCCGATGCTGCTGTGTGATGACTCCAGGACCCCTGAAGCCCTGCAGTCAGGCGCCCATGACGCCATGGGGTTCCGCCCTGTGCAAGCGCAACTGGTGAACATGCCCTCTCGCTCGATCCACGCACGCAGAGGAGCACAAGCCGCCCTCCAGATATCCACTGTCGGGAGACGGTTTTGAATTCCTTTTCTCTAGGAGGGAGGTTGGTGACGTTCGACGCATGCAGGACTGCGGTGACGATGATCCTCTGAAGCCCAGACGAACTGTCCCTATCAAACTGACGGGGTATCCGTCGTCTATTGCCCGGCTCCATTTTCCACCTCCCCCAAGGGATCCCGACGTCGTAGGGGATCTGGGCATCAAAGCTGTAGAGGTTGTGGCTGCTCAAGAAGCAGAATTGTCATCTCCGTCTCTTCTCACTCCCAACCATCCTACCTCCACGGATGTAGTGCCCGTAGGCTCTCTGGAGACAGCAATCGTTGAGTGATATGGCTGAAAAAGGATGACGGGGTTTCCCTCATAGTACTCGGCTATGACTGGCATCTGAGAATTCCTCCATCCTATCCCATCCCATCCAATCCCATCCATGCTGCTGTATATCAACATCAAATTCATCAATCCATCTTTGCATGACCCGGGGAATTGTACACTTCTCCGGGGATAGCCTGTTATGCGTTTCCGGTTTTTTTTTCCCTCCGAGGTTCTTGACACGAAGCAGAGCATTTCACTTACTTGCATTTGCAATTCCATTTTTTTTGGCCAGCCCGGCTTTCCTCATGCCCAGTCATAAACATTCGCAAAGGTCGTGAGGACAGGGGGCCCCCTTGTTCCTGTTCCATGCCCATGACATAATTTCGCTCTTCCAATTCATTGCCTTTGTGATGGCAATGTACACTATTATGCTCAACCTTCCAGCTTGGAAAAGGTATACCTTGTGCCGCGTATAGACCCGCGTATGAAGCAAAACCACTCCAGAAGACGCTTGAGTGGCACTAGACTCTTCTGGAGATTCGCGCCCGGCTACGAAGCCAGCCAGCAGACTGTCATTCCAGCGCAACATGACAACATCCTTCCCGAAAAGCGTGCGCGTCTTTCGAGCATTTCCCATAGTCAGAAAAAAAGCCATCAAAAGAGCCAGTCCATGGGGCAACGTTCCACTATAGGAATTTCCCTGGAGTTCCGTACCTGAGGTTAAAATAGAATGATGGGCCCAGATCCAAGTATCTGCACGCAAGCACGCAAGCAAGCTCTGGGGGCATGGAGCCAGCCAGCCCGGGTCCGGATGTTGGATCCGAGATCCTGGTTTCCCCAGGATCCGGCCGGCGAGTCTAGAGAGGGGATGGAAGGGGAGAAATGATCCGGACGGAACACTACATGGGGATGGAGATAAACTCCCCCAGAGATCAGGATCAGGATCAGGATCAGGATCAAAATCGGAATGCCGCAGGAAAGGTTTGTAGGAAATTAGATCTGGCCTTCCTTCTCACTCGTACACGTGATGGTACGTTAATGGTGCATGTATGTATATATCCATGTCCAGCTGCATGTATCCATGGGGACCAAACCTCGTCCGGCATTGTATTCATCCTGCCTAAATTCCACGCCCATAACTTGGAGTTAGACAATTGGGTAGATTGTCTGCATGCCCTGGCAGAGGAGTAACTGTCAGGCATAAATGCAGACACGGAATAAACAAGACAAGACGAATAGTATCGTCGATCAACACAACGGGTGAAAGAAACTGAGCTTGCTGGTGCCATGGCGCCCTTAGCCGTAGGTATGATCTTTCATAGTCGTTCAATGTCTCCCACACGCCGCTCACTGCATAAATGCTGGTAACAAAACAATGCCATGTTCGAGGCACACCCTCCAACAGCATTAAAAAGGATCTCATCACAACCGTCATGCCCATTTTCTCGGATACAGTCTCACGTCCTGAAAAGCATCGCCTCATCTTCCTCATCCTTCCCATCAGGACTCGCCACTGTTCTCCCACATCGGATTCCGTCTCCAAGCATGGCTGAAGCTGAGATTTGCATTCTCCGCGTTTGAGGAATTTCCTTGTCCCGTATCTTATCTAGCTGCAACCGTCTTTCATGTTCAGTAGTGGAATTGGGCACCCCTGCATTTATGGGCGGTCATTTCCGCTTCCACGGATAGTCGAACTCTCTGCCAACTGGGGCTTCCTTCTCAGCCACGGACTCTGGTTCAGGACTCAGGCGATGCCTCTTCCAACCTCTTTCCGCGCCTCCCGTTCGAATTTCCTGGACGGCGGCAGCGCCGGCATCTTGATCGCCACCGATAACTGTGCGAGGAGACTTTGAACGAGAGCCTCGTGTTGCGTAGTCCAATATCCCTGGAAGAAAGGATCTAGCACTAGAGGGTCCAGCGAGGAAATCTGTCAGCTCGCTTGTTTGGCTCGAAGATCGAGACCTCCATCTTGAGTCTAGCTCATCTGCATTATTTAGCCCTTGTTCGTTGTCCGAGTGGTGTTCCGAGTTTGGGCGGGCAGGGTGCGCCAGCTGGTGCCCGGGCGCCATATCCAAAACCCAGTTGGGTTTTGGGACGGGATGAATATCTCTGGCCTGAGGTGATGCACGTGACTGAACGTCGCGACGAGAGGGCTCAGCATCTGAGTACTGCTCGGGCTTGGTAACCCGCATCTGGTCTGTTGGCGTCCCTGGCATCCGTCCACAAAGGGGGTCATGATCCCTCTTCTCGTCGTCGAAATCTTCTGAAGCTTCTGCGACCTCGGGGACCGCACGCCTTGACTTCATGCCTTCCAAACCGGGATCCGGAGACGACTCATTGTATTTCCTTTCTGACCAGGAGGACCTGCTGCGTGTAATGCCATCGAACCTCTGATGTGCTTCTTGGATGTCTTGCCTCGTGAATGGCTTCTGAGGTACCGACGGTGACGGCAACGGCGAACGGGGTGACTTCTCGATATCGATCAAGATGCTTCCAATAGCAGGCTCCTCCATCTGCGAGGGTTCGTTTTCTTGGCGACGGTGCATTTCCAAGATCAGTTGACGCAGTCTTGATCGGAGATCTCGGCTACGAATTTTGCGCGGCCATTGCTGTGCATTTTCTTCCCGCTGAAGGATTCGGCGGACGAAGTTGTGCGGATCGGCGACGAATTGCTCCAGGTAAGCACACAGATACAGCCCGCAATCACTGTAATTGTTCTGGGTCGGGATTTCCTTGGCCGTCATTCCTTTGAGCTCAGTCGCGTCAATGTCCATATTTCGCTTGTCTCGGGCCTCGGATACTACATATTGTTTGAGATGTGAACATGTCACCGGCCGTGGTGTGCCGAGAGAGTCCAAAGTGATAATGACAGGTTTGGTCACATCGTACTTTGGACGACCTCTGCGAGCAGTTTTCCGTCGCCCATGTTCCTTCTTGGTTTCAGACACACCGGTTTTCTCGTCATCGCTGTGTGAAAGATCGGCCAACATTCCTGCAGTATCCTCTGCCGACAGATCAATGACCTGCCCGACTTCTTTACTCCGTTGGTCGCTCGGGTGCATTTCCTCGGATCGATCGCTCTTCTCTGCCCGCTCCTTAAGGAGGTACGGGAGGTTGCAGATAATGGCTAGGTACCAGTGATAATCCTCGTTGACGGGCACGATTACGAAATCGCGGCTGAAGAGGTTGATATTTTTGGTCCATCGGCTGACAGCATCATGCCTGATGCCTTTCTTACCTTTCGTCTTGGAAAGGGCTGCATAGAAATACGTGTTGAAGAAATGCATCCTCTTGTACAACTCGGGATTGCTCTTCTCTATGTGCGTTTCCAGATACCTCATAAAGAAAGAAATCAGGTTATCGTTGAGGAATTCGTCATCATCCAGTCGCTCCAGATCTTCGAATGGTACAACCGCAGCTCTTCGGCCGGGCTGCGGGTAAATAAGGTCCGTAGCCCACGGCGTGCCTAAAGTTTCACTTGGGGACGTCCTGATATTTGGTAGACTTTTGCCCTGTTCTGATTTGGGGCTTAATTGTTCGTTGTCGGCGTGCGTGTCAGTATCATGTCCCGGTGTAGGGGGAGGGATTTTGTCCAGTTTTGGTTTCGAGCCCGATTGTTCCCCGACGGCGTGTGAGACAGTATCTTCTGACTGTGTCGTATCTTCTGCCGGCGTAGCATGACGGGATCCCGGCTCCTGGGGCGAAGGAGCACTTTCGCGAAGATGTCTTCTGGCGCCGCTTGTGCCGACATTGGTCTCACCGTCTGCGGGTGGATCCAATCTGTCGACCAGCCTGCCATGTGTCCGGCTAGCGGTTGTTGCCGCCCGCAACAAAGGCTTTGCTGATGTAGGTTCTGGCTTTCTGAAAGACGATTGCGGTGCTTGAGTTGTCATTGAGGGCATCTCCGTCCGTATCGTCGTCTCACTTTTGGCCTTTGAGAAAGCCATCTCCATCCATTCCCTAGACAATGTCAGACAAGCCTCAGTCCACCAAGCGTTTGAGACCTTACCCAGTTTTGACACAGACTTTCAGCGACTGTGAAGCTTGTAATCTTAGAGAGAAATCCATGGCTTTCTGGTATGATTCAAATCTGAGCCACATCATTTCCTCTTTTTTCTTCGCATACCGACGAAAGTGGAAGTTCACCAAGGCAGAGTCATTGCTCCCGTCGCCTATTGTGACTTTGAAAATTGCGTCGATCCCACGTAGCCGGGAGACAGGTTCGTCGTCTAAGAGCGGATTCTGCCGCGCAACGAAGACCTCGTCCTTCGATGAATCGATCCCAATCGCGAAGCCTGAAGTGTCGAGTAAATCTCCGTGTACAATTTCTGTGAGGAGGAAGACCTCCTTCGCCGGGGGTGGTTCCTTTTCGAGTTCCTTTCTCCGCTTTCTGAACTTGCTTTTATTCGTTGATTGTCCTATAATGAGATTTTTGAGATCTGTTGATTTCATCTCTGGATATGGTGCACTGTCCAACGCGAGTGACTTCGGGGAATGGTGAGGTCCGATACTCTGCAGTATATCCGGGCTTTCTGGTGTCCGCACCGTCGTTGAATTTTGCTCATGGCCGTTGCCATCGGCCGTTTTAGTTGCTAGATATGTAAGGTATGGGGAGGTGTGAGGCTGTTTCGAGAGACCCGGAGAACTTTCGAGTATCTGATCCTTCTCATCCTTTCTTCGCTGTGCGGATTGATCCGAAAAGACGCCGTTGCCTTGGGGAGATGAATGATTGACGTGCAACTCTTGAGGTTGTTCTGGGTACTTGCCCCTCTCCCGTCCCGTCTCCAGAGCAAGTTCATCTTCAGAGTCAGACTCAGCAGGCACTCTATATTCGGACACAGTTTGGATCTTGCGCCTCTTATTAGGTGTACCATGGTCATTCGCATGAATGTCGTTCTTAGGAAGTACATTCGAACTTGATGCGTTGACCGGGGCGCGAGCATGAGATGTCCTCTGTTGAAGAAAAGCCGACCTTCCGTTCAAGGTGTTGCATGGTTTGTACGGCCCCGAAGGAGTCTAGAGTCGTTGTCAGAGTCCATGGATTTGAGACAGAGGATGGATGGTATACTTTGAAAGACTTCTTCATTTGATCTCTGACAGATTCAGAGTCAAGATTTCGTCTCCCGCGCCACCGTTGATGTGCATTTGGAACATCCACTAGCCCTCGCGCAAGTCGGTCCTCGGTTTTTGACTCTGAAAGTGAAGTACTCTGTCGCGGAGTTGTGCCACTTGACCTGCGCGCGTCGAATAATTTAGTTGGTGCATCAAGTTTCCTTGTGAATGTGAAGGCGTACTGGGTGAAAGGGAGACCTGATAATTCTGTTTCTCTTCTCTCGATCGTTGCCTCGACTTCGTCATCACTTTCGATCTATACGTGAAGGAGTTGTCAGCCTGGTTTCTCAGTCGTCTGAACATGGAGCAAGGCGACTGACATGGATCGGGGCGCATGCGGCATTATCGTGCGCACCCAGGAAAGCCTCTACGGTTTTGGTGAGGTGTCTAGCAGAGCTTTGGGGCATTTGTCCCCTGTGTGACCGCGAGGAAGAGGCATTTGAATGTGGAGGGACCGGAGGTGCGGTAGTTGGACCGTCATCTGCGCCCCTCTGGGCGACATTTGATGTGCGTAGGGCTCCCAGACCGCGCCGGCTAAAATCGTTTATTGTGCTTTGCACGACTTCATGCCAGGGAACCGTCATTTCTGACGGAAGCCCTTACGCATCCTTCGCAAGACCACATAACCCAAGTAATTGTAAATGACATGAGGCGGTCTTAATATGATGGGGAGTGAAGTCAGTGCCGCTGCGGCTAAGTAAGTTGTGCGGTTAGATGTTTCCCACAAAGCAACTAAAGCCCGAACATTTCCCCGCCGCCTCACGCCTCACGAGCCCTGTACGTGCCTCTGACGGCCACACAAAAAGAACACCATCACGATCCAGAAACAATGTTTGTTTGCTTGATACACTGGACTGCTGTCGGAATCCCATTGGAGAACCTAGCCATGCTATCCAGGAATCGCAAGCCAGTAAGTCGATACTATAATGCTACAAGAGGGATCGCCTCATCCCATTCCATCCCCGTGTAATATCATGATATGCCTTTGCCCTTGCTCTTTTCAGAATCTTCATGCAGGGTCGGGCGCCGCCTCTCCGCTCCCGGGTGCCCAGGAGTACCACTGACCTTCTGCTGTCTGGCTTCGTCCAGAGCTGATCGCTGTGCGATGCTGTCGTCGTGGCTCTTCCACACAATGTTGGTATCCGGGGGAAAGGCAAGTATTCGCTTGATGGTCTCCCTGTTGCATAGTCAGTATTCTGATACCTAATCTATTCTCTCCAAATGGGTTGTCGTACCTGATCTTAATGTTCCGGCCACCATCAATCTTGGTCCAGACGCTCAGGACGTCCTCGCCACTTCGTACACTAAGTACTGCACCACAGACCTCCTCGCCTGCTTCCAGAAATTGGTCACCGATAATTGCCAGTAGTAGATCCTCCCAGTAGCGGTCCGCGACGCCTTTCTTTAATCTCACGATCCATTTGCCGCCCCTTTTGTTGGCCTCATCCTCCCAGACCGGACGAATGCCGTCCTTGAAAATATGGTAGTCGGAAACAGTAGGCAGCAGAGATGGTCGCTTCAGATGGGAATATATTGTCCAGAAACTTTCCACGGAGCTGATAGACGCCAATTTCAGGGTCGACTTCTCGTAGTCGGAGAACTTATTAGCAGGAGGTCGGTAGAAGAGGTTCCACGTGTTTCGGAGCGGGTGCTCAGGAGATATCTTGGGTGACCCTGGAGATTCTTGTATTGGCTCTGCTTCTGAGATATCTCCTGGTGTATCTGAGTCCCTCTCCTTCTTCTCGGTCTTTTCGCGGGATGGAAAATCGAAGGCTGAGCCAGCGCCCGGCGTCTTGGGTGTTTTTGCTGACCCAAAGGAAGCGAAGGCCCCGCTACCCAGTCCGAAAGCCGAGGATGCGCTCGCAGAAGGAGTTTTCGTTGCGGAAGGCGAGAGGGCGTTGAAGGGATTTGCTTTGCCGTGGGACGACGTGTCGCCGCCGAAACGTCTGCTGGTATAGGAGCGAGGGGAATCTATCTTGCTGACATCCTTACCCTCCTGATCTCTCATAGACAAGGATAGTTTGCCAGTGCTGTCAAGACATTTAGTGTCCCAATACTTACACGGCTCTTTCGCAGCTAAACAGCAGAACTCACTTAGAACGTCTGGTCCACAAATTTGCGTTTTCCATGAGCAGATCAGGTCAGGTTGCAAGAAGGCTTGTAAGTGTCGCACCCCGTCAACGCCAGCCGAATGAATGCTTCACAGAGGCAGAAGGGACAGGTAGACGAGTGATTGTTCGAGACGACTGGGGAAGATGGAGGAGGGAGGGAAGATGGTGGCGGGCGCCGGGGAGAGAGATCAGTAGTCCCTGGGGGTGCAGTTTGTGAGCTGGGACGCGGAGATAGAGACCAGGAGAGAGATATTTGCTGAGAATGATCGAATAGAACAGATTTGGGGCAGAGAATATTGACAATGTTGTAGTCACAAGGAGCATGAAATACAAAATCAGAAGGTTTGAAGCGCAGTTTGGATTGGAGTTTACAGCGTGAGCAGGGCTGTCCAAGGGCCACCAGGGCCACCTAGGGCCAGTTGGCTTGCATTTCAGTTGGTCTGGGCGAACTGGGAGCCCCTGCAGCCCGCCAATCGATGAGCCGCTTGCGCCATCTTCCCCCAGTTCCAACTAACCGTTTTGGTGATAGGCGCGCGTTTCCAGGCACGACTCGTTCTTTAACTGCCCGCGTAAAAAATTGCTTGAATTTTTCCCTTTTCCTTCTCCATAAGACACCCAATTCAAATTAACGTCAGCTGAAACCCTCGACACCATGAAGCTGGTGGTTTCCGATGAGTGTGTCGAGATCAATCTCTCAAGAGAACCCGCATCTTAAAACCATCATTACGAGGGCCTCTGTGGCTTCCCATGATGTGGTGATGACCTGGAATAGCGGACAATGAAATATCGGAAATGAAAGAATGTGGGTGATATGCCCCCCTTTTTGGAGGCTCCATTTTCCTGGGATGCTCTTGATGAATCAAGCAGCTCTGGTAAGCCGAAAGCTCAGCCGCGAGGAGAGAGTTATCTCTACACGACTGCTGGCAGAGCAAGAGGTTAATTGGCAATTTCTGATCCAAACGCTCATGCCTTTATGCTGTGCTAAGGAAGTGTGTCATTATTCTAACCCTTGGACTGACTTATTTGAAACACAGGCTTGTTTTGATATGGCTCATCTGACTCCAGTCTCCTCACATCTGCTGAGCAGTTCGTGGGAATCCCTCTGGACCTTCTTCCTGAGAACGATCTGCTCGATTCTGTGGGGATATGTGTACGGGAATGCCCTCAGAACATAACACTTAAGCCGTCTCCAATGGGGGTTCAATTTTAACCATGCTTCTTTTGTCATCTCCTGGTGATAGTCCCGCCGTTTCACACTGCGTCAATTGTGGCTCGAGAAGTCAGCTGTTCGTTCTGATTGCCCAGTCTTGAGATTTGCAAAAATGCGTCCACTCCATAACCCTCGAGACTGTGTAGCTCAAGCCCACCAGCCCAATATTCCGCGTACACACGGCTCATCGGCAAGCCCATGCCCAGTCTAAGGTCAGGGGGCCTAGTAGCTAATGTACTGAGTGACGTGTCTCTGATCTTTCCACTGGGCTTGTCGCTCGGAGACATTCGAACTTCCTGCATGGTGGCGGCAAGGGTTGGGACGTCTCTGAAGTTTTGTAGCCGTGAAGCGCTTCTAGGTCCCTTGTTAAAAGACCACAAAAAGGGCATGATGTCTCGAGGAATGCCTCCGCCTTGGTCAGAGATACGGATAACCACGTTCTGGGGGGCCTCGCAGATCAGAACATCAATAGGGGGTGGTGGCTCTCGAGGATCACGGTATTTCTCCATGACCGCTTGGACCGAATTCCGTAGCAGTTCTCCCACAACGTATTCAAGATGACTCAGCACGTAAGGGAATGTAGCGCCAGTATGTCCTTGAATTCGAATCTCAGGTACCAACGGATCCGCGCCTGCGGTCGACCTGCAGATCTCTTGAGTAAATCGGCCACATCGTTCAATTACCTCCTTTGCATTACACCGGAGCAGGACCTCGCCGACAAACTCGTTCTCAGAGCTGGGTTGGGGCACGTGCCAAGGTGAGTTGAACGTTTCCGTGAGCGCGAGATGTTGTTCGGCAATGACTCTTCTCGAAATTCGAGCCCGCAGCATGGCCTGCACAAAATTGTCCATTGTGTCAACCGACACCAAGTCTTGGCACTCGAGCACTCCCATGACCAGGTTGGGGATCACTGCCAGATGTTCTTTCAGGTTGTCGCTGATGACTTTGCAAAATTCATCGTTCTCTTCCACCGTTCGGATGACAGGAACACGCCGAAAGCTCTCAAAGGACTTGTAGTAGAGCTCGTAGACGAATGACAGGTGCGGATTGGTCACCACGACATAGGGCAAACGCTGCATGTCTCGCAGGCGGTGAGCCAGTCTGATATCAGGTGAGTGCTTGCACAACATTGCTGACGGGACAAACAAACCTTGTCGGCAATTCCATGCGAACGTAGTTGGCGGAGCTCAGCAGACGGCTTTCGGTCAACGTGCGGCCAAAGAAAAAGAGCTGGCGCAGGCTGATGGGACGAATGGGGCGGTCAACCCAACTGCAAACATTGTTGTTAGCCAAGCGATCCAAACAGGCGCCAGGAAGACAGCTTCATACTCGTCCAACGTTGAAGCTGGCCGCCATGGCGGTGGATTTCTCCCTGCTTGAGAAGACGTCCACCGGGACGACTGCACAGAGAGCCTGCACAAGTCTAGGCGCAAGGCTCGGGGCCTCGAAAGCTGAGCGACCTGGAGCATCTCATACCAAACGACAGGCCCGACGAGTCATATAGACTATTTATGGTCATCTCGTCACTGTCGTCTGAGTAAGCGCATCGGTGTTGCGCAAAGAATGGTTTGTGAAGTTATGGTTATTGGAGAGGGGCAGAGTCACACAAAGAGGGAGATTGACGTTTGGCAATTAACTGCGAGTGACGCCTGGGTCCCACCAATGTGGGAGGTATACCGACTCCCTCAAAACCGCCTAGGCGTGGTTCAGGGAGGGCGTTTGCTTTTGCTATTCGCTCATTCAAAGCTTGTGCCGGGCTTGCGGCGACCCTAGGACAACAATTTGACGTCTATTCCTGGAAGCCTGCAGACCATGGACCAGGAATGATTCGACCCTTTGATACTGCATCCGATCTTTGTCCTTTCCACCAGGTACCTGCGCAATTCATTCTCGCAACCAGCCATCCATCGGCCCGGTCGTCTATCTAGATTCTAGATTCACGTGTGGGTGGCGAGTTTGGTCCTGCTTGCTGACGAGCCTTCCTTGCATCACCGACACATTGTGACATACCTCCACCACTCTCAGCATCAACTGCGGAAATCTGAGGAAAGAGTTGCTCGGCCACCACCCTCCCCTACTCTTCCGCGCAGATCAATATCAGGCGTGTGCCTAGTCACTCCTCAGCATGGATAACGTACGTCAAGCACTACCCTCATTTCCACGCCTGTATACCTATCAGCCACCATGGTTACTAACCTTGCCTTCCGCTTCGATGACGTGCAGTTAGCAGGGCCAGACATGCTGATCGATGGCTACGACAATTACGGTCAAGAGAGTGAGGTCGTCAACATCTCCCCGGACGATGTCTCAGAAGAACCTGCGGAAGCCCTTCCCCGGGCTGATGACTGTATGTTCACCCACCAGCTTGTCCTTCCTCTTCCATTCCGCCCGTCCGCAAACTGACAGATGTCGCAGTCGAGACAATGAAACGTCATGTCCTTGTCGACCTGCCTGATGTCGAAGTTGAAGCCGAAGCATATCATACATGGCACATAGAAAAATGGCGGACACTTTCTCGGAGAGAACATGGGCCAGTATTCGAGTGTGGCGGGCATCCCTGGAGGGTGCTATTTTTCCCGTATGGAAATCAAGTCGACTGTGCATCCTTCTACCTAGAACACGGTTTCGAGGGCGATCCGCCGCCCGACTGGTACGCCTGTGTTCAGTTTGCCCTCGTCCTGTGGAATCCGAACGACCCAACCCTGTACCGCACCCATACCGCCACTCACCGTTTCAATGCCAAAGAAGGAGACTGGGGCTTCACCAGGTTTGTGGAACTTAGGAAGGCTTTCCACCACCCCTGGGAAGATAGTCAGAGACATTTGGTGGAGAACGATGAAGCCAAACTCACGGCGTATGTCCGCATCATCAAAGACCCTACCGGCGTCCTGTGGCACAACTTTGAAGGATACGACTCTAAGAAGGAGACCGGCATGGTCGGTCTAAAGAACCAGGGCGCAACCTGTTATTTGAACTCTCTTCTCCAATCTCTTTATTTCACAAACTTGTTCCGGAAGGCCGTCTACCAAATCCCTACCGAGCAGGAAGCCAACCGGAGTAACAGTGCCTGGACACTCCAGCGTTTATTCTACAGACTTCAAAAAGATAGGTTTGCTGTCTCAACTAACGAGTTGACCGCATCCTTCGGATGGGATACTCGGCAAATTTTCGAGCAGCAAGACGTCCAAGAACTGTCCCGAATATTGATGGAAGTCTTGGAGAAGAAGATGAAAGGCACACCTGCGGAACGAACCCTGCCTGAACTCTTTGTTGGGAAGACCAAGACTTACATATCATGCATAAATGTCGACTTTGAGTCTTCGAGGATAGAGGAATTTTGGGACATCCAGCTCAATGTCCGAGGCAACAAAAATCTGCACGAGAGTTTCATGGACTATATCCAAGTCGAGACCCTAGAGGGTGAGAACAAGTACGATGCTGGTGAGCCTTACAAGCTGCAGGATGCTCGGAAAGGTGTCATTTTCGAATCGTTCCCCCCTGTGCTCCACCTGCAGCTAAAGAGATTCGAATATGATATCAATCGTGATGCCATGATGAAGGTCAACGACAGACATGAGTTTCCTGAAGAATTCGACGCGTCTCTTTACCTCTCGGACGAAGCCAAAGCGGCGTCGACGGAACCGTGGATTTACCAATTACACGGCGTCCTCGTCCACAGCGGCGATTTCAATGCAGGCCACTATTACGCTTTCCTTAAGCCGACGAAGGACGGCCACTTCTACAAATTTGATGACGACCGGGTCACGCGATCGACCATGAAAGAAGTGCTCGAAGAAAATTTTGGAGGGGAGTACGCGAACGTCGCCAACGGCGGCCTTGGACAACGTCAACCACACACCCGAGGCTATTCAACCAAGAGATCCATGAATGCTTACATGTTGGTGTACATCCGAAAGAGCAGGCTGGACGACGTCCTTCTCGATGTGAGCGAGTCCGACATTCCCGCACACATCGAGACCAAGATTGCCGAAGAACAAGCCGAACTTGCGAGGAAGAAGAAAGAGCGTGAGGAGGCCCACCTCTACATGAATGTGGGCGTAATCACAGAGAAGAGCTTTCAAGCCCATCATGGTTTCGATCTGACCAGTTACGAGCTCGAACAGACCGATCCAGCCAGCGCCCAAGTGTATCGAGTTCTCCGAACGACCACAATCAGCGAATTCGCCGCCACCATTGCTGAGGAGCTTGGATTGGAGTCTGATCAGGTCCGGTTCTGGGTCATGGTGGGTCGACAAAACAAGACCAATCGTCCCGACCAGCCCATTCGTGACGTCGAGATCACCATGGAAGAAGCAATGAACAAGTACGGTTCGAGGGGCCGGCCGTTTTATCTTTGGGCCGAAAATGGGACTAAGGGAGACGACGGCAAGATCCAATGGCCAGATGTCACGCAAGCTGTGGGCGGCAACGTGCCAATTCTGGTTTTCCTCAAATACTTCGACGTCAAGGCTCAAACTTTGACTGGTGTTGGTCATGTCTACGTCAAAAAACTGGACAAAGTGCAAGAAATCGCACCTCAGATCAATCGGATCATGCACTGGGATCCAAGCACGCCGATCCTCTTGTTCGAAGAGATCAAGTTCTCCATGATTGAGGCTATGAAGCCGAAACAAACCTTCCAACAATCCGAGATTCAAGACGGCGACATCATCTGCTTCCAACAAAACATCCCGGATCTTGACCTGTCCACAGCCACATATACCGACGCACGACAATACTATGATTACCTGCTGAACCGGATACCGCTTAGCTTTTATCCGAAACCTGGCACCGAGGGAGAAGCATTCGTACTTAGCCTCAGCAAGAAGATGACCTATGACCAATTTTCTGCTAAGGTCGGGGAGCACCTCAAGGTTGACCCAACTCACATCCGATTTGCCACCATTAGCGCCACCAACAATAAGATCAAAATGTGGATCAAACGCGGGATGAACCATAACCTTCAGCAAATCCTTCAGTCACAGTTTTCCTCTTATGGTGGATATGCTACTCATCGCGGAGACTCATTGTATTACGAGGTTCTCGAAACAAGTCTCGCAGATTATGAGACCAAAAAGATAATGAAAGTGATCTGGCTAAGTGATGGAATCAGCAAAGAAGTAAGAGTCCTCTGTTTGAAGTCATGTAACGTTCTAATTGAGATGTAGGAACCACTGGAAATCCTCGTCGCTAAGAATGGCATCATCGGGGACTTGGTCGCCGGCATTGCCAAAAAGCTCAACGTGGACGAAGAGACGGCTCGCAACATACGGGTGCTCGAAGTACATGGCGGCAAAATCCACAAAGAACTGATCGAAGATTTCAACGTGGTTGGAGTTAATGAACATACCACGCTGTATGCTGAGAAGATCCCCGACGAAGAATTGAACGCCTCCGAAGACGACCGGTTCATTTATTGTTATCACTTCGACAAAGAGGCCAACAAACCCCATGGTGTGCCGTTCAAGTTTATGCTCAAACCTGGTGAGCCTCTCAAAGAAATGAAGGAACGCATTAGCAAGAGAACAGGCATCAAGGGCAAATTGTTGCAGCAAATCAAGTTTGCACTTGTCTCCCGGACTCTTTATGCGAAACCGAGGTACATTGAAGACGACGACATCATTGTCGACCTCATCCAGGACGGAGACGAGATGCTCGGCCTGGATCATGTCAACAAGGCACGCAATTTCTGGGGAAGAGCCGAGGGGATGTTCATTCGGTAGATCCGTGGAGAGGGCGGCACGCTAACATCTTGTTGGAAGTGCGATGAGGCCTAGCCGCTATGCACCTTGTACTTCACATCCTATGAGATCGCCTCCCCTCAACATCACTCGTCAGCTGGAATTGACGGAAGCACAGCGCATAGGATTCACAATGTGGCCGGAATGTTCTGGCAGCATGCACCGACGTGGCAGATGTCAGGCCAGCGCCAGTTGGTCTAAGCCGATTACCTGTTGTCATCCATTGTCATGTCAAACGCGCATCACCTGAGCTGAGGATGGCTGACAGAGGCAGAGAGCAACGCTGCGAGCAGCTGGGGTGCCACGAGGCGACAGGACGGACTGCGTCGTTGCTCATGGACGAGAGATGTCAGAGAGAGAGCGAGAAAAACTTTGCTGGTGACTGGAGTAGCAAAACGAATGTGAACCAGGCTGAACTGCTGGTGTGTACACAATAAACGTAGAGACGAGCTTATGCTTCATGGCATCATGAAATTGACCAAAAAACAACAGAAGGGAAAAGCTGGCTAGATGAGCTGATGAGTATTGGAATATTGTTTGATTCTGTTTCCCTCTTCTTCGACAGGATAGTGGTTCTTCGAGTCATGTCGAGTCATATGGATTGTAAGAGTATTATATGTCTTTCTGGGATGTATCATGGAGTGTCTCCAGAAACTAAGTCAAACATTGTCCATGATCCATTCCCACATCCTCGAGACGTATTCCTCGTTCACAAGCCCTTCGGGTTCTCTAAGCGAGGGCAAACGTACGTATGTCTCTGCCATTTGGTAAGGTACTGCAGATACTCCGACGTCCTTGTCGGCGTTCTCCCGCTCGGCCTCCAGATTCCATTCGGACCTGGTCCTATCAGGGCAACCATTCCCTCGTTGCGGCTTCTCTTCCTCTTCTGCTTCTGCTACTCCTTCAGCCTCGATGGCTCTGCGTGCATTCCCCGGTATCCTGTATGCCTCCTCCCAGAATCCCAGCAGGCGCAGGGCCGGGTGGTTATGTCTCTCCGCGTCACTGGCGTCTTGGAGACGTGACAGGCGGGAGAGCCATTCGTGGATGGGCACGATTTCTAGAGCGCCGGCTCCCTGTCGTTGCACGACCCAGGAGAGAAGGTCGGACCAAGTCACGCGGGTAGCTGGATTGAGGATGTGGTAGACCGGAGGGCTTTCTTCTCCTCCTCCAGTGCTGGTTACCTCTGGCTCCCCTGTCATGGTACGAACGTCTTTGATAGTCTTCTGCACTTGACGGGGTGACCCACCATCGCCTTCGTTGAGTATGTCCTCTACAAACGCCCTCGCGGCCAAGTCAACTGGGAGCCATGCAAGGATCTCCCCGTTTTTCTGGCCCTGGGCCCTCCTGGCACGGTCCAGGTCTGGCAAACAACCCGTGACCCTGAAGCTGCTGAGCATCAGTGGATATGCCTCACTGCGACTCCACACGCCCGTATCTCTCGCCCCAGACAACTGTCCCACCCGAGTAATGGAGACGCGGTTTCTCAGCCGATGAAGTTGTCGCACGGCGCCGTGACAGATCTGTTCTGCAACCCATTTTGACTGAGCGTAGCCTGTCGGACCAGCCGCAGCGGGGTCTGAGAGGACGCTCTCGGGTATGGTTGTCGTCGACGAGTAAGCTGACACGGCTGCCACGCTGGAGCAGAATATGAATTTCGGAGCCACCCCCCGGTTCGACACCGACGAGGCCAGAGCGAAATTAATGAGGTTCTTGGTGCCCGCAAGGTGCGTCTGCGCAAATGCGCGTAGGGGTAACAGGAAGTTCACGCTCCATGCCAAATGGACGATCACGTCCACGTCGTCTGCCAAGGCTTCGTACGTCTCGTCGGAGAGTCCCAACTTGGAGTCCGAAAGTCTGCAGCTGTGTATCTGTGTCTTCATGTCGAAGCACTCTGGGACGGGAAGACGGCGCGAGGTCAGTGCCTTCAAGATGCGTTCCCGGGAGGCGGTGGCTGTGGTCCCGCGAACGAGGAGGTGGATTTTGGAGATGGAAGGGCTCGAGAGAAGTTGGTGCAGGATGTGTGCACCGAGAGAGCCAGTCGGACCAGTGAGAAGGACCTGCATGCCTCTTTTGCTTTCTCTATTCGGGGATGTTCCGGATCGTGCGGGAGGTGAGGCTGAAGGGGAGGGTAGTTCTGACTGGAGTCCATCGAAGACGCTGTACTCCTCGACCAGATCGAGCATTAGTTGATGCTGGGCCTGTTTGTCTCTCTTCTGCTCTCTCTGTTGACGGTCGCCTTTTCCCGCCCTCATGCGAAGGATGAGATCACTCAATCCCGCGACGTTCCCAGTGTCTTGCACCACGCTCAATGGCAAGGTTGAGCCACTGGGCAGCAGCTGAGACAGTGCGCGTCGGATCTGGATACACGCAACGGAATCGACTCCGTACGCGAAAAGATCTGTATCATCCGTGAGAGATTCAGGATGGGATTCGAAGTCCTTGTCACCCTCTCCAACGACGGTTTCAACGATGGTGCGGACCCGTGCAGGTATCTCATCATCGGGCACCTCTGGAGGAGGCGGACCCGTCCCGTTGATATGCTCCTCTTTTCCTTCATAGGCAGCTGCAATCTTTTCGGCGAATCTTTCTTCGGCCTTGCCTCTGAGAATCGTGCCTTTGCTGCTCTTCTCCAGTCCCCCGTCTAGGGGATCCATAGGAATAAGCATATGTTTCGGTATCCGTGCATGAGACGGACTCTGGCGGTTCATTTCTTCGACCACAGGCGCGATCTTTTGGAGGATGAAGTCTCCACCACTGCTCTGGGCAGTGTTGCGAGGGAACGCCAACGCCCCCGGGTAAGGTCTGCCATTGCCGAAGATGAGGATATCTTCGATCACGGAGGAGGCCGATGCGCGGATGGCGTCCTCGAGGGGCGCCGGGTCGAATTTCTTGCCCGTGATGAGCGTCAGTTGCGAATCCGCCCGTGAATGATACCGCCATGCATCCGGGATGGTTGGGTGCGGTGAGAACAAGTCGGCGGTGGCGAAGGAGCCATCTTCGCGATTGCGTTTGGCCTGCCCACGGTCAGTTCCGTAAACGCACAAGGAGTGTGGAAAGTGAAAGGTGAAGTGTGGAATGTATATATACCATATGAGGCCATCCTGGTCGGATCACGAGTTCCGATAGACCCTCCTCCTCTTCGCTTTGGGGCTCGAACTGGAGAAGCTTCCCACAAGTCGACGATCTGAGATATTTCCATTCCTTGTCTTTCGCATAGTCTCGATGGGAGGACATGAGAAACCCACATTCGGCACTACCGAACCGCGATATGAGGTTCACGTTGTCTTTGTTGATGAGGCTGTCCCCGACTTCGGCTGGTAACGCTGCGCCGCCCACGCCCACGATATCCATTGTTCTGAGATGTTCTATGCCATCCCTGTCCTCTGCCAGCATTTTCAGAACGTACGGTACCGAGGAGAAATACTTCGTCTCCGGCGCTGTCCCGTCACCCGCCGCCGTTGAAGCACCGTCGAGGCATTTGCAAATGTTTGCAGCGGTAATAGGGAGGTCTTTGCCTGGGAAGAGCCAAATCATGGCATTGCTGGTCCACGCTCGGAATAGATCGGCCACGCCGCCGTGGTAAAGTGGTGTGGTGGTGAATGTCGCCTGCCTCGTACCGTCAAGGACCGGAAGCACCCCGACCGCTGCTCTGTGCGTTTGCGGTATCGGTTTAGGGACACCGCTGGACGTGCCGGAGGTGTGGTGAAGATACGCCACGTCCGTCTCTTGGACATGGGCCGGAAGCACAGGGGAACTAGTGAAAGTATTCTTGAGAACTCGCACAATGTTCTCTCTGGCGAAAGGTATCAGGTGCGTTCTGAGAGCTTCAGGCGGTGACTGTGTCGTCTCCCGTGAGGCTTTCGTCGCAAGATCGCCATAGGGATCCTCATACAGCATCAACTCCACTTCGCAAGACTTGCATAGCTGAGCAATCGCAGACGGAGAACACTGAGGCGCAATCAAGAGCACCGGGTGACCCTGCCAAATTAAAGCCAGCCACGTAAACAGAAGTCCCGGAGAACTGGGACACAGGAGTGCCACCGTCTGTCCTTGTCGGAAAACAATCGTTTTCAACAACGCCTCCGCGACCAGATTGATGCCTTTTTGCACGTCCCTAAAAGTCAGGACATGCGAAGTCCATACCTGTGACGGGGATTTGGGTGCGAGCTCGTATAGGCCGAGGACTGGCACCTCTGGGAAATTTTGCGCCTTGAAGTCGATAAATTCTGCGATTGTCCTGTATGACTTCTCATGCTGGTATTTGATGGCCTGGTCTAACGTGCAAGTAAAATAGTTCACCTCCATCTTTCAAGACGGGATGGAGGAACTGAGGAACGCGACGCCTCAAAACGCATGAAATGAGAAAGCAGAATGTACAATGATTAGAACAGGGAATCCTGGCATGAAGACCATCACTGAAATCAGATATGGTCCTGATGCTACATCTTCATTATTGATTGGAACCGGCTGGTCACTGACATCATGACAGAGACTAACTGTCAGATGGATCGAAGTCGATGTTCGTTTTCAAGGTCGAAATGGGTCCAATCGCCCTATCTAGAGGGAAAGAAGATTAAGGCGACAGTTCAGACATGAATGAATATCACGCATTTTGCAAAAGAAGGAAGATTTCCACAATAAAGATAGTCGAATTGCAACATGGTTATTCAGCTTGATAACGAGGCAAGTGTTACGCATGAACCTCAATATCTATTAGCTTTTTATGCTCTAATCGTTGTTGCTATCCTCTTTGAGCTATCTACCTAGGTCAAGACCATAGTGTGTTTTCGAAGAGACATCCCAATCATATATATTTTTACTTCCTCAGGACGATCGATGATCAGGTCAGTATAGCTCTCCTATCATACCCGAACTTCAACTGCTTTGCCACAACCGTTCAACTCGTGAGCGACCCCATCTCCATTAGCATTTCCTCTGATACCCTCAATCAAGGTGTTGACCTTCTCAGGATCCGACGCATGTTTCGTGGCGGTCAATACACCGTTTGTCATCTTTCCGTCCACGTTCTTATGACCGTTGGGGTGGATGCTGTTCTTGTGAACATCGTCGTTCAGAACGTTCAAAGACTTTAGACCGTTCGATGCGTCATTCATTTCCACCGGCTGGTTGTTCACCGTATAACCAGTGTCGCTGGCGTCAACGAAAGCTTCGAGACCTTCGCCATTGCGAGGAAAGCTCTTCATCAGCGCCTTATGGCGCTTGAGAGCGGCGTACATTTCATCCATGGACACATCGTTCAAGAAGATGCACGACCCAAGCGGAGCGGGCACTGCAGCGCGCAGCTTTCCATCTCGAGTTCTCAGAATAGCTTTGGTACCCTTATCGAGAATTTCTTTGTCGAATTGGTGGTGGTCCATGGACAGCCCTGCGCGCGAAAAGAGGCGCAAAATCCGCTCGTGGTCCGCGTCGCTCAGGATGCCGCGCATATTAGCCAACGTGGCCGAATAGGCCATATCTATTGAAATTGCATGTCCGTGGCGGAGCGGAACTTCTGGAACCAGTTCATGCAATGGAGACCATCTACAGAAGTCAGAGGGGAGCTTTGCGCCGTAGTCGTTGTGGTACTTACGTGTGGCCGTATGCAATCACTCGATCAAGGCCGATCTCATGGAGATTCGGCGTCTCAAGTTTGAGCATCTCATGGATACCAGCCCGGTTGATGGTGTCAGCTGCCTTTCGCACCTCTTCAGGTGCACCATCACAGCGACCAAATCCAGAGTCGATCAGCTGCTCGCAATACTTGTCCAGGAGCTCGAAAGTTGGTAGATGGGCACACGTGGAGATCTTGATCAGCTCCGCAAAGCCATTGCGGATCTGAGCCTTTGGCAAAGTCCGCAGAAACGTAAAGTCGAGAAACGTGCGCATTGGTGCATGATAGGCACCTAGGCGGTTCTTGTAGTTGCCATAGTTGACGGCGACTTTGATGGACACCGATGCGTCAATCAGCCCAATAACAGTTGTGGGGATGCGGATGTAGTTTGTATTCCTGCGATAGGCAGCACAGGCAAAACTAGTGAGTAAATGTTAGTAACGAGTCCAAACATCAAATGCTAAGGAGATATATGGGCCAGAGTGCCTTGGGAGTCATTCGGCAGGTGGTAACTTTTACCCGGCAACATCGGTGACCAGTCCACCTCCAATGACTAGTACAGGTTCCTGATACAGATGTCAGCTGTATTCAAGGCGAGTCTTCAATGCGAGCCTCACCTTTCTGAAGATTCCGAATTTGTTCATGGAATCAACAATGCTCAAGAAAGTGTCAATGGACTTGGCTTTCTCGCCAATCATGGTCTTGTGAATATCCAGATCAATCTTGTAGTGATCAAAGTACTTTTGCATTTGCTCGCCATAGAGGTTGAAGATGTTGTAGTCCATAACGGCGAGGCACCGCCCCCACCGCGTATAGCAGTCGGCGAGGTCACTTCGCTTCGTGTTAAAGACTCCGTCGATGAAGGTGAAGTCATATTCGATCTTCTCATAACCCTCGACATGGAAACCGGCGGGCGTTGCGTCCACCGAGGCTTTGAGATCAGACATTTTAGAATATCTTCAGGGGTATCTCAGTTGATGAGAGTTTCCGAGGCTGGGCAGTGGGAAGAAGAGTCGGGGGATATCAAGACGTTTGAGCTACACAGTGGGAAAATTCGAGCCTAATATACCATACAGGGCACCCAGTCAGCTCGTCGGAGAGGGAGTACATTCTTCGCGACAACCAAGGCATCTGGTCGCTTCTTGTCTCCGACCAAACACAGTGCCTCCCTTTGACCGCTGCCATTGCAAAGGCTGGTGTGGAGTACAGAGACTGGGTCTCTTCTTCAGCAGGACTCAACAACTCCGGTGAGATATTTCCACAAGCGGGTCAGCAGTATAGGCAGAAACCAGATTTCAATGGGATTGATCCTGGTCTCAACATGCCAGGAACGCCAAAGATAACTTGGCGCCGATTTAGAATTTGGACAAGTCACAGTCATGATGTAGTCGTGGAAAGTCAATGAGGTAACGTTCGAGTCGCGACATTTCCGTCCCGGGAGTGTCACCCACGAAGGCTGGACATGTTCCTGAGACCATCTCTGCCTGGTCTGGGTCTTGTGTCACCGCCGGACCTTTCCACACACACAAGTCATAAGAACGTAGATCCTAGCGTCTCTGTCTCTCAGATCTTTCCCCTGAATCTCATGGAGTAGAGATCCGGCTCGGCGTGCCTCGACCACAGCGGGGCACAGTGTGGTGTCAATGTCGACCAGGAGTCAATTGCGTCTTGCAGAGATCTCCACAAGATACTGCCTACATGCAGCGGTTGATGACGACTCGGGATGTCCCACAACCAACACAAGGATATAGCAAAGGCGAAGGAGGATGTTGGCGTGGAGGGCTGGAAGACATCAGGCTACGGAGATACTAATCCGAATAGGGCTAGTGCCCTGATATCTGATTGGACTACATAGCAATGACCGGATCATCAACACATGTGGGCATTTTCGCTCCCTTCGATCATGACTTTTCCAAACTCTCCAGTCAACGGCGTCCGTTTGCCACGACCCCGACATATAGTGATTCATCTTGAATCTTCCTGGAGTCCGATCTCGCATCTTGCTTTCTCCCCCACATAGATCTAGTGACACCTCCTTCTCGCTTCCAACTCCGGTTGGCTGATTCAACATCCGTGAGTAGAAGAACAGCATTGTGATGACATTGCCACCAAATTGTTGGGTGGAGAGGTTTCTGTGGCTGTCCATTTCAACCACTTTCAGAAGCGCAAATTAGGTCTGTTTCCGGTAGACTCATGGTAGAACACATTCCCATCGTCTACTCTACTGTGAGATACTTGATTATCGAGAAGCAATGGCTGAATTCGACCCGCAAAAGAAATACCAGGAGCAAGAGGAAATATTCGTACTGTTCAGCCACAATATATCTGATGGAAAACGCTAACCGGATCTAGTTTGATGATGGCCGCGAAAGGGAACTCTTACAATTCATCTACGACAAGCCAGATGTTGAGGAGATGCGAAATTCGCCGCATAAAGTGCTGGCGGCTATCGACGAATTCGCACGTACTCAGAAGTACCTCATGAATGTGGGAGAAGACAAAGGCCGGATCGTGACTGACCTGATAGCCGAAGTAAAGCCCCAGGTTATGGTCGAGCTAGGCGGCTACGTTGGGTACTCCTGCATCTTGTTTGGAGACGCTTTGCGCAAGGCTGGCGGCAAGAGGTATTTCAGCCTTGAACGAAATCCGGAATTCGTGACTGTCATCTCTTCTCTGGTCGACCTTGCAGGGCTAAGCGACATTGTCAAGGTCGTTAAGGGATCAAGTGACGCCTCGATCAAGGAGTTGCACGCTACAGGAACTCTCCAGCACATCGACCTGATGTTCCTGGATCACTACAAGCCAGCGTACACCACCGACCTCAAGCTCTGCGAGGAGCTGAATCTGATCACTCCGGGTTCCGTCTTGGCCGCGGACAACGTGATTAAACCTGGGAATCCACCGTACCTGGAATACGTGCGGAGCAGTGTCGAGCAGAAGAAGCAGGCGACGCAGAAAGCACAGACCTTTAATGGCGTGGATACGCGCTTTGCCGATCAAACGGCCAAACAATACCTGAGAAGGGAGGGCGAAGCTAAACTGGACGAGACGAGGGTGGGCAATCCCCTCTTGATCTACGAAAGTAAACTCGTTCACAGCTTCGAGCCCTCTGGAGTGCCGGTGAGTACTTGTTCCATGATCAAAAGCACTACCACATACTTACCAGCCCAACCAGGACGCTATTGAAATCACGAGATGTATTGGGGTGGCCAAGGAAGACTGATGTATCTATATATGGAACCAAAATCTCATGAACAGATGTGTAAATCTTCCAAGTACACATACCTGAACCAAAGTAAACTGGACCTTTGAAGGTCGGCACAACCCATGAACAAGGCTTGTGTTATGGCTCTGAAAGATAGCCGTTGGAGGTCGTACTCATTCGTCACAAAAGGCTAGAGATCTTAGGCTCCTTCCGCCATACGCTCATCACATAATTCCCACCAGAGGCAAGAGCAATTGCAACAATTACTCCTTTAATATCAGTAAGAAGGTAATGTTTTGGGATAGAAATTGGTATTTTTGGACGACTCTCTAGCTGGCCCTCTAAGTCGGAGCGAATTTCCATGCCTATCGGCTCCACTTCTTCTCATGGGGTGACGTCTATACTTGATATCAGTATTATTTTCTTTTCTTAGAAAGCTCATACCTTGCACTGACTTTCAACGTGTAGAGGAGGGGGAAGTTTTAGCATTTCCTGAACACTCTCCGCTGTTCTCGCTCTCTGTGAGATTATCACGCCTGCATATCGGAGCGAAATATGCTTCAGGCCACGTCCTCGCTGCTGGCACACAGGGTGCAGAATGCATCGCTCTTGATTCTGAGCCTTGTATTCCTGCCCTTGGACACTTTGATCCTCATCGTTTCCCTCTTCATCAGCAAAGTCATTCCGAGCAAGGTGGAGTCGAATCGGAACGTGGCGCTCCGCGATGCTGAATCCACAAGGCGCACCGTCCTGGTCACCGGAATCGGTATGACCAAGGGTTTAGTGTTGGCACGATTGTTCTACGAAGCTGGCCACGATGTTATCGGGGCTGACTTTGAGCCTGACGGTGCGTTGGTGTGTGGGAGAGTGTCGTCGTCTCTGAAGCGGTTCTGTCGCCTCCAAAAGCCCGATACCAGGTCCGGGGCCGCGCCGTATATCCAGAGCCTCCTGGACATCGTAGTTAGGGAGAAGGTCGAGCTGTGGATCAGTTGCTCTGGAGTGGCTTCGGCGGTGGAGGACGGAATGGCGAAGGAGGTTGTCGAGGCAAGGACCGACTGCAAAGCTATCCAGTTCGACGTCAAAACGACACAGACGTTGCACGAGAAGCATTCGTTCATGGAACATACTAAGAGCATCGGGCTTACGATCCCTGAGACTCACGAGATCACAAGCCGTGCGGCTGTTCAAAACATCTTGCGCAATGCCCCGCCTGGTCGCAAGTACATTATGAAGACGATCGGGGTCGACGACTCGGTCCGTGGAGATCTGACGCTGCTTCCGAAGAAGACTGACCTCGAGACGTCGGAGCACATTGCACGGCTCAAGATCTCGGTGGACTCACCGTGGATACTGCAAGAATTCATCAAGGGCAAGGAGTACTGCACGCACTCGTTGGTCATACGAGGCCAAGTGAAGGCCTTTGTGGCGTGTCCCTCTGCCGAACTACTCATGCATTACACCGCACTCCCGGCCCAGTCCGCCCTAAGCCTGGCGATGCTGGAGTTCACAAAGGTGTACGCCGCCAATGGCGGTGTCGACTTTACAGGCCATCTGTCCTTTGACTTTATGGTTCGAGATGAGGACACGACTGACCCCAGAAACATTGTTCTCTATCCTATTGAATGCAACCCCAGGGCGCACACGGCGGTGGCGCTGTTTAACGGGACAACAGCGATGGTGGGCGCCTATCTATCCGTCTTCGAAGACCCTCACGGCCAGACAGACACTACTCAGATTGTGCGACCGCTGACGAACGACAAGTACTACTGGACGGGCCACGATCTCGTTACCTTGGTCATCCTCCCGGCCCTGTCCTTCCTCACTCTCTCTGGCACTTCGATCACGGGTCTCTGGGAAGGGTACGCAACCTTCCTCAACCACCTGCTGCTCTGGAAGGACGGAACCTACGCGCTCTGGGACCCGCTGCCTTGGTGGTGGCTGTACCACGTGTACTGGCCGATGCGGTTCTGGGGCTGCATCCGCCAGGGGAGGAAATGGAGTCGCGTCAACGTCAGCACGGCTAAGATGTTTGAGTGCTGATACTCACGGAGGGAAGCGCAATCTAGGCAAAAGGAAGGTGGCATAGTGCTTTGAGGAACAGCAGGGTATTTCTAATCGTTTGACTGGTATCTCCATCTATCTGCCTGAGTTCATATGAGGTATGATTCTTTTTTGTCTTAAATGAAAGGCTCCATAGAAGTCATCGCCACGAGTGTTATCACCGGGCTGGTCCTTGTAAGGCTGGTCCTTGTAAGGCTGGTCCTTGTAACTAGGGTTGAGCTCACTCAGGGGAAGAGAGCGTGGCACATATCCTCTCATTTTTTTCAATTCGAGTTCAGATGCAGCAGCCATCCCACTCCATCCACCGCGTCTCGCATCCTCTGCCTGGACATGTCCAGGTCCGGAAACATAGCCCACCAGCAATGCGCCCACCCGCGATACAGATCCAGTCTGGTCGGCACGTCGCACTCCTCCCTCAGCACCTTTTCGTATATCAGCCCGTCGTCCCGGACTGGATCTAGCCCGCAGACTTGGAAGTACGCCGGTGCCACGCCCAGGTGGCCGTGCTTGACGGACCCCCGACCTTCCCTGCCACTTTTATCGCGCGGATCGTGCTGGTCGAAGGGATAGCACAGCTTCGAGGCCGGGTCGGGCTTGAACGCCTCGATCAGCAGCCCTAGAAGGTGACGATCCAGGATCGGGGCGTGAGCGTTCTGCTCGTGGCTGAGGTACCGCTGCTGATACGGCGCTGGTACGCGGTCCGGGGCGATGTACGTGCCGGCCATCAATAGCTGGCCCGTCACGGGTGGGTGCAGGTTGTGGTCACGGGCTAGGTGTGCCAGCGCGGCGGCGAGGGTGGCGCCGCCGACGCTCTCGCCGCCTACGATGAAGCCCACGCGCGCGTCGGTGCAGCGCGGCAGGATGGCCGAGTTGGACTTGCGATTCTCGCGCGCGCAGCACTGCAGCACCTCCCACGCGTCGCAGATCGAAAACGGGAAGGGGAACTCCGGTGCCAGCCGGTACGACGCGCACACCACCACCGCCGCGTGCGCGAGCACCAGCTCCCGCGCCAGCCCCAGCTGCAGCTCCGGGTAGCCGATCGTGTGGCCGCCGCCGTGCAGTAGGAGGATGAGCGGCCGCGGTGGCGTGGTGGCTATAGTGGTGGTGGCTTGGATGTTGCTGTCCGCGGTCAAGTGGCACACGATGATGCGGCATGCCCAGTCGTCGCGGAGCTTGATCATGTGCTCTGTCTCCGTGATCTCGGACGGTCGAGAGCCAGCGAGCTGTTTCTGAAACGGAGCATAGCCCGCCGCCGCACCCTGTTTGATGTCCGCCAGTGTGTAGCTTGACCCGGGCTGCAGAGTGTTGGATTGCAGGGCGGCAGAAAAGGCCGGGTCGATGGCAGCTGTGGCGAGGATGTCCTCGATCGTATCAGGGGAAGACGATGGCATCTTTCCTCGAGCTGTGATGTCAAGAGAAATGAGGCCGAGAGAGAGAGAACTCGGCAAGAGAATGACACTGAAGCTGCTGATGAATGGTTTACCCTGATTCCATGGACGACGTCCAAAAGATAGCAAATCGAGTGAAAGGTCCAAACCTCTGCTCCTCCAGCGTCACTGGTGGTCAAGGCTCTTCTCGACCTTGCCGTGTTCGATCGGTTTCCCACCAGCCTCCCCTTCAGGATCGCTTTGCAGCTGCACCGGCGGCCAGTCCGTGTCGTAATATGTGGTTCCACAGCCGCGTACTCCGTACTGTACTGCGTATTTTCTCTCTGCACGGCCCGTGAGAGTGACGAAAGGGTCATTTTTCTCCGGGCCCGAACTTGTCGACTTGCGACTACCGCCAATAGTCATGTTGACGCTTACAGTACATTGTGATGGGTGGCCCCGAAAATAGGATCCTCCCAACATACAAAGGCGTCCGACGCCGTCGACGTAGCTAGATGGATTAGGGGCTGAAGGTTTTGCTTGGCAAGAGTGAGCAAGAAAGAAGAGGCCATTTCCCGCCCTGTAGACAAATCACTTGGCGAGGTTTCTCGGTGGCATGCGCACGGGGGAATATGGGCGTGTGGTGTTCGAAGACTGAAGGAAACGGCGACAAAGACGGGGATCTGTATCTAGATTTTATATATAGAAATGCCATGCAGCATGCAGCTGGGCGGATATGCAACGGGAGGTTGCCGCGGTTCGTCGAGGGGCGAATCGATCCACGGAATCAACTAGCCTGACGATACACGAACAGGGTTAGATCTGGGGCTGGTTTGGTGGTGAAGGCCACCATACAGCCTGATCCGGTCTCTGAATTTGTCGAGAGATGAGAACCATCTCTTTTCTAGCCCCAGCGTGGGAGGCTTGAAGGATGGAGGCTGATGAGTTCTGAAATGCATGCTCCAATCTCGATGGACCTTGCACCTCGCTGCCGACAGATTCTATTATGTACCGTTTGTGCGTGTAGGTAAGGGTGAAGACTTTTAAGAGTTGTAAACCTCAGGGTCCTTTGGAAGGTCCAAGATCCAAGGTGATTCGAAAGAAACAGAAAGAATGAAAGAAGGCAGCGGAGACGAGGCAAGAACATTCTGGGAGACGATGGAAAGATGGAGAGGTCGAGATAGCTGTAGCTGGATCCACTGCCACAGCAGTGGGTGACAGCGGGAGAGGAGGAGCAATGTGTGGCTTCCGTCGAGAGTGGTCTGCGGGCCACTTTTCTATCCTCCGGCGACCTGGATGATGTCTCGTACCTCCAGTGCAGCAAGAAGCGCCGTCGACGAGCCTGGCCAATTATGATTTTCCAAACTCTCAGAGCTTTCATGTCTCTGGCTTTGTTATCCTCGTCAAAATCGTCCGTCCCATGCCGTGACATGATATCATGCCGTGGCTCATGCAACCAGTAGCATAGATACAGTATTTATACATAGCCTGCAGACGCCCGACACGTTAGCCCCTACGCAATGTCTTTGATTACGGGCAAACAACTCACCTTTCCTCGCTCCCTGGAAGAAAAACCTGACCACCAACACCTGTAGACCAGCCATACCGACCATCATGCACACCTCAATGAGACTGAAATTGAAGATTCTCTGTTCCGTGCTCCTGACCGTGCTGAAATTGCGGTTCTCTCGCGTACGGAAGTATTTCTGCATCCTGCTGACAGTGCTGAGCTGCCCGCTAATCTTGAAAACCAGATCTTCTAGTGCAGAGGTTTGTTCGGGTGTTGAGCCGGCTTTCTGGGGGAGAAGGGCGGATTTGGATTCGTCTTCGACCTGCATTGTCACAAGCCGTTAGCGGTTTGATCTTGACGGGAACAAGGAGTTCGGGCTAGCGACGCTTACAGCAATCTCAAAATCGACCATCTTGTCCGCAAACGTGGACATCTCATTATTGAAGCAGACACGGTACTCGCCCGCGGTCTGCGCGGTGAAGACGAAGTCTCCCTGTCTCTCCTTTTCTCCGCTCATGATCTTCTTGTCGTTGGGCCCTACCACCTCGTAATCGATATCGAAGGAGCCACCAGATTGAACCTGGACAGTATGCGTTAGTCTATTCCGTGGAGACGAACCCGGACGGGACCATACTGCAAAGTAGAAAGCGACTTTGGCGCCCGGTCGGTTGACATTGCTGAAGAAGCAGGCCTTCTCATTGGCGGCAAGTTTGTATGTCAGAGCGGTACTGTACACCCGGGCCACAGCCAGGGCCAGCAGGCTGAGAAGAATCGAATACGCTCGCATGGCTGTGAGGATATTGCTGCGAGCGACAAGGGAATAGAGGACACGAACTCAATGACACGCGAGTCCAAGTCAAAATTCCCGAATAGGGGCCAGATTTCGCGTCCGCAGTTGAAATCTTGGCTGACGATTCAATTCAGGGACAAAAGGGGACAAAATCACGCCGCTTTTCCGACACTGTCGATAGGGGTAAGCTCTTCAAGTCTCGTTGGCAAGATGAACCGTATCAACACTGGGACAACTTCACTCGAGCCATGGCCTTGTAGGCGGAAAGTCCATCACAGCATCCCAGACGCTAACAGACGATTTCGGAAAGGCTTTTCATGCCAACGTCAGCGGATATACTGCAAAAATCAGACTGCCTCGCAGAGTGCCATCCCCTCCTTTGAGAATGTTACGGGACACAATTGAGTGGTATGGCAAAGTTGGCGTCACTACGACTGATCTTTCTGCCTACAGGTCACCACGGCTTGAGGGATTGAAACGAGCCGTTGGAAATGTGAACTCCTAAAAGAGGACAGCTCTTTGGCAGAAAGAAAGTTGTAAGGTTCATGATACAAACCTGATCTTTTCTACCCATATACCTCATGGCAACACCTCCAGCAGCTTGTATCAGAAATCACAAGCAAGGGCCACCTTCTCCGTGCTGTCTGCTATCTTGACATATTGCTCAGCTTTCTTCCTCAGTCCCTCCAGAGACTCTTTGCCCAATGGCAATCTCAAAATCATGGGATCGGATAAAGGCTCCAACACTTCCTTCACAATCGCCTCAGCGGTCTTCTTTGGGTCCTGCGGCGCTCCGTCGTGCATGCCCGCAACGGCTTGCAACACGTACTCTGTGACAGTGCCCCTATAAGCATCCGCAAGTGGCGGCATCTTCAGCTTGCTCGGGTCGTAAAAGCCAGTCTTCATCGCGCCTGGCTCGGCAATCAACACCCTGATATTGAAGGGCGACAGCTCAATCGCTAATGCCTCCGATATGCCCTCGAGCGCAAACTTGGACGCGGCATACATCCCGGCGCCAGGAGGGGGACTCCAATAGGTCGCACTGGAGATGTTGACGATGATCCCAGACTTTCGGCTTCTCATGGACGGCACGAGTGCTTGAATGATGCGCATTGGCCCCCAGAGGTTTGTCTCAAACATCTGGCGGGCGTTGTCTAGGCTGTCATTAGGGCATTGTGATCAGCAATCTTCCTTCGCTGAGAGTGAGAGAGAACCAGACCTGACTTACTCCATCACCTCTAAAGGCCCACCGTCTGCGTACCCGGCATTGTTCACCACAACATCTATGGCTCCATGTTTTTGGACAATCTCGTCGATGTCGCTCTTAAGGCTGGGACTGGACACGTCCAACTTCGCCCAAACACCGCCGAGGTTCTCGATCCCGTGGATCGCATCAGGAGTGCTGGATGGATTGCGCGATGTGGCGATGCATTTCTGCCCAGATTCAAGAGCAGCCCGTGCGATGTCGAGGCCCAAGCCTGTGCTGCAACCTGTCACAAGCCACTGCATCTTCTTCTAGTGTCTCTCGGAATGTCTGTCTTCGCCGATTTGAAGTGCCTGATTGAATTGTTGAAAAGGTTTGCTTGATGCGTATTGACTGACTGGAGGGAAATAGTCTCGAGGAGGCCTCTGGACATATATATACTGTACCTCTGTGCATGTGCTTAGATCTTTAGTGCTGCTGTGAATGGTGCGCCTATCGATTGGGGGCCTTGTTCCTGCACAACTGCACTGGATCTATGTCAATTATCTCGAAAACCAGCGTGCTTGTGATGCTGCGGCCGTAAAATTCTATCCTACGTCTCCCATGACTTGCTTAACGGTGGAAACAAGGGGCAATTCCTGCACTATTCGCCCGCTCGCGCAAGATCACCGAAAGAAGAAATCAGAGGAAACACCGCCGGATGAATAGGGAGCCGAAGCACAGATAACCGCTCATCCTGGTGAGAACGGGCTCGGATTACTCGTGTACTCGAGCCACTCGTCTTTGTCCATCTCCTTTCATGTTCTCAGCATCCCGATCGATTTCTGGCTTGCCACAGGCGATGGGCAGTAGGAAATACCAGGTAACTCGAATTGTCGATATGGACGACTTTGGCTAGCCTGATGCATCTCGCTGACACGAATCCGAGTACGGGCATGAATCGGGCATGGCGCAAGAGGATCCCAGATCAAACCCCTTCTGCAACTTGATCGCATTCGTCATACGATGATATGGACTCGACGGTGGCCAATCTCGCTTCCCCGCGCAGGACTGGCCCATAACTCGCATTTCCTTGCACAGTCCGACGTCACGATCGGCAACGAGGCTGTCGTCTTCGGTCCCTCTACACAGCATTCATAGACAGTCTCTGTAGAACCACCCAGGACACTTGCAGAGTTGGGTACAGCTGTCCCCACCGGGCTCATCTTCCATCTGCTTTCCGTTAACGCCGTCGCTCTTGCTTTATTCTGCGTTCAAAGGTAGTCTCCCCCAATGTCCGGACTTCGCGAAGGTGAGGATTGCATCAACGGGGATCGTGAAATGCGGTCAATTACGTCCTACTTCTCGCGCCTGAGGAGTCTGGCCCTCAACGACAGCGTCTCTTCAAAGTCTGCAAGCTCTCTCAATGGCATATCGCAGAAGCCTGTTCTGGTAATGGGCAACCCCTCGGCAGACCTGGATAGCTTCATCTCCGCCGTCGTGACCTCGTTTTGCTACAATCTGGCCGGAAACGAGGCGGCCCATACGAGAAAAACCACCTATATACCCATCCTGAACCTGCCGTCTGTCGGGTCAAGCGAGCTATGGCGACTTCGGCCAGAGTTTGGCGTTGCTGTGCGATTGGCATTGGGGGAATCGCCTGACACGGTCGGCAAGGAGGGGCGAGAGCAGGGCAAGACTGATGCACTGAGGGAACTCATCACCATCGCGGACATCAAGGCTGATGAAGGATCATCGCTATATAAGCTATTCACCGCCGACTCCAACGACTCCGAACCACAGCACCCAGACCCGACCACCGGGAAGCAGCCCCTCTTCTTGGTCGACCACAACTCCCCGTCAATACCAGGCCTGTCGGACGAAGCCATTTCGGCCCGGTTCACCGTAACGGGCTGCATCGACCACCATGTCGACGAAAACTACGTCGGCCCGGATGCGGACCCAAGGATCGTCACCACCGGGATCGGGAGCTGCACCAGTCTCGTGGTCACGCACCTGCGCGAACGTGGGATGTGGCCCACCACCTCCTCGACCAGGCAGACACAAGAACAACAGACTCCGAGCCCCCCTCCTCCTCCTTCACCTCCACACGTCGACCCGGAGGTGCTGCAGCAGATATCCAAGCTCGCTCTGGCCCCGATCCTCATCGACACCTGGAACCTGAGGGCCACGGGTGACAAGTGCTCCGACACGGACCGGGAGGTCGTGCGCTTTCTCGAATCCGTCATCGCCGCCACCGCGGTGCACACAGAAGCGCCCTCGCAACCACCAGCAGCAGCGGCAAAATGGGACGGGCGCGACGCCTTCTTCTCCTGCATCGCCACCGCCAAGGCCGACTCGCTCGACCTGTTGACCATGCAAGAGGTGTTTGGTCGCGACTACAAGGTCTGGACGGAGCGCCCCTCCGGGTCCGGCGAGAGCAAGGAAATCAACATCGGCATCTCCAGCCTGGTGAAACCGCTTTCCTGGCTCGTCTCCCACGCCGGCCGTGAGAGCGAAGGGCCCGCCCGAAGTGGCAACGCCGTCGACGCATTCCTGTCCGAGGTCACCGCCTTTGCCACCGACCCGGCGCGGCAACTAGGCGTGTTCTGTCTGCTCACACGCACGGGCGATGGGCGGAAAGAAGTTGCCGTGCTGGTCCTGGACGAAGACGTCAAGGCCGCGGTCGACGCGTTCGAGGCGAGGAGCCGCGACGAGCTACGCTTGTCGGACTGGACAGCTGCGACTGAAGATGGGACCAGCACGAGAAACAGCAATAGCGGTGATGGTGGTGATAAGGAGAAAGAGGCGGGAGAGGAGGAAGCGCAAGTCAAAGGACTCACGGAGGCGCTGACAAAGACGTTCGGCGACAAGGGGCAGTGGAAGATCTGGTGGATGGGAGATACGAGTAAAAGTCGGAAACAAGTTGGGCCGCTGCTGAGGGAGGCGGTGAGAGATCTCTAATGAATTGGGACGCGGGATCCAATCTGATCTATTGAGTCGATACCATCCTTCTGTGCGTATTGGGGGCTTGTGCGCGCTTGATTTCTCCTCTCCTTTGAGAGAGACAGAGAGAAAGGACAGTTCATTCGACCTTCTTCGCTAATCCGTGTGCTAAAATATCATCTGCATCGCCATCCGGGGTAGCGACGCCGCTCTCTGCCTCCGCAAGTTTCTGCATCTGATCATCCAGCTTCCCATAAGCCTTGGGGTTCTTTTTCGGTTCACCTCCCCCAACGCTCTTCATCTGGTACCCCCTCAACCTCGGTCCCTGGCCCGTCGGTGTCGGCAATCCGGATTCATACGCACGACCGAACATCCTGGTATCGTCTTCGAATGTTCGGTTCTGGATGCTTTGCCGGATGGCAGAGAAGAAGGCATCGATGACAGAGAAATTGTGGATTTGGAGCAGTGTCCATGCGAGCATTTCGTTCGCTTGGAGGAGATGGTGCACGTACGCGCGGTGATGGCGTGTGCACGTGTAACAGGCACAATTGGGAGTCAAGGGGGAGAGGTCTGTGGCGTGGGTGGTGGACCAGAGATCGATTCCGAGGGGTTGATTCAAAGTGTCCGAAGATCCTGGAAAGGTGAACGACAACGCCATTCCCTGCTCCGAAGATTGCGTCACGAAAGGTACCGTCAAGAGATCGACTCCCACGTGGATTGCTGCGAGTACTGCCTGTGGTGACAACGGATCGGTCAGGCATATCGTAGGGATATCCCGGAGCGCTTCTGGCAGGCTAACCACCGTCGAGGGCGAATAGACGCACAGCCCCGAGATGTGAGACTTGTATTCGTCCTTCAAGTCGGAAAGATACAACGACAAAAGTTGCGATTCGTACGGGGGGATGGCCGCAAAGAAGGAAAACCCTTCGTCTTCCTCTTTACTCTCCACAAAGTCTCGCAACCACGCATGTGTCCTGTCCACGCTCTTTTCTATCCTTTTGGCGCTGGCTTCCTTTGTACTGATCAGATCAGGTACGCTGGTTGAAATGTCGGCTTTCAGCCTTCGAATCGCTTCGTGATACTGCTCAATCTCAAGAAACCTGAATCCCACTGATGTTGAAATGGCGACGGACGAATTCGTGTTGTGAGCCGGACAAGGTATGTTGGGGACTCTGCGCATGCCGAGTACAGACAGGCATCTATCGGGCAGACCGATATACCGCCGTAATGGAGACTCCCCATTTTGTACGGGTGTATTGTAGAGGGGTGCATTTGCGTGCGACTTCTCAATGACTATCCACCAACTGTAAGCCACACAAGTCAGCAACGCAGCTTGACGCTGAAAGTTGGGGACGTACAGTCTTCCAAGGGCACATAGACAGCGGAGATGTTGGTGTGCTTCTGTAGATTATCCTGTGATAGGTGAGGAATCACGCCCCGCGAAGTCGGGACAACATAGTGCGGTGTTGAGATCGGATTTCGTCCACGGAGAGTCAAGTGACCCAGCCTCGCGGCGCACTTGGGCGTTGACGCCTGCTCAAGGACGAACTTGAACATCTCTTCTGGTTGCTGAGCAAGCGGAGCGCCAGTAGCGCCAATTACAGGCTCCATGGTGGCATCGTTTGTGGTGGCTTGTCTGTTTGCGTCGGCGAGATTTTTTATATGGCGAACGAGGCACTGGCGATGGAAAATGACGTTTGCGTTCCCAAAGCCCGTCCGTAGATATCGATAGTACGCAGCGCATGCCACTAATGTGAAGCGTACTCCAGCCTAGTGACTAGGCTCAGTGTCTTTCTTACCTGAAGATTGAACTTCTTCCCAACAATCTCTACATCAGTTTTTGATAGTTTTGGTCTAGCAGACTGCTCTGGCTGCATAGCTCAGGCTTGCCAGATGGAGCCTGCTACTACCGTGTCGCAACGGGGGAGACTCATCGTAGTTGAAGGCCTTGACCGCTCCGGGAAGTCCAGCCAGTGCCAGCGCATTTTTGAGCGTTTCCAGTCGGAAGGCCTGAAGGTCCGTTATGTCAAGTTCCCAGGTGTGTGCAACTTCAAGGTCAGTCGCATGGAAGCCTCATCTGCTAACTTCTTCCGGGAAAGATCGAACTACGCCTACGGGCCAGATGATCAACAGCTACTTGACCGGCCAAGATCAGCAGGACGACCATTCTATCCACTTGATCTTCAGTGCAAACAGGTGGGAAGTGATCAAATCTATCTCCTCTGACCTGATGTCTGGTATCAATGTCATTGTCGATCGTTATTCCTTCTCAGGGGCCGTCTATTCAGCTGCGAAGCAAAATCCGGACCTGTCGCTGGAGTGGGCATGGTCGCCCGAAATCGGCCTCTTGAAGCCCGATTTGTTGATCTTCTTGGACATCTCTTCTGCTGATGCGGCCAAACGTGGTGGCTACGGCGCCGAGCGGTACGAAAAGGAAGAAATGCAATCCCGTGTCCGGGGCCTGTTCAAGAAATTGTTTGCCAGACTGGACGGCGTCGCCGTTCATCAAGTTGACGCGGGGAGAACGATGGACGAGGTCACCGCCGAAATTCTGTCGGTTCTGCACCAGGGTCTCATGCCTGGCGAACTGCAGAAACTGGGCCCGCTGCTCGATCGAAGGTCTTGAGGAACAACAAGGATGACTGAAGTCAGGGTTCATGTGGTCATCCTTCATCTTCGCTATCTTCTATGACTATTGGGAGATTCCTAGGTACTTCCAAGCGAGCGGGAGGCTTAAACCGTACTGTACTCGATGCGATACTTGTGAAGGAGTCTGCGGACGCAAGGGACATCCTGTCTTCATCCTCATCACCGTCGTCAGAGCTCAACTCAGCCTCTTCATCAACTACTCGTTTCGCGGTAAGTGCTTCTTCTTCACTTTCCCAGGCGCCATCTTCCTCTTCCTCTTCGCTTTCAGTTTCCATCACCTCTGCTACTGCTGTCGTCGTGCTCTTGGCTTTCTTGCCCATGAGCTTTTTGACCTCCTTTCCACCTCTGTTTCGAAGGGTGACCTGTTGCATCAACTCCAGCCAAGCATGGTTCTTTCGACAGCTTGGACACGTTGCACTTTCTGGAACGATTGACGAAGCTGACTGATTCTTCTTTAGAGAGTCATCGGATAGACATCTAATATGGGATATGGCCTGACAGTCGGGCGTGTGACAAACGACGAAGATGCTATTACGGAGGTCGATCAGCCCGGTGCATACCGAACACTTGTGGTCATCATCTTCATCGAGCAGAAATTGGCTCTTTTCAAAGACACCTTTGAGTCGGGCGTATGTTGGATCGACGCCTTCCACACCACCTTTCCCGATCAAATCGGCTTTTCTCTTCCTCTGATTGGGCTGAGGCTGAGCCGAAGTGAATTCCAAGTCTTCTGACGGCTGAGGCCTGGGCTCTGCTGGATCGAAGTGCACTCTGAGTTCCGGTCTGATTTGGGTGTCGACACGTCCGCACCAGGTTGACCACGAACGATACACGTCTTCACTAAAGAAGCGGACCTCAAGCGGCCATTTGGAAAAGTATGGCGCCCGCAGCAACAGATGGAGATTTGATAACTTATCAATCAGGGAAGTTCTGGGTCGCCCGGGTCTCTTGGTGACTTTCCCCGTCTTAGAAGTCTTTGTTCGGGTGGTGGCAAACGACAGGCGCTGCTCCGGGGATATGTGGCGGGTCAAGTGTGCATTATGCCAAGCCCATTCAAATTGCAATGCCGCAATGTTGGAGGGAAACCCGGCGACGATACAGGCCATTTCCCAGGGACGAAGGCTGGCGCGAGACGTGCGCACGGCGCCGCCTTGAACTCGACCGTTGTGCTGAGCGAGGCGACGTGCCGGGTCCGGTGAGGAACCGATGTAAAGGCTTGAGTGTCGCACGGTGGAGCGAAGGAGGTAACAGCAGTAGAAGGCGGGAATGGGTTTGATATCCATCTTCACCCTTGTAGCATTCGGTGACTGAATCGACGTGTCGTTTATCCCACGCGTGGCGCTTGGGGCATGGAGATAAGGCCGTGCCTAATGGCTCGTCATTAGTGGCAACAGATCATCGGCCAATACTGAGCAGCCCCCGTAAACAAAGAAGAGGATTCTGACTGATGCTGATGGATCTGATGCGCACGGCATATGTCCCTTTGGCCCAACTGAAGGGCGTTGATGACGTTGATCAATGATCAGGGCCTCATTCCTCGTGAAGTGTCTTGTTGACAGAAGCGGAAAGAAGCATCACGTGCCTGCAGTGGAAGAGGGGACGGCACAATGCCAAGAGACTTGGCAGATTTGGCGCGATTGCACAAGCCTCCGAACCACCTCGCCACAAAGGAAGCGCAGCAGCCAATCGAGTCGGGCTCCATGTCTTTGCCCTTGGAGAGCATCTGGAGCCTCTGCTTGATTCTCTCTCGCGCTTGCCCGACGATCCCCATCTATCCACTTGTTACTCGTCTCTTGACCTATATCCCTCCTCTCACCTCTCACACCACAACCGGCGCTCTCGCAACCAGAGACTCCTGCCACTCCGCATGTGAGCGACTGCGTCTCAAGGTGCTCTTTTGGCACTAAGCATGCCGTGCCTTTACCTCAGAGTTCAACGCTAACCCTGCGATCCATTCTCTGTCCCTCTACAAGGCTGTCCGGAGGAAAACTCACTTGTCAACCCGCCCTGCCGCTCTTTTTTCTCGACTTTTCCTGTCCGATATCAATATCAATCAAGTTCAAAAGCTCTCATCTACGCCCGCCCTGGGGATCAGTCCCGTGAATCTCGACGCTCCTCCGAATCCTCCCTGTACAATTACAATTATCGAATAAGCATATCCCGCAGCTTGACCGGCTTTCCCAACTTGTCGCAGTCATGGTCGCTCCACCTTCGACTGGTGGTGTCGCACCACAGGCTGCGACCTTGAAGCCATCATCAGCCGCGTCGAGAATGAATGGTGCTCCTCCTGCCACCATGGCGACGCCGTCGTTTCCCTACAGTGCCCGCCGAGCACCCCCTCTCGATCTGCGAACTGTCGAGCGCAAGGGCCATGCCTATAGTCGCGATCCTCCAGCGAGGAGGAGGCTCCACGACCTCCCCGAAGCGCCGACTTTCCGGCCTACAGAAGCAGAGTTTCGTGATCCGATGGAGTACATTCGCAGTATCTCAGAGAAGGCGAGCAAGTACGGCATCTGCAAAATAATCCCGCCAGACAACTGGAATCCGGATTTCGCCATTGACACAGAGGTGAGCGCGCAGGGACTGTCGGCCGGAAGTGCAATGCTAACCTGCCATAGCGCTTCCACTTCCGCACTCGGCGCCAGGAGATCAATCTGGTTGAAGGAGGTGGGCTTTCTCATGATCGGTGTGATGTATCCGCTCTGACTTGTCTTGTAGGGAACCGCACAAATCTCAACTACCTAGATCAGCTGGCCAAATTTCACAAACAGTACGGCGCACATCTCAATCGATTTCCCTCGGTCGATAAGCGTCCGCTTGACCTTTATAAACTCAAGAAAGCCGTCGAAGTCAGAGGTGGTTTCGAACGGGTCTGCAAGGACAAGAAATGGGCCGAGATCGGGAGAGATTTGGGATACAGTGGAAAGATCATGTCATCCCTATCCACGTCCCTGAAGAATTCCTATCAACGATGGCTCCATCCTTATGAGGAATGGCTGAAATTCGCCAAAGCAAGTGTTCACCCGCAGCTTGACAATGACCATGGTGGAGCGTACTCGCCATCCCCCATGCCTCATCAGCCCATGGTCACTCACCCGCTTCCATCACAATCTGCTCCTCCAGCAGTCATGGAACAGATTCTCCGAAACCCCAGCCCGCCAGGCCTCTAACCCCCCAAGTACAGAATTCCCCCGGCCCGTCGCAACAACCACCGTCCATACCCTCGGCACCCCCTGCCACTCAGTCACGGCCAGCCTCATCGTCGGGATTCACCGCAATCAACAGCGGCTTTACTGCGGTGAACAGCTTTACGGCCATCAATACCCAGCCACCTCCCGTTGTCAAGAACGAAATGAACGGCATGCCGCCATTAAATCAAAGTCCGGCTCCCGCCTTCCCGGCCATCAATGGACCCACGATCACGACAATCCATTCAGCTGGTAATTCAATGACGAATGGATCTTCCAATCCATTGAAGAGGACTCTGAGTCACGATAGTCTCAATGGCGAATCCGGCTCAGAGGGGCTCGACGGTGAAGGCGATGCCGCCAACGGCAGGCGAAGTAAGAGACCCAAAAAGGACGGCATGCCCATAATCCCCGGCAACCACATTCCTGCAATGCGCCCGACAACCCCCCAAGTGCGCACCAAAACAGCACCTCGGAGACATGGCGACAAATGCGAGAAGTGCGGCAAGTCAGATAACAAGGAGAGCATCCTTGTTTGCGATAGCTGCGATTCGGGCTACCACAAGCATTGTGTGGAGCCTCCTTTGAGCCATATGCCCGAATATGACTGGCACTGTTCAAAGTGCCTGGTTGGAACGAATGACTATGGCTTTGAGGAAGGCAGCGTCTACTCTCTGAAACAGTTTCAAGAGAAGGCCAATAACTTCAAAGAGCATTACTTTTCCGCCCGGATGCCTTTCGACCCCGTTTCCAATACGCCAAAGAAGCCGACCGAGGATGATGTCGAACGTGAGTTCTGGAGACTAGTCGAAGATATCACTGAGTCGGTCGAAGTCGAGTACGGTGCAGACATTCACTCGACAACCCATGGCAGCGGGTTCCCGACCGTGGAGAAAAACCCCCTTAACCCGTATGCAAAAGACCCTTGGAACTTGAATGTCATGCCCTTCCTTGAAGAGTCGCTGTTCAGACACATCAAAGGTGATATTTCTGGGATGACAGTGCCGTGGCTGTACGTGGGTATGTGTTTCTCCACGTTTTGCTGGCATAATGAGGATCACTATGCATATTCAGCAAATTATCAACACTTTGGTGCGACCAAGACGTGGTACGGAATCCCTGGCAAAGATGCATATCGCTTCGAAGATGCAATGCGCAAAGCAGTACCGGAATTGTTCGAGACCCAGCCTGATTTGCTCTTTCAACTCGTCACGATTCTTCCACCACATCAGCTGAGAAAGGCTGGGGTGGAGGTTTACGCCCTTGACCAACGCGCGGGTCAATTTGTTATCACGTTCCCTCAAGCGTACCATGCGGGATTCAATCACGGATTTAACTTCAACGAAGCTGTCAATTTTGCGCCAGCTGATTGGGAGCCGTTTGGCGAGGCTGGTGTGCAGCGACTGCAGGAATTCCGCCGTCAACCATGCTTCTCGCATGACGAACTTCTCTTCACCGCGGCAGCGTCGGATACGACAATCAAGACAGCAAAGTGGCTAGGACCTGCGCTCGAGCGAACCCGGGCCCGAGAGTTGGCTGAACGTCAAGGTTTTGTGGCACTTCACCAACGGCATTATCCCCATGACAACTGCACGTTCGATACATTGGCTCCTGAGCCGTCAGAGTCCTGTGGCCTCATCATCAAGATTGAGAACGCCGAGCTTGAAGAGGAAGAATATCAGTGCTGCTATTGTAAAGCATTTTCTTACCTTTCACAATTCCGGTGCCACCGCAGCGGCAAAGTCACATGTCTTTTGCATCCTGAAGTGTCTGATTGCTGCTCTGACTCCCCGAGCGAAAGGCTGAGAGGACCCAATCATAGTCTTCTCGTTCGCTATACCAACCAAGAGCTGAGCAACATTGTTCAGAAGGTGGTGGATAAGGCCAATGTACCTGAAGCTTGGGAGGCAAAATTAGAGGCTCTGCTGGCCACTGACGCGCGGCCTCCGCTCAAATCAATGCATACGCTGCTGACCGAAGGTGAAAAGATACCACACCCCTTGAGGGGATTGGATGAGCTGGCCGATTTTGTCAAAAAGTGCGACCAGTGGGTGGACGAGGCGAACTTGTATCTCACCAGAAAGCAGCAAAACAGACGAAAGAATGAGAAGGCCTGGCGACGATCTTCCCTCCGGACCGGTCGGCCAGAAGACAAGGATACCGAGCCACAACTCACCGTGGAGCGCATGAAAGAGTTGATCGAGGAGGGAGAACTACTCGGGTTCAGTGCGCCCCAGCTCGAGAGCTTGAAAGAAAAGGTCACTGTTATCGACGAATGGCGGGCAAGTGTGAATCGCATTCTCAGGGGTCAGCACCAAGCGACATCCGATGAGCTGGAAGCTTTACTTGAGGAAGGTCGCGGCTTCATGGCAGCTATGCCTGAACTCACAAACCTGGAGCAGGTTCACGCGCGCACTCACTGGCTCGAAGAGGTCCGACAGGTTCAGAAAGACGTGCAATCGAAGACCCTTGATGATTGCAAAGAACTTCTCAAGCGTTCAACCGAATTGGAAATCTCACCACAGATGCCGGAAATTTTGTTTCTGACTGAAGTGGTGAGACAAGGTGAGTTCTGGGAGATCAAAGCGAAAGAGGTCATGGCAGCCGAGGATGTCCACTACCCACAGCTGGAGTCGCTACATTCCCAGGTCCAGAATCAGGTTTTCCCTGTCAACAAGGAGACTTTGGAGCAGATGGATGTGATCCTGGCCAAGAATCGCGAGGCTAAACGCCAGATTATCACCTTAGTCGAACGAAGCCACGATCCAGATCTACGAAAGCGCCCCATGTATGTGCATGTCCGGGATGTGGTCAAAAGCTTTGAGGATCTGAACGGCAAACCTCACGGCGCTGCCGACTTGGAGAAAGAACTGCGGAGACATGAAGATTGGATGAGAAGGGGCAAAAAACTATTTGGCAAGGCCAACGCCCCTCTTCACATCCTCGAACAACATATGAAGTTCGTGGAGGAGAAAAATAACTTCTGCTTCGACCTGAACGACACGTTCAGGCCTCCGGTTGAGCCTGCGTCGCGAGAGGCCACGCCCATTGAGGGCGAGGAGAAGGGCGCGCTTGGTGACGAGGAGAAACCAGTTTTCTGTATCTGTCGTCAACCCGAGGCCGGGCTCATGATCGAGTGCGAAATCTGTCATGATTGGTGAGTGGCTTTGCGTAGTCAACGAGGCTCGACTAACACGTCTTCAGGTACCATGCAAAATGCCTCAAGCTGGCCAGAGGAAAGGTCAAGGAGTGCGAGATGTTTACTTGTCCTATTTGCGATTGGCGAGTCAAGATCCCTCGCGATGCGGCCCGACCAAAACTCGAAGATCTCCAAGCCTGGCAAGACGAAATCCAGGATCTTCCTTTTCAACCGGAGGAAGAAGAGCTCCTTAAGCGAATCATTGACAAGGCGCAGGCATTTCGTGAGTTCCTCATGCGGTACACAACTGGCAGTCAACTTTGTAGGACCATCGACGAGATGCCAGAAATGCTGTTCTACCTACGCAAGATCGAGGGTGCAGAAGTTCTCCTGGCATACGAGACCAATGTACTACGGCAGGAACTGCACAAATGGCAGCCCATTGCTCCCGAACCGCCGCCTATCCTGGACCAGAGTTTGTCAACGCGGAAGCCCCGACCGACCAAGCAGCAGAAGCTGATGAAGGAGCACGGAGTCGAAAAACCCGAGGATCTTCCGCCGCATTTACGGACAAAGACCTATGTGCGCAGAAAGACGCAGGAATCCTTTGTTACTGGGCCTCTGCGTCCCAAGCCGTCGACGCAATCACCATCTGCACATGGCTCCACTTCGAGTCCCGGTCAGAACAGTGGGCTTGCTGAAGGCTCATCTGCCATGCAGAGGCAAGACTCCAACGAGCATGGAGGACCCGGTCGGACGTATGAACCGGGTTTTATGTCCGGGCCATCCTTTGTAGAACGCCGACCTTCTCCCTATTCATCCAACTCGCCGTCATTCTTCAGCCCTACGAGGGAAGCACCACATGAAGGGTTGCGGGATCCCATGATGCCCACCTTTGGTGGAGATCATTCGGAAGAACGAAACCACGACCCGTCATTCCCCATGTTCCGATCGGGTACTGGGTTAGGTCTGGATGCTGACGACGAATTGCGGAGTGGACTTGCCAGTGCAGCTACGAGTGCGCCCAACTCTGCGAGAGGGGTCTCCCCAGTCGTTGGGGGCGAATACGGCCATATGTTCATGGGCATGACGAATCCAGATGCGGACACGAGTAATGATGCGGTGCCGAGTCTAGAACAAGAAGCCAGTCACGCGAGTGAGGCACTTGACATGATTCGAACGGCGAGCAACGATTCAGCGAACGACCATGCGGACCTGGAGGACGGGGAGAACGTCTCGAAACACTTTGACGACTTTACCAGCGGAGACGAACGGAGTTGAAAACGGGGTATGGATTTCTGGTTTTTGCGCAAGAAGGGGAAAAGATTCAGGAATCATCGTCAACACCGGGGCATTGCATGTTTGGCGAATTATCCAAAAAGAGGTGTTATGGAGCTGACATCGGGAACTGTGATGGGGCTCGACATTGGAGGGGATCCATTTGTATGAACTATCCTATCATCACGACTCATAGAACAGCCTGGTGGTACGGACATGGTACGGACATGGTGCGGGCAGGTTCATGCGCGGCTAGAATATGGAGGATATCTGCATCCTTTTGGACTTGTGTATAAGACCTGAGATGGGGCCAAGGGGCTACTGGTCTCTCCCATCTGTATCCATGCCATATTTACTGCGCCAACAGTTTCTCTGATGTGTACATACATAGAAAACATTCCCATGGTGCCAGTAGAAACTGCGTTGAGGGGGCTAGTGAGGCCGAGGTCGGCAGTTGAGATGAGCGATTGGCGTCATTGACCGAGTGCAGAGAAAATTCCACTGACACCCTCTGGCAAAATGTTATCGCGGGGAAACTTTTGCCTGTCCTGGACCACAACTTCACCCACCCAAGCTGGTAGTTATGAGAAAACCCACAGCACCGCACGAAAGGGGACTTCTTCTCCTTTCCTAGAGGGAGGGGACCTGAATGTGGGATCATTGACGTCTGAGCTGGGCGACGTCCACCTGAAAACCTCAACAAACGTCTTCCATGACTCGAACTACCTTGCGCAGACGACCAACTCCATTGACACGCTCGCAACATCCTAGACTCTACTGAACGCGGTCCGGGGACGAGGCCAAGTACTCACAAAGACAGAGCACCAGAAACTATGGCCTCTCAACACGATGATCGTCTGCCGACGCTCCTGTCCTCTCTCCCTGCCTCGTCCTACTACTTCTCCCTTGAATTTTTCCCTCCCAAAACACCCTCAGGCTTCTCCAACCTGCAGGCGCGTCTAGCCCGCATGGCCACCGCCCTACGGCCTTTATTTGTCACTGTGACCTGGGGCGCAGGCGGTTCCACCGCCACCAAATCCTTGGAGCTGGCTGAAGTATGTCAACGACAAATTGGGCTCACGACAGTGCTGCATTTGACCTGTACGAATATGAAGAGGCATATGATTGACGAGGCATTAGAGGGGGCCAAGGAGATTGGGATTAGAAACATTTTGGCACTGAGAGGAGATCCGCCTCGGGAAGAGTACAAGGATGTCACGGCCACAGACGACAGTGAGAGCGGCAGTGGTGGTGCGGGCACGGAGAGCAACCAAGAGTTTACGTGGGCGGTGGACTTGGTACGATATATCCGGCGAAAACACGGCGACTATTTTGCAGTTGGTGTCGCAGGTTACCCTGAAGGCCATGCAGACGAATCACACCCAGAGCAGGGGAAACAGAGTGTCGAACATGATCTACCATATCTTGCCGAGAAAGTCGCTGCTGGCGCCGATTTCATTATGACGCAGCTCACCTATGATATCGAGGCCTACGCCGCATATGAGAAGAGATTGAGGGGGTACACTGACCAGGACGGCAAAAAGTTGTTCGAGAGGATCCCCATCATTCCCGGCCTGATGCCCATCCAATCCTACCAAATCATCAAACGAATCACCAAACTCAGCCACGCGAAACTGCCCGAAAAAATTGCCCAGCGAGTTGAACGTGTAAAAACGGACGACGAAGCAGTAAAAAAGGTTGGAGTCGACATCCTTTCGGAGCTGGTTGAAGAAATGAAGGCATTGCCACAGCCGGAAGCTCTTCCTCGGGGTTACCACTTCTACACGCTTAACCTGGAGAAGAGTGTATCATTCATTCTAGAAAGAACAGGGCTGATCCCCTCGATTTCCAGCGAAGGGAGTGTTGAGGAGAAAGACGGAGACTCGGCATCTGGTTCAGATGTGGCTGTTGACGACAGCCAGCACGATACTCCGGTTATTGTGACGACAGGGCCCATGGATAACAGAGACGAAAACGGACAACAATCTTCTGGCTTTATGCGACGCCGGAGAAGTTCTGTCAACGCGCAGCCTCACAATCGTGTCATAACAGATCGGAGAACTGAAACCCGAACACAATCTCGCCGACCTGACTCGGACACTGACCCTCCGGGTTCGGGACCGAGTCCAAATATAAAACTGACATCTCAACATTCAGCCAGAGATCGCGGCACTGGCATTCCTGCTGCATCTCCTTCCCGGCGGCACAGCCTGCTCATCTCTGAGGGACAAGGGTCTTTGGGTCGTGAAGCAACTTGGGATGATTTTCCCAACGGTCGCTGGGGACCCTCTCATTCACCTGCGTTTGGCGAGATTGATGGCTACGGGCCGAGTCTGAAAGTGAGCCCGCTTGTGGCGAGGAAGCTCTGGGGCTATCCGAGGAGCAGAGAAGACGTCACGGAGTTGTTCAAACGCCACGTGTTGGGAGAGTTGATGGCTGTACCATGGAGTGATGATATCGACCCTGATTTGACCTCTCCTAACGGGGCATCAGTCGATGGGTCCAAGAACTCGAGTGCGCTACGCGCTGAGACGGACGTGATTCGGTCTGAGCTCCAATCTCTCATCAGCAGTAAGAACTACTGGACCCTTGCCTCCCAACCTGCTGTTGACGGCGCCCCTTCATCTGATCCCATCTTCGGCTGGGGACCTCCAGGGGAAGGATTTGTCTTTCAAAAGGCGTTTGTGGAGTTCTTCTGTGGGCGAGATGAGTGGGAGCAGAATCTGCGGCCACGATTGATGAAGTATGGGAGTGACGTGCTTGGTTGGATGAAGACAGACGCTGAGGGGGTGTTTGAAAGCAGTGAACTGGTAGCCCGGGATCATGCTCGAACAAAGAAGGCTACGTTGGCGGATACGGAGAAGGAGAACACGAAACCGGGCTCTCCTCTCTACCCTTCAGACCAGAAGTCCGCTTTTTCGACCTCATCTACCTCGCCGATGAATACGGTCAATGCCGTGACATGGGGAGTATTCCCCTCCCGCGAAATCTTGACACCGACCATCATCGAAGCCGAATCCTTTCGTGCCTGGGCACAAGAAGCCTATGCAATATGGAATGAGTGGAAGCGTTGCTTCCCCAGAGGAAGCCAAGAGGCTGTGTTCTTGGAGAAGATGGGGAAGGACAATGTATTGGTCAATGTGGTGGGACAGGCGTTCAGAGGAGGCCATGATGGCGGAAAGGGAGAAGGGGCCAGACTTTGGAGGATATTGTTGGCCGAGGAAGGGGAGGGCTAGTCATAGCCTGGTAGACGACCAGGCAAATAGGTACTGAAGAGCGGCACGAGAGAGGATGTCACGCGCAACGATAAAGCACGTTTTGTCCCAGTCAAGACGGGTCTACGGCACAGTCTATTCTTTGCTTCGGACACACGTTCAGAAAATTCGATTGACTACATGCCGATTCCTACATAAATGCGACTGTGCGTATCCAGAAGAAGACCCTACTGTGACCATATCCTCGCCTTTTTTTGGCCTATACCATTGCGCCCGTCTCTCCGATAGGCCTAGCTCGATTAGCATACCGATGTCCCTAAAGGACAATAAGATATAACCCACTCGGTGGACATTTTCCTATTGGTTGAATAGGATATATCGTGCATAGCATATCCGACAATGTCACTCCGATAGGGTCTGGCTGTGCTATGCTGTTTGCCGGAAGACTGTACTAGCGGAAACATGCTATTACGCGAAATGTTGTGTCCTCCGTCAGGACTGCACCTCGGTGAAACCAAAAGTGACCCGGTAAGCAAGAAGATATAGGTTTGGTTTATGCGAGTTCTGTCCGGTGAGGCCATAGCATCAGGCCTGGTCGAAACCCTGTCCCTGGGGCTATTCAAAGTAACCAGTGTCCATTTTTCTCCCACAGACCTTTGGATTGACTCTTACCGTCTGCTGAAAGGATCGACCAAGCAGACGAGACTCTCCCAGCACCACACAGTGCCCCAAACGATGCCGACGACGGAGTTCAAGTACGCATGGCTCTCGCAAATGGACCCGGTGTGGGAGCCCATCCAGGCAGAATGCGACGCACGATTCCGCATCTTCTGGGACCTCCCGCCCGAGCAGTACCAAGAGGCGTGGAAGTCGGCCCCCCTGGTCATGCCGGAGGGTACTCCGATGGACCTGGAGGTTACATTCACGACGATCCCGCTCCGCGATGGCTACGAGGCAGAGCTCAAGATCTATAGGAACGTGGAGAGACTCAAGGCCATGAGCGGTGGCAGCTATGAGGGAGAAGGGGAGAAGCAGAAGAGCGCTGCTGCTGGGGCGCCGCTGATGCTCGTCGCGCACGGTGGCGGTTGGATGATGGGCGATCACGCTGTCGAGGAGGGTGTGTGTCGATACACGGCTAAGGAGACCGGGGCTGTGGTGGTCAGTGTGAACTACAGGCTGTGAGTGTGGCCCAAAAAGTCTCTATGCTTATTGATCATGCGACTCAAGGTGCCTTTTATTTCAGAGCTCCCAAGTACCGCTTCCCGCAGGGTTTGAACGACTACTACGATGCATTCAAATGGGTGAGTGAGCTTCTGCAAATGTTTCTCCAAACCCCTTTGTAGCACCACACTCTGGCCCCGAAATGCGATGTGTGCGGTCTTTGAGCCTTAGGCTATCCTATCCATGAGGAGAGCTGCTCACCTTGCTCGTGGAAGTGATTGCATTGTGACAATGCTCTCTGGGGGCCCCCTCGGCCCCTGTCAAGTCAAGCTTGTAGGGTTATCTAGCCTTGTCAGCGAACGTGATGAGAGACGGAAATGATAATTCAGACTTGAATCAGAAGCTGATCAACGAATCAGTGCAAAGCCAACGCCTCTACCCTGGGGATTAATCCCTCCATGATCATCACCTGCGGTAGCTCCGCGGGTGGCAACCTCGCTGCCGTGCTCCCGATCATGGCGCGGGACCAGAACGAAGGCGGTATCATCGGGCAGCTGCTCAACAGCCCGGTTCTGTGCCATCCAAAATACTTCCCCAGGGACAAAGGTTACGAATACAACAGTTTCCAACAGAACAAGAACTCATCGATCTTGGGGGAGCAGAACATGCTGAACTGTTGGGCCGAGTACTACCCCAATACGGGGCCCGATGTCTATGCAAATCCACTGCTGGTAGACTCGGTGAAGGGCCTGCCCCCTGCATGTGAGTGATGGTGAACGTCTCTCTGGCTTGACCAAGAGTCTACAGTGCGACTTGAGATTTCCTCTCGATAAAGTGGAAAACCAAATCCAGCTGACCGTGCGAGATATTACTCCTTTTAGTGATTCAAATAAGCGGCCTGGATCCGCTCCGGGACGAAGAATTTGCATACGCCGACAGGCTAAGAGAAGCAGGGTACGTGCTCAAGTCTGTGCTTCCAATTTTTGAGGACAGGAACAATGATTTGTTGGCTGACTCTTTGCCTCACCTCCCTGTCTAGCATTCCGGTCGACATAGAAGTCTTTCCCGGCCTTCCACATGGATTCTACACATTTCCACAGTTGGAAGCCACAACTAAATACTTCAAAAAGTCTGCGGCTTGGGTCAAGAAGCTTCTGGCATCTAAAGGATGGGATGCTTAAGGTGGAACAAAAGGACGATTCCACATACAGGAAGGCTTTACTCACTGTGACCAAAGCTTGGTAAATCATCGAAACTCAAGTCCGAGCTCCAAGGCTGCATCTCTATGTACAAAGTCGGTGGGAAAGTGCCACAGCGCTGATACCTCAGAACTAGCCCTGCTTCAGCTGGAATCCCTCGTACCCATTCTTCCTGACCTCTCCACATGTCTTCCTGTACTGCGGCATGCCCAACATGTAGTTGTAACACTCTCTGGGCTTCCCGGGGATGTTGGCGCCAAACCACCAACTTTTCGCGTACTTGAAGAGCCCCATCTCGCCCGCGGCCAGGATGCCCTCGCGCCACTTCTGCTCGGCCTCGAGCGTGGCCTCAATCGTAGTGACCCGGTCCCGCCGGAGGTCGCGCAGCATGTCCGTGAGCCAGTCGCCCTGGAATTCGATGCAGTTGGGTCCGATAGAGAAAGGGCCGGGCGACTGCGGCCCGTATACCCAGAAGAAGTTGGGGAACCCGTGGCTGCACATGCCCAGGTACGTCTGACAGCCCTTCTTCCACTTGTCGCCCAGCGTGAAGGACGGGTCCGTCCCGCGGATGTCGACGTGCGTGAGGCCGCCGGTGATGGTGTCGAAGCCCGTCGCGAAGATGATCACGTCCAGTTCGATTTCAGTGCCGTCCTGCAGTTTGATTCCCTTCTCGGTGATCTCGTCGATCGGTTTCTCATTGACATCCACCAGGTCCACCGTGGGAAGGTTGAAGACGTCGAAATAAGTCCGGTACAGGGAAATGCGCTTCGTACCAAACGGGTTCGGCGCCTTTTCCGGGCATAGCTTTTCCTGTTTGTATGGGTCTTTGATCAGCGGCGCCGTCTTCTTGCGCCAGAACGCGTATGCGGCCTCGGCGGCCTCCGGTGTGAAGGACGTGTCCTTGTAGTTGCCCACCCAGAACCCGAAGCCTCCCCTCTTCCACAGCTCCTCGTAGAACTTCTCGCGCTCCTCAGGGCTGTCCTCCAGCGCAGACTTGTCGTGCCAGGAGTATAGAAAGCCGGCCCACGTCGCTTTGGCGAGCTCCTTTATCTCCGGCATGTCCTTCTTCAGCTTGTTGTTGTCTTCGCGATTCAGGGGCGCTTGATCCATCGGCAACGCCGTGTTTGGCGTCCGCTGAAACACGGTCAGCCGCGAGGCCACGGGCCCAACTTCTTGGATCACTTGAACCCCTGTCGCTCCGGTGCCGATCACGGCGCACCGCTTGCCCTTGAGGTCGACTCCTTCACGCGGCCACCTCGAAGTGTGATAGATACTTCCTTTGAAGTCGTCGACGCCTCGGAAGGGCGGCTTATACGGCACAGCTGCGAGTCCGGCGCAGAAGAGCAGAATGCGCGTCTTCACGACGGTTGTGGTGTTGTCGTGCTCGTTCGAGGTCTTGCAAACCCATAACTTCTGCGCCACGTCCCAGTGCGCACTCACCACGCGGGTATTGAACGTCGCGTCGGCGTGCAGGTTCCACAGCTTACCTACGTGCTGGAAGTAGGTCTCGAGCTCTTCACGCTTGGGGTACGCCTCGCTCCATTCCCACTGGTCCCATGTTTCGTCGGAGGAGAATTGGTACGTGGGCACGATCGAGTCGACGCGGGCTCCAGGGTAGCAGTTCCAGTACCAGGTGCCGCCGAAGGTGCTCGCTGCTTCATACAGGTGTACGTCAAACCCGAACTGACGCAGCTTGTGCAAGAGATACATCCCGCCGAACCCGCCGCCGACGATCATCACCTCCCACTGTTTTTCGGGGCTCATGGATCCCATGATGGCAAAAACCTCTCGCCAGTAGAGTAGCTGAGGAGAAGAAGCAATAAGCACTTTGTCTGAAAGTGTCGCTCTAGGCGAGAATGATAGAGACGGTGTCTGATACCATGTTCTAGATTCGACTTCATTTTGAGGAGTTGGTTTCGAACGTAGCCTCACACGTTATTCAGAGCGGAGTTGATTAGGCTGAGGGATATCCGCCCGATTGGGAAACTTCATGTTCGCCTCAGTCCACCACTTACTGAGCTTGATAGACTCTGCCAACCACACGACTCACTGATACACTGACGGCACATCTGCAAATTCCAGCGTCGGGCGGAACTTCCTTACACAAAGTGGCGAGGTGTGCCCCTTAGGGCGGAATTCATTTTTGCTCCTGGAAACGTACCAAGTACAAGGGTGAAAGAGACAACTGGTATCTCACCGAGACCCTCAATTTTCCGAGACGTGGGGAAACGGCTATCCCCGGAGTCCAGACGCCGCTTACGTCCAGTGTCAGAGTGACGGGATCAGTCTTGTTGCAAAATTCTTTTGGATGGAGCGATGGCTTTGTTCTGGGGAAGAGGCCCCTTTCCAAGCTATGAGATGGATCGTAGTTCTGTATGGTCTCTCAAGCGGATATTGTCATAATTGTATATAGAACCAATCTCAAAAACTTTCAATCCACTTCTGGAAGAAACATAAAGCTAATGAGTGTCGCCCTGACGGCGATGGTCGCCTTCTGCCCAAGTCTCCCTCCCCGTGCTGTACACTATGTCGTCGGGTCCGTAGGTGAACTGAATGCGGTACGTCCTGTGCTCAATGTACCATTTCCCATCCACTCGCCTCCATTTGTCCTCATACGTGAGCCACGTCAGCTGGACCTGGCCGGCGTATGACCCTTTACCGGCGTGCGCGGCGAAGACATTGACCTTCGAATCGGCACGTTCGCTGCCGGCCAAGGTGATGATGTGGTTCGACAGGTCATGTCGAGTAGCGCCGCAGTACGAATCGGGCTTCTCGAAGTGGGCCTCTATTCGTGATCGCACCGCCGCCAGGCTGTGGTCGACGGTTCCACCGCCAAAGTCCCAGACGAGGTCGGGTAGGAACAGCTCGGGGAGGCGATCGAGAGACATGGTGTCGACGATCTCGGGCCAGAGCATCATGCGCTGCGTGATCTCCAGGTAATCGGAAATGGCTTGGGCGTCCATCGCGTTGTATCCGCCACAGTAGAAGTGGACTAAGGCAGGATGAATTGCTTTGCTTGGATCATCTAGAACGATACCGGTTAGGTAAGGGTGACGAGGTCTCTTTGATATAGCTAACGTTGTGGAGCGTAGAGGCCGACCAGACAGCGAAAGCAGAAGGTAAGGGCTTTGTAGGCAGCAGTTGGAGTGGCAGGTGTAGTTGGGCAGGAGTGGGCCAGTGAATAAAGTAGGAGGATATCTTCATCCGAGCCTTTTTTGTAATACTAGATGTATGTTTACTGTTCGCAGAAGAACCCGACACGTTTTGTCGATGTATTTGGTAGTGTGCGGATTTGAAGAAACAGATTGGACGGTAAAGGCAGGCAGCGCTGGTGGTCAAGTACGATCCTTCTAGAAGCGGTGCCTTGAGGGCTTTATTGTGGGAGGACTCCCTTCACGGCTATTTTGGTCATCGTGCCCCAGCCAGGTACCCTGTTACCCAAGGTATGTGGTCAATTAACATTCTTGTGAGGTAAGATCAACTCTTCAACATCTGGATTTCACGTTCTTGCTGAAGTATATTTGTCCGCAAAACCAAATTTAATGCGGCCAACTCATGCGTCCTCTTTAGCATCGTTGATATCCTCCAGGTTCACCACGACCGCTTGTCCCTCCTTGTCCTTGTGCACGGTACCAACGATGTGATGATCGGTGTCAACGTAGATATCCTGCTGGCGGACAACTACCAGGTCATCATCGCCGAACAACAGAGCCATCTCTTCCAGACTCTTTCCCTGAGTATCTGGAAAATAAAGGTAAATGACGAAAGAAGTCACCACGGTGATGCAAATAAACACTAGAAAGAATTTCCAGCCCAAAGTCGCGATCGCCGTGGGTCCAGACTGGCCCCAGAGTATGCTGAATGCCCCGTAGCTCACCACCTGGATGGTTTGGCCCCGGGCACGTAAGTGTGTTGGATAGAACTCGGCCGCCCAGTACGACATCGGTCCTTCGGTGAAGGCGGCCGAGAACATTTGGAAGAGATATAGCAGGGCGACGCAAGCAACTTGGGCTGATCTGTGTTGGGCGTTGGCCAGATCGAAGCTTGCAGAGACGCCCGTGTAGCACGCGAGGACAATGTTTTCTCCAAGAAGACCAATCATGACCAGCGTCGGGCGTCGAAGTTTCTCGGTGAAGAATACGGCAGCGACGATGCCAGGCATCACGGCCGCCATCATTCCCGCCTGAATGTTCAGCTGTGCACGTGGTTCCCAGCCGGAGTGGCTCATAATCACCGTCGCATAGGTGGCGATGCAGAGGTTCCCGCTCCCTAGGACCGCGAAGACAATGAAGATGGTCATGACCATACGCTTCCGCATAGACGGCGTCTTGAACATAAATAGCCAGGAGGTGGGTAGTGTACGATCCAACTCGATCTGATTCTTCATCTGGAACATCTCGATCTGTGCGTAGTAGTGGTCTGTATCGCCCGGGGCCGAGTGGAACTTCCGCACGATTTCCCAAGCCTTGCTAGTCTGTTCCTTGAGTAGCAGGAACCTGGGTGACTCAGGCACCCACCACAAACCGCAGAGGAATAGAATTGGCGGGAGAGCGCCTATGGCCAGCGGTCCTCGCCAGGAATTGAGTCCTTTGATGTTCCCGTTCGTGTAGAATCCCACACCGACGTAGCTGGAGAGGAAGTAGCCGAGGGATGTGCACACACCGTGACATTGAGCGAACGCGCCGCGAACCTCTGCGGGTACCACCTCCGTGATCCAGAGAGGCACAGTCATCAACAACATGAAGCCGCCCACTCCATACAAAAACCGGGATACGATGAACATGGCAATATGGACGGAGCCGGCGCAGAGAGCGGCAGCAGCAAGTGATGTGAGGGCGCCCGAGTAGATCGATGCCTTCCGTCCCCAGTGGTCTGCGATAAAGTTGGCGCCAAAGGCACCGAAGATACCGCCGGCGTAGTAGAGCGCCGTAGTAGCACCGATAAGTGCTGATGTCTGAGACCCGTTATCGAGTTTCATGTAGGCGTAGAACGAGGGCTGTCCAATTGTGGTTGCGATGACGCCGGCACCGTACGAGTAAGTGAGAGTCCCCAGGCACATGATGATCACACTGAAGACCATCCTGTGCCCGAAATGGCGCTTTCGCTTCTCCACCGCCACTGTTGTCTCGGTCGATGGCGCCGCATCCACCGTCGGTGGCAGCACATTTTGGCCTTTGTTTGTCATCCCGGATAGAACAAATATTGGTATTTCCCACCAAGGGGGAGTGGGTATGAGACTGAAGTGAAGTGGCAGCACCTGTCAAGGTTGTGACTCTGCCAGAAGTTTGAGTACCTGCCACAGAATTCGTGAAGAGTAAAGCCCCGTCGGCTGGTAAAGTTCATATATAGAAAGGTGAGGGGTTCGTAAGTTATTTCGACTTCACTATACTCTCCCAAAAGAGGTTGTGAAATTGGGTCTAGGCCCTCATTCCGCACGACAACTCAAGTAATCTAGAGCAGTGTCCGCCGCTTCCGCCTCCGTTTGTCTGGTTTCAGGCCGAAAATCGATATGTTTTGCCTGGAATTATCTGAGGTGCTCACCATAGTGCACATGGAACAAACTCTGAGCCAGTCTCAAAAAAAAGAATTAGATCTATGAGGGAGGTGCGAACTGTGCATTCGGCCTCCTGCAGTGTGTGGTAGTTTTATAGTACCCTTCGCAGGACATTTATAGGACTTCTTTCGAAAAGACTGCCAAGAGCCCGTGACAACTGTAACGTCCGCTTCACTGTCTGAAATCTGCACTTCTCCACGACCATCCCCATGGGGATTGTGCAAGTTGAGTTGACCCAAGGCCCACGTTCGGGTGAACAATACTAACTTGTTTGGGGGACGTCGGAAAAGGCGGAGCTATCGATGTGGGGTGAGCGGAAGATATGATGATTGGCAAGTTAGTTAAGCTTAACCTATTTGAACATGAGCTCGAATGCTTTTTCTGGAGTACCGGGGGGAAGGTGTCTCCGACACCATTCACGACTTCTCGACTCTGGCAACAATAATTTGAGCTGCTCCTGACCCAGGATTCTAGGTCGAGTTGCCTCATTATTGTGATAGTGCCTCTGTGTCGTTAGACGCGATATCTCTTTATGGATGTTGCAGCAGGGAAGCATTAAATTGGGTGATTTAAAAGTAACATTTTGAGAAGATAGGCATGAGACTTTCACCCTGTACGACCAGATATCTTAGTACTCCGTAGCTGCTGGCTCAGGCTGTCGTGCCCCCGTCTACTGGGTAGTTGCTACCAGTGACATAAGACGCCTCGTCGCTTGCGAGGAAAGCAATGACCCGAGCGATCTCGACAGGATGAGCCTGCCTGTCAAAGCACTGCATGGTAGTAGGCACTTTCTGGCCACCTTTCTCGAAAGGGTCCAGTAAAGGGGTCTTGACAACACCTGTTGTATATTTTGAAGAATGTGTCAGCATGATGTGCGAATAGGGAAGAGAACATAACAATGACCATCTCCACACAGGTATCAGGGCCAAAGCTGGAGCCACGACGAGCAGAGACATATCTCGCTTACCTGGAGCAATGCAGTTGACTCTGATACTACGCGGACCCACCTCTCTTGCCACCGACTTTGTCATACTGATGACCACAGCCTTGGAGGCCGCATAGATGGACGTGTTTGCGCAGCCGATCATTCCCTGGATGCTTGCCGCATTGACCTGCAAAATTCTTAGAACATGCCAAAGCTTTCTGGGGGTCAAAGAATGATCGAAGGAAAGTTCCTTCCCACGGCAGAGAAATTGGCATGTCAAGGGGACTCACAATACTTCCTCCACTTTGCATATGCTTCAACTGCTCTCTCATGCAGTGGAAGACGCCCTTGCCATTGACGCCCATCATGAAGTCCCAGTCGTCATCGGTTACTTCAGTGATGGGTGCCTGCATTCGCGCAACACCGGCAAGGTTGACTCCGCTGTCCAATTTGCCGAATTTTTGCACTGTCTTCTCGACCCATTCCTTGACTTGGACGCCATCGCGCACATCCACAACTGTCGCGATATGTTTGTCTCCTTTGATTTCCTTGAGAGCGTCATCAAGGCCCTGCTGATTGACGTCTGCAATGGAGAGGATGGCGCCTCGCTTTGCAAGAAGCTTAGCAGTCTCTAGGCCGATGCCACTCGCCCCACCAGTCAGCGCAACCTGAGAAACATTCAGAATACTTTCGTCTATTGCTTCCTTTCTTCTTCACTTCGAGAGAGTTGACTGACCACTTTCCCATCCATAGAAGCCATCCGTGTTCTGCCCTATTCAAGCCAGTCTGGCTAAGCACAGGTTCAATGTCTTGACCAGAACGCTTCACTTATTGTCAATTTTCTGGGATTATGTAAAATCGGATACAAACAGGCTCTCGAAGTTTCAGCGACTAAAGGGTCTCTTCCAATAGTCCATGCGAGAGGGGAAGGAAGAAATGTTCTCCAAGATCTCTGCAAAGGAGTGGGATCATCCGCACGGAGCAGGCTATAGTTCTCCACATAGTCCCAGTCCATATCACAGTGAAAGTATAGTAATACTCTTTGGTTCCGCATCTTTCCGCCTCTTACGTAACCTGCAGTATGACAGATGGAAATGCTGCTACTTCGCCCAAAAGCCTCGGACCACTCGCACCGCTTTTTCACATTGAATAAGCCTTGAAAGGAAGAGGCTCACCCAATCAGGGTAATTTCCATCAGTATTCAGTCATCTCCATTCTCCGACGTCGATACGAGATTCAAGACCCGCAAGAGTGCAATATGCAAGCCCCCGTATTGTACTGGCGGAGAATATGTTCGCAGGTCGAATGAGGACCATTCCGTTGAGGCTGAAGGCCATGTCATCCGAGCCTTCAACTCGCATCATGATCCGATTGAAGAACTTGTAAGGATTCTTATCATCCCGTAGCTCCATACCTTACACTCTATAACCTGTGGTACATTGACATGTCTATTGCGGCCCCAAACATGGCAATATCTCAAGGCAGCACACTCGAATCTGTCTCAGAGACACCTGTCGCTGCCACAAAGGTAAACGGCAATCATTTTGCGCCCACCGAGTTCCAATACCCAAAGCACGTACTTGGACAGCCCCGTCCTCTCCGGGTCATCATCATTGGAGCAGGCATTGCAGGTATCGCTGCTGTCAAGCTATTCAAAGAACGCTTCGAAGGTCTCCCGGTCAGTCTGACGATATACGAGAAAAATGCCGATGTAGGGGGAACTTGGTTAGAAAACAGATATCCAGGGTATGTGCAGAGAGCCAAAGGACGTCATATCAATGGCCCGGGCGGTAACAATGTGACTCCAGGTGCGCCTGTGATGTGCCGGCGCACGGATACACGTTCTCGTGGGAGGGGAATCCGAACTGGTCGACGGCATACGTGGCGGCTCCAGAGATATGTGAGTATTTCCAGGGGCGCGCCAAAGCATATGGAGTATATGACTATTTACATGTCAACCACCGCGTTGTGGGCGCTGTTTGGAACAAGAAGCTGGGGGTTTGGGAGCTCGGGGTGGAAGACCTCGCCCAGTCACGGACTTTCACCGACCAGGCTGAAGTGGTTATCAATGCCACTGGATTTCTGAAGTGAGAGAAACCAGACACCCCTGGGATAAAGCCATTGAATATGAGCTCATGACTTGACACAGTAAGTGGAAATGGCCTGAAATTCGTGGCCTCGACTCGTACAAGGGTCATAAAGTCCATTCCGCTAGATGGGACGATTCTTTTGATTTTACGGGGAAAAGGGTTGCAGTGATTGGAAATGGTTCCTCGGCAATTCAGATTGTGCCAATTCTGCGAGCTGGTATGCACTTCCGAGCTGCGTGTGTGGTCAGATTATCAGCATATCGGTCATGCTAACCCCTTGACACCAGTTGTGAGCCACTTGGTGTCGTTCAACCGATCTCCCACTTGGATCACTCCCGAGTTTGGCCAGGAGTTCGCCCCCGAGGGTCGCGAACAGGTATTCACCGAAGAGCAGAAGTCAGCGTGGGCCAACGACCCGAAAGGGTTTCTGGAATATCGAAAGCGAGTCGAAACCACCATGAACCAGGTTTTTGACCTGTTCTATAAAGATTCTCAGATCCAGAAGGATTCAACGCAGCATTTTCGGCACAGTATGAAACAGAGGCTCGGGAAGAAAGGGTATCTTGCGGACAAACTTGTTCCGAACTTTGCGGTGGGATGTCGAAGGTAAGGACTTCCCTCTGTGTCCCTTCGCTTCGAGATCGTCCCTAGTGTTAAACGCTCTGATTAGGGTCACTCCGGGACATAATTATCTTGAGTCCCTCGCCGAAGACAACGTGACGATTGAGACGGGACAGATTCTGCAGATCACGCCGGACGGCCTTGAGATGGAGGACGGAACCAAGTACACAGAAATCGATGCTATTGTGTGTGCGACTGGGTTTGATACATCTTTCCGACCCGCCTTCCCAGTCGTGGGAGAACAACAAGATCTGAGGGAGGTCTGGAAGGATGAGCCCACGTCCTACCTCTCCATCGCCGCGCCCGGCTTCCCAAACTTTTTCTGTGAGTATTCATTCGTGCCTCGCACAGTCAGCTCTTTGATGTAAATTTCTTCTAATGACGATGCACCAGTTGCTACGGGGCCAAACTGTCCCCTCGCAAATGGCACGTTCGTGCCTTGTCTCGAGCGAACCATGTCCTACATCTTTGAGCTGGTTGCCAAGATGCAGCGGCAAGGAATCAAGTCGGTTTCGCCAAAGCAAGAGGCACTCAGAGATTTCCAAGAGTACAAGGACTCCTTGATGAAGGACCTCACCTGGACCAGTGGCTGTCGATCGTGGTACAAGAACGGTCAGGTTGATGGCAAGGTCTGGGGCCCGTGGCCCGGGAGCGCCCTACACTTCCTGGAGGCAATGGCAGAGCCGCGGTGGGAAGACTGGGATCTTAAGTACATAACGGGTAATCGATTCTCATATTTCGGCAACGGCAAGACAAGCAGGGAGGAGCAAGGCGGCGACCTGGGCTACTATGTGACACAGCCAGGTGCCTAGACGATTCAGTGATATATTTAGCTCAGGGGCCGAGTCAACAGGTTTCATTTCAGTAGAGTTGCTCTAGAACTATGCACTGATCTTCCTAAGCTCCTTCATAGCCGAGGCTGGAAAATGGCATTCTGGAGATTTTCGTTGAGATTTACCAACTCAGCTCCGTTGGGAGCGTCGATCCTGGTCTGGGGGTAAAATATGATCCAGGACTGTGCACATGCTCTGAGCTGTCTGATAGCTTTCGGCCATCTTCTGGAGGATTTTCGACAGCGTGTGAACCTGCTGGAGGATTGTCGTCGTCTTGGTCGAATTTTCAAACTCGGCCAAGTTCGTCAAGAGAGCAGTCAAGGCCACACTGGCGGGATGGGGAGTAAAGACTATCACAGACTGCATGCCAAATCTCGTGCAATACATATCCATGTTGCGAACAATGCTTATCGCATTCTCAAGGCAGATGTTCTTCGACATGGTTCGGAAAGATGATGTTGGGCAGACTTCCGAGATCTTTCTGCCACTTTGATGAGAAGCCTGAGTTGGCTCGTTTTCTACCACTGAAGAATGCAGTTGGATAACCGTGCTGTGAAGCAATTGGCTGTTTTCTCGTCGGTTAGCCAAATTCGAGCAGACAAACTCTATGACTGGAATAGAGAAATCGGAGTGGGTAGAGTCTCACTGGATGAAGAAGAATATGGCTCGAGAGCTCTGCACATTCTCGGCACTCCACCTAAGTTGAGCTGGAAGCCTCCTCCGCCACGACTCAAGCTCGTCATGTAGTGCCGCGGCAGTCATAAAATTCCCAGGAATGTCGTCAACTTTCGATGTCGAGGCTGAATTGGTGATGTGTCCGGATACCTTGATAGCCAATTCCATTAACTCCAGTAAGACATCCCACGCTTGTGTTTCTTCTAGACTTTCAGCCAGCAGTGTTGAAGTTTCAGAGGCGGAAGTCAACACCTTGGAATATATGAGGCTAAATGCGGTAAATAGCAAGTCGGATTTTCGAATGACGGTTGGGTGCCCAGAGAATATAGCCCAGAGTCTGTCGTAGAAAACGCAGACGCGCAAGAGACGCTGCCGTGATTGCATATCTCTCGGAGGTAAGGTGGTCCTGGAGTGATCTATCATGAGACCCATCTCAAACGCGAGTCGGCAAGCGACACCTGGGACAAGATTTAGTATAATACTGACGTGTGAAGTCAATATGGCACTTACCAGCATACATCCACCCCGATCGATCTCTGCCAACAGCGCACTCTAAGTCGCTCAAAATGAGAAGTCCTTGTATTGTGGTCAAGCCTTGGGGGCTTTCCAACTCTGTCTCCACCGTGTATCGCGCACTCTCATGGAAAGTGCTGTCTCTGTTTCCCCGGTACAGTGCTTTGATGTCTGACCTGGACTTATCAGCGTATCTGAAACCCATCGCCAGGCAGCTTATGTGGAGAAAACCTGAGTAGTAAAGCTTATCCTGGTCTCTGTGTTGTTCAAATGCTTCCCGGTCAATCATCTGCAAAGGGTTATTGTAATGCGTCCAGAAACAGGCCATTAAGTGATTGTATGTCTCCGTATTGAGATCCTTGATCATGTGGTGCAGTCTCTTCTGCAGATGCCATGATCCCGAGGAGTTCCCTTGAGATTCAGTAAGTTGTTCAGCAAAGAGTTGGTATCTGGCCAGGGGCGTAAAGTATCGTGGCTGCCCAGTAGTGCCATCGTACTTCAGTCGAGTTGACTCAACCAGAAATGAGTGAGTGCTACCTTCGTGACTCTCTCGGAATTGGCCCCGATCATTGAAGTCTGACCCTATAACACCCCCACCGTCTCCGGATGTAGCATGGGAAGTTGGAGTCCGATCATAGTGCTCATTATCACTTAAAGCAGAGAGCCCTTGATCTCGCTGGAGGCCAGCTCCCTCAGATTCAAGACGTGACAAATCAAATCCATCGCCGGAGTTGTGATGAGTCCAGGATCCCGACGGCTGTTGGCTGACATCTTCCTCCAATTGCACCTGCTGCGTTTGTACTTGGATTTCTGGATGCTGTGGTTGTTGCGGGAATTCGTCGTCCACCTCCTTCAACCGACTCTCTAGAAGCTCGATATGTTCAAGCAAGGAGTGCACAAAGACTCTAGATCTAGGTCTGTTCCGCGTCAATGTGCTGCTATGTGATTGTTTCATTTGAAAGTAGAAATGGACAATGCTCTACCATTGGGTATTATAGCATACCTCCGTCGCTCGTCATCGTTCCGGAAAACACACTCCAGTCCACTATCTTTACAGTAGTTGCACGACTTCTCGCCCGCGTCGATTACACACTGCCCCGCATTAAACGGTATCACAACGACGGTCTGTGGTTCACATACCTTTTTCCTTTTATGTCGGCATCCCGTGCACGCCACTGATGCTCGGGTCCGCCCAGGTGCGAGTCGCGATGACGGACCCTTCGTAGCGCACATGGTATTTAGAGACGTGCAAAAGTCTCGCAGCAGAGGATGAAGACACTATCATTCTAAGCATACCCTCTACCCTTTGAAGTTGACTGCTCCAGAAGTAATCTGCAGGATGAGGGGGTTTCCTAGCCGAAAATGCGACCACACGTCGGAAAATGGTAACCGCAGCACCGGCGATATCGGTCCCCGTCATGTGACTAGGCTCGAGGGCTTCAATCTTATTGGCAAGGCTCTTCTTCCTATGCGTTCCATCCCTTCCTAGCCAAGAGCTCTTTGGCCCACGATGCAGCCTTTTTGAAATAAATTGCGGAAGCTTCGAGTTGTGGGAAGGTATAGAAGCCATGAGGCAAGCCGGCGTAGGTTGCAACCTCAACTGGAACGCTGTAAAGTAGTAAGTAACTTTTCCAAGCTGAGACTATCTCGATAGTTTCATCTCGCCCCAGGGAAGAATATCACGCACCCGGATTCCTTCAATCGATCCGCATAGGCAAATGCTTCGTCTCGAAGCGGATCCATGCCGGTTATCTGTATCACTGTACGCTTCAGATTAGCTGAGAGAAGCTCCGTAAGCGTCGATCGGGGCATCTCTTGGGGGTGAAAATAAGGACAACCGCTTACAAGCAGGTGGTAGACCTTCCATGGTTTCTACCAAGAACGGGTTCGCATAAACGTCAGGGCCCGTGGCAGGGTAGTAGGTCTCCCAGCAGCGTAGCATATGGTCTTTGCCGAGAATTGAGGCGTTTTTATTCTGCTCCCAACTCGTGTACTCATACTTATCCTTGGGGAAGTACTTTGGATGACACACAACTGGACCGTTCAATACCTGGCCTATGATCCCTTTCTCCTTGTTGTCTCTTGCCATTATAGGGAGCACAGCAGCTAGGTTTGCGCCGGCAGAGCTGCCACAAGAGAGAATAAGAGACGAGTCGATCCCTAGTGTATCCGCATTGTCCTTGCACTGTCATCATGACACAGTGCTTGAAATTAGTGCTCCGGTCAATCGTGATGAAATCCTGCAATAGGACCCCTCACTTACCCATTTGAAAACATCATAGAAGTCGTTTATCGCATGAGGGTATCGATATGCAGGAGCCCTGGGCACGTATCAATTGGCATTTTCGCTGGGAGGAAGTGAGTGAGCCTCGAAAAGGGGAACTTACAGCCTGTAATCGACGTCTACAACAACTGCACCAGTCTCCTTTGCAATCCAACGACAAACGCCTTCCTCGACGTCGTGGTTCCCTAGCACCCAGCCGCCTCCGTGCGCTACCAGGACGAGAGGTGCCTTTTCCTTGCCCATCGCTTTCAGCTTTTCTGTGTTCCGGTAGATCTTGATGCCCACATTTGCACCATCTCTTACAGGAACCTTATCAAATGACACGTCCAAGCCCGCGGGCGTGCCCTCTGGGACGGGATGGGGATATTTCAGCCATGTCTCGTGCTGTTGCTCTATTGGTAAAGCATAGAACGCGTCAAATCGTTCGTCACAAGCTTGCTTCAACGGAAGCCAAACAGGGTCTGGATCAGAGAGCCAGGCATATTTGAGGATGGCCATGGCGTGAATGCTCTTTCACAGATGATGCTCGTGATTTGACAGCAATATTTGATGCATCCCCTATTTAAGAGTGGTATCATTTTGTAGTGCTCACTGTATGGCGGACCTGGCTATTGGAACAAAGAGCACCGTTTACATCCCGCGGCAGCACATTGGCTAAGCGGAAAGACTTGAGCGTAGGGTGTCAGGGAGACTATATCCAACAGTGGCGTCATTTGCGACATAAGATTCCGTGATTATTCTAAAATCACGTTGGCAAATAAGTTATCTTACAAGCGTCGGTCTCTCATTGTGACATTGCCTACAATGTTGTCTCTGACCTTACCGCAATAGCCGCGGCGGAAAATGGACGGTGCAACTTCAGGCATGAATAGCCTGTCAACCGCCGAGTATTGGAGAGATTCTGACTTCGCAGAGAAGCCTTCGGCGCATTATGAACTTTCGCCTCCTGGAAAGATGAACCATTGCTCCTAACCCAGAACCAGAGCAAGCGTTGAATTTTCCAGCTCTAGCAGCGAGTTTATTTTGTATTATAATATGGCTCCTATCAAAGCACGAGAGCTAGCCAGCGACTGCCACTCTCACAGCCCTCTGCACAATACCGCCAGGTACACTTGTCATCGGCTGTATCCAACAATCCAAAATGGGAAGCATAGCTACGATGCGTGCTGCACAATTTCATCGCGTAAGGGCTGTTGTCGGTCTACGCCAGTAACAACCTCAGAGCTGACACAAGCATGACTGCAGGATACAGGCAAGATCCAGGTCAATGAAGTCCTCATTCCGGAGCCGCTCGACACGGAGATATTGGTCAAGATCAAATCTGCCTCCTTATGTCACTCCGACATCATGGCTATTGAAGGCTGGACGCCAACCCCGAGCAGCGTGAAACCCCTCACTCTAGGGCATGAAGGCGCCGGCGTCGTCGAAAAGCTAGGGTCCAAAGTTATAGGATTCAAGCCTGGGGAGCCGGTGGGATTTTTGTATATCACGGGATGTTGTTGTACGTATGAATGCTCCCTCCGTGCTTCAAGATCATGGATTCCCAACACCCAAGCCCGCTTAGGAGATCCTCCTCTTGCTGAATGGACTTATAGTTGAATGCGAAGCATGCAGGGTCTACAACCTCTATTGCACGCAGGGTATTCCACGTATCCAGGGGATGACCGCGGATGTCGACGGATTTTTCGCCGAGTATGCTGTAGTCGACTACCGGAATGCCATCGTTCTCCCGGAGGCGATCAAACTGGAGACGGCTTCTCCGCTCTTCTGCGGTGGCATTGCGGGAAGGTAACCCCCTTGCCGTGATGGCAGCCCCTGGCTAATTCTTGCAGCGTTCAACACTGTCGAATCGTGTGAGCTGAAACCTAGTGAATGGCTCGCAGTCGTCGGCTGTGGAGGATTAGGGCAGGCTGCCGTGCAATATGCCAAAGCCATGGGCATCAAGGTGATCGGACTGGACATCAGCGACGAGACACTCACCGAAGCCCAGCGGGTCGGCGCTGATCTCACGGTCAACTCTGCCACGAATCCGAACTATCTAGACGAAATCCGAAAGGCCACGGGAGGTGGAGTGCATGCCGCGGCTGTCTACAGCTCTTCGATAGCGGCGTATGAAAACGCAAAGAAAGCTCTCCGAATAGGCGGCCTCCTCATGGCCGTGGGTCTGCCCGAAAAGCCATTTCCGGTGGTTTTGACAGAGATCATTACTGGACTGTATCGGCTCAAGGGCGATTGTACTGGAATTCCAGAACGTATGCCACGTGCCATTGAGTTCACCGCAAAGCATGCCATACAGCCGAACGTTGTCAGCTTCCATAAGCTGGAGGAAGTACCGGACATGGTTGCGAAGATGAAGGCACAAAAGTCCACGGGAAGGATGGCAGTGCTCTTTTAGTACCCACGCAAAGTTTATAATTGTAGTTAGCCGCTCCTCAGCTTAGCTTGCAAATTCATCGCTGGCTAAGTATACGCGCTAGACTGAATGCTACAACAAAGGAATGACGAGTGATACCTTGTGTCCAATTGGTCTTGGGATGGAGTCATTGCTACCCCTTAATCTTGAAAATCTATGAGTTGATGTAGAGCTTGCAGCTTTTAGCCTTTGTGCTTTCGCTGGGAACACTCCTCGCCCACCATATTCCGATATTCAAGGGTCGGCTCTTAAATTCTACCCTGACAGTTCTCCACAACTCCAAAGACTTTGTATACTGCTGCAACTCATACAAGCTACCTCGGATTGCGGTACCATTGCAAAGTATCCGACTAGAGCATATTTACAAGTTTAAACCCTTCAACTGGGGAAGACGACACCCACACAATCTCCACCTGTGTATAGTCCGTTTCCCACTTCTTGTCAGCACTCTTCTTAAATCTCCATGTGTACCTGGAGCCAGTTTGCACCCCAACATGGACTCCATTGTGCTCCATGACTCCGCCCCAGAAGATGTTCGCCCTGCCGGTTGCGGCGGCATTCGAAGCATCGATTTGAAAATCCATGTTCACAATGTTATGCTGTGTGCGTTTGAACTTTTCAGTGATGAACGCAAGGGCTTTGGCGGTGTTGGAGCGTCCCTTGATCGAGCCGGAATTGAGATTCATGGGAGCTTTTGATGGAAATGAGAGGCCAGTCAGTTATTCATTCATTAATTCTCTGAGAAGTTGGAAGAAGCGTGTGGGGCACGAGCACTACCAACCTTGGCCTTCAAGATCTGGAGCGACTTTGAAATCAAAAGTGCAGTCTTCTGTGAAGCAAGTCGCGATATCTTCCCACGCGAAGATGTCGGCGAACCAACCGTAGTTGTTGATATGGTGCGTCAGGGCAAGTTGCTCCTCGAGATGCGTCGTTGCACTTGCCATGATGCCTTAATACTTGGGTATGGAGGTCGAAGCAGCACGAATGGTTGGTGTGGACCATTGTAGCCCATATCATATAGTTTTGTACGAACGAGCACTGCAAAGCCTCTTAACGGCTAGGACTTCCTCTATAGAGCTAGCTGTAGTTCATGCGCTGTCAAGGCTACTGCTGAATATGCTTCGTAGGCAGGTAAAAGGTCAGAAGGAGAAGGCAGCTGCCGGTGGACATGTACATTTTTTCCGCCGGATAGCGGCACTGGTGGTCACAGAGGTAGTGCGGGACACAGGACATATTCGGAGGAGAAGAGCCGTGGTCAGAGAGAGCCTGAGCAGCCTAAGGGTGGACGTGCCTTGTATCTCAGCGCGTGGATTTCATCATCCAGCCAATACAATCTTCGAAGTGCGTCTCGCCACTGGGAGCAGTATAGACTGAAAAGGACCCTGATCCATTCATCGGAAAACCTAGCAGCTAATGCCGTGGAAACCGAATGCGATCCTGGCTATTGTTGATCCACATGGTATTTCCAGATTCCTTTCCTTGATATCCAAAGAAACATTACCAAATCCGTTTCCGAAGCCTTGAGATCGCGGGAAGGTGCTGCAACTCTCGAAGAACAGAATTGAGGGACAAAATTTGCAGAGTTATGCATGTTCCAGACTGTATTTAGTGGCTCGATGAATGCAAACCCGCACGGCCTTCAAGACGTGTCTGAGCGCAAGTGATCTGGCCACAGCGATGAAAGGGTATATTTCATCCGCCTACATGATCTGCTTCGGACTAGAGGCACTATTTTGACCTTGGAGCACCTTCCCATATTGCCCGTAGGGTTCATACAACAAGATCTGTGGTGTAGGGAATAGTTGGCTAATCTGCCTTTGCTTTAGCTCAACGGTGCCCCGAAAAACGATGTTTAATGAAAAGTCACTCAGAGAACCAATCAAGCCGGATATTGGCTTGGAGGATGAAGTAGAAAACTGCTGCTTTTGCAGCATTTTCCTTCCTCCAATGGACCTGCGGAGCGTGGAGGCGGATAACAGGCGCCGACTGCGTTCACTGTTGGCAACCAACCCCTCCACGTGCTTGCTTAGCTTCCTTCCCAGAGTGATATTCATGCTACCAATTGGTTATAAGTTCTGTACCATCTTTAGTTATCTTCCTAAGCATCTCAGGGTAAGCTACCCATTCCGGTACATGTTCCCCTTAAAGAGGAAACTCCAATGCCTCGGTTAATGATGACTATTTACCGAGAGCCCGAGTCATTCCCTTCTCCCACGAGTAACACGGATCTGTCCTAGATGTTTACTACGAAGGGTCCTTCTGGCTGGTCATTGCAACACTTTTATTGAAACAGAGTTGTCCCTGCCAAGCGAAGATGGCGGGAGTGGAAGCAGCAGATTCAAATCATTCAGATGCACAGAAGATAGAAAAGAATCTTCTTGATCATGTTCAACCAGGTGGACTTCCCAGCGGATCCAAAGACACCACCCCAAAAAGCGACCAGATCGCCGAGCGTATGAGCAAGTAGGTTTGTTTTCTTTTGCTCGCTGTACAATTACCCACAGCATTTAAGAGAAATAACCGCTCATCACAAAGAACAGACTGCTTCAAACCACTGCCGGTCTGGGTGCACTCCTTGCGACCATCAATTTCTCAGCCAACCTCGCTGCATACATTTCTGTACAATCTTCAGCACGCTCCGACCTGACATATCGAGTTCTCTGGCGCACACGATGGAAGGGATTGCCGAAGACACTTGCTGCGGCACCTTCAATTTCGTCCGTCCTCACACCTCTCAGCGCACTTATCTCGGATTGGCGTAAGAGTCAACGTCTGACGGGTCTCATTCCTTTGTACGTGAGGCTTAGATTTCTGCTATCAAGGAAAGCCTTCAGAGAGATCGACCCCGTTCTCCATCGCCTATTTTTTATACAATGCAACGCCTACATCATCTTCCAGGCCATTGAGAATATCTGCCACCTGCAGAGCAAAGGGATATTACCAGCATCTATAATCGAAAAGCGAGGTGGGCTCACCAAATGGATAGTATGGAGTTGCCGCGCTTGGTGTGTGGGCGTGGTGAGCGATTTCTTCCGCTTGTGGCGCGAGGCCGAGATCGAAAAGAAGCAGAGCACAAAAAAAACTGCTCAGGAGCAGGCAGACTTCAATCGAAGATGGTGGAATCAATTCATGGTCACTGCGTGCTGGTTTCCCATTGCGCTCCACAGCAGCTTTTTACCTCGTGGGATTCCGGGAATGAATGCGGGAATAACCTCCACTCTGAGTGTCATAGCTAGTTGCAACAGCTTGAGGAATCAATGGCGAGCTACAGCCTAACAAAACAAGTCGACTTGTATAGCATTAGAGATCAAGCTTTTGGAAAAAGAATTCTCCGCAGGAAAAGGGGGTTGTCTCTAATCCGAGGCATTTACTGATAAAAGAATCGCTTGACTTTCTGCGACGGCAGATTTGACTAGACACTAACAGACTGGCCCCTACTCTAGCAAGATGTAGCCACAACTCAACACCAAGGCATAGATCTACCAGTCTAACACCACCTCTTCCGGTCACCATACCTGTTACCACGCTTATCACATCCAGCGATAACAGCCATCACATCGTCAATAGCTTTGCCTCGATGGTCCCACGCGATTACTCTCACGACAGGACCGCTTCAATATTCTATAACACTCATTCCCTTAATTCATGTGTCGATGATGGAGATGTGTCTGAGAAGTCCACTGGCTTTCGCCGACGTTGTCGATTCTTCTTTCTTACAGGATCAGTCGCAAGACGTCTCCTCACTATCTGCTGAAAAATGCTCCGGGGCTGTCAGGGGGAAGAGACAGAGCCGGACAATGGGTTATCCACACGTAGGCATCTGTTCTGGAAGTTCCGCAATCATGAACGTTGTGTTCATGTGCATCGGCTCTGACTCCTACACCTACCTGCTAGAACCATGGAGAACTCGACTGCGCAGACCAGAATCTATCAGTATATGAAATTGGATGGCATGAACTCTGACACTGTCAGTGAATGCAGTTATGCCTGGTGTCCTCGTAGCAATCCTCGTGACTGCGCCGCCTCTGTACTTGTGTCTTCTTCCCCGATACACTGGGAAAGATCCTGGGGAAAATTGCGCTGCTCTTGGGGAACACGGATCTGGCAGCCTTTCGTCAGGCAGACATCGTGCCTGATCCGGAGAGCTATACGATCACAGGATCAGCGGCGAAGACGAATCCGTCGCAGAGCACCTGAGCACCGCTGTGTAGTTTGTTGTAGTGCAAATGGGGCTTCTCAATGGTTGATAGGGTGGAAAAGACGCTGTGGAGGAATTGAAGCCGCCCCCACCCTAGCCCCCGGTTACTGCAGCCTTGCCAATTTTAGCGACAGCCTCGGATGCAATGCGCCATGATTTTAGAGTTGTTTAACGAATAACTTCACTCTTTTCTGCACTCGTGGGAGAGCATTCCAGAATAGGACGGAACTCATCTGAATAATCCGATTATAAGCCCAGTCAAGTACCTGGAATATGGTGACGATGGACAAGAAAACCCCAGCTTGTTTTTAAATCGGAAACCCTTTTCAGCCACTCAATTTCAGGTCTGGATGACTTCGTTTGCGAGCCCATTTTGTATCGTTTCGAGCACATGGGTGACCACCTCCTCCTGCCTGAGCCGCGTGTACTGTGCTCCCACGCTCTGTCCCTGTGCCGTCCCGAGCCAGGCAGAAGATTGATTCAGGGACATTTCTTCGGTGGAGTTCCTGACCAGCATTATAATGGCGTTGACGATCTTGATGATAAACTGAGCACCTTCAAATCTGCACATCAGGGTATGTAAAGTCCGCATCAAATATCCGAGCTGCTGGGTGATCTCGGTCTTGGCCTCGAGGTCCTGGGGTTCGCTGAGCTGGATGAGATGCAACGCAATCGGGAGGATAATCCATGGTGGCCTGTCACGTTACATTGGGATAGATGTCATTAAAAGAGGACTTTGAGGCAGAGAGTCTTTGAGATGGGGATCACTTACACAATGATGGAGAGGTCTTTGGGATTTGCGAATCGAAGCATCGATGCTGTGATAGCAGCCGTGTTTCTTGAGGCCTCTTTGATTTTGAGTAAAGCCAAATCCTTAACAAACCACGCCTGAGAGCTGCGGCTGTCTGACAGCCTGAGAAATGGTTCGTAGAGTATTGAAACAGCAAACCTGCACCAGACAAGAAGTCAATTTTCTAGAGCAATTGACTCGAGGGCAACTAGATTCGAGGGACTTACTGGTGCATTAGTCCAATGAGATGGAAAATGACGAGATCAGCGTTCGGTACCCTCAAATCCTGAACTGCGGCGTAAAGGTGAGCGAAGTTGACGCCCCAGATCTTCAACTTCTCGTCCAGCTGACCGATGTCTTCCAGAATGTCGAACGCCTGCCGATCTTCAGGGAGAGTCCAGGTGGAGTTATAGTCCCGGTATTTCAACCGCACGGAGTCCACCATGATTTTGGTCAGCTTGCAGAGGAGGATGAATACCCGAGTGAAGTAGAGTTTTGAGTCGAGCGATATCAAGTGGCCTCCCGAGCCCTCTTCCGCAAAGTCACTCAGCTCTGGCAGACGGCCTTCCGGTCGCCTCTCCAACCTATCGAAGCGGCGCAAACCCAAAGAGATCATGCGGTTGCGAATCATGCAGCACCACCAAATAATCCTCTTGCGTCGTGTCGAATATAGGTCAGCCATCCCCCCAGCGACCGCGTGGCGGATGGCTTCGTCCACCCAGTAGCCATTGACCTCTCTCGTGGAGTCATATGGGCTCCAGTAGCTCAAGAGAAGGGCGCTTTGAGCGAGACCTTCTGTGCCCATGAACTCCCACTCGAGCCGGTGATAGAGAGTCTGAGCAGAAGAAAAAACGGCTTTCTGCGCCTGCTTGACGGCGCAGCGTGGCCCTCCTCGGAGTAAGTCTTCATCAATATGGGGTAAGGCTGCAAAGAGTACCGACAATAGTAATAGTCGCATAAGCTGTGGATGAGCGAGGACGTCTTGTTGAGGCGCTTTATACCACTTGAGGAAGTCTGACTGATCCACCGCCGGGCAGATTGGGTGAAATTGCTGAAAGTATGCTTCTATTAGTTTATCTTGAAGGCGTTTCGAGAACAGCAGTCCTTCACACTGATGGAACTTAGTTCATGGTGTCTACTCGAGCAGTTGTGATGGATTGACTGGGCAGATCCTACCGGTTGAAACCCATCATCTAGGCCGAGTCCTGCAGAATTCTGTTGTAGCTTTTGCCAACATTCATACACACGCTCCAAACCAACTATTTTTAGGTCTCTCAGCTTGGCACATCTTACATGATAATAGAGCCCTGAAGACATACCTGAGTTGAAAAGCAGATCTTCAATATCGGAATAGTCACGGCTGATGTTTGAATCAAGTCTATTAAGATCAAATGCTGGCGATGGGGTAATTCCTGAGGCGGAAAGCTCATCGTCGTAGCCATTGTATGGTATCGAGATGTGAGCTATTACACGTGTCTTTGAGTCTTCTTCTTCCTCCTTTGTCGCTTGATACGTTGGCGTCCCGTCTTCTGGAACCAAGCATACATCCTTGGGACATATTGTGCTCTGCTGCAACAGATCAAAATAAACGCGATTTGTGCCGCTCATATCGATGTTTTCATGGCATTGACGAAATATTCTAGTGCTCTACCCTGACCTTGAAGGTTCACAAGTTTCTTCACGTCTGTGGCGCTAATACGGAAGTTCTAAGGATCTCTCACGTGCGCGGCACAGGACCTTACACGCGAAAGGGAGGCTTTCATCAACCCGAGCTTCTGCTCACAGTAAACTCTGGGTCCTATGACAATTTTGCATCCGGGTCGCTGGCGCCTTTCGGATCTGATGCTAGTTGCTCACTAGCCACTCTCTAGACTCCGGTTCTCATGCGAGTCCAAGAGTTTCATAAGCCAAGCTCTGGCGCTGGCAAGATCCTTCGGGATTCCGGGACGAAACAAGACGGAAGCGGAAGCGGAACTGGAAACCAGGCGGAATCACGGTTGGAGTTCTTGTCATAAAGCGAGTAAGTGGAGGCGCGGAAGTGCATGGACCAGAGCCTAACCGCAAAGGATGACGACGGGCGTACGATTTCTCGGTCCAAGCTGTAGAGAGCAATCGGGTTAGCAATTTTGGTTCCACGGTGGAATAGCATTCCGGGCCGTAGACGTGAACACTCAGCACCACTCTGAATCCTGGTTGTGCACAGGTCTGACTTTGGTTCCGAGCATGTATGCTTCTGTGATAGTGGTGATCGCAGTGGAGGAGAGGGCCATGCGACGAGATAGACCCTCAAAGAGCCATCTTCCATCTCTATGAGGGCTGTCTACGCGCAAGATATATCTTGGGGACCTGGAACGCATATTGTGGAAGACGTATGTGGTGAGCGTAGCTACTTAGGCCTCAGAAGGGAGCCATCGTTCTTTTCTAAAAGAACATCTTCCTCTGTAAGACTGCACGATGCCCTCGTGATTTGGCTCCCAAATCTCCCCAATTCCGTAGTCTTGTTCTCCAGGAATATGATACGATGGTATCCTACCGTTTTCCCATGCCATCCCCCGCAGTCCGCACATGTAGTTGTTTCCACTTGGGACCAAAGTGCATAACCTCAAAGACAAATACTTCTCCGCATGGCTATATCCTTACGAGGATATCCAGAGAGTACTAGTACGACGTCCTCTGTTCGAACTTCAGGTATATTCCCGCAGAATTTAAGCCCCCCACTCACTCTCTACCGTAACAACTACCGCAAGATAAACCGTGGCAACAGAGCTCCTACCACCATCATGGCGTACAAAGTACAATACATGTGGCATCCCACACACAAGGTGTCCGACCTGGTCGCGTGTGAGAAGTTCTTTCGGGACGTGTTCAACTTGGAGAGCACACCCGTGGAAGCGAACCTGCCGCCGAAAGAAGAATGCCCGACATATCCGCGCGACTACTCGATCCTGACCATGATCCGCGAGGTCATGTTCGATTGTGTGGACCCGAAAAAATACATCGTTGAGGGCAGGCAGTCGCTCGAGGATGTGAAGGCGCCAGGCCATCTGTTCTGCTTCGGACTGGCCGTGGACGGCGCCGACGAGATCTACCGCGTGTGCATCGAGAATGGCATCCGGAGCACTGACCAGGCGAACCGGCTGGGCAGTCTCAAGAAACCGCCGACCACGGGTTTTAAAAACGCAACCCTCTTCTTCACCCTGCCCGAGAGCGCTGGGCTGCGGTATCAGATCTACCCTTGTAGCGCGACGGGTCCGCCTGATCCGCGGGCGGAGCCAGGCTGGACGCTCCCTCCCGTATCGGAGAGCGACCCTTTGTGCCTGGAGTTCTGCTCTCACCACACAATCCTCTCAGCGAGTCCTATCAAGGCCTTCAATTTCCTCATCGGCATCCTGAAGGGCAGGATCATCCACCAAAGCCGCAATGAGCTCCTCGAGACGGACAGTACATACATTTCTCTTGGAGATGGCGTGTACGAGATTGCGGTGCCGACGCGTGCCGGCTCCTTTGCGGCAGAGGATCTCAAGTTCAATGCCCCCTTTGACACATATCATGCGCTGACTTGGAAAGTGAGAGATCTGGCCAAGGTCCGGCGGCACCTAGAAGACAAGACGATTCCGCTGTTGATGCAGGACGAGCACATGGTGGTCACCGATCCAAAGTATACTATTGGGGTGCCCTGGGGTTTCACGGACAGAAAGGTGCCGGGTGATTTGAGACTATCACCATGAAGGAGTTGTACGCTTGATCCTTATTTGGGCGGTACCTGGCAAGTTGAGGCATCTGAAGCATAGAAGCTCTCTTGCATAATGTCATGATAACATGTGATCCTGATCTGAGAAGTTGGAATAGCTCTTACTGTAATGGCGAGCTTTCGGCTCGCAGCCACGGCACTGAAAGTGCTCAGAAATGAGCAAGTAGACGCACATTTGAATGTGGCTCAGGAGGAAGCAAGTTACCCTGACCAATTGAAATTATTCCAAAGATCCACGCTGCTATCATCCCACAGGAAAGGCACGTCTGAGGTTTTCTGCGAGGCGTCCTGAAAGGGATCTTGATAAATGGTTGGCAGAGAGAGATCCCAGTCATTGTTGGAACTGACATTGCCGTCGTTCCATGTCGTATTTTGCGCGAGCCCAGGCACCGTGGTGATTGCATACGACGCTGCGCCAGCTCGGACATTCTGAGGCCACTGAGACTCGATAATATCGCGGGCCACCTTGATAGGGCGACGCAATTGCTGCAAGACCCGTCGAGCCAGGAAGGAACCCTGAGAGAAAGACTCCATGATTTTTAAGGACTTGTTTAGGAGATTCATTGCTGGCCTGGTCAGATCGTCGGGGTTATTATGCTTGACTATGATGCAGATCGTCGGGACCAATGCACCAGTCAGATGATGTAGATAGGCGTGTCGCTCGCAGCGTTTGGATCTCTGGGCCGTATATGACGCCTCGACGGCAGCAACGACCTCGGTGGCAATGTTGATGCAGAGCTGTGCAGTCTTCCTCCCATAAGTAAGACTGATCATTTCCTCTCGACGCAACAGCATTCGCAGGTATAGAATCCGCAGATGCAGAATGAATCCCTGCTGTTGGATAAATGAAGGTGCTCCGTCATACATGTGCTGGGACCCTGCAGCTTGAGGCCAACGAAGAGAAGAAGGAATCTCTTGAGATAATTCAATAATCTTGTTGTCCATGGCAGCAATGAAGTCCTGGCTGACCGGTTTCTTTGCCCTTGCGCCAAACATCGCTTCCCAAACCTCTGAAGAAAGCCTTGTCAACTTGATTGTTTCCAATAGATAGGGAACAGGGGAGGTCGTGGGCATCTCAGGCAGCGAGGGACAATCCGGATACAACATGCGATCATCGACGCACTTGGGCAGGCAAACATTGATATCTGATTCTCGGAGCAGCTCAGGAACACCACGCGTCTGAGCAACATTGTGGTTAAGACAGAAGACCGACCAGAAAACTCGCTGGCGGTAGGTTCTGTCGTAGAATTTGCAATCCTCCCCCCATGAGGGCTCATTGTGTAGGCCCAGCTGGAAACATAACCGCACTGCCGTGCCCATTGTATCGTAGGCCGAGTTCAAAAGGCCGGCATACATGAAATATAGTGTTTTCACAAGCAGTGTTTGGATTGTCACAATATTGGCTCTCTCCAGCCAGGTGGCGTGGCTGAGCAGCTTGTCTCCGCGACAGAACTCTTTCCAGCCGGGGAGATATTGGCCCTGCGTGGAGCTGTCACATAAGATGCTCACCACTGCCATGATGAATTGGAGCAGGGCAGCTAGTTGCACCGCGCCGCTCTTGGTGAGGCAATTGGCGTCGTTCGCAACAAATGCGGAGAATTGGGCACGCAGGTAGCCCTCGTTCATGCAAGGGTAATGTGGCTGCACATTAGCAAAGAAGATGTCCAGTGACCTATGTATCTTGGTCGCGTCATCAACCCGTGCCTGCTCGACTGTCTGATCTATATCGCGATAGATGTCGGCCACCGAAGTGTTTGGTTCAAAGGTCGAGCTTTCCAGGAAACCATCCACTTTGAGAAGGTCTGTCCCATGTGCTCGAGTCACTGAACGGTCAAGGAGATCGATCTGCTGGAAGAAAGCGGTACCGGTCATGAAATTGGTGTTGCGCTCAAAAACGCTTTCTCGAGGAGAGGACGTCTCAGTGTCAATGGTGCTTAGAGGAGTCTGTTCATGGTTGTCACCAAGCACATGTGCGGCAGGCGAGGGAACCTGACCCGTCACCTGTTGGTCGTCTTGAAATTGTGTTGTTGTTCTCTCTGTCTCGTTTCGTCCATTCCTGCCGCTCTGCTGGTGTCCTTGTGTGGCGACATGTGCTGTCTTTGGGGCACAGTCTCTTGCTGCGGCAGTGCGAAGGCCAGGACCTGGATTGGTTCGACTGTCGACGTTAACCCAGTCGGTGGACGTGACATTTGGCGGCAGCAAAGTCGTCGCTCTCGAACTCCTGGTGCCCCGTGGCTCTGAAAAGACGCATTCAGTACCACAATGGCGACAGTTTCGGCATACCTTTTCGCCGCTGCACTTTCTCTTGCGGCGTTGACATTCATTGCACGCTCGCGAAGTGTATTTGTCGCGGACTCTGGCAGCATTTGAGCCTGATGAAGTCATGGTTGTGAGATTCGCTCCAAGGGGGTTTTAGGGGCCGTTGCTGAGACAGAATATTGACTCGCCGCCTCCCCAACATATCGACCAAGTTCGCTGCCAACAGGAGATGACCCCCTCAAGCTCGGCACCCCGCATGGAGTTGATGTGGAGTGGCGGGGGTCGCAGCGATATTGCAAGGGAGGATGTCGTTGATGGGTGCCTGATAGAAAGCCCTCGCAAGCCACCAGTCCCAGTCATAGTCGGCCAACATCCCACGCCAGCTCGGGCCCTGGTCCCGTCCAACATGCGTTGACCAGTTGGCTTATGAAGGAGAGTGCCGAGATTAGAGTGGTTCCGCAGCCAGGATGGTCGATTCGGACCTGCCATAGACTTGGGAAGCGCTGTGGAGCGACCGAGTGCCGGATATCGGCATGCTTTAGCCTCTCAATAAGCGGAAATGCACTCATAGGGAACAGAGACCCAATGGGAGGTTCCCAAGCGGGAATCATTGAAGCAGTTTGTTTCTTCTGAGCAAAACCCTCTCCGCATGTCTAACTTAGCTTCTCTGTCTAATTTTTAGCAGCTATGTCACTAGTGGCTCCACAACGGCCAGATGGTCGAGTCGGTTTCATGTCAGTAATGATGGGTTCCTTTGCCCAGGAACCTAGGAGCTGGAGAAAGTGTTACCAAACGAAGAGTTCTCCAGCAACTGCACCTTGCATCCCTTTTAACGGCCGGCGTATCTTGGATACGCTCTGCTTTGAATCCTTAGCTGTCAACTCTACGGTTGCACCTTCACCCAATGTATACTTCTGACGGGCAAGCTTCTCCTTTTCATTTCCTTGTACCTCGACTATGAATCGTTGTCTTGCAGGGCCGCTGATGTTTGGAATAGACAAACACCTAGGCCGGCAGCTTCTGCTGCACGGCTTCAATCATTCGGTGGCCTTCTCAAGGAGAAGGGGAATCTTGTTGGAGCTGCCGTTACCATTGGAAACACGCTTTGCGCCCAGATCACAGCACGAGTTGGGTTTGACTGGGTGCTTATCGACATGGAACATGCCCCTGTGTCGGCGCGTGAAGCATCCATTTTGGTCCAAGCGGTGGTAACAGCATCAGGCGGACAGTGTGTTCCAGTAATTCGCACTCCTTCGCATGGAGTCGAGTGGATTAAATGGGCTTTGGACTCTGGAGCCGCTGGCATCATTATTCCTATGGTGACCACTGCCCAAGAATGCGAAAATATCATTCAGCGGGCCATCTACCCACCGCGGGGCCAGCGCAGCTTCGGTCCTTTTCTTGCGCCATATGCCGACGTCGACCCCGCCGCCGATGTCGCGAAATACATGAAAGAAAGGGTAAAAGAGGTAGCGGTCATTCCCATGATCGAGTCCGTGGAGGGTGTGCAGAACGCCGAAGCGATATTGAGTGTTCCGGGAGTCACAGCCTGCTTTGTTGGGCCTTACGACCTGCGGCAATCTATGGGGCTATCAGGCGGTGACGGTGAGGAACCCGTCTACATCGATGCATTGGAAAGGATTCTCGAGGCGGGGAAGCGGAACAATGTAGTCGTCGGAACAGTAGGTGCGACTGAAGCATCTGCAAGGCGGAAGGTGGAGATGGGCTTCAAGTTTCTGCTCACGGGTCAGGAGCCCAATTTCCTGGCTGCTGGTGCTCGGTCGACTTTACAGCAGTGTCAGCGGGGGATGAATGCTGCGAGGTCCAGCAATCTGTAGGCAGCTGTGGCATATAATAGTTTGCCACAACAAGATCACCTTTGTCGGCCCCCAGATGGCAATCCAAATGCTGCATATATGGCACGAGAGTGGCTATAATATTCTAAAGATTGTCTAGAATCTTGTGCTATAGTGATTCTACTTGGTCTCGCCTCTTCCTTCTGAGTTTTACTTGACAGCTTCTATCTTTGCGGAGAGGAGTTTCAAGCCAGCTTGTGAACACTCAGCCGTGAGCGAGGGTTCTCTGTCAGAAGATGGCGACAACATTGGAATGGCTACCAACACCTCCTGAAAGATTGTCAGTGATATGTCTATACTCGTAGGATGTGAACTGACCTTTCACATTCGCCGGGCTACTAGATAGGAAGAATGTGTATCGGTTGTGTTTCTTGCACAACACCGCCAGTTCTTCCACATCCCACAGCTCACCAATGGGGCTTCCCCAGAGAGGAAGCAGCCAATGATGCAAATGTTCTGGCTCGTCCATCGGCCATGTTTCGAACGAAGGCGCATCGCTGGCTACGGCGCTGAAATAGTTATCATGCAGCAATTCGACCATGTCGTGGGCCCGAGAGAGCCCTGCGAATTGTAGCTCCAGGTAAGCCTTTGCTCCCATCTCCTCTCGTTGGTTCTGGTCGAGCTTCCTGTATGCCTCCGAAAAGCCGGTTCTCACGATGAAAATATCGCCGTACTTGAACTCCACGCCTTGCGCTTTCGCACACGACATGATTTCTTCGGCCGTGATCTTTCGGGGCGTGAATGGGTCGTACGACTTCCCGCAGTAGTCGTAGAAGTCGATGAGGACGCCTCGTCCGACTGGGTTGCATGGTTTTCAGCTCATTAATCCTTGCAAATGGTGCAGTAGCAATCTTACCGATGCCTCTGCGCGCCCATGCGCTGGTGCCGATTCTGCCGGACTTGCCTTCGATTTGTTCGACTGTCGTCTGAGACACGTCAATTATGTCTTTCTTTTCCGTATTGGCCAGATCAATGTACATTATTGTACCATATATACCCATCATTATGCTTGATACCAGCCTGTTGGACAGGATTAGAGGGATCCGTCATTTAAAAGAAAAACAATCTATAGGAGGCTCAGGAGAACTGGATCAAGCACTTACATGACGAAAGCCGTCCCACTGAGAGCCGCTCTGAGTGTTCAACTCATACAGATCGTCGAAGGCATAAGGGCGAACTTTCAAAACGGTATGTTTGAAGGGGGGACGTCCGAAAAATGGAGGCTCTGGCCACTCGGCAGGAAGGCTTTAATGAAAACCACACGTCAGCCCGCTATTCAGCGCTCAATGGAGCTCGTAGGCTCTCATAGCAATGTTCATTTCTCCCTTACTTCAAGCACGTCCTTTCTCCAGTCTGAATTAGTTTCGAGGCTTCGATTACCCTTCTGGGCGTTAAAAGATTTAGTCGGCCCAGCTATAGTGGTATAATTAGCCTCATCCTGAGCAAAACGGCCAAAACCAGCCAACAGCACGAGGAGGCTGCAGGTCCTACCTCGTCGTCTGGTCCCCAGAACCAGGCGGCATACTCAGGGGCCCCAGGGATCAAAGGTAGCTCTTTGAGCTTAGGCAAGTTGTCTGAGTCTGGGTCCCATGTCGCCATTGTACAGTCAGGCCGCTGATCGAAGTTTGAATAGCCCTAAAGCTGACCGATGGACAGGAGATGAGAAAGTATAGCACTTTCACTCTCATATTTGAATTCCTAATATTGCACAGAAGCTCTGCTGAGCAGACCTGTCACGCGCCCGGTCGCATTGTTAGCCGCAGTTGGCCTGGGGGTTGCTGCGGAAGACGGAAAATGGCAGCTAGACTGGAGTCAGCGGTCTGCCAGATTCCTAGCACATACCGAGCTTTCCACCCAGAACTTCTCAATATTGTTCCACTTATTAAATGGGCCATACCGATGCGGAATAACAATTTATTGGGAACCACCGTTGACTCTGCACAGACTACTGCAAGTTTATAACTTCCTTTTCTGTTTAGTCTTCAAGCGAACATCGGGAAAAGCATACGCATCTTGTGATATTCTTCACTCGATCCACTGACTCACACTTGTCGATCACAACCAAGAGATGCTTCTGCTCAAGCTAGCCTATATGGAATACCTCCGCGTCCCTACCTCCTGCTTCCACTTTGCCTCACACATCTTCACACCCACAACCTTCCACGATATGGTTAGAGGACTCCGCCCTGTTTGTAGAAAGACGGGGCAGCCCAATCCCTTAGTTTTCTCACCCCATGTTTCGGGTCACTTGAAAACCTCAATCTCCTGATATGTATCGTTTAAAGCAACCTTTTCATCTCTTTGGACAACCTCGTTGTCATCTGACACTGCGTCTTCGAAGCTGACAACTACGGTGTCTCCGAAGGTGGCGCTGAGGTCCTCGATCGACTTGCCACTGGTCTCCGGGTAGAGAAAGAAAATGGTGAGGATAAACACGACGGTCCAGGATATATTGACGAAGTAGAACTTCCAGTGGATGACATCCAAGGCGATTGGCGCGGCAACCAGCAGGATCACATTAGACAGTGTCAATCCCAATGTGCCAACCGCCTGCCCCTGCGCGCGGATATAGCTGGGGAATATCTCAGAGATGTAGACGAATTGAGTGGCGTCGATGCACGTGCACCAGAAGCAGATCATCAAATACGTCAGGAATATGGAGGCCTTGAGTCCTGGTCGAAAGTTCCGCTCGAGATACAGGCTTTGGAGAATGCAGTTCAGGATCACACACATCAGGATCCCGCAGGTGCCGATCAGGAGTAGAGGACGACGGCCAACTCGGTCGACGAGGGCGGCATTGATGAAGTTTCCTGGCATTGTAATACTGACCCAGATGGCCTGGAGAATCAGTGGCATGGGGCCCGTCATGCCCAGCTGTTGGTACACCAAAACTCCATAGATGCCCACGGTGGTCAACCCCAGGAATTGAGTGCCCCAAAGCAGGTTGAAGGCCAAGAAGACCCGTTTTCGGTTGGAGGCTGTCCTGATAATAGGAAAGGATCCAATCCGTTCCGAAACACTCGAGTCGAACGCGATCTGTCTGGACATCTGATTGAATTCGCGCTTTGCGTACTCCCCAGCTTGATCTCCCAAGTGTCCGTGGAGTATGCGGATGACAGTCTCTGCTTCTTCGCGGCGCTCTTTCATAATGAGCCATCGGGGAGATGCCGGTAGGATAGGAGATCCGGGCAATAGGATCAAGGTGGGCAATACCTGGACTGCCAGGGGGAAACGCCAGGCAAACCCGGATTCAGGGTCATTGACACCTTTGAAATACGTGCCCACGTTGATCCAGCAAGAGAGTGAGTTGCCGATAGCAAACATGAAACCAGTCATGGCGACCATGAACCCGCGTGATTCTGGAGGCGAGACTTCAGCCTGGTACATCGGCGCCACAGCGAGCAGGGAGCCCATGCCAATGCCAGACAAGACTCGCGCCGCAAGAAACATGGCCGGGTTAACTGCACCACTCTGAAGGGAACCACCGAGCATGTAGATCAGCGTAGTCAGTTGTAAACTGAGCTTGCGGCCCAGAGCATCTGCAGCCCAAGCAGCCATGACAGCCCCGATAGAGGCTCCTCCGATAAATGTACCGGAGGCGGCGCTGAGGAAATGTGAGGTGCGCTTATAACCAGCGTCACTGGGGTCGTCGGTGTAGCCCATGGCCACATAGAAGCCATGTTGCCCGATCGCGCCGCTGAGACAGGACATGGAATAACCACATGCCATAGGACCAGTAGCAAGGAGCATCACGAGCGCCCAGTTATAGGCCGTGATGCCTGGAAGGAGGCGGCCCATCCTGAGCTGTCGTTATTACCCAGGACTTAAGGCGAGATAGAAAATAGTGGTTGAGAGAGTCCTAGAGCCGCGGCCTTGAGAGTGCCACAGGCACTGTTATGACTACCGATGCTGAGGGTATTTAAGACCCCAGTAGACCAAAGCTCCCTCTGACAACAATCTATTCTGAGTCCTAGGTGTGGAGGTGTGTCTCTCCGCAGGCCGCTTTCCGCCTTCCGTTTTCCACGTTCCGCATATTGCTCACATGGCCATAACCAACAACGGCAATACTGAAGTTAAAGTTGGTCCCAGATTGTGGTCAGTTCAATTTACGTTGCGCAAGCCTCGGAAGGTGATTGGACTGACTCAGGTCGCCCGGAGACACCAATGCTCAAGTCTTGCCTTCCGTGCCCCCCTTAACTCTGGTTCCCTCAGGGACTATCATCAACGTTCACACTTCTAGGCAGTATGTTTGGTCTTGATCATTGTACTTGGTTAGGGGCTGTATGTGGTCTCGATGCCTCGGGCCTCACTGTGTCAGCGCAAATGTAGAAGTGGCGTGGTATGATTTTCATCATAGGCTGAGACAGCCTGAACTATGCTCGAATGAAGATGCTATTCTCGCTTCAAGGCCAGGACATTCAAGACTGCGTCAGACCCTGTGGAAACACTCGTAGGGATGAGTCCACATTGGCTCTTGTGGTGAATGCTCATCACTGTTTAAACCTTCGACTTTGTTCCGTAGATCTTCGTACTTAAAAAAAATTGTAGTAGGTCCTAATTAGGTCTGGCTATCTACCCGACCAAGCGGTTGAGTTGACTTTCATGTGCCAAAGGGTCCTTGGGGAGCTGCACCTTCCAGGCCTTCCCGACCTCGTTCTCCCCCCATGCGTGCGGGCCATTGTCATATGTGTTAGTCCGCCGCATGTCCCTTCGGTATTTGAATATATACTCCGACGCGTCTAACGCTCGATGCCAGACTGCTGTGTTATCCCACATAACTGCGTCTCCTGGTCGCTCCCACGCGACCTTGTACACGTATTTCGGCTGGGTTCCGTGCTTGATCAGCTCTTCCCGCATCTTGTGGCTTTCTTCGATCGAATAGCCCTGGAACCTATAGACATAGCTGGTCACATACAAATTCTTGCGTCCGCTCCCCTCGTGCGGATACACGGCCTTGAAATGAGAGATAGACCAGTCGTATGGATCCACATCTTTATACAGATCCGGCGCCGCCATCCGGCGATTATGGATCAGCGAACAATCACACACCAAGTTCTCAAGCTTGTCCTTCCATTCGCGGTCGAGGTCTTCGTAGGCGGTGCGGGAATCGGCAAACTCAGTCTCGCCGCCAGAACCTAGGGGAGGGATTTCGACCGCGCGGAGTAGAGAGTATTTGTCCCGGCGCGGATGATACTGCATATCGGCGTGCCACAGCTCGTTACCCTTCTTCAGCATGGAGGTGACGCGGTCGGTGTCCTTGACTATTTCTCCAGAGTCGTCCAAGTTGGACACGTCGAAGATGTGCGGCTGGTCAGGGAATCGACCTCGGCGACGAATGAAAGGCATCGAATCTAGCTCGCCGAACCGCCGTGTGAAGGCAACGTGGGTGTCATTGTCCATATTGGCATTCCGGAACACGAGGACGCCATACTTGTCGATGCCCTCCTGAACTTCAGCGATCACAGAGTCCGGTATGGGTTTGGAGAAATCAACACCCTCCACTTCAGCCGCAAATGTTGCGTGAAGGGGCTTAAACTTGAGTGTCTTGTGAACTGCCATTGTCGATGGATTGATCAAAGACTTTGAGGAAGCTTGTGGGTGGCCGTATATCTGAGAAGATTTAAATGCGAATATCTTGTTGATGCCCGTGACTCTCGTAATGGGTCATGAGAGAGTAGTGAGATGAGCGGAAAAGTGTCCTTGTTACTGTCAAGAACGGTTCCGACTCGCGACAGTGGCAAAGTGTCATTGACAATAGGGGCGGAATAGCCAATGACTCCACAAAACCCTAAGGATAGTCCCTGAGTGGTCATGTTCAGATGAGGCTGTAACTGATAACGTTTTCCGAAGGATCGGGAGCCAATCTCCATTTTGCTGTGGTAAAACAGGGGTCTTGCTGCCGACAGTTGCACAACATCCCCTCGAAAGAGGCCTGTCAGTCCATCCAGACCAATATGCGAGAAGCAGACCAATATATACGTTTGACGTTTCTCGAGCCGTAGATGTTCAAGAGACTCTGTCCGAAGTTTAAACATGCTACGAGACTTGTGTGACACCACAACCGAGCCATACGGAGGGTATGTCAAGCCAATGTCAGCTCCTGGAAACCTCCCAAAGGACGATCCAAGAGCGGACTCAGAAGAGGCTGCCAAAACATGCGACTGGCAAAATGTAAATAGCAGAGGTTACTCGATACTAGAGAAGCCGCACGGGCTCCCCCAGCGCAAGCGCGTCATTGTGATCGGCGCCGGAGCCACTGGTATATGCTTTGCAAAGTTCTCCGAGGCGTTGGCGAACCTCGACCTGCAGATATACGAAAAAAACGACGAGGTCTCTGGCACATGGTGGGAGAATAGGTATCCTGGCTGCGCCTGCGATATCCCGTCTCACATTTATCAATTCACATGGGCCATGAATCCCAACTGGTCCCACTATTACTCTGACGCTCGCGAGATTTTCGAATATTTCAAAGGTGTTGTGAACGCGCATGGGCTTCGCAAATATATTAAGGTGCAGCATCAGGTCGTGCGTGCAAGCTGGAACTCCCAGACCACTAAATGGGAAGTCCAGGTCCTGGGACCGGACGGAAGAACCTTCGAAGACGAATGTGACTTCCTTGTCAACGCGTGCGGCCTCTTGAACAACTGGAAGTGGCCGGATATCCAAGGTCTTCACAGTTTCAAAGGCAAGCTTCTCCACTCAGCAGCTTGGGATGAGTCCACTGTCCTTGACGGAAAACGAGTGGCTGTGTTGGGAGCAGGCTCATCTGGTATCCAGATCGTTGCCAACATTCAACCGCTCGTCAAGCAGCTGTACACTTGGATCCGGTCTCCGATCTGGATCAGCTCTGGATTTGCCTCCAAATTCGCGGGTCCGAACGGGAAAAATTTCGAGTATAGTGAGGACATCAAGAAGGAATTCGCAGAGAATCCGATCAAGCAACTCCGCTATGTCAAAATGCTAGACGCAGAGCTTGGCCAACGGTTTTACTTTAACTTCATCAATACCAAGGACGCCCAGATGGCCAAGGAGTTCTCTCGCAAGCAGATGGAGGACAAGTTAAAAGCTCGTCCAGATCTCATAGAGAAGATCATTCCCACCGCATATGGGCCGGGATGCCGAAGACCGACACCAGGAAATGGATATCTTGAAGCCTTGATGGAGCCCAATGTGACAGTTTATACAAAAGACATCCAGCAAATAACGCCGTGGGGATTTATCGACAGTGACGGCGGCGAACACGAAATCGATATAATTATCTGTGCAACGGGTTTCGACACATCCTACGTCCCACGATTCCCGGTCCTTGCGAACGGCAAAGACCTCCGGCAAGAGTGGGCTGACGATCCTGTGTCATACCTTTCTGTCATGATACCTGATTTTCCTAACTACTTTCTCTCTATTGGGCCTTACAGTGCCACAAATGGTTCGCTATTGCCGCCCATTGAACACGGATGCAAATACATGCTCAAGATCATCGAGAAGTGTCAGATGGAACACATCCGCTCGATTGCACCCAAGGCCGACGCCACGGCCGAGTTCCGGGAGCACGCAGACTTATTCCTGAAGAGAACGGTGTGGAATCAAAAATGTCGAAGCTGGTATAAGGGCGGGACGATCGATGGGCTCCCACGTCTATACCCTGCGTCAAGAGCACATTTTGTTGAGACCATGCAGCCGCGGTATGAAGACTTTGAGATTAAGTACGGAAGCTGCAACCGGTTCCACTTCTGGGGCAATGGATTCACGGTCCGCGAGCTTGACGGGCGTGATCCGACATGGTACCTCGGGATTGTGGATGGCAAGGACAAACAGCCAGATTATACTGAGGACGAAAGGACTCTTTTTTTCTCTTCTAAGCAATAGGAGAGACTTAAGGAGGATCCCTTGTGTACATAGTTTGCAGTTTAGTGATAGCCTGAGAATACAGCTCCATCGTTTACATATAAATCTAGGACACTTTACCAAAGATGTTCTTGGAAGTAGAGTTTTCATACAGTGTCTTCTTAAGAATTCAATACCCATGAGCAAAGAGACCGCCAGACCTTGCTCACGGAATAGATCCAACTCTATAAAAAGTCGAGTTGATGGGGCGGATCCTGAGGGAGACCGCATTGCGGAAGGACAGAGCCGATAGAAATGCGGAGGGTGAGTCATCTGCTTCGCCAGGCTCGAGATACCCGACCACTGAGCATCATTAGTTCGAACGCGGCTCTGAAAATGTTTCTGTACGGTGTGGACTCGTCAGTTTCCAGCTATATTAATATTAAGGATGCAGCATGTTTTGGAAGTGCGAATCCTGGAATCGGGGATGTTCGTGAACGCTCCAATCCTGCTACGCAATTAGGCTCGTATTTCACCCTTGTACATCAGAGTTCCAAGACCGGCTCGAACCCTACTCAGCTGTTGAGAATCGACTGTGATTATCATGGCTTCTCTGAAAGGGAAGGTCATCGCCATTACTGGTGCAGCGGGCGGCATAGGGTCGGTGACGGCCGCAAGGCTGGCATCCAGGGGGGCTAGCCTTGCGCTGGCCGACATGGACGAACACGCATTGAACGCCACGGCCACAGAAATCCGCGGAAAACATGAAGTCGATATTCTCACGACGAAACTCGACGTGACCGTCTCCAAACAAGTCGACGATTGGATCGCCGCCACAGTCAAACGCTTCGGAAAGCTCTCTGGCGGGGTCAACCTCGCGGGGACGGTGGGGAGGGAAATTGGCCTCAAGGCGGCCCACGAGGTCTCGGACGCAGACTTTGACCTGGTCATGGCAATCAATGTCCGAGGCCTCATGGCCTGTCAGCGAGCGCAGTTGCAGCATATAGACGACGGGGGGTCGATCGTCAATGCCGCCAGCGTTGCAGGGAAAATAGGCATCCCGAACTTGCTGGCTTACACTGCGAGCAAGCACGCTGTCATCGGAATGACCAGGACCGCGGCAGTGGAGAATGGCCATCGAAATGTGAGAGTGAATGCGGTCGCGCCGTGAGTCTTGACTCATTTATCGCCTTGCAGAGACATTTTGTCCGCTGACTCCTCGCTTCATGTAGTGGAAGCATTGATACCAAGATGCTCGGTGTCGCTCGCGATGCCCACATGCCTGGCAGCGAAAAGCCACTGGCCCCAATCAATCGACTTGGAAAGCCAGAGGAGGTTGCAGCCTTGATTGCATTCCTGCTGAGTGACGAGTCCACATACACTACGGGGGCAGTCTACACAATCGATGGTGGCATGACTCCATAGAAGAAGCGTCTTCATGGATTTTATATCTGGAAGCTGTGTGAGAGTGAGGAGATGGAGGATCATTTGTCATGCCAACGACGGCTATGGAGATGATCATGAGTAGATTTGAGTCCTTTAGTCGGCTTTGCACGTGCAATATCGAACTATTTCCAGCTTCAAGATTCTACCATTGCAACTATCTTGATGAGCCTATACTCCAGATAGAGCATACTCCGTGGCTGTACGTAAACTTTTTCCTTCGTTGTCCTGCTCCTCAGATCGTCCGCTTCCTCACCAATACTGGCAAAGCAGCTTTCATCAGGGTCAAGCTCGAGGTAACCTCCCAGGGATACCGCTCGAGATCGTACTTCGGGGCCGGCTTCAGCTCCAGTCTTCTCATAAACCGCGTCAGAAAGAGACGCATTTCCAGCAGGGCAAGCGGTCTTCCGACACAGCTGTATATCCCGGCCCCGAAAGGGATATAGGCTTTAGTATTATGATTGCATATACCATGCTTCTCCCGTTCCTCGTCTATCCATCTTTCTGGAAGAAAATCCGAGGCTCTGGTGAAATTTCTTTCGTCTCTTTGCATGGTCCACTTGTGGATACTGAGCTGTGTGAAACCGGGAATGAACTTTCCGTTGACCACGGCGCCGCCCTCAGGCGTCGACCGCTGGTTCCCGTTAGGATCTGGCTCTGCGAGGCGCAACGACTCGTTGATGACGGCGTTCAGATATGGCGCCCGTGCTGGAACCAGCTGCTGCCCATCCAGCTCACTCACGCCGTCCCAGAGCGAGTCTACCTCTTCTTGCGCCTTCTTGTAACTGTCGGGGTTCGTCAACAGGTAGTAGAATGCAAATGTCATACATATGCTGCTCGTGTCACTCCCGCCGACGACCACGACTATGGCTTCCTCGGCAACCTGTGACTTATTCAGTTGAATCCCAGTCTTGGGATCAGGCTGTAGCAAGTATTCGAAAATGTCACCACCAGCTGCCTTTCCTCTTTGGTATCGTGCTTCAAACCGCTTTGCAGTGAATCGGACAAAGTCGAGTCCGCTTCTTTTGCGTTCGCGATCGATCGGCAGCCATTTGTAAAGCTCCTTGAACCACGGCACCGGGCGAATGATGGAAAGCATGCGCATATAGCTGTGGAGGAGACCTGCCCACTCCAGTGATTCCTTGTTGGTGCCCTCAATCATCCCAAAATCCTCGCCAAAGCCAAGATCACCCATGATATCGAATGAGAAGTGGTCGACGTCAGCACTGACGTCGATAACAGTGCCATCTTTCCCCTCGCAATGTTTGATCAATCGATCGGTCAACAGAATGATCCTGGATTCGTAAGACTTTAAGGCGTTCGCGGTGAATGCTTTATCCCAGATCCTCCGCCGGACCTTGTGGTTCTCCACGTTTCGCGTGCTCGCCATAACCAAAGTGTTGTGACCTGCCCGTCCGGGGTTGCCATCATACCAAGGTCCTCGGCGAAGGTTGAACGACTGAGCGCCGTGAATGAAGGTCACGTCATCTGGATTGATGAAGGAGAGCTCATTCGGACCGTATCGAACAACGTCTCCGTATCTCTGGTGCAAAGCTTCGAGATATCTGTGGCTGTTGCCCGTTCCACAAATATAAGAGAAGTGAAATTTGCTTAGTTTTCCGAGAATAGGGCCGGGATACTCCCGGAGAGGATGAAGGAGTAACCTGTATATAGCAATGCTGTAACCCAATGCTGCGAAATAGCAAATATTGAAGGCAGAAATAAAACCGATAAGCCCGAGACTCGTCTCGTCTGCGTTCCTTCGCCAGAAAATGCAAAGTGCCACTTGGAGAACTGCGACAAAACTAAGGAACAGAGGCACTGTTGGCTCCTTGCGCTGGAAAACAACGTGACTTCCGAATGCTGTAAGCACGCTTCCAGAGCTGACGGTCAACAAATTCAATTCCATGGCTACCAGTTCCAAGATGCCTTTCAGAGCAAGATTTCTTGAGCGACACTACTGTTATGATATCAAATATGAATACCCTGATTGTGCGGAAGCCACTTACAGCCTGGTGGACAACCATGAAGCCATGGTGGGGAGCGCCACCGGCCGGCTAAGTCGTTTTCGGGAGGCCAATACAGCGCGAGTAAAAGCAGGAGTATTATGAGAAATATGGCATCCCGCCCCTTCCGTGTATCATTACCCGGACTCAAAATGCAGGCATAACCCCCGATGCCCCAAGTCAGCACCATCAGGCCGCGCAATATCATACGATTAGATAGCCGAAGCGCTATGTGTGGAGAGTGCCGTGGTAACAGGTCATTTTTCCTTTGCAAAACCACGTAAAGTACATGAAAGGCATTCCACTAAGGTCTGATCTGCAATCACAAGGGAAGGAAGCAGAATCAACGCTGTCGGTCGGGCCGTGCATATCACGATATATAGGCCTTGAATACGTTACAGGAGAAGACCTAGTAACTATCAAGAGACTATAAGACTACTTTCAAGGTTTTTAGAAATTCTAGTAAGAAGGACGAAGTTCTTGGATCACAAGCCCTCTCACAACTTGTCTTGAGCTTGGTGGGACTGAAGAGAAATCCCGCAGGACATCCTTACCCAGTCTGAGAGAGAAGGAAATCTGATCCCTCCACCTGCGACAATTTTCTAAATCTAGAGCTCATCGTCAGTTCTACAAGAATGGCTTGGAAACTCGATGGGAAGGTTGCCATTGTAACGGGATGCGCGTCTGGCATCGGTTTAACAGCGGCAAAGCTCTACCTTGAGGCAGGTGCAACGGTTTTCGGAATCGATATCTCCCCATTTCCAGAACCATATCCGTTCTCGACAACACTGTCAGAGAAGTTCCACTTCCACAAGGCAGATCTGACCGCCCCTGAAGCCTGCGATAAGTCGGTAGCCGCGTGTTTGTCAAAGACGGGAAAGAAGGTCGATATCCTGGCGAATGTGGCCGGTATCATGGATTCATTTGAAGCTGTTCACAGAACCAAAGACGCAACGTGGGACAAATTGATGAGTGTCAACACCGCGGTGCCAATGAAACTCATGCGAGCAGTTTTGAATCAAGGTGGCATGCTCGAGCAGAAATCAGGGCGCATCATTAATGTCGCGAGCAAGGCTGGACTGAGTGGGGCGGCAGCAGGATTTGCTTATACAGCTAGCAAACATGCTCTGGTAGGTGATGTTGATGGTTCATTTCATGTTCGATTTCCACGATCGACTTTTGACGACGTACCATTGTCATAGAATGATTGCTAACCAATATATTCCCTCAGATCGGAATGACCAAACATGCAGCATGGCGTTACCATCATGATGGGATCCGAACAAACGCAGTCTGTCCAGGAGGTATTGACATTGCAATACAGCCTTGCTAGTACATCTCCTGACCTTTGTTATAGGGGTTCCAACCAACATTAAGAATTCTATTCAGCAAGAGGACCTCGACCAAGAGTCCTTGGAAATCATGACGTGAGTTTGCGCTTCATGGAATTTTGAGGATCACAGCCCTAGTTAGAGAAACGGGCTAACACTGGGGAAACAGGCCCTTCCACCAGTTAAATCACTCCCGAGACGGAAGTCCAAGTATCTCTACAGATGATATTGCGAACACAATCCTATTCCTTTCGGTCGAGGCATCCCGCAATGTCAACGGAGTGATAGTCCCGGTGGACAATGCATGGAGTGCATGCTAACCGTCCACCTTACCACTTCCTGTCCGCGTGTGAAACAGGAGTAATGACTTCCAAGGCCCCGCGCAAATCGGAGCCAAGGTCGAGGCTAATGGGCGCGTGGAGATCTCCTCCTCTAGCTAGCCCGGTCACAAGCGGAAAATGTTAGCCGCGGTCGAAAGGACGGAAGGCGGAATACTAGCGGAAATCTGGCGGAATTGAAAGCCAAATATGGAATAGTGCAAGCGAATGGACATTCGACTAGGGCCATTTTCTGGCCCGTCCCTTTGCATGTTCTATTCTGGTTTGCACCGCTTCACTAGTGGGATGGCTCGAGTCGGATGATTAGATCTCGCCAGGCAGGCACGCTTGTGAGAGCTATTCTGCACAATTGATGAACCATACGCTTTCATAAGTTCACTTCATTGAGGTTACAACCATTGCTCAGGTACTCTCAGGATCGGTCTGGTGACGATGCTAAGTATCGATGAAGTGCGTGAACATGACAACCAAGAGTCCTGTTGGGTCATTATCCATGGATCCGTGTATGATCTTTCTGAATTCCTAGACATGCACCCTGGCGGTGCGGCGTCAATTCTACGCTATGCGGGCAAGGTCTGTTGAGTCCAGAGTCGAGTTGTTATGGAATGTCTTCGACGTGAGCTAAGAACTGAACAGGATGCCACTGCGGAGTATGATGCAATCCATCCACCCAACACTATCGAAAAGGCTCTCCCCAAAGGTACTTGACCCTGTATCCAACCTGTGATAGAGAGGATACTGACTAATATGAGAAAGACAGACATCTTGGAAAGGTCAAACCATCAATCACAGCGGCGGAAAAGCCAAATGTTACCGCTGATAGTCTGGCCCGTGAAAAACAAGGCCCCATGCCTATTGAAATGTGTCTCAACTTGAATGATCTGGAGCTTGCAGCAAAAGCAAGTCTTGCTGAACGCGCATGGATTTACTACTCCTCTGCCGCGCAAGACAGGCGGACTTTGACTCACAACCTGGACGACTGGAAGCGAATCCGGTTCCGACCACGGATCATGAGGAACGTGAAAAAGGTCAACACTCGACAGACGATACTGGGCTTCCAAAGTAGTCTCCCATTCTTCATCGCACCCTGTGCATTGGCAAGGCTGGGCCATCCCGATGGAGAAATGTGCCTTGTACGAGGCGCCGCACGAGCCAATATTGCATACTGCCCTAGCAACTCGTCATCCGTCTCCCACGACGGCCTCGCAAATTGTCTTGCTTCGGAGACAAGAGGCGGATGCCTCTTCTTTCAACTGTACGTGAAGAGATCTCGGAATGAGACCCTCGGCAGCATCCGACGTGCCCGAGAGCTAGGATACAAGGCGCTGGTGATCACAGTGGACACAAACGTGGTTGGAATCCGAGAGGATGACGACAAGTTCAAGATCCGGGAGGCGCTGAAGAGCGGGCAACAGCATCTCAGTCCGTGGAGGGCGGCTTTGTCCAATCCTGATCCCGACGTCGTGTTACGTGCACCTCACTCGGCAACCCTGAATTGGGAAGACCTACGTTGGATCAAGAAGGCATGGCAAAACGCCGGACCAATATGCTTGAAAGGGGTCCTGACGGCCGAGGACGCCCAGACTGCGTGTGACCACGGAGTTGATGCAATCTACCTGAGCAACCACGGAGGACGCCAGCTGGATTCGGCGAATTCTGCTCTCGGGGCATTGATTGAGATACAGCAGCAATGTCCGGACGTGTTGAGCAAATGCCAGGTCCTCCTCGATGGTGGCGTCCGCCGTGGAGGAGACATTCTCAAGGCTCTGTGTCTGGGAGCTGCTGGCGTCGGGTTGGGCCGACCCTTCATGTACGCCCTCAGTGCCTATGGGACGGAAGGCGTGCAGAAGGCCATCGAAAGCAAGTTTCCCCGTCTGATGAGTTGATACAAACCCCTCCTAAAATGCCCCCACACTTCAATGCCTTCTGGTTCTGAGTGGTACACTAACTTTGTTATCCTGGACAGTACTCAGCGACGAAATCGAGACTGGCATGCGGCTACTGGGCGCGACGTGCTTGGAAGATCTAAGCCCACGCATGGTCAATGCGCGAGAACTAGAGATCCTCGTCGCCCAAGACTTTCCAACACGTGAGAGCATTAAATCTAGGCTTTGACATCAGTTGGGATTTCTATACATCCGGCAACACTCAACATCCACGGCGAGAGTATGTTCATATCCACAGTATTGACCTATAATCTCAGGTTAACGTATTCATAAATGTTGCACGAGCAGTAGAAGACTGGCTCCGAGAAAGTATCAAGCCGTACATTGAGCTAAAATCCTTAATAGATTGGGAGAGGAAGCAGGGGCCTTTCCGGTTGTCGAGAGCATATCAACAGGCGTATCGTGCCTTATCAGGCATAGCAAAACGACAATGGGGCTGTGCTATACTAGTCCGACATGGGTCTATCATCGACGCCATACGATTCGTCTAGTTCATTGAGCCCTTGCAGGGTCGGTTCCGACTCCACAATCTCTCCCGCCTGTCAGTGTCGCGATTATTTCCCTTTTCCGCATGTCACAATTCCGAGGGTCTATTCGGTGCAAGGCCAATGGGTCAGCTGCATAACTTCGCAAGGGAATAGCTAAGCTCGTCCCACAGCTCTGTTTTCTCTTCCGTCGATATGGTGGCGCCTGCAGGAGCCATAGCGGCCTGTTTCTACCCCGCAACCCCGTTGCCCACAATGTCCATATGATGTGTCATTGTCTGGAACGTGGAATCCCCAGGAGACTACATCCCTTGCCCGCAGCTCCCCTTCATTGCATTTTCCAAGCCTATCGTGGACGAGAAATCCTTCTTTCCCATTTTTCTCAATCCGGGCCTTGAACTGATCCTGCTGCAACAAACCCCCGACTATGACTCCTCGCACGACGGATCCGCAATCTCGAGCCTCGGCGGCATGTACTGCCTGTCGCGTACGGCGTACCAAGGTTCGTTGAGAAAGAATTCTCATGATGAGACCCTTCTGAGTATTGACGAAGGGTATGAGATAGTGCATCGTGGATCCGGGACACGCGTCTTGCGACTATTGCCAGAGCAAAGGCATGGATTGCACCTTCCAGGCGCTCGATGATCGCAAGAGGTGGGTAGCAGCGTCATATGACCAGGAGTGAGAAGGCAAAAGCCCGAGCTAATTGTAGAAAGACCAAAGTCCAAGGTGTACCTCAACTCACTACTGGAGAATATCCAAAACCTCGAACAACGACTCAGGGCTGCTGGACACGAGCCTCCTCAATTCCAACAAAGAGCCACCCAGGTTCAAACAGCCCAGCAGCCTCGACGAAACATCTCTCTGCGGGACGAAGAACCTTCAAGGAAAACAGATCGAGCGATCGAGAACTCTCGGTCGCTTCCTATCAGCCGATTAGAGAATGCCTTGCATCCGGTCCTCGAGGAGAATGGTGCACATGGCTCACCTGCTTCGGCCAGTGCCACCTTGGAGTCTGTCCCAGAGCCATCAATTCTCGCTTCGGTGCGAAGCCACAACTCAGTGCGCCAACGGAGCGGTTCGGAGCCATACCAGATCAGCAACAGACAGAATACTGTGTGGAACACGATTCTTGGTGCTGACCGTTTTATTTATGACCGAAGGAAGGGACGTATCCACTATTTCAGTCCGTCCACCTGCTACAAGAGATATCAAAGCTCCAACGACCAAGGAGACCTCGAACTGTCCCATTTAGACAAGCACTCGTACAAAATACTCGCAGAAATCCCCATGGATCTGGAAAACTATCTGATGGACCTGTTTTGGAGCCGATACAACAGCACACTATGTGTCATTGACCAACAAGCATTCTGCAATAACCGAGCCACTGGAAGTTCAACGTACTATTCTGGATTCCTCCATCTTACTTGCCTCGCCATGGGTTTTCGATTTGCAGACAAGACTCGTCGGGGAATCCAACAGATCACTCTCAACGACACTTACAGCGTTTTTCAGCGAGAAGTAAAGTTTCTGATGGAGCGGGAACTCGAAGATCCCCGGGGTCTCACCCTCATCCAAGCCATGCTAGTCTTGAGCGACCTGGAATGTGCCTGTGGCAGGGATGATCTGGCGGCGATGCACATCGCTACTTCCTGCCGTCTTGCTTTCGACTTCGGACTCCATCTGGACTGTTCGAGATTTGGGCTGTCTGCGGCGGAGACGAAATTCCGGAAAAATCTGCTTCGTTCGTGCTTGGTATACGATCAGGGATGGGCGTTGTACATGGAACGACCGACGAACATGAAAATCTCCGACATCTCAAGCTCCTGTCTGGCAAGTCGCATCTCCCACATCAAGGACGCCGCTGTATCGCAAGGGAAATCCACGAACGAGTCTGTACCCTCACACGAAGACCTTCATGGTCAGATATTGGATGCCTTGCTAGAGCTTGCGGGACTCAGCTCGAGAATCCAAGCCCTCTCACAGCCGCGTCTCACTCTGGAGATCATTGCCGACGAGGATCGTTTGATAGACGTCGCCGCGTTGGACGCAAAGTTGAAATCTTGGTATTCCATGCTTCCCCCGCGTCTGAAGTGGACAGATGATAATGTCAGAGATGCGCCGCGTCTCTTCTTCATTATGCAGTAAGTCCTTTCTGTAAAAATGCTCTGTGTCAGACTCAATGATGCACACCCATCCTTTCACCCCCTCTCTGGACATTTCCCGAAGATCGTTACATACATTTATCTCCCTCTTATAGGCTTGGCTGACACTTCGTCAAGTCAACAGTTCTATGTCGCTCAACTCAATCTCCATGGGGGTTACGGACGTTACGAAGACGCGCTCGGAGTAGAGACGGGGAAGTCTCACGGATATGGCAGAGCGGAAGGCGATAGCAGCAATGTCAGCGCGGTGCAGCACCTGGCTCGATCAATCACCATGAAGGCCGCCATAAAGATTGCACTGGCCTTCTCGACGTACCGAAAAAGATTCGGTGCCTGCGAGACTAGCATCTTCTCTCTTCAACAAGGCGGCACCGCCCTCCTGGCTTTGATGTCTACCACCAAAGTCAGCAAAGAGGCAGGCAGCCGAACCGCTGCTCTGCACCATCTGTACATGCTCACAGAGCAGGTGCGAGAGATGTCAGAGGTCTATAGCCCGGCCGAAGTGATGTGCCGCGTCGCCAAGCATGAGATGGAGCGGCTTGATATCGACTTTAGCGACCTGCCGACGCCTCCGCATACGCCGGTCGACTCGATGTCGCCGCCGACGGTAAATCCAGCACGACGACCAATATCTCAGAATCCGTCAGACTCGGACCCTGCAACGAAGCGGCGACGTTTATCGGGCGATAAAGATCGTCCTCGCATTGCCAGTGCTCCGCGTCAAGACGTTGCCACTGTCCCTAATCAAACCACGTCGTTCTCCGGGATCAGATCTTCCGACCAACATAGTATTATGAACGTTCGAGCCCCAGTATTACAACCACTAGGCTCACCGCGGGGGCAACCTTCCGGAACACTACCATCCGACAGCTTCGGGGGTTTAGATCCCGTTCCAGACAGCATACTCGACCCGAACGACATACAGTCCTCTTCGTGGTCCGTTGGACTATCGGACATGTCGACACTATTTGATTTCCCCGGCCACGACCAGATCGGCAACGATATGCTCCTCCCCTTCGTCCCGGATCCTCATTATCCGGCCGAAGATGACCCGGACCTCAGGAACCTGCCGGGTGTCATGCAGTATGGATAGTGTCAACAAATCTTTGCGAGTAAGGTCCGTGTGAGTTAGGGCCTAGGATTGTAGATGCGTAAGACAAGAGCTGCCTTGCTAAGGAGCATGGCGAATCGGTAGGTTAGGAGAGCCATTGGAGTCGGAAAGAACCAGCTGTAAACTATCTCGCGAGTCTGCTTTAATGGTTCTTCGAACACTGGAATCAGAATCTTTTGACCTACATGTAGAGGAAACCAACGATCTTATATCAAGAAACGGTCCCAAGTTCGAGACGAGTCCGCAGAATTGGTCATTCACAGGTGGAGATGCAATCGATTCCCGGGTCGGGAAGAACGAGGCTCAGCTCCCTCTCAACACACTCTCCTCAGTTGGGGAATCGACAATCATGGGCACAATCCAACCCCGCTTTATCAACATCAGGTTCGGCTATACAATTGTAGATGCCGGGGTTTTGGGGTTCCGTGGCTCCAAAAAAGGTATTGCTTCAAGCATACGCGAAATTGCGCACGTTTTCCAGATATACTACTCGCCAGGACACATACAATTGCGCGCACACACAGTGGAGTTAGAATAGAAGGTCATAAGAGTTTTACGTTTGTACCCGACACAAACGATGAGTCCTGTATTCCCCGTTCCCCCTGGCGCAGCCGCCAACTTCTGGATCATCGATACCACGGGCAGTATCCAGGGCATGGCGGCCGACCACCTGGTGAAGCCGAGCCTCCCCGGCTTCGACATGTTCCCCAAGGCACCCAGCTGGTCGTTCCTGATCGAGACCACAGTGGCAGGCAAGACGCGGAAGGTGCTCTTCGACCTGGGCGTCCCGCAGGACGTCTATGCCCTGCCGCCCGTGGTGTCGGACAGATTAAAGTCTTTTGACTGGGTTATTGACGTGCCCAAGACCACAGCTGAGGTTTTGGTTGAACACGGCGGTGCTATCGGCGGCGGCGGAGGAGGTCGGCCGTTGCAGCTGGCGGACATCGAGGCGGTGGTGTGGAGGTAATGCTGATAGTTCAGACATCTATTGCCTGTACTCGTTTCATGCTTCGACAGGATATTCTTAGGTACAGACCGGGCCAAGATTACTAACTAACGTGGATGCTTCGACAGTCATTGGCACTGGGATCACCAAGGGGACATCCAGCGTTTCCCCTCCACTACCGACCTGGTCGTAGGACCAGGTTTCAGCAAAGCATTTCTCCCGGCATATCCAGAGGGATCCAAGTCACCAATTCAGCAGACAGATCTTGAGTAAGTATACGATCCAGACTTTGCAAACTATACATTGCACATTGGTCTCCAGGCCAGCTGATGAGGTCCCTGCCTGAAACGGAAGTGCTCACATCTATTATAGTGGCAGACGCCTGCGCGAGATCACCTTCGAAGGACCAGGAACGGTACAGGTAGGGGATATGCGGGCCTTTGATTACTTCGGCGATGGCTCGTTCTACCTCCTCGACACGCCCGGCCACGCCATCGGTCATCTGGGGGGGCTCGTCCGCACCACCTCAAACCCAGACACGTTTGCATTCCTCGGGGGTGACCTAACGCACCACGGCGGCGAGATTCGACCCTCCAAATACCTCAATTTCGCTTCGGCTGTGTCTGCTCTTGCTACAGATGGAATCAATGTCACACTGCAGACTCTGGAGTCCCTTCAGACTTCACGCGGGCGCCGTGTCGACCAGTCTTTCTTCGATCCCGTGATCACAAGCGACTTTGACGAGGCGGTGAGGACGATTTTACGCGCCCAGGACGCTGACGGGCAAGACAATGTCTTCTTCCTTGCAGCACACGACGACACCATTGAAGGCGTGGTCGACGTCTACCCAAAGAAGGCCAACCAGTGGAAAGCGCGCGGGTGGAGAGAGAAGACGCTGTGGACTTTCTTGAGAGATTTTCGAGGCGCTTTCCAGTGCCCGGGGCATACGAGCTCTTAGGCGGAGCGAGATCATCCGTTATTGCGAGGTGAATGTAGAAGAACTAGTCTCTGAGCAGAACTCAAGACGAGATAGTTTCCACACGTCGACAGGATCAAGTGCGGAAGACTTATTAGCTGTACTAACTGTAAATGATCTCGTCGCGAGGGAAGGGAACCGATTGACCAGTTCCATCAGGAAAGTAGGCCAGGGCTTTTCAAATTACCTCGTACTCAAGACAGTGTGAGTACAATCTCTATGAGGATAAAAAGGCGTCAATCTCCACCGAATTAGACAAGAAAGGGGATCACCAAACCGTAGCCGAGCTACATAGTATTCTGCCCGCACGGTTGGTGTTGGAGCAGACCATCTGTGGAGATCTCTCATTTAACCGGCATAACCAGCTTCACAGAACTGTATTTCATACTCACTGTGTCCCAACCTGTGAGATCTAGGCCTTTCCATCTCAGAAAATATCTTCTTCTGTTTCAAGAGCGGACGCTCATTGGAACCTCGTTAGCCCTCTCACTATCTATCATAGTTATCATCTGCCGCGTTCATCACAACACTCAAAGAGCATGGGGAGACTCGAGGGCAAGGTCCTGATCGTGACAGGCTCGGGATCCGGGTTTGGACGGGGAGTAAGTCAGCCTGAGCGCGCTTCCCTCAGTCCGAAGCATCCACATCTTCTAACACGGTAGCGAGAAGCAAGATCGTGCAGAAAGTAACGTCTGAGGGAGCCCGCGTGGTGGGCATCGACCTCAACGGCGCCGGGAACGAGGAGACCAGCCGCCTGCTCGCCCCTGGGGCACAGTTCTCATCCCTCACCGGCACTGTGGCCGCGGAGCAGACGTGGCGCGACGCCCTACAGCTGGCGCGGGACCGCTTCTCTGCCGTCCCGGACACGGTGGTCAACTGCGCGGGCTACGTCCACCTGGGCGCCGATGCGCACACGGTGCCTGAGGAGGACTTCGACCGCGTCTGGCAGGTCAACGTCAAACCGCTGTATCTCACGGTGAAAGTCGTCGTGCCGTGCTGGATCGAGAACGGCGTGGCCGGCCATGTCATCAACATCGGCAGTATCGGCTCCCGGAGACCCAGGGCCAGCACTATCTGGTATACGGCGAGCAAAGGGGCTCTAGACACGGTAAGTAATGCTAGCACTGTGTGCTCCGTTGCAGTGCACTGTCCTCGGCTGAGCAGCATGACAGGCGACTGAGGGTCTGGCGGGGGCGTATGCCAAAGACCGAATTCGCTTCAACATCATCAGGCCGTCGTTTGGGAATACACCAATGTGAGTTTGGCACCTGTGACAAATCGCAATCAACTGATCAATGTGTATAGGGCGCCACGGGTTGTCGCCGGTGCTGACAGCGAGGAGGGAAAAGCTAAGCGGCTGGCGACGCTCCCGCTCGGTCGCCTGTGTGAGCCTGAAGACGTCGCCAACATGACGGCGTTTCTGGCGTCAGATGAAGCAAATTATATCACGTAGGTCCTCAGCTCTCTAGGAATGCCCATGACTGGCTTTACTGATGCCGCACTCATCCAGTGGCGCTGGGTTCAACGTTGACGGCGGACGATACGTGTCGTGATATTCTTCCACGGGCATCTTGGCCACACTGGCATAGATTATGATACTGGGATGGAGATAGCTCGTTTTCGAAGGCAAAACAGGGGACCTAGAGACCAGACGGCAGGTTTCCAAGGGACGCAAGACCACGAGACGGCCGGTAGTTGAATCCAGCTTGATAATAAGTCCGTTGAGCTCCAGGATCCCCTTAACGCTACAGCCTTGTCACCCTGCACTCGTGACTCCCACACGCATTTTACATTTCTCCAAGGAAGGACTGATAGAAGGTCACATATACTCGTCTCTCCTCAATCCTGCTCTGGCTCCGTGTACGGAGAGCGAGCGGCTCTAATCCATCTTGTCAATAAGATGACTTGGAGGGGTGACATGGAAGGGGAACAATAGCTTCTACTCAAACATGATGTATTTTTTCCGTACTGGGTTTACCTTTTTCTCTTCTTTTTTTGTGGCTTTTGATTCTCTCTTCCCTTCAACAAGATTTCCAACGATACGGTATGTAACGAGGACCTAGAGCACAGCTGGCGCAGCCGCCAGTCGGCGTTGACCTCCCAGCTTTTCGTGACTCATCAGCAAACTTTTGTTCATCTGCCATTTCGTTACCTTCCAACGTGTTCCTTTGGACCTCAACAAAAATAACAGCAGCTGCATCCTATTGCACCAAGCGTATCGTCATCTACTGCGTCACGCCTCACAGTTCATTCCTGCTCCGCAACATCTCGCCCCTTGCTTTCCTCCTGCTCACCAAGTCTGGACCCGTCAATACCATTTGACGCGGCTTCATCGTTGAACTCCTCTCCTTCCTCTTCAAAGTCCTCTCTCTGCAAAATCTGTCCATTCAAGACCCTGCCCAAGTGTGTATGTGTCCATTCAATGCCGGCTCTGCGCATATCGATAAACTCCTTTATCCAAGGAACTGGGCTTATTGTGAAAGAACACTCCGTCCAGCTATTCGCTTTTCGACAAGAAGGAGAAACGAAGTTGTCGTTACCCACCTGCCGCTTACGAGGCAGGGGTCGTTCTCCATCAAAGAGACCAATGAGCGTGCAGAACTCCTTGTAATGCTCGAAAGAAGAGAAGTACAGCTGACCTGCAAAGAGGCCAAGCAGGGCAATAGCCTGCGGTTCAATCTTGCCGGAGCTGTTACTCGCTGGGATTTCGCAGATATTCAAGCCATCAAAGGAGATCATGCCTCGGGAGGTTCGCGCCTGAAACAAATGCAAGGTGGTACTCGATGATCCCCGTATTGCATGGAAAAATACGTTGGCCTCATACGGGCTAATGATAACAGGTTGTGTGATTGTGGAGGTCTTCACCACCCATTGTACTGGTCTCAGGAAATCATCTTTGGGGGAATCATCGTGAGACTGAATGGTTCGCATGAAGTCTTGGGTCACCAACACATCCGTAGGAAACTCTGCTTGCTTATAATAAAGCCCAAGGCGGGTCTGCTCAAGGAGTTTGAAGCATGGATGAAGCTCAATCGTGCTATTTGGAGATTCATCGCCCTTAATGACGGCCAATAGACTTCGGCAGTATTGCGGAGTGGCAGGCTCAACCTCTCGAGGACGTTGGACCTCTCTCTCTTCTTCAACTTCATGCAAGACTTCTCGCTCTTGTTCTTGCGTGATGTCGTTGTCATTAAAGTCGATGGACCGAGTTCTTTCAAATTCCGCACACAGATCGTGGATCACAGGGTCTCGAGACTCTGCGAAGGTTGGCTCGAACGGGAGTTCTGCTTGGCGAGTTCCGCCGGCGCGGTAGAGCTCAGTGACAGGACGACTTTCTTGCTCTCGGATGGTGTTCAGATACTGTTCGTAGTTCACAACCTCTCCGTCGGAAGAAATGTGACGATCTGCTGCCAGTCGCCGTCGCGAGTGTAGCAGCCCTCGACTGACGTAGAGAGGATTTTGCTTTTTCAGGGCCAAACAAGATTGGTGGATTGCCCAGCGAACAACATCCAGACTGTCAAGATTTCCTGAAGGGTTTTTGACGACGCTTCGAATAGCCTGGTCAACCTCGGGCGGAGCGTAGAATCTGACGCATTGCGAGACTGCCAGCTTCCTCATACGCATACAGGCTTGTGCCAAAGTATCTTTCAGAATTCCAGGTCCCAGCAGAACAGCCGCAGTAAACTTGTCTGGCAGCTGGAAATCGGTGCCTCTAGTGTGGAATTGGTCAAGAAAAATCAGGCAGCTTTTGAGCTCATCCTTGAAGATGGATGACACAAGTGCTCGGTTGAACCGTCGCGATTCAAGACCATTTTCTCGTCGTCTTCCGAGAAGAATATCGCTGCCATCTTTTTCGGGCAGAGCCGCAGCCATAACTGAGCGATCTCCAGGTTTCCCTCGAGCATTTGAGCTCCAACATCGATGATGACGTCGAGTGATCCATCTGCTGTGACGCGCTGTAGCAGCTGCTTGGTTGGAAGGCGCTGGCCAGACGGCGATGCCGCACAGAAATATTTTCGGTTATCGTATCGTAGCAGCGTGCTCAGGGTGGAAGCCGTAATGTGTCTCAAATCCGGAAGATCCTTCTGTTCAATTGGTATCTTGCTGTCGCAAGTGCCGCTGAAACCCACTGTCAGCACCCCGTCGTTCCGACATAAGTCCCAGGCGGAGGTGGACAACTTGTAACGAAACTCTTTCGCTTCTGATGGATACACGACATGGCGCAGGAAGAAAGCAATCAGCCCAGTACTGTAACGGAGGTTGTCGTATAGGGCATCAATGAAAGAACCGTCATCGAGGTTGATAGAGTTAACTCTGCGATATTTGTCAGGGAGAGTGGAGTGTTTCACCCATCTGCTGTAAGCATCGGAAGGATCTGGCATTTTGAGTAGAATAAGGAGGCATCGTCTTAAGTCCGGCCGAAGAATGCCTGTGTAATAGAACGATAGAGCTGTTAGGATGATCGCGGCTTCCGGCTGTGCGAATTCGGCGCTTGGAGATGGAACTGATTTAGCACGGTACGGAACTGCGCTCAACGTTCGGGTTCGATCCAGTCCGTAGTTTACCTGCCAGCGTTTACCGAGAGTGTGGCTCAGGATTTGATGGGATACCAATCCTCTGGCCACATAGAGCAGATGAAGCTTAGTAGAGCTCTCAAAATGCTGGGTTACCAACTCAATTTGTCCACCATCAAGTTCGATATTGAGTATGAATGAGCCGACTGCTTCAAGCACTTCTGGGTTGCAATGGCCGAGAGGAAGGCTTGGGATCTGTCCATTTGCGATGGCCTGAGTTACCAGTTTTGCTATTGTCACTGCGCCATCTTCATTGAGCACTCTGATATGAGGGAAAGAGCCTGGAGCTCGTATTTCGACTTCAATTCCATTGCGACACTGAGAATAAAGTGCTTTAGCATTTTTCTGAATCAGATCCAAGACTTCCAGTGAGACATTCCATCGGTCTGGTGCACCTGAAAGGAGGTTTGCTTCTCCGTTCGTGTAAACAAGCTCGTATGCGGGTTTTAACAGCTCATCAGACTCGTCCAGGACATCTTTAGCGTTGCAGTCGAGCCATTTTTGAACACGGATGAGTTCATTAGCGATACAACGCGTATCCGGTGCTAGCTTGTCGGTTCCCACGAGGCGAAACGAGTTCAAGTATTCCGGTAGAGTGAGGAGGACGCCTCGCTTTTCGCGACATTCATCATACAGATCCTTCAGTTGCTGGGGTGTTTTGGCGGTTAAAGTGGTCTGCCTCGAGAAGGGCAGATAGTAGAGAGGCCTTCCCACCAAGCCTGCAAGAGAGCGTGACAGAACCCGGAACATTTCTTGAGCCAGAGGTTTTAGCACCACGACTCGAACCAGATGCGTACTCTGAGCAAGTGCAGTTACTACAAGATTCAGGATGACACTCGTCTTTCCCTCTCCCATGCCCAGTAATACGGTCCCATTTTCTGGCTTCAGCAATTCCATTGCAACCCGGATCTGCACAGGTCGAATGAGAAAGTTGTTTTGACACTCTAGAAGGAGCCAGTCAGGACGATCCTCTGGCGACCATTCAGCATGGGCAGGGTTTGCAAGCTCGTTGTTGAGAGCGAACGTATCCTCAGCGGCAAGGAGCTTCTGCAATCTTTCCACGCGTTGAGCGGCTGTAATCTCTCTCGCAAATTGGAGAATTACCGACATCCAGCAAGCGGGAACATTATTTCGATGTTCAGCCGAAAGGAGCTGAAGCAAGTTCAACTCCGAAACCTGAGGCCAGATTTTGGCTGTCACAAGAGCCTGTCCGGAGACGAGACGCGGTCGCAGGAGCGTACAGGCTCGGGTAAGAACATAGACAATGTGACCTCTAGACTCCTCAAGCTTTTGAGTTAAAAGCTCGCCGGTAGGCGCCTCCATCTTGCCCTGCTCCTGACCCGATCGGCTCTTGAGAGCCTCAATACTGTTTTTCAGAAACTGACCATACTCGTGTACAGCCATAGAAGAATCACCGAGCAAATCTTCGGTGATGTCTTCCAGATCTTCCCAGCTACGCGCGGCTTGGTTGGAATCTAGATATGGGCGGGCCGCTTTGGGACTTACAGACTTCGATAAGTCTCCGTCTAATCCAGTTGGCTTACTGTCCTCGAAGTCGTGTGAGGTGATTGGCGTCATGAGCATGAGGTCAAGTAGCGAAAAGTGCGTATGTAGTCGGGCAGTAGGGGTGGCAAGACCAAAGTCGAGAGTGGTATCGACGACGTCTGGACCAGTCCAGGCGTTGGAGAATTTTCTGAGCTCTTGGTCATAATCCTCGAGGAGTCGTAAGAAGATATAATTCTTGTTCCATACAGCAAACCTCCCATTGAGAAGTTGTTTCAAATCTAGAATCTTGTAATGATTCAACGACCGCTCTGCCGGCAATTTAACAGTGTCATTTGGCCAGGACTCTTCCACGGCTTCGAGGATCAATTTGCGCTGAGTGTTCAACTCTTGGTCAAACTGTAGGCGCTGTTCTGCGATCTCACCTTCATCGCTTCCTGTCGTATCCATGGTTTTGCTAGGGACGAAAGGTTTCTCGCATTGAGAAATGAGCGTTGAGATCTCCTTCTGATTGAGTGTAGAGCCGTCTCTTAAGTCATACGAGTCGTGCCCGGGGGCTGGTAGGGCTCCGAGGGCAGGCACAATCGCGAATGCAAGGAGCGATCTCAATTGCGCCCCAATCTCCAGTTGCTCAAACGCTAAGAGCGACAGAACGAACATCAGATTCTCTTTCGAATTTAACGGAGATCTGCAGAAACTCAATAAACGGGGGAAGAGGTCTTGAATATCTTGGTCCAGAACACTTGAGAAAGAGTTGAAGGTGAGTTCGTCGCGGAAACCGTCCACCTTTTTCCAATTTTGGATCGTATTCTTCCAAGATGTACTGACGTTGAATGCCGGCGGCGATATTTCAACAAGGTTTGCCATGGTTGATGACGCCCAAAAATTGTCATTCGAATCTTGATCCCGTGAGCAATAATACCGGTCGTCGAGAGATGTGGAGGTCTGCGCTACAGATTCGCTCGGGAAAAGCTTGCGTGTTCGGTGATGCGATCTGTCCAACAATCCGAAATCTCCCTTGTATGGTATTTCAGCCACGTGGGCATCAAACAGCCAATTTGCTTTCTTGTTGTGATCGACAATTTCATAGACCGTTCCGAAGAAGATATCACGTTGAGCCATGACTGAGAGGACCCCATCGAACGTGACAGTCTGCATCGTCCTGAGATGAGGAGGATAGAAAGCCCTCTCTGGAGTAAGCTTAGCTATCAAAGATAGTATGGCTTGTGCACGCTCAGAAATTGGCTGGCAGGTAAAGCAGATGCAATCCGACAAGGCAAACAGGCTCTCCTCGGTGCCTGTCCTACCAGTCAGGGAGTCAAATTCCGGAAAACTTGTGATTGCGTGCAGATACGCCTTGTATAGATGCGCTTCGAGATCTTGGCTAATTAGCTGTCCAAGTCTAACATCGAGGCGGAACTGCGAAAAGGTCACAGAATTGGTCTCCCCCAGCTGGACCCGCGCAGAAATATGAGGAGGTGCAGTTTCTATTCTCACGTCGCCATGTGGAATAAGAACTGTTCTCATATTCGACCCGGCATTCTTGCTCGTACTGCGCAGGATCAGGCGAGACTTGAACCCGTGCAGAGTTCCTAACGTCTGGTCAAAGTCAACGAAGGCAGAAAGCTCTTTGCATACCATTCGACCCTTGTAATCAACAGAAAAGCGTAAATGATAACGAGGAAGCTCGACATCAATTGTGGTGTTTTGGCTGAATACGATGAGGATATGTGACGACTGCTCGATTGGTTGCAGAGCTTTGCAGATAGTCGAGCCAACTTCGCTTTGGGCGTCTATTAAATGTTTTTGGCTGGCACGCATGACAGTCTCAGACTGTCCTTCGAGATCAAGGCTAAGAGTCCAGTCAGACTCTTCCGAGCGGAAGGGGCAGGCTTTGGACCGGAAGGTCACTGTGCCATTCCGTAAAGACATCCAAGGGATGGTATTCTCCACGATAACTTGCGGAAGATCTCCTAGAAAATGGTCGCGCTGGATTGCCTCAAACGTACCCTCATTACTCTGCGAACGAATGAGGAGGACATCACCACGCAAGCCGAAATAGATTCGATGACCATCAGATTCGTCCTTGGTCATATACTCCATGTCGTCAACATCAGCAGCAAAAACTTCCATGTCTACATCCCCAAAGATGGAGCGGTAGAGCCGGTTAGAACTGTGCTGGGCAGGGAGCTGAGAAATTGGCCTGCCAGACACCAGAAGGCTCCCTGTGACAAGGTTGTAGTGGACAACTTTAGAAGAAGTAGAATTTGAAATCCACGAAAAGTCATCCGAATGTACCGTCTGCCAGATTTTGGTAAACATTGCAGTTGGCCAAAATCTTCTGATGCCATCTGTAAATGCTGGCTCGTTGAGCTGAAGGGCAACTTGCAGATGTTTCACATTACGCCTGGCATGGTACCCGTCACTCAGAAGCTGGGTTCCATAGTTGGAAGCGTCTACATCAGGTTGTGATTTTCGATGCGTGTGTAGGTAAACAGAAGCCTCCACATAGTCTGCCACAGACTCATGGTCTGAGAACATGGATGCTTGGACCTCAGTATCGACAACGTACGTGCGGCGGCAAAGAATGCAGGAATTCAAGATCTGACGTGATAGATGTCTGAGAGCAGAGCGGTCAGCACGAGACTTCTTCTGCTCGGTGTAGAGCTTGGTCATCTGGCGTATCCAGCCTAGGCTAGATTGACGAATTAGGAGAACAAGTTTCATACAGCGCTTCGAAATATTGCGAAATGGCGACAGGGATAACACCTTGAGGGCCACTCCAAGCAATATAGACGCGGCCGCTGCTTCTTTGAAATTGGCTTCGATTCTCTTGAATGCACCCTCCACGGCGTCCAGCAAAGAACGATTGAAGTGTTCTTCCTCAAGTACGACCTGAGATTCACGTAGGTACAGTGGCAAGTCAGACCGCGCTTGACCGACTTGAGAGATCGCGTAACAAAACAGGAGAGCGGTCGAGGGTGCGTTCAAGTCGATTTCGGCCGAGGTGATCGCTCCAAGAACATGGAGTAGTTGGAGTCTTTCTCCAGATCTCAGCGACCCCAAGAGCACAAATTCATGAGAGCCCATCTCCGAAGGACTCTTTGACTGCTGTGAGATGACTTTATTCTGCGTATGATGGGTGGAATTGATGTAGCCATTGAAACCTCCATCCGGAGAGTCAGTCAATTTGGTGTAGCAGTGGTGCCGTAACGAGGGAGGAGCGATCTGGTCTGCAGTCCACAGAGACTGCTTTGCAGTATCGTACATTCTGGGTTGCAAGCCGTTGCTGACGAAAACCGGATCAATATTCAATGACGCTTTGATGTAGTGTGACTGAATAAGAGGTTTGACATGGGACGCGAGACTGATGCGTCTGTTTTTCAACTCAGCATACTCCTGAAGTGGTGCATACGAAAGTAACTCTTGCTTCGACGCCATACCCGCAATTTTGCTGGTTCTGCATACGTCTTGAAGCAAGAAGAATGTAGCATCGCGCCATGAGACAATCGACTCGGGGGCGTTAAGCTCAAAGATCACTGCTCTACACTTCGTCTCGTCGTCTGGGAGTGGCCACTCATGTTTTGATATCTTAATATTCTTGGCCGACTGCTCCTGCGCACATTTCCTGCAACGTCTGTCATGGCGAGGCCTGCCAACATACGGCATCCCGTACCTGTCCACTCCTTGGGGGATGAAGACGCAACATTTCATGCCTTCGACTCCTCGCATGATGCTGTCGAACGTCCTCTTCTTCGATTCCCACTCCGCGGACTTGGATTCACGCTCTCGGTGGGCATCTTTTTCGACCTGATTGCGTAAACTTTGGAGGTTAAGAGACTGGTCGTAGAACTTGACGGCAAAGCAGTCTGGAGACGGGTCACTGAAAAGTGAAGGATTGTTCTGAACGCAACGTGACTGTCTTGATATTATGTGGAGCTCGACCTTCGACAGTCTTTCCAGCTCAGTCCTGGTAGTTAGAAGTAGTGGTTCAAAGAGAGTCACCGGCAGTTCCGGTGGATATTCAAAGAGGAGTGGATGTATGGCAGTTGCGCTGGTGTCTAAGGCCATCCACAACTCGAAGATCGTCAGGAGCATGATCGACACTCGTTCCGCATGTGGCTGGTACTTCGGCTTAGCAACAGCATAATATTTCTGCATCAGTTCAGAGAGGGAGGCGCATGCAGATGGGGTCCTTATGTTGACCGCTATCCAGCTGCTTAGACACTCTTCCACCCAGTGCTCAAAGTCAACAAGACAAAAGAGGAGCTCTTTTGTATGGGTGAAAATTGTGGCTTCGGGCAATAAATGTTTCGATAACGTCACTCTAGCAAGCGACGGAGGAGTGTATGACGTGAAGGAGTATGTGAAGTCTTTACGAGAACGTTGCCACACATTGTGCAATGCCGCGCGACTATTCTTCAGTGCCAGTTGATCCGATACCCGACTGGTGGGCACGGGTGGTATTGTCACTTGGTCTCTGTCGGTCGTTTGTGCCCATTGGCGGCGGATACAGTTGCTGATGAGGTCCAGAGTCGAATCGACAACGTTTTGGACGAAGCTAAGTGTAGATTCCCCCAGTTTAGCATTTCTCCTAGCTAATTTCACACGTAGAACGTGGAGAACGTCGGGTCGATGGTCGATGGCTGCAATTTCAGCTGCTATCTGAGACAAGAGGAACAGCATGAAGTTTTTGTAGTGGCAATGCCCTTCACCCTCGAGGTCTGCGTTGTGGAGTGCGATTTGAAGAGCAACTCTGGTGGACAGCCAGACGCCTGAGCGGCGCCAGGGTAGGTGGGCATTTTTCCAGCAGACGTCGTCATGAATGCGCTTGCAAATGGGCACACTTGATGCAACTTTTCCACAGCTGCCCAAGATACTGAACAGCCATTCAGCGACAGCCCTGGGATGGGCAGATTGACGCTCTTCGACCACGGTGTTGTTCCCTTTCTTTGTCTTTTCCATAGCCATCTTCAGTGGCTCAACAGATAGCATGTAGACGGCATTTCCAAGGTTATTGATGAAGGAAGTATTGTCGAGCTTCTCTTGCGGCAAGAAAACTGCTCGCGCCGGAAAATGCCGGGTTAGGGCGTCTTTCGCGTCGAGGACCGCATCGGTTTTTGCAAGCACTTCAAAGCACTCAAAGATGGCGCCGTTTGCCTTGTTTCTGACTAGGATTGCGGCATTCTGAGGCTCAATGTAGAACAACAAAATGTCTATGGGGTTGATTAGCAATTGACCATAAGACATGGCAAAAGTACATACCATCTTGACGCATGTTTTCGAGGGTCTTGGTGATGATGTCCCGACATGGAACGCCTCTATCATAGACCTCGATCCAACGGGAGACTGAATGTGACAACTGGCTCCAGATGCGGCGCTCATTGCTAAGTCGGGGTAGGGCAGAGGAAAAGTCGCGTGCAGCCTTGGAGATCTTCTTGAGAAGATCATCGGCGCCTGATTCGTTGTGTTGTTCTTGAGGTAGTTTTGGAGGTAGAAACACATGTTCAAATACGAACCTCAAGGCGTCCGCTCTCATCGTGCTTGGAGAACCCTACCGTGGGAGAAGCAGCAAAATGCTGCCTTCCCCGGCGATATTGAACAAGATCTCAGCTTTGAAACAGGCTGCAGGTTGCAGCTAATGGGTTATTCAAGAGATTGAAGATGATACAGAGGACTTAGACAAGGGATTGATGTGAAGTGGGAGAGCAGAACTTGAGAGATGCAGTAAGGGAAAACTGACTGCAAAATCAGGTTGGAGCAACAGGGTCTTGGTAGATAAACAAAGAAGCCTTACAGTGAATGCATAAGGACACAAAGTTGATATCGGGTGAGGCAGAAAAGTTCGTTTGTTATGGTAAGAGATTTCATTTTTTTTTTGACCGCCCTTTCCACCACGTTCTGCTCGATGGTCGCCAAGCGCGAGAGCTCCTCCTGCATCATTCTGCTCTCTTGACAATGACTAAATACTTCGGAGTTTGAGACAATGGCCCAGAACCGCGTTGTTGTCTCGACCGAGTGCTAGATAGGTATCGTGCGCCGCATGGCAATCGGATGATTCGAGGTCTAAACGCTTAGTTTTGGCAGACATGTTGAAGGAGTCGAGTGAGAAGTGGTGGTCTATCGCCTCCGCTATTGGCGTTATGTTCCTAAAAGCAATGCTGAAGTCGAAGAGTACAACTAGCAATATGTAAAGTTTGTTTCTTTTTCATTTTAAATACGCCCTCGACGAAGATGCGCCAGCGGAAAGCTGCAGATCAGATACCAGAACAAGTGAGAAGTCCCGTTGTGCATACGGGGTACAGCCGCTGCTGGTGTCTCTGGGATATTCGTTTATGTGGCTTCGACGATGTAAGGACAAGTAGTCTTTCGAAGTTGCAGTTCGTGTCAGACTGCTACTTGTAGGTAAGCAATACTGAGCCACTTCTGTGCATTGCATGGTGCCAGCCTAGGGGTGAAAATGACCCATATCACCATCAAGGCGACGCGGTTGTGTTTAATAACGCGGGTACAAGTTGCTGCCAAGGGAGAAAGAAGTTGGACGTTGGATTTGGACTCGCAACATGGCGCCTGAAAGGGCCAAGCGGAGTCGCCACAGCCCCTCCATCTATGATCTTCATTGGCCAGATAAGTGTGGCTGAGTCGTGCTGGCGAGAGCTTGATTGGCCAGGCTCTAAGGCACAGCAGCTGCCGATTACTCCGAACAAGGTGCCAATCTACGTCACTATCACCGTCTGAGCCTCAACCGAGCACCTCTGTATTTGCATTACTGTCGCGCCTTTCACTTCTTTACACATCTTCCTGGTTCCGCATGCAGTTCAGCAGTGGACATTTAAATCTATCGGCCTGCTGATTCTTAACCTGTCCCACCTTCGCTTCCTACCATCAGATTCACCCTCAACATGTCGACGCCGCCGGCAGAACCCCCGCCATCGTACGACCAGGCCACAGGATCGTCTGGCAAAACATCCTCCAAACCTCAGAAATCATCGCACCTAGAAGTACCCTCCGCCAAAAATGGCATTCCGACGGAAGCCCGTCGCTCTATGGAAGACCTCCAAAGACCTCTGCCCGAAGGTTGGGTGAGACAGTACGACCCAAAGGAGAATCACCAATTTTTCGTAGATACCAAGGTCGACCCACCAAAATCATACTGGGAGCACCCTCTAGACATCCCGGAAGTTGTGAGAAGTCTGAGCACGGAAGAACGCGAAAGGCTGCAAGAAGAAGAGGATCGGCTGAGAAAGCAGGCAGCGCATTCCGCAGACCACTCTGAGGACGAACACTTCCCACCTGAACTCCCCGCACGCCCATCCTCCTCGCAACAACCCGGTCAAAGGAAGAGTTTCGGCGAGAAGCTGAAGGATAAAGTCACCGGCACGACGCACGATGAGCGTGTCCGCAGTCGCGCACAACGAGCGGAGGAAGAGAGACAATATTACGAAGCACACATGAAATTGAGACAGGCAATGCAGCGAGCACAGGTTACAGGTCAGCCTCAATTCTTTGCCAAAGACAGAGACGGCAAGAACATCTACGTTGAGCCTCCCGGGGGTCCTGGGTATGGGTACGGTGGATATGGACAAGGTGGCTATGGCGTCAACCCTTACGGGGGCGGACCGTATGCCGACCCCAACGCCAGATTTATTCGACCGGGCTATCCGTACAATCGGCCATATGGAGCTTATCCTGGCGGAGGTTATGGGCTACCCATTGCAGGAGGTCTGCTTGGAGGTTTACTTCTCGGCGGATTACTATTCTAGTTTTTGTCTCACAAGAATTCGTGAATGTGGTTATGGAGAGCAATTGGCTATTGATACCGAACAGCATGGGGTTTATGAGTTTGAGCACTGCTTTTCAAGTTGATATCCTACAGAACCGCGTTATGGCTTGATACCACTGAATTGCCGAAACCATTAAATTATTCCATTAGCCTGTACTTCGCCTTATGTATCTTTGCCCATCCCATTGTCTTGATCAACCTCGCAGCTCCACATCACCTCACCTCATCTCTAGGCCCTTCCATGCCACAGCACTCCTGTCACTCTCTCAGTCAAGCAGCTTAGCTGTTGTGCATTTCCCTCACAGAACCGGATATGATCGGGATATCTGTTGTGCCCGTGACATCTGCTCTTTTCAAGCGTTCTTGCGGCCAACGAGGACGAGCCCAGCAGGGGGAAATAATACCCAAACAATGCTTGCAGGAAAGGCAGATGCGGATGCTGCCACTCCAGATGTAAGTACATACTATTCTCAGAGACAAAGGAGTTCGAGTACGTTAGCTACCTAATATAATTCCACGATCCGTATAGCATACTGTCCCTTTTCAATCGCTGCTCCCCTTGAGCCTATGCAAGGGCACCCACCACCAAAGATGCTCAGGCAAAAGACCCCAACCCACAAAACAAGTCGGCCACTCCTCCCAAAATCTGCATGTATATCTCCACCGTCATCCACAGCTCAGGAGTAAGTGCACGTCATACAAAGCACCGGCTTGTTAAACGTTATTGGAGTAGGGTCGTCGGTAGACGCCGATGCCACGAGTCCACCCTCACACGTGGCATCCCCGTCCCCAATGTCCACACTGCTGGTGTAGAAGGTGCATTCAGCCGACGAGAACGCCGCCAGCGACGAACTGCGCACGTCACCGGGAACCAAGGTTGCGCTTTTCAGGCAAGAGTCAAAGACCGTGGTGCCGCTTCCACTGAGCGGGGCTGTAGGGTCGTGGGAGAGTGTATAGGGGATGGAGATAGGAACGATGGTTCCGGACGAGTTCGTCGCGGTGCCGACGGTGATCGAAGTCAGACCAAGAGGGATGCCGCCATCTTGCTGAGAGAAGACAAAGGCGTCAGTGACTCCTCATACCCAGGCTGGGTAGCGCCGTAGGAAGATTCATACTCGGGTGACTACCTCGGACGTGCAGTCAGCGCCTTGGGGATCGCCTTCGGGAAGATCGCAGTCGTTTTGCAGAGGTGTGAGCTGTGCAAGTCAACCGTCTCCGTTAGCAGAACATGGTAAGTATAGGGTTACCCGGGACATACGCGAGCCTTTAAGGCCGCAGCAGACACTCCGAGTGTCTGAAGAGCCAGAACGGCAAGGGTCAAGGTTGGGAGCTTCATCTCTGGGACCGGCTCGTCTTTTCCCTGTTTGCTGTGGCGATGTCCTGAATGTATATCCAACAGTTTTTCTCAGTCACAGTTCGTCCTTTGTTGTAATATCGCAGGTGTAAGATATTTATAAGGACTTTGGGTCTCTCCAGCTTAAAGAGATCGCCATGTTTCTATACTCTGGATCGGCCTCCGTACCATACTGAAGCGGTACTCATGAACCAGCATGGAGATTACGAAGACGCATTCCCACCAAATAGGAGACGAGCTCCCTCGTGAAAACAGTCAGATGTCATAACCATACATCTTCGTCCCCGCATCTTCGGTCAGCCTCGTATTTCCTGCGTATGAGCGGCGACCGAGAGTGAGCAGGCTAGCACCCCGGGCCGCGCTCCGGTGGGCAGCAACAGGTAACAAGAAAGACCAATCTGTTACATCCACGATCGGAAGCGTACAGATGCTGATCGAGGTATCATACGATAAGGTGCCAGATGATAGCTCCTCCGCTCTCTCCAGAAATCTTCGATGAGGGAGTGCTTTGTCAGAAGAGAGTGTAAGAGTGTCAGCACATATGACCAGCTTGACGAACAGGTTCGTAATCGATCCTCTACGGACTTATGACATTTTGCAGACGTTGACTCCTCAAAGAGCTCTGCTTACCACTCGGCGGAAAGCCCAAAAGGTCACAGGCCGGATGACCGAGAATGTTGGGAGTATACAAGGCTGGGTTCCCTGAAGGGAGTGGGCCACGTCCAACGTACTCCGTACATCTTGTATCCATTACACTGCCTCATTCACTGCACGTGATTCTGACTCCTTGTCAGTTGATGACGAACCACGACTTTTATCACTGACTTGTACCAGAGGAAGTAGAACATCCCCCGCATACTAGCTGCACACGTTATTTGGCCTTTCCGGAGATGCCAGTCACTGTGCTGAATCGACCAGAACCAGGAAAGAGGACGAGTTGCCATTCCAACACACTGGCTATACTGACAGGCCGTTTTCGAAGTGAACTATTCGTCGAAACAAGAGAGAACCACAGCGGCTATGGGGCTCGTGGGGAAGATGCTCTGTTACACAGAGCGGCTTTTCCCAGCAGGCTATGAGCGCGGATATCGGCGCACCTTCCTGCTCAGAACTATTTTGTTGATATCTGCGGGCGGACTGTCTTGCAGGGCGCATTGGGGGATTTACAGTGTGAGAGACAAGACGAACAAAGAGTGACAGTGAAATAGGATATACTAAAAGCAAAGGAGACAAGTCTAACTCATCTGCCTCTTGGATTGTCTCCCGATCTTCTGCACACAAAGCCTAGCCCGCTTCTTGTCTGCCACCTCCACCGTTCCAGCCCTCCCTTTGACGTAGGATCACTGAATACTGGCACAAACATGGGCGATTACACGGCCTTTTTCTATGGTATCTTGCCTCTTCCTCTCATGCTTTACCGTTTTTCTAATTGGGGCCCCAACAGGAACTCTCATGGCGCCTGGCGTCCTCCATCGCGTCATCCACGGCACCCACAATCCCGAGCCGTGGCAGAAAGACCTGATCACCGTCCGGCCCGCCATGCTGCAGAACTATCGTCGACACAGAGTGAGATACGCGGATTACCCGGCCATAATACCCCACTCCGGCTCCAGGGTACGGGGGAGCCTGGTGACCGGACTGACGCAGGGGGATATCTACCGGTTGGACATCTTCGAAGGCCGCCAGTACAAGCGGGATGTCGTGAAGGTACAAGTTTTGAAGGATGTGGAACTGGATCAAGCTGCCCCCGAACAAGACAGAGACGACGAAGTCCTGGAAGAAGTCGAAGCACAAACATATGTCTGGCTTGAAGGTGAAGAGACGTTAGAGCCCGAAGAATGGGATTTTGAAGCGTTCAAACGAGACAAGATGCGTGCTTGGATGGGCATTGTGGAGGACGACGATGTCGAGATCGATGAGGGCTTCGCTGACGTCGACAGGGCAGTAGCAGAGGAAGATTCGCGGCGGACAGTGGACAAGGCAAAGGAGAATGGGAACCACACCACAACACATGACCCAATGGGTGGAAGAGGGGCGAATGGGCATATTACGCAGCAGTTGAAAGATGCTGCCGTATAGAGCTTGCGACTGGGCGCAGGTGTCGAGGATAGACTCCAAGTCACGGTGACATTGCCATAGCCGATAGAAATAGACCGGTTCCACAGCAAAAGAAAGATCTGACATTAGAAGGTATTTTCGTAGCAGTGCTAACCTCAGAAGGAGCTCCACGCTTTGAGCACACACCCACGTTCCCGGACACGGCACCCGAAGCAAGGAATTGCCAGAATCCTCGCTTCTGGCCCAACTTAGCCAACCAGGTCATCAAGCTAGCTTGATTTCTGATCTTGCACTGGCCTAGCGACGACCATGGCTCCTCACGGCACTGCCTTGCATTTGTTCCAGTTCCTGCTCTAATTGTTTGATAGCGGCATGGGTCGCCTCCAGATCCTTGTTCAGTCGGTCTCTTTCGCCAATCAACTTCTGCTCCCATGCTCTGAATCTCTGTTCTTCCACCTTGACCTGCTCGGTGAATCTCTTTCTAAGCGCTTCTTCCTCTTCCTTGAACTTGGGGTTGTCCAACTTTCGCGGTCGGGCCTCACCGAACTTCCGTGTCTCCATTTGCTGCGCGCGGTAGGCTTCGTAATGGTTCTCTTCAGTGGTGTGGATGAGGTCGAGCATGTGGGTTCGAATGAGGATCGATCGGAGTTTCTTGAAGTCACAGTGCTCTTCGTTCTCCACTTCAGCCACACCCCAAGCGTATTGTCGGCCCTTGACAATGCGAGCGTCAGAAGTCTTGACGTCCTTCTCGCTGCCAATGACGGCAAATGGCATAGCAGCCATAAGAGCACGAGCATGTTGTGCTGCGGCCTCGTCGTCATCCTCGATAGGGGGCTGGTAGATCTTGATGCCTTGCGCTTCAATGACAGCTCGAATACGGTGCTTGAAGCGGGCTAGATCGGCGGGGGAGAGTGTGTCAGCCTTTGCGACAACCGGGATCAAGTTGACACGAGTGCACAGCCGCTTCATGACCTCGATGTCCAAGGGCTTCAGGGTATGGCCCGTGGGTCGAATGAAGTAGAGGCAGGCATGGACACGGAGGTCGATCTTGTCTTGTCGTCGTGGCTGTTGCTCTTGCAGCATATAGGATTCATGCTGGTCATCAAGGAATTCGATGATGGGCATCCAGGAGTCACGGTTGTTGACATAGTCGCCGAAGCCAGGAGTGTCAATGACGGTGAGACGAACTAGCAGGATGTTAGGCAGACTGCGATCAACGAATGCGCCTTTATTTGAAATGTACCTTTGAAGAATTTCTCTTCCAATTCAGCTTTTGTGATTTCGATCTCCACTGTCTTATCAACTTGCTTCGCGTGGCGCCTCTTGTGATCTTGGTAGTTCTTGATGGTTGTTGAGAAGAGAGTGTTGATGAAAGTCGTCTTGCCCAAACCCGACTCGCCGGCAACCTGAATAACAACGGTTAGCATTTACCTAGGAGATGGGAGAAGATACCCAGCCCTACCATGATGGTGAATGCAGCGCCTCTCTTTGCGACGATCTTGTGTCGCTGGTTGGGCAAATTGGCAATGCCAATGGGCGATGGGGACTCTGCTGCTGCTGGAGCCATCTCGGTCGCAGATTTGAGGAAAAACAATCAAGTAAAGAGACCAAGAGCGAGAGACGAAGACAACGAGGGTCTAGCAGAGGAAATGATGGAAGAGGTGAAGGGACGAGGAATGCAGTCTCAAAGGGACAACGTGGTGTGTGGTTATTAGGGGTTTCCTTCAATTGATCCTCACCAGAAAGTGTCGACAGTCGCGCCCCTGAAACGCCAATTTTCACTAGTAGGCGTGCCCCAGATCACGGCGTGCGCTTAACCTCAAACGTACTGGTTCCGGAGAAAATCAATCGTTTTCTCCGATAACTTTTTTTTTTGATGCCGCAGTTTGCACACTGGGGATCATGTCTACAGCATATGCGCCGACCTGGACCGCACAGCCATGAGACAATGAAGACAGAATTCAAGGTGTGTATAACAAATGCAGTGGGTGGTGCTATCTTTCTAACACACTGTTGCAGTTTTCAAACCTCTTGGGTACCGTCTATCGTCAAGGCAACCTCGTCTTCACCCCAGACGGCAACTCTCTGCTCTCGCCAGTCGGCAACCGCGTGACGGTCTTTAACCTAACGAAGTGAGAACCCTCGGACTGGCATGGGATTCGATCTAACATACTACACGGCAGAAATACCAGTTACACCTTTCCCTTTGCCCACCGAAAGAATATCACCAACCTTGACCTTTCCCCAGACGGAAGCCTCCTCCTCACCATTGACGAGGATGGCCGTGCAATACTGTCTATTTTCTCCAGAAGAGTGGCTATCTACCATTTCTCCTTTAAATCGCCGGTGACGTCGTTAGCATTTGCTCCGGACGGTCGTCATTTCGTGGTTGGACTCGGCAGAAAGATTCAGGCATGGCGGACACCTTCTACGCCCGGCGGAGGTGCTGATGGGGACCTCGAATTCGCTCCGTTCGTTCTGCATCGTGAATATGGAGGTCACTTTGACGATGTCAGACATTTGAGCTGGTCGGGTGACTCGCGCTTTTTCCTCAGTGCATCCAAAGACCTCACCGCGCGGATATGGAGTCTGGATCCAGAGGAAGGATTCGAGCCGACAGTCCTCTCGGGCCATAGACAGCAAGTCAGGGGCGTCTGGTTCTCCGCCGATCAAGAATCTATATTTACAGTGAGTGAAGACGGGGCTCTCTTCCGCTGGGAGTACTCAGCCCGCCTACGGGCCGAAAACGATGAGTCGATAGAGCCCGACGATGAGAGGTGGCGCATTGTCCAGAGGGACTATTTCATGCAGAACGCAAAGCTGAAATGCGCTTCCTATCACCCCTCGACCAACTTACTCACTGTCTGCTTCGACAATGGTCTATTTTCCTTGTATGAGACTCCCTCTTTCTCCAACATCCACAGCCTGTCAATGGCAGCCTCGCCCATTTCAGCGGTAACCATCAACAACACGGGAGAATGGCTTGCCCTAGGCTCATCCAAGACCGGTCAACTACTAGTCTGGGAGTATGCTTCGGAGTCAAACATCCTCAAGCAGTCGTCACATCTTGACACAATGACGACTTTGACGTATTCTCCAGACTCTGGTCGCATCATTACTGGTGCTGATGATGGGCTAATCAAGGTCTGGGATGTCTCCTCCGGTTTCCACATTGCGACCTTTTCGGAACATAATTCTGCCGTCACCGCCTCTGCATACTCCAAAAGAGGCAACATTCTCTTTACATCCTCTCTAGATGGATCAGTCCGAGCCTGGGATATGTTGAGGTATCGAAATTTTAGGACGTTCACCGCTCCTCAAAGGGTTTCCTTTTCCTGTTTAGCCATCGACCCTTCTGCGGAGGTCGTCTGCGCCGCATCTCACGACTCTTTTGACATTTATCTGTGGTCCGTCCAAACTGGGGCTCTTCTCGATCGGCTGGCGGGCCACGAAGGCCCGATATCTACACTAGCCTTTACCCCGGACGGTCGACACCTCGTCTCGGGATCGTGGGATCACACCATTCGAGTATGGTCTGTGTTTGACAGATCACAATCGTCGGAAACGTTACAGCTCATGTCTGACCTGCTGTGTATTGCAATTCGGCCTGACTCTGCACAAATCGCAGCCTCTACTCTTGATGGCCAGCTTACCTTCTGGAATCTGAACACTTCAATACAAGAATCTGGTTTCGACGGTCGTCGAGATGTCAGTGGAGGTCGAACCTTGACTTCGCGACGTACAGCGGCCTCAACCCCTGGAACTAAGTCGTTCAACTCAATCGTGTATTCCGCAGACGGCAGCTGTCTTCTTGCAGCCGGCAACAGCAAATACATCTGTCTATACTCCGTTAGCACGCTGACGTTGATCAAGAAGTTTACCATCTCCATCAACCTGAGTCTGGACGGGACACAGGAATTCTTAAATTCGGCAGCTATTATGTCCAATGGCCTGCCTAGAGAAATGCTGGACACAGAAGGCGAAGCAAGCGACCTCGAAGATCGCATCGACCGTGGCCTCCCAGGCGTGAAACGTGGCAAAGACGCCACGGCGAGGACTATTCGTCCAGAAGTCAGGGTCGCTGATGTCGAGTTCGCACCGACCGGAAGAAGCTTCTGTGCGGCCAGCACTGAAGGTCTCTTGATATACAGCCTCGACAGTGCGGGAATGGAAGACTTCGACCCATTTGATCTCGACATCGACGTTACTCCGCAGAACGTACGATCTATCCTCGCACAAGATGAGCCTGAATACCTCAAGGCTCTCGTCATGGCTTTCAGACTGAACGACAAACCTTTGCTCCGACAAGCTTATGAGTCAGTACCATACGGGTCGATTCCGCTGCTTGTGCGTGAACTACCGAGGGTGTATCTCGGGAGACTGTTGATGCTCGTCGCCCAGCAGATGGAAAATAACCCTCATTTGGAGTTCGCCCTTCGCTGGCTGGGTGAGATACTGAGTGTCCATGGCCGGTATATCAAGGAGCGGCATGGTGAATTTGCCGCTGAACTTCGCTCCATCCTCCGCGGTGTCGACGGCGTAGGAAAACAAGTGCGCAGTCTCAGCGAGCGAAATGTTTTTGAGATTGAATTCTTGTGTCAACAACCAAAAGGCAGCAACAACAAGCTGCTAATGGAAAATCTGGGGCATTATGGCCATCACTCGAATGGAGAGACGGTCGTCGCCGAAGATGGCGAGGCGGAGTGGATTGGCCTGGAGTGATCCTTTCCTGCTTTAATATTGTTTATTCAATGATACCCACGAGCAAAGTGACACGAACAGATGTACACGGCTATAGATGAGGCTCCAGCCATTGATGAGAGGGACATGATCTGATCATCATGGTCTGGGAATGGATTCTCATGTCTCCAATATCTTCAGAATTTGCGTTATTTGTCCGTTCCAGGTGCAGTATGACTTTGTGCAGACTCTTCGTCGCCCATTCATGGTGGACTCTAGAGTGGTTCTCTCCTAGTGAGGCTGCGGCCGCCCTTTTCGGTTTTGCAATTGGCTTAAGCAATGGGTGAAAACAGCGGCCGTGTTTCCATGACTGATGGTCCAAATACTAGAATTGTCTGAGGACTATATCTCGTCAGAGCCGATTTGGGTTTAGTTTGTCAAAAGTAGGCAAATGTTTTTTTGTGCGCTTGAATGATTCACCAAACGCCCCGAGGGCGTGGAAAATGTGCTTACTTCGCTTGCCGAATTCAAAATTGTCTAATACGAACAATCGCCTGCAAAACCAACAGTAACGCTCATTCAGTCGTTGCCGGTCTGTCCGCCCAGTTCCTTGTTCATCTCCGGCGTGATGGTCATGGAGGACGAACCAGAAGACTCGTTCTGGACAGGCACCACGATCTCATCTTCCTCTGCCGCGCGATTCACGGCAAACCGACTCTTGCTCCGAATTATATACCCGTACTTGTAAAACACGTATGGCAGCGGAGCCAGCAAGGCACTCAGAGCCGCCAGAATGGTCAGTGTCCAATGCACACCCATGTCCTTGTAGAAAGGAACGCCCGCGACCGTCATGCCGCCGGCAATGATATATCGTGCCAACGTGGCGAAGGTCAGCGCACTCGCCGCGTACATTTCATAACTGTCGATAATGTACATGTAACAACTGATGAAAATCATGATCGTGCCGTAGCCGAAAAGGACCGAAGCGATGATCGGGGACCAGATCGAGACGCTCGGGTATGCCGTCCAACCCATCCACAATAACGAGATGGGTATCGCGGGAGCGCCACCCAGCATGGCGAACCACAATCGGATTTCAGGATCGAATTGCTTTTGGCCGTGCGCTTCGGCCGTCTGCTGAGCTCGGACAGTCAGCCTGTACATCCAAGGCAGCCAGACTCCACCGAAGCATACGCCGACAGCGATTCCGATAAAGATAATGTTCGATATAGCCTGAGAAACGCCATACGTCTGTCGAAAGATGAAATCGTATCCGTCAAAAAAAGTGAAGAGGATGATGTACAGAACCGACATGTACAAGGTGATCAAGAAGATAACCGGCTCGGTAAAGGCCATAATGAACGGTCTCGGCAGGGCAACCCTGAGCCGCGTCGAGAGAGGAATGCGCTCGATTTCGTGTTCGGCATAGTATCGCTTGTCCCCGGTGATCCTGCGCAGGTGCCTGGCCTTCCAACTCAACAGCAGCGGTGGAAACGTCTCTGGCTGGAAGAAGAACGCCAAAAGCAGGACGACCGCGGCGGTAAACAACGCTATCCACTCTGCCCATCTCCAGGTATGAAGGTAGGGCGACGTCGGTACGTAGGCGGCCATTATGGGGCCAAGTGGTGGTCCGAGAAACCCTCCGAAGGCGAAGATCGGGAACATGTACGTCTTCTCAATGGGTGTAAACATATCCGACACCGACCCTCCTGCGCAGACGAGAGGAGAGGCACCGCTGAAGCCAGCCAGGAATCGAAAGACGATTTGGGCGCCGATGTTCGGTGCCAGGGCCGACGCCATTAGCCAAATACACATAAAAATCAGGGAGACCATGTATGTGCCACTCCTGCCCAGTACTTCGGAGAACGGGCCACAGATAAGTGCTCCGGCACCGAAACCGATCAGGAACATGCCAACGGCCAGTGTCTCGGTGACTTCACTGACACCAAGGTCTCTCGCGGCTTGAGGTAGAACGGCTGCATCAATGGGGGCCGCAGCACCGACCATGAACGCGATCGAGGAGATGATAAGCGTGGCATAGACGCGGCGAAAAAGAGACCAATTTCGGGGATTCATTGGGTCGTCTGGTCCGTCCCATTCGACGATGAGGACTGGCTGTCCATTGACAACTCTGGTCTTCTGACGGGACAGGCATGGTAATGCGCGTGCAGATTCGGCGTTAGAGGCCTCGAGTTGCTTCTGGATCGTGAGCCCTATCCGACGGTACTGGAGATAGGTTTCCATCGCGAGGCTTGGAGTCAACCTGGGAACGCGAACGGTGAAAGCAAGCTTTGAGCCGAAAGCATGAGATGGCGGCTGGAACTATGGATTTATTCGAGTTCGCCATATATTCCTGATACAAGCACAAAGTTGGAGATCTGAGGCTACCCGAGGCCGGCAGGAATCAAATCGCATTACAAACGCACCTACGGCAACCTTTCTATACCAGGTAAAGCCGAACATCTCGACGGAGAAAAGCTTGACCAGGAAAATCTGGCAGTGGGGATTTCTTCTTGATAGGGGCCATTCAAACTCGATGCTCCTGCGTCGGATCTCGCGTCCGTGGAAAAGGGATTTGATAAGAGTGGATTCAAATATGGATGCTTCCAGCATTTAGCGCAGGTTTGGAGTCTCATAGCTGTAGTACGATGGAGATGGAATCGCTGTGGCGTGGTCCGGAGAGAGAGAGTTGACGTCTGCAGCTCGTACACAGCGTAATGAGCTTTATCAGCTTAACCCAATCATGGTAATAGACAGCGAGCGGCTCGGCGAGTATGCCGGTTGGGGTGCCGGGGACCCGGGCCAGTCACTCGAGGACCTTGTACGAGGTAGCTATTGCACCCCCCAGAGCTTTTGATGTCATGCGAGAGCAGTGGCGAACGCATTTCATGTGAAATCGACTTGTGGAATTGATTTCTTCTGTGGAACTAGAAGGTGGAAAACAGTCTGAAGACCAGTTGAACTGCTGTAGTGTCAATCGGCAAACCTTCTCAAGAATGTTTAGGGAACACGCTGGTCGCCCAACCTGCCTCCTCCGGATATGGCATTTTTTATTTCGTTAGCACATTGACAATCGTTCAATACGTGTCACTCTTGGAGGAATTGTTTCATGCCGACCATCTCCTAATGATGACCCCAGCTTCTATCAGGTTGAATCAAGCTCTATCCCTGTGGCGAGTCCTGACGCACTAGGAGCTTGACAGGGCAGCATCAGCCTTGGCCCGATCGGAGAGAGGTGGGAGCGAGTTTTACTCATCTTGGCATCAAAACACATGCTTTTTTTTTCTGGCTTGAAACAACGACGAATTTCGCTGTGAAGTGTCCACTAAATTGCCCCAGGATAAAGTAATCGTTTACCGGATATTATCCCCCGTTGAGCTAACTTTCAAAGAGGACGATGAGGCCGTTGTCATGACGGATGGTCTTGTCGGACGGGAACGGGGACTTCGGCTTCCCCTTGACCCAGCGTGGACGTCTGAAGATGAATACATCCAGTCGGTACTAGATTTCGCCACGAGATCTGACCTCTTTCGGAATCTTTGCGGCGGAGTGCATATTCTGGACTTCCTCACGCGAGAGCCGGACCTTTACACGACGGTCCTGCCGGAGGAATGGCGTGAGTGGTTCGACACAGTTGAGATTGACGATGTGCTTGATCTGCTTCTTCGAACTGATTTAAAGGAGTATTCCCCTGCTGCTCCGTCGACAAATTCCGGTTCCAGCCCCTCTCCACCCGCAAGCCTGCTGGAGTATGTGCAGACAATCCGGAAACACTGCCTTCGGCGGGACTTCACCCCCGTCTCGGACGACGTGACAGACATACCCACACAGCTCTCCGTGGGGATGAAGACGAAGAAGATCCACGAAGTTGCGAACTTCGCGGCGTATGTGGACAAGCTCTCCGAAGACGTCTCCCGACGACTTCAGGAGCCGCTCTCGGTCGTCGATTTCGGGTCGGGCCAGAACTACCTGGGCCGAACGCTGGCGTCCCCGCCGTACAACAAGCACGTGGTGGCCATTGAGAGGAAGCATCACAACATTGCTGGTGCGAGAACGATGGATGTCCACGCGAAATTGGCGCAGAAAGAGAAGATCATGCGCAACAAGAAAGAGTGGAAGCGGCAGATGGCGCGCAAGGACGGCGTGCCCACTCCTCCAACCTCCTCCTGCTCCTCTTCCCAGTCTGAAAAAGGGCGTCCGTCGGTGCCGGTGCCAGTGCCAGAGCCGGTGCCAGAAATGTTTGCTGCGGCAAAGATTCTGGACAACAAGGACTTTGATCCCAACAGGGGCTCCATGACGTACATCGAGCACGACGTCCAGGACGGATATCTCGAGAATATCCTTTACCCATTAGATTCCAGTCAGAAAGAAGGCGACGAGCAAGAACAACAGCGACCAGAAAACATCGAAAACCCTTCAACCACGGCGACCCCAGACGAAACCGGGGATGGACACAGAAGCAGAAACAGCAAGAGGTCCAGAGCCCTGGTCGTCTCGCTCCATTCGTGCGGCAACCTGTCGCACCACGCGCTGCGGTCGCTGAGCCTGAATCGCAGCGTGTGCGCGGTCGCCATCATCGGGTGCTGCTACAACCTGGTGACGGAGCGGCTGGGGCCGGCGACATACAAGCTCCCGCGGCTGCGGCCCAATCACCCGCGGCTGGAGGCGACCGGGGGAGCATACGACCCGCACGGATTCCCGCTGTCGCGCACGCTGGAGGAGTTCCCGCTCGCTGACGCCGACGGCGGGAGTGGGCGCGGGGTACGACTGAACATCACGGCGCGCATGATGGCCGTGCAGGCCCCGTACAACTGGGGGCCCGTGGACAGCGAGGCCTTCTTCCGCCGCCACTTCTACCGCGCACTCCTGCAGCGCATCTTGCTTGATCTGGGCGTCGTCAAGCAGTCTGCTGGCCCAGCAGGGGAGGGGAAGGAGGAGGAGGAGGAGGTCGTGGGCGGCAGCATCACAGGTCGTGAAGGATCCCGTGGCAACGGCAGCGGCACGCCCCTGATCATCGGGTCTTTGCGCAAGACATGCTTCGCCAACTTCCGAGCATACGTGCACGGGGCCCTGGCCAAGCTGCGCGCCCACCCCGTCGACGGCCCCACGGTGACGGCGCTGACGCAGGACCCGCTGCTCACGGACGAGATTATCGACGCGTACGAGCGGCGGTTCGCATACGCCAAGAAGAACCTGGCCGTGATCTGGAGCCTGATGGCGTTCAGCGCCGGCGTGGTCGAGAGCATCATCGTCACCGACCGCTGGCTGTTCCTGCGCGAGCACCCGGACATCGACGACTGCTGGGTCGACGTCGTCTTCGACTACAAGCAGAGTCCGCGGAACTTTGTCGTCGTGGGCATCAAGAAGCAGGTTCAGAATCAGGAGCAGGAGCAAGAGCAAGAGCAAGAGCAAGAGCAGGCATGAAGAACGCCTAAAAAGAAAAGGAGTTCGGCTCAACTCGATTCTCCACGTGTACTTGGGATTTTTTCTAAACGGGCTGGTGGTGGCGGAGGGATCTAGGACTGCAATGTCTATATCACCGGCGGCTAATAACAGAAAATGTAGCTGCACATCCGATCAAGGATCTCCCCAATGAATCGTCGATCCACATCCAGGCAATATAATGGTCTCTCTCTCTCTCCCTCTCTCTCTTTCGGGGCTCGCTCTACAGCTTCGTGATCGGCGTGACACCCTCCAAAAACCCACCCTTGACCACCGCCGAGATCAACTGGTTCGCAATGGCCGTGGGGGGCGGCAACCGCAGATTTCCCTCCTTGTAGCCCTCGGGCGCGGGATCGCCCAGCCCGCTGGTACCGTTCTGCAGGGCTTCCTGGATCTCCTCCAGGGTGAACCACTTGGCGACCTCGAGCTCGGGGTCGTACTCCAGCCGGATCTCCTCGTCCTCGGGCGACGCCGCCTGCGCGATGGCGCCGATCATCAGGTTCGCCGGGTACGGCCAGGGCTGGGTCGAGTGCACGAGCACGCGCGACAGGACGACGCCAGACTCTTCCCACACCTCCCGCCGCACAGCGTCCTCGACACTCTCGGCCGGTTCGATGAAGCCCGCCAGCGTGGAGAACCAGTGCGGGGGCCAGCGCTTCTGTCGGCCCAGCAGGAGGCGTTTGCTGTCGTGGCTGAGCACCGCGACGATGATGGTGGGATCGGTGCGGGGGAACGTGAGATTTGACAGGGTGGTCCGGGTCGAGCACGGTTCGCGCTCTCGCGGCGTCTCGGCCTTGTCTGTCGGAGGGCAGACTCGCTTGGCTCCGCCGTGGACGGAGAGGGTTCGATGGCCACACGTGCCGCAGAACGTGTTGCGGTAGTTCCAGTCGAGGTAGTGACGGCCCTGAGCGTACTGGGCAGCTTTTGTTTTTCACCAGAGAAAGTCAGTCTCGTGCGCCTCATGTCCCTAATTTTACAGAGAGAAAGACTCACCAATGTCCGGTGGGAAGCTCATGGCCCGCATGCCCTCGCTGAACTTCAGGCCCTGTTCCAACAACGACTCGATCAACGCATTGGCCTCCTTTTCATAGGTGCGTTTGGGCGTGATGTCCAGCGCCCAGTGCGGCGCGCCCGTGAAGTTCTTATACGAGTAGCCGTCAGTGACATTCTCGTCCAGCCCCAGGAACACCAGCTGCGGGATGTCGACGCTCGAGTCGAAGTCGTCGACGATCTCCTTCTCGGTCCGCGCGAACGGGTTCTCGGGGAGGAGCGTCTTGATCTCGTCGTAGGTCGCGAAGTGGATCTCGGTCGGCGTCTTGATCAGTGGGGAGAGGGTCTTGTAGACGAGGAATCTGGTGGTCGGGTGGGCAAACGCCCCCGCCAGGAAGGTGTAGTCTTCGCGCAGGAACGAGACTCGGTTGATGGGCGAGCCTGGAAATGAAAGTAATGGATCATGTCAGTCTCCCAGAACTAGTTTCAATAGACTACCCGCTCAATGGTCCCGAAGACAAAAGATAGACTCACCTCCAAAGTAATTGGTGACCTCCTTCCCGAACTTGCGCCCTAGCGGAGAGTCGCGGTCAAGATGTGCCGGACGTGGTAACTCTGGGTGAGGAATGGCGGCGGCCATGTTGTTCAACTCGGTGATGATATGCGGAGCGCGGACGCCTGAGTGAGCCAATCTTTTTCTTCTATGATGCTGCCCGACGACGCAACAACGGAATCCAAGTCTATGGCGTGTGGTGATGTAACATAAGGGGGAGGAAGAGGTTCTGATCATAAAATGATCCTCCAACAACAACCCACGAAAAACACACAAGAGGGAAAGAGATTCACCACTGACAAATGCGGGAAACGAGGCGAGGGATGAGAAATCGGGGAGAGGGGAGTGGAAGTGGAAGTGGACGAGGGAGATACCCCGAACGAGTAGGAGTGGTACCAAGGTGCCGGATGGGGGTAAGAGAGTCGATGATGAGCTCGTTCCTACGATCTTTGGGCCTCGAGATAGACGTAGAGCCAAAAAAATTCCCACTCAGAAACCCCTCGATTACATGATCTTCGCACGCAACTTTGAGGGTCGCCGCAATGACTATTGATTGATTGATTGATTGATTGATTGATTTGTCTGCCTCGGGTTTCGGGACGTCGATGCGCCCCATTGAAAACCTGCGACGCGGCGAGATGGAGATCACGACCCCTCACACGTGACCGTGCCCGGAGCCCCTCCATGGTTATCTCCGAAGCCGGTATCGGACTCCCCAATCTGGCGGGATTCTTGGCATGAATTAAATGGACCAGAGCCCCTGAGGAAGTCATGGGCAGGAGTGGACAGTCTATGCTAGCAAGTCTGGAAGTCTCCTATATATTCTCAAATGCCATTGCTCTCTGCACCCGCTTTCTTCGCGTTGTCCTCGAGGACCTGAACTGCGTTCTCCATCTTACGGTACTGCGCTGTGAAGCTGGGATATAAGAATGGTCGCATGTCGTATCGATGATCGTCCGGCGAGTACCTGAGGGATATGGTTAACACTCTCGAAGAAGCTCATCCCACAACCATCACTTACTGTTCCATGTGTAATCCGGGCGTCAGGGTGGTTTGTTTGTGTCTATTGATCGCATAGTAATCTTTTCCCCGTCAGTCATGGGGGGCCACGGCGGCAAAGATGGTATACTCACAAAAGAATTTTCGCACTTTCTCGTACACGGCACGCGGTGTCATGCTCTGACCATGTGCCACGCTATGGACGTACTGCGGATCTGAGTGTGCGCCGCGAGCTTCTGTTGCGATCTCATCTGCATTTGGTGGTGGGGACGTCCAGATAGGGAGGAGCTGGAGGTGGAACATTAGTGGGTGGCTGATGAAAGGGGGAACTGGGGCAGTTACCTTCTCGAAGACGCCCCATGGGCCGAGACGTCCAACCTTGCGTAGCCGGCCGAGCACGCTGAGTTCGGCGTACGTCATGCCCATTTCTTCCTCGTCGGATTGGGTGTGAGCGTCGGCGTTGGTTGTGGGGATGAGCTCAGCCGTCGGCGTAGCGTCGAGGAAGCCCTGCAGAAGTGGGAGGTCGAGATTGTCTCGGGCGTGAGCCAGAAACATTCGAAGGTCGACCTTGGATATGCCGCCGATCGGATTGATGTCCGCGCTGCTCGCATCATACTTGGTCAGGTAACCACGGAGTTGCTCTGATATGATCAGTGAAATTCCTGGGTTGAAAGAGAGTAGATTGAGGTACCATCAACATTGGCAGAGCCCAAAACCAGGAGACCGCCGCCTCCTTTGCGCTTTCTGACACTAGGCAAGAGTTGGGCACTAATAAACGTCAGCCAAGTCTGGATCCAATAGCCAGAGGGGAGAGGACAATGCCCCTGCTTCAATGGGGCGGGTGTCCAGGAGCACATACAAAAAGTACGCAATAACCATCTATCAATCGCCACAACGTTAGCTTGTTGATCATGTTTGCAAGTACAGAAGCTTGTTCAGATCCTGTCAGCACCACCGAGAGAGATAACTTACACGTATGCGTGCCTGGATGTTTCTGGTTATTGTTAGCCGCAGTTTGGAAAGAATAAAGACGTCATCAGGCAACAAGAGGCTATGATGCAGGAGACATACTGTAAGGCAAGCCCCTCGGAAGGATTCTTAGAAGTAAAACTGGGTGTAAATCCGGTGACGGTGGTGAAGAGCGTGGTGAGAGCTGAGACGACACCGTCGATATTGAGGTCGATGTGATACGATCCTATCGCCTTCGCAAGTGCCGCGGCTCTGGACCTAGTCTCCTTGCTGCTGTTCCTGCTGGTGTGTTAGCGGTTAAAGTTGCTGAGGATAGACAGGTAACGCCTGATGCTCGCGCTTTGGCGAACAACGTCCACGTACTTCGAACCCATGTAAGTAGAGTGGAAAATGTGTCCACAAATTTCTTGAGGGCCGGATGGTGTCCAGTCGTCGGCTTGTGCACAGACTCGACGAAGGTCATCCAGAACGAGCTCCTTGGTGTGAGGCAGGGTCTGATCGGACGTGATAGCGTCATAGAGCAGCCGGCACATTGAAAACACGAGCACAGCCGTTGATGCAGAGTCGATGCCGCCAGACAAAGGTAGGAAGTATCCTGCTGTTCTGGAGCGCCTCAGGTAGTCCCAAAGCCAAAGAGCAGGAGCACTAATCATCGAAAAGATTACGTTAGCCAGCGCATCAGCATAACAAGAAAGGACACAGAGGATCGTGGGAAGGACAGATCCGAAGAGTTAGCAGATCTAAGAAGTCAGGGCCCGAGGTTGAATCAAAGGGGCGCTCGCCGTCTTGCTTTTCCCTGCAATGTGCAAATGCACGATTCCGTGAGCACAAAAATTCACCTACAATTGAATTTCCTCGGCAGCAGAATGATAGCGGATGGGGATATCTGGAGAGGGAGCGAGGAATTTGCCGGTTTGTTCGAAACCCGGGTGTGTCAAGCGTAGGTCGACGGGTATACGGGGATATGGTGCAGCCTGGGCACCCTGAAGGTTTCGGGAGTGAGAGACACGGAATGACCGTACTAACAACTTGTTAGAATCAATCGGTTGTACAAGTAAAGTCAGAGAGGTGGCAGAGTCCTGATGGCAGGTGGAGGCGCCCCTAGTGTTACCTACCATCCTCGAGATCGACGTTTGCAGTGATAGTCTCGACGTCGTTCAAACTGAATTGGCTCCCTTGAGCCAGTAGCCTACCATTCACAAAGATCATGGCGCAGCCGTCGCTTGATGTTCGTTAGCACAAAAGCCTGGCCCGAAACAGAGCGTGGGCAAAGGCAATGAAGCATCAAAGTGACAGCTTTCGTCGGGACATACTAGTACAATCTGTCTCCAGAGCAGCCTCGTTGATTAGAGTACTATTGACCATTAGCACACCGGAAAGTGAGAGGAAAGGGCATCACTGGAGGTGGTTTCAGACTCACGTACCACATATATTCCACCATTTTGTCTCGTAGCTTCTCGAATGCTGCAGCCACGAAGTCAGTGTCGTCTCTTGGTGTGTCTGGCTCAGCGTTTCGGACGTCGAGCACCAGATTTCGAAACATGTCCAGGGGGAACGAGGACTTACAGAGATACACGTGTTTGGAGCTTCCGCAACTCATAATGGGAGCCACTGGAGTTCACGAAGATCTCCACTGATAACTCATTAGCAATGAAAAACAGAACAGCAAGAAACAGCAGCTCTTCAGCCGACATACCGCCATTCAGTCCCATGTGAATATGAGGGGCATTCGGAGTGAACAGCTCTTCGCACGTTTCTGCGCCAACAAGCGTGTCAATGGTCTGGAGGACTCCATCTCCGAAAGGTGCCTATCATTTTTAGATTATACAGAGCTCTAGAGCGATGGCAAAAAATACAAGCTTTAACATACCATTCGCTGGCCGGTAACGCTACTGATCGCATCTTCGAGTGGGTAGTCCTCAACCTCTCGTTGCCGTGTCCAAGGGGTGAACCACCGAGACTCAAAGTAGTTGCCTTCCTCGCACATGGCCATCTTGGGACGGATGAGGAGGATCTTCTTATTCAAGACAATCACTCGACAGTTGTAACGGACCGAATTGTGGCGCACGGGCATGCCGATGTCGAGAATACAGTCGGAGACATCTGGGTGGGTGATGATGGTCGCCAGAGATTCCCAGCAATGAAGGAAGAGGTCTCCCTCCAAGCTGCTATGGTTAGGAGCAACAGGGCAGATCGTAGGTTATAAGACTTACTAATGATCGGCACACTGATGGACAGTTAGCACGACAGGTTGCATTAGCATACGCAGAGGTGAAAATATATAGGCTCGGACGACGTTAGGGCAGCATGCCAGGACCACGTACTCCATATCCACAAACCTCCAGCTCAGGACCGACTCTGAGCCGAGCCCCTGCTGCCTTGGCCTGCTTGATACTGGTGATTATGCGCTCTGCATTGCCATCGAAGTCAAGTGACCACCTGGAATGTGTCAGAGGTTGGCTTTCTTGGGCTTGAGGCACGGACTTACTGGTTAAGGGAGCAAGTTGCTACTGTCACCAGCTTGCCCATTTTCGACCACGTTACCGATCGCTCTTACCCGGTTTCGATCGAAGCGAGTTGTAGTGGAATGCGGATGGTATTGTAACGAGGTTGGCTTGAGGAGTCAAGGCTGTGAGGACTACCTCATGTGCAAAATCGATTAGCTCGCTATCAGGGAAGCCGGAACGCTTTCCGTCCGCCCTGAAATGAGGGCCTTGCCAGACTTGATGCCGCTAAAGAAGCGGCTCGTCCGGACTTGGGCCTAGCACAGTCGTTGTCAGGTCTACTGATGCCAGATTGATTGGAGGAATTGATTAATTCGTCAAGATACCTGGCGTGCCATGATTCATGATTGATGAGGGACGTTATGCGAAGTGATGCGCAATGAGCAAAATGTGCCAAGACGTGTCACGTGCAGTGACTTCGCAGTATATCACGACGTATTCGGGTATCGCAAGGTCACTGGGTATCGTCGACAACCTTAGCAAAGAACTATATCTGTGACAGTGCTTTGAGAAGAACATGACTGGATGTCACAAAGCAGCTGCTCCAAACTCCGTACATATCCATATTCGCTAGGTACCAGAGTTCCCAAATATCCACCTCCCAGTACGAAGTACTGTTCACCTGTGGTACCGACAACAATTAACCGCCGTTGAGTTGGTTACACCATTTCCTTTTTGTTGAAATTCCGCCAAACGCGCCTCATTTTCCAGACATGTCTCTTTTCGTAACGCAGACCTGGAGCCGGAAGCCCCATCGGTCCATAACACATGTGGACCATCACTTCCGGTTCAACAGGCTCAAGAACTCTTCTCGTGTTTTGGCGCTGCTCCTCATGGCACCTAGCATGCAACTCGTCGTCGTCGAGCTGCTCGTCTTCTGCACGCCTCGCATCACCATGCACAAATGGCTGCTTTCCATCACAACCGCGACGCCCTGTGGCTTCAGGACTTCGGCAATGGCCAGGGCGACCTGTTTCGTCAACCGCTCTTGGACCTGCAATCGGCGCGAGAACATCTCCGCCAACCTAGCCAACTTGGACAATCCCAGCACGCGCCGGTTCGGGATATACCCAATATGCATCTTTCCAATAAATGGCACCATATGATGTTCGCACAGGCTAAACACTTCGATGTCCTTGACAATAACCAATTCGTCGTGATCTTCATGAAACACCGCCCCGTTGACCAAATCCCGCACGTTCTCCTCGTAGCCCTTGGTGAAGAACATCAGCGCTTTGGCGTATCTCTCGGGCGTATCCCGCAGTCCCTCGCGATCAGGGTCTTCGCCTATACATTCAAATATCGTCCTGACCGCGCCAGCGAGTTTATCGAGGCGGACTTGTGCTTGTTCGGGGGTCTGATCCAGGCGTTCGCGCGTGCCAATACACGGCCAGGAAAGGCCATCAAAGTCGATGGGTGGATTCAGCGTATAGGGGCTTGCAGGACGCGACACCGTAGATGCCGGAGGAGTCGGCGGTGCTTCGTCTCGCTCATCTCGAGCTGGGGTGTGCAGTTTGGCCGGACGTTTCGAGTCCACTTCCTTTTGCGTGTTCTCCAGGCCCAGCCACGACGTCCCGCTCGGCATGGTGGCCTGTGAGGCCGTGTGACCTTCGGCTGTGAAATCTATGGTTCTCCGTCGGCCGTACGTAGCTTTAATAGAGGATGCCAGGTTCTCTCGCTCCTGGGCTCGAGTCGTCGTCGTCGGTTGGGAACGGTGCAGAGGAGAAGACCCGTTTAACAGGTACGAGGGTACCGCCGAGCGAGGTTTGGGATGCAAGGTAGCTGGAGGATGGACACTGCTGCTGTGGTCTACAGAGGAGGGTTTTGGAGGAGGGTTACTTTGACTCATGGCGGGGGAGAATGCGGGCAGAAGGTGAGATTTATGGTCGAGGCATGGTCTTCGCGAAGGACAACCCCGAACGGTATTCTAGCTCCAGCAGAACATGGGACGGTCAGGTTTATAGGCAGGTACGCAGGCAGGGAAAAGGTATTACCGTGCCAGAATAGATTTTGTAGTCACCCATGAGAAAATCTCGGGGACGAAGTCGGAATGTTTTTCTCGCCTGCGCCCTTGCAGTTATCGGCGGCCAATCGGAAGGCAAAACAGATCCGGGGTAGTACGGCGGAGCATCCAGCCACGCCTGCCGACAGATATCACATGCGAGGGAACGAGGGGACTCTTTTTCCCCATCATTGCTAGCAACTCGCTATATCAGGCATAAAGACCCTTCCTCTGTTAATATCTCCATATTAGATATAGTGCATTCCCCTTCCTCCTCATAGTGATTCACCCGCCGCCCGCCTAATCGACCTCGCTACCTCCTGTGGTACACTCAAGAACGGGGAATGGCTGGCATTCACGGTTTCAACCTTCATTTGTGCCCCGGCCTTTTGAGCTCCCTCGACCATCCCTTTCTGCGCATCAATCGGGATTGCCTCATCCTTCTCACACAGCAGATATGTACTCGGGACGTACTTCCAACCAGGGTCCGTCACCTTGGAAAATAAGGTGCGATAGCTATGTGGCTTCAGCATTGCGACGTATTTCTCAGGACCGTCAACGTCATTGTAGAATGTCTGAATCGGCGTGGCGGGATTGACGATGGTTTCTTCCTCATTGATTTGGAACCAAGGCAAGGGTGTCTGATTCAGGGCGTCCATCAAGGAAACGCCCTCGGGGAGGGCGAATGCGCAGCAGAGGTAGATATGCGACACCCCTCCCTTTTTGCCCTGCTTTTCGCGTGAGACTTTGTCGAAGCCCTTGACCGCCTCGTTTCCCACGACGCCCCCATACGAGTGAACGAAGAGCAGGACGTCTTTTTCCTCGTCCTCGATTAATGGTCTCAAGACTTGTTGAATGGCTTCCACGTCGGGTTGAAAGTCCTTGAGCGGCTCGGGCGAGCCGACGGAGGCCAGTCTGACGCCTCTGGTCTCATAGCCGGCTGCTTCCAGCTCGCCTACCACGAGGTAGAATGCCTCGGGCGAATGCCAGGCGCCTGGTACGAACACGATGACGGGTTTAGACGACATCTTTGTGCTGTTAACGAAGAAAGATGCCTGTCGACTGCAAGGAGCGTGATTCGCGAACAAGATATATATGTGAGGTAGCAGCACGGCTTACTTTAAGTCACCGGCGAAGAGAAAGGACGTTTATTTGACCTGTCGACTCGTATGTATATGATGGGCGTGAGCTCACCCCGCATTTTGCTCCCGCGCGAAAAAGTGAGTTTGAGGAATTAACTTGCACAAAGACAGTCTCGGTCTGCGCGATAACAGCGGTGTGGGGGATCACGCACAATGGCCGGTCGCAGAAGGTACATGAATACTGTCGTTAGCACAAATGATGCCGACGCCCACCGGGACTAATCCTTGAGTAGCGGTCAGTATGCTAGATCCTGAGATATGCTCCCCGTGAGTTACTACTAATGCCAGCTCGATCTCTTGGTGCGCCAAGTCAGCAGAATTTATCCGTTGGGTACATGCCTACAGCATAAATGGCTTCTCTATGGGAAATCTGCCGGCGGATACTGGTGTCTTTTCATAGGATTCGCACTCTCCCACAAGGAGGAATCTTAGCGACATTTTCTAATCACTTGCGGCTTCCGAGGACGTAAGCGAGTCAAATCAGATCAATCCAGCTTTGTGGCGATTTTGTGTCCCTCAGCATATCTCGGTTACCGGGCCTGAGGCTAGTCACCCCTGGAGAAGTTATCCGACTACTATACGTATTCATTCATTGAATGTCTATGTTCCTGACCAAATACAACCTGGACGGGTTTGAAATAGATCCTTAAGGTGTCCGAGCCAGGGCTACGGCAGGGAGGTATATGTCAGACAAGTCGTCAGATTGGCTTCACCGGTCTGATGAAAACGGGATGTTGAATCTCCATTATACACCGTATGCCTCGATTACCAATAATTACTTTCTTGCTATCGCGATGTACGCGACGGAGTAGAGACCGCCCACCCCCCCGCCTTTGGGATCCCTCTCACGGGCAATTCTCAATATCTCTTGGCCCAATTTGGCCTTGTCCTGTTCACTCCAGCCCTCCACAGCCGCTGGGTACGACCGTGCCACCATCTCCGGGTCCTGGAGGAACGGTTCTACCACCGCGTCTGTCCTTTTCTCCACAATCTTCACGTTCTCAGCCTTGAAGCCCGCGTTGAGAAGAACGTTTCGCAGCGTTTCCTCCTTGGACCACAGCTCCCCCCACGGGCTGTACAGGGGCTTCAGATCCGGCCGGATGATTTTCTGCGCCGCGGCGATCGTGTCCATCATCCTCCGCTCCTTCCACGCCGTGACGACGGCGAGACCCCCGGGTTTCAGTGTGCGGTAGATCTGGTCCGCCCCTTTCTGGGGGTCCGGGAGGAAAAAGATCCCGAAGTTGGTGATGCTGAGGTCGAAGGTGCCGTCCGGAAACGTGAGGTCCTGGCTGTCCATGACCGAGATGTCGATGTTCTTCCACTGCTGTTGCGCGGCTTTCTTCTGCATGACCCTGGTTACTGAGGGCACGAAGTCTGTCGCGTGGATCATCTTTGGATAAGTGCCCGTAGTGGAGGAGACGTGCTGGAGGTATTCTGTGACCAGACCTGTGCCGCACGCGTTGTCGTGGATCACCATATCTGAGGTCGGCGGCTTGACGAGTGCCTTCAAAGTATAGCGTCCAATGTCACCTGTCATCAGACCGATCAAGTCGTCATATTTGGATGAGAGTTGATCGAAGTGGCCCGAAGGGTTGAAGTCGGGAGGATTCGTCTTGTCCATGGCACTTTGTCCGTTGTTGGTTCGTCTCCAAGTCCTGTGTTTTGATCCGTCTGAAGAGGATTACCTGTCGTCTATAACCAAATAAAATTCTCGGATCCAGTGTAAGACATCTTCAACAATGGCTTTCGGCTTCGGCTACTCATCCTACCCCACTCATGAGGCTTCCAAATGCTCCCTTCAGAGTCGCGGAGAAAAGCCGGGAAACATCATAATCTGGAGACGCCCAAAATCTGAGACTATGAATACTTGAGCACTCGAACATAGTGATGTCGCGCTGTGTCAACTCTTCTTATGGCTATCGGCATCTTGATACAATAGAAAGAGACCGAAAATGAATTGTTCTACTTCGGAACAGAAAGAAAACATCTTTCGAAAACATGTGTTTGAAATGGCCCGTATCAACTGATCATTAGCAGCCATTATCGTCGCAATGAGTGCTTGAAAAACAAAACCCGAAATTGTACTTGTACAAGACATGTATGGCGAACATTGTACCGTGTCGTCAAGCATCAATCAAGGCAGGAAGCAAAGTCATGGCGCCAGGAATCCTCATCCGTAGAAAACTGGCACGATAAACCACTCCCCAAGCTCAGCTTCCTCTGTATCCCAGCCAGCTGCCAACACACAAATAGTCCGGAACTTTTTATCTCCAAAAGGCAAGCTCTCCCAAATGTTTCAGATCCAAGTCCACATCCATGTCCCAGCGACCAATGCCAAATTGACTCCCTCTTGCGTACCGACATTACTCAATTTCAAGGGATATTTGGAAATCCCGCGACGTCCACTATCAAACGCACTCCCACTCTCCCCAAACACACCACCTGGCACTCCGATCCGCCAGGACCAGCCCTCTCCAGATGCCCCTCTCTTGGACCTTGACTACGGTCTCCCAGAAGCTTCCCAACACTTCACCATCAACCTCCTTCAGATTTGCTGGTTGCGGGATCCCCTCGTGCTTACGGTTCAATCTGATGATTTTCCCGCCAGGAGACTGGATCGCCAATTTAGCGGGCTTGTCCTTTACTTTGACTCCAGCGGCATGGTTGGGGTTGTTGCCATAGGTATATTCACTGGGATTGGATCCGGTGGTGCTGCTAGTCATGCTCATTGCGCTAGTGGGGCGCGCGAGCGGATTGGGACTGACCGGGCGGAGATCAAAGCCGTTCTGTTCGTTCGCAGGTGTAGATGCTACAGACGCGGCGTGTTGACGTACGCAAAAGACATAGGTTTCGCCAGCCCCAAGGCGGTAGCATTGAGGTTGCACAACGTAGAGATCTTGCCGTGTGGCGTGCGGCGTAGGATGTCGCATGACAAAATCATAAGCTGGGTTCTCGCCTGAGTGGTATAGAGGCACTGCAAGAGCCAAAGGATGCACGATATCCCTCGACGAAAGCATCAGACCCTTCTTCCCAGCGTAGACTTTGACGTACGCGATGCCCTCGTCCCCTGGTAGAATTGCCTTGATGACATAGCGTTTCTGGGCGATGTCCGAATTCGGTACTGTTTTGTACCAGCTCGGCTGTGCAAGGGCTCTCTTTTTCGTCAGGTTATCAGCGTCCTCGTAAACATCGCCGTCCTGATCGCAGAGATATCTCCTGGCTTCGACCTCTGCCACTATTTCAACGTCCGGAGGGACATTGATGCTGAATGTGCACATTTCCAGGCCATCCAGCCTAATGATGCTCGTGTCGTAGGCATGCATTGACAATCCCTGCCGGAAGAATGGTGGACCTGTTCCAGGCAGGGCTAGAAGCACGTCAGGACTGATGCAGGGGATCATGTGCTGTTGACTGTCGTCGACGGGTACATGAGTCCAACACAATTCGCTCGGCCGTGCCAGGAAGTACCAAGCTTCCGCGATGCTGGTGCTGATACTTGAATATAGTAATCTTTTCGGGTTGGTTGGGCTGGCGAGGCTCGCGTCTATCATTCTCCATTCTCCATCGACCAGCACAGCGTTCCAAAAGTGGTTCGGTCGAGAAATCGCGTCCAAGTCCAGTTCTTCGCCGGGTGTTTTCAGATACCCATGCACGACTTCCGCATGAATGCCAATAGCAGTGCACATTTCAAGCACGACTTCTGCAACTTCTTGGCTACTTCCTCGCTTGCTCTGAATCACTCTTCTCGTATCAACCGGTTGATTGAAGTCGTAGCCGTCAAACTGGTCCTCTTCCCAGCTGATTCTTTCAGAGCACCAAATGAATATCGCCCGTAATCTTTGCACGCCACTGCGGTATGGACGGCATATAAAGCCCGTTGCGAGGGCCCCTGCCGTGACACTGCTGGGTATGCTTGTGATGAACCGAGCGGCTTTGTCCACTTGGCTGAAACTTGGATTGCTGAGCTGGAACGGCGCATAAACAGGTCGTCCGTCGGCGTCTTCGTCTCCCTGAAGATTCTCGTACAGTTCTTCTACAGGGCAAATGACAGGTTGATCTAGCATCTGACATCTATCGGCGCGTTCTTGCCGTTCTGATGGTCCCGGCGTGTTCGATCGGTTGACGTCGCGACGAGTGAGGATGTACGAACCAGACGCTCCGCTGATCAAACCCATCTCTTTCGCGGCGTCCCGTCCAAAAGCGCCATTTGACTGATGAGTCGCAATCGGTGTCGGTGCATTGAAAGCGGTGCCGCCAGCGATGCCCGTTAGTTTTGTGGGAGAACCAGAGTTGCTTCCGGCCTGACTGGCCGAGATAGTACTCCTGGCGCTGGCTGCACCTGTCTTCGCGCTGTCGATCAATTTCTTGAAGAAGCCTTGCTTTTTGGCCTTGGGAGTCGTAAACCCTCCGAGTCCACCGTTCGCACTTCGATTTGCATCCTCCCAGCCGATTGCTGACTTCGCCCCTTGTCTGGAGTCATGATTTGAGTGGAAGGACGCTGCTGTAGTTGGAGTCTTCGGTCGTGCTTCCGTTTGGCCCCATTGCTCATCTCTGGTGCCAGTGCTTGTCATTGGCCTGGCCATACGATCTCGAAGACTGCCCATCCTCTTCCTTGCCAGGCTGCCTGCACTCGTCGCGCTAAATGCACCCGCGGAATATCCGCTCATAATGCTTTGGGCGGTCATCGCGGTCTGACGCGAAAAGTTGGTGCCAGTGCTTGCAGAACTCTGCGCTCCGCTACTTGAGCTACTGTTGTTCGTCAAGTTCGTCTTTTGCGTGAGGGCTCTTGAAAGAGCCGCGTCACCAAGATCAACAGCGGATTTCCTTCGCATCGACAGTCGACGACGAGCACTTGATGTGCTTGCCCACGGTGAATTCTTGGGCGGAGGTTCAGGAGGGTCACTGTCCGCTGCATCCAAGTCCTGCCCTTCTCGAGCCTGCTGCATACGGCGCAGCCGACTTTCCATCCTCTGAACGTAGTTTTCCAGTCGAGGTGGACCATCCTGATATCGATCTGGGCTATTATGGCGACTGCTGTAATTGATGCGTCCTTCAGAGAAAGTGCTACCTCCGGCGCCCAGTCCCAGACTGGTGAGTGGACGAGGACCCGGACGGTCATTGGATCGACGAAAGTCGTCAAAGGCTTCTGGAGACCAAGGATTGAATTGCTTGTCTTGCTGAATTGAATCACGTCTTACTAACGTCATATCCTCAAGAGAAGACATGACGTCGTCCATGGCACTCCGGATCATTGGGGGAGTATGTCCATTGATTGAGGGTGGCGCGGGAGAAGGCGTGCGAGAGAATGACTGATATCGATCATTCATGTCAAAGGCTTGTGGTGCTGGTGAGGCGGCTCTGCCTCCAATGATCCGGTGGGGCGGAGGAGGTGGTGGGGGAGAAGACCCGATTTCATGATGTGGTAAAGGAGATGGTGATCTTGCAGGAGCTCTGGACGGTGGTCTTTGTTGCCACAAGACTGTCGAGGGAGGATTTCGTGGATTATGGGCTTGTGGTGCCGGCGCAGAAACGGGCACGGCTTGTTGATCCCCAGCTGCGCCATTAACTGAAGGTGATTTTGCGTGCTTATAACCGCTAAAAGGACGTCTTGATTTCGCCTTCTCTTTCTTTTCCTGTAGTGTCTTCTTGCTTCCACTGTTGCTCTTGTGTATATCCGGTAGGGGGCTGGCGGACCGTCGCGTGGGGACGAAATTTTCCTCCAGCACAACCACGAAGTTTGAAGGGAAGAGACCCATCATTCTCCTGTCTCGGAGTAGTCTTCCCATCCACCAAGATCCATCTCCCGCATTGAGACATTCTATCAAGTCGCCTTCAATGAACCCAAGGTCTCTGTCTGTTTCACCGCCCCACGAATACACCGCGCGACACCAGCAGGGAAATTTCGTAGGAAGATGAGGAGCGGCCATTCCGACTGAGTTGCGCACTCAGTTTCGATGTCACGGTGGTTCACGTCGCGGTGATCGAAGTAGCAGCAGCATCTGGCTTTCGCTGGTCGAGAGTGATGGTCAGGATGAGTGCCAACATGTGATTGTGAATGAGTATAAGAGAAAGGTTACGAGCGACAACGCGCGTGAGGGTAGACAGGAGCGTCTTGAGGACGGCGCCTGAGCTGGTAAGGTGCGGCTGCGCAGCCGAATGAATACGTAGTAGACTCGGAGCGCAATGATGATAATGGAGCCGTTGTCGCCGTTATTCAGTTGCCAAGCCAAAGATGTAAATAAACAGTCGAGGAAATAGGCCCGAAGTGCAGGCTTTCACGTGACAAGTGGAGCCAATTAACAAACATGCCCAATGCGTTATAGTGACTTGGAATCGCCAGCCTTGCCAAACATCAGGCACCTCAGTCTCTCGATGCTATATGTCGTCCCATCGCACTGGACGTTCTCTCGACTATTCCATATTTACTTGCAGCACCTGAGGTGGAAACATGGATATCAATGGGCGTTTTCTGACAAGGCTGTGACATCAGGTTGCTAGGACTGAACATTGCAGAGCGTCATTTGAACTCCAACAGTCATTTCAAATCATAAATCGGAAGAAGTTTCATGACTTCATTTCCCAGCCACCGCGCAAGATAAATATTAACTCTCCGAAGTCTTCACAATGATCAGCCTGTCTCTGTTACTTCCCATAAACATGAACTCTATTCGTGCCATGATGGTCCCTACTGGCCACGAATTAGCAGTCACCTCTTCGTGTTCAGAAGCCCAGACCAAACTAGCCCACCAATTCACGAGCAGGCAGCCAATCAAAGCTGGCCGAATCCGGACCCTACTCTGGACCGGCTGACTTTTGGTCGAGCTCTCGCTTAATTCCGACAAGGACAGAGAGGAAGAAAGAGAATTCCCAGTAGAACAGTGATCTTCCGGGCTTTGCGGCGAGGGAGTCATTCCCGCTTGCAACTGTCATCAAGGGTTTCAGTATCTGCTTTCCAAGACCCAATCTGAATAGGTGCAATATGTCTCAGCCGCACCACCATCATGCTTTCCCCCAAAGTGCAGCCAATCGTATTTTTTGCTTTCCCAGGCATCCGAGCCTTTGAGTTGGTGCTTGCCGTCTTTTTGCCAATCCGATTGCCTTGGACGCACAGGAGGACTCGCCGGCGCAATTTGGCGGAAGGCAGAGGAGGCGGGGGTGAGTTTGGAGCTGCAGCCTGATAAGCACTGTGCGACCTCATGCAGCCTCTTTCGTCTCCATTCGTCTTTCCCATCCGGTTCTCGACGGTTTCACAGGCTGTTGTTCGCTTCTAGGTACTGCCCACAACGACTGTGATTGAAAATGGTGCGTACTTGATATCCAACCTTACTTAATCTTTGGTACTAAACGCAGGTTACCAGGGTAGCCACGGACGGGGCTGGTGGAACGAAGAACAGTCCGAGGAAAGGTAAGATGGGTGGCCACCCTTTGGAGATTCCTTATTGTTCATCATCGGTAGCTATCCTTTGTCAGCACATCGACAGTACGGACAACGACTGACAAGCGCCGGGTCTACGGAATACAACCCATATTTCTATTCCCAATCCGCCGGAGGGCTGAACGATTACACAATTCATAGTCCTCCCCCAGCCCGACAAAACACTGGCAGAGGAGCAAGGTGGCCTACCACAGGGGGTCGAGAATCGCGCTCTCCATATGAAGCACTGCCGATGGGCGATGCATCCTACACTGTCCCTTCTATACATGATCCGTTGCCGGATCCCCACGGGGTATGGACCATGCCCGTTTGCCTTGCTCTCAGCTGCCTTCTGAAACTGAACGCCTGCAGTATAACGTGGACAGCTATTACAATCCTCCAGCATATCATCCTCCTGGAAGCTTTGCGCCTTCCACAAACAACGTGGTAAGTTCAATGCGCCGACTCCAGCTTGGCACAAGGGCTTGCTTTAATGGTCCAACAGTCAATGAGCGATGCTATCTCAGGAAACAACGAGTTCGTCGCTCCTCTTACTGCCCAACAAAAACTCAACGCGGACGACTACGGAGTTCACGATTTCAAAGTGCCAAACGACAATCCATACCGCTTTGATGCTGATTCGTTACTCAATCGATTTTCCAATAACTTGCACTTGAAGCGAATCTTCCACTGGCTTGATCCGAAGTTCTTTCACGAGCGCGCTTGGTTCAGTTGGACGGCTCCCCATTCCTACCAACTCCCTGGGCACTACTACAGATCCGAGAATGGTGGGCGGATCTATATCTACAGGCACAGGGATGTCTTTCGCCGCAAGCATGCCGGTTTGAATGATGATCGATACCTAGATCCGATCGACGGGAGAGTGGAAAAGCTATTCGTCCAGACAGTCAACGAGATCTACGACACGGACAACGACACGACCTGGCGGCGAACGTACATCAAAAACGTTAGTCCATGGCTCATCCGTCTGGCCTACTGGCCCTACTCGCATATGCCTGTTGCGAACCCGGAATTCTCAGCGGATTACGGCCTTGGTGAATCATCTTCTACTGGGATTGGCGCATGGAAACAAGAACAGTGGCTTCATATCAGCCTTCGCTGGCTACCTTCCTGCATTGGCCTGCTGTTATTGATGATCTTTCCAACCGACGTCGAAGGCCATGTCCGTAACCACGGTTGCTACGACCCTGTGCCTTACCGTTATTGGTCTTATCCTCTGTCCGCGCGGAACTTCCGCGAGAACAAAGGTCAGATGCCCAAACCTGGATCCTTTGGCACCACAAACGACTTCAGACTATCCGATAGGTGCCTCCGACCACGCCTATTATGCTTCCTAGATCGCATAACCGATGATGATCCTCGAGGCTGTCTCGACCCGCAAGTTTGGATTGACGAGCATGGAGGAGGTGTTGAACCGACGTATATCTTTATTTCTTACACTGCCGAGAACCAGTTCGAGCGACGATGCGCCGATGCAAGGAGAGACGTCCAGAGCACCGGCTCTTCATACTGTAACTGTCTCCAATGCCAGAACGCTGCATCCGATGCAGAAGCCCTGCACAGAATCGCCCGGAAAGCGGCCAGGAACGCTAATGTCGCTGCATACTGGACCGACCAATGTTGCATGTCCACCGACAAGGCTGAGCTTCAAGAAGATGTTTACCGAATCAGTGATGTCGTCCGTGGTGCGGCAAAGATCGTCATCGTGGTGGGCCGGACAGGCCAAGACCGTCTTCCGCCGTCAGTCACCACGCTCGACCTGCTGAAAGAATGGGGGACACGCATGTGGACATGGCCCGAAGTTCTGCTGGGTCCGGCAGGAGAGAAGATACAGGTATACACGCGGGGAGGAGACATGCGTGCCCCACTGGAGATCTCGAAGATGGAGTTTCCTGCTCAAGTCTGGGACGACAGCGACGTGGCGAGACAGCTGATTGATAACTACGAGGGATCACTGGCCCTGAGTCGGCTGGAACTCGTGGTTCTGGCGCTCGAATGCCTCAAGCGCCGGGTGGAAACGGGGACAACAAAATACCTGGAAGGAGATCTGTCGTATGCATTGATGGGCTTGCTGAGGCAACGGCCAAAGGTCGACCAGACAGACTCTGCGTTCCAAGCATTCGCGCGCCTTTCGTTGGCGAACGACAGTGACCGACTACTGGAAAGGATGATTTGCTTACTGCCGTTCGATAGCAACCATGATCTCATGTCTAATGACCGATACTACAGCCAGAACGCAGGAACGGCGACCGGCAACAGTGGCCAAGACGGAACGGATCTACTCAGTGAAGATAGCAAGAAGCGCCATTACTGGACCAACCTTGACGACTACTGGGGTGCCAAACTCTGGGACATCCAACCCATGTGTCAGGTCGCCGGCATTGGCAAAGACGACACCGTGATTCTGGATGGCGCCTATGGGGCTACAATCCATTGGGACAGTTTTCAGCGTGTTGCCATCACCACTCGAGAGACCTGGTCGCGCATGCTGGCTCGGTATTTTGTGCGTGGCACACCGGCATGGTTCTTCACCGGTGTCCTCACTGTGGCATTTTCACCAAACAGCCCCACGGGCAAAGGAATAGGGGCGTTGTTCCTGATGATTGCAATAGTCACCATCCTTCTCTCGCCGATGCTGATCTTGCATATCTACGGAGGCAAGGTATGGAATACCCAGCCGTGGCTATTCGGATTCGAAGGTCACATGTCTCTCAGGAAAATTGAGATGAAGATCTTTGGATTTCCGTCGGAACGGCTCTCCTGGGCGCCCTATGCCAGCAATATGTCCCATCACCGCGTGAATAGTGAGTTCTTGGAGGACGAATGCGAGGGCATGGATCCCTTGCTCGCAGGCGAGAATGAGACAGGTGGTGCGGGAACAGTATCGACAACGGGTGAGAGGCTGAGACTTTTCACCCTGGTTGACACGAATACAATGTATGTGACGTCTCTTCCCGTTGTGGCTACTTTATGTTCTACATCACTAATCGTGTATGACAGGACCGTCACCACATTTCGTGCTGCACGCCCGCCCACTGTTGCTCTCCTCTGCGGCTCAGAAGGGGGCATGCAACGCGCGGTGATGTGCTCGTATGACTGGACGAATCAATGCCTGTGGCGAGAGACCGTGCTTCGCATGGAAACGATGGCGCTTCAAAAGATGCCTAGGATTGGGAGAGTTAGGTTTGGGCTGAGGAGATGGCAGGGCGAGATGGGAAGGAGTGATCTGCTACCTCCTGATTGAGATTCAGTCGTCGAGTGAAGAATAAAGCGAGATCACAAGGCTTCTCTTCCATAACGATTTAAATGTAAGGAAGTACAGCCGTGCGCTGACGACGAAGTGACTGGCGAAGCTATTATTACTAGCATATTGAGTAAATAAGCCTGCTGGCCTCAAATTTCTTCCATCAGTATCTCGTCGGCAACTTTATTATTGACCACGTCACCAACCACTACTACACTGGCGATGCTGGCGAGGCTCACTCAGCCACCACTTCTGGGTCAACAGGTACTAGATGCGGATATAGAGCCCAACGCCAACCTTAACATCAGCTCGAGGGTTCATTCTTCCATCTCAGCGACTTGTTCGTCACCTTCCTTCTTTCTTCTTCCCAGTCTCCAATTTACTCCTTTTTCTCTCATAGAGCCCATGCGAAGCCGAGGGCGACTCGCATTGCGCCAGGGAGCCAATCACAATAGCTTGAGCAGGTGACCTGGCCGGATTCGACTGCGGTTGAGAGTAATCAGAGTTTCAATTAGGTACAAGGTCACTAGTTTCGTCAGTTCCAATGACGAGGCGAGCCTGTGTTACGAAGGAGAGAAACATCAAATTCCATCAGCTGATATCTTCCAACGGAAGAGAAGGAGACGTCATATCACTTTGTGCCCCGTTTTTCCTGTAGGCCAGGCATGTGAGGCCCACACAAATCAGCTTTGTTTCTCCTAAAGGCCTTTAGGAAGGGTATATGGCAAACACCTCCTCAGTCGTCGGACTTCCCGACGAACCGCTGGAAGGAAACTTTGCTAGCATTACTTGGGTGTCAGCTTCCCGGAAGTGCTCAAGAAAGCCATGTAATAACAGCTCTGTAAGCTACTTCCTTCCTGAGAGAGTAGATGTTAAGGGAGGGCCGACCGCCATTACTCACTAGGACCTTGGGGAAGGTATATGAAAAGGGTCTTCTCAGCCACCTCCTTCGAAGAGAAGGGAATGCCCAGAGAGGGTGGTAGACAAGAGACTCGGTCACCTGGGCCTCGGAGAGGAGTCAGTGCCTAGGAAGAGTAGACTGACAAACGCCTCCTCAGTCATCAGGACCTCAGGGTGGAAGAAGTGTGTAGGGAGGCATGAGCCACCAGTCATCAAGACCTCAGGCTGGAGGAAGTGCTCAGGGAAGTAAGACTAAGAAATGCCTCCTTTGTCACTTGGCCCTCGAGGAGCACGAGGTGCAGTAGACTGACAAACCCTCCTCGGTCACTAGGACCTCAGATAGGGCATCTGACGAGCGCCTTGTCCGCCACGTACTTCTGGGGGGAGTAATTGCTCACAGAAGTGAGTCAGGAAGAGCTCAGCGAAGAGGCATGCAACCACGTCCTCAACTACCGTTCCTCGAGAGACACGCTCGGCTGGAGTAACTGCCTTCCACCTCATCGACGATTGTATGTACTTACGCACTGGTGACTCGGTGGGAGGCGCCGGTGGGTATATGGGGCAGTCGGGACCCAGGTCTAGGCAGCCACGGCGCTTATCATGCAGAACAGAAGATTCGTTTCCAGAAGTGCTGATCGAATCCCGCGATGAGCACACCGCGAGGTCCCGAGGGGCTCTGACCCCTGCGGTCTGGCCTTTAGCCCTCATCCACATGGTCCTGGGCAGGGGCAAAGCGAGTATTGGCAGTGGCAATTGTCCGGTGCATGATTTCGGGACGAGCTTCAGGAGACCATATCCTCCGTGGCTGTCCCAGTCTGCTTAGTTGGGTGTTTGCTTCAGGTGCAGCTGCCTGACTGGGCTTCTCTGTGCATCTGGGCGGAGGGGACGACTAGGCCGTCGGCTTTTGAACGGCTAAAGAGTTCTTGGGCATTGTCACCTGGCCATTCCGAAGTCCCAATCTGCCTGAGGGCCGAGGGATCTTGAGCTTCCTGGCAAAGCTGGAGATGTATGCCGAGCAGTACTCCTCTGAAAATCATCATGTTTTAGAGGAATGACCGCAATCCGAGAGGGATACCCCGAGATGCATCCTGAGCCAAGGCTTATGGTTTCCGATGCCATGGAAGCTAGATTCCACAGGACCATCCCTCACCTATTAGATAGGTGGTAGTCCGGGCTGCCCCAACCGTGCTAATTTTGAGACAGCCAGGTTGCGTGATCTCTCTGCTCGAAGACGGTTGAAGCGTCCGCATAAACTCGTGGGTTGGATCCGCTGCGGATCCGGAGGGTGAGAACGTGGGGAAGAGGTGGTGCCAGAACTCCGTCGGGGATATCGCCAGAACCAGGATAGACATGTTCTTGGCCTCACTAGCCCGTGGTTTCGGGCTCAGAGCGCAAGAAGGATCTTCTGGGGTTCGTATTCTCTACCGGCGGATGAGATTGGGTTCTAACGGGGCTAGGACAAAGTGTAAATTCGACGGCTTTTCGAGCAAAACATCAACCCGCTAAGACGCACTTTTCGCAGGGTCAAAGCCCGGTCATCGTTCGAGACCTTCTCGAAGTGTGGAGAGGATGATGCATCAGAACCATGTCTGTTCGGAAGGATCACAAATCCGGATCCGATGATATGCGATTGTCGACTTGATCTTGTCCAGGATTTTTTCAGCAAGGGGTGAGCCTGCCTCAGATGGAAGGGGCACAATCTGATATCAACGAGCTCTGTGCTAGCAGAGTGGAAGGGATTCAACTGAGGAAACCTTGGCGTGTAGATAATGTTTGGTCTGCCCTTGAACACAGGATTGCTGTCGTTGTTCCTAATATTAGGTAGGGATTGCGTCTGTTCCACGTCAGAATAGGCCGCTATACTCAAGGAACTAGCGGTCTATTCTGACGTGGAACAGACGCTGTCTCGGAATGGTAATGGAGTGCTTAACAGGAGCGAGATGGCCCCGGCCGATGAACTGGGGAGAAAGCTCGAAGTATGACAAGGCATTCTTCCCCAACCGCGGGTGAAGACCTACCAGGGTCCTGAGGTCTGGAAGCCCCCCTCGGAGGTATACCGGGCCTCTGAAACCAGTACTCCTTGGCTGTGGAGTTGAGCAAAGCGACCACTTTGCGCCCATCCCACCAGATTTGGGCACTTTTTTAATACACAATGTAGTTCCAATGTATCTGCAAAGTTGTGAGGTACTATTTTATCAAGTTCTAGCACAGAAACCTCGAGACATCAGCACTTCCGAAGCATTGATCTCGACAGTCTCATCAGCGAGGTCGTGTCACGTAGGCCTTGGCATTCCGCACCTCCTCCGCTAGAATAGAGGCGTGGGTTGCCACGTCTTCCCCACGAGATAGCATGAATCCCGCTCAGATATTGACTAGAAGAGAGCCTGTAGACTTCCCTCAAGCCGTATCAAAGCCCATATTTCGTTCAGTATGTGTACCGGAATCCCGCAAGGCCCTCGATCGGCTTCCCGCCAGCAGCGACTCTCTTGTTGGCTCGATAGAACTTGAAATCCAAAGCAAGGGTAATGAGGATGATCAGTGCACTTGATAGCATGCAGGTGAGGATGCCTGGGTGGTAATTGGGCTTGTCCTGCTCGCGGAAGACCGTACTTCCTATGATACCTCCAATACCTCCTGCGCCGACCAATGTGGCCGAACAGAGGGCTCTTTTCCACTGTCCACGAATGTTATTCGCTTGCCAAGTGAGCACACATGGAACATTTGCGTTGCACGCACTCGTGGCAATGAAAACGCCGAAGTAGCGAACAGGGACGTTCTCGAGGTAGCCGAGAAGCGGGAGGCCTGCATGGATGAGTTAGAAGTTGGACAACAGTGCAGACGACTTTATACTTACCAATCAGAAGCAAGCAACCATTTGCGAGGATGAATGGTGATCTAAGGTGCCATTTATCGCCCAGGTAGGCGAAAGCATACATGACGATCGCGGCCAAGACATAGGGGGGCGCAATGAGGCATTGTGATTCCGCGACATCAAAGCCCATGCCGTCATTGAGAATGATCGGAAGGAAATACGCAATAGCGTATGTATTCGTCGTCGTCAGACCGAAGAGTGCGGCGAACCCCCAGACCTTCAAGTCCAGAGCGTTCTTGAGGTACATGCCGATTCTAAATTCCTCGGGAATTGCGTCGTGACGGTCCTTTTCGATACGGGCAACCACGAAATCGACTTCGGCTTGATTCAGAAACTTGAGACCAAACGTTTGTGTGGCCTTCTCGGGGAAGTCCACGATCACAGCGTAGGCGGCAATGGCCATGACGCAGGTGAGGGTACCTTGCAGGATAAAGATCCATCTCCAACCCGCAATCCCAGGAAGAATGCCCGATGGCGCATCAGGATCTGTTGCCGTTGGACCGTAGTGCTGACCCCACCATTTCGGACCAGAGCCGTGGTTCTTCAGTTGGGAGAAGCCGTAGGCAAGGATACCGGCGAAGGCGGATGCCATGGATCCGATGAGGTAGAAGACGGCATTACGTTTCTGGAGTTCGTAGCGAGGATACCAGCAGCTAAGGAGATAGGCACAACCTGGAACGCCAGAGTCAGATCAAACGTTCGAATGTTGAGGAAGAAATCTCGGGATTCTTCAGAGAGTATATTTCATATGTCCTCATCGAACCCCACAGACATATTGCCTTTGACACGTACCTGGGAAGAAACCAGCCTCAAACACACCAAGAATCACTCGAAGACCCGTCAACTGAGTCCAAGTCTTGACAAAGCCGGCGGCACACATCGTCATGCCCCAGAGTAGGGTGATGGTGGGCAAGAACTTGCGAGGGCCAATTTTCCGCAGGACGACGGTAGCAGGAGGCTGCAGCAAAACGTAGGTAATAAAGAATACGAGCACCATAATCGAATATCGGTTTGAAATGAGGTCGAGATCTACTCCCATTCCAGCAACGACAGCGATCCCTGTGTTGGTTCGATCCATCAAGGACACGCAGTAGAGAAAGCCCAATGTGAGCACGAGCCGTCTGTCGATGCGCCATATGATTTTCTTTTGTTCTTCTGGAGTGAAGGCGTTGATTCTGGCATCGTTCAGCTTGTCAGAATCAGCCGACTTCGAGGTATCGGCACGCTCGAGTTCATTGATGTCGAAGCTTTTCTCGACAGGGACTGGGACAGCCATGTTGGACGATTTTGAGAGCAGGGCAGAAAGAGTAGGGCGGGTTGAAGGGAGAGACTATGGAAGGATGAGGGGCTCGAGTGAGAAAAGATTTCGTATGATGGGAACACTGGATCCTTTATGCTTGTTATGCTCGATCCCTGTTGATCGCGGCCAAGAGGATTGTGTGATATTGATAAGGCACTAGAAGAGTTCCGCAAACCAAAAGCAGCGTAGTCAAGTCCATTCCACCGGACAAAAAGATACAGGATGCACCCTTCATCAAGCAAGACAGCAAGGATCAGCCCGTCCTTCGCGAAAACTGAAGATATGCTCAGTTTTCGAGGTGCCACCCAAAAGAGGGTAGTCTCAGCCAAAAGGCTTGCATTCGGGCGAGACAATCAACCTGTTAGGTGAGTGCCGAGGGTCGAGCTGACCCCAGGTTTGGAGCGCTCCGGTGGAGTCCGGGGTATGTACTGTGGACCACTTTTCTCCCTTGCCAGAAGTATGGTAGGCTGTGCTTTAGTGGAGGTCATCGCCCGGTCCAGCCCAACTGTTCTATTAGGTCAATTTGCATGATCGTGTTTCCTGGCTTGCTGAAAAGAAATGGTTGATGCACAAACCTGCGTGGCGCATCCCATGACCGGTCGATATGATGGACGTAGCATCCATGGCTCCTGAATGTCTAGCAAGCTTTTTGAGATTGCGTTGAACACGAGTGCTTGACTTGCTCGCCCGTCCACAGTTCCTAGTTTCTGGGCAAGTGCCACTTGCAGCCACCAAAAGTCTTGGTGTGAGCTTGGAAATCCCACTGTCAGATAAACCCATTCGCTTGCTCGACCTCCACGAGTAAGCATCCCCAAAATCAGTGAGAACTTTTCCCCTCTCAGCCTGTCGGCTGTGAAGAATAGACTCTCATCATCGGAAGCGAAGGCCCCTGTCGAAGCCCATCCTGGCTTGAACCACAGCCATGCTCCAGTCGATCATCAAGCGATGGAACGTGGTGGCAACGTTGTCACGACCTGTGTGGAAAGATTGCTGATTGCTGCATGATTAGTATGTTCTTGGCTTATCCATTTTCTCGTAATGGTGAGGCTGGCTATCCTGAGTTGATGGTGGGCAGAGTCATGGCAGGCCCCAACAAGAGGGGTGGTAATCGCGGGCCCTCCGAGTAGTGGAGCTCTCCAATTGTTGAACTTTTGCTCGTGTTCTGAGATGAATTCTGCAGCCAAGAGCATATATCGGTTGAAAACGGCCCTCAATCCGTGTCTGGAAGATCATCGCAATGACCAACAGACACTTACCTAGGCACCTCCTGGGGATTTGGATGAGGGGAATACGGGGAGAGCAATAGCCGCGGCTGTAGGCTCTTTCCTGCAGGGATCATGGCTTCTGCAACGGGGTGAAGAGGAGCCAGGGGTGGTAGAAAGCCTAAACTCCGGGCACGGGGCCCTGAATCGCAAGGGGTTGGCGATAATTGCTGCTGGAGCTGTGTCGACTCTCTGACCTGCCGAACATTGTACCCGGTTGGTGCTGGGCAGGGCATGAAGAATTCGGGCTGGGAGAATTTCTGAGGCCGGAGGCTCCTGCCCGATTAGCAAATGTTGCATATTTCACCCCGGGCAATTTCATCGGGCTCTGTTCGAGTTCGATGTATCGAGTTCTAAGGGTGTGGCAACGGTATATTGAAGGGCTCCTGAGGGTTGAAAGGAAGAAGAGATCAGGAGGGAGCAGACGAGCTTAATATCTGAGAAAAAGTGCGCCCTTCGCACTCGATTATTCAACAGAAACGCTCAATACGCTTGCTACTGAGCCGCTTTAACCGAACATCCATGCCGAAGAGGCCCTCGGGCCAATTACGGGCTCAAATGGATAGAATTGTTACACACAGTGTAATTGGTGTTGCTGTCTTAGAGTGTGGATCTTGTCGTATGGACAGACCAATAAGAATCATGCCAACGCGGCCTGTTTATTAAAGCAGCACAATGCGTATACTTCTTTCCGGCTTTGCACGAGGCTCGACAGCATGCAGGTTGGGATGCCTGGGTGGTAATTGGGCTTGTCCTGCTCGCGGAAGACCGTACTTCCTATGATACCTCCAATACCTCCGGCGCCGACCAATGTGGCCGAACAGAGGGCTCTCTTCCACTGTCCACGAATGTTATTCGCTTGCCAAGTCAAAACACATGGCACTAGCGAATTGTTCAAGGACTCTATGCTGAGTATTTGGGGGTGAGAGGTTTGTGAGAAATAAAGACTCAAAGTGCGAAAAGACTCCTCTGTCGCCAAGATCTCGGACCTCAGACCTCAGACTTCAGACCTCAGACTTCAGATCTCAGACCTCAGATCTTAGGCCCTTAGACTTCGGACCTTAGACCTCAGACCTCAGACCCTCAGGTCGACGCCGGCGAGATTCATGAGCCTTTTGCTACCATGGCTCTTACGGATGCCGGTCTGATTCTGACTTAAGGTTGAAGAGGTGATCTGAAGAATACATTGCATTGATCTAATATCTACAACTTGATTTCAAATGTCCACTGGTTGGACTACCCCTCGCCCATGAAATGGCCTCCCTAGGTATCTCATAACTCAAATAATAGATAACACAAAAGCCATGCCCGCCCTCCCTGATAATTCGACTTTGTTGATATGTTGCCCTTAGGCAATGGTCGCCGCAGAGGCCAGTCACAACGTCATAGAGTGCTTCGACCCCTGGAAGATATTGTGGCCTCGGACACTAATGGCGGCGACTCCGGGTTGGGCGAGGGACATATTCAGTTCAGGGTTGCGGTCAACGTCGTCTTCATCCTCGCCCTCTTCCTCATCTTCCTCATCACCAGCCTGACCAACCCCAGTATTATCCTCAACATCGCTATGCTCACACTGGTCACCGTCACTGTCATCTGAAAACCAATCACTCTCCCCTGCGGCCTCATCCGGGATGTAGTCGGAATCCTCATCGACGTTATCATCATTCACGTTGTCATCTGCCTGGTCGAAGTAGCTCCAGGGGGCCAATAGTGAACGGGTCCTGCGCTTGCTTGCTCTGCGAGCTGAAGTGAACTGGCCCAGCCCCTCTACCCCAGACACTTCATCGTCTCCAGGGCTCTGCGCAGGTGATCTAGCCTTGCGTTTCCTGTCACTTAGATCTGGACTCGGGACGGGCCAGGTGAGCGTAGTGGAAGAAGTATTGGTACTGGAAGAGCTTGAGCCTGAGGAGGAGCTGTTAGTTGCGCTCCTCGTTGGGGTTCTTATGGAGCCTGGGCTGTCGAATTGGATCGTGCAGGGGATTCCCAAATTCTCCTGATGCTCTCGTAGCCAGTTCATGCATGCCTGAGGTGTCCACAGATCGGTTCCAAACTCTTGGAAGATATATTGTAGCCAGTTATCTCTCGACTGTATATGATGTGTATCGGAATCCTGCAGTAGGCGGGACGGTCCTTGTTTGCGAAGCTGGGCTCTAAGATAAGACCGTGTTTCCTTACTGTAGATCTTAAGGCTTTCGACACATATAGCACAGAGAATATGGGGCCCAGGGACCACTCTCCACATTGAGCAGCGGTCTGTATTGCAGCTCTGGCATCGAAGACGTGGCCGAAAGGATAATGTATGCCCTCGAATGGCCAAAGTCTTTTGAAGCCCACGGAGGGGTACCAGCAGGCGTAGCAGGGCTTGCAAAGAGTCACCCCAAGCCGGTAACAGAAGCGGCGGTCGGCATGGCGACTGTGGCACTTACTTCGGGCGAGGGTGGACCTATGACACCAGCCGCACCAATGCTCGCTGACATGGGCAGTCTGCCTCTTGATTTCGAGCTTGTCGCTGCCAGCCTCGCTCGACCCCCACTTGGCACCATCCCAAATGATACTGGAGCAACGACTTGGCCGAAGCAAGAGGACCTGCTGCGAAGATCTGCCACTCCATCCCGCCGATTGAGACTTTACATGGCTATATGGTCTTCGCGCTTGGTCTTGAGCCCCCAACAGATTCAACATCTGTTCACACAAGCAGAGTCGTAAATCCGCGGACCCTGGCTTTCTTCCTGACATAACATCGTGCTTCTGTGCGAACGGCAACGGCTCCAAAAGAAGGGTGTAAGTTAGGCTTGGCAAGATTGCCCAGGAGCGCAGGATCATTTCAAGACTGCTGCTTTGCCTAGTAAGGTTTGGACTCTGCATCTGACAAGAGCCTCCCAGACGCTTACTGGTATGTCTCTTGGCATCCGGTGCTCTTGGTCCCAATATGAATTAACAACCCGATCTTGAAGATTACAAGGATATCAGAAATGTTTACAGACATGGTTGACTCTCTCTATCCGTGACCCCTGAGGAATTGCGATATTTGCGGCTGTGGTCAGCAGGATTCGAGTCAGATCTAACGTGGAGGCACTCCCGAAGTACAAACACGCGCTTCCTCCGTGAACCTGGTACGACAACCACCTGGGTTTTTTGCGTTCGTGATGTAGCCAATCTGCAATATTACCATTGTGAAAAAGGGTGTAAGAGTGTATTTAGACTAGCCGGATTTACCTTGGTCAAAGGGCTGCTTTTACGAGGTACGGAGTCGAGGGATCCTAACTGGCCCGAAAATAGTACGTAATATTTCAACGGCCGCATATGTCTCCTATTGGGCAGCCTTGTCCTGGCAGATAGAGAAGCCACTTGGAGTTAGCGCTAGGCACTAGCTCTGTGTACATGGATTGTGGTTGGTCCTCCGTGCGACTTGCATACCACTTTTGGACAACTAGCTCTCGACACTACAAACCCCAGAGTACGATGCTACAGCATAATGGAGAATGGCTGTTTGGAAGCAAGTACGAGATACGCCTTGCAGCGTCCATCGACGGTCCGTGTCGGCTGCCGTCGGTGGCCGTCATTGCGCCGCAATTACTTGCTCATTGCTGATTCACTCGACCGCCGAAGGGTCTAGCAGAGTATTGTCGATTTCTGATGCCTGTTTTACCATTAACTTTCATTGGGCTCGCCACATCAGCAAGGAACTTCCTAAGTGCCATGCCAGCAAGAAGTCATCAGGCCTCAGTGCTAGCGTCGTACGACATAGCAAGCCTGGAGATTGAGGACTTTTATTCAAGAAATGTACGGACGAATTGCGGAGGGGCGAGGTCCTCGCTTGCCTGCTTTAACAAAGGGATTTGGAGCACAAGGACAGCGGTATTGGTTAAATCTCAACTTATAGTTATAGATTTCGCATCTATCACCCAGAAATCCCAACTCCACTCTAGCAATAAGTCCGCTCAATTATGAAGTTTCCATCCTTTACCAACACTTGGCACAAAGATGTCTACGCCGAGATCGATGCTGCGCGATACGAGCTCTCGGCTGAAGGAAAGAGGGTTGTCATTACAGGTGGAGGTGGGGGTATTGGAGCAGCTACAGCTGAGGCATTTGTCGTTGCGGGCGCAGCAGAAGTTATCATCCTAGATCGGACTGAGAAGACATTACTCGCGACAAAAAATACCATCCGAGATAAGCACAACTATTCCAAGGTTATTACCGTTGTGGCCGACATCTCCGATCAAGAGAGCACAGCAAATGCTTTTGACATGATGGCTAAAAGAGGGCTGATCGATATATATATCAACAATGCCGGCTACCTGTCCGACCTAAGTTCACTCGAGATTTCGAACAACATCGAATGGTGGAAGTCGTTCGAGGTGAATGTCAGAGGCTCGCTTTTCGCCATTCAATCAGTGTTGAAGAACATATCCAAGAATGGAGTCATGATAAATGTGACGACGGGAGCTGCCCATGTTCCATATGTTCCTGGATATTCAGCGTATGCCGTGAGCAAGCTCGGCTCTGCCAAGCTGTTTGAATATCTTCAAGCCGAAAATCCAGATCTAAGGATTTTCAATCTCCAACCGGGCGTCATTGAAAGCACCGCCATCTCGACCAAGGCGACAGAGCAAAGCGGGTTCTCCTTTCCCGACCAAGATACAGGTAAGTGAACATTCATCCGTGTCAAATTTGTGAAAGTAAACTATACTGACTTGATGTAGTGCAACTTCCGTCGAACTTCATGGTATGGCTGTCTTCACCCGAGGCCGCCTTTTTGAAGGGCAGATTTGTTTGGGCAAACTGGGATGTGACGGAGCTCAAACAGAAAGAGAGTGCCTTTCAAGCAGATCCAACACTGCTCACTCTGGGATTACTTGGCTGGATTCAGTGAAGCCAGCGGAGGAAAACGAGGATAAACCCTCTTTCTCACCAGTTGGCATTGCGACGACGAATCAACCCTTAGATACACGCGAAGATATACCACAAGTAGTTGGGGGGCAAATTGGAATTTCGAGGCATGGTCTTTGGGTCGAGGTACTGGCCAGAGAGGCTCTATAGCCTGTCCACCTAGATAGAGACGAAAATTCTCCCTTTTCTACCGTTGGTAATCAGCCTTGTCCATCTCTCACACCTGAAACTATAGTATTTCGAGTACCAGACACATATTTCGTCAAAAGATCGTCTCGTATTTTCGAAGTTTAGGTTCCAAGACCAGAAAGCTCTAGCACAACGAAGCAAAGACCGAGAGCTGCACGGTCAACTGGAGTTTTGACCGAAAGCCGTTATAGTAGGGTCAGCTCGACTCTTTCACATCCGGCGTACTGCGGTGTTTCCAACTGCGGCGAAGGCAGGACCAACAACAGCGGCTCAAAGCTTGATTACGTCTCAGAACGGCTGGTGCTTAGAAATCCATCTGTTTTTGTGCGATGTACACTTTTGAATATCTAAGGGTTTCCTTTAACGACTGTATGAGGAGATCCACTGCCAGCTACATTTTTGTCCTAAAAGCACTTGAAGCTTTGAAAGAACAGAGTTTTAGTTAGCTCAAATACAATCAATATGGCGAGCTTTCCCATCCCTCGGGAGAACTTTAGTGACCTCAACAATAAAATCGCCGTCATCACAGGTACTACAGTCAATCAACAGAGCAAAGGCAAAGAAGTGAGGCAGCTGATTCTTGACAGGAGCCTCCTCTGGCATTGGGTTAGCCACGCTCAAGCTTTTCGTGGAGAATGGAGCGCAAGTAGTTAATGGCGATCTACAACCCTTGAAGGAGGAGATCCCGAATGTCCTCTTCGTCAAGACTGACGTGACCAAATGGGCCGACCTAATCTCACTATTCAAGGCCACGGTGGACAAATTTGGCCGTGTGGACGTGGTGTACGCAAATGCAGGTGAGCGACAGCTAATTGTTTATTACTTGCTCTGCTCTTCCTTCCCTGGTCCAGACACGTTTGATTGACAAGCAGCGTGCAACTAGGAATTGGCGCGAAAGCCGACTATTTCAACCTCGAAGTAGACAGCAACGGAGACCCGAAAGAGCCATCGCAAGCCAACATTGCTATCAATGTAATTGGACTGATCAACACAGCCGTGCTCGCCATCAGACATATGAAGGAGCAGAAATCTGGCGGAGCCATCATTTTGACCGCCTCAGCAACCAGTAAGGACCTCAGCTTCACATTTCTTCAAAGGCATTCTCGTCGCTGACTTCTAACCCCAGGCTATCTACCCTTTGGCGCGACTGATTACAGTGAGTAGCTCCCGAAGTTCTTTTTCTCTACATCCTCTCTCCCTAACACTTTCCGTCTCCATGAATGCTAACCCAGCATCGAAGCAACTTCGAAGCACGGCGTTCTGGGGTTTATGCGCGGAATCGTCCCGGAGCTGCAGGCGCGCAAAGTCACCAATGTGCGCGTGAACTGCGTGGCGCCGAGCTTCACACGAACCAGCCTGTTTACACCTGAAATGATGGAATTCTTAGGATTGGACTTCCAAAAGCCTGAGGCGGTGTCCGAGGCCGTGGCGCTGCTGGCCGTCGACGCCACACGCCACGGCCAATCCATCTACGTGGAGGAGGGAAGACACCGGGAGGTTGAGTTGGAGATCCTGCGCGTCAGTTATGAAGCGTGCAATACACTTCCCGGCGTCGAGTCCAGACACAAGAATGACGTTCAAGTTGTTGAGAAGTTCCTCTCCCTTGGGGCGGGGAGTGCGATATAGAGAGGGCAGAGCGACAGCTTGTAGATGGAGCATTATGCCATGTAAATTGCCTTTGGTAGAAGATTGCGTATGCGCTTAAGCTACGGGCATATCAGCAAAAGAAGCAAAAGCCGACAAAATCGAAAGGGGATACTCGCTTCGATCGGCGAACGATTTAAAATACCTAGAAACTCTTCGACAAACACCTGCACGCGAGGCACGAGAGAAGACGGATCGATGTCTGAACATGATTTAGGTCAACTCCCTACGCATAGAGATGGTTTTTGGTCATATTGATGCAAGCACCAATTTATCTACTTCTTTTGTGACCATATCATCACCTTCCCTCGATTTTCACGACAAATAGCCACCGTCAATAAGAGCAACATGCCCCGTCATATAAGATGAATCCTCCCCCAGCAGAAATGCAATGACGGTTGCTATCTCCTTGGGGTCTGCGTCACGAGACAAGGGCAAATGGCTGTTCGGAAGTGTCATACCGCTGGCTCGCATATTCTGCAGCATGGGAGTGGCGACGAGGCCCCTGAAATGGTTCAGCAGAGGCTCTGTAGGAGAAGAAAATGTCAAGGAATGAAGAGCGCCCTTACGGTGCAACAGCATTAACGCGAATGCCCTTCGACCCGTACTCCTTTGCTGCTGACTTGGTGATGCCCACGACGGCATGTTTGCTTGCTGAATAGGAGACCATTTCGGGGACTCCCATGAGCGCTACAATCGAGGCCACATTGACGACCGCTCCACCGGATTGAATATGGGGAAGCTCAGCCCGCAGACACTTGAAACTGCGTCGGGCGTCAGCTTTCCATCTTCCGGATACAAAGTATTTGGGGGATAAAGAGATTGGAATGCAATGTCAGAGGGATAGATGGCAACGTACACGCCGGTTGCGTTGACGCCCATGACAAACTCCCAACTCTCGTCCGTCGTTTCGGAAAAAGGGATGCCATGGGTTTCAACGCCAGCAATGTTCGCGGCTCCGTCGAGCCGTCCGAAGCGGCGGAGGACGTCCTGGATCCAGGAGTTGACCTCGTCGGATTTGGTCACATCCACCGTCGACGCGACCACTTCCTGGTCGTCCGATATGCGACTGGGGTGAATGGAGTCTGCCACTTGCTGGACTGCGTCTCCTTGAATGTCTGAGATCGCGAGAGAAGCTCCTCGCGAGTAGAGGAGGCACACGGTCGCCAGTCCGATCCCAGAAGCGGCGCCTATATCACTCTTTCAGCATAAGTCTCCCATTTGGAGCGCATGAGAGAGGGTGCACTGCAGCAGCCACAGAGAAGGCTTGGATGGTTCTGTAACGAGTGGTGCTAGCTTACCAGTAACCGCGAAAACCTTTCCTTTGAAAGCCGCCATGTGACGGTTGTATGTCTTTCAACCCAGATGAGCTTTTCAGCGAAAATTGCTTCACTATGGACCTGAGAATACGGTGTATTCAACACTGGGAATTTCCAACATGTCATTGGGCCTCTACCTTTTGAAGCAACAAGGGCTGCCACATGGTGCAACGCCAATCCAGTAGAGTTCGAACTTCCCGGGGTTTACGAGATGCCCGGTCTTCGTCTACGTCGCCCGGGCTTACACGGTCCAGACGGTCGGTTTCGTACACCGATTCATCTATATCACGTCCGCACTGACTAAACAGCTCTGGACTGGAGATAGTAATCTAGTCTATGATTACTGATCATACATCAATACACTGCTGTGCCCTAGGCTACTTCTTTAGATCCCAGGAAGCTATACCCCGTCGCTTCAGCGTTCCTGCCCGGCTCGAGACAATCAACTTGGTTGAAGAAATAAGAACAAAATGACAACAAACAAGCCTATGATATGTTTCTATACAGCACATTCTCCCAACGGCCACAAAGTGGCCATCACGCTGGAAGAGCTGGGCCTTCCGTACGAGGTCAAGCACCTCGACATGTCCACCTTCCAGCATAAGGAACCCTGGTTCTTGGACATCAACCCTAACGGACGCATTCCGGCACTGACAGACACTCTACCAGACGGGACTTCGATCAGCCTCTTCGAATCGGGGAGTATCATGCAATACTTGGTGGACAGGTACGACGACGTCGACCATAAAATCTCGTACCCGCGGGGAACGAAAGAATTTTATCAAACGCAAAACTGGGTAAACAGATGCTACCTCCGGTCTCCAATACCTGCTGGAGTATGTTTTTTTCTGACAATTTGCCCAAAAATGTGAGCAGCTATTCTTCCAGAACGCCGGGGTTGGGCCGATACAGGGACAAGTCAACCACTTCGTGCGGTATTCGCACGCCACCGAGCCGCAAACGTACGCGACAGATCGCTACATGAATGAGACGCGCCGACTGTATCGAACAGTGGACAAGCACCTGAAAGACACGCAGTCGGCGTATCTGGTGGGAGACAAATGCACCATTGCCGACATCGCCCTGACAGCGTGGGCGAACATGTTGGGTAAGTTAAAGCCACCCTCCGAAGGAAAAAGAAACTTTAAGATACATCAGCAGCACACACAAACTAACAATGATGACCGAGCACCGCAGCATTTGCCGGCATGGATATCGCCGACTTTCCGAACGTGAAATCGTGGCAGCAGCGCATGGCGAGCCGCCCGACGGTGCAGAAAGGATTTAACATCCCGGTCAAAGTCGACGTGGACAAGCTGTTGAACGACCCAGAGGCGTTCAATGCCATCGTGGCCAAGAACAAGGCGTGGATTCGTCAGGGCATGATTGATGATCGGAAGCAATGACGGCGCCGGCATGGCATACCTGAATGGTGAAATAGAGAAAGAGAATTGATGAATCCATTCAATTTATACAGATACATGGTAGAAGTAAAACGCGTGAAAGTGTGGTGGGAACGTGGATTTCTGATTGAAAGCAAGAATCAGTAGTGTGAAGGAAGGTGCACTTGGATCAGACTACATTTCCCTAATATATTCCAAATAGAGAGCATTTGAAGAGCTATGGGTCTCTCCAGTAGCCAGACCGCAACCTTCAGCTGCCCATCCGCTGAATACCCTCTCCTCGGATGAGCCTATGGCTGAGGTCCTTGGAGTGAAGCGCGGACGACCTGCACACCTTCCTCGGTATGAATGAACCTCTTGAACACGTGTCGTTTGAATGAATATTCCCGGATCTCATGGCCTTTCCACGCAAGAAGGAGGAAAAGGCCGCCACCCACGCAGGACATGATCGCCATGATGCCAAAGGTCCAGGCCGGGCCGGTTCTCGCCAGCCACTCGGTCATGAAGAACGGGAGGGCCACTCCGAGCACCAGGCGGAAAATCCACAGGCAGGTGTACGTCTCCACCACGTAGCCCGTGAAGCACTCGGCGAGGTAGTTGGTGAGGACCGGGACGATGGCCATGTCGGCAAAGGTTGCCAGGTAGAGGCCGAGAGCCAGGACCATGTAATGGAGGTGATACTTGAGAGTGACGCCGAAGATAATCAGACCGACTGGTAGAGCAATGGCTGGTGCGAGGATAGTGGGAAAGAGTCGATATTCGGGTTTCCAGATGCCCCCGTGGCGGCGGCATATCCACAAGGCTGCGCGATCACTCAGGAGGAACCCATATAGTTCTGCCGTCAGGAACGATACCCACTGTGCGAACGTGAACTCGGCGTTCTGTTGAGCGGTGAAGCCATAACCCCCGAGTTCAACTGGTGTTTGGAGAAAATCCGCAAGGGTGATGTTGACACCAACAACCCAGCTGAAGGTGAGAATGAGACCCATGCCGGCGATCAAGATCGGAGGGCAGATTGCAACGATGAATACTGACCATGGTGAAGTTTTGCCGGTGGTCGTGACGACCTTGTTGCCTGGGAAGAGATGGTCGATGCGATTTGCGACGTAGGATTGTTTCAGTGGCTCGGCCCCCTCGTCGGAGTTGGAGCGATCATACGTCGTGTCTTCCATGAAGAAAAGAATGAGGACACAGGCAAATCCGAGCCCGCCCACGCACCACCAGAACTGAACGGGCCACGAGGTAGTTTCTACGATAAAGCCACTGACCACCGGAGCGAAGAGTGCCCCAAAAAGGGTGACCACCGAATAAAGTGCAAAGGCCTTCCCACGCTGGTGCAGGAAGAAAATGTCGAGGATGATCCCGGCGCCGACAGTCATGGATACCGAAGCAAACAGACCAGCGAGCCACCGAGACAGGACAAAGGCAATATATTGATCATCCTTGGTCATGCAGGCCGACCAGATGTTGCAGCCGAAGGAGACAACAGTTCCCCAGAACATCAGCGAGGTTCGACCGATATGTCGAGCGACGGCCGTCCAGATCAACGGCCCCACGACGGAGCCGATGACATCGGCACTGATCTGTTTTCTCACATTAGAAAGTGGTTCTTGTTAATGGGACTTGGGAGGCACGTACCGAATATGATAGCTCGATTGGCTTGCGATTGTACAACGTTGCTTGAGCAAAGATGCCCGATTGATTCGCGACCTGTTGTGCGGTGCCGATAAAAGAGGTGTAAGAGACGATCACCAATATCATGATCTTCTTGGCCACTGGCCAATTGAGCGGGTCCTTGGGGTTGTCGGACGGCTGGGGGATGAGCACGACATTGTTTGCCGTTTTGAGGTTGACACTAACAACTTCCCCGTGCGTGAAGTCAGCTTCGATTTTGCCGGCCATTGGCGCGATGAATTCGAGTAAGCACACCTGGGTGTCTGAGATTCGACACTCCAGTCTACCAGCTAGCCAGCTGGCGAGCGACATTGGATCACCTTATCATCCTGCTGCGTCTGTGCCTGGAGATCAAGCCGTCGGCTCGAGAAAGAAGCCGGGGAAACCGGGGCGACGGTGTTCTGACGGCGGCCGCGCGCTGTCCTTGCAGAGTTCGGTGGCTCCTCGTGAATCGGCTTCCCAAGAAGGCCATGCTGCGTAATTGTGAGTTCTGTGAGTCTCAAGGTGGTGGCCGCGAGGCTTTTGCCCCAAATAGTCGCGATATCCTGGGCTAGGCCGTTTGTGGCAGGCGCTAACGTCAAAAGAGTATTCAAGCTAGCCAGATATATTGATTGAGAGGCCGCTTTTATAGGCGCAAGGTGCTAGCGCCTTGGCTGTATTTCATACCGGTATCCGATACACACTCTCTCTATATAGTCAAGCTGTACTTACAGGTGACGAAGTCGTGGCCCTGTTCACGGTGGCCTAAAGATTGAGGTAGGTGGGTGAAGTACGGAGCTGTGGTGCTCTCCTGAGCCCAGACGGATGCAATATGCCATCAATAATCACTTCAGACACCGTTCTATCTCTGTCTGATGGCTTGACGGCTTGGCTGTGCGATATGCTGTGTCACGCGTTGCTATGGTGTGGCCAGACAGCCCTCGTGGGATATTATGATCCCTTGCCCTCGACTTGCGCATCCACAGAGAACAGCTGTGCAGGATCAATGCTACCCTCTCCCAGACCTCTGACAACTTTCATCAGATCATAGCAGACACGCTCCGAAACCACGCTGTCCTGACGATAGTCCGGGTGCCTCTGCACGAATAGTCGCATCCAGCTCGCCGGGGTGAGCATTTCTCCCGTGGCCCTTCTCCGGATGATGTCTAGATACTTGTCTATCCGCTGTCTCGCCTCATCGGGGACGTTTCCAAAGACTTCGAGGACGTAGGACTGCACGAGCGGGAGGAGGCCGGGAAAGGATTGGACGTGCGAGTCTTGTAAGCTCGGGGATCCGTTTATGATCTCCGCCATGGTCATCAGAGCATATTCTGCCTCTGGATTTTCGTCGTCTGGGGTCGTTCCTTCCACCTGGAGGCGGAAGAAGAATTTCTGCTCGGGGGCTGCATTGCGCGTATGCGCTCTCTCCATGTTCTCCGCGACTTTCTCGATTGGAATGTAGAAGTTGAGGTCGTAGTGTTGAATCGTGCGAGCGAGTAAGGCCATAAACACTGCAAAAGCCGCGTTTTCGAGATCGGTCAATTGTACTTCTAGAGGACGAAATTCGACACGCCATCCCGCCGCACCGTCTTTAGAGGGCAGTTTAAAGTCCACGTGCGGCCAGACTGCGGAATGGAGGATCTCAAACAGATCGAGGCTTTCGTAGGATCGGAGTTCGTTCTTGGTCAGGGCGATGGGGTCGCGGGTGAGAATGTTGGCGTAATGTGAAGCGAGGAGGGCGTCCATGCTGCTGTTTTGCTGCAGACATCGCTTGATTTCCGAATCGGCTTTGATTTCTGGTGGATTATAAACCGGCCGAAGTCGTGGGTCATCAGAAATGTACATTGCAGTTGATGACCACCGTGCCTGGGAGCCAAATGGCTTAATAGTCTACTCTTTAGTCAGTAGGAAGTTGAGATTGATTGATTTTGCAATAAACCATACATTTGAACGAAGCTCATTTGTCGTCCTATCGTCTACCGCTGTAGCTGCCTGATTCCATCGGACGTCAGTGTCCGTCAGAAATCCACGGAAGAACGGTGACGCCGCCGACAAGGCCATGATGACGGGGCCCAGCGGACACAACTGATCATGCAGGTAGCGTGCTTCTCGGAGGTTTCTCGCTTGGGTCGTGACCTGCAGCCCGCAGAAGCTCGGTCCGAACGCCATGCTATCGCCGTATATAAAGTTCTCTGCAGCACTGTCGTGATGCTGCCTTGCATCGTCCTCCTGGGCATGGTTCTGGTGTGGAAATTGTAGCGACTCTTTCCAAGGCCAAGGCGTGTTCTTGTCTCTATATATCGGAATTTTGACCTTGCACGGGCGCCCTCCACGGCGCGCGTCAATGTTATCATGAATTGTGCCATAGCGTTCATGTGTGCTGATTAATCCATCCGGAAGAAATTGCGATCGGAGCAAAAGTCCATGAGTCGGTAATGCTGGTTCCGTGTACAGACCAGGGGCACCCAGGCGTGGAAAGCCTGGCATGGTAACGACCGCTTCTCCTGGACCAAGACAAGCTTGTATCATTCGCCTCCTAGGGGTCATGATGTCAACTGATGTTTTATAAAGTGAGCCGCTCCGATCTCACCGTTTTCGCATGTTTGGTTCTACACTTAACAAACTCTTGATGCTGCTGCTGTCATATGGCTCTCCCGGTGTAGCCTCCACCATGAAACTTCCAAACTCTGGCTGGAATTCCGGTGCGGTGGTTTGATCTCCACTGGCTGTCGTAAGATTCAATTGCGCTCTCAGAGGAGACCTGGAGAATAATACCTGGAGACTGTTGCAGTTTGGCAGGCCACATTAACATCTCGGTGTGGTCTCTCCAGAGTGTTGAGCACCTCCTTCTGTTTCAGAAGCAGATTTGCGCGCTGATTTGAATCATCATACGCCAGGAGTTGGTACTCGATCTGGTGGCATGCCCGTGAGTCTCACTTCTCGTATGTTGTCCGTCGGCAACTCACCTCGTCTCCCCATAACGGTGGATACCCATCTATATCTTTATATTTCTCAAAAAGGTCTAGCAGTTGCTTGACATATGGCATCAGCAAGAACGAACAGTAACCGACAGGTCCGGAACTTCAACAGCGTCTCATACCTGGATCGCACGGCGTCTAATATGCTCAGCCACGGACATGACTTCGGCCCAGTGGGAGCCATTTTCATCTTGATTTGTCCTAGTCTGGCTTCAGTTCTCGAATTCAGGGGGCTAGGAAGATATTCCTGTACCTGAATTCCATTGTGAAATCCTCGACATTAATTTAGGGGTCGAGAGTCTTCTATTTTTGAAAGGGTAGATATAACACAGACAGACATAGGAGAGGGCACAATATATTTCTCCGGGGTTCGGCTTCCAGAGTATAAGACTCCCACCACACCGCAACTCGCTCCATCAGGAGTACCGAGGGTTCAATCCTGGTCGCCCAGTTGAAGCCTTCATTCTCATTGACGTCATCGGTGGGAACGCTCGACCAAGTTGGCTGTTTCCGAACTTGTCGGTACGTGTGTGGCGGCGTCGTTCAGAAGTTTTCGTTCCTTAGTCTTGGAAGGTGAGCACTTCGACGGAGAATTCGCCCCCGGAACAAGGCATCCAACGAACCGAATACTGGTTATCCAGGGTCAAGAGGGACCAGTAAGTGCGGTCGTGAGCGTCATGGACGTTTCGGTCCTTATGGTCCGCTGTATGACTAGGTTCTTTTCAGCAGGGCGGACCACAGCGTCCAAAACCGCCCGTGTGAAAGATGAAACTCTCTCTCCCAATTCCGTCGAATCCTTTTACCCAGTCATCAGAATGTATATGTCAAATCATGCATACAGACAGGCGACTACTCTGCCTTGCATTGGACGAGCTTCAGCCAATCGACGACAGGCCTCCGCCTCATCTGCGCGGCCTCATCCGCCGCCGCAGCAGAGAAATTTGCTGAATCAGGAAGTCAAGTCCAACCTCAATCTGGCCCTCCGATTGGTATTCCACGTTCATTCTTCTCAATTCAGACATGGGTACGATAAGTTGTGCCTGGTGAGCCGAACGTAAGGCTGCTGTTCTAATGCAAACATACCTCTATTGGTGTGCTCCTCCAACCCCCAGTCAGCGCTCCCAAAGCTCGACGGCTACTCTATTCTGTTCCTCACGCTCACTTGAACATCACATGTGAAAAAGTTTACTGCGGGACAATTTCCCTGTCCGTGATGGAGAGCCAGTCCACCTGCTGCCGAAGAAACTCCTTGATTTTGACGGCGTCCGTCGGCTGACTGGCATGATGCTGCTCCCTGAGGACGTCCAACATCACCCGCAGACGCTCCTGCAACACCTCCACGCGGTACTCCGTCCACTGGAAGTACAGGTCCGACAGGTTCGTGATAGGCCGGATGGTTGTGAGGACCGAGGAGTCCGGGGTGAGGGCGTCTTTCGGGCGAAACGCTGTTACCATGGTAATGCGCTCGGTTCCGCCCAGTGCGGCCAGTGCCTGGTGTGTGATGTGCCGGCCCTGAAGGACCACACCGCTGCCCTATTTGACCCCGTGAGCAAAATGATTACAGGCTCAACACCACACGCTTACCATCTGTGGTCCACGGACTTTGATGATCTCCCCGGCGCCGGTCTTGATCGCCGTTTCGCCCCCAACCATCTGCGACGCGTCGCTCATCATCACGACACACACGAACGGGTAGCTGTCGACGTGCCATTTGGTGACGGGGATGTCGTCCTCCGACTGACCCTCTTGCTTCCGGTAGTTCTTCAGGGGATCTTGGACTGAGACGTTGATGTTACCGATCTCGATGTCGATGGCGGGGACCAGGTCGACGCCGGCGATTTTCGACACAATGGCCAATGTCGTGGGGTTCTTCCACGCGTCGTACATGAACGGGGCATACCTTGCCAGCACAGAAGACAGAAACTCAGCAAGCTCGGTATTACAGGCATCAACCCAGAGAGATATTAGAGAAAGGTATTTCTTACTTACTTCGGACAGTGGCCCCTGAGCTGGCAGCCCGCGAAATCGGTGCTGTACAGACAGTTGTCCCAGACTTCGTTTGTGAAAATCTCACTCCTCATGTGGCCGATGGCTTCTTCGCTGAACAAGGGGAAGGGCTCGGAGATGGCAACGGGGGAGATGCCCACATCTTCTGGAAGCCCGATGTCTTTGAGCATCAACACCTTCGGATCCTCGCAGTACACCAAATGCTTCTCAGGGTCAAAGGTCGTGCGCGGCCTGGTGCTGGCGTGGCGAAGATGTTCGCTGATGATCGGCCTGATCTTGGAGGTATGCACTGCAGGAGGCACCTCGACCTCCGCCATGGCCATTGCGGTGATTGCTTCCTGGCGTTAGATAGGAGATAATACAGCTTATATCTCGGTCTGTCGAGTCTGAATCCAAGTCAGGGGCGGGATGCTGTGATTCTTCAATGGGAATTTTATCATTGTCCTGACGGTGTGATAAGTGACATCCGTATCTCGACTGTGGCAGACAGAACTGGCTATCGGACCGTCCTCGTTTATCTTGAGAGCATTCCTATTGCGGCAATCAAGTCTCTATAGCCCCGCCTGCCCTGCTTGGATTGGGTGATCTTCCAGAGACGCACATCCCCGAGAGGCAACGAAAGAGGAAACAAAGTCCCACGCCTTTTGGAGTCTATGGTTGGATGCTCTGCTGTCTTGTCATGGGCGTCGCTCACATCTGGGCTCCATTCTGGCCCGAAAGGAGAGTTTCAGGTCCAGTGCCGGTCTTGCAGTCGCAAACCTTGGTTTCAACTGTGACTTTCACGATGGAAACCCTTCTTTATAATGAAGAGATCGTCCCGGATCTACTTCTACAGTTCAGTTATCCGCGACATTCTGGGGGATTTCATCGAAAACATCTCCTGAGCGCACACAGAAATGGGGATCTCAATGTTTGGGCCTCCAGAGCCCATTGATCCGTCATACGAGCCATCCATCTCCATTGCTTCGATCCCTGCGAACGCCCCCATCGAGGAAATACTCAGCATCATCGAACGGGATGGTGGCGTGATTCTCACCGGATTTGCAACAGCAGAAGACATCGCAGCCATTGATCGCGACGTCGAAGCTCATCGGCAACAAACCCGATCGACAGAGAAGAGCGCCTTGCAAATTATCCCCAAAGAAACGCTGGCTGTTCCCGGTCTCGTGGGCAAGTCCCCCACCATAGCCAAGATTTGCGAGTCCCCCGTGTTGGAGGAGCTGCGGACGTCTATCCTGCAGGAGAAGTTCAAGGTCATCCGCGAAGAAATTGTCGAAGAGAACATCATAGACCCCTTGTTGAGCATCAGCATCACATTCTACATAGGCTACGGTGCCCCCCGGCAAAGGTTGCACAGAGACGATAACGTGCATGGGATCCGGCACGGAGGGAACTTCGACCTCAAAAAGGCCAGCCAGTTTGGATGTCTGATTGCTGGGTCCCGGACGACTCGCCAGAATGGTGCCACAATGTTCGTGCCTGGTTCTCACAAATGGGACGACTCCCGACGTCCACGAACGGACGAAGTCTGCTTTGCCGGTAAGTGTCCCCTACAACCTTTCCGCATGGGAAATTACTAGCCATATCCTTCGTATGAGAAGACCGGCTGATACAGAGCCGCATATATAGAGATGGAGCCGGGCTCTGCGCTGATATTTCTCGCTTCTTGCTACCATGGCGGTGGCCATAACACTATCCCGAACGAGGTGCGCAAGGTCCACGGGCTGTTTTTCATCCGGGGCAACTTGCGCACGGAAGAAAATCAGTTTCTGGCCGTGCCCAGAAGCAAAGTGCTCACGATGAGTGACAAGATGCTGTCCCTTCTCGGGTACAAGAAACCCTCAACGGTCCTCGGGGTGGTCGACAACGAGGATCCGTCGCTGGACTTGTATGGAGTGTTCGAGAAGGCGAACCAATGATAGTTTTGCTGTCAAACAGTGACAGGTACACAGATATAAGACCACTCTGTTGTTCAGGACATCCTTCCGGGCACCCTGCTTGTAGAGTTTCAAAAGGCTGGCAGTGGCTTTTCGAATCCGACCATGTGTTCTGGGACCTCGTCGTCTTAAACGGCCAACATCTTACTTCCTCACTCAATATTGAAAGAATAAGAAATGGTGAGAATAGCTCATCAAGGCTGGGTGTATGTGCTCGATCCATCACAGGTCGTCAATTTCGAGGATGTCCACGCCCCCTCTTCCCCCTCCTGAGGCCCGGGACAGCACAAGTGCCAATAACCATTGGGAATCACCATGGGACTTGGAATCCCCACTGCTAAGCTCCCGGAACTTCCCCTCTCCTTATAGGGTATCCAGGCTCTTCGAAGAGAATCGAGGGGCATGAACACCGTGAGCCTCCATATGCCATCCATGCTGTTTTGTCGTCACTCCATCCCGAATTCTTTGTAAAGCAACCGCTGCTCGCTCTGAGTATACTGGGAAGCCCATTGCGCTCTTCAAAACGGTCCACCCAGCCCAGCATCGCGCGTCTCTGATGCCCAAACTTGCTACCCTGCAGGCGAAGAGCACCTCTCCTTTCTCGTCTTCTAACCCGACTGTTGAGGCAAGAGGCAGTGAGGGGACATCGAGACGCAAACAACCAAAAAGTCGTAATGGTACGTAGCTGCTCCTGTACCGGCAGGCCGTCGGTCTGGCACTGAGATTGGGATTGCACGAACACGACACACAATCTTGGCAACTTGCATTATGAACGATCACTGAGTGGCCTTTTTAGGATGTATAACCTGCAAGGCGAGGCGCCTAAAATGCGACGAGGAAAAGCCAACGTGTCGACAGTGTGCCCGTCGTGGAGTCACCTGTGGCGGTTATCCAAAATTTCTTAGATGGAAAGCTTTCGGCCAGATCAGTGATGGACGCTTCAAGGGTGAGGTCGCGTCCCAGAGACCGCGGCCGTACCAAGAAGTAGCAGCGATCTCAGTAGAAAGTCGACCCATGAATGAAGTGGTGGGAGGTGACGTTCGAACCAACGAGCCCGGGCAGCCTAAGGGTGCATCCGACAAAATCCAAGTGGATGAAGGAGCCCTGGGAATACGGTCATTGAAGCCAGGCCATCAAAGAGCGACATCACTCAGAGGAACAGCCGAGTCGGTCAGCACTCATCTCAATGCTCAAGTCACTGTTGGCGACAACCAACCGACTGGCCTTCTCAACCATTACCACTTTTTGTCGATCTCCACAGCAGATGCGGCTGCTTACAACTGGTCACAGCCGGACAACTTACTCCTTCAAGTGGACGGCAACGGGTTGAACATCGATCATGATTTTGACTGGGACATTCCCGGGCTTGATGACTTGCTGGATCCTACGCAGGCTGCCCCGGAGGAAGATTTTGGAGACCTCGTTTGGCCGATTGATGAGTCTGAACGATCAACTGAGGCCCCTTCCGACCTGATTGCAAGTTTTGTGGCATCTTACTATTCTCCAAATTATAACAGCCTTGAAGTGTTATATCGACAGCCTCAATCTCCAAGTGGTTCTCCGGAAATGATACGACATCTTTTTGAGCAGCAGACATGCGCCATTCTCTCGATCAAGGACGACGAGACCAAAAATCCATGGCGAACGCTGGTGTGGCCATTAGCATCTGGTTGTCCTGCACTTTACCACGCGCTCGCTGCAATGACCTGTCTGCACATGTGCAGGACTCAGTCGCAATTGCGGAATATTGGATTGCAGCATTTTCAATCCGGTGAGAAAGCTCTCGTCAATGGCGAGAACAACGGCAATATGGTCCTAGAAGGGGCGATTGCGACCAGGCTAGCACTGGGCTTTGCCGAAACATGGGACCATCAGAGGTCGTCGACAGGAATGGGTCACATCAACCGTGCCAAGGTACTCATCCGACAGGCTGCTTCCAGACACTTGACGTCGAGGCTAGCTGCACGGGACGTGAGCCGTCTGAGCTTTCTGGCAAACACATGTCTGTACATGGACGTTATTGCCCGTTTGGTGTGTATGGAGCCTCAGATCGTCAACAACGCCGAATTCATGACCGCTTGCACGTCACTCAGCAGCGCCATCCCCAGTGAACAGCAACTGGACCCACTCATGGGCTGCGCGATCACACTTTTCCCGTTGATCGGTCAGCTCGCCGAACTGGTGGCCTGTGTTCGAAGGAGGGCCGAGAAGCGCAACTCCCCAGCGATCATCTCCAGGGCGATAGAATTGAGAATGGCAATCGAGGATTGGGCTCCGCGGGTGGACTCAGAGGGCGGAGCCACAATCAGCCTCAGTATCACCAACTCGATCCAGACAGCAGAAGCCTACCGATGGGCGTCGCTGCTGCTCCTCCGCCAGGCAGTCCCTGAACTTCCCTGGGTGCACTCGATATGGGAATTGGCATCAAAATGTCTTGTCTTTCTCGCAACCATACCGATGTCGTCCCGTACGATTATTGTGCACACATTCCCGCTCATGATAGCAGGATGCGAAGCCTTCGAGGAAGATGACAGGGATTGGGTACGCAAACGCTGGGATCTCATGTCCAAACGCATGATCACAGGAATCGTAGACCGATGCAGAGAAATCACAATAGAGGTGTGGCGACGGAGGGACGAATATGAAACGCGGTATGGGATCGTGTGTGGGAAGCCTCCGTGCCGCTCCGCGTCGATTGCAGTTGGGGCAGTTAGGGACGGTTCCCCGAGTCGTGCATACTCTGGTCTTCCAAGGTCAGTCGTGGAAGAGACGACTCGGTTTGACACAGGAGCACGCCCTCGGTTGGCATCCGACTTCCCAGATTCGGCAGCGTTCAAGAAGGGCATAGACCCAGTGACGAGAGCAGGATTTATCGACTACACGGTAAGAGGAGATCTGCATTGGTTAGCCGTCATGAAAGATTGGAATTGGGAGGGTAAGTTTTCTTAATGTCTTAGAGCAGTGGCATGCCAGCCCTAAAACTGACGATGTCTTGCAGTCATGCTTGGATGAAGAGTGGCACCAATTCACGGGCTTGAAATCGGCATCAACAAGGGAGTGAATCAAGTTCTCGCTTCATCATGTCGTTGTAAAATTGGAAGGTTTCTGCTGTTCACAGGCAGCAGCTCTGAGATTCGGTGAGCGCAACCTGAGCAGCGGTGACGGGAGAGTGAATTCCAACGGCCTGCCTCTCCGTCACTCTCCTATGTTTTGAGCAGAAAACAGATCAACTCTTCTCCAAGGATTTGCACAAGGCAAAGATCTCCACGATGAAAAGTGGTTGTTTCGCGTCACAAGGCGGCAGTGGAAGGCCTCGGACACTTTGCTCTCAACACTCATGCAAGCATGAGCGTTTTGAGCGAATGCAAAAATAAATTTAATCAAAGTCAGACACACGTGGTGTCGTTTCAGAGATTAAACTGAAAAGAACAGATACTACACTTGATCTAAGCCAGTTGGCAAAGCTGAGACACATTGTTAGCAAAGGACATTGCAAGTGTAGGGGGTGAGGAGTGTTGGTACTCACAGAGCTGAGAAAAGAAAAAGAAAAAGAGGAGGAAAGATGGCAGAGAGATCGAGGTATAAATAGTCGGAGAGAGGACGAGTTGATGCCAAGACACAGAAATTTTTTCGGTTTAGCACGGCGCTAACAAGGCTTAGTGGCCGCCAAGAGTCACTGAAGCCACTGGTGCCTGATTGTACGGTGAAGCGTCAAGTGCCACGCGAAGGGTGGTGCTGCTGGGCGCAGTTGAGATATCAAAGTGACTGTAAAAGTCTGGTAAGAGACAACTGATGGTCCTTGCTGGCCTATTGTGCTCTAAACACTGTGGCACTGCACCCGACTACTAGAGATTCAACAGATACGTAGACAATGCAAATGACGCCTCGATTGACGGTAAGGTCTCCTTCACTATACCCCTCGCTCATCGACTCTCTCATACCATCAACCTCCAAAGAATGTCTCGCATGCATTGCCATAACCTAGAGCGTCGTCTCCAGCCGCCAGCGCCATCATGAGCCCCTCACCACCCAAACTGCCCTCGGTCTTAGTGAACATCATCTCCTCGCACGCCGGCCCCATCAACGCCATCACCTTCTCCTCTCTCGGCGGCACTTACATCCTCACCGGCAGCTCAGACCGACAAGTCCACCTGACGCGCACGGAGCCGTCCAAGCCGTCCGCAGAGAAACCATCGCCCTCCGTCCCGATTCAGAAGTACGCCGCCCATGGTTACCCCATTCTCGACATCGACTGCGCCCAGGACAACCAGACCTTTGCATCGGTAGGCGGCGACCGTGCCGTATTCCTCTGGGACGTCCAGGCTGCGGACGGCACGCTGAGGAGATTTGGGAATAATACCACGCAGGGGCACACGAGCCGGATCACATGCGTAAAGTTTGCTGGGGACGGGGACGGAGTGCTCGTGAGTGGGAGCGATGATACGAGCGTGAGACTGTGGGATGTCAAGAGCCGGGACGTACGACCACTCATGGTGCTCGAAGAGGCCAAAGACGGTATTTCGAGTGTCGTAGTGCCCGGGAACGGACACGAGGTTGTAGCAGGGAGCATTGATGGTAGGGTGCGCTCCTACGACATCCGCACGGGCAAAGTGGCCGTGGACGTGATGCCCGGCAGCGTGACCAGCCTGGACGTCTCGCGCGATGCCAAAACAATCCTGGTGGGGTGCCTCGACGGCAGGATCCGACTGATAGATCGAGGAGACGGGACGTGTCTGAAGGCTTTCCCTCCCGAGGACGCCAGGGAAGGGTACAAGAACGAGGGTCTCCGGTTGAGGAGCTGTCTTGGCGCCAACGAGAGCCTAGTGCTCAGTGGAAGCGAAAGCGATGGGGACGTTCGCGCCTGGGATGTCCTCTCGGGCAAGAGCGTCGGGAGAGTCCAAGTCAGCGACTCTGGCCGAGTGGTGAGCGTGGTGAGATGGAGAGAAGGCAGCCAGGCGCAGGCACGGCGGAGTCTCTGGGCTGGTGGAGGTGCTGACGGCGTGGTCAAGATCTACGGCGCAGGATGATAGAGTATGCCTGAAAGGGGGTTATTGCGATAAATACTAATTTGAAAGTATATCCGGCCCTTTTTCCTTGTTATTTTCTTCCCATCTTGGATCAAGAAGCCTTTTTGTCCCAAACGCGCCGGCGAGAAATGAGAAAGAGTGGGAGTACATACACACACGCAAAGAGAGAAAAAGGGATATAAGGAGATAGTATAACTTTTCCCGTCTCGTCTCGTCTTGGAGCATCTCGTCGTGTCCTCTTTTCGAAGAAGCACCCAATCGTAATTTCCCATGCCCATGCTCATGCCCAAGGTAATGCTCGTTGGGTTGGATTACACCTGAGGTGGTCCAGCCTCCTCTCCTGTTCCCCACTCTTTTCTTCCTTGTCCATAATGCCCGACCATTGTTTTATCTCCCCAATGTCATGAATGCAGATGTAAGAGGGAGAGAGGTATAGTGATATGGCCGCAAAAACCGTGGCTTATGGTTTTGGTTCCAGTTTTCGGGTTTTCTCCGTTCTTCCGTCTCGGCGCCTTTGCTCTTGCTCTGTCCCTCGTGGGCTCAGATCGCTGGCACATGTGAACTCCCTATCGGTCATGCCAATTCACTTCAGGACCAAGCTCACGTCACGGTCTGTCCGTATCGCCAACCCTCATCATCCCATAGTCAAGGGCATCGAGGGCCTTCTCGAGCTGGGAGGCGCGGACGATCACGGTGCCAGCACGGGCGGTGCTGAGGAAGGAGATCTCGACGGGCTCGTCGGGAGCGTGGGCTATCTCGGTGGTCATGCTGCTGCTCGGGGCGCGCGGGGTGAAGCCCAAGGTGACCTCCTGGTCCGGAAGATCGGTGCTCCCCTGGGCCAACCGCCCGGCCACGCCGCACACAATGCCCGTGGCGTCGAGCGGGAGGTCTCGCAGGTCAAGAGTGATGGGGATCAGGACGTCATCGGCCGACTTGGCGCCCAAAAGCGACCCGCCGAGCCGGTCGAGCAGTCGGCGCTCCAACAGGACCGAGATGGGCTCGCTCGACGTGATGGTCAGGGAGAGGAATTTGGCGCCAAAGTCCAACTCGGCTGTCGGCGCCTCGAGGGGTGCCGGACTCGCGCCCATGCCGAACACGGTTGATGATATTGTGGCAGGCTGTCCCGAGGTGCCTGTTGGCGGTGGTGTTGCCGCTGCCGTCGCGAGTAAGACCTGGAGGAGGTCGTTCTTGAGACGCTCATCGTTCGCTACGTTGTACTCACGGCTGCCGGCGCAGGTGGCGAGACGGATGTTGCCGTCGACAAAAGGCCTGATGTTGTTCTGCTTGAGCTTCTTGAACGTACGAAGCTGCAGTTCCGGGATGTCCTTGGCTGGTGGGGTGGTGGGAGCCGAGTTGTCGTAAAATGGCGATCTCGCACCGCCGCCCTGGAGCAGGGTGGGAGACGATGGCGACAGTTGTGACACGAAGGCGTCGGCCGTCTTGGAGAAGACGAAGCCCCGCTGTTGGAGGGCGCGGGTGACGGTGCCCCGCGACCGGAAAGGAACAAGAATATAGTCGGAGAAATACGTCGTAATGAAGAAAATGCTTCTGCAATGAATTGGATCATGAGACCGGATGAGTTTCACAACACAAGAAAAGGACAGGAAAAACTAGACGGTTGGGGGAGCTTACATTCCAGCCATTGCCAACGGCGATGTCAGTTCCAGCACCCTCTGGCCAGCATCAAGGCCCTGTCCGTCGACCTGAATGACGATATAGTCTTCACTGCCGATCTGGATCTCCCCCTTGGGCTTCCCCTTCTTGTTGTTGGCATAAAGTTTGTTGAGAACGTCGGCGACCGGGCGCACGAACCGGTCGGCGAGATGTCGCGAGCATATGATGGAGCATTCGATTGCAGTGATGGAGATGTTGAGGAAGTCATGGCGGTTGGTCCAAGAGATCTTTGCGGCGTCCTCATCGTGGTCTTCCCCAAACAGGAGACGGAGAATGGGCTGGAGGGACAAGGCGTACAATTCAATGGGGATGTGGATCAGAGCGAGATGTGCCTCCTAGGAGAGGAATGAGCGGATGTAGATTTTCGAAAAGGCTGGTCCTCAGCGAGGCTAGGCAGAGCCTGATGCTCGCTGCATCTTCATATACATGCTCAGGACAACAGCCGGAATTGACTCACCAGGAAGGATATCTGAGCTGAGATCAGGTTCATCGAGTCCGTCATGTTTGATGCTGTCTAGACTCTAGCATCATTTGGCTTCTGATCAAAAGAGGACGACGATTACAGGCTTGTAGGCAAACGGTCAAAGTATCAGGCTCGCGCCTTGTTGGGTGGTCCAATGAGGCCTCGAAGTGGCGCAGCCTTCTTTTGGGGCCTTTCTCAGGGTTCAATAACTCTTTTCGGACTTAGAGAAGGAAGACACAAACAAGACAACTGTGTGTAGGCTTGGAGGTCGCCTTGGCCAGGGCCAGCCGCGGGTCCGACCTCACTTGACAATCGGGAGGGGTCGATAGAAAGTCATGATTACAATCTCCATGGTGGTTCGTCTGCCAGAGAACTGTGAGGTTTGACCAGGGCTCGATGGGAAAAGAGGCAGGAAAGGGGGGAAAGAGATATTATCCACAAAGTCAGATGATGCGAGAAATGGAGGCGAGGGCGCCTGTTACAGCAAGAAAGCGTGATCCTGGGTCGGACCGCCGCATTAAGCTGATTGGTAAAGGGATTGTTGCGGAGCCCAATGCTTTGATTAAGTTCATGAGATAACAGATGGGGGAGAGATGGAAAACTTCTTCAATGTCAATAAGTTTGGTGATCTGAATCCCGGATTTCTGTGAGTCGTGGGAGCTGATAGTAGAGTCGCACAGCATGCATGGTTCGTGCGTCGGAAGTCGCATTCCGCACTCTAACCAACCAGGAACAACGGAACCCCAATGCTAGCTGGTCACAGAGGGTGTCGAACAGTTTGAACAGGGTCTATCGACGTCAAAGCTTGGGGTCATGTGTTTCATCTCGAAAGAACAGGCCGTTAAACTCCTTCGGCAACGGTTTGGTGATGGCACCGCAGCATTTCACCGTGGTTTGAGACTGTGGGGATGGTGGCATCAACCTTCATGTTGGAAACAATAGCCCAACAGCCAGAAAACTCGTCTGACGGTTTATAGCGTGGGGGTAGCAAGGGTAGCAAGGAACTCGGTAGAGGGGTTGACGAACAGATCTGACGTGGTCCCCCAACCTGGCGTGGAGAGGCAGCCAGGAACGCAACGACTGTATCAAATCAGCATCAATAAGGACCATCGGGAAAAGAGGGGTCACTCTGTCCCGGTAGGAACGGGGGGTATGCAGCCCGGGTTGAAGGGGTTCGGGTGAGTGTGAACCTGTTCTCTCGGCGAAGCACATGAGCACAAGGCGGGGTCCTGTCCAGGTCGCGAAAGCTGGAACGGGAAAGTCCTGCTCCGTAGTTAGTAAGGCAAACCGGCCCATCAGATGACGTGCATCTCAAGCGTCGGACCTGAACAATCGTCCGGGAGGGAAATGTAGAACTCGCAAAGAGACAGGCAAACACAGGACACCCCAGTGTCGGGAAGGAACTGGCGATGGTTGGACATGGTTACAGTCGATGTCACCGTCCCAGAATTCGCATCTATGGCTGTTCTTCGGGCTAGTCGCGCTTCTCATGGCGATCGTTGTCGCAATCTCGTATCTCGAACGCTTTTCCATTTGAGCATGTGGCAGTCGGTTCGGTCGATTGAAGGAAGGAATGCTGGACACTCGGACTGCGGGGCGCTGCATTGCCATACCGAGCTTGCAGTGCAAGGGATTGCTAGCTTTGCTCGGGAAGACCCAGCCGCCCTCGACTCCATCCGGTACGCTGCATTCAACTGGAGCGATAACATCGGCTTCCTCCGTGTGACTGAAACCCTTTACTCACTAATATCTCGCGTGGCGCCAGCGTGGGTCACCACATGCCCTTGAAGACAAAACCAAACATATGTCCAAGACTGGAAAAACCTTCGCTAATCATACAGGTTTGCAGATCGGTAGGCGCTATCAACTCATGTTCCTCCTCGCGGCGTTGCTCCTCGTCCTCCTCTAGACGAACCGCCTCGTCCTCGACCACGGCCCCGTGGGGTGGAAGGATTGTTCAAGGTGGCAGGTGGAGGGACGTTGTTCTGCGATTTGGGCCGAAAGTTAGGATTGTTCTGGATAACACCAGTTTGAGCATCTCCTCGGTCAACGATCGTGTACCCTCCTCGAGCACTGACATGACCCATCGATGCGCGGCCACCACGGCCACGCTGACCATTTGTCGCATTGCCCTGGTGACCGTTGGCAGGTGAGCCCGTCATGTTCCGGATTGGCATTGAGATACCAGTCATCTGGCCTCGACCTGCCATGCCATTCGTGTGCCCTCGCCCATTCAATTGGTGCCCGGATACGGCTCCCCGCCATGTACCTCTCAACGCCGGAGGCGTACCGGCTGGGCGTAGTTGCGCTTGGCCGCCAATTCCAGGTTGACCATAACCGGACACGGTGAGGGGAGAATGCGCCGTGCCATTGGTTTGTCGGTTCGCGCTTGCTTTTGATGAGGCAAGAACTTGTCGATTGCTGAGATTTAAAACTGACCATGTCGGCACAGTGGATCCTCGGAAGGGTGAGCAGCGATCTCCCAACGACGTCCCACTCATAAAGGAGACATCGAAGACAACATCAAGCCAAGTTTCCCTCGTGGTTTGAGTGAGACCAACAACAGTTCCTTTGGAGGCAATCGGGACTTTGCCAGAATCGGCCACGTAAATCACCCTGTCCCCGAGACTGAATTTCTGATTTCCAAGTCGCCATTGCGCATCCGAGGGCTTCAAAAGTCCATTACGAGGGACTCCTCCGATAGTCTTGTTGTATGGAGGGGGCTCAGAACGAAGGGCTTCGTCCGCAGCTTGCTCGATGCGCTTCACAATCTCCGAGTCCAACTGCTCAGCCTCTAGGGGGACCTTCTCGAAACTCCTTGATTCGATCTCCTTCAGCCATGCTTGAATCTCTTTGACTTTTGCTTTGGCCTGCTGCTCGTCGCCGGGGAAGTACGCTGTTGCAGGTAGCATATCACCCTGCGGGTTCTTGTGGATGCCAGCAATGAATTGCGGAAATCTGATCATGTATTGCTGGATCAGTTCAACGGCTGCCCTGCTGAACTCCCACCCGCTAGCACCCTTGCGCGAATAGCCCAGAACTTTGAGCTTTTTCGCTTCAAACTTGAGATTGAGACCCAGATTTACTCTGGTACCGTCCACCGTGATGGAAAATGACGAGGTGATCTTGGCCAACGCGAGTGGATTCAGGTTCAGGCTCTGGGCGACCTGGTATGAAGGCGTGTATGGTGACAGTCTTTCGGCTTGGCGAGCGATCTCACGCCCGAATTCCACCTGGCGAGCTTTCGAAAGTGCAATCAAGCATTTTGCCTTTCCGTTCTCATGGCCGATAACACTGACAGGGCGTCCATAAGCGTAATCGCCGAGGAAGAAGGCATTAGTACCGTCTGGAAACTCTTCTTCGATAGGCACAGCTGCCTGCTCAATGAAACGGACGTCTTCGCTGACCACGTTTTCGACTATAAGCTGCGTTGCGTGGATGGTGTCCAGACCTGGAAGCTCGGCAAACTCCTTAACAGTCGATCCATCGTCCAATTTCTTGAGTCCTTTGAGCATCTCAACGTGAACCAGAGATTCAACCTCGCCGATCAACATTCCAAGTCTCTTGCTGTAGTATTTTTCAATTCGATCTGCCTTCTTCCGGAACTGGTCAATTTCGGCGCCCGAATGCTCAACCGCCCTGATATGGTGAGGCACGCTTTCCCCGTCGTCTGCCATGACGTAGTCGAAAAGTTCGTCTGAAACCTTGACAATCTTTGCTTCTTGCAAGAATGGATATCCGACATAGACACGCCTGTTCAAAAGGACTTTTGCGTACTCCACTCGGGCTCGCGCTTCGGTATCTGACAACGTAACGATCATGCTCTCGTTTCGACTGTCTTGTTGGAAGACATTTACGCCGTGGAATCCCAGCGAGCCGGTAAATGGCAGGGTCTTCAAACTGGGGAAGCCAGCCAAAGCTGCGATACCAAGTTTGACACCGTCCACCAGACCCACGTACGGCTCTAGGCCATCCATGGTTGGGAGTTCAAATTCGTTTTGAATGCAATGACAATGCGGTAGATCTGGGAAGATTCCGACGAGCGAAGAAGGATAAGTGTAGTCCACCTCTGGCGCATACGTGAATTTCAGACTGACTCCAAAATCGTTGCGAAGCTTCTCTTCCTCAGACAGTAAAGCATCTTTAGGAGCCATAGCATCGAGAAGCCGCCGCTCGTCGATGAACGGGATCTTGACGACAGCTTCCCATTCCTGTTTCTTGCCATTCATGTCGAGTGCAAAATCTCGCGGATAAAAGTCGATGATGGGCGAATCTTTCGAAGTCATCAAGTCGTGGTAGACTTCGGGGACAATTTTCTTGCTGCGATCCGGAAGAACGCCCATCAGCTGCTGAAATGGCCGGAACGGTTGCCCAAGTTGAAAATTCATGTCAGCACCCAGACCTCTCTTGACGTCCGAGATCATTGGCGAGTAGTGATATTGATAAAACCACGGCCACGAAGCAACGCCCCGATAATAGTAGAAAAGAACCCATTGCAAACCCTGCACGTAGTTTTCCGTCAATTTTCTTAGTGCCTCTTCATTCTCAAGGCCCCAGCCAAACTTTTCCTTGTAATATTGATCTTTCCACTCCTGGAACTTTTCCGCGTACTTCTTCTGCATGTCTTGTTGGGCCTGTTCGCTGGTGCTCTCTTCGACTTTGGCATTTTCGTATCGCTTCAAGACCCGCATAATTGCTAGTTCCGACTCTTCATCTTCCTCGTCCGATTCCGCCTGGTCTCCCTTGACTGGGAATTCCAACTGAATGAAGCGATTGCCGTCGCCGTCTTCCTTCGTGGACCACTGCAGGTTCAAATCTGTCGCGAGTTGCTGCACAAATTTACGATCGCGTGCCGGGAGTGTGGAAGGTAGGGTTAGGGGCTGTCTTGTCGCAGGATCCTTGTTGACAGGTGATACAAAGTACTTCTTCACCTCCTTGAAGAGCTGCTTTTGTTCGGGTGAGACTCTGAGAGGTCCACGGGAAGGCGTCAATGGCTCGTCTGCATTTTGCCCATGTCGCTTCGCATCGATCCACTTAGCCCCAGCATATTCTGCCTCGAAGAAACGGTCCTCCACCTCTGCCAACTCATTCAAAAGGACTTCCAGTCGCTGCAGATTGATCACACCATGCTCGTTGATGTAGCCGCCCAATGTTGGGAGGATCTTTTTGTATTTTTGGAACATAAGCGCCAACGCCCCCTCGTTGATGTGCAGATTGGGCAAGTTGGGTAAGAAATCGTTTCCAACGAAAAAAGCCATCAAGATGAAATCGTCAATGATTCGCTCCATATCATAATCAAAACCAAGAACGCCCTCTTGCTTCAGGTCCTGGAATTCCAGCTCCAAGTATTCCCTGACAATGCAAAGATGCATGAGGTAAAAGTTTTGATGCTCCAATTCCTTGGATTTCTTCTGCGACTGTCTCCCAAAAGTAACCTCCTCGCGAAGTAGGCAGAAGTGAGGGTCATGGCTGAGAAGACCCAACATGATCAAATCGGCATCCAGTCCGTAGAGACAGTGGCGCACATTGGGATCATAGCCGGGTTGCGCTTTGGCTTGTCGAATGTATTCCATGATTTTGTGTTCTCCTTCCCCCGGGACTTCGTGGCCAGACAGTACAACCTCGACCCCTTGCCAGTCGACGTCTTCAGAGACCTTCTTACTGATGAAATATTTGAGTTGCTTGGTGAGCTTTGCCATGAATTCCGTACCCGGGGTGATACAATTGCTGTCAAAGGGTTCTTCCTTGGGCAACTCCACACCTTCTTTGATGGCCTTCTCACGAGCCTTTTCAGCGTCGAGAGCAGTACGAAAACGGCGCGAGCGCTGTTGATTCATCTTGGCGCGGGGTGCCACTCCATCGATAGCCATGAAGAACAGCTTTTTGGGTTTAATCTTGCCGAAAAGGTGCTCTATATAGTTGAAGATAGCAATGAACATCTTGTCCTCCGTCATCCGAAAGGATGGGGAGTCAGAGTCCTTGTGTGTACAATTGTGAATGATGCCGTTCATGTCGAGGTACAGACAGTCGAATTCTGGAATGCGGTTCTCGGCGATCAATTGAGATATCGCAGGATATCGCTCGCTGAGCCATCGGAAGAATTTGGGAACACCCATGGTGACGGTGGGCGTGGAACCAAACGAGGTTTGCTAATGTCGGTGAAAAGGAGGGAGTATACCAAGTCGCCACTTCCCGAATTTCACATGCGAGGGGCGCTGGTTGCAGATGCGCAGGAGAGGAAGTAGATCTCCTATAGAGATGAGGACAGATGATATGGATGTTTATGCGGAATTGATGATGACTCGAGGCTGGTTGTCGAAGATCTGGCGGCAATGGGTGAGGTCTTGGCGCACTAGCCTTCTTTGGGCCGGGTCACTTAACGCGTCGGTTCAAGTGCGGTTTTGAAGTATGGCGGGCGCGTCTTTTCATCAAGAGCTTGCAAGAGAACAGAAGACCAACCCCGTACTCCGTACTCGCAAGCGATCTCAGCCGCCTACCGACTCTTCTTACTTCACGACTGATTCTCCTCGCTCTTCCTCGAGTTTCTCACCTCAAACGACAAAATGGCGGAGGACGACGAGAATAGTAAGGCGGCTCTGTTCAAAGCGCATGTTCATTTGCTAACCACGATCACCGTAAAGTGAGCGATCAAGAGCTCAACAATGAAGATGCCGAGACTGAACAGAAAATCATCAATGAAGAATATAAGACGTGGAAGAAGAATGCTCCTTTCCTCTACGATATGATACTCAGTACAGCCCTAGATTGGCCTACCCTGACAACTCAGTGGTTCCCAGATGTGACAGCGTGAGTAACCCGGTGGCGTGTTTCGTTCCTGTCTAATGGCTAACTCGCTCAGGGTTCCTGACACCAACTACTCAAAGCACCGCCTTTTGATCGGCACACATACGGCTGAAGGCCAACCGAACTACCTTCAAGTCGCCAGCGTCCAGCTACCTAACCGCAAGAAAGCAGATGTAAAAGACTACAATGAAGAGACCGGAGAAATTGGCGGATATGGCGGAGGTCCGTCTGGCAAGAATCAAATTGAAGTCAAGTTTCATATCGTCCAGAAAATTGACCATCCCGGCGAAGTCAATAAGGCACGATATCAGCCACAGAATCCGAATGTTATCGCAACCATGTGCACCGACGGGCGAGTCATGATTTGGGACAGGTCCAAACTTCCCGGCCTGCCCTCAGGAAGACCTAACCCTACGATCGAGCTTAGTGGGCACACCAAGGAGGGCTACGGTCTCAGTTGGGATCCTCACCAAGCGGGCCAATTGGCCACGGCCAGCGAAGACTATACAGTCCGACTTTGGGACATCACACAGGCATCAAAAACCAACAAGTTGCTCCACGAGAGTCGGCGATACACTCACCACTGGGGGATTGTGAACGACGTACAATTCCACCCCATCATCCCAAATGTGCTAGGATCCGTGTCGGACGATCTCACCATGCAGCTTGTGGACCTGAGACAGGGTGACACTACCCGAGCAGCCGCCAAGGGCACAGGTCAGCATCGGGATGCAATCAATGCCATCGCGTTCAACCTTTCCGTGGAGACTCTGGTGGCGACTGGAAGTGCCGACAAGACCATTGCGATCTGGGACCTGCGGAATCTCAAGGACAAGTTGCACGTCCTCGAGGGGCACAATGACAGTGTGACGACACTCGAGTGGCATCCGTTCGAAGAGTCGGTTCTCGCATCCAGCAGCTATGATCGAAGGATAATGTTCTGGGATTTGTCCAAGGTCGGCGAGGAGCAGACCCCCGAAGACAGTGAAGATGGACCGCCAGAGCTTCTTTTCATGCACGGAGGACATACCAACCGTATCAGCGACTTCTCGTGGAACAAAAACCTCCCCTGGGTGGTCTGCAGTGCAGCGGACGACAACTTGATCCAAGTGTGGAAGGTTGCAGAGGCCATCGTTGGTCCTGATGATGAAGACGTCCCAATGAATGAGCTGGAAGCTTGAGGGATATCAAGTATAGGGTGAGGAGCCTGGCTAGGGCCCTCTGTTCTGGGGGTGAAACAGTGCTCTGGACCAAGCGGGAGCATTTCTGGTGTGCCCAACAACGATTTTCCTGGTGCTTGATTTGAGGCTGGCGTAGACGATTCTTGCATAACGGGAATGACTGGTGCAACTGGGGCCGGCTACCGGGAGGGCAAGACAGGGGCTATGGGTGGCCTTAGCTGAGTCCATTGAACAGGAAACCAGCACCACGAGACGCAATTCGGGTAGCGAAAGCACAGAAAACGAATTGTTCAATCATTTTCACGCAATTTCCTACTGCAGATCTAAGACGTAGGCAATAGTCGTATTGATACGAGCATCGTCTGTAGGTTGTGTGGCTGCGCAGGCGGGGATTATCTACACAAGGGCACAGCAGTGTGCAACTTGCGCTCTCCTCAGTTAAAGCTGCGCCACGGTGGGCGCCTGGAACGGCTTATCCGAAACGCCCACTAGCCCGCTTACTGGCCACGAGACTTCCCAGGCGTCCCTGAGTTCTCTGGATCCTTAGGGCTGGTTGGCGTTTTCGTCCCTGTTCCAGTGGCTCTGCCACCGTTGGTGGTACCTAAGCACCTGTGGCTCCTAGGCTTGTCGTCATAGCCGATTGATCTTCTTCACTGCGGTCTCTAGACCTAGTGAGCCGTGGAGCCGTTTACCGCGGGTCTCCGTATCGCTGTCGGCAACCACTCAATGCTACTTACTCCTCGTACATCTTCTTATGAGGGTAGATCAATATCTGATCAGGCATCAACCATTCTCATTTTTCACATCCCGTCCACCTCTGCGACTTACGCCATGGAGACTGTCGCTCGCATTGATATGCCTCCGCCGACGTTCTGATCAGCTTTCCAGAGAGGTTTTTCGCTCCCATTAAAAGGAGACCACTGCCCCCTCTTCTTAGCCGACTTCCTCCTCCACATGAACGGTCAATCACGTTAGGCATGGTTGGTATCCCGAGGAGCAAAGGATGTCGCGTATGCGTCAAGCGCAGAGTTAGATGTGACTTAACACGGCCCATCTGCAATAACTGTGTCCGAGGCAACCGTCCCTGCCCAGGCTACGATTCCGATCTGAGGATTTACGATGAAGGTTCCAAATTGCGGAAGCGATTTGGCCAGAAGGACGATTCAGAGTCTGGAATCGGGGCGGACAGCGTTTCGCCCTCTACCAGCAACAACAGTCAATCAACAGAGTCATCACCCGAAGAATCAACCGACCTGATCACGCGTTTCAATACACCGGACGTCGAAGTGCGTCGTTATCGACCCTTCGAAGCGTTACCGGCTCGCAATCCCTTTTTTGCCCTTCTAGAGAACCAGATATATCCTGATGCCGATCTTTCAAAGTCGTCGATGTCAACACCTCCATGGGGCGGACTTTTCAATGACGGCGCGATCAGCCAGGACGTCCCATTCGAAATGGCACTCATTGACCCCATCTACGCCCCCAATCTAGTTCAAGAACAACTTCTCAATACCTTTTCTTCCTCTTTAAGCGGCCATGGCCAACTGTTGCTTCCTCGTCAGATGCGGAGCCATCAGAACTGGCTGGTACAACTGCCTGTCCTGTTCGGTTCGAAACTCCTCGACGCCGCGGTTCGCGCCGTCTCTTTGGTTCATTTAAGCAGAACGCGGCAGACGGATTTATTTGTGCATGAATCAAGACAATACTATGGCAAGGCACTGCGTCTTCTTAATCAGTCATTGATGGATGATTCCACGGGCATGTCGACCGAGACACTGTCGGCCACGATCCTGCTGTCTTTTTACGAAATGTTTGCCTCGGACTCCAATCAATCTTGGGTGCGCCATGCTGGTGGTGCGGGGACCCTGATGCGCATTCGTGGCCCAGATCGTCATCTATCAGGTCTAGATCGGGATGTTTACCTTGCTTACCGTCACACCATCGTTATTGAAGCCTTCATGAGAGACGAAGCCTGCTTTCTATCCGAGCCCCAGTGGGTCGAAATGGCCAAAAAGATTCATGAGGATCTACGAGCCTGTGGAATTCCCAGTGAACGCATGGGAATTTTCGACCTGGCGGAGGAGTTCTACCTGGAGCACATCTGCATCCCGACGACATTGCGAGATGCCAAGAATCTAGAGGAGGCTCGAAGACAGTTACCAGCAGACCAATATGCCGCTCATGAAGAGGCCCTTCTTTTGCGGACTCGATTGCATAGAGCCAACCTCAAATCCATCAATCTGAGATTTCGGGCTGCACTTAAGAAACAAGGACTCGAATTCTCGACGATCGAAACCATGGATCCCGTGTTCCCAAAACAATATGTATACGTCAACGTGTTTGTTTCGTCTACTCAAGTGGGCCATTGGACAATCATGATCATACTCAACCTCATTTTGAAAGGTATCGAGAAAGACATCGCGCCCGAGAAACATGAGCTTTACATTATGGAGAATCGAGAAATCGCCCGGGAGATATGTCGGACTGCGCCTTTCATGATGACATCATCCTTCCTGGGGCCGTTTTTCATCATCTTCGCTCTCAGACTGTGCTTGATGGTCTTTGAACCCGGGCAGGAGAGGGATTGGGTCGTGCGCAAACTCCTGCAAATAGGCGACACGCATTTGAGAATGGCGTCAGATATCCCACCCTTTGACCCCACGGGAAACTTTTATGACTAGAGTACGGTTGCTGCAAGATTCTATCGCGAATTCTAGAAATGGATCGAATGCTATAATTACTTTTCAGGACGGCTACGATATGGATCCTGAAACCCCTCCTTGGTACGGCAAGAGACGTCTACTGGAGTCTAGTCCCAGAATGTTCCGACGGCCACGTCGTCTCATCACAACAAAAGTCCAGAGAAACTTTTTTCGAAGTCGTGTTCGATGCCGTGGATGCGGCCCCTGCAAACCTGGCAACGGACGAAATTTTGGATGGTATGATCCACCGTACTACTCCGCTTCTTAGTAATGTGGCAACCCACCAGTTACACGATTCACTGGTCTGATTGGACTGCGATTGATACATGGGGGCAATCGAGACTGAAAAAGCAGTGGTAAGTGCAACATGTCGAAAGGTCCTCCTGGACATGGTGGCTCGACAAGACTCACATGTTGTGTATATAAAGCCATGGTGCAACCGGCATCTATGTCTGGCTCTATACTAGAGCACGCCTCCACATCATCTATATCTGTCACGACACGTCTAGAACGAACCCAGAAGCACTATCAACATCATCTTTAGTCGACATACACAATGAGCACACACCCTGCTGTTGTAACCGTGGGCCCAGGTCTTCCGTTGGAGGTGCATCAAGTGCCTACTGTTGCACCAACTGCCAACGAAATTCGAGTGCGGTGCGAATGGACCGCTTCGACTCCCCTCGACTTACACCAAGCCGACGGCGGCCTTCTGGTTAAACATCCCCAGATATTGGGCGACGGCATTGCTGGTACCGTGGTTGAAACTGGACCAGATGTAACCAAGTTCAATGTTGGGGACAAAGTCTTTGGTTTCACCTGGCGCAGTCAGGCGGAGAAAGCACACCAGAAATACGCAGTGGCCCCAGAGTTCCTGTTCGGCAAGCTTCCTCCCAATGTCACCATGCAACAGGCGGTGACAGTCCCGAACAATTTCGTGACTGCATGGCACACTTTCACCAAAGATTTTGGCTTCGAGTTGCCCTGGCCGAAACCGGAGGGATATACACCACGGGAGAAGGACTCGTGGATATTGATCTGGGGTGGAAGTTCCAGCGTGGGACAATACGCGTTACAAATCTTGAAGTGGTATGGATATACCAAGATCATCACCACGGCGAGCAAGAAACATCAAGAGAAATTACGCGGTTACGGCGCGGCTCAGTGCTTCGATTATCGAGATCCAGGAGTTGAACGGGAGATCGTAGCATACACGGATGCCCAATCCGGGCCCAGCGGCATCCATTTCATCCTCGACTGTATCGGCAGCCTCAACGGCAGCGTGGTGCCTATTTCGCGAATGGTCAAACCCAAATCCGGCACCAAAGTCGCCATTCTCCTTCCAGTTATCATCAGAGACGCGGCGGAAGGAGTGCGACCGACTTACGACATGGACGTGAAGAGGGTGGTCCAGTGGCCAGAAGGTGTCGACGCGGTAGGCGTCCGAACCCACTTTTACTTGGAGAACAAATTCCTCGCAGAACATCTGCAAAGTGAAATCATGCCCGAGTGTCTCGCCCGGGGCATTATCGAGGCGAACGAGCAGGTTATTGTCGAGGGGGAAACAATGCTGCAGAGGGCGGAGAAGGCACTGAAAATGCTCCGAGAGAAGAAAGTCAGCGGCGCGAGATTGGTATGGCGAGTGTCGGATGGAGAATAAGGAGGGGGAGATTTCAGCTCCTGGACTTTTCAGAGGCGGCTGCTCGTCTAGGATAGTAGAGCAGAAGAGTGCCTATGTATTGAATATGCGAGTGTGTAGTGAATACAGTATGATATGCCGTGCCTCCAACTGGCTTGCTCGCTGGTACAGCACGTAACACTGTTGCTCATTGGTCCCGACTGTAGGCACTGACCAGGGGATCCCCAGATGTGCAGACTGCGCACCCCACTGCGATTGTGAGGAGAAACTTATCACGAAGCCATCGACAAGTTTCTTTGCATGCGACGCAGCTGGAGGAGTCCCATTCATGTTATCGCTTATTCACTAGATGCTGTCTGATCAATAAAGACTTCTCTGTCTTCTCTCTCTCTCTCTTCCATTAGTTCTTCATCGGCCTCCTCCCATCTCGACCACCGACCGGCGCAAGATCCGCAGAACCGCAACATGACTCTTTGGGGACAGGACACGGTTAAGGATGTGGCCGAGTCGGTGGGCATCCTGAACCTGAACAAGGAAGTCAACCAAGCACTCTGCCGCGACGTCGAATACCGCATCTCCCAAGTCCTCCAAGAGGCCCTCAAATTCATGAAACATGCCCGCCGCACGATCCTGTGGTCGCAAGACATCTCGCAAGCACTGCGCGTGCTGGATATCGAACCGTTGTACGGTTACGAGTCGACACGACCGCTGAAATACGGGGAGGCGTCCTTGGGGCCTGGACAGCCGCTGTTCTACGTCGAGGATGAAGAGATGGATTTTGAGAAGCTCATCAACGCGCCCCTCCCCAAGGTGCCGAGAGAAGTCACATTTACAGGTACGGAGGTGGCTCGACCGTGAGAGCTCGTGCGAGCGTTGGCTAACTTGCGTGTGTTCCAATGTAGCCCACTGGCTGGCGGTGGAGGGCGTTCAGCCTTCAATCCCTCAGAACCCAACATCGACCGAAGCCAGGAATCTCGAATTAGTCCCCAAGGGACCCAACGCGAACCCGGCCCTGGCTGCGATGAGCGGCGCCGACACCACGACCACGAAACCCCAGGTCAAACATATCCTATCCAAAGAACTACAATTATATTTTGAGAAGGTGTGCGGGTCGGTGCTGGACGAGACGCAACCAGAGTATCGAGCAGCAGGTCTGGCCAGCTTGAAAGAAGATCCCGGTCTACATCAGCTCGTGCCTTATTTCGTGCAATTCGTGGCGGAAAAGGTCACCCACAACTTGAAGGATCTGTTCGTGCTCACGCAGATGATGATGGTCACGGATGCCTTGACCCGGAACGACAAACTCAATCTCACCCCCTACGTGCGTGCCCTCCCCGATTGCGTGTGCCGCGGCTAACGAGGATAACAGGTTGCTTCCATGATCCCTCCCGTACTGACCTGCTTGATCGGACGCACCTTGGGCACGGGCATCGGAGCCCTCGATCACTACGACCTCCGCGATCTGGCTGGGTCCCTTTTAGGTCACCTCTGCAATAAATACTCCAAGTACTCACACAGCCTCAAGCCCCGCCTGGCGCGATCCTGCCTGAAGACGTTCCTGGATCCGAAGAAGCCATATGGCAGCCACTACGGCGCCATTCTTGGGTTAAAAGCCATTGGCGGGGCGGAGGTGGTTCGACAGCTGATCCTGCCCAACGTCAAAGCGTATGGGGAACTATTGGAGGAGGACATCCAGGAGTCGAGCATAAAGAAGGCCGAAGCCGAAAAGGTCGTCAGTGCGATTCTGAACGCTCTCGGGACATTGGTGGACGACGACATCCCCATGATGAACGGACATTCCGCAGAGTCTGCTGCCAACACGCGGGCCCAGCTGATTGAGAAGTTGGGAGAAGTGATTGGAGGACGGATCGCAGACTCGGGAAACACGCGGTTCGCACGAGCTGTGCTTGAGGGGGATCTTGAGGGATTATGAAGACCCTGGGGAACGAGGGGGTTTCATCTTGGAGCATTTTCTTGTAGACAGCAAGCAAGGCGTTGGACGAGGTCACGAAGAGGATTCGAATTGGGAAGAAGAAAGGCCACACACGCACACACAAGCACACACACATCTTGTGATGATACCCAAGGCTTTGAATCAATTGGCGTTTTGAAGTCCCGACGTTAGGACGAGTAGGAGCAAGCTAGAGGGATATAGCATGCCCCCTCATATGCTGGTCCAAACAATGAAGGTTCAGGTTGTCTGATGCCACGGGCCACGCCACACGGCACACGGCACAAACTAACCATGTGGTGGAATAGAGAAGGAACACATGCTAGTTAATTACTCGAGACATTGCTCAAATGTAGGTACCGTACAGTACAGAGTAGCAGAGTGTATTCGGTAGTAGTCCTCACTGCCGCCTACATGGCGAGGTAGCCTCCTCGCCTCATACGCGGTCCACACTCCCTCCTACGGCCGAAGATCTGCCTCGCCTCGCTTCGTTCCCTTTGCGACCTTTTTATGGACTCGTCATGCTGATAGGGCTGACACTGACCAGGCCGACCACAAACAAGCTCGTCAGCGCCCCCTGAAAGGAACCAGGAACGAGATTGTTTGCCTGTTCCTGGTAGGTGCCTGGCCCAGTCCCGAAGAGATCAAATAATCTGCCTCGATTCATCCTTCGCGCCAACACGCCACATCACCCACTGCGGCCCCTTTGCCCTTTGTCCACCGCGACACCTCTTGGCCCAAAGCTCTTTCGCCCCCATCCAGCTGTCGTTCGACTCTTTCACCGTCTGTGTGCCTGTGTGCCGGGAACGATCCTGTCAACCAATAGTTGAATCCATCGCGGACAACTCCAAGATGCCATGGCCCGTCACGCCAACACGACGTCGCAGGATCGGCTTTAGCACCCCCCAGCCAAATCTCCCTGCCACGCTTCCCTCGACCCTCGAACGAGCATTTCGCTTGCTCTGCTTATGTCGTGCTCTGTCTGACGTTTCACGGGTTCCCCTTTAGCGAGACCTGAATCCTTCCCAGCCGTTGTCCCGGACCCTCGCTGCTGTTGTCGAAGACTCTTGGTGTGGCGCTCACAAAAGTCCTTGTGATCGTCCTTCCCACACCACAGCTTCGGCTTCCCTTTTCCCTCGTCCCTCTTTTGATCTTTGCGTACACGCAAGCTACGTTCGTTCGTTTCTCTTCTACCTATCTGCTTTGCCTGGTTTCATGCCTCAGTACCCTTGACATTTCCTTTGCTGCTATCATGAAGTTCCTCAGCCTGACCACCGCGGTGGTGTGGTCCGCCCTCCAATTTCACTATGTGATAGCCTTGTCCAATGTCACCTTCTACGCCGACAGCCAGTGCTCGAAATTCTTGAGCTGGAAGACGGGCCCAGACGATGGCACTTGTACCCCGTTCCCGACCAACTCGCAGGGATTCCTCAGTTTCATGGTCACCAGTTTGGATCAGACATGCGCCGGTGAGTTACAGCGGGTGGTGGAAGCGCCCGAATTTCGGGAATGAAAGCTGATCGCTTTGGTAGTCACGGTATATGGCAGCGATGTCCCGTACTGCAGTTCTTCAACTCTGTTCCTGGCTCCCTTCTCCAACTGCATGACGGCCACCAACGTCAGTCAATTTTCGGTCGACTGCCAGAGCTTGTCGGTCGCAACATCCGCCGTGCCCTCGGTGGTTCCTACGGGAGCTCCCAACCCGTCTACTGCAGCATCGACCCCGACTCCCTCCTCCAGCCCTGACACGGGTCTTTCTGGGGGCGCCAAAGCCGGCATTGCCATCGCCGCCGCCGTGGGGGGATTGCTATTGGTCGCCCTGATCGTGTTCCTGGTGGTCAGGAACAACCGCAAGAAGAGACGAAACCTGGGCCCCGATGGAGTTCTTCTCGAGGCGGACTCGACACCGGCGGTGCCTCCCTACTCGGCCGAAATGCCTCCAAACGAAAAGAAGGTCCCCGTGGAAATGCCGTCGGCCGTGATGGTGGCCGTGGAAGCCCCTGGCGATGAGCACTGGCCCCCTCCACAGGAGATGCCGGGCGATTACACACATTCAGAAATGGAAGGGTCCCGTCCCTCGCAGCTGCACAAGGACGACATCAAAACCGTGGTATCATCCGACACGAAGACCCTCGTCGGGTCGGACGCGAGACTGGACATCAAGTCCTCCGAACCACAGCCTTAAGCGGGACGGCGACCCCATCCCCTCCCCAGGGAAATTCTCGGTTGGGCGCGAAATCAGCGGCTTTTCGAACTGATTTGCAAACGCCGCCGCACAGCTGATCATTATCTGAAATGTGGAACGCAAAAAATAATGGACGACAATATGCCCCCCAGTCACCTCCCAACGCGGCAATAATGACGGAGCGAGATGAATCAAAATCCATACCGAAATGAGTGGAGAGCGGCACTAACCGCATTCTTCAAAGAGCGGAGCTCTCGATCTCTTCTAGCCCTGCAACCTCGTTGCGGCGTACAAGTCTAAATGCTGACTCGACATCCCCAATATCCACCGTCGCCGTCGCTTGACTTCCACCACCTGACCTGACCTGACCTGACCTGACCCCCGTGGATAATTAATGCACTGCAGATCCCGATAAGAATGTGGGCCTTGTCCATATGGGGTCTGTGTGCAATTGCCGATCAACACTTGGATAAAGGAAGTCCCGGTAAACGAAAGAAGTCTACCGACTGACTGAGGTTGACTGTACACGCCACACCCACTGGAGGACAAGTTCAGCGATTGTTGCCCTCGGGTACCGGACGGGCCATGTGGGAGAGTCCTGTCGAATGATCTACAGGATGTCAAGCAGACCCCGACGCAACGTCTGCTGGATGGGACACTTGAACACTCGGGAAGTCAAACCACACCACACCACACCACACCACGGGGCGGCCCCTGCATCTAGAGCGCTTGATACCACGTATGTATGTGTGTACGCATGTACATATGTATGTGCGGATGTGTGGATGTCGAGTTGGCCGCGTGCAGCAGCACCATCCACCGCCACCAAGAGTCCAAATCTGAAAGACAGGCAGCCGGCCTGTGGGAAGTCGAACTTTTTTTGCCAACACGGGCAAGTTTGGACTGACTGCTTGTCCTGCCTGCTTGTCCTGCCTGCTTGTCCTGCCTGGCCCTTGCTTACTTGCTTGCCCTCCCTCCTCGAAAGACAGCCTGCATACAGACAATATACCTAATGAGAAGAGATGTGTATGTGTGTGTACGTACATGATATAAAATTCAAATAAATATTCCCAGGCTTGTGCACACACACCCACCATACTACTTATTACTGTATGTCACCACGTTATAACGTTCCACTTATTATTCTATCCTATCCTATGACATAAGGCACCGTCGATCTTTTCATTCATGCCATCCATCCCTTTTGCATAGACAGACAGATAGACATGGGGTGTAGTGTGCGTGCGTACGTGCGTGCTTCAATTACAATTACATGGTTCATTCATTCTCAATCCATTGATTATTATGACTCGACCTATGTGTTACTTCATCCTCTGCATGTGTCTGTCTGTCTGTGCCTCCATTGCCCTAAGCCCAGCCAGGTAGCTTTCTCAAGGAGAGGGAGGGAGGGCGGGGCGTCTGTCATACGGGGCCATTTCTTTGGTTCTGATACATTGATTCATTCATTGAGTTAGGGACGGAGAGAGGATATCTTGGTCTGTGTGTCTGTCTGTCTACCGGACCCATTCTTCTCCTCGCTTCTTTTTCTTGAATTCCAAATCCCATCGTCCCGCACTGCTCAATGCCGGCACATCACATGGTAGACTTATTCCAGTGCTACTACCAAGTGTAATAAGCCCTTGGCAGGCCTTCTCCAATTCAGCTGGCTGTGATACATACCACCAGTTCATCTTCAGAAGTCTGGCTGGCCCTTGACCACATGGATGGAGGGAGGGAGGAAGCATTCACCAGCTCAACAGCGTTGCTCATGCGACTCCCCCCATCATATCACTCTCCCCTCTCGCCCCCGCTCCAGCATTTGCTCGCGCTCCTGCTCCCACCACGCGTGACAACTCTTCAACAGCTCCTTCTCGGCCTTTCGCAGGTCCTTTTCGCGCTTGGACGTCTCCTCCTTGACAATGGTGAACTTGCTGATCCGTCGGGGCTGTCCGAGGTCGAGGAGGGAATCGAACCCTTCGTCGTCGACACCGAGCGCGGCCACCCCGCCGATCACGTCGTCCAGCTCGTACTCGTCGTCCTTGATCTCGCCGATGCGCCGCCCGTACGTCCGCGGCTCGTAGTCCTCCAGCGTGTCCGGCCGGATGTACCCGTACAGTATGAACATGAGATAATGCTTGTCGAAGCGCATGCCGCGGCGGAACGCCTCGCGGACGATCAGCTGGTCCGGCCGCAGGAGCACCTCGAGCCGGTGGCCGACTTGCTCGGCGGTGCGTAGACCCCAGTACTCCAGCTGGCCCGTGCCCACGCGATGCGCCGGGACGCCGAAGATGCTCAGCCCGACCTCGTCCGGCGCCGGCGTGTATTTGCACTTGACCCACTCGCGCATCGCGTCGAATCGGGTCGTCCAGATGTCGCGCTTCAGTACGCGCAGGATCTTGGTGAAGCTGCGCTGGGCGAGGAGCAGTTTCCTCAGCCCCTCTCTCTTCTCGGCGGCCACCGGGTCGTTGAGTCGCATGTCCAGCTTCGTGAAGAAGCACGCCGAGAAGTACAGATCGAGGTCGGTCATCATGCCCCGGTTGTGAACGTACCCGATGCGTCGAGCGTTGTCGGGTATGTCCAGCATGAACCACAGCCTCTTGAGTGCCAACGCGCACCGTCCGGGGAGAGGGATACCTCCTTCGGCGAAGACGGTCATGAGCTCATGGATGACCTTTTCGCGGTGCAGAACCATCTTAAGCCATCGGAAGGATGGGATTTGGCGAGGGATGTTGAGCGCTGCGAGGCGGCTGTTGGGGTGAGGGAGGCGTGCGGCCGGGTCGGTGCGGCAGAGGTAGGCGTAGCTGCGGAACATAAACGCCCGGGCACTTTCGGGGGCCTTGGTCATCGCTTGGGAGAGGATCACCGTGGTGAAGCGCGTGTCCAGAATGGTATGGAAGTCCTTGCTGATCGCGTACAAGCTAACCAGGTCCTTGACCGGGAGGTGTGTCGCCAAAGTGAAGCAAAGTTCTGGGTACAACAGGAAGCCATGGAAGGCGTTGAAGTTCGGGTCGCCGGTGCGCTGGTAGACGTACGAGGGCGGGGGGAGGATTGCTTCGGGGCGTTTGCGTTTGAGGGTTATGCGAGCGAATTCCTGGGCGTGTTCGATGCGGTTGGGAGCTGTGTACATGTGTTCTGGAACAAGCGAGTCGGGATTCACAGCGAGGTGAGGCGGGAGTTTAGGTCTCACATAGATGCCATGATGGGCAGGGGGACGTGGCGCGCGTGAAGGGAACTTCCGGAGCCGACCACCGTCTTCATCCCGGTCCACGTCCAAATACGTGGCAGAGGCATTGTGCGAGGGCGGCGTTGTCAGTGGTCGTTGTTGCTGTTGGAGAGGACCGGTGTCAGCATGGACAGTTTGTTGTGCGAGGCGTGCTAGGCCAGAGCCCAGCGGGTGCGGGTGCGGGTGCCGCAGCCCATCACTTGTTGCACGTTCCACGGTCGGTGGCGCGTGTGCAGCCTGTGCGGTACGGAAGTTGAAGGGGTATTGTCCCCCAGGTGGAATGACATGGGGGTTCGTAGGGACACCGCCAAAGCTATAGCTATTCCCCAGAGGGTTGGAGGGCGCAGGGACAAAGATTGGGGTGGAGCTCGGACCAGCCTGTTGTCCATGGCTGTTCGATCTGTCTGAACCGGGTGGAAGAAGTGCCTCGACACCGTAGATGGCGTTCCTTCGTGGATGCCTTGAACGCGTTTGATTCAATCCTAATGGATGCGAGTTCGACTCGGGGTTGGTGTGTGGTTTGGTATTCTCACGATCGCTCTCGTCGATGTCTTCTGCCCGCTCACCGTCTTCCGAGTCCGAACTCGTTTCCACGTCGGTTTCAGCTTCACTGCCTGTGGCGTCTGGCTGTGGTGGATTGCTTTCTTTATTGTTCTGACCTCGACTGGCGGCTGCAGCGCCATTCTGAGCTGCCTTTGAGGCTCCGAGCAGTGGTCTTGAAACACTCAGGCCGGAGGTCACGGTGTTAGCTTGGGGTTGAGATGGACTCGTGGTTTGCGTAGCGAAAGGAGTATGGACGTTGGATGGTAACGGGAGGTGGTTGGGACTGGGCTGAGGATTATCGTCAGTGCTGTTGTCCTCAGATTTGTCAGGGTCTGCCTGCGACTGCTTTCTGAATGGCTGCAGGATGTTGCCGACTTTGCTTCTACCGTTACTGAAGAAGCGTGACCTCTTCTTTGGAGGTGGCTTGTCGTCCATGTCTATCGTGACGAGCGACAGGGAACGAAGTGTCAAGCATGAAAGAAAGCAGAGAAATCACAAGCATTGATCAATGACAGTCAAGATATGGGTTGAGAGGGCAGTGAAAAAACATAAATAGGAAAAAGAACAATATCAAGACCCAATTAGACTGTTTGTTATTGTGAGGGGTCAGGCAGCATAATGTCAACACGATCACCTGTGTTGGATTCACTTGCTGGCCTGGAGACGCCCCTGAGTGTTGGGAGGGTCGTTGTCGTTGACGAGGATGGCCTCCTCGAAATGAAGATATTCCCCAGAGGGGCTGGAATGCATTCTTCATTGTGCAGCCAGTTCTGCTGTTGATTTTCTCAAAAGTAAGAGGGATGACAAGAGGACACTGAGGACGCGGAAGATAATGAAGGTTGTTGCGTCGTGTGTGTGTTTGATAGTCGTTGCCGATGTCTTGCAGGTTGGCGCTTAAATGCGTCGCCGTAGCTGTTATGCTTATATAAGCATCTCTACGGCAGAGCACTCGCCCCGTCAACTACGATCAAGTTGCGCTCAACGATCTACAATCGACAAATCGACAATCGACAATCGACGCTTCTCTTTCGCTCGCTTCCATATTCCATCAGCTCCTTCAATCCTCGGCCATCGTCAGTGGCGGATGTGAGCGGGTATCGATCTGCCAGCATTTTCGAGATCTCGCTTCCGTCTAGTTCATTCTTCCTTCCCCCCACCCAATCGACGTCTTTCGGTGCGCCCGTTGTGAACAGACCAAAAACTTGGAATAGAACCGCCTAGATCGACTGTTGCAGTTACGGATATGGTGACGGTTGGTGCCGCAAATGTCCCGATATTGGCTTCTGCCGTGGTTGCCCACCGTCCTAAGCCACTTCTCCCCTGTCTTTCCTGTGGCTGAAAAGCAGATGTTGCCGCCCCTGTCGCTTAGGCTGTGCTCACCGTGACATGGAGCTCTCACTGTGAGGTCTTTGGTCCTGACCTATGCTAATCATTCAAGCGTTTGGCTTCAGCGTTCTTCTAACATGTCCTTGAGCCCCCGTGACAGTGTCGCTGAAGCTGAGCAACACGTTGGACATCTTCTCGACCGTGCCATCCACGCGAAAGACAAGCTCAAGGAAAAGTCGAAACGACTGCTTTCTCCTGGACAGGCCGATGCCTCTTCTGATGACGAAGAGGACATCTTTTCCGATGCCGCCTTCGATCCGGCGAAAGTCCTCCACAACTCATCACCGAAGGCGAAGAGATCGACGAGCGAGACAGTCCACGATGACCTCCAAAGCGTCAAGTACCTGGCCACCCATCCGCGCCGGGTCATGCGCAGCAAGGCGACTCACATTGCGGCTGGGAAACTCGGGAAGCGTCATCCAACCTTCACCGTCGACAACAACCAAGAGCTGCTCGATGCCCACGATGCTCTTGCTCAGGCGGTGTCGAGTGATTTTTCAGATGCGGACACCAGTGCCGTCACCTCTGAGATAGACCAAGCTCACGATCGTGTCCGCAAGATTGAACACCAGAGAGAAAGCCTGCAGACGGCCTGGATCTTGGGCCGGCATGTTTCCCGCGTCAAGGTCGTCCGCCCTGTCTCTCGTCCCAACCGCTCTCAATTCAGAGACGGGGAGAGATTCGCGTGGGAAAGATATCTCGGCTACATGGCCCTCTATTACACCCGCGACTTTACGACCGGCTACATTGACGACTTTGACTCCCCCCCATTCGACCTCGAAGACCTCGCGCGCATCATCGAACGGATCGCCATCACCTCGGCGCCCTGGCAGTCCTTTCTGGTCGACGTCCGACACATCTACATGTGGCGATCCCCTCGTCGGACGGCGAAATGGCTGGCTCTGTACTGTGTCCTTTGGTACACCCAGCACATCGTGGGCTACCTCTACTTCTACATCATCTACTCCACCGTACGCAACAGGTTCCGTACCCACTCGGTGCAGACGGTGCGGGAGAGTGTGAGCCGGGCCGTGGACCGGGAGGCGCGTGTACAGGCCTGGGGGGAGCTCATTCAGCGCCACGGACAGCACGACTGGCTGGAGCCGTTCCTGGATGAACTCGGCCCCATCATCCAGCTCCAGCTCGGGGACCTGGCGAGCTTCCTCGAAATCCTGCTCAACTTCCACCGCTGGGAGCGGCCGAACCTGACCTTGGCGACCCTCTTCTTCTTTTCCTGCTGTCTGCTCATCACGCTGTGCGCCGACATGGCCTTCTGCGTCAAACTGGTCTGGTTCGTCTTCGGCGGCGGGTTTTTTCTGACATATCCGATCGCCACGAACTTTCCGAAATACCGCCTCTTGCTGTCGCAGTTCCGCTGGGTGTTCTGGGACATCCCCACGCACGCTGAGTTGGCGGTGCTGAGGCTGCAGGAGAAGGCGGCCGCAAAGGAAGACGCCGATTTGACCGAGTTTGAATTGAGAGGCGACAATGATGACAATGACGATGATCGAACGGAGGATGAGAATGATAATGATGACGATCAGAGCGATCGAGGGCGGACAGAGGCTCGCTATGCATTCCGCGTGTACGACACTGTCCGAGGACGCGCCCGCCTCGTCGTGCGCAGGACAGGCCTCACTCTCTATCCCAAGAGCGGACAAGAAGCCCGAAACTGGCCATTCAGCTCTCTCACGGAGATGCGCAAGCTCGACAGCGTCGACGTCCAGTCCGTCTCCACCTCCGCCTCCACGCTTCAGAACCTCAAACACCTGCACACGCGGTCGGCCGCGGGGCTGCAGTTCCTTGTTCTCCGGAACGGCGGCGACCCTCCAGCAGCAGCAGCAGAGTTGACAGTCCTCTTGCACCCCGTGGACCGGGACCGCGTCTTCAACCTGGTTCTCGCATGGAGCGGGTTGCGGTGGCAGTGTCTGCAGATGGAGCGACACCATACCACCGCGGCAACGAGCCAGAGGAGTAATCTGGACAGGGCCATCAAGAGGGCATTTCATTGAGTGTTGAGTCCACTTAATTGTCCTCGCTACATTTTTGACTTGATTCTGTCAGAAAGCAACAAAAAGTACAAGGTCAGTGAGATCGTACAGGGAGCTAGCTATTTCACAGTTGTCGTAGCAGGTACTGTACATCGTCCATAACCCGCGCATCAGTTGTAGATTGCATGTTCTTCGACACCGTGCTGCAGTCTCGCATAGTACATAGTTAGACAGAATGTTCACATCCCCTGAACCCCTTTCTCTTCATCTTTTCCGCGTCCTTTCGTCCTCGTCCTAGAAGCCACGGTCGTGAGCCAGCCAGCCAGCCAGTCAGCCCCATGCTCTTTCCTATGTGGTCGAGCTCGCGGACCTGGGTGCACACCTGCACCACAGCTCGCGCCAGTCCTCGGCGAGCGGTTCGAACCAGAAGAAGCGGCGGAGCAGGATCTCCAGGAACGTCCACTCGCGCGCCACGGGCCCGTACGCATACGTCTGGAGGACCAGCTCGACCAGGCCGTCGACCTGGCGCTGGAACGCACGGTGGCCGCTGCCGTACGCGGCCAGGAACGAGATCCACACGATCGTGTCCTGCTCGGGCTGTGTCAGGGGCACCCTGTTGTTGCCGGTCGGTGCGGTCAGCAGCGCCCGCGCGACAGTGGCAAAGTCCGAGAGCAATCTGATGTGTAGGGCAGGCGGGCGGGCCTGGTTCCGGGCGCCCCGGATCGAGAGGCACAGGCCGATGCAGAGGAGGTGTTCGAGGCGGGGTTCGGCCGAGACCGGGGGCAGCGCGAGGAGGATGGAGAGGGCGATTTTGGCCGTCTCCATGGGCTCGCAGTAGAGGCGGAAGATGTCTGAGTGGGAGACCGTGGCCGACGGGTTCGAGGTCGCCGTCAGGGCGGCCCAGGGCGCGATCTGGGCGAGGAGGCCGATCATCTGCGCCGAGATGGTCCCCGTGAGAGACAGCGCCGCGAGGCCCGGTGGGAGCCGCGAGATCATGCGGTTGAGGCTGTCTGGGAAGGGCAGTCGGGGATACTCCAGCTTCAACTGCGGTATTGCGGACGGCGAAGGCGGCTGAGTATTGGGATGTTTCACAGAGGAGGCCTCGCGTTTGAGGGGAGGTTGTGCCGTTGTGCTTTGGGGGAAGGTCCGGGCAGGTGCAGCAGCGGGCATAGTGCTGGTCACGTACTTCAACATCAGGGCAAACATTTCGTTCCTTGGGAGCTCATGTCAGAATGATGGTTTCGCCAGAAGCGACCTGCGGGACGGATGGACTCTCACATTCCAAGGAAGCCCCGTAGGGCTCGATGCGCGTCCGTATTTCCCAGACCGCCTCGCAGCTCGATCATCTGTTTGACGGCTTTGTGGTGCGATTGAAACGACGCGATATCCCCGGTGATGATCTTGCTTTGTCAGATATCTCGTCGCCGTGGCGAGAAATGGTGGGCTTTCACTTACATGTGTCCCCATCAATTGCAGCACACCGATCAGTGCTCGATCATCCTGCAACGACGTGGGCTGAGACAGCAGATCACGGACAGACCGTATTGCTCGGGCTCGTTGGCTGAATACGGCCGTGGTTGGCTTGAAGGGTGGTGCTGTCCGCCGGCTTTCGAACATCCCGCGTGCCGTTGCCATGGAGCATTCGAATAGACCCTGATGCTGAAATGACAGGGGTATGAAATACGACACCGGCACGGCCCGGACCCCAGGTATCACTTTGAACGGCATCTCATCTCGGACGATGATGTTGATGTCTGTCTCTGCACATCAGACCCGGCGACGAGGCGCACGTGAAAAAGACATGGCGGAACTGATGCTTACACTCGTCAAGAACCTCCATTTCGGGGTCTCGGACCATCCTCGGAAACGACGCAAAGAGTTCCCGCCTGTATGTGTCCAGCACGGTGCGAAGGAGCCCTGAAGGAATGTATACAGTGTCTGCTGCTTGCGTTTCGTCTTCTTGTAGAGCATTCTGTTGAGTAGACACGGGTGCTACAATTGTCTCGAAGAACGCACTTCGTTGCGAGGCCGTCGCAACGGGCACAAGTTGGCCAGTGTCTGGGATGCGCGGTGGTTGGACGATGGTGGGCGCATAGTGATGCGTTGGCGCTTTTCGTCGACTGTCCCTTTGGACGAGAGTTCCCAGCCGATACCGAGAGAGGCTGCCCTGTTGAAGGAGATTCTGCTTTGTCTTCCCCCACGAGGGCTGAGCCCGATGTTGCAGGGGTTCCGCGGCGAGCATTGTTGCTTGACCTTCAGCTCTGGACACTTACAGCAGGTTGGTCTGAGAAGATGAATTCTCTGCTCCGTCCATGGTCCCTGTCAGGCACATATATCACCCAATCTCTCGGCATATTCCCTTCGAGTACAGTCCCCAGCCAGTCATGAAATGTGTCGCTGTCTGGAAAAGTGTCCGGTGAGGGAAAGTAAGAGTCTCTTTGCATGCATGCAGGCTTAATCATCTATTTAGTGGTGCGGAGCGCGTGAAGTATGTTGGACGATCTGGTCTCGTTCTCTGCGGGAAGGCTAGCTCTGTCGAGGAATGGGTGCTCGTCTTAGGTAATGTAATGATGTTTCACAAGGCACCCACAAGGTCTTAGGATGGATAGTCCCGGAACGTGGCCGCAAACTCACCGGAGGGGGGACACGAAAGAACGAGGTCTGGAGTGCATACTGGTGCGACAGCTTTCCGTTGCCGAAAAAGATCCACATGTAGCTGACTTAAGGCACCTTCTGATTTAGGAAGAATGTGTTGCGGGAAACAGTTGAAGCGAGAGAGAAGGTTTGCTCAGACAAAGCGAGCGGCCAGTGAGGTTGGGCAGGGCTTGATTAGTCGCTCTTTTGGTGGCTTATCTTTCACCAAGCACACCCAAAGATTGCTAGGGCGGAAGGATAGGAGTCGGAAGGACATGTATCCAACTGTCGCTGGGCGTCCAGGCCGCTCCCCGGTACCGTCACGAAGCGAGACTGCAGCCATCTATGTACTAGCAGGGAAACCCGAGGTGCGGGTTCGTCTGCCGAAGTTTCGTATGGAGTGGCGCAGAATCAGATTTGGTTGAACAAAGACAGGAGCTCGATCTGAGGAACCAGGATGAGGCTTCCCTGCAGCGTTGTTTGGACTCTCGGGACATCGGTCAGCGGCCGCTGGTCTGTGGACATTCAATCCTGGGGCAGATCGATCGACCATGACCCTTTTGATATGATTTCGTCTTCTCATGTCAGCAGGGACCAGGTGGTGGTGGCCCTGACCACTGCTGCCGGGTCTTGCTCCCTGGGAGGAGTGTCTGCATCCTCGTCTCACTTGTGTTGCTCTCTCCTACAGTCACCATCTTAATGCCGATAGGCACCAACCCATCTTCTCCACCACGCCACGAAATCCATCGTCGAAATGTCGATCCCCAACTTCTGCAGGTCGCTCGTGTCAAGGTGACAGTCAAACGGCCTCAGCGTCCCGTCCGGTGCCGGTTTGCCGCCATCTTTGTCGGGCACAATCCCATCCAGAGGCAGGCCCATGATTTCTGCAAATTTCTGGGTGATTTCGTATTTTGTCATGCGATCTTCACTCGAGAACTGCAGGATGCGTGGAAGCTTCTCCGGCTGCGGTGAAGCGGTGTAGAGTTTGGCAATGTCCCAACACACTCTAGCCACATCTTCCACGTTTGTCGGGTAGCGGATTGCCCAGTCGTCCATTTTCACCTTTTCGTTCTGCGACTTCCATAGGCTGTCCATCAGGACGTTTACCGCCGACTCTTTATTGTTGTCCTTCGGAGAGGTCGGGCCATACAGCACGGGAACCCTCAATACTACCGTGTTGGGGGATTTGAGGACCGCAGTCTCACCATCGAGCTTGGTCTGTCCGTAGATGTTGGTGGGTTTGGGAGGGTCGGTCGACTTGTACGGGGCTTGACCCTGGATACCCGGGAAGACGTAGTCTGTGGAGATGTAGATGAAGAAGGCATCGTGTTTCGCTGCGCAAGAGGCGAGGAGCTCCGTTGCTGTGACGTTCAGCCTGTGAGCGGCTTCTGGGTTTCGCGTGCACGAGTCCGGCTGTCTGTCTGCGGCGCCTGCATCACGTTAGCTCTAGGTCTCGGGGTTGTAGTAGAGATGCCGCTCTACAGTGGATGATAACTTGAGGTCTGAGTCTTATGTTAGTCCGCTATAGCTTGACTGCGGTATATAAGCCACCCTACTTGACCTCATCAAACAGCTTGCTGACGGCATCTGCATTTTGGATGTCCACTTTGCGGACTGGCTCGGACGCACGGTTAAAACCAGTGCCCGTTGCCTTCCAGCCAGCATCTGAAAAGACTTTGAGCACTTGACGGCCCAAGAATCCAGTTGCACCCGTAACGAGTGCAGACGGCATTTTTACAGTGGTGGAATGAGAAGTTGGGAGGATCGAGTTGGAGATTCTTTTAGGTGCAGAGGTGCTTGTCCTCAGCGATCCCACCCACTCTCTCTCGCTTCCTACCGACTGAGGAATACGGGCAGCGATGGGGACTGAATCGAGATCCAAGTCAATTCCATCTTAATTTGAACGGTATCTATTCTGGATTCTCTTGACCCTATTCTGCGGCTGCCACCTTGTCCACTGCAGTTGCTGTATCTCTTTAGCTTCAGCCTACAACCCGGCTCCCTGCATCCTGCAGCTCCATCACAGCTACCGTGTATTGTGCTCATCTCTCCTCTTCTCCAGATCTTCGCTCAAGGCGCTGATCATGATGAAAAGGTAAACGTGTTTCCAAATATTCCCAAGCGACCCGAAGGCCGAATGGAGCGGTCATATAGGTAGCTAGAGAGAAGACTGTTAGTCAAGAGACTCTGATGTCTTTGGCAGGGTTTTCGACTTACTTTTCAATAAGCAAAACACAGCATCGGCGTAAGCCTGCATAAACGTTAGTTGTCAGTCTTCTTCTAATCAAAGACGTGTTGTAACTCACCTCACTTGCTGCGTAGCGCCCGTGCACCAAGATGGAGAAAAGAAAAGAAAGAAGCGTCGAAGACGCCGGGTGCGGAGGGAAATATTTATACCCATGGGAAAAAACTCCTTCTTGGCGATCCACTAACCGTGGTCACCCAGGCTACGGGGGAGCAAGGGTTACGTCACGAAACCACCCCCCGAAATATGAGCTCCAGACACGCCTGGAAAGGGCACTCCACTTCAACACACCAGGTGAAGGATTTTATGTTAGGCACGACTCACAGACATAGAATTACAACATGTAACCGGCACGACGAAGCCTCTGAGTCGGTTTGTCACGGACACGGAACTACAGAAGCATATCTGATGCTGATCCCACAACTAGCCAACCAGAATATCCAGGATTCATTAATTTACTTGGCCCCTGAGCGGATATTGAAAGCGGTTTTAAAGGGGTTCTAGAACAGTACTCGGTACTGTAATCAAACACTGGAATTAACAAAAATCTGCATACCGAGTACGAGTACTCGGTACACTGCAAGATTGGGAGCTCAGCTTTCCAGGTAATAGTCCTTATTCTCTTGCACGGTTCGGGCGAAGGCTTTCGGAACATGCCTTTGACTTTGAGAGGCTCACTCTTGACAACCGCAAAGAGTGTGCCATGCTTCTCCCCCTGCCTTTCTTCTTGCGCTTTTTGTCGGCCTGCGCCTCAATGTACTCGAACGTGTTGGAGTCCCCCGCTGCCTTCTCTGTCTTGGTCCTGCCGAATGATGTCGATCATGTCCAAGCACTCTTCCGATTTCAAGAGGCACAATAACATGAAGTTGAGGCCATTCCATCTTGGTGGCATCTCTCCTTCGTCGCTTCTTCGCCCCTTCTTTGCCTTTTCAGTCTCCACCAAGCACATAGACCACGTTGAGAATTGTACATTGAGGTTCCCTGATGCTACCAGATGAAAGAACTTTACTAGGGTAGAATAGCAGGTACTACTGGCACATAGATATATATCACACCTGCGGAGCTCAATCCATTCTTATTGGCCAGTGAAAGCGGCAGTGCCTAAGCGTGAGCGTTACACTTGCGGTGTGACAAGAGCCGTCAAAACCAGCAAGGAAATCCAGACTGCACCCGCCCCGCCCCCATCAGCGCTTCTGACCTTCTCCTCCAACATGTCGTCCCTATAGAACCCCTCTCCAATGACTTGAAGCAACCACCAAATGCCGTATACGACCATGCCGCTATCATCCAGAGGCCGCTCTTCACGTCTGCAAGGCGCAAAACCGGCGGACTCAGAAGAGCCCCTACGCATCCCCGGGCCGGAGGTGGAGCAACGTTCTAACGCGTCGTCGTCTTCCTCTTCAACACACGCTGGACCATCCAGTCCTGCAGCTGGGAGCACGGAGCCCAGGGAGCGTGTGGTAATTGTAGTATACGACTTGGATGAGGAGTCACCTAGTGATCAGAAAGCTGGAAGAAACACTCGCAAAAGTACTCAAGAGCAAAGTCGGAAAAGCGCTCAGAAGTTTACTCGGAAAAGCAGTCGAAGAAATAGTCCAGAAACTGCCCGGGAAAGCCTCTCAGAAAGCACTCGAACTGTGCAGTATGACTTGACAAGCAGTCCTGCAGCGCAGAAGACAGTCTCGCTACAGCCACAGCCACCGCCACCCCAAAGTCAATCAACACCAAGACCATCGGAACACCGCCTCCCGCACCACGCTCCTACGAAACCACCGGCGACAAGGCCACCGCAGAGCTTGTCGTCAGAGCCGCGGACCTATCGACTGCGGAATCGTGGGTCCTTACCGGAGCCGTCATCGGAACCACCACTGGCACGATCGACACCAAATCTATTGACGCAAACGCGACCAGGAAGGGCGGGGAAATTTCAGGCACATTCGACGTCAAGTCAACCATCGAGTTCACCACCAGGAAGTCCGCACCCAGCAGATACACCACAACCACTTTCAATGCCAAGACACCCAGAGCGATCGCCAGCGCACACACAGCCAGCTGATTTCCTGTCGGCAAGCCCATCAACACCTCCACCGTCCAAGGTTTTCCCCGGTATACAAAGGTCCTCCGCATCACCGCTGCGAGAAGGCGCCGAACCCGATGCAGCAGGAACTGCATCCTCAACGTTGGCGTCGAGAGTAAGTCCAGCTAAAACAGCAACTCCCGAAACCATCAGCCATGCAAGCTCGGAGGAGGAGGAATCATCGGGTGAAACTATTTCCAGTGGCTCAAATACGGGCAGGGCTTCCAAAAAGGCATTCAGATTTGTCTACCGGACGCGAGAACGACGACAAATAGGCAAAGACAGCATAATGCACGAAGGAGATAGGGAATCGTCCAGTGTGAGCCAAGAAGACCAAAACACCGTCGACCGTTTTCTGATGCTGGCGAGAGATATATGTCGACAGTCACGCGCCTCGCAGCAAGAAAAGGCCGTAGCCGAGCTGAGGCAGGCCGCTGTCGATGCAGCGGAGTGTGACAGTCCCGATCTTGATCCAAGTCTGCGAGACCCTTTCGAGGCGCTTACCAAAGCGAGACGGAGAGATTACAACACCGGGAAGCCATCTTCAATAGAAGGGAAAAACAAGGGGGCCCCCGCACCTCGAGAGCGTCTTTCAAACATCTCGATGAAGAAATCCGTACAGCCACTAGAAAGACACCTTGACAAGATAGGCGTGAGTTTTCTTGCACCAAACCTTCGGACCGTCAGGACCGTTGAGAGCCGTAAGACCCGCAGGACCCGCAGGACTCGTGGGGGCGGTGACGGCGACATAGACGATAAGTCCTTAGATGCCGATATCTTGGAGTTCGAGCAGCAACATATTTTGGACCGCGGAGCCATGAAAGAACAGCGCAAGTGCCAAGAATTGATATGGCTTTGGCAGGGTCGTATCAAGAAATTTGTCAAGCGACCGGAAATCCTCAAGAGCAACGTCCTATACTTCTTTGTGCAAGATCGTTTTGAACCCGAGCGCCAAGTTGACTTCAAGGGCATGAAGAACTGTCTCGCGGCATGGAAAAAGGAGCAACAGCGTGGGTGCCGAATGTGCAAGCTGGCTGATCCAGAGAGTCGGCACAGTTGTTTGGAGAAAGGCTTCAAAGACCTGCCCCAACCCAATGATCGGGATCTTATTTTCGCGGGACTGATGGCCTACGCCTTTCATGAGGTGACTGGGTCAACTCTGTGGCACTGGGCCCTCGACGGGATCATAAAACCGCGATATGAGGAGTCCGAGGCAGCCAACTTGCAAGACCCCGGCTTCTGCTTGATTTGCTTTTGTCACCTATGTCCGATTCACGGAGCATTCGACCAGCCCTCTAGCGACGAGGAGGATGACCTGACATTACGCAGAGCACTCATCAACGATGATGAAGGTGGTCTTAACATACGCAAGTTTGTGTCACGCCCTAGTGCCAAGCTCAGCGCTCAGGAGAACGCTCACGCTCACCTATGCGGCATATTCTGTGTAGATCCCTCCACAAGTTTGCGAGGTCTAATAGGGAGACAGCCCGACGGGACCATCAAGGGCGCCAGCCGGACGCCGGAAGATTATATTCGACCCGTACTAGCGGATAGCGAGTTGTGCCAGTCGACATGCTTCTGGGATATCAACAACCGCCGTGATATTATGCTATCAGACGTTCACTTCCAACCATTCTTGCTGGATTCCCAACGAGAGAGGACTGAGCAGCTCCTGAGCTTCTATCTCCACAATCAACGAGCTCCTTGCCTCATCTCACGAGCACTTGGGAGCGTTACCTGCACATTGGTCTTCAACCATATCATCTTCTTGACCTTCAAAGTCCAGCACCCTGCCATTCCACGCCCTGTCTCTGCGCAGATGATCGATCAGCCACATCCAATCCCAACAACAGGCCAGAAAAGTAAGAAGACGGATTTTGAGGCAAGTGGGGACATGAACAAACGTAAACCGTTCTTCCCTTGTTCCCACAAGGGGCCGTGCAGCAGCGACAACCCGGCGTGCTCATGTGCGGCCGACAAGGTACACTGTGAATGGTTCTGCGGATGTGACGAGTCTTGCAAACGACGTTTCTGGGGGTGCAGCTGCAAAGCTAAAGGGAGAAAGACATGCTTTCAGGACAGCAACTGCGCGTGCTGGAAGCTCAACCGTGAATGCGATCCGCATCTCTGCCTCAAATGTGGTGTGCTTGATGTTCTAGATTCTTTCAATAAGTACCGGAACGACGTTCGACAAGGTCGCTGTCGAAATTGCCAGATCCAGTCGAATCTGCCTGCTAGGACAATCAAGGCTCCCAGCCAGATACATGGCAACGGACTTTTCAGCGGCGTCGACTATGCCAAGGGTGATTTTATCGGTGAATATGTTGGAGAGATCATTAGCCAAAGGGAGGCCGACCGGAGAGGCGTACTCTACACTCTTGGAAAGCGATTATATCTCTTCACCCTCAACGCGACACAGGAGGTTGACGCGTACTATTACGGCAATAAGATGAGGTATATGAACAATTCGGGTAAGGACGAGCATATCAACGTGGTGCCCTACAGTCGTTTGTGCGGTGGGGTGATGCGGCTCGGACTGTTTGCCAAACGAAATGTCCGTGCCGGGGAAGAGCTGCTGTGGAATTATGGTTTCGGCGAGGAAGTGACCAAGGGTTTCTGGGAACCAGGAGAGAAGCCGCCAAAAGACAGACAGAGTCTGCCTTCTCCTCAGCAGCGTCTCACAGGTACAAAGGGAAGAAATACGCGAGCAAAAGAAAGCGTCGACTCCGCCACCCAGGAGCAGAGCAGCCAGCGTAGCCAGTCTCCCACAGAGCCTCCGCCGCAGAGGCGCAAGAGGTGGATTTCTAAGGTTCCTGAGGGCACGAAAGCAGATTCGACCACTGATGACGAGGAAGCGGACAGGGCAGGAGGGGCAAAAGAGCGAGCTATCGAAATCCCTGATTCAGATGATTCAGATGATTCAACTCATGACAATCGTGGCAAAGTATATGAGGATAATGTGGATGCTGAATCTGATTGTGACTCTGACGGTCCGACCGATAGCTCGCGACGAAGAATGTCCAAGAAGCCCAAGCAGCAAATGCACAAAACGACGAAACGGCGACGAAACGGCGACAGTCCTCGACGCCAAGGGTACAACACTAGGTCGGACGGGAGAAGACTGATGTCAAGGGGCACACGTTGAGCATAGTCGGGACGGCGGAGAAGCCCCAGCAAAGGGAACAAGCGAGCAGTCCTCCGTACGAGATACTCCGTATATACCGAGTACCTTAGTTTATCCAAGCTCGTTTGACTTTGTGTGGGTCGTTGGCGTGCCTCGTGGAGATCGGCCAGGAACAATGGAAGCTTGCGGCGAATGACAGGAACTGATGTTCCCTTCCTAGACGGGGCCAGCATTCATTCCAGCTGCAGGGCTTGCGTGACGGACATGGTCTATCTGTTAGCTACCTACTCTGTAAAGGCTAGTCACGCCGAGAAACCAGCCGGATAGTGGCGGTGCTACATTCCTTACAGTAGCGTCATTGGTTGATATTAGCCTGTTGGAACAGGTGGTTGCAATGGTGATAGCAGTGGTATGAGGGTAGGCGGCTGGATCCGATGCTCTGTCCTCTGTACCTGCGCTGTACAAGCTTTACAGGAGAAAGAAGATGAGTCGTCTGTAGATGTCCAGCTTGTTCCGTGGAGGGGAAGCTGATGGATGCTCTCCAAAGCGTTCCTCTATCTTCTGATTGTTCGATGCAATTCGATGACGTGAGCGGCGTGGCCGTGGTGGCTGGCCCCGCTGGGTTGCTCTAGTTACTCGGTGCAGGTTAGGCGGCAAGCAGCAGTCCGTTGAGTGGGAGCTTGTCCCCTGTACAACCCCCCCGCTTGCCACCTGGTATCACCTATCACCGCCTATGTAGATGCTAGCTACCTGTCCTAGCTGCTTAGCTACTGTAGCTGGCGGTCGCAAGCGGTTACTCGGCCCTTATTCATCCATCTTCAAGTGCCTGGATGGCATCCGTTTCCCCAATAGACCAGCTCCAGCTCAAAAACCTGCAGCTTCCCCAAGCTCAGCCAGAGCTTCGACCTTTTTTTCAAAAAGCTCGAGTCTCCTCCCCATCCTGTCTGTACCTGCATTGCCCGAACATTTCGTCCCCCCCTGCCCTCATTCCGTCACACATCTGGCTGAGCCTGGCTTTGGTGAGTCCGATATTGTTGGTTTCTATTCTCGCTTTGGATAGATGGTACGGGTGCGGAGTCCGACAACGAAACATCCAGGCAACACCCGTTCGGCGGCGGTGGAGCTGGGAGCTGGAAGGTGACGCTGTGGCGGGCCCCTGTCTCCATCGCTGTCACTGCGAGTGTCTCTCCCTGCCTCTTCGTCACCACTCCAGAAGTCTTGTCGGAGGGCAATCCTGGGGGCTGGAAACACCCAGACACCTAGGCACCTCATTAATGCGCCCCCCCTTCCCCCCAAGCTTGGTCGCCGTCACCCCATTCGATCCACGGGCTCCCGCACCATTCCGAGACGTCATTCAGGCCCTGGCGCTCAAACTCAGAGCAACCTCGTCACCCGTACAAACATGCTCTTGGTGCCACTGACATCTTCGCTGACCTTCTTATCTCTCTACACTTTCCTCACAACAACCATTGTCTGGTCATATTAAGCTGCTGGCACCATTTTGAGAAAACTCCTATCAATCTTTGCTAACACAACATCGCGCACTAAGAGCGCTTAGATTCGCCCTCGGCTACTTCCTGCCTGCTGTAATCCAGCTGAGCACGATTGTTTCGCCTCTCACAGACCACCTCCCTTGACTCACTCACTCACCAAGACCACAAACACCACCATCCTTACTCCCGTCCTTCAAGATGCATCGAACATACTCTATGCGCCAATCGCGCGCTCCTACAGCTTCTCAGATTGAGAACCCCCCTCCGCCGCCGTCTTCCACAAAAAGTGGGCGCCTATTCGGTCGAGGCAACTTTGGTACACAGCGACCCTTGGGACCTTACGGTCACACACTGCAGCGAGTAGTGCTGACACAAAGAAACAGGACATGCTTTTCGAAAGGGGACCGCTGGCGCATTTGGGCCAGACCTAGCCAAGAAGCTTTCTCAGCTCGTTAAGATGGAGAAAAATGTCATGCGCAGCATGGAACTAGTGGGTCGAGAACGAATGGAGGTCGCTGTAAGTAGCCCGCCCTAATGTGACCGTGGGATGCCTTCGTGTCTGACTGATTGCCCAACAGCAACAACTCTCCCTGTGGGGTGAAGGCTGCGACGAGGACGTCAGTGACGTGACGGACAAGCTCGGTGTTTTGATCTATGAGATTGGCGAACTGGAAGATCAGTTCGTGGACCGCTACGATCAATACCGTGTTACCATCAAGTCGATCCGAAACATCGAAGCGTCGGTGCAGCCTTCGCGAGATCGCAAGCAGAAGATTACGGACCAGATTGCGCAGCTCAAGTACAAAGAACCCAACAGCCCCCGAATCGTCGTTCTCGAGCAGGAACTTGTCCGAGCCGAGGCCGAATCGCTCGTGGCCGAAGCGCAGCTTTCCAACATCACCCGCGAAAAGCTCAAGGCGGCTTTCAATTACCAGTTTGATGCGATTCGCGAACATTGCGAGAAGGTCGCCATCATTGCTGGCTACGGAAAGCACCTGTTGAATCTCATCGACGACACCCCCGTCACGCCGGGCGAGACGCGCAATGCGTATGACGGGTATGAGGCTTCCAAGGCCATCATTCAGGACTGCGAGGATGCCTTGACCAACTGGGTGTCGTCCACGGCACAGGTCAGCGCGAAGCTGTCCACTCGGTCACGTACTCTCAGCCAGAGACGGAAAGCTAAGGCCGAGGGAGTTGATCTGGCCAGTCAGGACCCCCCAATGAAGAACGACCGCGACGGCTGGGTCCCGGCGGGCCAACACGGTGAGTATGAGCAAGAAGAAGAGGAGGAGGAAGAAGAGGAAGAAGAGGAGAGACCGCAACAGACCAATGGTGAGTTCTTGATGCCGGCGTTTGCACGCGCCCGTTCTCCTCCACAGCTTGGACATGAGATCTCGGACACTAACTCGGATTCTACACCACAGGTCAACATGCCGTGGCCGCTTAGGAATCAGGTGCGATCTCCACCAACACGAGCTCGATTGCGGACGAAGATGGCATGATCAGGTTATCACGATGATGATGACAAAGATGATGAGGAAATATGGCTGGGAGAAATGAAGTGGACGATGAGAGTACTGTTCCGATGGAGATGGACGAAATGAAGCCCACGACGGGACCCCATTGGATGGCGCAGCAGGAAATCCGGAGTCGATACACGGGCGAGTGGACACAGCAGAGGAATTGCGCTCTTTTTGTCTCTTATCTTTTGAATCCGCGATAATACACCGTCGTCGCCGAGATTGTGTGGCATGCAAAACAGAAGGAAAAGGGAGTTGCTGACATGTTGTGCCACAGCAGTAATACTAATAGCAGCAGAATCTGGCCTGTTTTGGGGGAGTCGCAATAAAAATGGATGGATGTATTGGTTACGCGGCCCCTGAAGCACACATCAGAGAGCCTTTTGTCCCTTTTTCCATTTCCATTTTCCCATTCAACTTCTTCGATGGCTTTTCTCGAAGCCAGAGAGAGGGAATGCAGGTCACGTGGCAACGGAGCTGGAAGGTGATCGCGTGGCCACGACTGGGACGTCTATAAATAGATCATCCCATGAGCTGATGGCCTTTTGCTTATCCAAGCCCAAGATTGTTGGAGGTGGCGTCGAGTATTCAGTACCCAACTCCGTACGAGTCGTAGTGCCGCGTACAATCCTGCATGCCTAGAACGGCAGTATTACTCGTAGTGCTTGTAGGATCACAGGGTTGATCCTTCCCGCTAGGAGAAATTGCTCGTCAGGGACGGCAACGAGGCCAGCTTTGTATCTATCCTCTGACCTGTATATTGGACACACGCATTTACAGTGCCTTGATGACTTGCCAAGATAGGTGAAATATATGTATGTGTATATTACATCGTATCCAGTATTCGACTCGGGAGGCTGTGACAGTTCTGAGGAGAGGGGACTTCTCCTATGGATGCCGGTACGAGAGCCTCGGTCATATGCTTTGACTCCAGCATATTACTGCCGCCGTCGACATCGTAATAATGGGCAAATTCACCACGTCCCGCCTATGGCACGACAAGGGCAATGAAAGGGGAACAGAAATGCTCCATACAGGGCCCCCAATCTTGCGCCAGTCAGCACGACGACGATCCCTCCGCCTAGCAAATTTCAGCCGCTTCGGTTGCGTTGTACGGTCCATCCTGCGTACTGCGCCTGCGCCTGCGCCCGCGCCCTCCCCAAGCAACGCAACCAAGCACCTCGTCCCAAGATGCATTGAGCAAATAATGCCGAGCCACCAACTCTCCTCCTGGAGGGAAATAAGAAGTCTCGACATGAGTTCGTCGTTCAAGTCCAGACCGTCCTCACTTGACTCTACCGAGTACAGCACGTACTCGACCACTCGTTCGTCCTTCAGCTGCTCTTCGCTTTTTTCTCTTCGCTGCTTACTCTCCCTAGTCTCTATTATTATTACCTTCCGTCTTCTCTCATCCCTATCGCCATCGCCATCCACGCTCCATCCACCCTATCGGGATTGGTCCCTGCACATTGTCCATCTCTGGCAATTCGCCTGTCCTCGACTGCACGCACGCTGTGGCTGCGGCTGCGGCTGCAAGCTCCACCTCCACCTAAAACCCTAGACCGAGTTTCGCTGCGACCGCTAGCCTAGTAGTGAGCCTGCAGACAGCTACTACTCCTCCTGCTGAAAACTGCCCCCATAATCTTACGGCCCCCGACCCAAAGACCATCTGTCACATCTCACCTTGTTCGCCATTATCTTTCTCTTTTCCCTTTTCCTTGAGCGACACGGAGAAGAAAAAAGTTGATCTTGTAACCTCTTCTCCCTTCATCTTCGACATCTGGTTCTCACAAAGTCTCTCGTTTGCATTTGCTTTGGCCCTGAAGATCGAAACACCAGCGTCCGCCTCGAACGTTGATCACTTTTCCCCGCACCTGAGACCGTTGGTGCCGTTTACTCTCCAAAAGGCTCAGCTGAAAGGCAATTGAAAAAAAAGGCGATTTCGTCTCACTTCCTCAGAGAACACACAACCTCTCTCTCACACCCAGACAACATCATATCCAGCATGGTCAATCCAGGCCGTGTCTGCTGCATCGCAGCGCCATTCCTTCTCTCAATAGCCGTCCTAATATGTGTGGTGCTGATATTCATCGCTGGCACATACGATCGCAATAAGACACTGGACAATCTATACTTTGTCAAGGTAAGCACCGTTATGAGGAGTATTAGAATACCCTGTCTAACACCGGTGGCACCTCTAGATTGATATGACGAACCTCACATTAACCTCCTCCGCCAACCTTCTTTCAGGAGACAACTCCAACACGACCTTGTTGGGTGGTGCCCTCGAAGCGGCCAAGCAGTCCTTGGGCATGAAAGACTTCTACACCGTCTACCTCCGCAGCTACTGCAGTTGGAACGGCAACGACACATTTGCAAACTGCACGGACCCCAAGTCCTACTTTTGGTTCAACCCGATCAAGATCTGGGGCTTGAACAACACCGGCGTCCCCGTCGACGACTACCTGCCCAAGAGCTTTACAGATGGTGTGAAGGTGTATCACGACGCTTCCAAGGCCATCTTCTACTTGTACATTGGCGCCCTAATCGCTTCGGTCGTCACCATTCTTGTGGGCATCTCCGCCATATTCTCGAGATGGGGCTCGTTCTTCACCACCTTCTGTGCGACCGCCATGGCTCTGCTTCTCGTGGCAGGATCCGTCACCGCCACCGCCGTCTACATCGTCCTCAAGACGGCCTTGAACAACACCCTGAAAAAGGAATACGGCATTGATACCACCTTGGGCAGCTCTGTGTTCTCCGTCACGTGGATCGGCAGCGCCTTCGCCATCGGTGCCGCCTTCTTCTGGCTGCTGAGCGTCTGCTGCTGCAGTGGCAGAAGCCCCTACAACCCAGGCAGCAAGGAGGCCAGACGCACGAGGGCGGAGAAGACGCCGTACACGTACGAGAGGGTGGGAAGTCCCTACATGGGCCCCAGCGACCAGCAGAGTGTGCCGCTGAACACGCTCAACCCCCAGCCGTATGCGCCGCAACGAGGCGCCGCTTATGAGCCATTCAGACCGCAGGGTGTTTGAAGAAACCGGTTTTTCAAGGAATGAATGCGCTCTGGTCGGGCGTCGGTGTCGTTGGGGCTTTGGTTTTACGTTGCGTGTGGAGAGGGGAGTGGTGACACACTTGTTGTGGGGGAGGGTCAGGAAAAGGGACTGGACAGGTAGGAAATGATTCTGGAGTTTTGAGTATATATATATTTATATACATATATGTCTATGTCTTTGCTAGCTATCGGCGCGAAACAGTCCAGGCATTCATGCATGTCACGGTGGGATCTCAGCAGCGCTTTGGCAATAAAAAAAATATAAATACAATATTCATCCTATACTACACTTTATTCTACTATACTATACCATAGTACGTATGTGCATACGTATGTACGAACCGGTTCCATTGATTCTCCGGACCCTTCTTGAATATATGTTTATATATATACACAGTGCACCGTAGCTGACCAGAGAGGACCAGACGGATAGACAGACAGACATTAAATAGCGTAGCGTGACGGACCATACCAAGAGTGGTTATCGTAATGGTGATGTGCGTGTGCGAAGGACCTATGTACTTAGGTTGGGATATTCTATTCAGAAACCACGTAATATACTATTGCCTCGTAGTGGGGGATGGATCGCGGTCTCTTTTCCTCTTTATTTCACATTTATTCATTTGGTTTGATTTCATGTCATTCAACTTATTAATGGTCCCTTGCATGCACATTGGCCATGAGTTTCACCTTTTCCACCTTTACTCGACCACGCCCCTCCATCCTCCGCGTGGCTTGTATCCCACGAGGCCTTCGTCGCGAGCCACGTCGGCGGCGGTACGCCCCGTCAGGATGCTGAATTCGACGTCGCGGCCCAGGACGTGGAAAGGGGCGAAGCCGCCCAGGGCCTGGCCGACGTTGCGACCTTCTTCCTCTTCTTCTGCTTCTTGTTCTCGTTCTTCTCCCCTGCCAGCGCCCCCGTCGGAACGGCGGGCCTTCGCAGCCTCAGACCCGGACAAAGGTGAGGACAGGCGCGGCCGCTCCCACACCCTCTGCCCAAAGGCGATCTGGTTCGTGGGGCGAAAGCCGCAGGCGGCGCGGTCCAGAGAGAGGAACCATCGGCGTTGGTGGATCGAGTTGATGCTGTTCGTCGCCCCCGGGTAGGCGTTGTTGCGGCGTATCACAGCTTCTTCGTCGAACTCCTCCGTTGGGAGGTTAGGTGGTTTCGGGGCGGCAGAGCGGGTGTCCGCTTGGTCGACGTAGACGGGATTTATAGTCTGCGGTGTGGTGGCTGGTGTGGGCTCGTGGTATTGCTCCGCAGCAACAGAATTAGACCGCTTCGGACGAGGTGGTGATGCTGTCCGTAGAAGAGAGGACACGCTCCGCTGGAACTTCGGAGACCGTCTCGAACTGCGGCGGTCGAAGTCAGAATCTGAAGATCCCTCGCCCAGGGGAGAGATTGGTCTCTCGGACTCCGTCGTGTCAGAATGCTCAGGCTGTGATTTCCGACGCGCTGGGCCGGTCGGGTTCTGCTTGTTCCTCTTCCGTCGCTTGAACGCGGGCGCCGCAGGTTGCACGACTCGGTTGTTGTCGTGGGTGAGTCTCAGGCTGAGCGTGTAGTTCCTTGGTAGCCGTGTACCGTGCAGACGGAGCTTGATTTTGCGGTTCTGGAACGCGCGGTGGAGTTTCGATGGTTCCGACTCTGCCTTTTCTTTGCATGGGACGTCGCTATCAGAGTCCAAGTCTGAACCTTCCGTGGCGGTCGCGTCGTCAGTAGCGCTGGCTTTCCCAGAAGAGGAATCGTAGGGCAACACCTCGTATTCTCCGGTGTCCCAGAGCAGCATGGTGCCCGTGTCATGCGAGGCGGTCTCGATGAGATGATTCCACAAGTTATGCACTCGGGTCTCGGTGGCGTTGCGGTTCAACTTCCTGCTGTTCGGATCACCGGGCAGGCCGTACATGATGGCGAAGCTGACGGAGCTCGTTGCGTTACATTGCAGCCGAAGATCATAGTGGGTGCCTGCGATCGGATGGTCGTGCTGGTGAACGACGAAATGGTGCCCTCTGTCGTTGAGATTGCGGCGGTACAGGGCTAGCCAGTTTGAGTGTGAGAGACGGGGCTGGCCTCCAATGGGCGGACGCGTCGCCGCGAGGAGCTTGGACGAAAAGAAAGACACATGGTCGCGGATCTCAATTTCACCAGCTTCGACTGCTGCCGTGGTCGAGTTGGTGGTCAACGAGGTTGTGAGGTCGGGATACGTGTGGGATTTGCGGCTCAGACGCCGGGGATTGGCAGGTGGAGGGGAGATCGATCGTCTGAGGGAAGCTGGCAAAGCGAGGGCCGACTCAGCAGACTGTGTTGCCGAGTGGGCCGTTGGATCCTCTATAGCTGCATTAGGGCTGTGTCTCTTCATTAAGGAACGTGGTGTTGAAGTTGCGAAGAGTCCGAAAAGGGAAAGTCCCGGAACGAGTTCCATTCGGCGCATGATGTCATTGCCAAGCCTCCAGTTCCGCTGATGACAAAGAGTCGAGGCCTGCAGCTGGTTGGTGGGCGGTTCTTGCGCCGCTATTTGCATTTCACTCTCTCTGTCGCTTACCCAAGGATTGGGTAACCACCACAAAGCTGTTTGCTCCCTTGGGTGCTCTGTGCCTGAGAATTGACTTACAAAGTCTCCTATAATGCGTCCACGAGGTTGTTCTCGAGGTGTCCACCATGCTCTATTCGATAGCCAGGTCTAGGTATATAAGTTTCGTTCCCACTCAATGTTCTCCCACCTGTTCCATCAAAAAACCAGAGTCTTCATAACATCCACAGCACTTCTCACAGCAATCGCAGCGATTTTCATGCTTAGCAGCACCAACACACAAGATCCCATGAGAGCAACCGCCGTCCTGAAAGCAACCATGTCGAACCTATCCCACGCAAAGATCGTTCCCCGCCCCTCCAAGACCCGTGGCGCAGCCAATCATGGCTGGCTCGACACCAAACACACCTTCTCCTTTGCCGGCTGGTATGACCCCAGATACACTCAATTCGGATCCCTGCGGGTCTTGAACGAAGACCGTGTCATGCCTGGCGAAGGGTTCCCGACACACTTCCACCAAAACGCCGAAATCTTCTCCTATGTGCTGTCAGGCGAGCTGACCCATCGCGATTCGATGCAAAAGAAAGGTGCAGAGTCTCAAGACAAGGACAAATTCTTCCGCCTCCACCGTGGCGATGTGCAGTTCACCACGGGCGGCAAGGGCATCTCTCACAGCGAGTACAATGAACACAACAAGGACTGGGTGCACTTCCTCCAGATCTGGGCACTGCCATGGAAGAGGAATTTGCCCCCCATCTATCACACCAGCACGTTTTCCGAGGAGGACAAACGCAAGAATTTTGTCACAATCATCACTCCATTGAAGGCGGGTCCCAATGCGACCCTGGAGGATGAGAAGGCCGCTATCCCCGCCAAGGAGGGCACCATCCCCATCCACGCCGACCTTGTCTTCAGTGCAGGCATCATCCCCACGAACAATTCATTCACTTACCAGGTTGGCGGCGGAGATGTCGTCAGCTCCAAATCCGACCGAAAAGTGTACATCCACTTACCTGAAACGAAAGGCGGAAAGGCCAAAATCCGGCTGGACGGACGAGAGGACGCAATACTTAAGGAAGGAGATGGCGCATACGTGAGTCATGTCAACGCGGGTGACATGCTCAAGGTTGAAAGCATCGGTGACGCAGAGGCCGAGGTGGTAGTCATCGACTCGGAGTAAAAGGCCCAAGAGAGCATTGGATAACGGGAAAACTGGGAGTATGGATGGATTGGATGGACTGGATGTCTTACGTAGCGTACGAGCTGTCAATGAATAACTGTGTATATCTGCCTCTAACAATGTTGTTCACCCTAATAGTGGCCTTGTTCTGCCCACACAGTATCTCTGACACATGCATATGTAAAATCCATACACGGGGTGAGTCATTGCGAATTCCGCAGGATCGGGGATCTGCGACTAGCAAAGATAGTAGCTGGTGAACGGGAGGGATACGTGGATTCTCTGCCAATGGTCATTGAGAAAGATGCTTGTAGTCGTCAACCGCCTTAGCGAGGAAGCTCTCGACCTGCCCAATCTTGTTCCACCTCCCGAATACGAGTTGCATCACATTTCTTCAACCGCTGGAATTCAGCTGCAACGGTTCGACCATATCCATCTACTAACAAAAACAAGTGAGAACTACGCAGCGCCATCAGGTGGAGTTTGTTGGTGAAGCTGCACGGCTTCCGGGTTCCGCACTGCACTACATCAGTGATCATTGCCCTTCCCGCCGCCTCTAGAATTAATAATTTTTCCTTCATACAATAACACCTTGGTTGCATCGACGTCGCCGTTTATATCAATATCAATATCAATTACCATGTCCTTCAAAGGTCGAGCTCTCTGATCGCACTTGCTTTGGCCCGACCCATCATGACGGCGCACCACACCTCAACATCGGTCGCAATCTCGATAGCATGTCTCGCTGTTGTGGGTGCCTTATCAACTCCAGCATTTCGCCAGGTTCTCCTTCGCCTTCGAGCAAAAAAAGACCAATATCAAGAGCTCTCTCAGTGTTATGAGGACAAGGATGGAAAAGCCACCGAGGAATCTCAACGGGCATATTCTGACTTTATTGTGCGACTAATACTAATCATCATCTCAACCATTGCTTTTCTTGATGCGTTGGCCACCGCTATTCTGACGACTACTCGTCCGCAACTGTCTCTCACTCTCGAACAATGGCTCCAATTTGCAACCTGGGTACGTCTGGCGGCCGATGTCATTTATCATTGGAGCTACAGCGTCTGACATGTTTTAGGTGCTGGTTTTGTTTCAAGCCATTGCCATCTATGTCACGCCTTCGTCGAGGCAGCGATATCGTCTGGGAATCTTTACAGCCTTCTCAAGCTTGCTCATTGCCGTCGCTGTGGCTGTGGAGAATATTTCGCTCTGGCAGTCCAACGTCGCCCCGCTGCCACGCAACGCTCACCTCACTCTCTCGCTCGTCCAGTTCATCTGTGGGATCCTCCTAGTCTTCACCAGCCTGTTAATCCCCCGGCGGCCCGATGTCTATTGGAATGACAAAGTAGTCGACCGACAAAACACTGTTTCTGCCCTATCAAAGCTCACCTTCTCCTGGGCCTCGGCGATTCTGTCTTTTGCGGCCGAGAATAGGGGCCTGGACTACGAGGACCTTTACGAGATTGACCACGACGCGCGTTCTCGAGAATTAAGGGCCAACTTCGAAGCCGTCGGCCGCAAAGACAAGTTATGGAAGACGCTCTTCTGGTCGCACAAGTGGGCCTTCATCTCTCAGTGGATCATGCAAGCAACGTGCTCGATTACGGATTTTCTGCCCCAAGTCGCCCTCTACTTCATTTTGAGAACACTCGAAGCGAGGGATGAAGGTAAAGATGTCGCGCTCTCATCATGGCTATTGGTGATTGGTCTCGGTCTATCCATCACATTTTCATCGTGGCTCGAGGCTTGGATGTTCTTTGTCACATTCATGAGGATCGGCATCCCCATCTATGAACAGTTGTCCGCCGTCGTGTTTGGCAAAGCTATTCGACGCAAGGATGTCAAGGGCACCGGCAAGAAGCAGGAAGAGGAACAGGCCAACGGCAATCTGAACGGTGAGGTCGTGGTCAACATCGACGCTGGCCAAAAGGGAGAAGATCGAACTCCGGCAGAGGACGAAGATGGGGACTTCCAGAAGTCGAAGCAAAGCACCATTAACTTGGTCGGGGTCGACTCGAAGCGGATCTCGGATTTCGCGACATTCAACTATGTCTTCCTTGGGTCTGCCATTAAATTGATCTTTGCCATTGGCTTCTTGTCGAAGTTAATTGGCCCTATTCCCTTGCTGGCTGGGCTGGCGGCTCCCGCACTGATCACCCCTATCAACATCATAGCCGCCAAGCGCTATGCCACTGCGCAAGACGACCTCATGAAATACCGGGACCAGAAAATGGCTGTAGTAACTGAAGCTCTGCAAGGCATCCGTCAAATTAAGTTCAGTGCCCTTGAGAGGGACTGGTATGAAAAGATCCTCGAGACTCGGAGGAGGGAACTGAAGACGCAGTGGCAAGTGTTTGTGTATGACACTACATTGATCAGCATTTGGATTTTCGGACCCGTCATGCTGGCCGCCGTTTCATTGACAACATATGTGTTGATCTACAAGCAATTGACTGCGTCGGTGGCATTTACGACAATTTCGGTCTTCGAAGCCATTGAGATGACATTGGCGGTCATTCCTGAGATGATAACAGACCTTCTCGATGCTATAGTGTCGGCGAATCGGGTTCAAGAATACCTTGACGCCCCTGAGCGCATTGACAGCACCAAGCCTGGGAGCTCTGTGGCATTCAAAGACGCCACAATCTCTTGGCCGTCAGACAACCCGGAGAACGAGGAGAACCAGTTCACGTTGCGTAATTTAAACCTCGCCTTCCCCGAGAACGAATTGAGTGTCATCTCGGGTCGTACAGGGTCTGGCAAGAGCTTGCTCCTTGCTTCCATCATCGGCGAGGCCGAAGTCCTTGGCGGCGAACTCTTCGTTCCTCGACCACCGCCAGCGGACCAGCGATATGACTCGCGTGCTAACAGAAGTAACTGGTTGATTGAGTCTTCCATTGCCTTTGTTGCTCAAATCCCCTGGATCGAGAATGCCACCATCCGAGACAACATCCTGTTCGGGCTCCCCTTGGACAACGACCGTTACCAAAAGGTTCTGCACGCATGTGCTTTGACAAAGGACTTGGAAATGTTGCCAGATGGAGAACTCACCGACATTGGCGCAAACGGAATCAATCTGAGCGGGGGGCAGAAATGGCGAGTCTCATTTGCTCGTGCCTTGTACTCGAGGGCCGGGATCCTCGTGTTGGATGATATCTTCTCAGCGGTGGACGCACACGTCGGTCGGCATCTGTTCGAACAAGCCCTCGTAGGTGAGCTTGGCGAAGGCAGAACAAGAATCCTTGTGACGCATCATGTCGCCCTGTGCCTCCCCAAAACAAACTACAGCGTCCTGTTGTCCAACGGCACCGTGGAACAAGCAGGTAAAACAGAGGAACTGCGGCGCAGCGGGAAACTCAAATCAATCCTGGCGGAAGAGGATGAACAAGAGCAAAAGAGAGATGAGGAAGAGGAAGCTGTCGAAAACCTCACGGTCGACGACGGCGGTGGTCTTCAGAAGTTATTGACCAACCAGTCACGTCGCTCGAGGCGGAAATCTGCCCTCAGTGATGTCGGTGACAATCTAATGCGACGTCCGTCGCGTGCAAGCCTCAATGATGCGAAGCAAAACCGCAGCGTGCCAAAGAAATTTACAGAAGACGAGAAGCGAGAGACAGGTGCAGTCAAGTCCAAGATCTACGCGGCCTATCTCAAAGCTTCTGGCGGGTTCGGTTACTGGATCTTCATCCTGGCCGTCTTTGGTGTTTGGGTGGCTATCTACCTAGGCAGGTCGTATTGGATCAGCGTGTGGACGAGATCATACCGTACGGAAGCGGAGCATGTCTTTCCCCAGAGGCTGGTCTCGCAATCTCTGAGCACCCTCTATCACAATCTTCACTCTCGGTACTCCGCTGCGGCCATTGATCCCGACCTTCGATATTACCTAGGGGTCTATCTCGGCATCTCTCTCGCCGCATGGCTGATTGGCACAATTCGCTATTTTTTCGTCTTCATGGCCTCGATTCGCGCATCCAAGGTGCTGTTCGAGGGCCTGGCCTTTGCTGTTCTGCGCGCCCCTCTAAGATGGCTCGATACCGTGCCAGTTGGACGTATCCTCAATCGCTTCACCTCCGACTTCAACATGCTGGATTCGCGCATCGCGATGGATCTGGCCTTCATGCTCCACAACATGATGCACGTCCTGTCTGTCGTGATTGCGGGGCTATTCGTGTCACCTTTCATGATCGTCTTTGCAATCGGACTTCTCTCGGTGTCGATGTATTATGCACTGCGTTATCTTGCTGGTGCCCGAGAGGTGAAGAGATTGGAAAGCAATGCCAAGTCGCCTGTCTTCGAGCAGTTCGGCTCGGTGCTCATGGGCATCGGGACAATCCGTGCGTTCGACAAGTCTGACGCATACCTTGACAAGATGTACGCCAAAATTGATCGACATTGTCGCGCATACTGGCATCTGTGGTTGTTCAACCGATGGATGGGATTGCGTTTGAACATGGTTGGTGCACTCTTCGCGGCCATCACCGCGGCCCTCATTGTTTCGATTACGAGTATTGACTCGAGTCTCGCGGGATTTGCCTTGAGTTTCGCCCTCGGAATGAGCGAAGGGGTGATCTGGTTCTTACGGCAGTACTCGAACGTGGAGTTGGACATGAACGCCACGGAGAGAATCGTGGAATACAGCAACATTACCACGGAGAATCAAGGAGGCGTGGACGCACCCGCAGCGTGGCCTACTGAGGGAAATCTCGAGGTCAACGATCTGGTCGTCGCCTACGCACCCGACCTTCCACCGGTGTTGAAGGGTTTGACGTTCAAGGTGACGAAGAATCAACGGGTCGGCGTTGTTGGACGCACGGGCGCCGGGAAATCTTCGCTTACACTCGCGTTGTTCCGATTCCTCGAAGCTCGCAGTGGAAGCATCTACATTGATGGGGTCGATATCTCCAAGATCAAGCTGTACGATTTGCGGTCGCGGCTGGCGATCATCCCGCAGGACCCCGTGCTCTTCTCGGGGACGGTGAGGAGCAACCTCGATCCGTTTGAGCAGCAGACAGACAAGGAATTGAAGGAAGCGTTGGCACGGGTGCATTTGATTTCATCGACCACCGCTTCATCGTCGGCTGTGGCCAGTGGAAGCGCGACGCCCATTCCAGATCAGCACGACACGGAGACGGCCTCCAACATCAACATCTTCCGCAGCCTCTCCTCCAAGATCTCTGAAGGCGGGCTGAACCTCTCGCAAGGCCAGCGACAACTCCTCTGCCTCGCCCGGGCCATCGTCTCGCGGCCCAAGATTATGGTATTGGACGAGGCCACGTCGGCGGTGGACATGGAAACGGACGCCTTGATCCAGCGGAGCATCCGGGAGGAGTTTACAGACAGCACGTTAATCGTGATTGCGCACCGGCTGAGCACAATCGCGGACTTTGACAAGATCCTGGTCATGGGCGAAGGGAAGGTGCTCGAGTTTGACCACCCGCGAGAGCTGATGAGGAAGAAAGGAGGCGTGTTCCGAGGCATGGTCGAGATGAGCGGCGAGAGGACCGAGTTAGAGAGGATCATGGGCATCAGCACCACCGTTGGCGTCGGCGTCAGTGCGGACGGGCAGGGAAAAGAACAGGAACAAAGCCAGAGCCGTGAAGTCAAGGCAGGGACGAGTGCCACTGCGACCGCCAATGGTGGGAGGACCACTGGGGACGACGACTCGGAGGGCGGCGGCGGCGGATGGGGGATCTGATTCGGAAAAACACCGAGGGAAGAAGAGAGTGCCATCCCTGCGCCATCCCCTTCTTGCCCCCTTGAAAAAAGTAGCCACAAAAAGGCGATATCAAAAAGCGGGAGAATCTTTGCCTTTTTTCACTTCGGTGACATGTGCGGTTTGCACGCACCAACGTACATAATAGTAGTTAGTAGACCAGAAAGGAGTTTGAGAAGGAAGTGGCATGGCATGGTATGGCATGGTATGGCATGGTATGGCTCTATGACAAAGGACAATATGATTTTGATAGAGCTTCATTTCTAATTCTGAGTTCCTCGTAGCCTGAGGGAACGGAGTTGTGTTCCGAGGGTGGCTTGTATGTACATATGTACGTATCTATTCTTGTTTTATATGAAAAAAGGAGACGATGGTAGGGATAATATGAGATGATACGGCCGGAACATCTATCTGTCCATCAATCTATCTGGCGATTTTTACAGCCTTGCCATTTTCTGGCTTAGTCCAGCACGGGCACGGGCTTGGGCTTCGGCGACGACACTCCCGAAGTATGTCCCCTACATAATGAGCTGCCTGATGAGAGAATATGATGATGATGGTGTTGATAGGGCAGTGCATGAGTGAACAGGAGGTAAGTAAGGTAGGAAGGAGGAGGAGGAGGAGGAAGGAAGGATGGCAGGCTGTCTATCCGCGAACAGCACAAGGGAGGGGAGCGTCGCTCGGTACGGAAAGTACAGGGTACAGCGTCGCGCAAGTCCATGGTCGAAAGAGGAAGGCTTTGTGCAAAAGGGAAGGTGTCGTCGAAATGAATGGGTGCTGCACAGCGTGAGCATCCAACTTGGTCGAATCACAGGCGATGGATGGAGGAACAACACAACACCTGTTCTAACGGGCAGACGTCTGCGAACACAACGGCGACGTCGGAGTCTGGGGGCAGCAGTGGGGGACGATGACATCTAAGGAAGGCGTTCTGAAAGGTAATGCGTATAGAAAGAATGCGGCATGCACGGGGAAAAGAGTGCATATAAGGAAGGCGTTCTAAAAAGGAAGACATGTGGAATGAAGCATCCGTGGCAAAAGGAGTAACGCACCGCAGAAGAAGGGAAAATATTGACGGCGAAGAGGAGACCGAAAGGGAAGGCGTCCAGGAGAGGAAACCGTACGGGTGTCTTGTACACGTATGAAGATGAAGACGAGATGTGGGGAAACATCGAGGCCACTACTGTTTCTGGGACAGCGTTGGCTGGAAGAGAGAGGCATACAGGAGGCCGTAGAGTGAACAACGCTTGGTATAGCATGTTGAAAGAGGAAGCCGTCCGAGAGAGGAAAGCGTTGACACCATGCTTGATGCAAGGCCAAACTCCACCATGTCGGGTGTGGCTTCAGCTCGTTGAGTGATCATCTGATATAAAAGCCCGGCACCTCGACCTGTCCCTCAATGCACAGTTGTCTCGTGTTTCGTTGAATCCATGGGCAAGTCGTGAAGGCGTCAGAGCCACACCCTCACTTCCCAAACAACCACACAATATGGCTGTAGATTACGTGATGGGAGCGACCTGGGAGGCTTTCGGGCACAGGAACCAGGGATCTGAAGGTCGGCACCCCACCACCCTCTGCAGCCAGTGTTCCTGAATATAGGTGAATGCTCTTCACGCCTGTCTGTCCCTTTCTTGCACCAGTGGTCCGGCAGCAGGAGTCCCCCTCCTCAAATGATCCCTTGTCGGTTACCCAGCAAAGAGTCCGCGGGTGGTTCACTGTCGACTGTGGCTGAGAGTCTGATCATCTGGGCGCGGCGTTCGAACCAGACACTTCGACAATCTCCCATCTGTACGGGAACGGGTTCCCGCCATCACTCAACTAAAAAGACTCTGGAAGACAGACTTGGAGTCTCTGAGTCGACCGCTAGTGCCACTGTACGTTATAAGCTGGCGCTCGCTATGCCATAGCCCGTACGTGGTGGACGGGGGCACGACTGGGAGGTGCTCGTCCCGACAACGGAAAGTCGGTGGGTAATGTACCCAGATCTGCTCAGCCTTCTAAGTCCATAAGTCAGACCATCGACGCTGGCAATAAACGTGGCTATAATTCATCCTTACTTGTAAGACCGTCACGTCTCTTGACAGGGTTCGCTGCCGCCGAGACCTCGAAGAATCCCTCCAGTTCCATATATTCGGCCGCAAACACGGCAGTCAGAAGCGCCCAGTCTTCGACGGTGGGAATGTCTAGATGCTCGCCGTCGTCCCTCATCGTATGCCAGACGGAAGGAAAACGGCCAGGGATGAGATGCAAAACTTGCACGCCTCTGGCAATGAAAGGGATATGGTCGTCTTGCATGACATAGCTGTTGAATCTATCGGTCTCCTTTTTGTCCTTTTCCGGCAGCCAAGTGTGCGATGGGTTACTTCTGAACAGGCCCAGTTTGCGCAGTCGTTGCTCGGCTTCGGCCATTTTCACATACGACCAATGGGACGTATGCTGCCAGGAAGGGATCGGAAGGTCTTCTGGGGAGCCAAGAAGGTCGAGGAGAACAAACAACTCGATAGAATCGAGGTAACTTTTGTAGATACTCATGGCAGGGTGCATGGTGTGCTCCCACTCTTCGGCTAGCGATCTTGCTCCGTATATACTGTCGGTATCTGACCAGCTGAAAAAGGCCTCCTCGCCGTCGAGAAACAGCACCTGTATCCCCTTTTGCTCCTCGAAGTCAGGATCCGTGAACCCTTGCTCTTGCATCGTCGCCCACTTCTTCGCCAGAGCAGCATCTATGGATCTGATGGCATGCATGATCATGGCACATGGTGCGGCGGAATCCGTTGCACCAATGAATCCGTCCGGCTGGTACTTTGAGTCGTAGTGCGCTACCAGGGTCAAGCGACCGACATCGCCGGACTGCGACCACGGGGGGTCTCGACTGGCAATCAGGTTCACAAAGGGCACCTCGGTGTCTCCGTGGGTGGGAGTCTTCGAGGTCGAATTTTGGAAAGTCAAGGACCACTCCGGCAAGAAGGTGTGGAAGAAATCGACGAAATGTCGGAGGACCTTTTTGGAACCATCGGTACCAGGCACTCGAGGTATCAGGATCGGCGCCAGGAGATTCCCAGTGTGTATATCAAAATCGCTGGTATCCGGTCGGGGGAGACCACGTTGAAGGGTTTCATCGGACAGTGGGATATACGCCAGGACTCCTGGCCATATCGATATCAACGATATCACGGTCGAGAGCCATGTCAGCGCCCAGCACCGCATTTTCACAGAAGGGACAGAAGGGGCAGGAGGGGCACGATCATTGAAACATCATCATAGCAGCTGGAAAGTATCAAGGAGGGAGGGAGGGTGGGAGGCCATTGACTGAGAGTGTTGTCGGTCATGTTTAATTCTCGGCGCAGTTTCCGCCGCAGGACGCGCGGATCTCCAACTCCAATGCGCCGTTGCACTCGCGTTTCGCAACTTCTACCAAAAGTGATTGAGAGCAGTTCGACGCCACGACTGAGACAGATGAGAAGCCTGCCCCCAGCTCTGGTGGCTGAAGTCCGCTATGCCTTTCAGTCCTGCTCTAGGCAGTATACTGCCTCCAGAAGGACCCAGTTCAGCACCCTGCATGCAAGGCTAAAAAAAGATTCCCAGCACCCCAAGAGCGACAATGTTCCCATCCAAGTGGTCCACAGCCAGCTGCAGGCTCAGAAAACGAGCCTCCCTCGACCGTTGATACCGCCAGCCCCAAGAGCATCGGAGAGCAAGGAACTGGTCCCCCAGGAAGAGCAGGAAAGGACTCTCGACACAGGCCGCAAGGTCGAGGTACCGTTCAAGGTCATTCCGAAGGCCGAGATCGCTCCAAACTTGACCCTGTCTCCCAAAGAACGGCTCCATATTGAGCAGTTGACAAGGCGACTACCTCCCCGGCCCGAACCCAAGGGTGCGTGTTTCATGCAAGTTTCTGTGGCGGGAAGATACACTGACTCGGCACAGTGTACAAGAAGAGATTACGCATCTATACGGCTGGCAACGGGAGGATATATATGCTCACCTTCCTTCGTTTCACCACGATAGCCGCCCTGACTTTTGTTACCGTCATCGTGGCCCCAGCCCACTGGGTTAGTGGGAGTTCATTGTGGACTGTAGCTGGCAGTGAGTGTTCCCTTGTCGACGCAATATCCGGCCGCTGAGCTAGAGTTCTGCAGTATGGCTGGCAGGCTTGACGCCGTTCATCTTCGTAAACTGGGCGTTGAGACCAATGGTGACGGAGATCTTCCTTCGGCTTCCAGCATCGGCTCAGACATCCCCCAAAGTAGCCATGGCTTATGCCAAAAGCCTACCGGGGGATGCGACACTGGACCTCAGGTTCATGCGATCATTCACTATCACGGATGTAGTGACATTGAGGATCGCCAACACGAGACCGATGAGAAGCCTCTTTCGGCCCGTTAGCTTTGAATGGGTTGGACCGATGGTGGAACGCGGTGGGTTCCTAAGACCGAACCCGACTCAGTTCTATGTACGGCCTGAATCGGCGAGTGGAAGAGCAGCAAGGGATGTCACTCCGGGGATCTGGAGCAAAGTGTACGAGAGACTTACTGGGGTCGAAAGCAACGCAGTGTCCAAATGGCGGCGATGATCGCGGTACGAATTCATCACAAACCGCACCTCACCTCACTTCACCTCACTCTTCACTTCACTTCACGCAACCATATTGAAGATGGCTGCCCATATAGGGTGCTCTGGTATTCACTGACCGTACCTTCGTCTCGCCAAGTCCAGCAGTCACTCGTCTTCTTCTCTCTGATTAACCTCTCTCTCCTCACCCTCACCTTTGGCCATCTCGTCTCTACTTCTCTCCCTCGATTCGAAACACGTCTTCCTTTCGCCACTGCTTCGTTTCTTTTCCTTCTACACGTGCATCTAACAGAGCCTCTCACAGCACCCCATTCAAAAACATCCATCCACTATGTCTGACAATCCCTCGACCAAAGCCTTTGGTGGTTTGAGTGCTCGTGAGGGAGAAGTCGTCCTTGCGGCTCTTCAGTGTATCAAAAGTGGTGACATTCAGGTAAGTGTCGCCCAAATCCTCAAAGCTTGCCGGTTATTAGCCATGTCACCTTCATCGTCCGTGCCACTGACCCTCGTCTTGCTTCTTTTCAGATTGACTATGCAGCCCTTTGCATGAAGATTGGCTCGAAGAACGAGGCTTCGGCTAGAACGTCCTGGTGCCAAGTCAAGAGAAAGCTGTTCAATGAAGTGAAACCGGGGTCTGCGGAGGAAGCAAGCGCTGCCTCAAAGGCAAAAACACCGCGAAAACCCAAAGCCACAACCACCAGCACTACTCCGAAGTCAGGCAAGGGAGCTTCCAAGACTGAGGCTGACGACAAGGACGGTAAGGATGGTGACCACGATTCTGGTGATGGTGAGAGCAATGGTTCCGCAGCGCCAGCTGCAGACGGCGAAGTGAATGGAGCCGAAGGTCAGTCCGAGCAGAACTTGGAACATCTCCGTGTTCAACCCAAAGCTTCCAGCTACATCATCCACGTCATTGTGGCTTTTCCACGCTGACCCATCTTGATCTCATATCAGAAGCACCAACCACCCCCAAGACGCCTACGACGCCCAAGAAGCGGAGCCGAAAGACCAAGGCCGAAAAGGAAGCTGAGGCCGCCGCCAACGGTGAAGAAGCTGCCGGCGAAGGCGAAGACGAGGAGAAACCGGCAAAGAAGCGTAAAACTCCAGTGAAGAAGAAGGCTGCTGAAGGTGCAAACTCTGGTGAACATGACGGCGAAACCAAGGCTACCCCTGTCAAGGGAAAGAAAACCGCCACTCCACGCAAGACCGCCGCTGCCGCAACCGACAAAGACTCGACTCCCGCTGGCACTGGCGACGAAGTGCTCATGATTGTTGAGGTCGCCAAAGTGAAGAAGGGAGAGGATCCTGTCGTTGCCGCTGGGTTCGTTTCCGCCCTCTAGCAGACCTTCCTTCCTGGCGTGCTACTAACTCTATGTCATTAGGACTACCAATACTCCCAACGGAAGTGTCGGTGATGCCGTCAACACAGCGGTCGAAGCCATTGCGGCCAAAACCACAGAGAATGTCGCCGGTGCGGAGAGTGGCAATTGACTTCACTTTACCCTTTCCTGCCTTCCAGCCAAGGAGTGAAAAGATAAATCAATCAACCCGGAGCTTTTTTCAGTGTTTCGCACTATTCTGCTCTACGACATACAATGTGGCATACGTCCGAACGTCTCATGTCCCGAGTTGCGGCTCATGCATGGATCATGGATGGATGATACAGCGGTGACAAGGGTGGGGAGAGACAAAACGAGCGCGCTTGAGATCAGAAGGAAAGAAAAAGAACCCAAAAACAAAAACAGGCATGGACATGGACATGACGACACAGTAGGATCTGATGGTGGATGGGTACATGCCTACGTGCATGCCTGCGAAAAGCCCGCAGTGAAAACTTGGAAAGTTGAGCTCGGTTTCCACGAGATTTGCGGTGTTGCTTGCTGTGCTGTCTCTTGGGTTGGGAGGGATAGGACATCGATCGATCGATCGTCAGGATAGCAGCAGTTCCACACCTTAGTTACGTACTACAGTGTAGCTATGGAAAAAACAACCTTCCAAGTCCAGATCGCAGATTCGCGTTCCGAATCAAACAATGAACATGGTGTGAGTGAGTGAGTAGGAAAGGAAGGAAGGCAGTAGGTACTCGGCACACCACACCACACCACACCAAATTCCTGCGTTATTGTTATTGTTACTGATGCCCGCCCTACAAGCCCTCTCTCTCTCCTTCCTCCCTCCCTTTTGCGTGGCTGTATATCTCGGTTCTCTTTTTCAGAGAGTCTCGATGCATGAATGACCCTTTCACATTCACTCTCCGTTCCGCACACGGCCCCGACGATCCATAATCTTAGTGATATTGTCAACATATTCACATTGTCGTCGAAGAAGAGAACAATAATCTATCTGTCAGCTGCTCCGTGTACATTGTAGATACATAGATACAGATACATGGGTATATACGTATAACTATATATAATTGTACATGGCTATGCTATGTAATGCATGACCAATTGAGCTGGCTGCAAGTAGACGTGGCTGACGCTTTACTCCGAAGCACCCCTTCTCCTACCTATGGACGGTGGATCTAAATTAATACGACTGATGTATGGGACCCGCGAAGCAAGTGTGAAGAACAAGTCAAATTCTTTCGCTCGGAGCATCTAAGAACAACAAGACATCGAGTGTTCCCGTACTCCATACTCAGTACCTTGTCCACTGTAACAACTGACATCACCAAACACCTTGCGATATAAGAAATAGCAAGGAGGTGGAACAGGACAAATAGAACAGACAAAGACCGGCTCAGACATCGCTAAAGCAGATGCGGCTGGCGCTCACAAAGCCTCAATGCACTTGACCAGCACGTCAAGTCCTCGATCTTCCACCTCCTTTCCCTTCAGAATCCACGCAAGATCACTCAGAATCCCCAAAGGTACTTCTTTCTCTTGGTCCTTCTCAGTCGTCCCCTTGGCCGGAGTTTGGCCATCGCGAACGCTCTTCACCCTCTGCTTTCGGGCCATGAGGTTGGAAATCTCCCATTCCTTCGCGGCTTCCTCCGCCCGTTCAATGACTTGGTTCGAGATGCCACACATGCTGGCGCAATGCATACCGAAAGATCCCTCGGCGGTGCCCTCCTCCAGCTTGTAAAGAAACGTGACACGTCTGTCCGCATCATCCACAAGGATCTTCATCCTCTTTGGCGCTATTTCTGGGTGATGGGCAAACTCCGAAGACAGCGAGTGGTAATGTGTGGCAAAGAACCCCAAGCAGCCAACGTGTGTGGCCAAGTGATGCAGCACCGCCTGTGCGACGGCCACGCCATCGTGTGAAGAAGTTCCTCGTCCCAACTCGTCAAGGATGACAAGGCTGTGTGGTGTCGCCTCGCTAAGAATCTTCTTCGTCTCGGCCAATTCGACAAAGAACGTTGACTGTGCGGCAAAAATGTGATCCTGAGCTCCTAAGCGCGACATGATTCGGTCGAAGGGAGTGAGCCGAGCCGACGCACAGGGGAGGTAGCAGCCGATCTGAGCCATGATGACCGCGACACAGGTCATTCGAAGAACCGTGGATTTTCCTGCTGCATTCGCGCCTGTCAAGAGAGTGAGATTTGGGGACTCTCCTCCCAAAACAATGTCGTTGGGAATGAAGTCGTCGACTTTGGTCAACAGGCAGGGATGGCGTAGATCCACGAGTTCCAAGGTCGACCGGCCAGCAGTATTGGAGTCCGTTGGGTCGACGAATTCAGGGCGGCAGCTCGGGTGTCCCAGAGACGTGCTCGCCTTCGCGAGGGAGATCAAACAGTCTAGTTGCGCGATAATCTTGACCGCCGCAAGCCATATATCGTAATTTTCGTCGAATTTGGCGTAGAGTTTGCGGGCGACGTCCTTGACGATCTGTGAGTGTGTCTCTTGCGCTTCTTGCAGGTTCCGCACAAGGTTCCGTAGTTCAGGAAAGTAGTATCGCTTGACGCTCACGGTGGCGGACATTTGGTCCCAGGAAGCGGGCACCTTGATGCGGGTGGGCACTTCCATTTGCATTATTTCCTTGCCGTTGTCGCGGTAGCAGATGGCGTTAGATTTGAGCTCTTTGCGCCATTTCTGGAGAAGTCCATCAAACTTCCCGTTGATGGTATTGATAATGTCCTGCGATGTGTCGAAATCTTGTTCGATTCCCTCTTCGGGTACCAAAACCCCTGATTCCTTAGCCTTGGTACGGTCAAAGGCATTGTGCCAATACTTGAGACGCCCCTCGAGATCTGGCATGGCGGAGATGAGTTGGCCAATAACCCCGTCACCGTCCGCCGTTTGACCGTTCCCATCTCGCAATAGGGATATGGTGTGGTCGATCTGCTCGAACCCTTCGAGAACTCTGACGAAATCCTGAACTTTGCAGGTCCCAGCGTGGACACGAGATATCAATCTCTCAAGATCCGGCATCTTTGTCATTTGCGAAGTGAAACGGTCCCGGACTTTGGCATCGGCGTTGAGCGAATCGACAGCGTCCAGTCGTGCGTTGATCTTTTTCGTGTCCATGAGTGGATGGCACACCCATTGCTTGAACAAGCGTTTGCCGAACGGCGTAATGCAGCGGTTGAGGAGCTGGAAGAGCGTGCCTTCACTTCCCCCATCGTAGGAATTGGCGAAGATTTCCAGGTTGATCAAAGTCTGGCCATCAAGGACCAGGCTCGTCGCTTTCCGGATGGGGTCGTACCAAGTGAAGTTACCCATTGTCACGAGATCCCGCTCGATCTTCAAGGATCTTAGATACTGGATCAAAGCACCGAGAGCGGACATGAGAAGATCCTTTTCTTTCGCCTGTTGCAGGACTTCCGGCCACTCGTTGGGAAAGTAGTTCTCTGCTTCGAGCTCTTTGGCAGTGATGTGGCCTTCCCAGAATTCTTTGCCAGGTTTCAAGTAGTTCCAGATAGTCGTCGGACTGGTGTTGTTCTTGAGTATACGCAACGTCTTCGTCGTCACGCCGCCCTTTTCCAACAAAAGCTCTTGCGGTCTTGTCTGAGCAATGAAAGTCTCAAATTTGGTCAGGTCTGCATCGTCAACGAACTCTGATACGTGGAATTGACCAGTAGCAGTGTCGACGAAGGCGACACCAAACGCGGGCAGGTCCTCGACCTCGGATTCCTTGATTGCTACGCAATAGGTCGACATGTCGTCCTGCAGCATTGTACCGTCGACCAATGTGCCCGCAGTGAGTACACAGGCCAGTTCTCTCTTGATGACTTTGTCTTCTTTGCTCTTCTTGCTGGCAAAACCATTGGATTTTTCGTCCCGCTCACGCATGTCTTTACCCAGAGCAGTCTCTTGCTGGTCAACTCGAGCAATCTTGAACCCTTTTGCGACGAATTGGTTTGCCCAGAGTTCCAGACTCGACTCTGGAACGCCTACCATTCTCATATTCACACGGTCGGTCAACTTCAGATCGAACAATTGATGGCCAATAGTGGCGTCGTTCTCGTAGAGTTCATAGAATTTCCCTTTCTTGAAGAATACGATCGTGTCCCAGTACTTCTGCTTGATTTCCCAATACTGCTTCTCGAACGGAGAGAAGCCCTTCCAGGCCATGGGTGGGATATACAAGGTGCGTGGGTCGTAATCAGGATGGCCGGGTGGATTGCGGTCCATATCTCTGATATCCTCAAGCCACGCATGGCGTTTCTCCGGTTCGGTCATGTGGGCTTTCTGTTTCTTTCCACTTGGCTGCTTGGGCGGAATGTTGGTAGGTCGTGGTTGCAAAGGCTGGGGATTTTCGGGATCGTACGTCCACTGCTGAGCAGTTGAAGTGTCCTCAGGAACCTCCAGATCGTCGGCACGGACGACAACTCTATCTGGTGCAGGGGTGAAATGAGACGACGCGGTCCGTGAAGTGCTTTTGGACGCCAGCTTGCGCTTAGCAGGCCGGCGACGTACTTCCTCTTCAGAGTCGTCCGGGACAATGAAATCATCCATTTCTACCTTGTTAGCACAAACCCATCTTAGTTGCAGGGAGGTGTGTACCATCTTCCGCCTCCGCCTCGTTCTCCTGCTCGTAGACGTCCTCATCCGCACTATCGGAGACTCGTCTGCGTTTCGTAGGGCGAGACCGGCGCCGAGCGGTAGGTTTGAACACATCGTCACCGTCGGTACCTTCGCTGTCGGACTCGAGATAGTTGATTTTCTTGTTTTTAGCCTGTTGCCTCGATAATTAGCACAGCGCAGTCACAGACGCGTAAGGTCCCTCACCCGTCGTGATGGTGTACCGTGGGCAGTCAATTCCTCTCTGCCATTAGTCTGCTCATCGTCAGCTGAGACTGGCGATGGCAGACTTTTGGAAGGAGGCAGACTCGCCTTTGGAACAATGTCCTCATCCTCAGGTTCCAATGCGTCACTGCTGGGAACAGGGGTCAAAGAACTTGATGACGTCCCGGCCGATTTGTTGCGAGGCTTCAATGGAACAGGCGTCTCAACTGCTGACCGACTAGGCAACGTGGATGGCGAGACAGTTGAGGGTGTCTTCTGGAAGAAGCCCAAGAGAGTCTTCTGTCCACCTGCGGAGGAGGATTTCTTCAAGGCAGGGGTGGAAGCAGGTGTCGAGGCTGCCTTCTTCGTCATGGCTGAGAGGCAACGAGACGCTTCGGGCCTCTATACAGAAATTAAAAAAAAAACTATCAATGGCTGGACGGATTGATTGAATCGCGAGAAATCCAAAGATGTTGGAGTGATGCAACCGCGTGGAGAAATAACGAGTTGCTAGCGCGTTGACCTTCGACGCGTTAAGTACGCACACAGTAACGGCAATGCGGGTCGCCCCCCCTTATTATCAGCCTCATCCTTTATGCCAAATTGGCTTCAGCAGTTGATCATCTGATATTGATTTTACATGTTGCCTTGATGCAGGCTATTATTCTGTTGTTACAGCTAAGATCACGACGCCTTCAAGACCGTTGGCTCATCGCCTCCCTGTTCATGTCCAATGGTCAAATCTGGAGTCTCTTTGCTCTCTGGGCGTCCTTCCCATCCCGGGCATGATAATCCAAGCTCCGCGTATTCCTCGTCGGGGACGATGTTGACGATCTTGATCTTCCACTTCCCTGTTCGAAGAATAAGCAGGTTGTCGTCGATGATCCATTTTTGCACCTCTTTCCAGTCAGATGTCTTCACAGGTGTAAAGCTAAGGCTATCATCCATCTCGTTTTTGGCGTCGGATGCTCCTCCCACGTACGCTCCTCCAGCATTAATAAGTCGCTGGCCCTCTGTTTTTGATGTCACCAGGCCAGCCGACCAGAGAATGTTACTCATAGGTTTCTGGGAAATGACGCTCCGTGGGAGTTTGATGTGAGTGGAGGCATTGTCTTCCCGTCGCAACGGCTGAGCATGCTTGTTCAACGACGGGTGGGCAAACAGGGGCGTTCCCGAAGAATGCGTGTCAGCCTTTTGCGTCTCCTCCAGGCTTGCCTTCATGTCGCTGAGGCTAAAGCTTTTCTTGAAAAGCTGACGGTGTTCACTTTCGGCCTGGGTCGCAGCATCCAGGCCGTAGATGAGCTCCACGAACTCTTTTGCGAGCTTGTGTTGTGCTACACGTTTTGACTGGTCCTTCCCATGTTCTTCCATAACTTCACTGATCTTGGACAAGGGCAAGAAAGTCAGCAACTTCAGATATTTTTCGACATCTGAGTCTGAAGACCGGAGGAAGAACTTTGACGAGTGTTAGCCTCATCGAGCTCCACGAAAGGGACAAGCTCATACCTGGTAGAGATCGAAGACGCTGGTCATTTCCGGGTTGAGCCAGACGGCATTACCAGCGCTCTTTCCGAACTTCTCTCCCGAGGCCGTAGTCAGGAGAGGCACAGTGAACCCCATTGGATCAGGGCTGACCTCAATGCCGCGTTTTGAATCGAGAAGTTGAGTTTGCCGCAGGGCCACCTGGTACTCGTGCGAGTCTTTGGCAATTTGCTTCACAGCTTCGGCACCCGCGAGGATATTTCCAAACTGGTCTGCACCGCCAATCTGCAGCTGGCACCCGGATTGAAATAGGTGCCACCAGTCCCATGCCTGCACCAGCGGGTAGCTGAACTCGGCAAAGGACATGCCATCTCCCTTTTCCAGCCGATTTTTCACTCTGAAACCCCATTGTCAGCGTCTAACGCATCTTGAGAGATTCACCAAGAAGGATGTGCTCACGTGTCTCGACCCAGCATCGGACCTATACGGATGTGTCGACCGAGGATGGACAGAAATTCTCTTGCTGTGACCTTAGACCACCAAGTTACATTGTTCTCGAGAGATCTGCGCCAGGCCCATTCCCGCGTGTATCCCTTCCGTGCGGCGTATGTTTCGATCGAAGCGCCCAGCCTTTTCAGCTGAATATGCATAGCTGCCATATTGGCTTTCCTCTGCGAGGGGGACATGATTTCTCTGCCTTTCAATCGGCCCGTTGGATCTCCAATACTCGCGGTAAATCCCCCCAACTGGCGCAGGTCAGCAACTCCGAAAGCGAAGGCCAACGTGGATGGTGTGTCTTACAATGAAGTTGGCCTTGTAACCATGAATGTAGAGCCAACCCAGGACCATGAAAGGCACCATATGACCAACGTGCAACGACGGAGCGGTAGGGTCGATGCCAGCATAGACTCCGACTCGGCGATGGGTGAGTAGCTTGTCCAGATCTTCTCTTGTGCTAAAAGGCGTCCGTCAATCACCGTAGACGTCTGTGGTTCTGTTCTTGGAGATCCTCACCCCACAATCTGATTGATGTATCCCCGTTCCTCAAGTATGCTCAGCATCGACTTCATATTGCCTTTCTCGATCTCCCTGGCTTTGGCACGCCATTCTTCTTCCGCCTCTTGGATCCGTCGCACGTGGGCTTGGGTGATCCATCTTTGCTGGGAAGATGGGATCGGAGAGGGATTGCGCTCGCGAAGGTGACGACGACAGCTGTGGCAGACGTAGAGGGAGCGACGAGTTGCCCGGAGGGGGATTGACGTCTTCATGAGGCTCTGTCTGTACGCTTGCTTACAGTTCAATGCGGGCGCAACCAAGTGAATGCAGACGAACTGCGGAGCGAAAAAAAGTTCATGGTTTCGGGGACGGACTTTCGGCTAGTCGGCGCAGAAGCCGCCGATTATGATCCGCCAATCACCAAGTCAACAGACTCGATAGCATCATTTCTCGCGGTATTACTTCTTCCGTTTCGAGTATCATTAAAATACATAATAGTATTAATTGTTAGCAAATGTGTGCCACATTCCACATTCAGTATCCGTGAATGGTGAAAACACATGATCGTGTCCACACGGGGTGGAGCTGGCAAGGCCGCCAAAAAAGATCGAACGCAAAGCTAATGCATCAGGGTTATGTGTGCATTCATGCTGCTGCCAACTCACGCTCTGACTCGACGTGTTTGCCAAAAACCCACGGAATCCTTGTCATGCGAAAGGATCAAAACCAGAAAGAGAATAGACTGTTGCTCGTAATTTACGAGATCTCATCGGATCGGAATTGGCAGGTATGTCACTTTGGATAGGAACGATATATATTCGTTGGTGGACTGACCGAATCGGTACATTCTTCACGGGTTGATATTATTATTAAGTCGGTGTGATTCATCCGAGACGACTCTTCTAGCTAATATCCCAACGGGACAGACACTATGATATCCAGGCGGAATGTACCGAGTAATAGATAATAGATGTTGAGCTTGTTTGGTAGCCGATATCTGTGCCGCGCCACAGCGGCTGTCTTTCCCTTATGTCTTACACTTCTACCTCGTACGATGTTGATATACAATACGCATATCGTTTTGCGTGTTCGTTTAGTCAGAACCAACGCTTTCATCTACCGATTACTTAGTCGCCTACATGGCTCACCCCAATGGGCTGAATCAAGATGTATGGCCTCTACTTTATAATTACACTCCTCCATTAATTACATGGTCCTCTACCTGCGGTCCCCACCCTCCAGCTCCGTTTTGACTGCTCCAAACAACAACCCACCGGCCGGCACCACTGCCGCCCTTGGCTAACCAACGAATCCTTTGCGCTCTCGCCTTCCCGAACGGGCTAACCAGCTGGTTCCTCCTTGGGAGGGCGTTGATGAAGATCGTCGCTTGGGAACAACAATGTCAGGCCATCTACGATCACCAATACAGCACTGAGGCCCCCATCCCGGCGATTCGGATCCTTCCAGGCTTGACGAGCCTATCGTTACGTCCAGACCTCGAATCCGGGGGCCTCCTTGCTCCATATTATGGAGTAGCCCACAAACTATCCAGGGGTCCCTTGACCTACCTCGTACAATGTGCCAGATTCCCGGCTACGTCCAATCCTTGAGCTTTCCTTCAGACTTTTCAAACTTCGAGAGAGCCCCGCCGTGGAAACCAAACGGGCCGGCAACCGGAGACTGGTTCTGCCAATATGTTAGGCCTTGTCCCAGCCCATGGATTTATAGACTCGAACTCTTTCTCCACGAACGAACGAACCCACGACGTCAACCGCCGTGAGGATGCATTGACGACGCTGGTGACGGCGAGATTCGATCCAGTCACTACATTTTTGGACAACGTATCGCTCAATTGCTGTCATCAACCCTCCCGTCATGTCCAGACCCTGTAGTCCTCGGAAACAACGACATCCGGCGACGTGATGAGCGACAGTTACTACACGGGCACGTTTGACACGACGACGATCATTGTCACCATCACCTCGGCGCTGTCCTTATACAATGCACTGGAGCTGATCCTGCTGATCTTCACGACATTTGCCGTGTATCGTGGCCTCTATTTCTGGTCGCTGCTGGTGGCGACCACGGGGTTGATTCCTTACGTCGTCGGGCTCATCTTGCTCTACTTCCAATTGACCGCTAGTGTCGCTGGTCTGGTCATCAACAGTGAGTCCTCCTGCTGCTGTTTTACGACGACGCACTTTTGTGACACCGGGTCGACCGCCACATCCAGCAATAGCTGACAGAATCGCAGATTATGGCTGGTGGACGGCCATCACAGGCCAGAGCGTGGTGCTCTACTCGCGACTGGGAATCGTACTTGGAAAAGGCAACGACCGCATCCTGAAGTACGTCAAGTGGATGATCATCGTTGACGCCATTTGCTTCCACACGACAACAACTGTGGTCGTGTTCGGGTCGTACTATGCATCACCACCGGCCCGGGCCCCCTTCTCTCGCGCCTACACGTACGTGGAGAAGATCCAGATGACGGGCTTCTGCATCCAAGAGTTCATCATCTCCGGCCTGTACCTCTGGAAGACGATGGATATCGTCAAGGCCCAGCAAGCACCGGGCGCAGCCTCTTCTTCAATAAACACATCCGAGCAGAAGAAAAAGAGACGGGTGCACCGCGTAATGTGGCAGCTGTTCATCATCAACATCGTCATAATCTTTCTGGACATCGCCCTGCTGGTCATCGAGTATAGGAACCTGCACATTCCCGAGGTCGCGTTCAAGGGATTCTGCTACTCGGTCAAGTTGAAACTCGAATTCGCCGTTCTCAGCAAACTGGTAGAGGTGGCGGGCGTCAAGAACCCGAGGACCCTGGGCAGCCTCACCAGCAATACCTTCGATCTCACTTCCCACGACAGGGCCGATAGCCTTCCGATCATGAACGGCAACGCGGACTTAGCCCTTGACTCAGATCCCAGATCGACACACTCGACGCTGGCGCGCTTGTCTGGAACAGAACAAAGTGCATCGCCACCGGAGTGGGCGGACGCGCTCAAGCAGAGCTCCCCCCGGCACATTGACGACGTGGAGAAGGACGCTGAGAAGGGTCGCCAACAGAGCTTGTCGACATTCGACGCCATCGAGCGCGGACCGAGCAATATCTCCACTCTTGTCCCTGGCAATGTGTCCGAATATCCCCATCGTCGGCACCCGCGGAGAGACTCTGATCTCCTCTACGCGGATGCCCTCCGAGAACTGGCACGAAAAGGCCGAGCTGGATAGAGCCACCATCTTGGTGTTTTCTCTGGGGCCAACTGGCTCAAGATGCAGGACGTCGAAGACTAGAACAGCTCGATAACCGGTATAAGTAATCCGGGTTGAGGACCCCGGTTCTCGAAGACCTAGTCCACCACATCAGGGTGGCATGTCCATACTAGCGGGCCACTCAGGCAGCTCCGCACTCCAGTTCTGAGCCAGCTCGTTCCCATAGAGGAAACGATCCCAGTTCAAACTCGCCTCTGGCATGGAGGATGGGAGGGCCGTGTCCGCGTCAAAGCCGGTGTCAGCACTAGCCCCGAGATCCCACTCAGAACATGGCAAGCACGTTGCTTCAAACGGTTCGGAATATGCCGTTCCAGTACCCTCCCCAGAAGAGCACTGAGATGCAATCTGCGGGCCTGCATTCAGGGCCGCGGTGCTACTGTTCTGTGACACGTGTGCCGAGGCCTTCGAATGGTGGCGCAGAGCTCGCGGTGGCCTCAGCTCCAGATGAATTGCTCCAAAGTACGGGAGAACCACGGTCCGGCGCTTCGCATCGGCTCCAGAGATTTGGTTGACATCTTCATACAAAAAGGAGGCCAGTTCCTCCAACACTCTCAGGCCCTGTCTGCTGATGCTGCCGCCCTGCTGGGTTGCGCGGTACCGGAAGACATCCTTGATCTCCTCGATGAGGGCGAGGTCCTCGCCGACATTTCCCAAGGCCTCGAAATCCGACTCTGGCAGAGAGTGGGGACAGTATGATAAGCGCAGCAGCAGGCCTACCATAAGTATACACGCACTGAACAGCCCCTGAAAGTCCTCGCAGCTACAGATGTAGACGGCAAGGGAAGGGTCGGAGCGTAGCAGGTTGAAAACCCGAAGCATGCCGCGACAGGCTTGCAGACAGAGGTATTTGTTTGCCTGGTATGGATCTTGATCCGCCTCATTGTTGTTGTGGAGGCCGTCGCAATCCGGGTTGTGGGCCGCGAGGTTGGGGACTTTCAGCATAAAGGGCAGATGGAGAAAGGACTGGACCTGCCAGAACCACATTTGAGCTATGAGATGTTCGTGCGCCAGAAATGAGTCGGAGGCCTCTCGGTGTGATTCCAGATCCCACCAGTCTGGAGGCATGGCTGCTGCCACTTCGTTTAATGTTTCTTGGATGTCCATTGTGGTCTGCAGTTTGACTCGGTCTGACTCGGGACTTGCGTTGCGGTCGTTCACTCGGCCTGCGGCAATAGACACCACCCGCCTGAAAGCACGCATTTTGATGTCCACCGATACCGGTGCTCCGCCTTGAGTGGCTGTCTGGCCCTTCAACACGGACATCGCCAGACGATCAGAAAACTTGACGTCCTCTGCATGTGGGAACCCCAGAACCATGCTCATAAGTCGATCGAGCTCCATGATCGAGCCGATAAAGCGCTGTCGGCGAAAGAGCTTCGTCAGTTCCTGCCCACACAGGTTTGGCGCGTACTGGGCCACACCGAGCGGCATCTTCGGTTCCGCGAACCCGGTGTCCTGGGCAATGTCCAACGCTCTGCGGACGCACAACCAGGACTTGCGCAGTTGATTGCTCTCAGCATACATTTTGCCACGTATCATCAGGAGCAACAGCATGCCCGGGTCATGCATATGCTTATGTTGGGAAGCGGGGGAGAGAACAATTGTATCCACCGCCAGCACTATTCGATCGGCGAGTTCGAGGGGAGATGTAGAGATGTTCACCTTGTAGTCGTCAACTCCAGGGCGCAGTTGGTAGAGGGACAGTGCAATGCAGAGGAGGCCTGTGGCCAACGAAACCGGCTCTTGTGAGCGAGACAATTTGGCGAGCACAAATTCTCGGAAGGATAGAGGCTCGTCGGAATGGCTCGTCGTGCGAGACCTCGTGGATGGAACTGGTGTGATTGAAGAAAATAAAGTGGCATTAGCTCCGGCTTTTGTGCTAGATGCTCCAGATCCAAGTATCGAACTTCCTTCTTCATCCTCCAAGTAGGGAGAGAGATCCTGCAGCGCGGACGCCTGGTCTCTCCAAGCAATCCACCACTTGAGGGAAATATCCAGCACGTCGAACACATATGGTTCCGAGGAGATTGTCGAGAGTAATTTCTCGGATTCCGTGGAACCAGTATTGTTGGCGATATCGGAAAAGCTCATGAATTCAACCTTTTCAGCCAGGATTGAAGAAACACACGCTGTGCTCTGCGTAAACATCTCATTGTTGAACAATTGTGAGAGCAAGGGACTGAGTGTTTTGCAATGCTCCTCTGAAGTCATGGCGAGAACGGCGCGGACGTCGCCTGTCCCGTTTATGCTTGTCGATTGCTGAGGTTGATGTTGAGCCGGGAGAAATGGGTGAGAACTGAACATGGACGAAGCTGGTATTCCATTTTCCACTTCCTGGCCTCCCAAAACCTGTGACTTGATTCGCGTCGAGCCGTCTGCCTGCCCGTTAAGGGTGAAGTGGCCGTGCGTGTCTCCACTTTCGAAAGCCAGGTCGAAGTTCAGGGCATTAGCAAACGGGTTTCCATTGGTGAGACCAAGTTCTGCATCGAGGCCGAAACTCGGACTAAATTCGTCCCCTCTGTGTGCAGAGCTACTCGGGAGAGGAAAGTTGTTGCTCTGAGGGTTACTGAAAGTATTGGCAAATATCCCGTCCTGCTTCTCCTTCTCTCGCTCTCGTGCAAGTCGTGCAACGACTGACTCCATCCTATCCACGTGGATCTTCACGCGCGGGTATTCCTCATCGTCGGAATGATTGGTCAACGAAACCACCTCGCGACGCCTTTTGTAGATCCTCGGCTGACGGTGGTTCGACTTCGTGGAGGCTGAATCCTCCGTGGGGTTTTCAGGAGATGTGTTCCAGGCGACGTAGCCTTGGATCTGGCAGGAGCGGTTGTGTCGCTTGCATTGGATGCATTTTCTCTCCTCTGGGACACTCGCCAGGTCCGTAACTTGGGAGGGAGAAGAAGGTGGGGTGGGCGGGTAGTTGCATTTTATCTTTCGACGGCGACCTGGGTGGCGATATCGATGATTAGATTGGTATTACCTTGGATTTTGAGTGTTTGACTCGTCAGGGGAGCGACGAGTATATACGGTTCCAGAGAAATGCAAGGTTTGAGAAGAATAGAAGAGTGAACCGTGAACCGTGAACAGAGACAGACCACCTGGTCTGGTCCAGGCTTGAGGCCGAATTTACGTTGAATCACTTCTCTATTCCTCCGATCTGCCCTTTGTTCACACTCCAAGGCTCCACAGTATAGGCCTCGCTCAATGTCTGACCCAAGACAGGTGACATTATATCACCGAACAGAAAGAAAAACAGGCGTAGCAACTTGGAGCAGAGAAATGAAGCATAATTGAAACAGAATACGTACATTCTTGACATGACTTGGTGCCCTTCCTCATCTGCCTTAGAGGCGGGGAAGCATTTTGTTCATCCAGGCCGTCTTGAACAGTGGTCGATGTCTCGGTCGGCATTGTGTTCTGCTTTGACTGCTCTTGCCTAAAAGTGGGAGGCTCGTCACCCCTTGGGGTCGAGTTCGAGGGGGACCGGGAATGAAAGCCCAGCAGGAAGGGATGCAGAGGACATGAAGATATGAAATGATTAAATTACCTTGATCAGAGAATATGAGACGTTTGATTCCACACAGTTGAGGTAGAGAGAGGCTGATTCTCGAACTGATCAACTGATGGAATACAATGGAAGAGGCGGCCAAGAAGAGCTGGAGCCTTGCCTGCATTGACTAATAATACAGTTTTTATGAAGGTCGAAGTTACTAAGCGGGATTCTTGGCATTCTGGGCCCAAATCCAACATCAACATCAACATCATGTCATCGACTCGACTCCTGCGCCTTAACTGCCCTGATTGATATACTCGTCGTCCCCCTCACCGTCGCTCTCACTCTCCTCCGGATCACCTTCTCTCGCCCGAGAAGCCCGCCAACCTGGATTCCGACTTTGACTCCGGCTTCCATCGCCATAGCGACTCTTGCTGCGACTTTTGCTCTTACTCCTTGTCCGTCTCTCATCTCTCCACGTGCCTCTGGTCTCTCCCTTTCTACGCGCCTCACTCTTCTTGACCTGATCAACATCGACCTCTGGATGCATCCGTCGTATATGTTCGTAGAGTTTCTTGCCCTTGGAGAAAGGCTGTCTTGCTCGCCGGCACGATGGGACGGGGCACAGAATCCGGTGCTCCGGGTCGTCGTTCAACTCACTACTGGCGTCGATGTCGGTATAGGGACTGTTAGCGCTCAGACTGGCACTTCGCGAGCCCCGCCTGCTCTGGGGCGGTTGTAACCCACCGCTCTGCCCGTGGACGCTCTCCAAGTGTCGCTGAAGATGGCTCTTCTTCCGAAATGGGATCTGGTGTCTCGGACAAGCTCGATGCGGGCAGGTTCGCTCGTCTTCTACCACATGCACTTGGATTCCTGAGCACGTGGCTCCCGACTCTCGACAGTTCCTGCAAGCTCTTGCTATTCCAGGTTCGCCGTCCGCGGGTTGGCATTCGGTTTTCGTTGCTTGACACCGTTCACAGGGTCTGGACGTGCGAATTGCTGGACGCTCATTTTCGTTGGGATCGGCCTCTTGTTCTCCGAGCTGTGACGACCTTTGGCTTCCGTCGTCATCAGCAAGGTGTTCCGTAAAGTGCGATTCACTCCGACTCCTGCCCTCTCCTTCATAGAACGTGCGGAATTGCATGTTCTCGTCAAAGAGCTTCGCACATCGTCGACTTGCACGCTCCACGACTGCGGGATCCCAACCTGTAAGGCTGGCCATGCCCACCACGTCGCTCCAGTCCCGCAAGCCGAGATTCTTGACCCGTCGTGACCGTGCTGCCGATGCAGCAGAGGTGACTGACGCGCTCGATACGTCGGTAAATGCGGACGACGAACGTGCTCTCTGCCGTGTTGGCGGACGTGAACCGCTTCTTCCTCGAGTGGAATTGATTGTGTCGTCCTCCGGGCTCTGAGAATACTTTGTCCTCCGTGTGCTTTGCGGCTTTGCTGCGTAGGCGTATCTGGCCTTATGAAGACCAAGTAGCAGATCATCGACTTTGCTCAGGATGTGTCGTGCGCTGGGAAGAAAGCATCCACGCGCCTTCTCATCGTCCACCAACGGCACGGGGCGCCGCTCCACGTCACTTGTATCAGGATCGCTTTCCTCCTTGCCGGAGATGGAAGCCTCCTCTGCATCATCTTCGTAGAATGCGAATTGTTGAGAGTAGAATACCGGCTCTGCTGTGGCTTCTGGCGAGTGCGGACTCTCTGCCCGTTCCACATCCATAGTTTCTTCTTCCTGGTCCTCGTCCTCGTCCTCAGGGACTTCTGCATCCATGTCCACTTCCGCATCACTGGGCTCGGCTGCCATGTCCCTCTGTGGCGCACCAGCTAGGGTCTGGTCTTCCCATTGTCTTGCATGCCATCGTTCTCTAGCAATCTTCGTCGCGGTCGCAATCAACCATTCTTCAAGATTGGCACTGGGCTGAGGCTGGGCCTGCATGCGGTATTCGATGTCTCCCGCCACTCTTGGCAGCAATTCTTCACGAGGCACCTGGTCGGGAGGCATAGGCCAAGCTGTCCAGGACTTGACGAGTCCGTTCCTCCCCCCGGTGCGCCGACCCAGGGTTGCCTCGTCATCATCGTCGCATGGTGTAGAGAGCACCGACGAGGCTCTCTCCTTACCCTTCCTGCTCCGCTTCGCTTCCCTCCCGCCCTGTGGCTGTAGTTTGCGCTTCACGCCGAAGGCGTTGAAGAGGTGGGTGCTGAGGTCCTGACTGCGCACACGATCCAAGCTCAGAGCCACGGTGCGTTCCACCTTGGTCCAAGAGTTCCATGTTGACGCGGGGCCGAAGTAGCGATTGGGGCGGGTGAAGTACGTTCGACCCTCTTCTCCTTGTGCGAACGGGTTGTTTGATATCACATTCGGGACGGTGCGCGAGGCTCTTGGATCTCCCGGTGGCGATGTGTTGATGGCTCGTATATCGGGAGCTGCTTGTCGAGGGGGTGATGATGGAACGACTCGATCAGGCGATAGCCCGTTGCTCTCGGCATCATCGGCGTAGTCGGTATCTGACTCCATTCTGACGTACCCAAAAGCATCTCCTCGCCAAAGTTCCCACGGTGCGTTGTTCCAACAAACGTTTATTGGCGCGAAAACTAAAGTCGCCGAGGCGCCTCACCCAGACAGGGCGTTCAGGTGAGTCTGAAGGTTCAGTATGTGACCTGCTCCCACGCCAATGCATACGACCTGTCAAGTCTTTTCACGGGAGGACGTTTCCTTCTTTTGCGAAAAAGTGTATAAAAGTGTATACAAGTTGTATTAGGAACTGGTTAGATCGGTCCTTCTTCCTTAGGGCTGCTTTGATAAAGCCGACATTCTGCCGGTGGCACCATTACATACATATCTATCCATCCATATACGGGAGCGCTCTACCAGGACGCAAAAGCGGTTATATATATCAGAGAAATGGGCCAGAATCGATGCCTAGGGTGATCCCAAAGACAGAAATGCAGACTTTATGCGTACATTCACGATGTCAGCTCGAAACAACACTGGACAGGCCCCGGGAGATATCACAAAGGGTAACTGTGAAGGGGAGTGATACTAGTCCGCATACGGGATGTTTTGTTGGGTATTATGTATATGCGATTTGATCCAATGTGCAAATTGAAGGGCTAGTTTTTGTCTTCTCTCAACGCCATGCCAGGGTATCTAAGTCAAAAGCACCATATCATATACCTCCGGGAGCCATTTCCGAGCCTAGTCCCGCAAGAACATCTTGTATGTGGGATTGTCCGTACACTCGGTGAACGGATATCCAATATCCTTCAAGAACTCCTCCAGTTGATCCCTCTCATGCTCAGGACATTGAATGCCTGCGAGGATCTTGCCCACGTCACCACCGTAGTTCCGGTAGTGGAAAAGCGTTATGCTCTGACCTGGCCGCAGTGTCCGGAGGAATTTGAACAGAGCTCCCGGTCGCTCTGGGAACTCGAACATGTATAACCTCTCATCCTTGACGCCAGATCGTCCACCGACAAGGTATCGGAGATGTGTTTTCGCAAGTTCGTCCTCAGAGAGGTCTTTGGCTGTCATGCCTTCGGCTGCAAGCCGCGAAAAGAGCGAATCGAGTTCTCGCGCCCGCGCACCGGCTGAAGAGACTGTGATGCCCATCATGACGTGTGCTTTGTCGGTGTTCGAATACCGGTACCCAAATTCTGTAACAGCTTGAGGGAGGACAGCCTCAACAAGTTGCGCAAATGAACCCGGACGTTCTGGAATAGTGACTGTTAAGAGAGCCTCTTTCTGCTCACCCAGAGTCGCACGTTCGGCGACAAACCTCAGTCGATCAAAGTTCATGTTGGCGCCGCTGGCAACGGCGACCAATTCCCGGCTGGTATCTGTATCTGGGTTCTGAGCAACCCATTTCTTCAGTCCTGCCAGTGACAAAGCCCCGGCTGGCTCCAGAATCGATCTTGTGTCCTCGAAGACGTCCTTGATAGCGGCGCAAATCTCGTCGGTGCTCACCTCGATGACTTCGTCCACCACTTCTTGACACAGTCTAAACGTCTCTTCTCCGACCGTCTTTACAGCGGCCCCATCGGCGAAGAGACCAACTTCACGAAGCAAAACGCGCTTGCCCACCTTCCGAGACTCTACCAGGGCGTTTGCGTCGGAGGCCTCCACTCCAATGATCTTGACCTGAGGGGCTATTCTCTTCACATACACCCCGATGCCAGCTATTAACCCGCCACCTCCGACGCAGCAGAAGATGGCCTTGAGCTTCTGCAAGGATGTTTGCCTCAATAACTCCATGCCTATCGTGCCTTGTCCTGCAATGACATACGGGTCATCGAAGGGTGGAATATTGGTCAAACCGTACTGTTTCTCTAGCGAATGACAGTGATCTTTGGCCGAATCGAAGTCAGGTCCATGTAGCACCACGTTTCCGCCCATGCGGCTCACATTCATATGTTTGATGGCCGGTGTCCCCTGTGGCATAACAATGGTCGCCGGGATCTTCAGATGTCTGGCCGAGTAAGCCACACCCTGGGCGTGGTTCCCCGCGGAGCAAGCGATCACGCCCTTCCACGAGATCTTAGGCGGAAGATGGGCCATTTTGTTGTATGCGCCTCGCAACTTGAAGGAGAAGACCGGCAGTAGGTCCTCTCGCTTCAGCAGGACTTTGCATTCCAGACGGTTGGAGAGATTGACGGCGTGGCTGAGGGGGCTTTCGCTGACCACGTCGTAGACCCGAGAAGTGAGGATCAGCCGCAAGTAGTCTGGGTAGCCCGTGGGCAAGAGAAAGTCTCGAGGAACGTCGTAGGTAGGAATGTCAGCTCGTTCGGATGGGGGTGTTGGCATGGCGGTGTACTCGGTCAAAGCGAGACCGGACCGCTTGGGCGTCGAGGGGGTTGTCGTCCCATTGACGTGAGGGTCGGCGACGTCCATGGTGACGTCGAGGGATTTATATGGCAATTGGGTATCTGTGAATGGGGGTAAGAAGGGTGGAAGACTGCGTTGTAGGTCAGTGATTATGCTGAGGCTTGAGGACTAGTGGGATTTTCACGGTCACCCAAAAAATTTACGGAGCTCTGCTCCCCGCATTCCGCCTTTCTCACGAAGGTTAGAAGATCTCGCGCTTTGGGTAGCTCCAAAGTCCCACGGTTTGCCTCGTACTCGTACCATTTCACCTGCTCTGTTTTCTACTCATCCTCCAGCTCATTTGCTACGAGTCGGCTGAGGGAGCTCCGAGTCGACTACAGCGAGATCTGATTGTGGCATACGCAGGAAACCGCCTGTGGTGTTCACCTAAACTCCCCCTAATTCGAGCCCGCACGCGAGCACATTTCGCCGTTCTTGCTACGAGATTCACGTACGTCACGACTTCTATCAACTCGTACCTCACAACTCCGCAGCTCCATAACCATCAAACAACAACCTTTGTTGCGGCGGAGACAGTCTATCATCGAAGACGGCAGCGCAATCATTAGTCTGGACTCAAGGAAATACTCACGATGTCCGACGATCCGTCCACGTCGGCTGGGCCATCCCCCCTCTCGGCTACCACTATCCCATCCAGCTTCGATTCGTCACCCGAATTCTTCGAGGAGTCTCGATTCCAAAAGCTGTGGCGCAAACTGCGTCAAGAACCACTGATTCCGTTGGGTTGCGCGGCGACATGCTACGCCCTGTACATGGCAACCAAATCCATTCGCGCAGGCGACCATCACCAGACTAATCGAATGTTCCGCGCCAGAATCTACGCCCAGGGCTTCACATTACTGGCTCTGGTTGCCGGCAGCATCTTCTACAAGGACGAGAGGATGAGGAGGAAGGAGTTCGAGTCGAAGTTGGAGGAGAGGAAGAATGCGGAGAAGAGGGAGAAGTGGTTGGCAGAACTCGAGGCCAGAGACCAGGAGGATAAGGAGTGGAGGGAGAAGATTGAGAGGGCGAGTCGACTCGCGCAAGAGACGAGCGAGGATATCAGGAACAAAGCAGAGAAAATGGTTGAAGGTGGAAAGGAGGCGCTGCAGAAGACCCAGGAACAGCTGACCTCACCCGAAGCGGCTACACCAGGAGACAAGAAGAAGAGCAGTTGGGCCATCTGGAATAAGAGCGTGCTCGAGGAGGTCGATGAAGAGGGCTGGGGGCCTGGTATGTGGGCAAAGAGAACAAGGGATGCTTGGAAGAGGTTCTGAGACGGTCATCCCGTGCGTTCGGTGAAGCGGTTCTGGACGAAAGTTCACGTTTGTCGCCACTCCTCCTTTGACAGGTGCTTTGTAAAAAGTGAAATATAATTGCTGGGCATTACTATGAAATGGTTCTCAAGTTGCCATGCCGGGATCCCAGACTTGGGACTGTGATCGTGTGAACTCCTACAAATTCCGAGCCTATAATGTCCCGTTGTTTCCCTGGGTATAGCAATATTGAATTTCGACAGGTGAAAACGATTCACAGCCGCCGGTGAGCAGGCAGCGGACCCGAAATTTCATGCGTTTGCCCAATGAGCCATAATTTGTCGACCACTGCATTTTTGATCGTCGTGGCTTGAACACCTCGCCGAAGGGCAGCCCTTGGGCTTTGGTCTGATCGGATTCCCTCCGAAGGGCATTGTCAATGGCACGTATTTATCCATTTCCCTGTCTTCCAGCATAGGTCACGACCATAGAGGCCCGTTCCCACATTTGCTCAAGACTGTTTCGTTCGAACAGCATCCGTCATTCAGCCTCGCGCAGGGCCCATCTCTTCCACCCCCCTCCTGACGCCGTCCCACTCGGCCTTCCCCATACTGATCAGATACCGTATCTTGTCGAGTTCCTGCACATCCTTGTTTCGTGTGAATTCGCCCTTTGCATACGCGATACTCTCTCCCCTCTGGGGCGGGGACATGTGACGGTACAACGAGCGGAGAATGTCGCGGTAGAGGGAGAGGACGCGCTGGCGTTGGATGAAGTGGTCGAGGGAAAGAGGGGGAGACTTTCGGAAACGCGACGACGGGGTCGAGGACTTGATGGCTTTGCTTGCGTGATTAGTAGTGGTGGCGGTGGTAACGGCGAAGCGGACGAGGCTTGGGCGCATATGGGAGATGTGGTTTCGATTCTCGGGTCTGAGCCCAATTGAATGTGTAGGAAAACGGCAGGAAGGCAACAGGGAACTGTTCGAGGTTGTGAAGCAGGTCTTGTGAGGCTTTGCTCACAGACTTGTAACGTTCTGAGAGAAAGCGGCGGAGATTTTGGTGTTCCGCCAATAGAAGCTTCCCAGGCTTCAGACGACGTCACTCGTCACAATCCGACTTCCAGAGAGGAAATACCTCGTACACTCAGACTAATAAGGACGAGCCAACATATCAGATGCAGGTCTACAAATAGAGATTCCTTTGGTACCGTGGCCATTCCCTACCCTGCTCTGTCTGCTCCGAAACAAACCGTGCTCCTGACCTCTTCACAGCCTATTCCTCCTGCACCGATTACAAGCCTGGAACTGACATTGCGTGCATTCGAAGATATAGTTAGGCAGGTTGTGATAGCACTCCTCGCAGTTGTGGGGCCCATGAATGTATCGCCAGCTGAGATGTGTGCAGTTGTGCCTATCTCTGAGCATCTCCGCCGCATTGTGCACAATCCTCTCCATCTGCCCGGGGTCGCCACGAACCATGTTGGGATGTTGGCGATTGGCAAGAATGCTTGCCCGGGCAAACAGTCTGTCCTCGTTCCATTGAGCACAGCGACATGTTTTCCATCGAGCGCCGCAAATGTAGCAGAACTGTGCACCACAAGGACACCTTCCATTGGATCAGCGATCCGGATCGGGAGAAAAGGGAAGAAGACTCACGTTATATGATTGCAGCCTACATCAAGTTCTATCAGACGATGGCATCCATAGCATCGCTGCCACCCACTCTCAGTTGCTAGGCTGAGCGTGGCTTGCAATGCAGGATCTTCCGGGCAATGGCCGTCATGAGCGAGCTTTTTGCAGATTTTGCAGGTTATTGTACCGCACTTCCCACAAGTTGCTACATCGGCCCAAATGTCATTTGGTGGTATAAACGCGGAACAAGTCTTTTGACAGCAATATGTCCGATCTCGAGTACCGAACTCAGCTTTGGCGTGTTCAAATTGGTCTCGGAGGTCCTTAGTGAGGAAGATGTCGACCACGTCCATTTCGAAGGGTTGACGGCAGCAACGCGGAGGGAACAATGATTCGTCTTTGGAGGCCAACTCGACAAGTTTCTGCAAACATGGTTTGCAGTAGGCGTGGCTACAAGGCACTTCGATCACATCAAAGAACTTCTTGTATTCGTCGCAGATAATGCATCGGAGGTTGCGGGTTTTATGGGGTGCCTGCTTCCGACCAGATCCTCTCATAGAACTCTCGGCCTGAAAATCGTCTTCCTGCTGCCTTGGGCTGATTTTGGTATCTTCGAATAGCTCACAGCCGACACGTTCGGAAACATAACGTCCAGCGAGTCTGGCGAGGGTTTTTCCACTGAGGTCGCTAGAGTGGAGGTGGACTTCTGATGTAACGTTGCTCCCATTCAGACGGTGTGCAAGAGTGTGGTCTTCGCAAGCGACTTCTTCCTCACGAATGACATCGGCAATAGCCTCAGCGTCTGCCTGTACTGCGTCTGCGATGCTCTGGGTCATTTGCCGGTCGGACAAGGCTGAGCGTATGTTTTTGAGATTCTCCTCAAACAGGGAGAGTGCCTCATGAGCATCGCTGAGCGCTCCAGCCCGATGTTTGTCTTTGGAGTTGGTGCGTAGGTCTTCAATTTCCTCAAGCTGAAGCTTGAGAATCAAGTTGGCTGTTTCGAGATCGAGGTCGTCAAATAGAGCAGTGTATTCAGCCATCTTGCAAAGTATCATTGGACTAAATTGTAGTAAAGAGAGGAGAAGAGCGACATGGAGTAAGGCTGGCATATGCGCCTATGTACCTACAAAACTTTCAAATGATGCATGTTTGTCTTCCTGGGGTAGCTGCATGACATGAATAGCATCTCAAACAAGAGCGGGCCTGCATGTACGCGCCTTCTAAACCCCCAAATTGTATCGGTACCCGATCCTGAGCAGGCTCTGTCGGTGAACAAAGAAGTTCATTTGGCAGTAATCCGGAAAATAAGTACGTTTCTGGATGACTCCCAGGAAATTTCGATAGCCTTGAATAGTAGGGCGGGAACCCAGGTGGTCTGAGAGTATAACATTTGTGCTTCACCTAATCGATGATGGAAGTCGTTTCATCTTGGTGACAACGGATATCGGTCGCTCCGTTGATTGCCATTTCAAACTTACCTGATATACATCAATCCATCGAAGCGGGTTCGAAGCTGCAGCATCCCGAGACGCAGTGGACATCAACCTTTGGTGGCAGGAAGTCCCATAATTAGGGGATAGGGATCGTTCAAAGGATCCTACCGCAGCATCGTATGTTCGAGGAAGATCTCTCTGAACCCAGCACATCGGAGACGCCCAGCCAGACCAACCGCAGTGAACTCTAAGCCAATAAAGCGTGTCTCTCACTTGTGCCTGCAGCCTCTGAGATGCTCCAGCACAACTCAGCGACTTGGTACTCTTTTCCAAAACGGGAGTGTGCGGAAGCCACAGTAATGGAGAGTTTGCAAGACCATTGGCAGGCCAGACAGCTCGTAACAGGTGGCATGCGGTCCAGTATCAGCCGAATATACTCACAGCGGTGTTTTGTAGCCTCCCGAGTTCAGCAGATTGCTAAAGGATTTCAAGCCTTGGCCTTGGGTCTCTCAGCAAAGCAACTTGCGTGGAATCTCAGGAGCAAGGCTGAGGAACCAAGCATTCGCCGGTACCTGCTAGGTGGAACATAGAGGATTGGCTATTGTTGAAGGCCACTTGCGTCCTTGCTGAAAATGACTCCGCCCGCCATCTCAGCCTCTGCGGCGTCTGCGGCTAGTAACATGGATGGAGTGAGGGGCAACAGGGAGACAAATCGGACACAAGGAAGCAAAAGGCCTCATAACATGAGATATGGGCCTGGCTCGACTAGCAAAAGCCTGGAAAACTCGGCTGTTAGCAAAAGAAAATGAATACCCTTTGGTCAATGTCATGATACTTCACACCCTATTCGGCCCTGGCTTGGAGAGGGAGGTTGCACAAGTACCCTGCTCAACCCGGTTATCGAGCCGCACGATACGAGGATAATGCAGGAACTTTCAGGGCCAAGGACAGGCAGACAGCTCGGCAGCGGCAAGGCGGGAAATCCGGGGTGATTGGTGAATGTCCCGGGGACAGGGGGGAAACTGTATGGCTGGTGACTGGACGATGCTTGTTTGCTTCTGCTTGGAGGTGTCGTTTCTTCTACCGGGGAATTTTCGTGGCAGCAGTGATATCACCTGAAAAAGGTTGGAAAAGGAGGGGAGGCAGCGGGCGCAGATAGAGAGGGGATTGCCGAATCCGGAGCCAGTGTGAGGGTCAAATGACGCAACAAATTGCCGGGTGGACGTTTAGGGGAATGGCCTCCCGCCTAGGCGCTCACACAACCCCTCGCCGCTGGTGCCGCCTATCCAGCCAGTCACTCAGTCACCATTCGTAGGCTGCAGGGAACTCGCGAGCACCACCTCCAACCCTCGAAAAGAAACAATCAGCTCTCACATGTGCCAGCTGAACCGCTCACTAGACCTGAACCCATCTCGTGCAATCTCCATCTTCTTCCCATCCTCCCAAATCACGCAGCCTGTCGCCTAATACTAAGTCCTGAGCCCCCTTGTATGCAGTGGGTCATTGGGCTGCAATATGATCTCAACTAGCAGAGCGGCCTCGACCTTGTCCTGCTGATTTCCTTCGAGGCAATTCTTCATATACTCGCACACCTGCAGTTTCAGCTCTCATCCTCTTCTCACTCCGATTCCCACCAACCCACCATGTCTTCCCACGATGACTATGCTCCACGTGCACGCCGAGACCGTGGTCGTTACGATACTGACGGCGGTCTTCGCTACCCAGATGATGATGACTTTGCCGACCCTCGAAAGTCGGCTCCCCGCCACCCTCGCTATGAATCCTCCCCTACACACAATGACCCTCGTGACGGACCAAGACGGAAGAAAGACGTTGACCCGAGAGACATTGAGCCCAAAGGCGCTCGTGGTGATGTGAAGGACGAACCCCCTCCTCGATATCGTGAGGACGGCGACCCAAAAGTAGGCAAATCCAACACTGCTGCACCGAGGAGAAGACGAAGCTTTTCCGACGAGGACACCCGTCGGGATCCAAGAAATGGGGATGGAAACGGAAACGGTGCGGCCTATGGCCGTTCCAAAGGATACCGCGAACCCATTCCGGAACCAGACGTCGTCGCTGCTGACCGCGATGCCCATAAAGCTCGTTCGGCCAGGCGCAGAGATTACGACGATGATTTCGAGCCTCCTCCACCACGCCGCGCCAATACACAGAGAGAGCCAGAACGTCGTCGTAGAGACGATTTTTACGACGACGAGCCATCTCGACCCCGTCGTCACCGCAGCCCAGAAGACAGGCACTCTGACCGCGACCGAGGATATAGATCTGACCCTCGAGACGCTCCAAGGCACAGAAGGGATGATGATCGTTACGACGACCACCGACACCGTGGTGGTGCCTCCCGTCGCGACGATGGCTATGCGTCAGATCGGGGACGTTCCGACCGAGACAGGGTCAGGGACCGTGATCGCGACCGAGACCGAGACCGAGACCGAGATGTCCGCGACCGTGATCGTGATCGTGATCGAGACAGGGACCGAGATCGAGACCGAGACCGGGATCGCAGGCGGTACGACTCTGACCGCGAAAGAGATCGTCACCGAGACCGTGATCGTGATCGGGACAGAGACCGGTATGACAGTCGAGACCGTGACCGAAAGGACAAGAAAAAGGGATTTTCACTCGACAACATAAACGATCTAGTCGAACAAGGCCAGAAACATTACAAGACTCTGGCGCCGGTGATCACCAGCCTGACCAAGATGTACATGGACAACAAGAAGTGAATGAGAAGCCTAGGATGCTTACGATGAGGGTTTTGTACTGGACAATGAGGACAGGTAAAGAGCGAGTCGTAGTCCGGTATTGTGACATTGACGATGCCAAGAAAGATGGCAGCTGATGCAGGAGCTCATACAGCTGAGGGGAGAATCAGAGCTGAATCTCCCCTGATCCCTGATGATCATGGGAAACGCTGCATGGCCACGAAGAGAAGAGGTGCGATCTGTGCCATTGTGCCAGCTGGGCTGGGTTTTCCATAATGGGGGAATTGTGATGTATAACTAGTCTGCTTTTGCAGTGCTTTATGCTGGGGGGATCATTGCTGGAATGACCAACAGCGTCTACAGATTATGGGTGGGCGGGTGAGTGGACGAATTGGGTTCGTACAGTCTGTGTTATCGTTCATTTGCAATCAGCTCCATAGCAACCTCGATATCAATACCACTTTCAGCGGGTATTGGGCCTTTCTCAACCCCGTTTTCGTCTCTCAAACGAATGTCTTAGACCACTAGATAGTTTTTTTTTGGTAGACTGGTGACAGGTAAGTACATACACTTGTAGATGACTAACTCACTAACTGACTGACCAACTAACTGAGTAGGAGTGACTGGATGACTCATTGACCGGGAACTGGAATCTCGATCTCCTGCTCGCCCACAAAAAGGCTCACTTTGCAACCCACGTGTCCCCCTTTCGAGGATCGTCCGTCTCCTGACACTGGTACAGGACTCCATTACCGCCAAAGGACTAGATACCGTAGAGACTCGCCATTCGACCCTCATCGGCTTGCCCGCCTACAGTATCTCTCTGCTGAGGTCTCCCGAGTCTGCGAGGCCCTGGGCCGGCCGACCGATTAAAAGGGCAGCCAGCTCACAAGTTCCCCGGATCCCCACACCAAATCCGTGACTATGTATGTTCTCAAGCCTGGACGACGTGGAAGCCCGTGAACGCCGGCAACACGGCCCGGATCTCCTTGACATACTCCGGGATGCCGCCCGCGTAGTTGACCTGTTCGAACGCCTTGCCTGGAACGCTTCCGCCCATGTCTGCCAACGGAGAACGAGGAGATCAGAGGTTAGCGGGCGTGTGGCTCTTCATGTGAACTGGGGCCCCACCGATAGACAGGTGGGGATTTACGGCATTGAGTGGGCCCGGGGGCATGCGATAGAGTAGAAGTGTTTGGGGGAAGGGGCAGAGGGAAGAACTCACATGTACTCCTCGTGGTGGGCAGCAATGTCTTGTCACTCAGCTCGTTGATGTGGTCCTTCCACTTCCGGGTCGCTTCTTGGGTCGGGTTTACGTATTTCAGGCCCTGGCGGTCAATGTCTCGGATGGCATCGCGAATCCAGCGGCCTTGAACTTCAACGGCAGACGGGCCGTTGGCGAGGAGGGTCGGACCCTGAGGACCTGTATCAAAGGCATGTCAGTTTATGGGCGGGTCGGGTTGTAAGTATTCTTCGAAAAGATAGGCATGACACAAGGGGCCCACCCGGCTCTTCGGACGTAGAAAACATGTTTTCTCTTTTCTTTTTTGGCGAAACAATGACAGGTAATCAGTAGACTCACCGTAGAGATGGAACATGTTCGGGTATCCTGAGATGGTGGTTCCCAGATAAGTATAAGCTGCTTCCTTCCACTCATCGTGCAAGGTGGTGCCGTTAATGGACTTCAAGCCCATATTTGTCATTCCTCCCGTTGTGACATCAAAGCCCGTGGCTAGGGCGATGATGTCGAGTTCGTGCTCCTTGCCATCGCTGGTCTTGATGCCCTTCTCTGTAAACTCTTGAATCTTGACGCCGGACTTTTCCGAAATGTCGACAATGTTGACGTTGTCGCTGTCCAGCACTTCGTAGTAATTCTGTTCGAGGCAGGGTCGCTTGACACCAAATGGGTGGGGGGGTTCTTCGGGGCAGAGCAGAGCACGTTTCTCAGGGTTCTTGATGCGAGTCTCCTGCTTCTTGCGCCAGAAGTCGTAGACGCAACGGTTCGCTTTTAAGTCGAACAGGTAGTCTTTGTGAGAGCCCAGCCAGAGGCCAAAGCCGGCCCTCTTCCACAGACGTTCGTAGACGGCTTCACGCTCTTCAGGGGTATCTTCAAACGTGTTGCGTTCCTCAAACTCGTACGTGAAGCCTGCAAAGTTCTTCTCCCGCATGCGAAGGAGGTCGTCGTATGCTGGATACAATGCTTGTTGCTCCTCTTTGGTCATGTCGCGTTTGCCCATGGGCAATGCCAGGTTGGGTGTCCTCTGGAAGACGGTCAAGCTTTCGACTTGAGGTCCCCATTCCTGGATGATCTGTACTCCAGAGGCACCGGTGCCAATAACAGCAACTTTCTTCCCGCGAGCATCAACGCCCTCAATGGGCCAGAACGAGGAGTGGTGCATGACTCCCTTGAACTTTTCCAGACCAGGGAAATCGGGGATATATCTCTTGGCTGCAAATCCGGCGGCAATGATCAGAAATCTGCATTTGGCATTGCGACCATCGGCTGTCTTGATGTTCCATTTCCCAGAGTCTGTGTCAAACTCCGCACTTGTGACGACGCTTTCGAAGGCACAATCTTTGCTTAGTTCGCAGACCTTGTCTACATGGTCGAAATACGCTTGCAGTTCAGTCCAATCTGGATAGTTGGTCGTCCAGGTCCAGGTCTTGTATACCTCGGGAATGGCCAGCTGATAGATGGGAACCTCAGAATCGACCCGGGCGCCTTAGAACAATCAAATTGAGCAGTTGACATGCTTGAGAGTACCAACAACTCTTACCTGGATATACGTTCCATCTCCACGTACCCCCAAACGAGGTACCTGCTTCATACAGCACGGTTTTGAAGCCCGCCTTCCGCATCTCATACAGGAGGTACGTGCCCCCGAACCCTGCTCCAACGATCAATACATCGACGTCAAGGTTGTCCGCATAAGGACCGTCGGTCCTGCGTCTCCGGCCAAATTCGAAGAGATCTCTCTTCAAGCTGCGTTCCGGCAAGTCCTTGGGTTCAGATGGGTCTCCCATTTTGAATACACGACTGTAGACGGGTGGCACCGGACAAGCACTTGAACGGGAGTGAGGACAGCCTGACAAACTCAGTGCTCACACGTTGTTGCGATTCTTATATGTACAAACCCCCGCCCACCCAAAGCGCTCGACACCCGGTGAAATGGATGTAGGAGCTTCTCCTCCTTTCACTCGCATGCAGAGACCTCACGCCTAGTACCTGGACTGATTCCTCCTCAATGGCTGGAGCGGAACCGCGAAAGGGGAGTCGCTTGATGCGGTGCTGGTCACACTCTGCAGAATCCCCGCTTCCCCTCAAATACCCGCTACGCGAACCAGATGGGATGGAGGAATCTGGGGTCAGCAATTGGTTCCGCATATCTGAGGAGGTGATTGGAAACCCTAGACGGTGGCCTGGGGTTGTGTTGCAGGACGCGCAGGCTGGAAGATGCAATGGGGATCAATATCCTCGGCTAACTCCACGCTCAAAGGGGCCTAAAAGACTTCCCATGGACCGATGTTTGGCTCGTATTTGCTCTTATCAGACAACAGGACCTTGTCCTTGAACGTTATTGTTGAGGGGGATGAACTGCCAGCAGTATACTCTTAGCGAAGCTCCTCCTCATGATCGAGTAAGAACAGCCGACTCGTCCCATTGTCCCGGGACATGGTGGGACGATCAGTCAAGCCAAAGCACCAACGCATCGGTTCCCGAATTGGATGTAAGGTTTTGTGTTGTGCTCAAACAGGCTTACTCGAAGTAGGGCCTGGGGCACCGCCAGAGGGGTCGTCGAGACCATCGTGGCACTGACACTTTCTCCACAACACTATGTACGGAGTATGGAAAGTCAAATCTGTTCGTACCGCTTAGAGTTAGCTTGGGTCAAGAACATCAGTCGAGGTTGTTGAATGCGCCTTGAGGGAGTTGGGGGCAATCGGACTCGCCTGGAGCGTAATCAGGGTGGATTGTAGCAGCTGGCCATGGTCGAGTGAGGAATGTCGGTACTTGGGACAGATAGACATTGCAAGGAGTTGTAAGCTGGCTGGTCATCTGGGGTAAGAATGGAATGCGTGCCTGCGGAGGATGGAGATTGAGATTTCGTCAGCGGCGCCCTCATATTAACGGTTTGTCCACTTACCAATCACCACCTGAGCGCTTCCAACGCCTTGCGCAGCCAGCCTCCGTCAACGATGCCCTTCATCAATCAAAGGAGTGATGTGGTACTCTTATCCTTCTCCCATGGAAGATGCCTGACAGCGCTCTCGCACGATCAGGATGACGCGTCGCAAGGGCAGGCCCTCACCACCGCCATCTTCACTCTCCAAGAACCCCGTGTCCTTTGAGATCCCCGCCTCGCTACATCAGTTCTCTAACCTCTCGCGCTCTCTGGCCGCGACGATGGCCACCGGCACGGGCCCCTATGATAAACATCCTCTCTCGAAGCCTGCTCCGATCTCCCAAACGACGCCCAAGACTACTACCGCGAACGCAGTGTCGCAACCCAGGCCGAATTCACAATCCACCTCGCACCCCCCCTTGACCTTCTCTGCTACTCCTCGTGTAGGCCAAATCGCATCCAACAAGGCCAATCCCCTGAAACGCTCCCTATCGGAGGCTCAACATGATTCTCAATCCGTCCAGCAACCGCCCTCCTCTAAGGCGGTGTCAAGAGATGCAGAACAATCTAGTACTCTCCCAAAAGCCCGCGCAAAGGCCACAACCACTGTCGCGGTGTCTGGTTCTGACTCTCCACAAACGCTACACCCAGCGAATCCGACATCCAATCTGGCCGAAGAACCTACCCTCAAACCAGGAGAAGAGCTTGTGTTAGGAAGACATTCCACCTTGATAGCGCAGTTGATGGCTAGGAAGAGAGCGGAAAACGAGAAGCTGGGTAACCGAGAGCGATGGATCCGCAAACAACGGGAACATCAAATGTCTCGGTCTGCGGCTTCTCAATCAACTAATGAGCTTAAATCTCAACCAGATGGAAATAAAGTGCCAAAGGCTTCGCCAAAGACCGGCTCAAATCCTCCCCTCGCACAATCTGTGTCGACCATGCCGACGGTGACAGCTGTAGCCTCGACTGTGTTTGACGCACAGACTCCAGCGGCCGAGTCGCCCTCAACGCCTGCGACGGAGAACTCTATCAAACCAGCTGAAAATACCAGCGAGCCACGGCAGTCGGACGACAATGAGTCCTTCTTTGAATCTCCCTTTTCCTCGCCAATTGTTGAGTTTCTTGAAAGGGCTACGGACGATGCAGGGCTGAAAGAATTGTCGAAACATCATGGAGCGAGGTCCAAGAAAACTGTCGGCACGGTCGCAGCAGCAGCGGCACCCATTCCCCGTGCCGATAGTAGTCCAAAGGCGGCAACTTCTACGTCAACAATAATCAAGTTCACGGGAACCTCTGCCATACCTCCGCTTTTCTCGGATAAGCCTTTGACAAAGCAGCCTCAATCTCATCCTTTTCGCCCAAGTTCTACGCAGAGTCCGTCGCTCAATGTGCACCAGCAAGCACAGGCGGATTCAATGGCTCCAGTCACAGGTCAAGAGTCTCAGCACCAACAGAGAGGTGGGCCACCACAATTAGCGCCTCGCCAGCTGCCAGCACCGAGAGCCATGCCATACTACCCTCAGAATGTGGGCATGCCAGGCTTCTATAGAGTGGAAATGAGCCAGAATTGGGCAGGCGGCGGCAATAACTTTGTCGCGACTCCAGTATCAACGGTTTCGCCCAACCAAGCTTACGACCCACAGATGCTCCCCGGGGGTATGGCCTACAACCCATATGGCGCGAGTTCAATGGGGCAGTATGTGGTAGGAGCGACCCTTCCACCACCTCCAGGCGCCCTTCACACGTATGGAAATCCAATGGCGCCGACGGTCGCTGGACCGCCAAAGGACCACTCCCTTGACACGGGGCACATAACCGCCGCAGATATGGTTGCCGGGATTAATACAAGGTTCAAAATTGCGACGAAGAATGACTTTATAGTTCCAAAGCGATGATGTGCGTTCCAGCGAGGGACATGGCTCGTGGCCTGAAAATCAGGCTTGCTTGAAGAAAGAGTTGGATAAAATATATGCTTAAAGCGAAGCAGAAAGGTTCCAATTTGTTGCGCAACCAGCTAAGACGATAACGATGAACGAATGACACTCCAGAGAGTCTACACAGTTGTTGTGCTGTTTGGGGTTGATTGCTTTGACGGCGTCCGGCTCATTCTCTGCGCCTTTCAAGATGGTCACCCATAGGGGCGGAGGAAGCCTTCAGTTATGTTTGCACCGGTTCAGTTCTTGCGCGAAGAAATACCCTAGCTGCAATATTGTACAGTATGACGCTATCATGACATTTTGGGGGAGACAGCGAGGGAAGGACGGGCGGTGTACAGGGCGTTTCAGGAATGTACTATGTGCGTTTGGCGTTGTCTTCACAACGCGGCTGGCGGAACCAGACTGCCGCAGTCAGCCCATCCCCAGAGAACTCAGTTGTAAATATGTCTCAAGAAGTCAGGAGAAGGTGATGGGCTTCTTTGTCAAGCCTGATATCAGATCCTCCACCAGATCTCGCTTGCGTTTCTTCCTCTGTTCGGCCTCGTCCAGTACCGGGGCGATCTCGCCATGGCCTGGCCCTGCCCTGGTGTTGGTGGTAGTAGTAGAGCCTTCGTCAGGGTCGTCCTCTTCCTCTGCGGATTCAGGGCCCGTCCAGGCACAGATCCGCCCGTCCCCGTGGGCCGTGTACATCTCGACTGCTTCCCCAACGGGGGCATTGAGCCGCCACACCATGGCGTTGATTCGTCCGCCACTGGTCAACCTCGCGACGTTGCCGCTGGTCGTGCCCACACCGCCCGGACCTCGATGCTTGCTGCTGCCCTTCTTCGCACTCGCACGCTGCACGTCCGACACCCTGATCCCTTCCGTCTTCAGGATCCGCACCAGCTCCCCCTCTCGCAAGTGGTGCTGGAACACCATGCCCCGCCCGTCGTCGTTCGCCCACCACAACATCTCCTTCCCGGCGTGGTGATACCCCCGTGGCGAAATCAAGGGTCGCAGCTCGCCTTGCCTCTCGTTTCGGATCCTCGGGCCATAGTGCACCAGGTCGTTGCGGCCCGACGCGGCGTCCCAGACCCGGATGCGTTGGTCGTGGCCCGTGGTGATGATCTTATCGCCCATCGGCGACCACTGCACGCTGGTCACCGGTCCGTTGTGCGCGACGGCATTGAAATCCAACAACTCGCGACGGGCTCCTGCGCCGGTGGAGGGGGATTCGCCGATCACGCCGACCGCGTCGTCGAGGTCCAGGGACGCAAATGCGGCGTTCGCCCGGCGGATGTCGTAGAAGAGGACGCGCCCGTCGGTGGAGCCCGAGGCGAGGATGTGCGATTGCTTCGGGGACCAGCAGACGCTGTAGACGGCGCCGTTGGGGCCGGCGAGAGAGTGTGTCGACAAGCCCGAGCGGAGATCGAGGAGGCGAATGGCCGGATGAGCTGTTCCAACAGCGACCAAGGGCGACGAATCCGGCAGTGGAGAGAGACAGTGGGTGTAAGGCAGAAAATCCAGGGAGAAGGTGTGGACCGGGGTCAGAGCGGACGGAGTTATCGACGTGACCTTGAGGGTTTTGTCATAGGAGGTTGTGAGAAGGGTCGAGGGAGTCGGGTCGAATGGGTAGATTGAGATCGAGGTGAGAGCGTGAGTATGGGAGTCGACAGTGCTCTTCGACAGTGTTGCCTTGGGGGTGTATTTCGTCAATATCGACGAACTCGATGAGGCTGACAGAGACGACGACGACAATTGATGCTCCTCGAGATCCCACAGCCGGACGGAAGAATCGGCGCCTCCTGAAAAGAGATAGCGGCCCTCGTTGCCGTCGATGGCGAGGCAGTTCACGCCGGCTTGATGGGCGACGTAAGCCGGCAGCAATCCCCCTCCGGCGCCTGCCGCCGGTCCGGCATCATCCTGCTGCTGCTGCTGTGATTCCGGCTGCGTGGTGCTCGCCCACGCGAAAGTGACGGTTTTGCGATGACCAAGGCGGTGGATCACGCTCTCGTTATGACTTCGCCTGAAGGTCGCCGACGAGACCGTGCCCAGGCACTGGCCCAAGCGGAGTTGATTCATGCATCAGCGAAGCTCGAACGGGGCTCTCTCCTCTCTCCTCGCGACGGTGAGAATAATCTCGAGTCGATGTGCGAGGTTGGTCTTGGGGTCATTCATTTACTGTAGGACATGACGTGACGATGAAGAAGGGAGAAGGAAGCGCAGGATAGGATAGCCACGATAGCCAAGCAATACCGAGTACATTAAGGCAGCAGACACCAATTTCCCCGCATGGATGGCTTGATGCTTGCTGGCACCTTGTCACCTTGTCACCTTTTCTGACGCGTTGTTGCTCCTTTACGAGCTCCTCCTCTTCATCAACCTGGTGTCTGATGGCTCTTGGGCTCTTGGGCCCTTTTGATTTTGATTGGAGCAGTTTTTCGACCGATTGTGATGCGTTTATGGCGCTCATCGGCGACATGGTTTTGCACCTCGCGACGAATTCGATCCGCCGTATTCGCTAACCCCCCAAAATCGCAATTGGCAATTCCATCAGAGGATTGTCACCTGTCACTTGCTCTCGTACTACAGCAGAAAAATGTTGCTGCTCAAGGATGGTGTTTGAATTACATATCTGGGGCCCAGCGTTCGAGCTACCTTCCATCGATGCCCAATGCTTAGCCACCATCTTCTACCTTCGCCAGTGCCTGCACCCCGACCTCTGGGTGCTAATTCCCTCGAGTGACGCACGCGTCAGTCCTCTCGGGGAACTCCCTGCATTGCACGATGGCGAGACCTGGGTCGCTGGGTTTACCAACATCGTCGACTACCTACGGGACATCTCGAATGGCGAACAAGATCTGAACAAGGACCTCAGTGCCCAGCAGCAAGCGGACTGCGCGGCATTTTCAGCCTTCATCACTTCACGCGGCCAACCTCTCCTCGATCTCAGCCTCTACGTGAGCAGTGACAATTATCTTAAATGCACCAGACAGGCTCTCAGCGACATCTTGACGTGGCCAAACAGCTGGAATCTGCCTCACCAATGGCGCGCCCAAGCGAAAAAGAGATCGGAACACCTGGGTCTGAGCAGTCTGGACGTGGACAGTACCCAGGAAGAGAACAAGACAGCGGATGCAGGGTTGACTGCACACATCCCCAAAGCCCTCAGAAGACCCAGGCAAACAGTCACGGGGCTGCTAGGCCGACACCAGCAAAAGAATCGATTTCGACTGGATGCCGTCACCGAAGATTTCTTTGAGCCGCTCGATGAAATGCTGGGGGAGAAGAATTGGCTACTAGGTGACCATGCCAGCAGCGCCGATTGCCTCGCGATTGGCTACCTGGCCCTGATGCAGACACCAGCACTGGAGCATGGATGGCTGCGGGAGTCACTACAGACGAATCATGCCCGTCTAGACACGTGGGCAAAGAGTCGGGCGCCGGAAGTGTTTGGTCCACCCGTCGATGTCTCTGAGGTTCTAGGACGGAAGCCAGGGGTGGCTAGTGTCCCGTCGTCACTGCCATGGAGAGTACCGGCGCCTCGGAGCCTCCCACAGATCTTGCAGGCGGTGGTGGAAGGATGCATTAGCTCGATCCCCGCCATAGGATCTCTGCATGGGATTTCGGAGATCGGCAACACGCATGGAGCAGGTCGAGAACGATACCGCGAAAAACAGTTGCAACTGGCGAGGCTCCAGCGACAGCGAGACGCGTATCTAGGAGTGGTGGCATCGACGGTGACGACGATGGGACTAGTGGCATGGCTGGTATATCAAGGCCTCCTCCCAGTACGCTCTGTGCCGCGAAGACGTGGCTTTGGCGAAGCTGGAGTGCTTCTGGGGTTGTAAAGGGACACGATGAGACATCTCTCTCCTCAATGCCCTGATAGCGTTCATTGTCGCATCTTTCCTCTCCAGAGCCGAATACTTCCTTAACGGGGAACGGAAAAAGTGAGGACCTTAACAGCTCGACGGTGATTGGCTCACCGGGAGAACCCGAGGCGTACCTGGCGGCATTGGACCAATCAGCTCGCCCGGATTTTGATCGCCGCACGTCTCAGTGTTTCCTCATCCTTAAGGTCCTCACTTTTTGTGCTCGTCTTGCCTTTCTAGAACGCCCTTCACTTGCTTTGTCACAGCTGCATCCTCTCCCTCTCCTCCTCGGTGGAGTGGGGAGTTGGACCAGCTGTGCTTTGTTCGAGAGATCTCCCACTGCCTCGCTATCTCTTGTACATACAGTATTTCCACCTGTTCCGTGCCGTTGGTCCCAGCCTCCCATTCCTTCATGTGGTGGAGTGCGCAAACTCTAGTCCAATCTTCCCAAACTTAACTCGAGTCTTGCTACAAGCTCGGAATCTCGCCTGGTCAGCAGCTCTCCAGCTTCTTGGACGGCACAAAACCACTGTCCGCTCACGTATCATCGATCCAGATTGTTCCAGCCAACCCGCAGCTTCCTGCCACTAACCGTGCCGAAATGTCCAACCTCGAATCCTTCGTTCATCTGATGGTTCGGCAAGATGGGCCTGGAGCAACCCCAGCTTGTGATACGGGCAACGACTACGACGGCCGCATCGGCTTGCGGATAGCCGCGCTCTTCATCATATGGATCACTTCGTCGATAGGCGCCGCCTTCCCCATCTTTGCCAACAGGCACAGAGGGCTCAAAGTGCCCGAATGGGTGTTTTTCATCTGCAAGTACTTTGGGTCGGGAGTCATTATCGCAACCGCCTTCATCCACCTGTTAGCTCCTGCGAACGATGCATTGACGAATCCATGTCTTACCGGGCCAATCACAGAATATGACTGGGTCGAGGGTATCGCGCTGATGACCATATTTGTGCTCTTCTTTGTCGAGCTGATGGTCATGAGATATGGGAACTTTGGTGGGGGACATGGCCATGGTCATGGTCATGATCACGACGACGATGGCCATGCCCATTCTCACTCACACGCTGTGGAGCTGGACCGATCTACTACCGACACGGAAATGACTGCCGCCCCGGGTTCATCGCCTTACAAAGATAGTCCCGTATCGGTGAGCGTGCCTCCATCAACTCGGACGTCTCGGCCGCAAAGTACGCATGTGCCGGGAGAGGATCACATGGGACATGCTCGCGAACACAACGAAATAGAAGAAGCCGCCAACCCATTCAGTCTCGAAGACTACAAAGCGCAGATGACGGCAATTTTCATCCTCGAGTTCGGTATCGTCTTTCACAGCGTCTTCATCGGTCTGACGCTTGCTGTGGCGGGCAGCGAGTTCGACACTCTTTTCATTGTCATCATTTTCCATCAGACCTTTGAGGGTCTGGGTCTGGGATCGCGGCTCGCCGTGACGCCGTGGCCGAAAACCCGACGATGGACCCCGTACGTCTTGGCCTTGGGCTATGGCATCAGCACTCCTCTGGCCATTGCCATTGGCCTCGGTGTGAGGAAGAGCTATCCTCCCAATTCCCAGACGACACTCATCGTCAACGGCGTCTTTGACTCGGTGTCGGCCGGCATCCTGATTTACACAGGCTTGGTGGAGTTGATGGCCCACGAGTTCATGTTCAGTAGTTCGATGCGAAAAGCGAGTATCCGAACTGTCATGGCAGCTTTTGTCACCATGTGTTTTGGGGCTGGATTGATGGCACTCCTTGGCAAATGGGCTTAGTGAGCTGTCGCTATGAAAATGTTTGTTCGGGCGCGGGTTTCCATCATGTACAGACAGGTTGATGCCGGATATCGTGTGGAGATCAATCGGTCAGCCTTGCATGGGAGGTGAAAGGATTAATTTGAGGCATGGATGAAAGAATCAATGATACCCTGGGACGGAGATGACGATAGAGCTAATAATGGCGCAAAGAGGAAATAGAAGCCATTTCATGTGATTCCATCAAAAAAGAGCCAGGCTTTTGCCTATACCTACAGAATATCACGCGGATCAAGCTGTGTGTGTGTGTGTACTTCGGGACGTACGGGACCGATTACATAGGTCAATTACTATTACTATTGATTGCACAAGGGGGTGGGTGAGCAACGTCTCACATACATTGTATACGGACATCCCGGGAAGGGAAGGGGACGGATAGTAGTACTTCAACTACCTTTATCTCGTGATTATCTAGCTTGGGACGGACGGACGGAAGGAATGAAGGAATAAAGGAAGACCACCCGGCCAAGTCGCGACGGGCGGTGCGGTGCGGTGAGGATAGGTGAGACGGATGCTGGTGGTGAGGCTGAAACAGAAAAGGAGAGACGCAGGAGAGGAGAAGAAGGAGAAGAAGGAGAAGAAGGAGAAGAAGGAGAAGAAGGAGAAGAAGGAGAAGAAGGAGAAGAAGGAGAAGAAGGAGAAGAAGGAGAAGAGGAAGAAGGCCACCGACCCGAGTTGAAGCCAGCCAGCCAGCCAGCCATTCCCTGGTGTCCCTGCAATGTGACATGGCTACAAGGCTCTCTCGGATAAATTCCCAAATTCAGTTCCCGTCACAAGAGATGTGTTTCCACGCCGGCAGGCACGAGTAATGCAGGAATGAATGAGAGGGACAAGATAAGATAAGATAAATACACCAAGTACTGTCCACCCAAGGCACCCACCCGCATGAATCACTTATCCAAACAGTACAGTACGATACGGGAGGGTACGGTATGCCCAATGACGCGTACACTTACATAGTTGTATGTGTGTAATCCTGTCCTCGAGCGCCGGCCTAAATGATATATAGTGTGAGCGTCATAATCTTCGTTATGTCTTCGAGGAGCAAAATAAGTAACATTAGTCCCTCTTTTACATCCCATTCCATTCACCATCACCACCAGGCCGGTTCTGAATCTGATCCTCGTCCTTGCAAAATACACTCCCGTTCGCTGGTTCATGAGCCTTTGCCCCAAGTCCGGCTCCAGCAAGCTCAGTCAGTAGTGGGCACCATGATATCCGAACCAACGAAATTCGTAGTCATTTTCATGTTCATTTGTTTTTTCCGTTTTCTTCTTTCCATGTCGCTTTTCTTTTCTTTTCATATTCTTTTCTTCATTCCCAGATACTTTTCCAGATAACTTGCATTTTACCCGGTTCTTTGCAGGGCGAGCATGGATACCGGCCATGGCGCCATCCCTTGAACCCTCTGCTTCCATTTCTGGACCGGCCACAAATCTTGCAGGAGACAACCTCCTGGAATGTTCCGCCTTGCGGTCTCCCTGTCTCTCTCCATTTTCCTTTCTCCCTGGTTTCACTCTTCCCGCGCGAGAATGCCGAATAATCTCCTATTGTCAACCGCACACGTCTCAAGGTCCCGATCTGCGCTGTTTCTGTCACCAGAACTCTCGGATCCGTGGCCGTGTTCCACACAGTCGTCCGGCGAGATGCATCTCGGCCGCGACAGGGGGCCACGGCAACCGAGTTCGGGCAGAATTTCTGTCTCCACGACAATGTCGTTGGATGGGACTCCGCGCATGCTGGCGATGATGAGCGCAGCTTCGAGACAGGGCGTGCTGTTGGCCGTGCTGGCCGGCTGGCATAGTTTGGGCTTGGATTCGAAGGGCGAGACGGCAGGGGATGGAGGTGAATATGGATGCTGCGCAGTGGACGACAGGTCGTCCGGGTCCGAATGGGCAAAGTTGGAATGTGGTGGCGAAGGGATGAAAGAGGGAGTCCCTTCTCCCTCCTCGGCCAGTGGGAGCCACATACGGTCTTCTCTGGCTTGGCCGTCGACTACTAGGATGTCGTGCAACTTCAGGGTGTTCGGACGCAGTCCAGGAGCGAGCAGCGGTGGGGGTTGCGGAGAAAGTGTAGTTGTCGTCGACACAGTCATGGAAGCGCTGGGCAGCTTCGCGAGGGTTTCGTGATCCTGATGAGGTGGAGTTCGAAAGATCGTGAAAGAAGGACCCTGCGCAAACGTCTTACCGTCAAACATACGGCTCTTCCTTGTTGAGCCGATCCGTCTGATCTTCCGCCGTCCGTCCGGGGAGGGATCGCCGTCCACCTTGTCATCCTTCTGTGGGGGGCGGGCGGAATGCTCGGCTAGGGACCTCTGCAAAGCCTCGTTCTGCTCCTGTAAAGCCTTGACCTCCTCTCTCAAGGCACGGTTTTCCTCCGCCACCTTCCGTGCCGCTGTCTGCACTTCTGCAGTGGCCTGCACACCTTGAGTCTCGTAAGCGCGTATCCGGCGCTCGAGGTCTTCAATGTACACCTGCCGTCGGGCGCGGCAGCGCCTTTGGTTAATCGTGTTTCGTTTGGCTGTCGGGGCCTCCATTAGCGGGACTGATCGGGGAGGATTTATTGAGATGGACGGAAAACTATTTGTTTGCCGAGATATTGCTTCTTGCGTCCCAATCTTGGGCGGGGCGTAGGGATTCATTGTTCGAGGTGCATGATTCTTTCTTGGGGGGGCTTCCGGTCTCACGTGGGCGGTTAGGACGAGGCTCCAGAGTGAACCAGCTTGAAGGACGCCTTTTACGGCATCACCATGGTCATGGTACGTGGACAGTGGCTGAGAATAGAGCTGGTTAGAGAAGGAATGTCGTTGGCGGGCTTCAGCGGCACGAAACTGAGTTTGCGTCATTTTCGAGTAGCGCAAAGCAGCCTAAAGCGGCGTGGTGCCAAGACCTTGTCACCGGCGCAGCTTGATTGGTCGGCGAAATGCTTTTTCCGTGGCTTCTCTATTACCTCGCTCGTTCGTACTCGGTACAATGCCATGGCTCCAGATCGTTGACTTGCTCATCCCAAGGCCGATAGTACCACTAGTGGGGACCTCAAGTTGGCCACCTACCGCTTCACTTCACCCGTATGCGGCGCCCCCTGATGACTGGTTGCCACATGTTGAGCCTCTTCCCTCATATTGTAGGCGAATGATGGAGGGCCTGTGACACACCGCTACGTGCATAAATTCCGAGTCCAGCACTCCTGTGACGAAGATTGTACAATCCAATTTGCACCACTCTTAGAATTCCAGCATTCCGCCACGTCAGCCTCCTCTGTAAAGCATTGCCAGCGTTATATCAAGCTTCGGTGTAAAGAATCACCATGGATGCCACCTCGATCTATCAGACGGTGAACACCAAGTATTCCGAGTTCGCCTCTCGTTCGAACGAGGGTGAAGCTCAAGCATCCACACGCACTCGCATCGCCGCATCCTTTGGCTATTCGGCCGATGATCTGGCCTCTCTCCCCACGGGCACGAACCTTGGCCTCTCGTGCGGAAATCCACTGGCGACAGCGAACCTTCAGCCTGCGGAGAGTATGGTCGACCTCGGGTCTGGCGGTGGTCTTGACTGCCTGATCGCGGCGAAGCAAATGTTGAGAGGAACTCCCTCCCCGAGCGGAAAGGTATACGGGATCGACCGAAGCGAAGCGATGATCGCGTTGGCTAGGAAGAACGCCGCACAGGCCAACCTGCCGAACGGCTTGGTGGAATTTATCCAAGCACCGATCTCGAACATTCCCCTCCGAAGTTCGACGATCGATCTGGTGGTCAGCAACTGTGTCATTAACCTAGTTCCCGACGAGGATAAGCCCTCCGTTTTCAGGGAAATCCACAGACTCTTAAAGGCTGGCGGCAGAGTCGCAATCAGTGACCTTCTCGCCAAGAAGGCCATGCCAGACCATATACGACATGATGCAGCACTGCTGGTGGGCTGCGTGGCGGGCGCCAGTCTGGTGGACGAATATCGACGGTGGATGGTGGAAGCCGGGTTTCCAAAGGAGAGTATTACCTTCATCAACACCAAGAAGGACTTGAACGTCTACCATGATGTGGATGGCATTGCACCTCGTTGTATGGAGGACACCGAGTCGAAGAGTTGTTGTGACGAAAGCGCAGAGAGCCCTGGTTGCATTCAGAAGAACGGTGGTGAGCCCGGCAAGAAGTTGGACTTCAACGAATGGGTGGCATCATATCAAATCTATGCCATCAAATGATTGACAGCCGCCTAGCAGAACCCGGCAAGCATTGTGTGTGACATCGAGAGTTGCTAGCCTGATCGGAGATCAAGGTTGTGGAAGGGCAGGAGATCAAGCCACTCCCCAATCTTTTTGAATGAAAGACCCTGTCGAAGCCGATTTGGCCGCCTGGGGGTACGTGTTGTAGCCGTTACCACTACATATTAGATTTCGCAACATCTCTCAGTCGATCAGACCTTCGCTGGGGCTCCCTCCTGGCTGCAAGGTAGCTTTTGGCACTGTGGGAATAATCCTATCAGGTCAACAAACAGACAATAATATACATCATTACCAATTGTTCAGGAAGAAATGGATCAGAGACCGGAGCAGAGCCGGGCACGAAAGGCGGCTGGATAGACCGGGGCTAGGGTCGACTAACTCATAGTCATTCGATGCCGGTCACTCACCTACTCCATCGGCGCTTCTCACCGATGACCATCGACAATAAGACGATTTGTTTGATTGGTTGAAGGTAGCGTACGGGGGAGCGCACTCAAATCCTGAACGAGCCGTAGGGAGCTTGACTGATGCCCGTTCTCAGAAGCCAGTTCGGGCTGGGTACCCAGTTTTTGGCGTTTCATATATTCGGAAAGGCCAAATTCTCTGATTCTCAAAGACTCAAGGCTCTGTAACTGAGGAGCTGAGAGGACGGGCTTCTATGTCGCGGGGTTGCCAGGCATCCGTCTTCAATTGAAGGATGGGCTACTGCTGCCCCATGATCACCAGATGATCATCTACCTGCAATTGGAGAGAGTAAAAGTACACGCTGAATGTGTTTATTTCGAGGACGAACCGCAGAAGAACTCGTTCAAGGACGCATATCAGGACAGCGATGTCGTGGCCATTGTGCAAGGCAGTTTGACGGGGAGAATGGCTTGAGGATACCCAAAAGGGGCTCATCAGCTAAGGAAGCCATGTGAACTTCATTTTTCGGAGGCGAAGCTGGCCACTTCGCTATAACCCAAAGCTCGATGCATCTTGATTCACGACATGCTTCAATGCAATCCTCGTTCAGAGGGTTTGGTGCCGTGCTCATTGCAATGCTCCCCTGCTCAGTACCTTCCTCAATGCGTGGTATCCTCCCAGCCTTGCCACCCTCTTCCTTTAATATCCTTCAACTCCTCCTCGGTATAAGACTTGCCCGTCGTGAAGTAGCCGGCATTGATTTTGGCGTCGATTTCGACTCTAGAATCCGCGGGGATAAGGTCTGGTAAAAAAAAATTAACATTGTAAAATTAGATTGGAAGGCTAATTGGCGAGAGACTGGTTGGGCCGCCATGGAAGCTGAGGGGGCGGAAAGAGAGAGAGAGAGAGAGAGAGAGAGAGAGAGAGATAGAGAGAGAGG